CCCCCCCCCCCCCCCAAGACCAGAAAAACAGAGCATCCGCGTTCTATTTGTGTGTGTTAGTCATAATCTGAAGGAGCGGGAAAGAATTTCAAAGTGGATTTTGTCTCTCTCTCTCGCTTGTTCTTTCCTTCTTTCTTTTTTTATCTGTTGGAACGGAAGCGCACGGGGTTGGGGCCGTGTCCGGTGATGTTTCCTGGTGGGAGAGGGTCACATAATGAGTCAACTGTACCATCCCTCACCTCCCATCTTCCATTGCCGTACCCGCTTAAGTTATCAGTTTTCTTTAGGGTGTCTCGCTGTATATCGCTATGAGTTTCTGCTGTTTGTAACGAAGCCACATAATCTGAAAAGCAAGAAGTCACTTTCACTTTCAGGTCAAGTTTCAATATTGCTCTGGAATTTTTGTCATTCAACATGACTAATTTTGAATGATAAATCGACTTACAAATTTAATTAAATGAAACGAGGAAAAGGGAATATTTACGTATGTATATATTTATTTGTAATGTTACAAGCACGGTTTTGTAATAGAAGGAGTGGCTATGAACTTATTGAATAATACCGATTACGGACTTCTTATTAACTAAGGGATAAACATGATTTTATTTGAAATTTCAAAAACACTAGTAACATTTGCACCTCCTCTTTTTTCTATCTCTTTACTGATTGCAAATAGTTCTTATTCTTATTTGTTAATATCGTTTTAATATATTACGTTATAAGAGCGGTATCGGGAAAGGAACCGTTTACGCCGACCTCATAAGATGTATAACGAAATATATATATAGAAACTTCATTAGAAGTTAATTATACTAATATGAATTATGAGTAATAATATTAATTATATAGAAAAAAAAATAACAACTCATATTTTGAACTTATTTCTTGTATGCAAGCTCGGCGGGTAATTTATAACTCACACAGAACATTGGTTTAGTTGGTGACACTTTACGTACTAAATGGAAGGACATAGTTTCAATTGGTAAAATTGTAGAATTCGTATCCATGGATTTTAATATTCTTGCATGAACTCTACTATATAATTCTTCCATACTTAAATCTTCATCATTACCATATTTTTCAAAACAATGGACATGAATCCATGGCATTACCTTCTTAATATTAGCATCTACATCCTTAGAATACAAACCAACAAAATTACCAAGGAAATCAATTGCACTATCTGGTAAATTCATAACAAAATGGCTAATTTCATTTGGTATTATAATCTCTTTAAATTCTGGTGGTTGCTGAGAGGATTGCTTGTTCTCCACAACGTTGGCATGTTCGTTTTTCTTATGCTTCTTTCTATTTGATTTCAAACGTAATTGAATCTTACCATTATCACAACTAGAAATCAATTGTTCTAGTAATCGAGGAGACTGTTTAATAAACTCAGCACCATCTAAATTGAATGGCCTAACCATAGAATCAACTTTATTCAAAATAATATTCTCTTGTAAATATTTGAAACTTTCTGGATTTAAATCATTAGCCAAGACAATAGATCCCTTCTTACCAGCTGGGACAGCAAATGGACCGACACCAGCAAATACATCACATACCACTTCATTAGGTTTAAAATATTGGGTTACTAATCTATCATGTTCTGTGTGCAATCTTGAATTCCAATAAACTTTACTGAAATCGAATTTAAATACACAATTGGATTCCCTTTGTTCAACAATCAAGTTGTCGTTACCAGCAATGATCTTCATTGGGAATGTTCTGAATTTTGTAGCGATCGAACTAACCTTATCAACAACACAAGTAATTTTAGTATTTTTATCAAGAATAACCTGTCCAATCAAGGAATCAAATGGTTTAAATTCTTTTCTAAGGTTTAAATGAGCAATATGCCCAGTAATTGTAAAGCCAGTTGGGATCTCATCAAGATATTCTTCTGGTAGTACGGCTCTTAGGATATCTTCGGCTTGCCAATAATCATAATCTAAAGTATATTCGTAAGGATTAATTGTAGCATTTTGTTCATTTAAAAATGTTTTAGCCTCAACAGGTAATTTCTTCTCAACATCATCCATATTTGATATGCTATCAGATAAGAGAATACCTTTTCTCACAATACCATTATCACAAGCCAATGTTTTATCACCATTCTTTACTGTTTCGGACAATTTGATGACATGAGGAATTCTGGGGATTCTTAAAATATAATCCTTAAACTTTTTGGAGAAAACACTAATATTTTTAGGATCTGGAAATTCAATTACACATAGAGGAACTTTAGTTATAAAAAAAGATTTATCCAATTTGGTCATATGACGATTCGCTGGAGGAGCATATTTGGTTAACGATGACATCTTGGTGGTGTGGATATATCTATTTAAACCAAATATTTTAAGCATCCACTAACGTTTTTCCAACTATTTTAATATATATTCAACTACCTGGGATAAAAAGTTTATGTTACTAGAAACGTAATTGTGTAAGTTCTTAGTATAACTAAATTTCATATAAATTGGGATTTTCTTGAGTAACGATGAGCTTCATCGATGCATATTGATATTTTTTTTTTCTTCGTTGAATAATTTTCAAGTCTATTCCTCGCAGCGCATCATTTTTAATTCGAGATTGAGATTTTCTTATTTATATATAATTTTACTGCCTTTGGCGCTTCCAACGGCTTGACAGATCCTTGTGGACTTTTCATCATCCGACTAATCATATATAATCAATAAAACAATCTTACTCAACTAAGATATATCATTTATTTACATGATAAGAATACTTCTATATATATACTATTTACTATCTATTTCAGTATCAGACGGATTCTTTTGAACTCTTGAAGATGAATCGATCGTGTTATCAACTTCTTCAAAGGAATCTATTCTCTGTTTAATACTCGATCCAACGTACTTCTCAAAGAATCCAATTTCATCTTTCCTCTTAATATCACCTTTCTTCTTTGCGACAATACACCAAGTGGTTCCCAGATGATACGTTTTTTCATCGACAATTTCTAAACCGGAATCATCCAAAATTTCACCAATATCCAAATTCCATCTGCAACCCCAAGTATCTAAACGTCTCTTTGCTCTCTTGTCAAGAATCTTATTAATAATATCGTAATCACCTCTACCATGCTCCAATAAGACAATTCTACCTTCAGGTTTTAATAAATTTGCAAAATTGTTAAGAGCACTTACGGGATCCTCATGAGAACATAAGCCAAATGTCTCTATAACAGTATCATATTTAACGTCCTTTTTATTACCATCCTTATCTGTTTGTTTTGCTAATTTATTTAAATCTTCAGCTCTACCAACCACAAAGGCAGCTTTCTTATAAGTTGGAAATTTATCTCTAAATTTTTTATGAGAAACTTCCATCATTGGTTCTGAAGAATCCAAAAATGTAATTGAGTTAATATGTTCAGGGTCTAAATATTTAATATTTCTACCAGTACCACATGAAACCTCCAGAACATCACCTTTACAATGTTTCATCAACCATTTACGTCTTCTACCCATACCAATGACACGTTCTTCCATATTAATATCGTTATCATAATCTTCAGCTTTTGAATCATAAAAAGGAGTAGTATCGTGAGCAGGTAAGATGGCTTTATTTAATTTATTTTGATCAGTGATTTCTAATTCATAACCATCAAAATTTTCAATACCAGACTTTTTCATCTCTTCATACTGATCTAATTTTAATTTATCTCTTGTTCTCATTTTACCATTCAATTCTTTAATTCTTATATTTTCGTATTCATTTGTTTTGCCCTCATCTTGCTTCTTAATCAAGTCTTTCAATTCATTTTCTTTAATATATAATTTTTTCATAAAATAGTAACCATATATTAAAAAAATGATATATGCACCAATCATATATTTTGTCATCCCCTTACTAAACTCATCCGATCTCAATTTAGCACCCCATCTAACGAACCAATTCTTAGAATTTATTTGAGTTTCAAATCGTTCTCTAGCGAGATCTTCTTTCGTCTTTGGTTTCTTTGATTTCTGTGAAGAAGAATAAACAGGTTGAGCTGGAGAACGAATAAATGTCTTCTTTGAGTTTTGATATATTATACGACCATATGATATTGAACGAATCGAGGTTCCCAATATAATTGGATGTCTTATTTTTATACTTTGCAGTGCCAGCCAACTAATCGATAACATTGTTAGCTTTAGATATATGTTTCAAAACCGTAATGGAAAATACGATAAACTACTAATGAGTTTGGTGTTTTCTTTTTTTTATCGTGGTCACTTCTTTATGAACACACCAGCTAGTAATTAGAAATCAATTTATTTCCCTTTAAATTATTATTCTCTCGGGGATTATAAGAAATTTTAGCCCTACTAAAAAACCTAAATAGATAAATAGCCAAGATATAAATAAGAAGAACGTAATACATAAATAACAATGAACAGATTGCGAAACTATTCAATTATAATAAAATATCTTTATAACTAAGTTTGCCTCGTTACTATACAAGTTCAACCTCTTTTTATACTTAGAGTTGACTGAAAATATAATAGTATTATAACGTAGACTGTTTTCCTTATGACAGCGTAAACTGTGATCACAATTTACTTAATATGATGTAAACAGATCACTAACAGAGATAATTTATATATATTCTTCTTGACAAAGCTTATAATTAATTGTTTGATCCATACACAACAGAATTTTCAATGGCACTGATACAATAAGACATTCCTTTACACTGTTACGATACACGTACAAATATATATATATATATAATAATTGAATCTTACTTGTCACGTACATTAAGTGGATACATCCTGAATCCACTAATATGTATACATCTATCGGACGGTTTCCATTAGCAAAACACTACCTCTCTCATTACAAAAAAAAAGTTAGATTAACAATGTAGATAAAAGGGTCGAAAACCTCATCCAATTCAACCTTATATAACGATACTGCATACATCTGATGCATATGCCTTGTTCTAATTCATTGTTTCATTTCAAACTTATGCAAAGGAGGGCAGACAGATAGACAGATCGAGAGGCTCAACAGGCTGTAAAACAACAATATTGTTTTTTTAAAAAAATTAGCGACAACAACAAACCGAGAAGGAAGAGATTTGAGTCCTATCAACTCATAAGAATAGAAAAAAAAATAAAAACTGAAAGAAAATAGAAAATAGAAACATTTGATTGTAACTAAATACGTATTTACATTAAAGGAAAAAACTGATTCAAGGTGAAACAATCTTATCCATTGATAAACAAAGGGGGAAAAACCAGAATAGTAGGAAGTAAAGAAGTAACTACATTATTATACACATTTGGAAGAATTGTACTAACCTGCTTATGAAGACGGCTGTGATTTACATACAAGTTATGATATAGGATCAAATATTCACATTATTATATTACAATTATTACAAAAACATCTACTGTTAGTCGTTTCATTTTTTTTACTATTGCAATACAGATATAGACCTATTTTATTAAAGAATCTTTCCACATATACATATTTATCATTATTAAAGTTAAGATTCTTCTCTCTTTCAGTTTTAGAAATATTTAAGAAAGAGAAATAATATGGGTAACATAGATTTAAATATAGGAAAAAATACATCAAATGTCGGAAAGAATGATAATACAAATGGAAATAATAAATTATTGTCAACTATTGATAAGAAAAAGAACAAAATAAACATTAAAAAATTTAAAAACGTTAAAATTTCAAAAGAAAATATCGACCATAATGAAGATGATAATGATGAAAATTCAAACGAACAAAATAATAATAACAAATATAGAAAAGAAATAGAGGAAGCGGAAGAAGCGGAGGAAGAGGAGGAAGAGGAAGAAGAAGAGAATGAAGAGAAGGGAGAGAAGGGAGAGATATCCAAGGAATCAACAAAAAAGAAAAAGAAAAGTATGGTATCTGCCTTACTTTCATCTCTCAATCAGATTATAACTCTTTCGTCAGAAATATACGCAGAATCTGAAGATGTAAATGTTAACAAAGATCAAGATGATGAACCAGAAGAAAATATTGGAAATGGTAAAAAACAAACAAACTTGTTGTCTCAAAGTTTTAATAGTAGAAATAAGAAAAGAATACTACGAAATAGGAAAGAACCTGAAATAGAGTCAAATAAAATATCTCAGAAAGCTAACATCAATTTCCTTTTACATCACTCAGATGAAAACAAACAAGATGAATCACAGAAGGATTATAATGATGATGACGATGATAATGATGATGTTGAAAGTGACGAGAGTATAACTTTGAAAGAAATAGAGAGCAATATACCTATAACTTCAAGGGATAGAGAACAAATATACCAAAATATAGATCATTTGGTGGAAAGGAATGAAATAATATTACAAAATAGACATAAAAAGAGGAAAAAGGGAGACAGAAAGATTAAACAACATACAATCATCAACGAGGATCAGAATAATATACAAACTAATACCATATAGGATATCACAAAATAAGTAAAACAAAAAGAGAGACTATCATATAAGGACAATTAATGAAGCTTCTTAAACTTGTCACAGTCATTGTATTTCTGAATGACGTGAAATCACTAAACCTGCATATACATATAAGAACAATATAACTTATATAGAAACAATCTGACAAAACAATTAATTACAAAAATGATGGACGTATAACTGACTCAGTGAGTGCATACGAGCTTTTCATCATTTTTCAATGTTTTAAGATACAGAAACATTAGATCTGAAAACCCTAATCAGGGTCTACTTTTTATAATAACAATAGAATAGTACTGTGTTAATACAACAAGAGAGAGACAGAGAGATAGAGAGGCCTTATTGAACTCAACTGGTAATATGATCTTTTTCAGTGAATGAAGAAACAATATCTTTAGCCAGAACAAACGCCCGGGCAAAAGAAAAAAAATGATGCACGAAATCCACATTAGGAAAGGTAATGTAACGAAAATGGCAATAAAGTTAACTACGGGATCAATCCGAAAATGGAAAAAGATCAACAATAAATAAATAAATATTACTTTTTGCTCATTTCTCTGTTTCCATCTTTCTTTACAATAAAATAAAAACATTTATACATAACCAAGAATATTAACAAATCAGAAGAAGAGTGGATCTATGAACTTGATCTTTTAAACAACTTCATGGTTCAACGATTCATCTAATTTTTTTTCTTAAAGAAAATAACTTTGTTGTGTGAGTTTAGTTTAGTTCGAATATAATTAAAAATTTTATTTATTTATTTTATATTTTCTGTACCATTCTTTGTTATTTATGAACATCTGAGAAATTTATATAACAACTTTGAGTGGCTTGTTTTAAAACATTTAATCGTAAAATCAATAGAATTCCACGATATACATACCGTTAGGAAGTAGATCAGAGTCTACGAAAAGAATCAAATCGTATTTTGGGGGTTTTTCACTAACAAACTATCAATGATGAATTCACCGAATATGAGATCAGAGCAACTGACTCCCAAAATGTCACCCATTGCCTTATGTTTAGATGATCCCAAGAATAGTTCTGCTTTTCAATCACTATTATCGTCTCCTACAAAGTTAAATTTGGATAATTCTAGTGGATTTTATTCGACATCTTTATCGAAATTGAATGATTACGCTCGATCTGGTCGATCAAGAGAAAGACGAGGTTCAGAAACTTTTAGGTCGATATCACCTATTAGATTTAATTTATCCACATCAAATAATAATAATAATAACAATAATAATATGGGACCTAAAATGTTAAAATCTGAATATTTAACTCAAAAGAAGACAAATTTACCACTGTTGTCAACTTTATTGAAATCAGCCGCGTCGACAAAAGATAATAATGGTAAACCTGCAGCAACTACAGTAACAACAAAATCATCATCATCATCAAATACTATCACAGATAATTCAATGTTAATCAGAGAGACTTTGGAACAAATTCAACAACAACAAAAGAATCTGCAAAAACTAAACAAAACGAAAACAAAAAAATCAAAGAGTTCTAAGAATAACATACAAATTCAAGTACTAGATACGAATGTCATAAATATCAAAGACAATAATATACCAGAACCCATTGTCCCTGATAAATTAGTTGAATTATCTTTGAGAAGTAACTCCATTGTAAGTGGTGGATCGACGTTAGAAAACGAGCACGGAGGAGAAATAGAGGTCAAGAAAAGAAATGACGAAGAGAAAGATATTTTGTCTGAAAAGGATAGAGTCGTATCAAATACTTCAACAGTATTTCATTCTCAAATCCATAATAATGATACTCCTAACGATTTTTCGTTACTGAATGTGGAAAATTTTCCAATCGATAAGAATGGATTTATCGATATGAATACTCATCAAAAGTATTCTAGAAATCCACATAATATTGGCTCAAATGGCGGTAATATCAGTTCTCCTACATTAAACAACAAACCAGGTAATAGATTTAGTTTTATTTCTTCAACATCTACTGATTATGAATTTTTATTTGATCAACAAGCTGTACCAAGTGTTCATGGACCACCAGCCATAAACTCACAGCATTTACACCACCACCATCAGCAACAATTTCCTTACTCACAATCTTCAGTATCTAATTCAAACTCTAATCTTAGATCTGCCCAAGAAATGGACACTTCTAAATTAGATTTGAAAATCAAATATTTAGAAATTGAGATTCAAGAATTAAAATTACAGAATGAAAAATTGGTAAATTCCATGAATGTCAATCGTACTACAGAAGATAACCTTTTAATTGAACTATTAAGACAAAAGACAGGTGCTTCTGAAGATAATTCCATTGCTGACTCTAATTCTGAAACCGGATCTACTACCACGAAAAAGAATAGATCAATGGAAAAGAAAGTAAAAATGTTAGAAAAAAAATTTGATGATTACAAGAAAGTCCTGGAGAAATTGAATTATATTGATCAAAATATATCAATCGAGGATTCAGCTCCAGTAGATATTCCCAATTTCAAAAGAAGAACCAGAAAGCCTAAAAGAAATACACTCAGACTACCAAAAGTTTCAAGAATCTCAAGAATCTCAAGTGTTGATCTAAGAAGAATAGAAGAGAATTCTGACTACTCAAGCTTAGTTATTTCTTCTAAGAATAATGCATCGTCTAACGAAGAAGATTTAATTGAAGAGTACGAAGAAGGTTCTTTCGATAATTCAGATTCAGATGAAGGTGATGCTCTAGAATATGAAGCTGATGATGAAAAAGAAAGTTATCCACTGAAAGGACATATACAGCTAATCAAAAGAAATCCTAAAAAAGGTTTACAACTTCACATTCCAATTCAAAAATAGTCAAATACAACGTCTACTAGGTACTACAAGTACACATTCCTTTTTTTAAAAAAAAAATACATCAATTTTCTACTACTATTATTATTATGACCCCATTTTATCCTAAAACTTTACACTCGCTTTTACTTTTGTTATATTATTTCATTATTATAATTTAGATAATCCTTATAAACCCAAAACTCATTAACGTATTAAACCAACTAACACCAATATCATCAAACACGCAAAACTATTGAATAGTACTCTGCATCAAACATACATCAATATTCACGGACCTTCCAATAATACCCTCATTCAATTACATGACACATTTTTAATAATCCTCTACTTTATAAATATATGTAAATGATAATTTCTACTCTTTTAAACTTATAAACTTTATATTTCCTCTATTGTAATTGACAAACCAAATGATTGCGCATTTAGTTTTCCGAGCGATGCCTGAAATTAAAAATCGATATATCTTAAAGGTGAATATAGTCTATAGAAGAAAAGTTCATCAGTAAAGTGTAGATACTATACACAGTTAAATAGATAAAATATTTGTATTTAGTGGTCACCATTTTTGATAATCATAGACTAATACATATACAAAGAATGACTTCCATACCGCGACCCAAACCATGGGAATCATCCCAAAACACCAACGCATATCAGGGAGAACCCTTTGAGCAAGGATCAAACGATCCACAACAACCTAATGACCAGAGGGTTGACAATATAGATAGTGGTTTAATAGCTAACAATAACAATAATAATGATAACAATGGGGTGTCTCAACCGCCACCAGTTCCTGGATATTCGCCTGGTTCCATGATGAATACGCCTTATTATAGAGGTTCTAACTATGGACTTAATCAACAGTCTTCTATAGGATATGGGTTGGGATCAAGCTACGGATTAGGAGGTAGTTATGGATATAACATGAATTCTACATATGGCATGAACAACGGTATTGGATCATACCTTAACAATCACAGTTATCCGGGGTACGGTTATAACAATGGTTACATGGGAAGCAGAGAAAACATAAACGGAGATCCAAATGGAGGGTTGGCTGAGTCTACTAGGGCTACATTTCAACTATTAGAAAATTTGGTAGGAACAATAAATGGATTCGCTCAAATGCTGGAATCAAGTTACATGGCTACATATAATTCTTTTTTTACCTTAATATCTTTTGCAGAGGAAGTGACAAAATTGAAGGATATCCTAGGTGGAATGTTTGGGGTATTTAATGTAATAAAACTCTTTAGAAAGGTATTAAAACGCAGAAATATCAACTCCCAAAGATCAATACGTGATGGTGAAAGTCCTCTGGTAGGGGAATTCGGCCACTTTACTAGGACTGGTGAAACCCCAAAAAAGAGAAGGAGCATGTCCTTAAAACCTTTGATAGTATTTTTTCTAGCTGTATTTGGATTTCCATATGTCTTAAATAAACTGATTAAAAGGGTACATGATATAAATAGTCCAAAGAAACAAGGTTTGAGTGAAAATTACGAAGGTGTTATTGATCCATCGAAGTTGGAGTTTGCCAGAGCAATATATGATTTTGTTCCAGAAAATCCCAAGATAGAAATTACTTTAAAAAAAGGAGATTTAATGGCAATTATATCTAAAACAGATCCTTTTGGTAAACCTTCTCAATGGTGGAATGTAAGGACGAAAGGTGGTTCCATGGGCTACATTCCTTTCAATTATGTCGAGATCATTAAACGTCAAAAGAAGATAGAGCATATTAACGAACCTAAAGATCATTCCTTACAAGACAGTTCAATAGAACCTGAAGTAACAAATAATAAAAACTCATAGATAAATAATCATTTACGAAAATAAAATATTTTATTGCATAAATGATGTTGCCTTTTTGGCCTGTCATTTTATTATTATTTAGCATCATACATTATAATATAAATGTTAGTTTTAATACGAAGGGTTTAAACTTTTTATATTAAATCTTTAGATAACTTTTTCTGTAAATGGCGTTCACACCTCTAGAAAATGTGCCGGGATGTCAGCCAATGTCGAAATTATCAAATTTTTTGATCGACAAACATCAGTAATTACTAGGTGTTAAGGTTTTTGGTATTATTTTCAGAATATAACTTTTTTAAAACGTGAAACCAATTATATGGTTTGTTTGTTTATATTTATTTTCTATTTTGCTACATATGTTGATGAATTTTTTTTTTCTATATTCTGGTATGCATTTATTGTCAAAAAAATCAATTTCTAATCATTGACACATTCCTCTTACATGAAATCGTCATCCCCGAAGTCATCATAGTTGTTACTATCAAGGTCGAAATCATTGTCCTTCTTGAATGCACCACCCAGGTTAGTTTTACCCTTAGCTTTCTTCTTACCAGCACCACCAGTAGCAGTACCACCTCTAACCTTGGCTAGACGAGCTTGTCTTTCTTCCTTTTCTTTCTCCTTGATTAATACATTTAGAGTAGCAACAGTTTGTCTAATGGATTCGATAGACATTGGCTTAGCAATATCCTTAATTAAATCAATGGTTAAAGAAGATGAATAATTTAGGGAAGATTTTTCATTTAAAGGAACAATAGCAGCAGCGAGAGATTTTCTCAAATCTTGATAGTCTCTCTTCGTTTCAGCATTAGAAATTAAAGGATGTTGTTCGAATGGGGTATCTTTAGTCATAACAGCATGTTTCAAAAGAGAAGCGCGTTCAGCATCTCTCTCCATTGCCAATTCTCTTGGGTGTTTCTCGGCAACTCCCAGACCTTGGAATAGATCGGCAGCATTATTCAAATCAGAATCCATTTCTGCCTTTTTAATCAATTCCTTACGAGTCTTTTCATCCAATGTGTCAATTTCCATCAGGACCTTGTCGCTGCCACCTTGCTTACCTTTACCCTTAACAGCCTTCTTAGCGGCAGGCTTTGTCTCCTTCTTCTTTGGTTCTGGATTCTTTTCTGTAGTTTCTTCAGCATCCCAGGAATCCATGATTGGTTCATCATCACCAGCCGCATCCCAAGAGTCCATTAGGACAGCGTCATCATTACCCATAGAACCATTAATAGCTTCGTCGTCCCAAGACATGCTGTATATTTATTATTATGATCTTTTTGAATTCAATGTTTTGTTTATATCAAAAGCAATAATAGTTGAGAAGTATATAATAAAATTATAAATGAAACAACCACCTTTTCTATCAATGGTTTGTATTCGATGCTAAACTTCAGTAAGCTCTTTTGTTCTCATTGAATTATTATTTGCTGAAAAAAAATGGAAATTGGCAAAAAATTTAAAGAGGTGCGTCCGTGTACAGTGACCAATCTGAACACCCGTAAACTGAGAACCAATGGAAACGTCAGCTCAGAAGGCTAATGAACCTATTCCCTCAGATAAGTATCCTCCGTTTAACACCTTTTTTATACAGTTGCTTTATTCTGCGTATTCAAGATCGAAATAAAATAAATATATATTGTTATGAATAAATAAGATGTATGTAGTATATATATAGAGACAGATTTAGAATTCAGAGAGAGAAATAGAGGGTTAAAATATGTGTATTTGTATTGGAAGGTGTTATTTTTTTTAACTCACCATTAGGTCCTCTAAAACTCTCACCAGATCATATAATATCCTGTAATGATGTTCTCTTTCTTTGCTCTTCTACTCTTTTCATCACTAAAGCCATTCCTAACCTACTCTTCTCAACACCACTTTCAAATCTACTCAGGGACATCTTTTCGATTTTACTTCTGATCCCTACATGGAAACCACTAGTAAATTTAACCTTACTGTTCACCACTGTATGTTTTGGGATTTCGTCGTATTGATATGTAGTATATTCTTCCACTTGCAACAATCTTACGTGATCAATATTTCTGTTAAAACTTTTCATAATCTTCTTTTTTGGATCAACCATAGTAAATTCAATCATCCAGGATTCAGTAATTCTTGATCCTACAATATATTCTATCCATTTAGGTAATTTACCTTTTTTCCGGATGAGTCTCGTAGTTAGAAGATTTCCATTTTCATCAACTTTTCTATCTATCGTATCGACAGACAATACATGATTTGCATAGGGATTAGGATATTTGTTAAAGACTACACTAGTCACTGAATTAAAATCATTTTGAAAAATGTGGGCATTAGCATGAAATAGGACCATTCTTTCTATAATAATGAAATGGATCAAATAAAAGGATTACAAACAAAAAATCGTTGACTTATTGTTTATTGGCTTCTATTTTTAGGGATTATAAAAACTTTCTTACTTAACTTATAAGTATAAGTCACAAAGCAACAAAGCAATATGATTCGATATATTAATAATTCGAGAACTTCAAAGGGGGATTGAAGATATATTTTTATATAATGGTAAGTGTTACCAGCGCACTTTCCACTGAATATATTACTTGCTCTATTAATTAGAATCAACTGAAGAACTTTCTAAAATAAAATAAATACTTCTATCACTAAATATATAGAAAACTATCTGTCCCTGTGGAGAAACGGTCGAACTGAAACTTTGGATGGTTTCTATATAGGAGTCATACCGTATCCTTTTTATATATTATTATATATAAAAAGTGAAAACGAGAATTTCTCGGAGCAAAGAAATAACCTGTTCCGGGCTCACACTATACGATATGTATAGTCAATAAGAAGCGACACACATTTTCTCCCATCATCGGTATGACAGTAATACAAGAAATGTTTCATGTAACTAAATAGATTGATAATGTGATTAAACTTTAAAATGTTATATTATTTATGCAGTTTATATTTTTTTATATCTGTTGTATATTGTTTATAAGTTAATTATGTATGTCTATATATCTAATGTACAGAAAAAATGCAGGAAAACAGAATCGTAAAGTTGAAGTTCTGTTCATGAAATGTCTCGTTATTTTGGAATATAATTTTTATGTTTCTGAGAAAGGCGGAATTTTCTTAAAATTAAAGTAAGAATGCAGCTAAAGCAACATATTTTAGACCATTTAGGGCAGTCAAGTGGTCAATACCATTAGTACTGTTGGAATGGACTGATACGGTAGAGTTTTTACTACCAGTTTCCTTAGCTTTGTTTAGCATAGTTGTTTCATAGGTAGATGTACGGGTGACTCTTTTACTATTCGAAGTTGAGACGTATACGCTCTCAACAGTCTTAACAGAAGCATCGACAGATGATTCACCAGCCCAAGTGTAAGTGGTGGATGGAACCCACCATAGTGTAGAGGTATAATCATTACCATTAGCATCGACAGATGTAACAGTGGTGACGGGACCGTATGCCCATGTACTAGTAGTTGAATCAGAAGAAGCAGTAGAAACAGATGAAATTTCTTCATCTTCTTCTACAACAGAAGAAGAAAATGATCGAGCAGTTGGAATGGTAACCGATAATGGGGAGTATGTAACGGAAGACGCTTCAGGGGATAAATCAGTTACAGATTGTTCGGCGGTAGCAGTGGAGGCAGGTACCCACCATTTGTATTCGGTAGTGGTACGGCCTTGTTCATCAGTAGTAACAATAGTATAACTTGGTTGGTCAGCGTACTGTTGAGCGACTTGACTGACAACATTAGATGTTTGAACTAATCTGGAGTTGTAGGTATTTGTAATGATTGATTCGGATTCGGTAGCAATAATAGAGCCTTCAACTACAGAGTAAGCGATAGCATTTGTTTGATATACAGAGTTTGTTGCAATTGCAGCTGTGGCTTCTTCAACAGCGGTACTGGCAACGACAGCTGATGCAGAAACATCAGAGACGGATTCAACATTGTTGACTAAGCCCAGGGTAGTATCATCAGTAGAATCTAAGGTACCAGTAGAAGCGATGGCTTGGGAAGCTAGAAGTGATAGAGTAACAGAAGCAGATGATCTCATTTTATGTATATATATTTGTGTATGTGTTTGTTGTTTGTGAATTAGTATGATCTTTTGCAACAATTTTATATGTAAATACATGATGAAATTAAGACATGAACAGAAACTTAATCATTACAATATATGACCCTTTATATAGTTTGAGATTGATCATTTTGATATTAATAAAATAAAGTACTTCTTGGACTAAACAATGTTCCAAGTTGAGTTCATTAAGTGTAAATGGGCATAATTATTTCCCAATTCGGATTAAATTGATTTATTAATAGAGTAAGTATCCAAAGACCCAAGCCCTCTTTTTTATTTAAATTAATTCCATTATCTCATAGAATTCCAAACAGTACGAAATATTTTGGTCTACATACAGGTTGTCTAAAGTCTACACCTGGTTAATTTTTTTACACCAAAACATATATGTTCAATCACTGAAGTTATTGTAACTTCTTCTATTTATTTAATCAATTCCAGCCATGGCAATTCTTTTAGTGACAGTGGTGTCCCTCAACTCAACTCAGCACGCCTCGCCTCAACACGCCTCACCTTGTCCTAGACGAAACCAGCCCATACAAACCCAGCGATGGTTTTTTAACAAATTTCAGTGAGGCGTAGCGAAGGGAAGCTTCTTTTACCCGAAAAACTGAAGGCAGGCAAAAATAACCCAGCATGCTTAATAATAAAACCCAGCCAAGCTTCAGAAGGGATCTGCCATTAAGAGTCAAAAATGTGGTGAAAGCATAGTTGTTAACCGATTAATTTCCGAGAACATGACGGATCAAATATATCAGGTCTTAGAACAGTTATATTGTACTGTATTTGAAATTACATATGATCAGTATAGGATCATTCACTATATTTTAGTATGTAAATTAACAGAATTGACACCGACGATTTCTCAATTATTAATAACCACTACTGTTTGGGTTCACACCATATAGCAGATGATTAAGATATTTGGAAAATTCTAGGTTTTATATAATATATATTGTTGACTTATTTTAATAAGTATACAGTTATGTATGTGTATCCTTTTAGAAAAGAAGTAATTACATAGAATCTCAAAATCAGAAATATCGAAAAACAAAAAAAGAGTGTTCATGTTGTTGAAAGTCTATAATCCTGAATGACAACATTCTCTTACTTATTATGATGATTCTTACCTATAAGTTCTTACAAAATTTTCTTATTTTTATTATGCATAACAGAAGAACAGTTACAAAATCTTCTGATCATCGTAGTCATCGTCACGGTCAGTTCATCATTCCAATATCTATGCTACTTGTGTTTGATCGAAGTCAATTGGATACAATAATTCATCATGATCACCTTTAATATCATATTCACTTAAACCAATTACACCACCAAATTTCAAGAATCTCTCGTAACCAGCATGACGGATCTCATCAAGACCGGAAACCATATCAGGCCAATATACTTCATGATTGTACTTGAAATCCAATTTACCATTGTATAATGCCTCAAGTTGTTCTGGTTCAATATATTTTTCAAACGGTTCATCAAACACAGCTTTCTCCTTAGTGGCAGGATCCAAGAATGGATACATCATCTTTAAGAAAGCCCATGCAAACCATGGAATGTTTATCAGGACACATTTTGCCAATCTTTCTGGGTAATGGTTTTGCATAACGTTTAGACAGGCTCTGGCAATAGACACAGGTGGTGCTTTGTCTGTAATGATCCCAGGTTCTTTGTAAGCTTTAAAATCAACCAACACAGTAATCTTTTCCACACCTTGAGGACATAATGTCACGGCCGATTCCATCATATAGATCAATTGTTGAACTTGTCTAAATGATGATTCTGTGTTTTGACGTCCATTCTTCATATAGAACAATGGTCTTCTATCATAATCGAACCCTAATAAGATTTCCTTACCAGTTTCATTTTCAATAGCAACATCTTTACCGGTTAAAGGCTTTTCAATTTCATCACCATGTGCTATACCGACTTCTCTTCTCCAAATAATTGTCTCAGTCATACCTTTCTTGGCGTTTGAGATATGCCATTTATTAGCTCTTAAATAACGATATATACATTCTCTGGTTAACCAATATTTTTCCCAGCTACTCAATGGTCTTTTCTTTCCAGTGGTGTCATTTGTATCGATAGGTAATTCTAATTTTTCATCTTGAAAATGAGTCAAAAGTTCCTTATAAGCAGACTGTTGTTCAGTGGTAACTTTTTTCAATTTTTCTGCTTCACCATACTTAGCAGGTGGTTTCTTGATCATTTTATCAGCAGATATCAATTCCTCCTTTGGAATTGATGGTGTAGTATCCTTTTTTTTAGAAAATAGACCCATTGTTTGTTATTTATGTGTATGTGTGTAAACTGTTGTCAATTTCTAGTCTACAAGAGTGATTGAAATGTATTTTGCTTTTGCAATGACCAGATTTCTATACTAATTCAATTAAGTGATTCTTTTAAACACTAAATTAATACTAAACAAAAAGAAAGAGTTCTTTAATTGAAATTCAGTTCAAGTTCTGGTGATAATAAAAAATAAATAGTGTATTTAGAATAAAATATTTTCTCAATATATATTTGAATCAAAACAGGTTGAAAGAGAAAGAATGAAATTTTGGTTATATAAGCATCATTTCCAAATATTCTAAACAAGAGTAAAAAAAAAGAAGATCACGAAAATCTTTGGTGTTCAGTAACAGGTTCCTACCATGAAAACTGTGCATTTCAAGTATCAACTACACTATATTTGTACAGAAATATTGAGAGAGAGAAGAATGATGTTATTGTTATTATTAGTGGGGCAAAGAATATAACATAGTTAGTACATCCGAGGAAACTGTTCCGATGAATGAGAAAAGAGAGGGAATGACCAAGAGGTGTCCAATAAATGTCTTACTGAAATATATAAACACTGGGCAGATATGTAGAGACGGAACTTAGTTTGTTCATGCAGGTATTTAATAAAATTATGTTTATGCAGCCAAAACTTTGGAGTCCAAAAGAGACAGTTTGTATAATACCGGTTCACTGATATAGAGCAATGCAAGGGTTGATATTGAAAGTGTTCTTAGCTGTCTGTGAATATATGTATGTGTATATATTTATATATCTCATCCTATAGCTGTCTCCCTGTGTGAAAGTGCAGGAGAGAATAAGTAGCTTTAGAAATGAAAACTGGAAAATTTTCAGGTTGTTTGTTCTTCTTCCTGTTTATTACCATCGGAAGAGGAAGAGTGAGTGAAAAAAAAACAGCTCAGCTCAGCTCAGCTCTGGGCAGTGTCTTTTTACTTAATCGCTAAGAAGAACAGAGAGACTTGAATCTTACCAAATAAAGGAATTATAAGAGTATTGAATTAGATATTATTACTGGGGGGGAAGGAAGCAAGAAAACAAATTATTGTATTTTTGTTATTGATTTGATCGCATCTCTCAGTATGAAACCTTCTTCATTGGAAGAGTTTTAAAGGGCCATCATAATCAATTATATATAGATTGGACTCTATACGAGCACTCAAGTAAGGGATTAAGATAGTAAAATTGAGATGATTTTAAGGGCTTCTTTCTTTATACGAGAACTTTCCCTTATTCTATTTAATTTTTAATCCTTAATTGAAAGTATATCCGATATTCAGTTCAACCAACCGTATGTACACTTGTAATACTAAAAACATTTACGGATATAACAGTTAAATAAAATATGATTTTCTTTTATAGATAGATATATTTGCAAAATAATGTATTATAAATCAGACAGATTCAAATAGTTATAGTATATAGATGGTATGGATGGATATATATATACATATATACTAACCCATTAACCACATTAATACACTTTGCCAAACAAATCCATATACGAATAAGAAATAGTTACATTTCTTGACAGTAGATTTCTTGACACTACCCATCTCATCATTTAAATTATTAAACAAGTTGAATTTAACAGATCTTAATAAGAATACACCAAATGCAATGAAAAGATACATCTTGCCAAGTATTGAAATCCATAATGGTTGCTGTGGAAAGAAAAGTGCTAAAGTTAATGGAACAAATTTATAACCAACGTAACAAATTAATTCTGTTATACTTGTCGTAGGAGATTTTGTATTGACCAATAAATAAAGTCCTAATTTTAAGATGAATAAATCTAAACCAACAAATGCTAAAATGGATGATAATTTATAGTAAAGATTTTCAGGATTGAATGAACCTTGTAGACCCTGTTGAGTATTCCAAATTAGAATATATGTCACTAGACCCATGATGGGTATATAAAGATCTGGAGAATTAATATCTTCTGTTGGTGGTAAGAATTTGGCACCATTACCGTTATTCGATTGAGAATTATTATCAATCATACGTTGCCAATTATTACTATTAGTGAAAGGAAACAAAATTTGTTTAATCTTGTTCAATACGTAAACAGTAGACACCTGGAAATAATGAGATAAAGATGATGAAGAACCCGTCATTTTATTAACATTTTCTTGGAATTGGTTAAAATTATCTTGTCCTATGAAATTATTAAATGCAGATTGACCAATTTGGAAAGCCATAGTATTACGAGGATCTTGGAATGGAAAACCTGGTTGCTGTTGTTGTTGTTGTTGCAGTGGTGGTTGGCCTGGTTGTTGTTGTTGTTGGGGGATCATATTTGGTTGACCGTTGAAATTATTGTTAAACCCATTAGATGCTCCACTGAAGGAGCCATGTTGTTGTTGTTGTTGTTGTTGTTGTTGTTGTTGTTGTTGATGTTGTTGGTTATTGTTCTTGTTATTGTTATTATTATTAGCAAATCGGTCAGTTACGACTTCATTTGAATTCCCTGTATAGGCATAAGGATTATATGACATAATTAGTGCACACTATTTCTTTGTATTGTGTTTTGATTCTAACTACAAACTTATTATTGCGAACTTTTGAATAATTATATCTTTATATATTTAATCTTAAAATATAATAAGAAATCTTGTCAAATTTGTTTCTAGGTAGGTGGCTGTTTGTATTGTCCCGTTGAGGTTGAACATTTTTTTCGCCTTTCCTCTCGCTTTTGCCTGATTTCTTCATATTTTTGGCTATTTTTGTATGATTTGAGTTTGGTTCATAGTCTTGATATATATATTCAGTGAGAGGTTTTTGAACAAGATATGACATTAATATATTGAAACAATAGCGTTGTTATATGATGCATTGGTTTATACGTGGATATATATATATTTATATGGATAGGTGATAGGTTATAGCATTTAATGTTTTCTCACAGTTATGTACCTGTGCTAAGGGTTATAGTCGCAGTCAATTTCACATATTGGTATTGTTATGAACATATTCTTGTAAGGTTAGCATGTTTATGATACAATTTTGGTACCTAATTGCGATATATATCATTAATTCCCTAATCCCTTCCTCGTCACTTTCTTGTTGCAGTCGTAGAAAGCGATTTTCATCTCTTGATTTCCCTAACGCGTCAATTATCTTACTTATAAATTATAAAATTGACGCGTATTGGTGAAGAAAAGATTTGCCGCACAGTTTCTAATTAACTGCTAGTATTACTTAATAAAAAGCAGTAATAATATATTGAAATCGACTTGTAAAGAACAAAATACCACTTGAAATTCATCACTTAGATTTGATTGTGTTTAATAATCATTGTAAATATAGACTAACATTAAATAACTATAGAAGGCAGTGTGTGCGAAAGAATAAATAAGAGGATCGACTAATATATATCCTGGACTATAAACATTGCTTAAAATTTGCAAAACCAATCATGTCCAGAAGATTTCAAGGTTCTACTTCAGCAAGGTATGTTAAGAATCAAGGCCCATCAAATATGGCGAACAGTTATGCCATGTCAGCACAACAGATGCTTAAATCAAATAAGACTGATGAGATTGATACAATGATGGGATTCGATAGATATACTGCTCCCCAATTTAGTGGGAGAATAGACATGAAGAAACTAGATCAAGTACCAGGACGTTTAGGTTGGTTGGTTAATATGCATCCTACAATGGTCAGTCAAGATTCTTCATCCTCATCTTCTTCGACATCTTCTGGGGGATTCAATAGTGTCTCTGGTGTTGATTTCTATTTCTTGGATGAAGAAGGTGGTAGTTTCAAATCAACAGTGGTCTATGATCCATATTTCTTTATTGCAATTTCAGACAGTACTAAGACTAACGATGTAGAAGAATTTTTGAAGAAATATCTCGAATCATGTCTGAAGAGTATAGAGGTTATTAGAAAAGAAGATTTAGCAATGGATAATCATTTATTAGGTTTACAAAAGACTTTAGTCAAATTATCATTTATAAATTCAAACCAATTATTTGAAGCAAGAAAGTTACTACGACCAATTTTGACAGAAAATAAAACAACTAATGAACAACGTAATATTTATAAAAATGCATATCAACAAAATTCGTTAAATAATGAAAAGATTTCAGCGGATGACGCAAAAAGATACATTGAAGATATAAGAGAGTATGATGTTCCATACCATGTACGTGTATCTATTGATAAAGATATTAGAGTAGGTAAATGGTATAAAGTTTGTTCAGAAGGATTAATAGAATATACAGAAAAAGTTGCATTTGCTGATCCCGTAGTGTTAGCATTCGATATCGAAACTACAAAGGCACCATTGAAATTTCCAGTTGCAGAAGTAGATCAAGTTATGATGATATCGTACATGATTGATGGTGAAGGTTACCTAATAACAAATAGAGAAGTCATTTCCGAAGATATAGAAGATTTTGAATATACCCCTAAACCTGAATATAAAGGTCTGTTCACTATTTTTAATGAATCGGATGAACTAGCATTATTAGAACGATTTTTTGAACACATTAGAGAGGTAAGGCCGACAGTTATCTCTACTTTTAACGGTGATTTCTTCGATTGGCCTTTTGTAGAGACAAGAGCAAAAATCAATGGGTTGAACATGTATGATGAAATTGGATTTGCACCAGATGCAGAAGGTGAATATAAATCGTCATACTGTTGCCATTTGGATTGTTTCCGTTGGGTGAAGCGTGATTCCTATCTTCCACAAGGTTCGCAAGGTTTGAAGGCTGTCACACAGGCTAAATTGGGTTATAATCCGATTGAATTAGATCCAGAATTAATGACTCCTTATGCATATGAGAAGCCCCAGGAGCTATCGGAATACTCTGTTTCCGATGCTGTTGCCACATACTATCTTTATATGAAATATGTGCATCCTTTCATCTTTTCGCTTTGTACTATTATTCCATTAAATCCCGATGAAGTTCTAAGAAAAGGTACGGGTACATTATGTGAGATGCTTCTTATGGTCCAGGCTTATAAAGGGAATATCATACTACCAAATAAACATACAGATCCATTAGAAAGATTCTATGATGGACATCTATTAGAGACTGAGACATATGTTGGTGGTCATGTAGAATCCCTAGAGGCAGGAGTTTTCAGAAGTGATATTAAGAGTTCTTTCAAGATCGACCCAACAGCAATCGATGAATTGCTCGAGGATTTACCTAATGCTCTGAAATTTTCCATCGAAACTGAGAGTCATGCCAAACTAGAAGATGTTACGAATTTCAATGAAATTAAAGATCAAATCACCGAAGAATTACTGAAATTAAAAGAAGAACCAAAAAGAGATGAATTTCCATTAATTTATCACGTTGATGTCGCATCTATGTATCCAAATATCATGGCAACTAATAGATTGCAACCGGATAGTATAAAGACAGAAAGAGATTGTGCTAGTTGTGACTTTAATAGACCAGGTAAGACGTGTGCCCGGAAACTAAAATGGGCGTGGAGAGGTGAATATTATCCAGCGAAGATGGATGAATACAATATGATAAAGAGAGCTTTACAAAATGAAACATTCCCTAACAAAAATAAATATTCCAAGAAACCATACCTGACATTCGATGAATTAAGTTATACAGATCAAGTTCAGCATATTAAGAAACGTCTAACAGAATACTCCAAGAAGGTGTATCACAGAACTAAAATTTCCGAAATTGTTGAAAGAGAAGCTATTGTCTGTCAACGTGAAAACCCATTTTATGTTAATACAGTTCGTTCTTTCCGTGATAGAAGATATGAATTTAAAGGTTTAGCAAAGACATGGAAGGGGAAGGTATCTTCAATTGATCCATCTGATCATCATGCAAAAGACGAAGCTAAGAAAATGGCGGTTCTATATGACTCTTTGCAATTGGCTCACAAAGTTATTTTAAATTCTTTCTATGGTTATGTGATGAGAAAGGGGTCTCGTTGGTATTCCATGGAAATGGCTGGTATTACATGTCTTACAGGTGCTACTATTATTCAGATGGCAAGAGCAATGGTTGAAAGATTAGGGAGACCGTTGGAACTAGATACAGATGGTATTTGGTGTATCTTACCAAAGTCCTTCCCAGAAAATTTTTTCTTTAAACTTGAAAATGGTAAGAAATTATATATGTCTTATCCATGTTCAATGCTTAATTACAAAGTTCACCAACAGTTTACTAATCATCAGTACCAAGAGTTAGTAGATCCAACAACTCATAAATATAAAACTCATAGTGAGAATTCTATTTTTTTCGAAGTTGATGGTCCTTATAAGGCCATGATATTACCGACTTCAAAAGAGGAAGGTAAAGGTATTAAAAAAAGATATGCTGTTTTTAATAACGATGGATCTTTAGCAGAACTGAAGGGGTTTGAATTGAAGAGACGTGGTGAATTACAACTTATTAAGAATTTCCAAAGTGATATTTTCAATGTTTTCTTAGAGGGTGATTCTCTGGAAACATGTTACAAAGCTGTAGCAGACGTCGCAAATAGATGGCTAGATGTATTAGATACTAAAGGTTCCATGATTGAGGATGAGGATCTTATCGGATTAATTTGTGAAAATAGAAGTATGTCAAAAACTCTAAAAGAATATGAAGGACAAAAATCGACATCCATTACTACTGCTAAAAGATTGGGTCAATTTTTAGGTGAAGATATGGTTAAAGATAAAGGTTTACAATGTAAATATATTATCAGTAACAAACCCCACGGTGCTCCAGTTACCGAACGTGCCATTCCAGTTGCTATATTTTCTTCTGATTTGCCTATTAAAAGATCCTTCCTAAGGCGTTGGACTGCAGATCCTACGTTAGAAAATTTTGATATTAGAAGTATTATTGACTGGGATTATTATAGAGAAAGACTTGGTTCTACTATCCAAAAAATTATCACAATGCCAGCTGCTTTACAAGATATTAAAAATCCTGTTCCAAGAGTCGAACATCCGGAATGGCTAAGAAAGAAGATATTAATGAAAGAAGATAAGTTTCAGCAAACATCTATAAACAGATTCTTTTCCAAGACTGATAATAAACCAGGGATGAGAAAGGTTCAGGATATTGAAGATTTATTTAGACCTGATGAACAAACTGAGGATGCTATGGGAAAAAATGCAAAATTTGCAAAATCGAAGGCAGTGAAACGTGGTGGTAAACGTAAAAGAGGTGACAAAAATAATACTGAGGAAACTTTGATTCTTCCTAAGGAAATTCCATCCATGGAAGATGACTATGCTGCTTGGTTAGAATATTCCAAGATTAAATGGAAACTGCAAGATAGAGATAGAAAGCGGAGAACTCAGTTATTTGGTACAGCGAGTAGACCAGCGGAGAGATCATTATTAGGAAATGTTATGAGAAAGCAAGCTGAAACATATGCTAATTCTACTTGGGAAGTTATCCAATATAGACCCACAAATGAGCCTGGTGTCTTAGATGTATTTGTGTCAATCAATGGTAAGATACAAATTTTGAAATTCAATATCACTAAGACCATATATGTCAAGTTCAAGACGGATACTATGCCATTATCTAAAATTAAGCACTGCCAAAGTGAGAAGGTTAATGGTACATTACCAAATATACCTGGGTTATCTAATTCAAACACCAACAATTTGTTTAAATTAACCCTACCAGAGTCCGTTTATTTGGATGAAATTGAAGATAGAACTAGTATTCTTAATGACGAAAATGTGTTAGGGATATTTGAAAGTACAATACCTTCAATGCAGCGAGCAATTATGGAATTAGGATCGGCAGTTTCATTTAGTTCCAATGCAATGGGTTCACTTGGTCGTGGGTTACAAACTGGTTTCGATATTAAAAGTTTAACTATGTCAAACAATAATAAATATTTGTTAAAATACCAAGGTGATATATCCTATGTTCTACACTTTACTACAAATATTGGCTATGAAGTTTTTGTAGTATTCCGATCCTGGAATCCAACCATTAATGTGTTGGTTTTAAAACCCTCCTCTCATGCACAGGATATCAGTGAATCAGTCATTAGCACTACATTCAAGAAATCTTTTCAAAAAAGAATGGAAAACGCAAAAGCATTTTCAAGATATGGTAATATTGATAAGGATTCTGTTTTTAGTACAGAGCATTTCTCTGATTATCCAAAGTTGATGAGAAAATTAAGTTCGGAATTGGCCAAGATTAGGGAAGAAAAGGGACAACAATTTCTAATACTATTACAATCACCTTACGTCAGTAAAATTGTTAATTCTACAAAATACTTTAAGAATCTTCCAATAATTGAGTGGTCTTCCAATGAAACAACACTTCCCCAACTAAATTGGCAAAATATATTTATCACTAAAATAATGAAACAGTTATTATTTAGTGGGTCATGGTTAGACGATATGATTACAGTTTCCCAATACAGTAATATTCCTCTAGGTAATTTACAATTGGAGAATATGAGCTACGTTATTGACGTTATGTATGCAAGAAGATTGAAAAATGAAAATATCGTCCTATGGTGGAATGAAAATGGTCCATTGCCTGACCATGCCGGTATTCAAAAGGATTATGATCCAACGACTTCATGGATAATGAATGGACTTTCTTTCCCTGAAATCAATATTCCAAATGTATATGATAAAGCTGTTTTAGAAGTTAATGTCAATAATTTAATTGTAAACACCATTCTAGGTTCGGCCTTAATTAATGAAGCAGAAGGGAGCGATCTTGCAGGTGGCGGCACTATGAGCTCAATAGACCTTGGTTTCGATAACTCTGAGGGTGCCTTTATCCAAGACTCGTTTAATGAGAATGCTTTGAACGTCCTGAAAGGGATGCTGAAGGACTGGTGGGATCTTGCATTAACTGGGAATCAAACAGCCGATTTGCTGGTGAATATGTTTATCAACTGGATTCAAAGCCCAAGTTCGAAATTATTTGATGGATACCTAAGATACCATATTCATAATTTGACAAAAAAGTCAATGTTTCAACTAATTAATGAATTTAATGGACTTGGATCAAAGGTTTTCTATGCAGATGTCAACAAGCTAATGGTACAGGTTAACAAGTATACACCAGAAACATGTTATGCCTATAGTCAGTATATCTTAAAAGCCATTAAAACTAATCCGATGTTTAAATATGTCGATTTGAAGATCGAAAGATATTGGAATATTTTAATTTGGATGGACAAATGGAACTTTAGCGGTATTGCATGCGACGAAATTATTGATTCTGATAATCAAAATTATGAAGCATATTCGCAATGGCAAATGAAGATAACATTACCTATTATATTCCAATCAGAGTTTGATGACTGGATGGTGATTATTTTGGATAGTATGCTGAAGTCCAAAAGTCAGTACTTAGAAAAGACCATAGGTACCCAACGAGTAACGCAATTGCAATTACCATCGACTAATACTCTCAACGAGGAACCTGAATCGATCATAGCGAATTTCACCCAAATATTCTCTAATTCATTGATTAAAAGAATTAAAAAATTATTTCGTAACCAACAAGAATTTATCTTGGATCCGCAATATGAAGAAGATTACAAATTCCCAGATCATCCGGGTGCTCACTTAGATTTGAAGAACCCTCTTCTAGAGCTGGTTAAATATATATGCCATGCTATGATGTTATCAAGTGATACAATTATTGAGGTTCGTCGACTAAGAAAGGATTTGTTGCACATTTTTGAGATTAAAGAATTTGCCAAAGAAGCAAATTTCAATAATCCTAGTACAAGCTTAACAATCGAAGGACATTTATGCGAACATTGTTCTTACATTACCAACATTGATTTTTGTAAGGATGACCCTACGACTATCTTCGCCTGTACCAACTGTCTGAACAAGTTTGATAAGTTACTATTACAGGAAGATTTAATACAGAAATTATGTTCCTCGATCGAATTGTTTTACAATCAAGATTTGAGGTGTGCAAAATGTCATAAGATAAAGGAAGATTATATGAGTGCACATTGTAATTGTTCAGGTAAATGGGAGACCACTATTTCCGGTAGTGAAGTATCGAAGAATATACAAATTTTTAGACAGGTGTCTACATTTTATGAGTTCACATTGTTGCAAGGAGCAATTGGCCAATTTTGTACTTCATAAACTGAATGCAAATTTTAAGTTTTATAGAGATATGTTATATATATATAATTCAATACAAACTTTTTTCATGTTTAAAGAGGATATTCGAGTTATTGATAACCAAATATATCAACTGGAGGATGTTCAGCGTTCGAAGTTTTTATATTATTCAATGACAATGATATAAACTCTCCTCTAAATCGGGTTAGATGTAGATTACCATGATGGATAAACGGTTGTTGTTTTTGTTAATACTACTTCGACTAGTACAAAAAATGCTATTAATGACTTGATTGGTCTACCATGCTTGAGCTTGATCTTGAGTTGTCTTTGCTTCCGTGACATCTTCGTCTTCAACAAAACCTTGCACTTCACCTGCAACGATTCTTGATATTTCTTCAATTACTTCAAATGTAAATGGTTCTCTTTTTTCCTTTTTCATTATTCTTTGGAAAGTAATCATAATGGTTCTGAATCTATTTTTGAGCTTTATCATAATCTTACCTAATTCTTCTACATTTTCATCATCGTTGGTCATTTCAACTTGGCTGATAAGTGTACGAATACTTTGAACATTTTTACTTAATGCAGAACTGTTTAAATCAAAAGAATCTAATACATCGCATATACCAATCATTTGGCCCAATAAAACATATCTTTGGAATCCAACCTGTAAACCAAATTGTTTCCCTTCCAGGAAGTTATTCTTCAAATTTTCATTTTGGCCTTCAGCATAACCTTCTTTATAAAATTCTTCCTCCAAATTTAATAACTCATCAAATTCATCCATTGTCCACTAATGTAGTAGTTGTATTATTGTTGTATTGGTTTACTGTATGTAGTCTTTCGTTATATTAGTTAATCTATAGATCTACGTTTCCTGGACTTTTTCATTGAGGGAGCTCATCGAATAAATATTTCGGCTTATTAAGCAAAACAAATTACTATGAGATTTTTATTAAGCCATTTTAACTCACTTTGAACAAAAACGAATACAACAAATTTGAATCTAGTTAAACAAAATATTCAAATTAACAGAGTAATTTCAAAGTATTGTAAAAACTTTCGAAAGTATAGATATTTTTATATACGATATATCATTGGTTTGAGAATATTTAGAACTTTTGAATTTATTAGCGGTTATTTACTTTAAAATTGAGAGGAAATTTATAGTGTATCAACTATAAAGTTCAAACCATATAAAGTTTGCAGCGAGATTTCTTCCTCCTGGTATGAAGTTACATTATATGGTTTTTCCTGATTTAACTTCTTTACCCGTCTTCTTGATCTTCTCGAGCACCACATCATATGGAAGAACCGAATCGATATCTACAGTTTGCTTCTCTAATGAGATATTAATGTTAGAAACATCTGGTTCTAATCTACTGAGGGCCTTTTGAACTGCATTGGAACAGCCAGAGCAGGTCATAACAACTTCAAATTGGTAATGTTGCGCGGAGTTTGACATATATTTCAGTGTTTGTAGAATTGAGATTTTCGTTTTTAAGAAACTTTAAATGAAGCAATTATTATCACTACTTGAAGAATATCTTAAGTAAGGTAATTATGTATATATGTAGGTGTATGTTTGTTCAAAAACAGAAATATGTCATTCACCAAATTTCAGGGTGCTCTTTCGATATGTCCCCTTTTAATTATGGTTGCTGCGGTTATTTTTCTTTGTGAGCAAAAATTAATTGAACTTTTTTTACAGGCTTAGGTTTGATTTCTCTTCTGGAGGGAAGCGCTTGTCAAATGTTGATTGATTCTGAGAAATAATACACTAAACAATAAAAATAATTATATAATAAATTATATATATTTCGATATTTTATGCATAATTGGACTTCACTTATCATCCAGAGCAGCTTGCCTAATCTCATAAATGTCAGTAATAGCATCCTTTCTAATAGGCGTATCAGCAAAGAGTAGTTTAACCCATTGAATGATCTCCTCAGTACTAAATAAGTAAAAATCACCATTGTAGAACATATCCATAATTTCATTTAGATGAAGCGGTAAAAATCTACCCACCATTTCAAATTTGGCCCTATATTCTCTATACTGTGGTGAACCATTTAATGATTCAATTTCACTATTACCCGAAATCAAAGAGATTAATCTTCCTAGATTTTCTGAATTCTTTTCAGAGATTACCTCCCACTTAAGTATCACACTTGTTATAGAGCTATTGTATAAGAAATCTAAAAAGCGTAATAATTCAACTTCCGATTCCTTACCCCTAATGTTTGATAATGGTGTTATTATTTCTTTATGAACAAATGGCAGTAAATCTTCTAAGGTCATTTTCCATGATGGTACATTCTCTCTTTCATGAAATTCTAATAATTGATCTTGTACTAATTTCCAAACTCTTTTTTGTCTTAATAATCGGTTACTCTCAAGATATCTTTGAGCAAGCTCTTGAATTCTATAGTTAGTGTTATCTTTTTGCCATATCTCTCTCATATCAATATAAAATTTCCACCATTCGTCAGTACAATGAGCTACCGCCATAGCGAAGAAGGTAGTTTGCAGTAAACTAGTTTTATAGTTTAAATATGGGTTACCAGTCAGATCATCTTCTAAACTTTGGCATTCACAGCGAAAGTGTTTAGCAATATCCAAATATATTGTTGGAAGTTGTGTCACATCGATCAAATCTGATGACGAAATATTAGTATTATCGGATTCTGTAACATGATTTTTCACCTCTGTGCTTGAATTATTATGATCCCTCTTAGCAATGACATTTTCACTGCCGACTTGGTCATCATCATCGTCCTCTTCACCAATATCCCACGCTTCATCCCAACCATCATCTTCATGTACTTCCTTCTCAGTTTGCTTTTTGGGAGATTCTATTGTTGACTTATTTGTAAATTTCTTCGGACTTTGTAAATCCATATCAATATCTATCTCGTCATTCCAGGCATCGGCAATATCATCTTCATTATCTTCAGTGTCAACCTTTGGCGTTTCTTCAACGATGTTTTCGTGATCAGACTTAGCATCTGCATCCCAATTCCAATCATTATCCTCATTATTTTCTTCGATTGGTAAACTGGAAGATAATGATGCTTCCTTTGTTTGATTATTAATATGTGACAATAATTGCACTTTCGAAGTAGTTTTCCATTTATCGTCTTTATCATCGAATGTTGCTCTTATGTCGTTTACTGCTCTGTTGTAAATTTCATCAACTAATAAATTAATATAAAGTTGCCTATCCTGCAATAAATCTTTAATTGTTTGTGAATGATAACTCCAAGCCTCATTTGATTTAGAAGATAATGTATCATATAAGTCATTTATATTGGAAACACGCCCCTTTAAATCCTTATTATTATGACCAATAATTTCGCCTGCGTTACTTTTTACACATTTAGATAGTTCATTTCCCAACACATTTCCTATGCTTTTTAATAATACAGGTAGTGAACTTTGTGGAACCGTATTTAAAGAGAAATCACCCAAAGCTTGGAAACAGTCCAATAACATCGAAACTGTTGGCTTCGGTTCCGAAACGATAAACTTAATGGTGTCCTCTTCTTCATTGTACTTAATTAATGTATTCTTAGAAAATATCTTATCTTTTATTAAATTTATCACAGAATTCAAAAGAATGTAATTTTTAAGCATGTCTACAATCTTAGTTTGAACGGTATCCCTAGCATTACCAAATTCCATATCATCAATAATCCAGAGATGGGGATCCAAGGTATCACCTGGGTAGAACAACTGTTTTAGAAAGTCTAGTAAAGTATTATGTTGTAATAAGAAGTGATCATTCCCCCATTCAATTTTTGATCTAAATCTAATGCTGTCATCTGTAACAGTCCAAAATCCTTTATCAAATATATCATATATAGTATTGACAAACTCTACGTGTAATGAATCCACGTACGTAACTACCGATTTTTGGAAATGGAAACTTTGTTTAATAAAAACTTCATTATTTTCATTAAGTTTTTTTCTTAAATTTTGTAGAGAATAGTAACAGTTTTCCAATTCTAGTAGATCAAGGTTGGTATTAAACTCTTTGATCAATGACGATAAAACTTTTAAATTTTTCAAATCATGTAATTGTGAACATAATTGCGATTCTGTCTCTAGAATATGGTTGACATCCAAATTCGATGAATTCGTGTCAATATCGTCCTTTGTAAAGATGGGGTCATTAGCTATTGAGGCTATAATTCGATCCTCTTCAATAATATTTGAATATATCATAAGATGATGCGACGTAGGCTACTGTTTATTTATTTATACAAATATGTCTTCATATATATTTTACTATAGGAATAAATGTATTCTTTATTTGATCACCTTTGATATATATATCAATAATAAGCGATTGAACAGATTTTAACTTGTTAGTTTTTCAGTAAAACAGTTTTCCCATACAAAAAAAAAGAAGGCAGACATAAACTGTTCAATATAACAGTAGAAAGAATAAACTTAAACTGAACACATAAACTGAATGAAAATTAGTTCTTCAGATGTCTACATCTAATTCTAAAACATCTTTTAAATATATATAAACGGAACTACATAAATACTGATTACTGCATTTAATTAGATTAGCCTCAATGGAAAAAAAATTACTTCAAGGGAAACAATGAAAGTCAAATAGAAAAGCATAAATGTTGAATCAGTTATTTGATGAATGTTGGAAAACGAAAAGTTATCGATCATTATAATCTGAGTGAGCTGAGAAAATTATCATCATAAACATATTATGCTTTCCACAATGACTTCCATTACTGCAAGCTTTGCAGAAATATTCACATGTAGTCTTACATGTGCAATACACACTAACAAAAATTGCAAAAGGCGGTCCGAACTAAGAGCCGACGAATATATATATGAATATCCACATACATATTATTGTCTCAATGGACTGCTACATTGAGACAATATTACAGAAAACAGAACATGAAGAAGTATTGCCAATATCATAAAAGAATAACCAACTTTCTCTGCTTTTTATATCAAAAAAACTGAAAAATTGTTTTTGTCTTTTGGAAACCGCGAAAATTTTTCATTTTGCTGGCATATCGCTTCAGACAATTCTCTGTACAACGAGATACGAAACTGTAAGTGTTATTGAAAAAGATTAGTTAGGGTTTCCAAAGTAACTCTGAACTAGATACCCATCATAGGAAATAAATCAATTACAACTCGAATTTGTCACAGAAATATATATCTGTCTCTATATATTTATATATAGGTATGCATTTTTATAAACAGTGTTTAGTTCAACAGGTTATTATAGAAGTAATTGTGTTAATCTTTCCAACTCAGAAGAACAGGATATACAATACTCTTGTAAGTTAGTGTCATTTTCAAATACGCCAGGTAGTTCATGCTTGGCGACATTACAACTGTCCAATTCCTTCAATAGGAATTCTCTATAATTTCCTTGTACGACCTCTCTTTCCATACTTTGTAATATCTTTAATTCTACTAGAAGTTGATTTCTTCTTACAGCAAGGTCTGTTCTTGTCTCTTGGAAGGAATGATCCTTCGAGGATATATCCTCGTTAAATTTCAAATAAACAGGATTATCTAGCTCAGTGGCTAGGTTACTTGTTAAAATATCCAAGTCATTGATGGAAATGGCCTTACTTGTCGGTTTAGTTGCTTCTTTATTATTATTATTTTTCTCTGCGAAATTTTGAAATGTCCTTTCTGCCCTCTTGACTGTCCAATAAGATACAGTAGATCTCCCACTTAAAAATAAGTTTGTAATAATGGATAATAGCAATATACCTAATAGGATTCTATTAATATTAGAGAAAGCTCTACATGTAACAATCACCATCCCAAATACAAATCTTATTAATAATAATAAAAGGTTTGCACAACGGTAAAATATAATCTTAATGAAAACTCTAACCAATATAAACAATGAATAATTTACCATATTATGATCTGCGATTTCTTTTTCATTGACTGTACCAAATTTACTTGTTATATTATCATGAGATTCATCTTTCCCATTAAAATTTAATCCATTGGCAGGCGATTCTTTCTCTTCCATTATCGAATCTTTTGTAATGCCTAATAACCCACATAACTTAATTGTCTTTATTATCTTACCATGCTTACCAATCCTTTCTAAATAATATCTAATGATTCTTCTAAATAACATAAATTCAGTAGCAGTAAATGTTATGGTCCAATGTTTTAACAATTTTTCTAATGGATTGATCTTAGTTACTATACTTTCTGTCTCTGAATCAATATAATCGACTTTGTAGAATAAATTCAACATAGACCCGGCAGTTGGCATTTGCAATTTACTTGCGACATGATTCTCAGGATCATATTGTTCCAAAATAATTATCTTCATTTTAATTCTTAGAGGATGACAGAATGGTAATTTAATAAATATAGGTTCCTGATCCACTTCATAATATTTATTTTCTACCATCTTAACAATCCTTTGCCTTAAAGATACCACATGATCAGAATTCTTTTCTTTAAGACCCATCTTTCCATTAAATATGTTATGTGTTGTGTTTAACTGGAAACTAATCTTACGAACCAATGAAACATCTCCATTAGCAGACGTCTCTTTGTTCCAATACGTATTACTTTCCATTTTAGAGTTGTTATATGCAAGGAAAAGACATCTTGGGAAAGCATTAGATTGATCACCAAACAAAATATGCATCAAACCTTTGCTAGGAATATCATAATCATGTCTATACATTACACTGTATGATGTTTGAATTGCTTTTCTACGTTCTAGGATCTTTTCAGCAGATTCACCCATACTCCAAAAGGATGAATTATTGACCAGACGACTAGCCATTTCAGTTTCACCATGTTCTGTTTCTTTTTGTAATTGTTTTTGTTTTTCTTTGTCCATAGCTTGGGATAGATCAGCATTCAACATGTCATCGATTTTTTTCTGCTCTTTAATAACATTATCTAGTACATGTTTCTCTTGATATTCTGCATCAATGTCCTTGAATTTGGTCAAGAGTGCCTCCTGTGATTTAATCGATTTTTCGGCATTATTTACTACCAATGTTTGCAATTTCGCAGCCACTGCTCTACAATCATCAAATACAACGTGTATTTTATATTGTAAACCATTGGCATTATAAACAATCAACCGATTAGGACTGCTCTTATCAATTTCAATTGATACGATTTTCTCAAAATCTAATCTTACCAAACATATAAAGCCCATGGTATTCATATATGCAAACACATAATCTACAGTCACATAACATATAGCCGAGAATCTTTGTTTTGAGTTTGGATACCAAAATGAATTAAACTTAAATAAGGCGTATTGCTCATTTTTGCATACGGATTGACTATTCACAGCGAAAAAGACACTTTTAAATTGAAGATCTGTGACCCTCATCTCTTTAGTAAAATAATGTGGATATTTCACAGGAGAGCCCATGGTTAATGACTTCGGTAATCCTGAATCATTCATGGAATCCTGATTTGCATTATTAAACAATGCATATTCAGTCCAATTAGTTGAACCCCAAATATTAGCTAGGATGGCGTTAGGGAACCAACTACCATTAGAACAATAATTCGAAAGAATAGCTAATTGAGACATCTTGGTTGCAATAGGTGTAATATCCATATGAAATTCATAAGGTTTATCATCACCCAATGTTAAGTTCTCATATTCAGAGAAAGCTCCATTAAGATTAGAAAGCAATGATTTTGTTGTATTATCAAATGTCGTAATCAATTGATCGACTGAGGTTGTTGTACTAGAAGCAAACTCGAAGAATCTAGGTGAAAACCTTTTAAAAGCCAATTCATGTTCATTAGTTCCCTCTTCTAGAGTATCAATATATTTCCTTCCCAAACTGAATGCATTTAACCATGATTTCAGTTCTTTTAGACTATCAGCTTGAAGGACAACAGATAAAGTCTTGTATGATGTATTAGAATTCGTCTTTGTGGAACTCCCATTAAAAACTTTCAATTCAAAACAAAATTTCCTATCTTCTTCCATATCATATCTTGTTGAGGTTAAACAAATACCAAATTTATCTGTCTCTTCCACATATATCTTCGAGGGGGCTAATAAAAACATCCCAAACACACCATTCTGTAAGAAACACCATCTACGTACCCATATGGTTCTAGGTGGTTTCCCCACTGTAGTTTTCATAAATAGCCATCCATTCTTTTCTTGTGATTTTAATGGTGTAGTTGGTATTTTTGGAGTTAAGGTTACAGAATTAATACTCTTCACATTATAATCATCCAAGTTTTGCGATGGTTGTATTTGATGAATTGCATATTCATAGATCAATTTTTTTGCATGATGAATATCTGGTTCTAAAGTTTTTGCTGCAGCTAATGCATTTTCTACCCAACATAAATAATCTTCAAAATAATCATCAACTTGAGGACATAAATCTATTGATCTACCTGATTCCTTAAATCGAAACATATTATTAGTCCTCAGAATAGCCATTGAGTCTGCCAAATATTTATCAAAACTTAATTTTAAGTATGACATTGATTCAACAAGGTCTAAAGATGCCACTAAATAACTTTTTCTAACTTCAAACAGTTGTATAGCCTCTCGTTTGATTACATTTGGTTCCAAGTTTGTATTTGAGACTTTAATAGCTAGATAATTTTCTGTCATTTCGTCATATTTACTTTGATAATATTCAAATGTCTTTCTAGAATTCTTATAAGGTTCCATAGCATCTGTCATGAAATCTAATAATGCCACTGAATGTGTATTACCTTCGCTTATCATGATTTTCATTAATTTATCAGAGAATGCTTTGTAATCCTTGTTAAAATCAGCTATCAAAGCAGGTGTAATTGATTGATTAGCTACCATACCATTACTTAGCATAACTGGAGATGGGAACAATTGAGACATCATAATTTCTTTCGTTCTTTGAAAATCTTCAAAAGATGCTCTATACTTATGATCAAAAAAATCCATTGTCTTTTGTAATCTGTCTTCAAAGATCTCTATTCTAGTTTGAAAGAAGTTGACAGATGCACGAAATGATGGGGAATCTAGGGATGCTTCTTTGAATGATACCGAGATCAATTTGAGCTGTCTTTTTCGACTAACCTCATCATCAACGCTATGAACCATATTTGGCTAGGTTATTCAATTACTAATAATAAAATTGTGACGAGCAATTGGTGTCACTACAATTAGCAAAAAAAAAAAAGTCAATTAGTTAAAATATATGATACTTTTCTTATTAAAAGTAAGCCAAAATCAATGGTTCTATAGGGGGGGGGAGGGTATTAAATAAAACGAACAACTGAAAGGAAACCAATAGCTGCTTAAAGGTTATAGAGATACGACACAAATCTTTTTAAAACAATTCAAATATTTAATATATCAAAAGACTAAAAAAGTTATATAATACCCTTTTCTACGTATTTTCCAAATGGGTATTTGTTATGTCATCATCGATCCATTATAGTATTTACTTTTATTTACCTAATATTATATATTTGTTAGACTTGTTAAGCCTAGATACAGATAGATCCTAACCCGAGAGCCCGCGGTACGTTTGAATTTTTCTTTCAAATATTAACAAATCTGCGAAATTCGAAACAATTTTTTGGTAAATTTTCAGCCAAAGTGAAGCATAGCAACCATATATACAGGGAAAAGATGTACTAAGTTTAGATGTAACGCAATTACTGCATTATATTATTTACATTTATGATTAGTGCTATGGAGCACTAAGTATTTGAAGCTTATTGTGTTAGGTCTCTTGATGATTCATAAAGATTTAAGAAATTCTCTATCATACAATTGATTCAAATACGAGAATATTATCATATATTATATAATTACGACGTCTCTGAACTGAAATGAAATATTTCTTATAACTGCAATATTATCATCTATTGGCTCAACGGACTAGTAAACATGACACTATGTCCGCGGATATAAAATCAGTTAAGGATATAATTCAATCTGCACATCTTGGTATTTGAGTTACCTCAAAGTACGTGAACTTCTCCCGTATACATTGAGATTGATTACTTACAGCTTGCCATAAGTACTAAAAACTGTGTAAAAAAACATACAGCAAACTCATCGGGCAACGGAAATATTGCACAACACCATATATTAAGAAACATGTACGGGAAATGATGGGCCTTGCGATGACTTTCAGTGAAAAATTATACACAAACAGAGTAACATATTATTATTACATAACAGATTTATACTTATATAATCTGTCAATCAGAGTAAAGAATAATTATGCATCTGAAATTTTCATAATTGCATTACATTACATCACATATATATATTAAACTATTATCTTCTAGTTGCTTTTTTCTTATTGTCACTTTACTACGTTCCATTATATCTATGATAGTGAAACGACTACTGACCAGCATGGCTGCTAAGAGTAATATGGGAATGGATCAGATTCATATCAATAATCTGGCATTACAGACAATTTGTGGACCTGATCTATGGACTAGAGTCGCACCTCAACATTGTAAAATATCGCTGACGATCAATACTGATTTCGCTAAATGTTCTGCTACAGATGATTTAAAATATTCATTAAATTATGCTGTATTATGTAGAGACATTACAAATCATGTTGACTCAAAGAAGAATTGGGGTCACATTGACACATTATCTAAATCCATCTTTAACTTTATTAGTGAGAAATATCAACAAAGTATTGATTCAATGAAAGTGACATTAAAAAATGAAGATTGTCATTTAAGAACAAAGAACATTGAAAGTGTTATACAGAGTAATAATGTAGAGATATTGAATATTAGAAACTTGGAATTATTTGCCATCATTGGTATTTTCAATTTTGAAAGATTACAACGTCAAAAAGTTTCATTAGATCTATCGATCAAGAATAAAACTCTTAATGCAGAACAATCATTGAATATTCGACCAATTATTGATGACGTTGTAACATATGTCGAACAATCCGATTTTAAAACAGTAGAAGCGTTGATCGAATCAGTTGCAAAAGTAATACATCAAACTATGGAGACAGATATAATTATGTCCCATTCCGAATTAATAGATATCGCTGTTAAAGTGACTAAATTGAGTGCAATAACTGATACGGAAGGTGTTGGTGTGAGCTGTGTACGTAGTGCAGAACAATTGAAAATACTAGAACCGATTGATATATTACATAATAACACAAGGGGAGAGACGTTATTATATAACAATTCACAGAATAAGGAAAATGTAGACATTCAAACAATTAACAATGGAAATTGGGCAAAAGCATATTTAGCATTTGGATCAAATATAGGGAATAGAATGGATTATATTAGACAGGCCTTGGAATTGTTGAAAAATGCACCGGGAATTAAGTTCACTGCTGTATCATCTGTGTTTGAAAGTGAACCTATGTACTTCACAGAACAAGATCAATTTTTAAATGGTTGTATCGAGGTGTCGACAAGTTTAACACCTGCTGATCTATTGAAACTTTGTAAGAAAATAGAATACCTGGAATTAAAGAGAACGAAAGATTTTGAGAATGGCCCAAGATCCATTGATCTAGATATCATATTATATTACGATGCAGAAGGTAATGCTGTGCAGATCAATGCCACTGATTTAGTTATACCTCATCCACGGATGTTAGAAAGAACGTTTGTATTAGAACCCCTATGCGAATTACTACCTCCTAATGTAACTCATCCATTGACTATCGAACCATTAGTTGACCACTTACAACAGATATACGATTTAAACAAACCCGAAGATGTATTATGGAAAGTCATTCCCTTGAATAATAGTGCCAAACAATCGAAGATAGATAGATTTCTAAAATTTAAGAGTGTCTTGAAACGTGCTGAACTTACACAGACAGATAATCGTGTTACAGTTTCTCCAACTTATGTTATGGCAATCATGAATACGACTCCAGATTCCTTTTCTGATGGTTCTCGAAATTATGCCGATATAGAAGGTCAATTATCAAAAGTCAAAGACATATGTGATGATGTGTTGAAACATTATGAAAATGTCATTATCGATATCGGTGGCTGTTCTACTAGACCAAATTCTAAGCAAGCTACAGAAGAGGAAGAACTCAAGCGTACCATCCCATTGATTGAATTGATAAGAGATTCCAAAGATTTACCTCAGGACAAAATCATATTATCTATTGATACGTATCGTTCCATAGTTGCTGAGAAAGCAATCAAGGCTGGTGTGAATATAATTAATGATATATCTGGAGGAAGTTTTGATAATGAAATGTTTAATACTGTGGCTAAACACCCTAATGTCGCTTATGTACTTTCTCATATTCGTGGTGATATTTCATCAATGACTCAAAACGCCCAATATAACACGAAAGATGAATATATTCCACCAAACAGTATTGATTACATTGATAACAATGAATGCGATGCTTCAAATAAATATATGAATCTAACCAGGATCATTGGATATGAGATGAGTGAACGATACTCCAAGGCCTTAGAAGCTGGCATACAACGTTGGCAAATAATTTTAGACCCAGGTCTTGGATTTGCTAAAAATTTGAAAGAAAATATAGATGTCATTAAACAATTGCCATTGCTGAAAAATTATTCTGTTTATAATGATAAATCAGCTTTGTATGTGAATTTTAGGAATCTTCCAGTGTTGTTGGGACCATCCCGTAAAAAATTTATTGGTACAATAACTCAAGATGAGAATCCAATTGATAGAGACTTCGCTACAGGTTCTTTAGTTGCTGTAAGTATTGGTTATGGTACGGATATCATTAGGGTGCACAATGCCAAGGAATGTAGCAAATCTGCGATTCTTGCTGATACTATATATAAACGTATATAGAAAAAGTTGAATATATCAGAAAACTCCAGAAAAATACTCGATAAAAACTCTTTAAATTACATATAAAAATATACATATATCTATATATGTACAATAAGGAAAGATAACACATAAATGAAGAAAAGAACGATAATCAGTAATTAACTTCTAACATGTTAGTTTAATCCATCTTAATAAATACATTTGTGAAATATTACATTTTAAAAAACTTCAGAATGTCTCTCTATTAGATAGATACTTTCTAAACAACATATAAATAAAGAGACATATGAAAAGCAATAAGGAAATAACATAGTATTAGAAAATAAAATAAAATAAAAAATTGAGACTTTGAATATATCTATTTACAATTAATCATTTCAAACTATTTAATTTAGTTTGGACAGTCCTTGGAGATGTGACCAGTTTGGTTACAGTTGTAACACAAAGCTTCGTTGGAACAATCCTTAGCCAAATGACCAGATTCACCACACTTGTAACACTTGGACTCAGAACCTCTACAATCTCTAGCCATATGGTTTGGACCACCACACTTGTAACAAGTCATTTTAGAGTTACCACCTCTACCACCTTCTCTTGGCTTTCTTGGTTCTGGACAGTCCTTGGAAATGTGACCAGTTCCGTTACAGTTGTAACAACGTTGAACGGTACATTCACTTTTGACATGACCGGTTTCACCACAGTTGTAACATTGTTTGTTATCTAGACTCTTTGGTTCGGTACATTCAGTTTGTAGATGACCTGGCTTACCACAATTGTAACATAGTCTTTCGGATTCACAGTTTTCAGCAAGGTGGCCAAGTTTACCACACACGTAACAAGCTTTTTGAGACATCTTCTTATATAATCTGTTTTGGGTTGTATTTGAACAGAATGTAATAGTTAGTTAATATATATATATATATTTACAAACAGTACAATACAAGTTTAATTATTCTTTAATTGCTGTTAAAAATGCATATTCATCGTTCGTTCCTGATAGTGGACCGTAACACAGAGCGTTACATACAACGGTTTACACCAGTGCTCTCAGTTCTCTGTTAGTTTCCCTCATCCAAGCATTGCCACCAGTTGCTTATTGGAATATTAAATTTTCACTTTTTCCTTCTCTGTTGTTCAAAGTTATTTCTTCAGCGTGAGAAAGAAAATGACGGCGAAAAATTTATTTCATATCGAGAGGATTCTTTTTCGACCATAATTGAACTGGTTCGTGGCTGGTGATGTATCGTGATGCATCGTGTTGTACGATGTGGGGAAGATATTACATTGGTCAAAAGTATACTGAATCTTGACTCAAGTGATAACGAAGGTATGCTATAATTAGTTCTATCATTTTAGTTATATGTATCCGTTTATTCTGAAGCGTATTTACAACTAGTGTGGGTTAATGCAAGGGGAGTCAATATTGATCCTTCTTCTTACTACATTAATTGATTCAATCTAGTTCAACATCGGCAACCTGTAAACCGAATTCTTTTGTCTTTTGAAACAGTTCAAATACTCTTTCCTTCACGTCTTCTTCATATTCGTCTTCCTTGGGTTTTATATTCATCTCGGACATGCATAATGCTGTCAATACTTCTGGTGCCAGGACGTATCTACAAAAGTCTTCGACACCCCACCATCTTAATACAGGGGACTTGTTTCTTGTAAAGTTAGATTTATATTCGGTAGCGATTATCTGTCCAACAATATATTGTCTCATTAGACCATAATATCCAGCAAAGAAAAAAGTGAGATCCAATCTTCTCATTTCTGTAGTAGAAAGTATTGAATTTGTTGATTCGTTAGATATTTGTTTTGCCTTTGAATAATAACCTGATTGAAGGTCCCCATTAAGTATATCTAAAGCAATCCCCAAGAACGGTTTACTTCTTTCATTAATATCCTTCAACGATATTACTGGTGGTAAGTTATATTTTTCTGTAAAATGGGTCTTCAACTTTTGTATACTTTGCGGTGAATTACTAAATGAGAGTCTTTTGTTTAGTTTCTTAATAGATTTCCTATTTCTTTTTACAGTTTGGGCTAAAGAATATACATCTTTGTCACCACTGTCATCATCACTACTCTCATCACTATCAAGATTAAGTCCAGCTTTCTTGATTGGCGACTCATGTTTGAATATCGGTATATCTGGAACACTTTCAATCAATACTATATTACTATCATTCATTGTTCGTTCTTTAATTTTAAAGGGACATTCTTGGGGTTTCTTTGTTACTGTCACCTCTTTCTTTTCAAGTTTATTGACCAAAGGTGTGTTCAAGAAATCCATAGATATTTTACTAGTTAATTGATTCCCCAAGTGATCGTCATCACTTGAAAATCCACTAGATACTTCATTATCTGAAGTAACTCTATTACCATCATCCGTTGTCGTTTTGATTTTCTTTGAGGCCTTTGGAGATTGACGACCACCTCTCTTCATAGCTTTCAGCTTACTATCATTTCTTTGAAGGTATGCTTTAAAGTTCAATTTCCTTGGTTCCCCGGGAGTCATCGTCTTTCACGTTCTAGTTACGATATTTGTTTGGAATAGTATTCTGGAAACAAAAAATAATCCTAGACCTTTCTGTGTCAATTTCACAATTGAATATTTCCTTTCCGATTTAATGATTAACAGATAATATATATGCTTCAGTAACTTTTATATTCAAACGGTACTTTGTGCTCATCGCAGTCATTGAAGCTATATAACTTTTTCATCTTGCCAGCAATTAAGCGAATATAGAATAAATTACTATTTTTTTCTAGATATCATATTTTCTTGCAAAGAATCAATGGTACGATTCGAATATATATATATTAGAACCAGTAGGTAGAATCAAATAACGTTAGTAAGTTCTAAAATTATATTCGAATTCAAATAAGATCATTCAATTGATTATACAAATAACAAGCACAGCACTTTTCACTCTTTTCTTAGCATTGCGTTGAATAAAAAGACAAGATATAAGAAATCCATACAAAAATAATGAGTGAAGACCAAATAAAATTCTTAGAGAAACGTTCTATGACCGTTGAACTCTCTGAAGATATTACGAAAGCCTTCCTTTTAGAGACCCAAGAAAAAAAAAACATAGAAAATATTGAAGATGAGAGATATACTCACGTATTAACCCACTCTAAATCTCGTTTTGCCCCACCTATTAGTCCAAACGAAATAATTACATTGAAATTCCATCATTCTGGGAATTATTTTGCCTATAGTAGAGTTGATGGGTCTTTGAATATTTGGAACTTTCCTTCTGGAAGTGGTAGACTCTCTCGAGAGATTCAATATACATATGTTCGCGACTGTGTTAATTCTGAAAGAGTAGCGACTGATTTAAGTTGGAATCCTCAAGAAACCAACCAATTGGCTGCTGCTTCCAATTCTAATGAAATATTAATTTGGAATCATGACGCTTCTAAAAAAACGATTGTTAAACTAAAAACATTATTTATAAAAAGTTTTAAAACTAAAATTAACCAATGTTTATATGACCCTACTGGTAAATGGCTTTTAGGTACAACCAAACAAGAACTGCTATACTTATTTAATGTCAGAAATGAATATTCACTAGATCTTACATATAATTTATGGGAAAAGTTAGGATTTCAAAGTTCAATAACATCTATTTCATGGAATAACTCTGGGTCTCATATATTTCTGGGACTGAAAGATGGTAAAATTATCATCTTACAAATTAAACAAAATAATGACGTCCTAGACTTTGACTTGGTCTTCGAAATTGATGCTCATAGAAGTTCTATCAATAATTTGAAAATGGACCCTTGCGGTAGGTTTGTTGTTGCAGGTAGTGCTGACGGTACATGTTCGGTTTGGGATACAATTAATCTTTCTTGTATTCATGTTATCACAGATTTGAATGCAGCAGTGGTTTCATTAGATGTTAATAATCTAGGGAAAGTTTTGGCCATTTGCACAGGCGATGATAACATATTCTTTTATGATACAAATACTTTTAAAATGATAGAACAAAGAACTGTTGAGTTTTTACGTTCAGATGCAATTGTTAAATTTCATCCAAATAGATCATGGTATGTTCTGTCTAGTAAAGGGGATACTTTACAAAATTATATAGCAAGTTCCGATGATGAATTAAAATATTGGAAAGCAAAATATGAGAATAATCTGCATGTAGTTCGTAATGGTAAATCTACTTCGAACACAACGAAGAGTACTCCACCAAGTCGTGGACCTACCAATAGAAAAGTTATAAAAAGTAGAGATAGACATACCAACACTAGAAGGCATGGCGAAATACCTAGAGGTACAAGATACAGCAATGACTAAGCCGTATATAATATTTGCATGTAATATTTGTACTATTCATTATTTATGTTATATTTACATGTTTCTTCTAAAAAGATTGATAAAACCTCTGCAAAGAATAACCAAAGGTTTCAGAAATGAATATATACATACTTGTAATGGGGTGTTTATTATCTCCCTTGAAACTGTGAATATTTTGTTTCTTAATTTTTCAATAGTCATAAACATGATATCTATTTAGTTAACAAATACTCAGTTAGTTGGAATTGGTCCTTGTTTAGTTTCTCTGCTATTTCTTTCTTCGTTAACCAGGCATATTCTGTTATATCGTTTTTCGAGTCATTGGCAATATTAAATTTACCAGCCAATATATGAGACTTAATAAAAAAATCACAAGAGCCATCTTCACTCTTTATCACCCCAGCAGGTTTTTTTGACACGGTCCATGTGTTTATATTGTCACCACCTATCGTTCTTAGTCCATTTTCTGCAACTGTATCAAGTGATGCGCCATCTTTCATCTCAAACTTTGGGAAATTCCAACCAGTTTTCTTGTAGTTAACCAAAAGATATAGTGTGTTTCTCAATCGTCTCTCTAAACTAGATTTATCGCCAGATTCATCTGCGGTAGTTATTATAGGATTCTTCTCAACAGGTCTAGTAATGTTTGACCCTTCCCCTCCCTCATTCTGCGGTAGAATAACTTCTTGAGCTTTACTTCTCTCTCTACCATGCTGAATATCAGGGACACCCTTTGGATACCAGACATCTGGGTTCTTAATAATAGGCTTCTTTTGAACACTCAAAAATTTATGCTCAGAAAGAGTACCTTTTTTAAAGTAATGATAGGCTGGAAATGTCCACATCATTCTTCTTTCTAATTGGTTCTGGTAGTCATGATATTGTTGCTCTATTTTAGTTTGTTCAGGTACCACTAATGGGATTCTTGATAATATAAGGTTTGCCCTTATTGGCACAGCTTTTCTAAATGTAGCCTTAGCTGGAGCACTCATCCTGGCGATCTATATATGTGATAGTGTCTGGGATAATCGTATATATTTCAGAAAATATATCTTGCACTGATTATATATAGAGAAACTAATAAAGGTTTGTCGCTAAGTTATCTTCTTTTAACAGACTCTCAAATTCTACGAAATTCCCTTTGTTAGGGTAGTGAAGGTAACTCAAAATTGTTTAATCAACCTTTAAGTTTTCTGGCTTCACGCTCTCCGAAAGAAATGAATTTACCAAAACTAAAACACATTACAACGCAAGAAAAAAGATTCTGAGGTATACCGGGTAATTATTAAAAAATAAAGTTTGTTCAGTTCGTTAAAGCACCACGAAAGCTGACTAGATCTAACTAGAAGTTCTGAATATAATTAACTAACGATGATTACTATTTCTTCTTCGGTTTATATATATATATATATATATCTATATCTATTTATTTATTTTTTACATAAGAATGTTGTTGAGCCCTGAATTTGTTCAGCGTTGTTGTTGTTGATTGATCATGCTCATTAAGGAATTCAATTGAGCAGTTGGATCAACATTACTTTGGTTTTGAGGAGGTGGATTAGTTTCTTGGATAGGATAGCTGGAACCCTGAGGAATTGGAGGTGATGTCATTTGTGGTGGGTATGCATTTGGTGGTTGAGAAACCATATTGTTGCCAAACATATCGATTTGACCTTGTTGTAATTGTGGGGGTGGTGGAGGAGCACCATACATTTCTTGAGGTGGCATATGTTGCATGTTACCATACATGTTTTGTTGTTGATGAGGAGGTGGTGGTGCCTTATATTGCATACTATTAGAAGTTGGTCCGTTCGCATTAGTATCAGTTGGCATCTTTTGAGACATGGACTTTGATGAAATACCTTCACCAACCACAATATCAGGCTCCTCGAATGCGATACCTGGAACTAATGGTTGGCCACCTGTACCACCCCATTCAGCTTCGACAGACCATTTTTTGTCAGCGTCAGTCAACCTATGAAGTGGAATGTTACTACTACCACTTTGATAATCACAACAATCTCTTGGTCCAAAGCCAACACCCCAACGGGTTCTTAATGCTAAAGCACCATCTTTATTGAAATTCATGAAGGCATTTTCAGCTTCACGTCTTGAATAAACTTTAACAAATGCATGTTTTCTACTATGATTCAAAATAACACTCTGAACTTCAGCAAATGGCTTTATTAAACTAGCTAAATCCCATTCTTTCATATGCATTGGAACACCGCCGATGAACAAAGTTCTTGAATATACTTTAACCGTATCAGGTGGGAGGGTGTTATCATAGCTGATAGGTTTTGGACGATAATGAGGATTTTCCGGCACGTTAGATTCATCGGGATAAAGGTGATGGTTATTAGCACCAAAACTTTGATTAGGTCTTAAACCACCATAATTTGAACTATTGGAATCGTAACCCATATTATTATTATTTTGAGATGAGTAACTTTGTGGCTCATCTCTTCTTGGTGATCTAGATCTTGTCCTTTTTGATTGCTTCTCTCTCTCACGTCTACTACCATATTCCGTGGTTCTATGAACATGAACTTTACTATCAAGATTTTTTTCTTCGTTATTTTTTCCTTCCATATCGTTGAATTTGTTATTCATTTCGTTTAAAAGTTGTTCTAATGCATGTTGTCTTTCTACTGGATCTGTAGAAGTAATTAGATTTGGTACAAAGAATTGTGGCAATGATGCAGTGTCGTACTTCTGGATGTTAGACAAGATATATTGAGCTCTTTCCCTTGGAGTGTCAGGTAATTCTTCACCTGAGTCATTAGTGGTAGATGACAATTGATTTACAGGTTTTGTTGGAGCCTCCATGCTAAAACATTTAGCTCTAACAGCATTTAGATAACCTTTTTGGAACAGACCAGATCTATCCCAAATATCGATTAACATACGTATTTTTTCCTTGTAATCGTCATCACTTTTATTAATACCATCTACTAATAATTCTTGTATAGCTTCGCCCAAGGTGTAAACACCATGAGCATAAGATCCGACAGGTGCGGTAGGTTTAATGAATTGGTCTTTGGCTCTTGCCTCGTCCAGATAAATTCTACCAATGGAATCAATAATATAAAGAGCACCCAATTTATGGGTATTACTGCAATTATGAGCATATGTGATGATTGACTTCATTAATTGGTCTTCATCTGAGACATGTTCAAGTGCATAACTAGTTAATTTTTTAATACGGGAGCCAGAAATACCGGACTTTAAGTCCTTAAAAGAATTCAAAGTATTTTGAAAGTCTTCAAAATTTTCAATAGTACTCATTTTGGTTTCGTTTTGTTTATTTTATTTTTTTACTTTATTAAGTATGTTATACCAAAGAGAAGCGAATTTCTACGATCAGATTTTGATGAATAAATGAAGAAAATAAAATAAAAAGCTTTGTTTGTGTTTTACTTCTTAAATATATTTGTTTTCCTTGTTACACTTTCTTTTTTACCTTCTTTCAATTAAGTTCAATACAATTATAATATTACACTGCTGAGATAACGAAAATATAGAGAGAAGGGGAGAAAATAAAGCTAAAAGGTGTAAGTGTTCTATTCCTAATCTTCTTATAAGTAAAATAAACTGAATTAAGGCTTAAATATTTATCTACTGATACTTCTAAGAAAAACCACTAACAATAAATAATCTTGTTCCAAAAAAAATGTACAATTAAACTTCGTATGAATGAATTACTTCGGATAAGTTTTAAATTTATAGCTTTTCCAATTTTAAAAAAAGGGAAGAATGCTGTTCTACTATTTTTTTCAAGAAACTTCAATCCGACGGTCCCTTTTATATGTTTTTTTTTTTGCTTTAGTCGAATTTCTTCTTCCCTTTTTTTTGAACCAACGGGACAGAGAGCGGAAATGTTTGTTTGTTTGTTTGTTTGTTTGTTTGTCCTTGTTATGGACAATTTGGAGTTGTTAGCCCTAGAAAGTTAGAATATTAGGGTTTTATTGTCTTCTGCCCTCCTTTGGAATTAATACATGATGAGGTTTCCTATATTTTAATAGACGCCAAAGGAAGTGGACAGTTAAATTCTCGACAACGAAGGAATAGATGCATTAAATAAACGTCCTTTTGATTTCTTATTTGAAGTGTAAGGATTACATGTTGTTGTTGTTTTGAAAGTACCAAGTCATTTTATTTTTTTTAATTAGAATTGTAATGAGTTCGGTATATAAATTGTCAATTCAAGGTATCAGATCCTTTGATTCAAATGATCGTGAAACTATTGAATTTGGGACACCGTTAACCTTAATTGTGGGTATGAATGGGTCTGGTAAGACTACCATTATTGAATGTTTGAAATATGCTACTACAGGTGATTTACCACCGAACAGTAAAGGTGGTGTCTTTATTCATGATCCTAAGATTACCGGTGAAAAAGATATTAGAGCTCAGGTGAAATTAGCATTCACCAGCGCTAATGGTCTGAATATGATCGTCACAAGAAATATTCAATTATTAGTTAAACGGAATACTAATACATTCAAGACTTTGGAAGGTCAATTGGTCGCAATTAATAAGATGGGTGAGCGTACTACATTAAGTACAAGATCTGTCGAATTAGATGCTCAAGTTCCTTTATATATGGGTGTTCCAAAGGCTATCCTAGAATATGTTATATTTTGTCATCAGGAAGATAGTTTATGGCCATTAAGTGAACCTTCAAATCTGAAGAAGAAATTTGATGAAATCTTTCAAGCAATGAAATTTACTAAAGCGTTAGATAATTTAAAAACGATTAAGAAAGATATGGCGGTGGATATTAAATTATTAAAGCAATCAGTGGAACATATGAAACTTGATAGAGATAGATCAAAGGCAACAAAGATTAACGTTTATCGATTGGAGGCAAAAATAGGTGAGTATCAAGAAGAAGTAAATGAAATCGAAAAACAATTAAATATATTGACAGAAAAATCTGATAAACTATTTAAATCTAATCAAGATTTCCAGGAAGTATTATCAAAAGTTGATAATTTAAAGACTTTGAAATCTATAACAGAAAATGATATTAATAGAATTAAACAATCAGTAGAAATTATCGATCTCCCAACGTCTGAAATTGAAAATCTACTGGAGAATTTCTCTAATACAATAGCTGAAAAGGAAATGGAAATTAAAGGTATAGAAGAAACTATTCAAACTGCTAAAAATTCAGCGGCTCGTCTTCAGTCATCTTGTAATGAATTACTTGCACGCCAAGGGGTGTTAAAGGCTAAAGAAGATTCTTATCATAAAAATTTAGATGATATCAAAATTCTAAAGAAAGATGTGGCTAATATCTACCAGCTAAATGATGAAGAGACTAATTTAGATCATTTTATGACAAATCTAAAACAACAAAAAACTAATTTAACAACTGACCTTAAAGAATTCTCTCAGAAGACAAACAAGGAGATTGATCATCTTGAAACACGACTGAATGATATAACATATAAGAGCACAGTATTACAACAAAAAATCGATTATAATGTATCTGATAAAACGAAACTGGAATCCAAAATATTAAGTCTGAGTAAAGAAGTTCCCACCATTCGTTACAGTTCTGAAGATCTTCTGAATGAAAAAGATAGCCTTGACAAATTAAATGCTGATCTAATATTAATGGAGAAGGAAGATGTTATTGAAACAATTACATCTCAAATAAAAGAAAAAAATGATAGAATAATTGCATTGGAAAAGGAATTTGAAATTATTCAGAACAAGTTAACAAAAACAAGTGAACAATCAGAAATTTTTGCTAAATTGGGTCTTGCCAAAGAATCTTTAAAAGAAAAGCAAAGCATATATCAAAGTATAATAGAAAAATTAAAAATAGATGAAAATTTTAAAAATTGGGGTTTAGTAATTAATGATGATCTTGATCTTGATTTCAAGAAATTTTTCATTGAGTTACAAAAGAAGGTAGCTATTTCTAATAAAGATTTCCATGAGAAAGATAAAGCATTCAATGAATCGAAATATCAGCGTAATAATTTCCAGGAGGAGATCGTCCGTAACAACCAGTCGATTACAAAAATAACACTTCAAATAGAAGAATCATTACCAGAAAATTGTTCGATTGAGGACTATGACGAAATAATCGAAGAGTCTGAGTTATCCTATAAAACCTCACTTGAAAATTTGAAAATGCACCAGACAACATTGGAGTTCAATAGGAAGGCTCTTGATGTTGCTAGAGAAAAAGATTGTTGTTATTTATGTAGTCGAAAATTCGAAACTTCAGAATTTAAATCTAAAGTATTGTCTGAACTTAAACAAAGGACGGACGCTAAGTTTGAAGTTACTTTAAAGGAAATTGTTCAAGAAGAAAAATTGACTCTTGAGGAATTAAGAAGCTTGGAAAAATATGTTGTCCAATTAAAATCATTAAAACAAGCAAATTCTATTGCTTCTGATAAATTGAGTGAAATTGAACAGAAAGTCATTGAATTAGAAGAAGGTAAACGTAAAGCTGAAGAAGAGGGGACTAAACTAAAGAACGACAAAGAGCATGCAGAAAGTGTGCTACGGCCATTGGTGGAAAGATTTATAAATCTCAAGCAAGAAATTTCACGTTTGGGCAAAGAATCTGACTTACTAACCAACAAATTGGAAGCATACAAAAATTCAGACGGTTCGGTACAGTCTGTGAGTGAACTTCAGGCAGAACAGCGTAGTAGTAACAATGAAATGAGACAATTGAGGTCTGAAATAGCTAACTTACAGGATTCTAGAGAAATAAGAAACAAGAAACATAGTAAATTGGTAGATAATATTAGGGAAAAAACCTCAATTATAGATGATATTGAAAGAACCTTATCGAATGCTAACACCTTAGCCGCCGAAATTGAGAAAAACAAAGAAGTTTTGGTAAACTTGGAGAGAGATATTATACGGTTAAAAGGAGAATGGCAGAAATTTCAAGAACAAAAGTTAAAGGAAAAGGATTCCCTTGCTGAAACAAAAAATATTATCAGTAAAGACCTTGACTTTAAAAGATCTCACCTTTCCAAGTTTGAAACAGATATAAATAGATTTTCAGAGTTATTGAACGCAATCCTGGATTATGAAAAATCTGGAGTTAATGCATTGCCAGAATGTGTGCAACAGTATAACGATATAAATGCTGAACTAATGACAATCAAAACAGATATTGATGGAACTTATGATATGTTAAATATAAAGAAACAAAAAATTAAGGATTCTAGCAATGAGCAAAGGAACATGAGAGATAATATAGAGCTTCTTAAAATGGTCGCAAAATTGGAAGTTATTAATTCCCAAATTGGAGAACTAGATGTTCAAAATGCAGAATCTGAAAGAGAAACATACCAAAGAGAGAGTTCTCGTTTAAGAAACGAATATGAAAAACTTACTTCGGAAAATGCAGGAAAACTGGGTGAGATAAAACAACTACAAAACCAGATTGAATCACTGAAGCGTCAATTGCGTTCAGATTATAAGGATATTGATGATAAATATCGTAAAGAATGGGTAGAGTTACAAACTCGGACATTTGTCACAGATGATATTGATACATACTCCAAAACATTAGATAACGCAATCATGAGATATCATGGATTAAAAATGGAGGATATCAATAGAATTATTGATGAGTTATGGAAACGAACTTATAGTGGGACAGATATAGATACAATTAAAATCAGATCGGACGAGGTTACTAACACTACTAGGGGTAAAAGTTACAATTATCGTGTAGTGATGTATAAGCAAGATGCGGAGTTAGATATGAGAGGGAGGTGTTCAGCAGGTCAAAAAGTGTTGGCGTCTATCATTATTCGTTTAGCTTTATCTGAAACGTTTGGTATTAATTGTGGTGTGATTGCGTTAGATGAACCAACCACTAACCTGGATGAAGAAAATATTGAAAGTTTAGCTAAGTCATTATCCAATATTATTCAATTTAGAAGGCATCAAAAGAATTTCCAATTAATTGTTATTACTCACGATGAGAAATTCTTGAATCATATGAATGCATCTGATTTTACGGATCATTTCTTTAAAGTCAAGAGAGATGATAGACAAAAATCTCAAATTGAATGGGTTGATATTAATAAGGTTACTGAATATTAGTATCGTATGATTTTTTTAATTTTTTTATTTTTTTTAAAGTTAATATTTTTCAACCCAAATGAAATTCTTATATTTATAACAAATTATAAAATATATAAACAATTGGTGAATGTAGTTAAATAGAGCAATAAGTTGAAACTTCTATACAACTCGGCCTGAATGAAACTATTGAGAATTATTATAATGGTTATGTAAATTAACGCATAATTCGATATATTCTAAACAAACAATAAGCTAATGATATAACGTACAAAATATATATCGAACTATGACATATTTCTCGTACTTTATATCAACTATATCTAGTCATAATATTTAATTTTATACCCTCATAATTAATACCAACATGACAGATATTCTATTAATTTTTTATAATATACAGTACGTAAATATAACAAGACCAATTTAAATAAAAATAAAAATAGCTAGAACGTAAAATATAATTTTATGATATGCTCAACGTCTTGGACCTCTGCCTCTTCTAACCATTTCTGGTAATTTAAATGGAACCTTGAAAGTAGCAATCTTGTATGTATTGGCAGCACTCTTTGCAATACCAAAAGCGTCTGCTTGAGCAACAGTAGCACCTTTAACAATAGCACCAAGAACTCTAAACAAAGCAACAATCTTGGATGGTTTTGTATTTAGCTCTTGAGCCAATGGGGATACTTCCACTATGAAGTTATCCAAATGCATAATGATGGTTAGAATATAACACAACAATTTATCCTCATGTTGAGGGTCGATGAAGAAAGAGCGATCCTTAGATCTACCAAATTGACCTGGTCTAGCCAAAGTAAATTTATCTAGAACACCATCAATTAAAGTCTCGGGTGGAGAATTCAATCTCTCTAGTAGTTTCACTTTATTACTAACTCTTCTGTTGCTGTAAACACCTAGCAATAGAGACAAATAGTATAGTAGTTGTAATTTTGGTAATTGAGTAGGTTGTGTAAAGATTGGTAATTTCTTAGCAATATATTTTGAAGAGAATGGAAAGGATTCCAATTTCTTCTCTACGTCTGTTTCCTTTAATAGATGTCCCACACGAATAAATTGCATTTCGTATTCAGATATTATATTCTCTACAGGATATATTTGTTCAACATCAGTGGCATCAACATTAGCCAATGGGGTAGGTCTATCGTTAGAGATGGTTTCCTCCAATTGTTGTCTAGTTGGTAGATCTTTAGAGGCAGTTCTCACAGCGTCTACAATATCAACAGCAACACCAGATAATTTATCAGCATCAATACGATTTCTCTCCAAATCAGCAATGGCCTTTTTGGCTCTCTTTGTACCGAAGGCTTCACCTAAAGCGTTTCTTAAGACAGAACCTCTGACATCCGCATTCTTAATAGATGGTCCTCTCAAATTCTTGTTAGCCTTGGAGATAACTTTGGAAACTAAGATAGGAGTCTTGTATAATTGAACTGTATTCTTCTTAGCGTTATATATAGCCACAACAGATTGGTTAGACTTAGCTAAGTCATCAGTAGTACCTTCGTATTCTAATCTTCCATTCTCACCATGCAACATGTAGTCCTTCTTAGAGGCCTTCTTACGGTACAATTCGAATTTAGTCTCAACTGGGGCTTGGAATCCCTTGAAGAAAGAACCAATCGCTAGAGAGTCACTTTCTTCTACAGAATCAACCTGGATTTCATTAATAGATCTCTTGGACATTTTCGTAATAGGAGTAGAAATATGTAACTTGTTTTGCTGATAGCGGGAACAAAACAAATAATTCACCAATTATCTAATACTATAAGTAATATATCCTTTTCAACTATAGGTTGTGTACTAGATAGCATGCATTTCCATTTAATCGATGAGATGCCTCATCTCTTTAACAGTCCAAATTTCAAATTTTTCAATTTTTTTTCACGATAAAATTTTTATTTTTCACAATTCTAAGAAATAACTGCACAGGAAAAACTTTACGGTCGCGTACAACATGATATCCTATTGTACAGCCCAAAATGAAGCGAAAGCTGCTTAGCTCAAACTGAAAAATTTTCTGCTAATTGATGAAACTTCTTTGTATGTGTATATCGCTCTCAGTGCAGTGAGTTTTGGCGTGCTTCTGCTTTACCTAGCTTGATGATGGATGGATGTATTGTGTGATTTCCACGTTAGTACACATCATTAGGTTTACGTACAGCATTAAGGAAAGTTTGGCACTGAAATTCTGTCAGCATTATTAGTTATTACTCACGTATATCTGGGTTTCGAGATATACGTGAGATTATATTTATATATCTCTTAGTAACTGGGTTTTTTAAATAGTTGAAATTTGTATCGTTTGTTACATTTCTTTATTACATCTAGTATTATTTTATTATTAGTTGTTTCTTTCAAACTATATGTCTCATTGCCGATCACTATACAAGTTAATTGTAAGAAGGATGTCGTCTACAGTAGAAACTGTCAACACTAAAGTGGTTCAACCTAAATGGAATGTACCTGAACCACAACAAACAAAACCTGTATTGAAATTATACAACTCTTTAACCAGAACCAAGGTCCCTTTTGTTCCATTATCTGGTACAAAGACTGTCAGTTGGTACTCTTGTGGCCCTACAGTCTATGATGCGTCTCATATGGGTCACGCTAGAAACTATGTTTCCATCGATATAAATAGAAGAATCATGAGTGAATATTTCGGCTATGATATCAAATTTGTACAAAATGTTACTGACATTGATGATAAGATTATTATTAGAGCCAGACAAAATTACTTATTTGATAATTTCATTAAGGATGTCACCACCATTGACGAAGCTATAGTGTCAAAGGTTAATGATGCGATCGTGGCATATATCGTAAAAAATCTAAATGATCAATTGTCTCGTGTTGATGAATTTGACAAATGGGTTGCAGGTTTAAATATCGAAACTGAAAAGGTAAACAATCCAAAATTCCCAATGCATATTACTGCTGTCACTAATGCTATCACAGCATTAAAGGAGAAATCTAATGATGTCACTCAGTTTTTCACTCTAAGTAAAGATGTCCTAGTTCCAATACTTGATAAAGAATTGGGTGCTACTGTGAACGACCCAGAAGTGTTCCGTAAATTACCTGCATATTGGGAAAATGATTTTAACAACGACATGGCCCAATTGAACGTTACTCCACCAAGCGTTACTACCCGTGTCTCTGAGTATGTTCCAGAGATTGTTGAGTTTGTTCAAAGGATTATTGATAATGGATATGGGTACGCCACAGATGATGGTAGTGTCTATTTCGATACTGTCGCATTTGATTCTAGTGATAAACATAGTTATGCCAAGTGTCAACCGTGGAATAAAGGTCAATTAGATCTAATTGAAGATGGTGAAGGTTCCTTGTCTACAAACACAAAAGAGAAAAAATCCAAAAATGATTTTGCATTATGGAAGGCATCGAAACCAGGTGAGCCAGAATGGGAATCCCCATGGGGTAAAGGTAGACCAGGGTGGCACATTGAATGTTCCGTAATGGCTAGTGATATATTGGGTAGTGAAATTGATATTCATTCCGGTGGTATCGACTTGGCGTTCCCCCACCATGATAACGAATTGGCTCAATCCGAAGCTTGTTTCGATAACGAACAATGGATTAATTATTTCCTACATACTGGCCATTTACATATCGAGGGCCAAAAGATGTCCAAATCTTTGAAGAATTTCATTACCATTAAGGAAGCACTAAATAATTATTCTGCTAGACAACTAAGATTAGTATTTGCTTCAGCTCAATGGAATAACCAACTTGATTTCAAAGAGAGTCTTGTGAATGAGGTAAAATCCCTTGAAACCTCCTTTAATAATTTCTTCCAAAATGTTAGAGCTCTACAATCTGATAATTCTCATAGACAGGAAGGTATGTCTCACAACATCTCCAAGAAATTTACATCTTTGGAGACCAAATTGTTAAACGATTTACAATCCACACAAGAGAAAGTTGACATCGCATTCTGTGACAATTTAGCTACCGCACAAGCCATCAAAGCTTTAAGTGATATGGTCACTATTACAAACTCATACATTTCGACAGTTGGTAACGATCTGAAAATCGAACCTGTTTTGGATGTTTGCAAATATATCACCAAAATCTTGAATATCATTGGTTTCCAAGGTCGTCCTGATAGTTTGGGTTGGGTCAATGCGTCTGCTTCCAGCAAATCTACTGGTTCCGTTGAAGAAGTTGCAATGCCATATGTCAAGGTTCTATCTACCTTCAGAGACAATGTTCGTTCCTTGGCCATTGAAAAGGCTCCTTTATCTGAATTTTTGAAATTAACTGATTTTGTAAGAGATAATGACTTATTAAAATTGAATGTTTCGCTAGATGATAGAAATGGACAATCTGCTTTAGTGAAATTCTTGACTGATGAAGAAAAACTAGAAATTGTTAAGTTTAATGAAGAAAAAGAGGCTAGAGAAGAAGCTAAGAGATTAAAGAAATTACAACAACAGAAATTAAAAGAACAAAAAGAACAAGAGAGAAAGGAAAAAGCTAAAGTATCGCCTTTAGAGATGTTCAAGAATAACGAATTATATTCAGCATGGGATGAAAATGGTTTACCAACAAAGGATAAAGATGGTAATGATGTTACTAAGAGTATGACCAAAAAATTAAAGAAACAATGGGATCAACAAAAGAAGTTACATGAAGAATTCTTTGGTTCTGTGAACTAAATAATTTGAAACTAATATATTAACAATTGTATAAATATAATCTAATATAAAGTAATAGTGAACGCTTATGTTTCAAATCTATTGATTGTAGTTAGCATATACGTAATATTTATTCTCATTATAGGCACTAGACGAAACGGACAAATCAAAGTCCCACTGTTAAACCAAGAAAATGGAAAGCTAAAAAATATGAAATTTTGGTATATATATATATGCACACAAGGTAATATAAAAGCAAATCATCACATATTTAAAAGAACTTGAGTTCATTACAGTTTGAATATAAACAGTGTTTTTTGATCAATTATACAGACAAGTAATTCAGGTGGAAACCATATAAATAGTGCTGCAAAGAAATAATAATCCAATTGTTATTGTTGTAAAGATGGATGAAGAAAATAAAGAAATTTCTGAAACCTTTTTAGAATTAGCTAAAAATGAATTAAAGATAGAATCTATCGATAAAGAAGTTGAACAATATAAAATTAGAAAGATGGAATCTGTATATAATGAAAGAGATACATTAATTGAGAAAATTCCATCATTTTGGAAAATTGTCCTTTCACAACATTTAGATTTTGCAAATTATATAAGAGCATCTGATTTTAAATATATTGATGCAATAGACAAAATTACGGTAAAATATGCATCTGATATAGAGAAGATTGGTAGTTTCTCAATTACGTTCCATTTTAATGAAATAAAAGATGATTTCCCAGCTCAAATAATATCTAAAAATTTCAAATTAATGAAAAACGTACCAGACCAAAAGAAATCTGGACAAGACAACGAAGAAGAAAATACTGAGGAGACTAAATTTGATGAAATAGAACTTGAAGAGAAACTAACCAGTGAAATAAGTGATGTTCAATGGCCAAAGGAGTATAATTCAATCAATCCTGATTTGATTAAGGACAAAAAGAGTCCCGAAGGGAAAAAGAGTTATAGACAAGGAATGAAATCCTTTTTTGGTTGGTTCAGATGGACAGGATTAAAGCCTGGTAAAGAATTCCCACATGGTGATTCATTAGCCACTTTATTGAGTGAAGATCTATATCCATATTGTGTTAAATATTACACTGAGGCACAAAGGGATTTTGCCGATGAAGATTCTTATTCTGATGACACTTCGGAAGAGGGTATTGATTTAAGTGAGGAAGAACAAGACAACGAGGAACCTGCCAAGAAGAAAATCCATACTTCTTAGATATATGTATGTAGTTGTTGAATAATGATAAATTATTATATTATCCTTTTTCTTTCAGTAATCGAATGAATTAGAAGAAGGTTTAATTTTAATTTTAATTTTATTTTTATTTATAGATGATGATGATTTCTTTGATATTTTATTCTTTTGTTGTTTCTTCTTCTGTTTAGATACTTTTTTAAATTTACTCATTGGATCCTCATTTGAATAATCAAATTTTGGTTTCTTAACCATTACTTCTTCTTCTTCTTCCTCATCTTCTTGTTTATTTTTATTAATTACTTTAATATCTAATTTTTTTTGACCTAACAAATATTCTTCATTTTCATCTTTATTCATTCTTTCATCATACATCCATTCCAAACCATTTTTCTTCTTTAATAGTGAAGTACTACTATCTTGAGAGATTAATGATTGTAATTCATTATCCTTCTCTAATTCTTTTTGTCTTTCTTTGAATTTTTGTTCTTCAATTAATAAATCTTGTTCAGTATTCCAAACTTTTTTCCTATTCTTCATTAACTTGGGATTCCAAGATTTCAATAAATTAAGATCCCCAGCAGCCATCGTTAAAAACTGGTTGTAGTCTTGGAAAACAAATGAATATAATATCTTTTGCTTGTGTATTGTTACATAGTTTCAAAAAAAAAAATTGAGAATTATTATAATGGTTATGTAAATTAACGCATAATTCGATATATTCTAAACAAACAATAAGCTAATGATATAACGTACAAAATATATATCGAACTATGACATATTTCTCGTACTTTATATCAACTATATCTAGTCATAATATTTAATTTTATACCCTCATAATTAATACCAACATGACAGATATTCTATTAATTTTTTATAATATACAGTACGTAAATATAACAAGACCAATTTAAATAAAAATAAAAATAGCTAGAACGTAAAATATAATTTTATGATATGCTCAACGTCTTGGACCTCTGCCTCTTCTAACCATTTCTGGTAATTTAAATGGAACCTTGAAAGTAGCAATCTTGTATGTATTGGCAGCACTCTTTGCAATACCAAAAGCGTCTGCTTGAGCAACAGTAGCACCTTTAACAATAGCACCAAGAACTCTAAACAAAGCAACAATCTTGGATGGTTTTGTATTTAGCTCTTGAGCCAATGGGGATACTTCCACTATGAAGTTATCCAAATGCATAATGATGGTTAGAATATAACACAACAATTTATCCTCATGTTGAGGGTCGATGAAGAAAGAGCGATCCTTAGATCTACCAAATTGACCTGGTCTAGCCAAAGTAAATTTATCTAGAACACCATCAATTAAAGTCTCGGGTGGAGAATTCAATCTCTCTAGTAGTTTCACTTTATTACTAACTCTTCTGTTGCTGTAAACACCTAGCAATAGAGACAAATAGTATAGTAGTTGTAATTTTGGTAATTGAGTAGGTTGTGTAAAGATTGGTAATTTCTTAGCAATATATTTTGAAGAGAATGGAAAGGATTCCAATTTCTTCTCTACGTCTGTTTCCTTTAATAGATGTCCCACACGAATAAATTGCATTTCGTATTCAGATATTATATTCTCTACAGGATATATTTGTTCAACATCAGTGGCATCAACATTAGCCAATGGGGTAGGTCTATCGTTAGAGATGGTTTCCTCCAATTGTTGTCTAGTTGGTAGATCTTTAGAGGCAGTTCTCNTATTGCAATTGATATATATATATATATATATATATAGAGAGAGAGAGAGATTGGTTGTGTGTTTACTAATATTACATTGATGGGCGGTCGGAATCAAGTGAGTTGACAATAATCGTTGTATATATAGAGAGACTTACGAATCTTGTTTGCAGTATATTTGACAACCCCTATTTAAGGTTTCTTGTTTCATGTATTAGCTCGAGTAAATAAAACTACTTGTTTGACGGATATTTAGGAATACAACTATCCTGTAACAGTTATATAAACATATATATATATATCTATGTGTGTGCATGTGTGTGTCTCACTCTTTCAAGAATGATGCATTGCGCCTTACCGTTTATCCTATTTATCTATTTCTTACGAGAGAGAGATATGACTTTGTTTTTCTCTATGGGGTTCCCTTTTTCATAAAGTACGAGAAAACAAAATAGGAGCAAAGCTTAAATTATTTTTATATTTACACGTTCAATATTATAAATATAGTTAAACGTGAAAATAAATACATGGATATAGATACACACAATCAATTGAACTCTAATCCTCAGTTTTGTTGAAACGTATATGAGTATTTAAAATTTTATTATATTATTCTTTTTTGACCTCAAAATTATACAAATAACGCAATATAACAATGTCAAAGATAGAAGCTAATTTACAGAAAGCCTTGAAAAAAGCTTGCTCTATCGAGGAAAGCGCTCCAAAGAGAAAACATTTGAGAACTTTAATCGTTTACACTTGGGATCACCATTCTTCTACAGAAGTCTTCGAAGCTTTGAAAGCGTCACCTTTTGTCAATGATGAAGTACAATTGTTCAAATCTTTGATTGTCCTACATAAAATTATTCAAGAAGGTCACCCTTCTGCTTTGAAAGAAGCGATAAGAAACAGGGAATGGATCAGATCCCTTGGAAGAATCCATTCAAGTGGCTCGGAATATGGTACTTTAATTAGAGAATATGTTAGATATTTGGTATTGAAACTGGATTTCCATTCTCATCATAAAGGGTTCGACAACGGAACATTCGAATACGAAGAATACGTTTCATTAGTCTCTGTGGCCGATCCGGATGAAGGGTATGAAACTATATTGGATTTAATGTCCTTACAGGATTCTTTAGATCAATTCGCTCAAATCATTTTTGCTTCAATTCAATCAGATAGAGGAAATTCTGAATGTAAAATATCCTCGTTGATTCCAATGATTGCAGAATCGTACGGTATTTATAAATTTATTACTTCAATGCTAAGAGCAATGTATAGAGAATTGAATGACCCTGAAGGTGGAGACGCGTTACAACCTTTGAGAGAACGCTACGAACAACAACATAATAGACTCTTTGAATTTTATGCCGATTGTTCCTCAATTAAATATTTGACTACTTTGGTTACAATCCCGAAATTACCAATGGATTCTCCAAATGTCGAATTGGCTGCTACTGAGAATAATGAAGATCATAATAGAACCGAGATTAAATTCGAAAAGAAAGAAATTCATCGTCAACCTTCTCCAATTAAGTCTCCCCCAAAATCAATGGAACCTTCAAGAACAGCAAGTAGTTCTGTGACAAACCCAATGTTGGTGGCATCAAACACTAGTATGTCGGCATTGATTCCAACTGCAACTGCAGCAGCTGCAATGATGCCCTCGATGACTGCTCAAATGCCTCAAGATTATTGGGTTAATCAACAACAACAATATATGAATGAACAAGCTCAATTGGAACAAGAACGTCAAAGACAATTAGCAGAACAACAATCTCAACAGCAACAATTCCAACAACAATTACAAAATGCCCAACAGGAGATGATGCAATTGCAAGTACAACAACAATCACAACATCAAAACGATCTATTGGCGTTGACTGATCAATACCAAAAGGATCAAACTTTGCTACAACAATACGATCAACGTGTTCAACAATTAGAAAGTGAGATTAATACCATGAACGAAAATGCTACTAAACAACTTTCAAATAAGGATGAACAGATCGAATCATTGAGTAAACAATTAGATATGTGGGAGAAGAAATATGAATCATTGGCTAAGTTGTATTCTCAATTACGTCAAGAACATTTGTCATTACTTCCACGTTTTAAGAAATTACAAATGAAGGTTAGTAGTGCTCAAGAAACAATGAAACAGAAGGATCACTTTGAACAAAAAAATAAACAAAAGGACTTACAAATGGCCCAATTGATCAAAGAACGTGACAGAGCAAGAGTGGAAAATGATAGACTACAAGTACAACTAAGTGATGTTTCCTCAAATCAAAATAATCAACTTACTACTCAAGCACAAGAGAAAATTAGTTCTATTTCCGAAAATAAATTAAAGCCAATGATGGATGCCGTCTTGGAAAATAGTATGACAAATATACAGGAAGCCATTTATACCCTAGATGCTCCTTCAACTTGGTCAGGTACAGCTATTGATCCAACATTTTTATTGTCTCTAATAGAAAATTGTTCAGAGAGAGCTACAGATTTTGCTACAAGTTTTAATGATTTAATTGTGGATGGTGAAATTGAAGGTGATCAAATTACAGTTGTTTTAAATATAAGTGATTTTAGTTCATCAATAACTACCTTACTATCAAACTTCAAAAATGTAGCTGCAACAATAGATGCACAGGGTGATGACTCGGAAAATATAGTAGCACTAGTCAAGAGATGTGGTAACGAAGCCAAGTATTTTTTCGAGGATTTATTGTCTGAAAACCTCGATGGTAAAGATGATGAAGAGAAGACTGATATCGTCATAAATGCAAACGTCGACATGCAAGAAAAGTTACAAGAATTATCTATCATGATTGAACCATTTGTAAAGGAACTATCACAGGCTTCAGAGAACAATCCACATCAAGAATTAGTTGACACAGCCAATAACTTAGAGAAATCTTCTCAAAATCTACGTGTGAATATAGATGTCAATGTTCCAAAACCATTGTTGTCAATGGCTTTGGCTATCATTGATGCTGTTGTGTCTTTAGTCAGATCTGCTGTAGAATGCCAAAATGAAATTGGTAGTACTACAGAACTAGGCTTAAAAGAATTTTATAAGAAAAATCATCGTTGGACCGAAGGTCTAATATCTGCAGCTAAAGCTGTAGCTAGTGCCACAAATACTCTGATCAACATTGCTGGTAATTTGGTCAATTTAGAAGGCTCAGATTCTCTAGAAGAGTTTATAGTGGCCTCCAGAGAGGTTGCCGCCTCAACAATTCAGTTGGTTGCTTCATCCAGAGTTAAAACATCTCTACATTCTAAAGCACAAGAACAACTCGAACTTTCATCAAAGGATGTCAGTGGTGCATGCAAAGCTCTTGTTAATTATATCATGGACAAAACGAAGACGAATTCCGAGAAAGATCAACAACCAGTGAACTTCAGCTCTGAATATGCCGTCAAAAGTGCTGAAATGGAACAACAAGTTACCATTTTAAAATTAGAGCAATCTTTGAATGTCGCTAGAAGAAGACTAGGTGACATAAGAAAACATGCTTACTATCTACAAGACGATGATCAACCAAACTGAGAAAAAATACTCTCTTTTCCTAACACTTTTACCTTCCAATAGAAGAAACTTTAGCAAAATAATGTCATACACGTTCTATTGATTTAATGTATTTTTGTGTAACTATTCTGTGTATTAGTAATATTATTTAATAATCCTTAGATGATTCATGGTTATTATTATTATTATAACTTATATCATTACTATTCTATATCGCATCATTATACCTTCAAGTTTCTGACTTTGGTCTATTTTGTGTTGTATTGTGTTTTAGTCCCGTATTTCATTTTCTTATTTATTTTTATTGTTGTAAATTCATTTAAGGGTCATCTCTGCTGTCAAAAAAAAAGTATTTATAAATCTAAAGGATGTTCTAAAAGAACTTATGGAATCGCCAAGAAATACATCTTTTTATATCATAACACTACTGGTAAACCCATCCAATAGCTAATTATGGTCTTTGGCTGGTCCCAAAATATTCAACGGCGATTACTCCTGTACGTCCTCCAGCAGATATCATTATTTTCTAATCTAGATTTGACAAACTTAGATGTTTCACTTGGTACAAATTCTGTTTTTACCTTTACTGATATCGATCTATCAGTTACGGATATTCATATTCCATATTTGAGAGTGAACTCCGGATCAATAGGCAAATTAACTTTAAAACTTACTGTAAGTGGGGGACTGGATATAAAGGGGAGTGATGTCTCTTTTGATGTGACATTACAAAATAAAAATGATAGTAATGACAAGGAAGGTAACGATGATACTGCATTTCCTACTCTTTTAATGAAAAGTATGCATGATTTAACAACATCTGTAATGCAGGTCGGTAAAGAGACAAATATTAATATTGATGTTGAGGATCTGGGAGATCTTATTGAAGAAGCAGAAGAAAGTCGACCAGAAAGTAAACAGTCTCAACTGACATCAACCCCTGAAATTGAAGAAGAAAACTCGAATAAAGAATCCCAACCCACAAGAATACAAAATATGAAAAATAAGGTACTTGGAACTATTTTATCCAAACTTACACTAGATTTATCCAATATTACAGTATCTATCAAAGAGGAAAAAGAAAATAATTGTTTACAACTGTCCTTAAAGAATGTCCAACTATTAACAATAGAACAAGGTATTAGAAATATTATTATTAGTTCCTTACAAATATTCTATTCTTCCACGGACATGTGTCCTGAGCCTAACGATAATATGGACGAAAGTATGTATTATTCGAAGATGGGAGGTACCTCAGTTTATATGAGTGCCTTAGATATACCTCATACACATGATACAGAGAGTGAAAGTCATAATAGTGATACTGAAGTTGGTGACCCAATTGTGAATTTAAAAGATATTAACATATCCTTTAAAGGGTTAACATCAATAGATGACGTGAAAATAACTGATTTAATGATAGACATACTTGAAATTGAAATCGATGAAAGTAGTATGGTGCGAATGAACACAGAATTTTTTTATTTTATAATAGAGCTAATTGACAATATCTCACATGAAAATCAAATAAATAAAAATAAGAACAATGCAGTAACTATGGTCAGCAAAACTAAAGATTCAGAATCATATAAAAGATTTCAAGATGAACAACACATCCTAAGCGCTAATGAACTTTCATATATTTGTATTGGCAAAGTTTCAGCAAGCCTCTCATTTGATATTAAACTAGAAATCAATAAACTATATGTGAATCAATTAGAAAATAAAGATTATACAGTTGATGTGAGTTCAATCACTTTGATCGGTGATGGGATAACAGTTTCTAAACAATATAGTCCTATAATCAAGGTTTTATTAAAACAAAAAGAAAATATAATTAATATTACAGATGCATTGAATGTATCAGTTGTTCCAGAAAAATTAAACCATGTGGTTATGATGATTGAAGAATTGACATTATTTATATCTAAGTTAAAATTAAAAAGGGACAATCTCTACTGCGACCATAACTCAAAGAAAAATCGAAACAATACCCCATTATCAATATTTACCCAAGATGTTTCATTGTCACTTCTTCTCCCGGAATATAAATTGACGATTTTATCAGACCCAATAAATTTCGAATCAAAATGTGGGACAACGGTGATACCTAGTCTGAGACTTATAAAACATGACACCAAAAAAGTGACTGAAATTTTAACTTTTCTAGATATTAAATTCAATCAATATAAAGAGAAATTCGAAAGATCTTCCTTCAATGACAAATTTGTTCCAGTTATTCTAAGTTCATATAACAAGTGTGAGATCAAGTCAATATCCATAAAAGAGTCTAGAGATGTTCTAGAGGACCTCTATACCGATATCACCAATACCCTCGAGTTTTCTTCATCTTCCTCTTTCAATGAAATTTCACAAATAAATAATAGAGTTAAGAAAACGATTGCTCGAACCAACAACGCAATGAAGAAAAGTGTCAGAATATTAAATTCTTCTGGTATTATTTATCGAAAATCTATCGTAGCGCTTGTAATAATTGACTGTGAATCAATAAAGTTTAGAATCAACGATTTTATTAGTGGTACGACATTCGGTTCATTAAAAGGTAAATTACAAAATAACTTACTTACATTCTTAGCTGATTCAAATGACATAATATTTCATACCGCTGGAATTAACATCGATCGACTCGCCTCTGAAGACAATACTACTCAGACGATCGTTTCGCTAATTAAACCAATAGATCTTCTGAAACCAACGATATATTTACAAATAAAAAGAGACAATAATTCGAAATGTTATAAAATTCTTCTAAGGAATTTGTCATTACATTATTATTCTAACTGGGTTTATTTCTTGAATAAACTTTCTCCTGGTAAGAGGGAAACTGTAGATACCAATCCCTCGGAGCTACTTCATAACAATACTACACATCCTTTTGAAATTGAATTGAAGATATTCGATTCATCTGTATTGATACGTCCATTTCGAATAAAAGCTGGACTTTTAATATTGATAGATCAGTATACTAGTAATATTTCTGCCGTAAAAAGAGAATTAAATGGTGTTGCCAAAACTCTCTCTGTTCTACTGATAGATGATTTAAAGAGTTGTAAATTTCAGGATTTCGAAAATAAAAATAAATCGTTAATATCCTATTACTCACAGCTTGGCTTCTCAGTTGTTGGAAAGATTAATATATTAAAATTAACTTGTACATTTCTTAAAAATGATCCACAGTTAACGTTAATTCCAGAAGAAATCGAATTATCTCTTTGTGCAGATTCTCTTCACAGTTTAGTTCAATTATTGATAGATCTCAAGTTACCCGAGACTTTCCCCGATAGTTTAAAATTTAAACCAGAATTGATATCACTTATCGACACCTTTAAAGACATAAATTTTGAATATTTAATTGGAAATGTCACTAATATCGAAGATTCAGTTACGTCTTACATTTCTTCTTCTGTTGGCATAGTAGATAATTTTTTAGATAATTCAAAACAGATACAATCATCAACAGAATTAGCATCAATTCAAACAGAATCTACAAATACAACAGGAATAAATATCGAAAGTTTGCACCTAGACGAAAGCTACATTGACAGTAAACGTCCAATAGGTTATATATTAAAAGAAAATGCTCGTGATGCGAAATATGAGCAAGATATAGTAGGTAAGAATGAAACTAATATTAAAATCAATGTAACTTTCAAAGTGAAGAAGATCGAAATTAAGCTATATGATGGTTTCGATTGGAAATATTCAAGAAAGATTATTAATGATACTATGGTGAATCTGAAGCATGGGACAGTTAGTAATGGCATTCAAAAAATTGAAAATGATATTAATATTGGAAGACCAGCAAATATTATGACAGGGACATCTATATTTGAATCTATTTATGTAACACCAGAGACCAAACAACTACCTTCACTTCCTTATAATGGGCATGATAAACTATCGGATATTACTGAAGCTGCAAGTGCATTTAAGGTGAATCTGCGACCCTCCAAGAATTATCAAGTACTAATACAAATTTTAAATTTAGATATTAATTTTACTAGTTTTGATGTAGAGGAACCTTCCAAGGAAGAATCCCAAGACAACTCCGATATATTAAATAAAATATCGTTAAGTGTTGATAAATTTGAAATTATTGATAATGTCGCCACTTCGTCATGGAACAAGTTTATTTCAGAGTTACACGGAAGTCCTGGCTCTGATATATCCAAAATGTTTAAAATGGATCTATTGATATCCAGACCTATTGATTACTTGAAATCTATTGATTATAATCTCGATATATATATATCACCTTTAAGATTACATATTGATCAGGACACGTTAGACTTTATTACCAGAGTATTTGAATTCAAAGACCCTAGATTTGAATTAATTGATGAATATCCAGAGGTATCCTTTATTGATAAACTACATTTAAATCCCGTCCATTTATGTTTAGATTACAAACCCAAAACTGTAGATTACACAAGTTTAAGATCAGGTCACTCTAGTGAATTTATGAATTTTTTTGTGTTAGATGGAGCTAAAATTATATTGAAGGAAGTTTGCTTCTATGGTATTAATGGATTTGAAACTATTAATACGAAATTGAAAGATTTCTGGACCCCTGATATCGTAAAGAGACAACTTGGTGGTGTAGTTGGTGGTCTTGCTCCTATCAAATCATTTTTTACATTGGGATCTGATGTAAAGACCTTTGTCACTGTATTAATGTCAGATTATAGGAGTGGAGAGCATATGTCTACGAGTCTGAAGAAGAATGGGAACGTTTTTATCAAGACTACCACAGGAGATTTTATCAAATTAGGTGTTAAACTTTCTAGTGGGACGCAGGCCATATTGGAATCTACAGAAGAAAGACTCGGAGGTCAAGGTATGAGTTCAAGAAGATCAAAATTAGATCAAGAAACAATGGAACAATTAAGCCATTCCGTATTAGATTATAGGAAATTGGTTGATGAAGATCAATTAGTTGGAGGAACAAATCCACGTATTCATTCACATGAACCTGCTGCGATTATTATCGAACCCTCTGCATATCCAGGTGGAGACCCCAAGATCATTAGTCTTTATGCTGACCAACCATTAGATATTCATCAAGGACTTGAAGAAGCATATCATTCTTTGGAGAAACATTTTAATATTGCATATGATGCTGTATGGAAGACACAAACATCTGAGACTAACTATAGTGAGGAAACACCAACAATTGGTGCAAAAGCTGCTGCTGTGAGTGTTATGAAAGCTGCACCAATTGCCATTATTAGACCATTGATTGGAGTCACTGAAGCATTATCAAAGACGTTTCAAGGAATATCGAATCAAGTTGATAAACGAAATATACAAGAGATGAAAGATAAGTATAAATCTAAAAGTGATCGAAATAGATAATCAGTAACATATTATTGTTAATATGTATATATATATATATTAATAATCTAAAACTTCAAAAACTATATGATTTTAACGATAAATATAGTCAATTAATGTTAATTCATATAAAAAATAGCATATATATATATATATATATCATATCATATATATATATATATATATAAAGAGATCAAATAAAATAGGGAGAAGCGTAATTATTCATATAATAGGTTTAAAGTAGCGATTTAACATAGCTAGGTCTTAGTTTTTTTCATCTTCTGGTTTAGTGATTGGCCAAGTATAACTATTACCCATACTATGTAAGACATAGTTATGTTTGGTCAAATAATCGATTAAACCATCTGGACCTCTTGCACCATATGGATACAACTCTGGAGTTGGACCGTCTGGACCTTCTAAATATTCCAATAGTGGAGTAAACAATTTCCAACTAACATCCAATTCGTCATCTCTAACGAAGTTTGAGTGGTTTCCCAATAGAACATCTCTAATTAAGACTTCATAAGCTTCTGGAATCCAGAAATCCTTGTATCTACTAGAGTAAGTTAAATCCAAATCAGTAACTTGAGTAGCGTTAGATAAACCTGGGGTCTTAGCGTTAAACTTCATGTAGACAGCCGGATCTGGTTGAACTCTTATGACCAATTCATTATTTGGGATATTATTAAAGACACCTGAGGCGACAGCTTTGTATTGTAATCTAATTTCTACTTTACCTTCATTTAAAGCTTTACCAGCACGCATCATGATTGGTACACCTTCCCATCTCTCATTTTGAATCTTGAAACTTAAAGCAGCAAAAGTCATACATTTTGAATCTGGTGTGACAGTTTCATCATCCAAATATGCAGGTTTAGAACCATCCTCTGACTTTGTGTATTGACCAACTAAGATATCGTTATGATCGATTGGAGCCATTGATTTCAAAACTTTAACTTTCTCATCACGAATTGATTCAGGATCGAATGAGGCAGGTCTTTCCATTGTTAGTAAAGTTAAGATTTGTAACAAATGGTTTTGCATAACATCTCTAATGATACCAATTGAATCGAAATAACCACCACGACCTTCTGTACCAAATGGTTCTTTGAATGAAATTTGAATAGATTGTAAATTATCTTTATTCCAAGATGCATTCAAAAATTGATTACCAAATCTTAATACTAAAAGATTTTTCACCAATTCTTTCCCTAAATAATGATCAATTCTAAACAATTCTTCTTCACGGAATAAAGGTGCCAAATCATTTTGTAAAGCACGAGCACTCTTTAAATCATGACCGAAAGGTTTTTCAACCACTACACGTGTAATACCTTGTGGGTCATATAACACTTTTTTAATGTTAGTAGCCACAGATAAGAACACACTTGGTGGTAAAGCTAAATAGAGGAGACGATGACTCTTTTGCACACCCATCTGAGACTCTAAATCTTCAATATGTGACTTCAACTTAGCAACGCCTTCAGGGGCGTCATAAGGACCATGAACATAAGAGACCATCTTAAAAAATTGAGCGACTTTAGCATCATCTGCTGAACCGTTAGGTTTCCCCAAATGAGGATTGATCCGAGAATGTAAATCTTCTAAGGATAAGTCAGATCTAGCATAACCTATAATCTTAGTTGAAGGGTCGAGATAACCTTGACGGAAAAGACCAAATAAAGCAGGGAAGGTCTTCTTCTTGGCTAAATCACCAGAAGCACCAAAGACAACTATTATAGTATTCTTTTCAAATGCTACAGGCATTTGAACAATATGGTCACTCATCTCTTATTTCTTTCTTTTTTAATAACAACAGATGTATATATATATATCAAATTATTGAATTAACTGAATTGTAAAACCTTTTAACAGAGTACTAAGCCAAAATTGTGGTAAATATAGACCAAATAACGATGCACATGTTCCCTGACCATCACCTCCCCCGCTACTAACCCTTATATATATATTAGCTAATGAAAATATTTCACTCCATCCACACCCTGTGTGTCCGTATAAGCCCGCTTCGCCCCTCAAACGATTCATTACTTAAATTGTTTTGCCCGTGGCTCGCAGCTCTGTAAAGGAAACAGATGCGGAGCAACATCGAGAGACCATCGAGAGCTGTGAACCTGTGAACCAGTTCACAGGTTCACTTTTTAGACAAACAGTTTAATGAATTGATATATGTGGATATATATTATATGTCTATGAACACACATCGTTGTGTTTGTCAAGTTTATGTATCAGCAACTCCCGATTAAACATTATTTATGCTATACCAGTGCTGTAGTGGCGGTCTCACTCAATAAAATTGATAGGTCACTACAAGCGGTGTTATACAGGGGCGGTGCCATGCTTTGGAAAAAATATATGTATATAACACACATTTATTTTAAGTGACTCTAAACATTATATATGTATGAATGACAACAAGCTAAGCAAATGACAGATCTCTTATTCATGTATTCTGCAGTATGAATTGCTCCAGTAATCTTGAATATATGAAATTTACCAAGTATTCCCCACTGTAACAATATCCTTCTGTTTATCTTGCGGTTCAGCTGCATGGAATGTATATTCATAAACTCTATCAGAATCTAGAATTTCAGAAGTGTTCCATTGTGTAATGTCTAAGGGGTCGACCATGGTGAATGAACTATGGAATCTTTCTTCTAATTGTTGTGTGAATTGCCTCTTACGTACAGTAGATTGCTCCCCATTTAATAACCCACTCCCATTTAAACAACCTCCAGGGGCTGCATTCACTTCAATGAATTCACTAGAATATGGCTGCGCCACTAATGTACCAAGTCTACCGGTAGTGGTACCAGAAGTAGTAGTACTAGTAGTATTAGTAGAGGATTGACGTTTACGTAATGACTGAACACGACGTTTGGGGAACGAAGAGGTTCCCTTTGGACCACCACGACTTAAATGTCGCACCATGTTTTGAATGTTCCTAAACCCACTTAATTCACTTGCAGACGCAATTGTTTCTCCCGTCTTGACATTGATTAGACGATGCTCACATATATTATTATTTTTACCTAATAATTTCATTATCTTCGAATCCTTAATAAGTTCACTTGATAAAGTTCGTTGTCTAGAGACAATATACTGATATGCAAACCCACCAGAACTACTCCCATGGTTAATACACCAATGTAACTCGGGGTCCCATCCTTCGGGACACATCTCACTTAAGATATCATCCGATGGTGATTTATATTGCTCGAATATTTCATTCAGTTCAGATAACATGGCAACAAATTCCTTAGGTGTAATAACACAATCTACTTCACCTGCACTATCAGGTCTTGAGGCTTCTAATTTCTTATCGAAACAGGCCATTACCCCAAGAACATATAATTTGGTATCTGGTTGAGTCTCTGTCTTGTGATTTTTGTCAAATGTTTCATGTAATAGAGCACCGGTGATCTGCTGTGGAGATTTAACGTTCAATAATAATGGAACCAAATCAGGCTTGGTCTTTTCAGTATATATTACAAACCCTGGGTCTGCAGCAGATAGTCGTGGTCTTGAATCGACTTCATACTCTTTACTTTTTTTCCAATCTGTTAGTTTCTTCACTACTTGTTGTATCGAAACGTTTCTACCAAGTTGTGTTCCCACAACATATTTAGCATCGAATCTTTTTTGAAAGAAGTTCGCAAAACATTTATCAAAATCTGAGATGTCCATTCCATAATAAGTAGCCATCGACAATCTACATTGAGGAGATATGCTGATTGCTAATTTTGTAGTTATATCTCTTTTAGACATTGCCTCTAGAAACACGCCATGTGACTGCTGTTGTAACATAATCTCTTCACTTGATGTAATACACCCAGAACATGCCAAACAATCACTCAGTGTGATGGTCACTTTCTCCAACACTTCATCTTCACCATCGTCAACACCAACTTCATATTCACCTAATGCATTAACATTACTCTTTACTTTAGTACGTTTAATCTCGGTTGGTTTTGTACAGGCCAAAGCAGGACTAATAAAATCGTTCAGATCTTCTTCTGATAATAACGACATTATGTGCCTGATCCTATGATTCAAACCTAATATTTCCAGATCTTCTGAATTATCCAAAAAAATCTTTTGACGTATTCCTTAAGTAAGACAGCTATCTGACGATAACTAGTTTTGCGATGACTAATCAATTTAATGGTATATCTTTATTACGTATGAAAAACTGTGGAATTGAATTATTATCGTTTCAGCCTCGTAAAAAATGACTTGGTTTCGGGTTGGACTGAAATTTAACCTTTGACACATTTCTTATCTCTGTTGGAAATTCCTTAAACAATCGGTAATAACTTTAGCTTCTGCACCCCCAGATAGTTTTAAATGAAGTTCATCCCAATGACGGGAGTGGTTTTTGAGATAAATGTATAAGTAGCACTATGAAGAGGTTCGCCAATATAAGTCGTTTCTCTAAAATATTCAGTCGTACTATAATGACCTCCTCTGTTAACATTACTTCATTGAAATCTTGGAATAAAGAGTTCCAAACCGATTTATCCTACAGTCTAGCCTCCACAGTTCTTAAGAATTACAATGCAGACGATCTTTTGCTAGATAAATCTCGTTTACTCTCTCAGGATAAGCGTGTCTTCAATGTTAGTTTACCTGGTGAAACTGTCACCCCTGTAACTAATCAAAAGGCCTCAGGTAGATGTTGGTTATTTGCTGCTACCAATCAGTTGCGTCCCAATGTGGTTAAGAAACTAAACCTGAAGGATTTCGAATTATCTCAAGCTTATTTGTTTTTTTACGATAAGTTGGAAAAGGCTAATTATTTCTTAGATCAAATTGTTAGTACTAAAGATGAAGCTGTTGAATCTCGTTTGGTTCAATATTTGTTGACTTCCCCAACTGAAGACGGTGGTCAATATAGTATGTTCCTTAACATTGTGAAGAAGTACGGTCTGCTACCTAAGGATCTTTACAACGATACTACTTACTCTACTACTGCATCTCGTAAACTTAATGCATTGTTAACTACTAAGTTAAGAGAATTTGCTCAACAATTGAGAGATGCATTGGCTTCATCTTCCGACGATCATAGCATCGTTAACTCAATGAGATCAGATATGCAAAAGGAAATCTTTAAGATGATGTCCATGTTTATGGGATTTCCACCAGTGACACCAACTGAAACCTTTAAATGGGAATATCAAGATAAGGATAAGAATGTCCATGTACTAGAATCCACTCCCTTGCAATTTGCAGAAGAGTACTGTGGTTTGAAACTATCTGAAAACAAATTACCTGTTTCTTTGATTAATGATCCAAGACATGAATATGGTAGATTGATTAAGATCGATAGATTAGGTAATGTTATTGGTGGCGATGATGTATTATATTTGAATGTTGATAACGATACTTTATCCAAATTGGTGGTCAGTAGATTACAAGCAGGTAAAGCAGTCTTCTTTGGTTCCCATACCCCTAAATATATGGATAAGAAAAACGGTGTGATGGATATCCAATTATGGAACTATAAAGCTATTGGTTACGATTTAAAACAAGATAAGCAAAACAGAATTAAATATAACGAAAGTTTAATGACACACGCAATGTTGATTAACGCATGTCACTTGGACGAATCTGTTAGCAAAGATATTCCAGTCCGTTATCGTGTAGAAAACTCCTGGGGTAAAGACTCAGGAAAGGACGGTTACTACGTCATGACTCAACAATACTTTGAAGAGTATTGTTTCCAGATCGTTGTTGACTTGGAGGACCTCCCACAGGAACTTGCCAAGGCCTTTGTTTCTCCATCCGAACCGGCGATTGTTTTACCACTATGGGACCCAATGGGTGCACTAGCAGACTGATCCACCTATTTTTCTTGTCTATTCCATTGTCTACCCAAAATTTACAGATGTTTAAATATATATATAAATAGAAATAGTTTGTATGCAAACCCAGTATGTCATCAAATCCTGTTTTCCATTAGAAAAAAATCAGAAGAAAGAGAGAAAAAGCCGTTGCAACAAAGAAACTTCAATAAGGCGAACGACAAATTCAAGAAAACAACGACGAGATGCGGGAAACGTAACAAAATGAAACCATATCGTGTTTTCCATTAATTAATAATTATTGAATTTAGAACTTGTAATGACAGCACTAATTGATGTTGAGAATGGAATGTTTTAGACAAATCAATCTTTAGTTCTGATGATCTGAGTTCAGCACTTTCGACTTAGCCTGAGAAGTAACTATTATAGGTGATTAATAACTTTACAAGTTCATAATTTTTCATTATTTCCTATATTTGAAATATATAAAGATCGTTGTAGGGTCTAGCATATTTGAACCTTTTATTTATTGATAATAAATAGCATATTATCATAAAATCATAGGCATTAACAATCATTCTGCTTTAGGTTTTGTTTTTTTGTTTTGTCTACTACTTTTGGCATTTAATGCTTTAGTCATTTTCATTGCATTATTATTTTCAATTACACAGATCGATAAGTGATAATATTATTGAAACATTTACTACTTCTATTATTCGATTTGATATTTACTAATCGCATACATCCGTAGATCTTCTTCTCCACCCAAACCCACATTTGTGCTATATATAGTCTACAATGATTGGAACGTCAACTTTACTATCTATTTATACATGGTCTTTACTGTTACAAGTATGTATGACCGAAAAGGTACCCGAAAAGGATCATAACTCAAAACAATATTTTACAATAGAATCTAATCTCACACGAGAAGAATTACAAACATTACATCCTTCGTGGACATTTGAGCATGATGTACGTGGTCTATTGAACCATTATGTCTTCTCCAGTACATTACACATATTAAATAAACGATTCGATCATAGTGATTTACCTGGAGTTATATCATTTGAAGATTTACCATCTCAAAAAAATACTTTGTTTAAAAGATTACCTGTCCCAGATGTACCGATGGATTCCAGTATGTTACCAATAAAAGAAGCTGAAGAAAAATTGAAAATTAATGATCCAAATTTTGAAAAACAATGGCATTTAATAAATCCTGCATTCCCAGGGAATGATATAAATGTAAAGCAGTTATGGTATGATAATATTACAGGGAATGGAGTTGTTGCAGCCATCGTAGATGATGGTCTAGATTATGAAAACCCTGATTTGAAAGATAATTTTTGTGTAGAAGGTTCTTGGGATTTCAATGATAATACAAATTTACCAAAACCTAAACTAAAGGATGATTACCATGGTACTAGATGTGCAGGTGAAATTGCCGGAGTGAAAAATAATGGATTTTGTGGTATTGGCGCTGCGTATAACGCAAAAGTATCAGGTTTGAGAATCTTATCTGGTGACTTAACAGCTGAAGATGAAGCAGCCTCTTTGATGTATGCTTTAGATATAAATGATATATATTCATGTTCATGGGGACCTGCTGATGATGGTACTCATTTACAGGGACCATCAGATTTAGTGAAAAAGGCCTTTATTAAAGGTACCAATGATGGTAGAGATAAGAAAGGTGCCATATATGTCTTCGCCAGTGGGAATGGTGGTGCATTTGGTGATAATTGTAACTATGATGGTTACACAAACTCAATATATTCTATCACAGTGGGCGCCATCGATCATAAAGGTCTACATCCGCCATATTCGGAGAGTTGTTCTGCAGTTCTAGTAGTAACATATTCATCTGGTTCAGGTGAATATATTCATTCGACTGATATTGGTGATAAATGTAGTGATCATCATGGTGGCACTTCTGCTGCTGCACCATTGGCTGCTGGTATATATGCTTTGTTACTAGAAGCCAACCCTAATTTGACATGGAGAGATGTTCAATATTTATCAATCTTATCTTCAAAAGAAGTAATGAATAGCGACGGTAACGGACAAATGGGGGCATTGAACAAGATGTATTCTCACCGTTATGGTTATGGTAAAATCGACGCATTCGAATTGATATCATTGGCCAAAGAATGGAACAATGTTAACCCACAAGCATGGTTTTATCCACCAACCAAATATTCTAATCAATGGACAAATACTAGTGCTGAAGATTTAGAGTCGACAATTATAGTCACAAAAAAAAATCTAAAAGCAGCAAATTTGAACTCTGTTGAACATATTGTTGTCACAGTTGACATAGCAGCAGATATTAGAGGTAAAGTAGTTATTGATTTAGTCTCACCATTTGGTATGGTATCGAACTTGGGTGTCGAAAGAGAAAGAGATAATTCCGGTGAAGGTTTCCCACACTGGTCCTTTATGTCCGTAGCTCATTGGGGTGAATCTGGTGTTGGTGATTGGAAATTACAAGTCCGTTCTTTACAAGATGGTAATAGTGTCAAAGTCAATAGTTGGAGATTAAAATTATATGGTGAATCTATTGATCCTTCAAAGAGTAAAATTTTTGAGTTTGGTAATGATAGAGAGGCATTAGATGATAGTTCATTAACAGGGAAACCATCGGAAACTACAGAACCCACAGATCCTACACCTGAATCGGAAACAGCAAAACCTTCTCCAACTACATCAGACGATAATTCAGATATGGATGAGACATTAGATCATAATAAACCAAAACGTATATCCTCGCCAAGAGATGCAATGCATTACTTCATTTCAGTGTTCATTATTGGTGTTGTTTTCTTACTTTTATATTTTTCTTTTTTTGTTAAATCAAGAAGAAGAATAAGAAGAAGCAGAGCTGAAACGTATGAATTTGATATTATTGACACAGATTCCGAATATGATTCTACATTGGACCCTGCTAATATTTCAGCTAATAGAGCTGTTGAGACAGATGAACTAGAAGATTTTGATTTTGATTTATCTGATGAAGATAACTTAGTTAATCAAGACGGTCAGGAAACGACAGGCGACGAAATCTTACCTAATAGTAATAACATGGACACGAGCATTGATAAGATCCTTGAAACAAACCCATTTGAAGAAGTTGACGATTTTGAGGATAAGAATGAAGGACATGTACCAAATGATGATAATACAGAAACACCTCCATCTACTAAAGAAAACTAGTGTTAATTCTAGTATAACGATTCAACCATCATCACCTCAAACAAAATTTAAAAAAAAAATTAAAATATATACTAAACTCTTCACAGACTATATAATGCATTCTTTATAAAAATAGGATAATAAAAGTCCCTTTTAAACATTAAATCTGCTTGTCTAGTTAACTATTACGTACGAAAGATGGAATAACTTGTTTGCTTATTATCGTCGTCTCGGCCGATTTATGCGGATTTCGGAGTAAATGACACAAGTTAAAGCACAGCAAAAAGTCAAAAGTCCTCAAATAGCGAACTGAATCGATCTCCGTTTCCTCATTTCGGTTCTCAACAGAGAACCAGGTTACTTCAAGGATAGAAAGGTACGTTCTATTGTGATATGTTTTAATGAACTGAAAGACCTTATAAGATATTGGTGGATTGGATAATATATAGTATTCTTTAAAAGAACAAACCAAATATATTGCGATCTAATGAATAAAAATGTTGCAGGAGCACATAATTTGCTCCTATTATTGATATGTTTCATCTTACCAGTAATTGCTATTCAACCTAGAGATATGCACATGATGGGTATGGATGATACGGATGAGTTGACAAGTCCAGAAATCACGAACGGTGCAACCAAGTCATTCCACTGGATTGCTACAGTTTTCTTCTTATTTATGTTGCCAGGTATTTCTACTGCGTATTCATTTGCCAAAAAGACTCATACAGCTGTTTTATTTCAATGTATATCCGGTGCATATGCATTATTAGAAGCCATAATTTTAAGATTCCCGGACAGTGAAAATGTTGAGAACTCTACTTCTAGAGCAGCAGCGTGGATTGTCCTAGTGCTCACTAGTATTTCATTGTTTTTTGGTATGTTGAGTAGTGGAACTAAACTGGTTATATCCAATAAGAGACTAAATAAATTTGCAACTGCGACTGGTGAAAGAACATTAAACGTGATACACTCATATTTGTCGATGTTTACAACTATTGTAGGATGGGTCAAAGTTTGTCTGGCACCTGTCTCAATGTTTGGGTTTTGTAGAGATGGTCACACTGGACAATGTTTAGCTCACGGAATTATGGGATCTAGTTTTGTACTATATGGGTTCATTTACTCCATGGTTTTGCAGGTTCCGTGGTTAAGAAATTCTAATTCATCATATAGTCAAGATTATATCGACAGTTGGATTATGTGTTTATATGGTATTGTAAATACATTTACTGAACATAGATGGGGTAGAGAAGAATGGTTTATGCATGATTATCAACACACTGCAATGGGTATTATATGGTGGGCTGGTGGTCTCCTAGGTATTTATTTAGGCAGACATAACAAGAGAACTTTCATTCCAAGTTTGTTAATTATTTTTACAGGTTGGTCAATGACCCAGCATTCTCAACGATTAATAATAAGTACTAACGTTCATTTATTTTTTGGGATTATTCTTATGGTGGGAGGTACATTGAGAATATTTGAAATTAGTGTCTTGTTAAGGGACAAAAGGTCCGCTGGTGAAATATTATCTTTCCAATATCTTGCCCCATTTTGTCTTGTGTCAGCAGGTATCTTATTTATGGGAGCCACCGAAGAGCAAGTGACATTGGTGTTAAGATTGGGTGCAGATCACAGTTCATATATCTTAGTGGCACTTTCTGGTGCATTCTTAGTCTACTTCTGGATCCTTGTTTGTTTGGATCTTTATGTCTATCTAGCGGAAGGGCATGATAAAATTGGATTTTTAGATAAGTATGTTGATTCTACGCAAGGTATGGATACCCCCGCAGAATTCGAGTTCGACGAAGACATAAACGACGACCCAATTGATGTTAGATCAGAGAGTTTTGAGATGTAAAAAATCGTATTACAATTCATAACAGTCTTTTTTATATAGTGGAATAATTTCATTCACTTCTGCTTTTCGAAGTTGTTTTCATTTTTCGACAATACGTATTTTATTTTGTATATTCTTATAAATTGTATATATTCATTCATTATACATACTAATTATGTTAAGATTGTCTAGTTAATGTCAAGATATCTATATCTTCTTCACAACCATTGCAAGCACTTTCTACTGCCTGAAGTTATCTCACTCGTTCCCAATCCTTATTATATTATGCTAACTATCATGAGTTTTCCGAATAGTCAACGCAGAACAAATAAATTGAAAAAAAAAACATAACCACATTGAGAATTTAATAATCAGTAACAGAGAAGAAGAAAAGGAACAAAAGGTACAAATCACCTAGAATCACTTCAATTAGAGTTATTGCTTAAGTATCTGTTGATCACTAAGAATATTCTGCGATTTATACGGCAATAGAATAAGAATTGTTATTCGATTATTCTAGTGTAATATAACTTCATAGTATTTGAAACATACTCTCACGTCAAAATAACCACCATTAAATATGCTTGATCAACACCCTGTGTCTTGGTCTAAGAATGGTATCATTGCATACAGCGACTCTAATTCGACAAAAGGTAACTTATGTATAACCTTTTTAGAAAATATTAATGGTAGTAATTGGAGATTTCATCCACCTGCAAAATATGTGATACACCCTCAATTACATGAAATTTCAACAAATAGTGGAAATAAGAAACTAGCTTCTAGCGGCAGCAATACAACTACTGCTACAGCTGTAGCTACAGTCGGAAGCTCTACCACTGCAGGTAGTAGTGGTTCTCCTCCTCAATCTACAACAACTTCAAATGGAACCTCATCGAATAGTAAATCAAGCAATCATTTCTTTTATAACATTACCTCGATTCACTGGAACAACTGGTTTAGTCTTCCAGGGGATATGCTAGCTGTTTGTGATGAACTAGGTAACATGACTATGCTGATAGCAGGACAAAGTCCAGAAGGGGCCACCACGTTTGAAAAATTGACTATGCTGTTTCAAGATAATATTTATAAGATCCATAACCATGTAGCACCTTTAACACAACAGATTGATAAAGAATCTGAGTTTAAGATTGAAAGGAAACACACAAAAAAAGAATATAACACCCGTATTTTAGATTTCCATTGGTTGAGTTCCTCAAAGAGTATCATTATATCCCAATTTTGTGCATTTGACTCAACGTCTAATGTTTATAGAAATAAGGCACTTCAAATAGCCCCAAGTGGTGTCTTTTATCCTCCATTTATGAAATATGCTTGTATGGCTGTGAGAAGAAATGGTCAACTAGATTTTTGGTATCAATTTTCAAACTCTAAGGATCATAAAAAGATTAATTTACATCTTTTACCCTCTCAAAACCAAAGACTTAAAGAATTGGACTGGTTCCAATTTGCCAGAATTACTCCTATGAAGGATGATCAAAGTATACTTGTTAGCGGATATTCGAAGATAACAAAGAAGATATGCTTCTATAAAGTATTAGTTAACTGGAATACACCTAGTGCGAACAAGAACAATGCATTAAATGATCCAACACTGATTGTAACACCAATTTTGGAAGTTCCACTTTCCACAATTGACGATGAAGGAAGAGTATTGAAATTTTACGATCTCGTCGTCTTATCGAAGACAGCAATTGATAAAGACACATCAGCAGAAGTTCTTGTTGTTTATCATATATGTGGTACTCAGAAGACATTAATAAAGAGATTTAAATTGATGAATTCTTATCTGACCATGGATTTCTTAAGTGTTTTGAAACCAGGTATTGAATCAATCAACGGTGGGAATATGCAACCAATAAAATCGAAACATTATACGTTACGTCATGGACATGATATATTTTTGGACAAGAGAGTCTCAAATATCACTACTGAATTGTTGGATAATTTTGTGACATTTTTTTATGATAATGGTAGTGTTGATGTATTTAATCAAAATGATTGGAATAAAGAAAGAGAAAGAATTAAGTCCCAAAATAATAAATCTAAATTTTTGAATGTAATGACTTCTGCATTAAGTACAGGTTTGAGTTTTAGAAATATACCATTATCCAGTGCTATTGAATGGGTAAGATTAAGTCCGACAATGACGGGTATTATATATAAATTAAAGACAGATAATGTTCCAAGGTTTTCTACTTTAACGAGGTCGGACCTAACAGATGCTTCCATGGATGAATTAGATGCCATTGCATTTGCGTTCACATTCGTCAATAGTACACATCGGCAATTATCTGCAGAGGATCTCTCTGTGGCTTGTAAATCACATATTATAAATTTGTCAGAAATTAGTGAGGATAGAGCTAAAGACTTTATAATGACATTGATGTCTAACTTATACCCATTCTTTAATGTTTCTCCAGATGCTCCTAAGGACATAATGGATAAGATGATATCTAGTAGACCAATTCAAAAGATAATGTTATTGCAGCTTGAACTTGGTACTAGACTCAAGGATGAAAGAATAGCACAAATGGCAAGGGTTATTTTATATTTGAAAAATGTTTTATTTGCATTCAATGGTGTAGCACGAAATTTACAGTTTGCTATTGAACAAATGAATAATGGGAATTCAAATGCGTCCACCAAAATGTTTCAAACATTGTTCTCCAAACAAGATCTGATTTATTCTTTGATTCCTATCGCCAATTGGTTTGTTAAATTTGTTACATTTTTAATACAAGAGGTGTTGTTGCTTGTTAATAACCCATCTGAAAGTAAGAATACTTTGGTACTAGGTGTCTTTGGAGCTAAAATGCCTCGTCAATTAATATTATCTGTATTAAATGAAATAAAAAAGATAATGCAAATAATATCCAAGTTTCCAGAAACTACATATCCTGTGTTGAATGAATCTTCTACATATTTACGTATGGTATTGAGTGACACACCTGTCAACTTTGAAAAGTTTGAGACATTCTTGGTTGATGTGAATAATAAATTTACAGCATTTAGTGAACAGCAACCAGCATCGGAGAAGGATAATATCTTAAAGAGAGAATATTCATTGTTAATACAAGCTGAGGTTCCGCCTTCTCATGCTAGAATTTCTGATTTCCTAGTAGCCTATTCATGTAATGCAGTTATTTCTCATATCAAGCCGTCCGATGTCTACTTTACAGATACTACGGGATTGAGATTAACAGATACAGAATTTTTAGAAGCAGATTTCTCCCATCTGTTACAACCTCTGTCCAAGGGGGTTGTGGTAAATCTTTTATCAGATGATCAGAATTCGTCTAAAAGATTCAGTCAAATGATAATCGATGGTGTTACGTATGATAAATTTAGTCCTAAAGAACTTGAAAATGGCAAGATGAAGCGTTGTAGTAGGTGTGGTGCAGTTACAAGAGCAGGCTATGTTATCGCAGAGGATAAGACCATTGTCCCAACCTCGATCCATACTAAGAGATGGCCTACCATGTATACCCGTACATGTATATGTTCGGGTATGTTGTATGAATTACAGCATTAATTATGTAATTATTAAAATGATTATCATATCATCTAAATACATTTTTTGTTTATAATAAACATGTATATCAGTTGATGTACGTAATCAGGAGTCACTCTTTTGTTCATTTGTTGTATCCCTTTCTTTGAGGGTGCCCGCAGCAATGAAATAAAAGTTCCGTGGCTAAAAAATTTTCATACATTTAGCTCCGTTGTAATAGCAACGGAGTTGTACCTCGAGGAAACTGATCAACATCTATCGTTTTTATTTCAGGTTTTGGGGAGGTGTATTAAATGGTTTGATCTTCGTAGTTCCTAGCAACATCTTTTAAATTATATCGTACAATAATCTAGCAAATTCTATGCTCATTGTTGGTTTATCAATCTAACTCTTCACATATATTGTTATTGCCTATTAGAACAGGGTTCATATCAACAAGAGAATTATATATTACTTTTAATCTAAAGACTAAAATAAAGGCAAGGAGGAAAGTACCTCATAATTGTATAAATAAAACAACGGTTTGAATTTCAAGAATAAAGAGATGACGATTATCGACGATGGGGCTAGCAGTAGTATTACTGGATCAACTTATACTACGAGTACTGATACAACAACATCTAGTCTAGCAACTGGTGAAAAACCATTCGACCCGACAAAGGATAATATTGGCCTGGTGTATACCGTTCCGGATGACGATACTACAATATCTCCTGTGATCTCTACTATTTCTTCCAGTGATCCAAGCTCGTTAAACAGAGTTACATCATCGCAAATGTCACGGTTATCAAGGACTGAAAGTTTGTTTAGAGATAATAGAATTGGGAATAACGGTAAAGGTTCTTCATATAATGATGATTTTTATGATTACGCACCTAGTGATGTGGATTCCGTATTGACTAGGTCCACTAAGAAAATTGAACTTAAACTGAATAATAAACAAAAAATTTTAATCGTATCATCATGGAATCTTATTTTAAACGATGACTTGACTGATAATGACTTAAAACAATTTTCTCACATGGCAAATATTCTTGAAAAGCAAAGTTCACATCATCGTCATCATCAGCACCATCATAATCATGTGCGTAACGAATCTAGTAGTTCTTCAAGTGACATATTAGAAAAATATGATTCCGAGAACAGTGGAAGAAAATACAGTTGGTCATCCTTTTCGAATAATGGTGACGATTCTACATTATCTATATTAAAGGACACTGATTTCAATAGAAAGAAATATGATGACGCAAATATAAGCAAATCATTGTTTTGTACACAGTTCTTCGATAATCTAGTTAATATTGATCAGCAAATGCTACAAGCTTATCCAACTTTGAGACATCAAGCAGTTTCGTTTACAATATTATTGGATTCAGCAATTCAAAATTTGGATAATATAAAAAAGATAGACGAACAATTAAGAAGCACAGGTAAACGTCATACAAGAATCCTAGGAATTGATAACACTAAATTTGAAGTAATGGGTCGTGCATTCATTATTACTTTACAAGATAGATTGGGTCATTATTTTACATCAAACTTAGAACGAATATGGTCAAAGTTATATTCTTATTTGGCAGATAGTTTATTAGTGTATGGTGTCGATCCGGTTTTAACTGAGACTAAGAGTCATGATATAGGAATAGTTTCTGGGAACTCTATCGATTTTGATCCGCCGGAGATAATAGGTCATCAGGATAACCCAAAGAGGGTTCTTCTTGAAGGTGATACCAAAGCCAGATTGCAGAAAGTACGCTCTGCACCAGCATGTGCAAAAGGTATCCATCACCCAACGGTCAAGAATATGCCACGGCATACATCTGTGGCTTCGAAGAATAAAGAGTGTTGTATAATGTAGAATTACAACAATTGAAAACTCTATCGCATTTTATATACAAACACACACATATATATCTAAATGCGATAGTATGAAGGCTTTATACAAGTAATTTCATACATACACAAACTTAGTAAATAATTGCATCCATCACATAATACCTAACAAAATTAACCAGGTCTCCATCAATCAATCAGTCAATCAACATACCCAAAACGGAATAGTTATTATCACTTGTCAGTTTTGCTGTTCTTCTTCTTGCTAGCTGGTTCTATTGTTGTAAAAATAACTTCTTTTTAACTGAAAGGAGAAACAAAAATATGAAACGCGTCGCACTTTACTGAAAGCTCAGCAGAACCGCGAAATAATTAATTATCTTTTTTTTTTTTTGTTTTCTGAGATTTGCTAATGAATGATTTCGTTCTTCTTCCTCTGATTGCCATACAATGCTAATATAAGTGTGAATGAACGTGAACTTATATGAAACTGGTTCCACTTGAACTCTAGTTTTCATCATCTATAGGGATATATATATAAGAATAATTGAAGATCTTTGAGTATCGGATTAAAAATAAGAGAGTTTAAGAATTTGATTCCTAAAGTCGCAGTTGGCAATACTCTAATATATTTCTCAAATTATTCATAGTACCTGGGTCAACGAAGTGATCTGCTGTATATATACTTACAATGACAAACCATGATAAGGAGTTTGAAGCTTCCGATCTTCTGAACAGTTCTTTCTACTCCTCTAAATCTATCAATGCTTTGGAACATTCTCGAACTTTTAGAAACTCATTGCTATTAAAGGAGATGTCAGATAATTCATTGAATATGTCTGTTAGTTCCATGCAAGATATGAACAATAGAAAACGTTCTCCTACAAAAATAAATGATGCTAATACTACTAATTGTTTGAATTCTTCAGAACCTGGAAGCAATTCAAGGAAAGATGAAGTACAGACTGTAAATATGACTACTTCGCCTTCATTGAGTGCATTATCTGAGATTTTAAATGAAAAATCCAAAAATGCTGATAGAATGATGAGAACGAGTAGGATTTTCGAGAATTCGATAGTAGAAGAAGAGGAGGAGGAGCCAGAAGAGAATCAAAATATAAAAGAAACTGTTATGGTTACATCCTCTCCAAATTTAATTGATATAGATGATTCTCCAAATGGAATGCAATTTTCTAATGTGAATTTAAATACTACAGCAGAACAACCAGATTTCTTGACAACTCCAAAAGTGGAACAGAGTATTCCGAGACATCAATTACCAAATTATACAATCCCAGAAACTTTAAATGAATTGGAGGAAATTGAAACCGAGCAAACTGTAGTAGACGATAATAACAATAATAATAATAATTACAACAATTACAACAATTACAACAAACGTCATAGTGTTAGTCTCGCAACTGCAGGTAAAGAAGTTCCATCTCCCAAAAAATATATGAATTCCAAGAAGACTTCGATGGAATCACAAAAGAAAGTTGAGCATGTCGAGGAGGAGAAACCTTCTCAAAATACATATGCAGAAATAATGAAAGGCGTAGCGTCTAAACAAAATCAACAGCATAATTCAAAGATTGAAATGAAAAAGACTAGATTATATAAACAGGATGCAGTTAAAAAGAATACCGAAAATAGGAAATCAACTCCTGCTGCCCCTACACAGAAGAAGAAGAAAAGTATATTTTCATTTTTGAAAAGGAAAAATTCAAGGTCCATCTCTGAAACTATCAATGCCAACTCTGCTAATACTGATAAAGAATTGGATAAAGGAATGCCAACTTCGGCAACATATTCTCACATATCGTCCCATAGGGAAGAAGAACCTGAGCCAACTGAAAAAATTTCGAAGAAATCACATAGCAGCAATTCTTTATTTAATACTTTACGCAGGAAATCTATAGTACCAGATACATTAAATGTTCCAAATGCTCAAACAGGAAAAGATGTAGATGTTCCAACTACTAAACAAGTTTCGGATGTATCCAATACTACCGAAGGAAGTTTGCTTTCCGCAACATCAACACCAACGAAACCTGACTCAACAACAATTGCATCATCTACGGCATCTCCACAGAAATCTATAGATAAACCGCTGCATAATAATAAACAGAATAAAAGGAATCCGACACCTTTGAATTTTGAAAATACATTAATTGCTTCTTCAAATGATACCAAACTGGTGAAGGAATTGCCAATTATACCTAATTTTGATGCTCCTAGTTTTCCAGATAGTTCTCAAAAGAGAGATTCTGGTGAGGCTTTCTTTCCAAAATTGTTAGATGCCGATGAAATTGATTCGATTGTAAAAATTGAAAGAAATAGATCTCAACGTTCAGGAAGTTTAAGGAGAATGTCAATTGATACATTATCTGTTCATGCGCAAAGTGAAGGTATGGTCGTCACTACTGCGTCAGATATTATTTTATCTACACCTGATCTCTCAAAGAGTCCTGCAAGTAGTATTTTAAGAAGTGGGAGATTTGATAGAATAGATGCATATCCTTCGAATAATTTGCATTCGGATATTGATGATGCTTTTGACGTTGACGTTATAGAAGATAACCAGAACTTATTAGCCTCTGTCGAGGAAAAATTAGATCAACTAACAAATGATTATAGAAAAGAAAATGTATATGACTCTCAAATTCAAAAAGATCTTAAGCAAACAAATATTACAAACGATGATGCAAATGACGACCCTGAATTGATGAGTGATATCATGGAGTTCGCAGATCTCATAAATTTCGGCGAAGGTATTGATCTGGATATGGATATGAATCAAAATAATAAAAATCCAGAAGATTCATTTAGATCCACATTAGCTCCAGCTTACATTGATGTTGATATTGCAAAAGAAGATCCAGAAGAATCTGAAGGATTATCAGATGGAGGTTATGATCATTTTATTTCCTCAGAGCAAGAAGGTTTGGGTATCCAAATGAACCAAGACGAGTATGACAATTTCGAAATAAATAATGATGATTTTGATCATGAAAATTTCAATGACATTATTGAAGACCATGGCATGGATGATATTGTTCCTCAAAGAAAACACAATGTTTTAGATTCAGATTTCGAAAGTAACGATAGACCTATCTCCATGTCATTCAGGGGACTAACTGGTCCTTCATTGAACTCTACGATAATGGTTGACTCAAATGAGCTTCAAGAGGTTGCTACAATAGAAAATGAACAAGAAGAACAAACTAAAGGTTGTGTTACGTTTTCTGCAAGTATAATATTATATGAGACATATGGTGAGTTTGAATATGATAGACATCCGGATATAGGAACTTGTAACCAACTGACACCTCAATTGGCTCAAATGATTAAGGTAGAATTGAATGAATTGAAGAACAACATGGAGGTTCATGAATCTTCAAAATGTTACACGCAGTATTTTTAGAAGGTTCAATTAGACAGTAATAATATATATTCTAAATAATGTAGTTAAAAGCATAATAATACAATTATTATTTTTTATCTAATTTGAAGGTAGATCGTACTTTGTAATATTTATTTTTGCCTTATTCCAAAGTATAAGTAACTAACACTTAGGAATCCATTTGAGACGATAAATTTTTGCCTCGCGATGACTTGAAAATTTTTGTAAAGGCATATATAGAAGACTTGAAAATAATTAAACTCAATAACAGAAAAGTTTACTGGTGGCCAAACTTAGAGTACGAATACGCTTTCTTCGATTATCATTGAACCACATCAAATAGATTAAAACTATATACACACGATTATTATGCAGGGACTACCAGAACAAGCAATTCCAGGGCAGATCTTAGCTCCGCAGTTTGATCTTTTAGAACCTGTTGTAACTAATAATACCAATGGTGATAATGACACCCCCATGAAGGAAGACCCTACGATAATAATGTATATAAATGGTACCGGTACAAAACTAATAAATTATCCGATTAATAACAGTTCCACAAATAGTAAAGAACTGACAGTTATCTCAAGTACCAAACTTGGTAAGGTGTATTCATATGATGTTGATGCCCCTGCAGATTATAAGAATCTTGATCAATCAAGAAAGATACAGTTTAAAATGATTAGTGTAGGTAATAGCGAGCTTATGAAGCAAAGTCAAGGAAGAAGTGAAAGTAACAATATATTGCCTAGAGAAGGGGATGTTATTATTTGCCGTGTGAGCAGGATTTCATTGCAAAGAGCTAATGTTGAGATTTTAGCTGTTAGTACTAAAAATATTCCAATTGATAGTGGTGTAGGGACAAATGGTACAGGTACAGTTGCTGTACAAGGTGGGTCAGGTGCACAAACATTCTCTGTATCACAAGCATCTTCAGATGTAGGTGAGACATTTAGAGGCATAATTAGATCACAAGATGTAAGGGCCACTGATAGAGATAAAGTTGTAATGATTGATTGCTTCAAACCTGGTGATATCGTTAAAGCACAAGTAATTTCTCTTGGTGATGGTAACAATTACTACTTAACGACAGCACGTAATGATCTCGGTGTTGTATTTGCAAGGGCAAACAATGGTGCTGGTGGGTTGATGTACGCCACAGATTGGTTAAGTATGACCTCGCCATTATCAGGTATTACTGAAAAACGTAAATGTGCAAACCCATTCTAATAATGATGGTTATGCATATTATATAATAACATGGATTTATATATTTAATCATTGAAATAAATCAGCGATAATTAAGCACTGACTAAAATTATTTTAAAAAGGAATAGAATGTTGACAATAAATTGTTCGAATTTATAGTAATACTTTGATATTGAAATGGGTACAAATTATGTAAATATTTATAATTTTAAAAAGTTTATGTATGTATAAATCTATGGAGACGTAAGCAAATGGTTATGAATGGAGGTGACGTTAATAAGTTTAAGAAAAAACAGAATGAATTAATGATGATATGAGGATGGATAATGAAATATTAATTGCATAATACTTAATCAAAATGCGGTTGGAAACAAAAAATTAAGGTTAGAAGATAAATGAAATGGTTAGAAAAACTAGAATTTAGCTTTTAACATTCTATAAAATTTTAGGCACATTATTATGCCTCTACAGGGAACAACATTTCTTCATGATCACCTCTTAAGTCTAGTTCACTAAGACCAATGACACTACCGAATTTTTGGAATCTTGCTAAATAATGTTCTCTTTTCTCCTTAGCTAAATCATTTAAGTTTGGCCAATATACGTCATGTTTATAAGTGAAAGCAAGATCACCCCCATAAAGGTAATCTAATTGATCTAATGGTACATATTTTGAAAAAGGTTCATCGAAAACCAATTTTTCACGAGTTAAAGGATCGATGAAAGGATGTATCAATTTAAGGAAAGTCCAAGCTAACCATGGAATATTTGTTAAAAGAGCTTTACCTAATCTTTCTGGATAATGGGTCTGTAAGATATGTAATACCTCTTTCCCGACACCAATAGGAGGAATCTTACTATTACCTTGAACCTTTGGAACATCCGGATATTCTTTGAAATCGATCAAAAGTGCTAATGAATCTTGTCCTGGAGGCATGAAATCAATGACTCTTTCTAACATGAACACTAAATGTTGTACTTGTCTATGAGAAGTCTTGGTATTTTGTCTACCAGGTTTCAAATATAAGATAGGTCTTGCATCATTTTCATAACCCATAATAACATTCTTACCTGATTCATTTTCAATGCTTACAGAATCTGATGTTATGACATCTCCATTTTCTTCACCAAAATGACTAATACCAAATTCTCTTCTCCAAGCAATCGATCCAGCTATTCTATCTTTACAATCATCTACTACCCATTTAGTGGCTCTCAAATAACGACAAATACATTCTCTAGTGACCCAAGCTTTTTCGATTTCGGTTAAAGGAGCAGAATTTTCATCAGTTTCAGGAATGTTATCCTTAATTTGTTTTTCACTATTTGGAATTCTTAAATCAGGATTTTGGAAATGTTTTAAAACAATTTTATATTTTTTAGTTTGTTCTTCATCAAGTTTCTTCTCATCTGGGATTGTGATTGAATTTGGTATATTACCAATTGGTTTATCGATCTTAATCAAGTTTTCTTTTTTCTTTAAATCAGAATCAGAAGGTTCTTCTTTCTTCTTAGAAAATCTTTTAAACATATTTGACTAAAATGATATATATTTTAATATACTTTTATTGATTGTTTGTATTTTACAAGATCTTGTTGATAAAATAATCTACTGATTAAAAAAAAAATAACGTTAAATAATGAACAAAAAAAAAATTATGGATAATTGAAAAATTATTACACCCTGCATATATATAGTACATATACCGATTAAGAGACCAAGAAGATGAATGGTAATGATGCAAGTGAAAAATGTTTACTTGCATAACAACCGACCAAAATCCATAGTTATCGTTAATAATAACGATAAAAGCTAAAGAGTTGCACTAACTTTGAATAATAATAAAAATTTAGTTAAACGAGAGGCAGATAGATCATACAGGGTTCGCGTCTATGAAGGGACGATATTATTCAATTCGCGTAACGTAATGTTTATTCAAGTTCATAATTGCTATGTGAGATGACTGTTTCGTCCGTTAAAGCAAATAAAAGGTATTCTTCAACTCTTTCAATTTTTCAATTTTCATGCTAAATTTGTGCTTCTTGCTTTCTGCCGACAAAAAAAATTTTCACTTTTCGCTGCTCGCTGCTTGCTGTTTGGGGGGATTTTCTCGATTGAAAATTTTTTGATTTTTTTCGTTCGCCGCCGCTGTGATTCGCTCGTTATTTCCGCGGCAGGTCATGTGGCGGGTGAAATATGCATTTCTGGATGTTCAGTGAATTGTCCGTACCAAGAAAGCCAGATAATAATAAATTTATCTGGTATTTCATATACCGCGGATGAAAGAGACCGACCGAAGTGCACAGTGTTCGGAGACGGGAACAAAAAGTGGAACGGAACGGAAGTGCCAGTATTAACTAAAGATCGTTCCGGCAGTCACGTGCTACCTTGGATCAATTCCCTTATCAGTTAAATAGTTCTTCAACGAAGTGAGACGTTTACCATGTTTTGGACTGGCTTTAGTTCCTGAAGGTTGTTCAACATTGGTAGGTATGCTTGGGGTGTGTCTTGTTATAGCAATTTTGGTGGGTTGCAAAGATTTGTTCGGTTGAGATTCAAGGGTGTTCGTATGATGGAAAAACTTAGATAGTTTCTTTGTCCCCCGGTTGATCGAATTAGTTTTAGTAGATTGTGATGATCTTTTAGCCGGTTCAGTGACAGTACTTGTGGGGTTCGAAGTCAGAATAGATGTAGTTTTGATCGTAATATTTGGTGTCCTCTCTGTCAATGATCGTTTCATCATGGTAGAATCATTTCTACGATGGTCCGTTTTACCAGTATCAGTAATCTCAGGGTATTTAGAAGTAGATATCGTACTGGCACGGCTCGGAGTTCTCTTCTTTAGGAAAATGTTTTGGGTGGGTTGATTTCTTCTACTTGATGGAAACGGTCTTTTCCTTCTAGGTGAATGGTTATTATCACTATCAGATTTACTCATATCAGAATATGATTCATTATCCTTATCAGATATATTAGATTTATGTCTAACTAATGGTGTCATAGTGTCCATAGATTTTGTTCTAGAGTCTCTCATTTCAGTCATAGGTGACCGAATTACCGTTGGAGCCTTTTGTAATGGTCGCCCAGCGACCCCTCCAAATGCTATCCTTGCAGGTGGTGTCTTATTTGTAATATTTCGATGTTGACTACTGTTATATTTGTCAATGCTCTTAATTGGTGTCCGATCATCCCAGAATTCTTTACGTCTGCGGCCTTTCTTTGCCTGAGCATTGTTATGAATGAATTTTGAATAATCTACTGTAACTGTTTGATTCTTCTTACGTTCTTGATCAAGTTTATGAACACTCTCCCTAAGTCGTTCTGCACTCTTCATTTTCTTCTTTTCTGCATCCTTATAATAATGTTCAAATAACATACGATATGGGATCTTATATTTATTTATTTGAATATCTTTCTTTAATTTATTCATAACATACCTGTCAAATAGATCAGTTTCATATTCATCTAATCGATCTTCATATCTTTCATAGATCTTCATATAATAATTCTCAATGAGTGTCTTATTACTGACGTAAGAATGAGGGACATTTGTTGGGTATTCTTTCTTAAGGAATTCTAACCATAGATCATCATCTTCAAAGATGAAAAAAATATTGGTTTCTTCTAATTTTTTCAAATGAGAAGGCTCCAAGTTGATTTGTTTAAATACCTCTTCTAATAAATAATATGGAACATTGGCTACATTTTCTAATAATCTAGGATTTTTCATTAATTCTAATTGGCAATACTCACTCAATTTTCGTAGCCTTTTCCTCCTTCCTCCTGATTCATTCTCATTCATATTAGATATATTAATTGCATTAAAACTAACCAACAAAGGGGGGGATAAACTATATCTGTGCAGATGAAGGATATGTGTGGTACGTTTGAGCCTATGAAACTAGATAACAGTACTAATTATGTACGTTGTTGAATTGAAATAATTCCTTCTTTACTTTTAATGTGATGCAAAAATAAAAAGAAAACAATGCAGATAATTATGTATATGTGGTATTAAACATGATCCCTTTGGTTAAATACAACTAGGAACGGTAACAAATATCCTATTAGGTTCAGATATTCTTTCATTTACCTAAATTCAGAAATTTACATAGCGCTGTTACTAGTGAAAGGAGAGCTTTTCTTGTCATTCCGCAAATGGAAACCGATGACTTGAAAAATGATAGGAGTTCAGTAGAAGACATGTTTATTTAAGAATGATCCAGCCAAAGGACATACAAAGATGAACTGGTTTTATTAGAATGTTGTTCCCAAAGGGTCATATAATTTTATTCTCATTTTTTTTAGTTAGTATGAAACTTTCTTATTCAAATAATATCTTTCATAATATTTTTTTTTCCTAATTTATATTTTGTTTGATAATTTACAATTTTAGAATAAATTATTTTATCATCTTTTGGTGGAATAATTTTTAACAAACTTGAACAAGTCCAATCTTTTTTCACCATTCTAATAGCAATTTTCATTATCATTTAATACATTCGTTACAAACTCTATATAATATTCTTCTTTTTTGTTTTCACATGAACATATTCATTATATAATACAAAATAAGAATTCAGTGCATGGAACAAAGTATCCTTAAAAACAAAAAAGATATAATCTTCTTATTCACCACGGAATGCTTTATTTACAGCAGGTCTTCTCATCATATGTTTCGTCCATTTGTAAACTTCTGGAAATTCCGTCTTAATATTTATTCCAACCCTATCAACGACATTATTCCAAGGAACAAAACATACATCTGCAATTGTTAACTGATCACCAACTAACCATACAGGATACTCAGAGAATTTGCTTTGCGACATCTGTGTAGTTCCCAAAGAATAGGCTTGAGCATTTTCGGAATCAAATTCCATTATTAATGCTTCCCTTCTTTCAGCTAGAGCCATCTCAATGACGGAATATACTCTTCTTACTTCGTTCGTATATCTATCAATTGCACTTTGAATTTTTTGTGTGTGGAAATATTTAAAATGGAGAGCTTGTCCAATCATTGGTGCATGCCCAGAAGTTTGGAAAAATAACCATGCTGTTATTTGGGATTGTTCTGCCAAATCATCTGACCACAAAGTAGGTTTTCCTGTATCCTTCCAATTCTTATTTACTAAATGCAATAATATAGCTCCAGATTCCCACAGAGCTAAATTATTCAGACCATGATCGATAACAGCAGGCACTCTTGCATTGGGATTCATTGCTACAAACTCTAGAGCTCTATGTTCCCCTTTATTAAAATCAAGGAAAATTGTATTATACTTTAATTTCAATTCACTTAAAACAATTGCCACTTTATAACCATTTGGCGCAGATCTATGTGAAAACAACGTATAACCATCAAGTGGTTGATTTTGGAAAAAATTTGTAATTCTAGAAAACTCCTGAGGTTCATCATTTTGATTTTGAGAACTATCCATTAAACTTGTATCGCCATTTATATCAAATCGAACATCATTCGGAACGGATTCGGCACTTACAATATTAACCTGTTTTAAGGCACTAGATAATTGGGATATAGGATTCGTATTGCCTTGTTTTATTTGTTCTTTCCCAGCAGTGGGCTTATCATTTCCCTTTTTTACCATTATGCTACTCGAGCAAACAATTTATAACTATTTTAAATCTTTGTTCTAATTCACCCCAAAAAAAATAATAACTAGTCCCCTCAGTAAATATAATCTGTAGAAATTGCTTTTATTTTGTCGTAAGCACCCTATTTAATCCTCTCTAAATGGTAGGAAATTAACTCTGTTATATAGAATCGGAGGAACGAACGTTAGTTAGAAGCACAAAACAAAAACAAAAAATTCTAACAATATGCAATAAAGTTGCTCTCGTCTATCGTTTATTCCATTTCTCTCTAAAGTGTAAAATTTTAATGGCATTCAATGCGTTAAATATCATATTGTAATTTTATATCGATGGTCTTCTCAAAAATCGTCAACCTTATCTGAAGCCATCTTCTGATTCTGAAAGAGATTCTCCGGCTTTGCGCACGGCAATAGTATCACACATTGCATAACAAGCCATTTTTGCTTAAAACGAGGACCTTTCAAGAACAACGACTGACCATATAGAATTTATTTAATGAGAGAGAGAGAGAGAAACACACATATATATATAAATATAAAATTCAAAATTCGAAATACAAAATGAGGTCCAAAATATCTTTTTGATGTAGCACACAATTTAAAATGAGTATTAAATTTGGGTAGTAAATACTATTCTAATTTTTGTTCTTTTTCTTCCTCTTCTGGGATACTTTTACGTTCGTCTTGATTTTACTTGGTGGGGCTGCATGTCCAGATTGCTTCACATGCATGAATAATTTATTACGACTATCAAATGATGCGCCACACGTGGCACAATCGACTATGGTTTCGGGATCAATAGCCTCATCTGCAAACTTCGAAACTGATGGAGTGGACTCCTTTGAATTTGATCCAGATTTCTTGGATTTTGCCTTGTTATTGTTTTTGCTTTTACCCTTTGTCCTTTTCTTATTATTTGTACTCCAATCGTTATCGTCACTCTCACTATCTTTGACATCGGATCCAAGAGTTTCTCCATTCAGAGAAGCGAGTAACTTTTCTAGTTCTTCATTCCGTATATCGATACCATCATCAATACTTTCGGTCTCTTCAGATTCAGTATCAGAATCCTCTGAATCAGACAGTAGTTTCACATCATTAATTACTGGCTCATAAACATCTTCTATAATTATATCCAATTCATTCAGTTCGTCAGAGTCATTGCCATCTAACAAATCATGGTTAGCTAATTGTCTTTCAAGATCGGCAATTTCATCATTCAATGCTTCAATATTGATCGCTTCAAATACATGCTCCTTAGCCCCATCAGGTTTTGAATTTTCAAGATCATCATCAATCTCACTTTCTGCAGAATCGAAATCATCGAAATCAGAAACTCCATCAAGACCGAGTGCTAAACTCTCCTTCTTCATCTCCCATTGAATTTTTCTAACATTTTTCTTATGAACCTTCGTCTCTGTGTGATTCTCTAATTGCTTCTCTGATTTAAATGTTTTATTACATATAAAACATTCATATACAAGCACTTCTTCCACTTCCTCATCACCATCCTCCTCCTTTTTATCGACATTAGTTTGAGGAACATTTTTCGCATGCTGGTAACTTTTAAATTCATCTTCATCATCCAGATCATTACCATTATTATATTCCGCGTTCAATTCTTTTTCATAACTCTGTTGAACTTTGTCCCAATCAGGTTCGTCTACGGATTGCCAACTTTGGGGCTGGAATTCTGGAACGTTAGTATTCAAAGAATTACTGAAATTATTACTTTTCATTTTTTCTTTATTTTGTTGTGCAGAATTTTTCTTGGCCTCTTGTTCTAATTTCGCACCTATTTTCATCCTTTTGTCTAGCTTCTTAATGAAAGTAACAAAACGTTTAACAGTTTTGTTATATTCATTTCTCGCCTGCATTCTTGATTTTTCATTTCTTTTATTAATTTCTCTTTTAGTTCGTCTATCATAGCTTCTGGAGTACATAAATTCATCTTTCCAACTAAAACTCTTCAAAGTATTGAAACTTGCCCATTTTTTGTAGAAAATTTTAAGATATTCATAATTTGTAGTCGAGTACCCAAACATTGGGAAGATATACTTTTCATTTGTTAGGTTAAATCCACGATTATCAACACTTCTTAAGTACCCTGTTTTGGATATATCACCTTCAAAATGATCATCCTCATATTTTGAAAATTTATCCAGACCCAGTCGTCTGCCATTCAATACTTCATCCTTAGCTAATTTAGCAAATATTTTACCTGCAATTTGATATAGCCCAGCAGGTGAGTTATCTATTTTGGTATATAACGAAGAGTTAAAGAAAATCAGCAGCTCCTCTGTAGTAATACCAGTAACCGACGAATCCACTTCATATTCTTCGTAATTATCATCTGCGGTACCGATGGGACTATCACTCAATATTTGCTCTCTATGAGAATCATACCAAGCCCTTTCTTGTGGATCAGACAAAACCTCATAAGCAGCTCTTATTGAGGCAAATATATCTGTGGCTTCTTCAACACGATCTGGATTTTTGTCAGGGTGATATTGTAATGCCTTTTTACGGTAAGCCTTTTTCAACTCTGCATCTGAAGCATTGTTATCGACATCTAATAACACATAGTAGCAGGTCTTCATAATTCTGTTGGGTAATTAACGCAATGTTCTCCTAAACTACTAGCAGGTTTTGAGTGTTTATCATTAAGCCTTTTTACATGATTATTTCACATCTTATAGTGAAATAAATATAAGCAGATGTGTTCATAATTTTTATTGTGAAAAAATATTTATCTTTTAACTACGCTCAGACATTGTTGTACATCGCCCAAAGAAATTAATAAAAATAGTCGATGAGGTAAGAAGATACCTCTTGCAATACAAACATTGGGCATAACAGCAAAAGAGAAGCTCTCTTCTCTTAAGTAGACATATATATATATATCGATCAATGGCGACGCATTATTTATTGTTGGGGGTTTCTTATTAATTATTCATTACACATTATTACAAAATAAAGCTAAACATCGGATACCATTTCAAGCAAAATATGTTGATACAGTTCATCTAAAATACGCTTCAGGGGATGCTGAACATTATCGACATCACGAATCTTAAGATACTGCCTATATGCTGTATTTTCTAGCTCGTGGAAGTCCAGGTTATCTCCGTGAAGTTTAAAATAGAGTAAATTTATAAAATTTAAGGCATGCACGAGCTCATTCTTTATTAATACATTTGCCAAGATGACCTTTCTCTGTATCTTATTGAATGGTGTCTGTATCCCCACACAAACCTTCTTTAACTCGTTCTGTAAAGTTACTAGGTCTAAAGTATCAATTTTTTGTAACTCTAGAGAATCATAGACGACCTTAGTAACGTCTGCACTCTTAACGTCCTCGTATTTCAAAGAATCATCTACATTTCCTCTTATTGCTCGGTACGTCTTTTCCAGGTTTTCATAAAGTACATCTTTATCCTTGTTCAGGGATGAAAGCTCTTCTATTTTCAGGTCCTTCTGATTTAAAAGTTTCTCAAATATTTCTACTTCTTTTGAAAATTCTAGTTTGATATTTTCCAGGAATGTCTGAGTTGAGGTATTTGACGATTTTATATTTTCTTTAATATTTTCCATACCCGTAAGAGTATGTTGGATTTCAGCCGAATCTTCCAACCTCAATTCTTTTAAAGTTTCTGCAATTCGGTCCAAACCATTACCTAGCATTGAGGAAAAAGTCTTTCTATCTTTGAATATATGTTCTTCAATATCAATTCCTTCATTTATTAATATGTTGGATAACTGTAGGCTGTACGTATTTTCATTTTGTTCGAATGATTTATAACTCTTTGTTATCATTCGCCCAATAGGAATATCTGAAAATTTAAGTTGAGATATATATTTACTAAAATTAACGTTATCTTGTTTTAGTTTAATCACCTCATTTTGGATATTGGAATTATTATCTTTTACCTCTTTTGACTCTTCTTCTTTATCCATTAGTTTTTGTTTTAGTTCAAGTATTTCTTTATTGTTTGATTCTAAAATATCTTTCAATTCATCAAATGCTTCTGTTTGCTGTTGTTTTTCCTCATTAATTTTTCTAATTAAGCTATCCTTTGCATTCAACTCATCTTGTAGATTACTAATTTTATTTTTAATGGTTTCCATATTGGAAGCAGATTTATCTGGCCCATTACCTCTTACCGTATTGCCATCCAATCCACGGACTGACGGATTATTATTCTGTTCGTGCTTGGGAGTTGATTGATTGTATCTTGTAGGATTGATTTCATCACTGAATTGCTCTTTCCCCATGCTATGATCTGAGAGCCTATCTTGATTATCTGAACTAATTGCTAAACCATTCATATTATCTGTGTGATACGTCGAGGTAGTAGTTGCATTTGCTCTATCATTGCTATCTGCATCTAGTATTTGAGCCGCTGCCAGTATTTGTGACTTCATATCATTTCCCATCTTCGATGAAACTATATATGTTATTAAAAAATAATTGATTTATCTGCAGGTATAAGCAATCTTTATTAAAAGAATACCAGTTGTTTCTAAATGTAAAAAAGTAAGGTGTATCTTTGCTCTTACTATTATACGGTCTTTAACCTCTTCAACTTTGTTGTGAAAACAGTTTCATGTTTACTCTTCTGAGACATATTGTTTTGGGATAAACGGCTTTTCGCGTTCTTAACTTTTTCGAGCAGTTTCGATTGTTTCCTTTACAAAAATGTATCTCGGTTATCCCCCCATTCGAGTCTTTGTGGCAGTCATATCAAAAGTTAATATTGACAGAATCAATGTGAGTTTTTATTTGAAACTGATTTACGCCTATTATATAGTTGCTGTAACACTTCGAAAATTGGCTTGCTAAAATGATTTAATAAAGTATATATATATATACATGGTGCATTACATAATATAGAACCTAAATATCTACTTCTTATCATCCGACAGACGAAGACCAGCTTTGCCCTTTTTAACACGAGCAAACAATGGTTCACTAATACCCTTATTACTTGTAGTTCCCAGACCTTCACCGCTATTCCAACCTAACTTTTCAAGCATTCTTCTACCGATATTGTCTTGGCCAATTTCGGGAGCGTTTTCACCAACAATTTCACCTTCTGTGACGTGGAATTTGCTCTTTATTTTGACCCTTTCAGTCTTTACAAAGTCCTCCTGTACCCTCTTCACATCAATTCTCATGAAAACAGGGCGTTGTTTCAAGAGTTGTGATATCAGACCATAATTTGGAATAGCTCTTCTAGTCTTTTTGGTTTTCTCAATCATCATATGTGTATGAATGCCCTTCCCTGCTTTGTTAGTCTTCATGTAGTAATGTTTAGCAAACTTCATCAACGTCTTGTTACCATGAGGATCTAAAGGAGGGAAAATCAATCTATCTTTATTATTGGAATAATATTCTTCGAATTCATCTTTCATATTTTGAATATGTAATCCGTAAGGGTACTTTTTAAACAAATCGCTAGAATGTTTATTCTCCTCATTTATAAAATCTTCTTTAGTCCTCCTTTTGTCTGCTTTTCTACCTAATCTATTGGACAGCTTATTTTGCAATGAAAATATCGTCTCGGTATCAAGAGATAATGAGTCATCAATCAAAAGCTTCTTCTTTTTACCCTTCCCAGTCATCAAAGGAGTTCTTGTCTCAAAATCACGCGTACGGTCTTTACTATATTTCAACGTATAATTAACTAAATCATCTAAACCTTCATTCATGTCTTCCATAAGAGTGATATCATCATCGTCATTATGGAGATTATTAATAATATCTTCTTCTTCTTCACTAGAATCTGAAAAGGGAATATCTGAATAGGTAGGTTCTGGCGGTTCCTCTTTTGGTATTAAAGAATCTTTAACGTGTTTTAAATATGCTTCTAAACGAGTTTCTGGGAGACCTAAATCCTCCAGGATAAAATCTGTGAAAATATCCTGAGAAATCCATCTGGCTTCATAATCACCAAACAATCTATAGCATGTTAAAAAATACGAATTTTCATTAAACCCAAGTCTAATATTAGTAATATGAACGTCTGATGTATTTACCACATAATCATCTTCAAGGAAACCAAATTCTGGTTCCTGTAATTTCTCCTCGTCAGTTCCATCTGTACTATTTCCAAGTTCCAATATCTTTATCTCTTCTGATAACTGCACATCTGAGTCAACAAGACTTTCAGAAAATGGTTCTGATAATGTATTGTTATCATGTGTATCGTCTCCAATATTATATATCTCATCAGTATCATAATTATCATTATCATCAGAACTATTACCATCATCAGTGTCAGTATCAATTTCGGCTTTAGTATTATTTAGAATATTCTTAATATAGTTTCTGTAGGGTGCATGTGTCAAATCTGCAACAACCTCACCGTTTTCAGTTTCTTCTAATGGAATTTCAACTTTACCAATAACTAGAGACGGATCAAATTCTAGATCAGGAACATTTTTAGGTAGTGATCCTGTTGTATCCTTTAATGGAATATGAACGTTTTTTACAACAGGCCTGTTGTTGTCAGAATAACCAGAATCATCAACAAAGAATAGTTCCTCGTTTGTAAGGTTGGTCATTTTGTCAGCATTATTACCAGAAGAAGAAGCTTCATATTCATTATTTTCAACAATTACATCATCATCCGATTCGCTTGTTTCAGTATCTAAACTTTCACTATCTGTGATATCATATTGTTCAGAAACATACTTTTCGGGATGACCCGAGACATGCGATATTCTATCACTCTCATCAGAACTCTCGAAATCACTATACTGTTCATCTTTACCATCACTGAACTCAATATCACGAAGGGGTGAACTTTGTGTTAATGAACTTCTACGTTCTTGGTTCTTAGTCAATTGTAAAATTAAATCATGTGATGGATCATACACCTCTGCAGCTTTAACAAAGACCATCGGTCTCTTTCTAAACGATGAATTAGCAAAACTAAAATCATTTGATGTGTTGTTTCTTCTACCTAATCTGAACCCACCTTGTTTCATTGATTTTTCCTTTCTTCTACCGAAATAATAATCTTCCACATTTTGAGCAGATATAACTGCTCTACCTGGATTGGAATAGTTCATATCGGAAGATTCCATACCTAGTGATAAATCACCATTTCCCATCGGAAGCGAGGAGTTAAACCAATTATTTACAACATCATTCTTTTGTCCTTGTTGATCTGATTGTTGACGTTTTCGTAGATGTTTCATTTTATGGTTAACCTTCCCACGTGAACCGCCACTACCGTTCGAGCGTTTCTTTCTTGTACCAGTATAATGCTTATGTCTTTTAGCCATATTTTACTGGGTATTAAAATGTCTAATATCAATATATGAGTATTAATATTGAGTGAAATACTAGATAGTGTACTTGAAAGATCACTTCCCTGGATGTTTATAAACGTGCGACAGTGGCTGATAGATATATATTTATTTAATATTAGATAAACTTCATGCGCATCGCTCTTCATTTGCTACAAAAAAAATTAAGTGATACTAATTAAAGGGTTTTATCAATATTACAAATATAGAAATGATATCAAGTTTAGTTTTAATTAAATATAAATAAAGAGGAAGCTAGATATCCCGTAACCATTTATATAAATTTTTTGTTAGACCCAGCTCAAATTTATTCAAACCAAAATTATAGCAACAATATCAGTTCTTTATTCTGACATTACATTAAATTTATTTATATTACACAAACTTTCTAAGCAATTTTATAATCCAGTATCTTTTATTCAAGAAAGTAGAAAGTTCAGCAGGATTAACTAAAAGTTTCCACACGATTCAATTTTAGTATTAATATTTGATTATAGATAACTGAAAATAGATTAATTATAATCACTTTGAGCAAAAAAACAATACTTGAAATTATAAGTGGATACATCGCCCTCCATTTACACCCTCATATACAACTATTAGATGAATCTAGTGAATAAATTTATTCCAGATACTGAGACATCGCAGATACAAGAAAAGGATGATTTACCAGATATAATATTACTTGGGAAATCTTATAAAGGAAAAGTTTCATCTCTTGAGGATGATACCGAGATAGTTGCTGCCCAACGATTCTTTTCCTCTTTATTTATTAGACCTTCTCAAGAAAATATAACCTTCTTAAATGATCTCTCTTATAAATTACATTTCACTTATAGAACTAGATTTCCCCCTATCCAGAGAGCAGATAATGGACCATCTCCACTGAATTTCCAACGATTTCTCCGAGATAATCCTTTGAATTCGATCGAAAATGTAGTTTCGAACCCCGATTGTTTCACAACTGATATAGGTTGGGGGTGTATGATAAGAACTGGCCAAAGTTTAGTGGGAAATGCACTTCAAGATGCTAACCTTGGAAGAAATTATAATCACGGGAAAGATACAATCAGTGATAGACAATCAAAGATACGTAATAAAATAATAGGATGGTTTGAGGACAAAACTGAGGCTCCATTTTCCCTTCATAAATTTGTTCAAAAAGGCGTAGCATATAGTAATATGAAACCTGGTGAGTGGTTTGGCCCAGCTGCAACTTCTACTAGTATTAAAAATTTAATTGAAGAGTTCCCAGAATGCGGAATCGATGGTTGTGTTATATCCGTTTCTTCTGGTGATATATTTGACGATGAACTATATACAATTTTCGAACATAAGGAAAATAGTAAGATATTATTGCTACTAGGAGTGAAATTGGGGATAAACAATATCAATATGGGCTATACAGATGATATCTTTAAATTGTTAAATTCAAAATATTCGGTAGGAATTGCAGGTGGTCGACCATCATCTTCATTATATTTCTTTGGATATCAAGGAAACGAACTACTGTATTTCGATCCTCATTATCCGCAACCTTGCTTAGAAGAATCGGTATATTCAACTTGCAATTCCACAAACTATGGAAGATTAAATATTACAGATATTGATCCTTCCATGCTTATTGGAATATTCTTAAATGGCAAACAAGATTGGGAAGATTTTAGGTTACAATGTGATAAACTTCAAATAATTAATGTTCAACAAAACCATTACAGCGATATTGAGGGGAAATTTGATGAGTTTGATATTAGTAGTATGGAATCCCATGAATCAAACAAAGCCAACGATTCACACAACATTTCACGAAATGATTATGTGGTTATTGAACCTTTAGTCGATGAACACAATTGTAGCACAGTTCAGAGAGATGAGCCGTTTGAAAAACTCAATTACAAGACTCAGAATATAATGGTTCTCCCGAATAAATATAGCTCCAAAGATACATCAGACATACCTTATGACATCGAACCAGTACTTGTTGAGAATAAACCAACAAATATTCCTAATAACTGAAGGCATTCTGAACTGAATTTTCTCTCCATTTATATATAAGGTTGTTGTTCTATAATACATGTAACAACAACCAATTACAACCATCGTATATATTCCTACATAAGGTCACGTACACATATATATTCTACAAAACAATTTGCATCCCTTTACATTTCTTTAAATTCTTTATTAACCTAAAATTGCAGAATGAGGCCTCTCGATGAAAATAATAATAGACTATTGGAACTGCCCTGACTTTGTTCGGTCTTCTAATTCTTTGACCGTCGAATAAATCTGAAAGAGAAAAAATAAGACAAACTGGAAAAACATTTATAATAAGAGCTGTTCGTGAAAATGAAATGACAAACACATATATAACAATAAACCTTTTATGGAATGTTCTACTGTCTGCAATATAACCAATTCAAGACAGTTTAATAAATAAAGAACATTTTTTAAGATACCACCCTATTAATCTTAGATATAAGAATCTTGTAAAAACAATATCCACTTGTAAAGACGTTTTAATTAACGATACAGAAATAATAATAATGACAGAGAAACAGGATCTATCAATTAAATTTTGTACTGTGTGCGCATCTAACAACAACAGATCTATGGAATCTCACAGAGTGCTTCAAGAGGCTGGGTATAATGTGAGTTCATTTGGTACTGGTTCTGCAGTTAGACTACCTGGTTTATCGATTGATAAACCAAATGTGTACCCATTTGGTACACCTTATAATGATATATACAACGATTTACTTTCGCAATCTGCAGACCGTTACAAATCAAATGGGTTATTACAAATGTTAGATCGTAATAGAAAGATTAAGAAAGCTCCAGAAAAATGGCAAGAAAATGGCCCACAGACGTTTGATTTTGTATTTACATGTGAAGAACGTTGTTTCGATTCAGTCTGTGAAGATTTGATGAAAAGAGGTGGGACTCAAAATAAACTTGTACATGTTATAAATGTTGATATTAAGGATGATAATGAAAACGCGAAGAGTGGTTCAAAGGCCATATTACTATTAGCTGATAAAATAACTTCAAAAGTTGAGGAATGTCGTGTGCAAGAGATACCATTCGAGGATACAATTATGGATATATTAACCGAATGGCAAGAAAAATACCCCAACTTACCAAGTCTTTATTCACCAGCTTACTATTGATAACCTTTTTCTTTTGAGTTAATGCGAGATAACGCTCTCGTTATATATACATATATAACTGAAATTATACACAATGGAAGAAATATGAAGGCATTATATATACACACTGATCAATTGTAAAATAAATATCAGGACAAAGGATTTACGAATCTGCACCCCACTTCATTAACGGCACCTAATCCTTTCATAATCTTTTTTTCAAAGAATATAATAATTCAAACAATACTATCACCTGATAGTTATGATGATTGAATTTTTATATAATAATAAAAAAAATATTACACTCATTCGTTCTAAAACCCAACTGGGCCTAACAACATAATGAAAAGTAATAAATTAAAGAAAAAATCAAAAATTATAAGATCCACCCGACTCTATCAAGATACATCAAAAACCTCCGAAGAATAACAATTGTATCTCGAACCGTCAATTTGTGACACTCTATGAACAACAATATGTAATTATTTAAACATAATAATGTGCTCTACCTTCGAATTGTAACACTAGGCTACAATTTAAATCAGCACTTACCATGAAATAAAAAATTACTATTGAATATAGATAATTCTCAACCCCAACTGTAGTTTTTGAAGAACCCCAACTCCCTTAATACCGATTTGTACTCGGTACCATACTTCTCCAGGCAGAAGGAAAAAAGGACTTGACAATACTAGTAAAATGGTGTACTTCCGAAGAAATTAACATAATACCAGTATTGAAAAAGTAAAGAAACGAGACGTCAGCAAATACACCTTTCGCAATCGTATGTGTGAGTGACCAGGGAACTTACATCAATTAAAAAACATATCTTTCGATATATTTAAATGCCTAGCATCCCTCTGAAGTGAAAGCGCATATTTGGCCAAAAGGACTTCTTGATCTCCCTTGGCATCTTAAGGTAAGTATGGGGTTTTAAAACAAGAATAAAAAAAAATAATTTATAAACAAGAAATTGGTTAAGAAGAAGATTGGAAACGAAAAATTAAATAAACAATAAAACTATTAATTTCCGCTCCTTTTATATAATTTCCAGATACATGGAAAACAAATGAAAAAAATTTAAAAGAAAACGACATTAAAACAATTTGTTTCGCTGCGTGGTTCAACAGCGGATTCTACCAAGTCAAAACAAATAAACATACACTTTAAGAAACAAATACTGATTTGATCACGAAAAATGATAAAGAGGAGCTAAAGGTTGGGTTATATAATTAGTTCGATGTATATAGTTGGTAATTATCCAAAAACCTACTATAAATGCTAGTCGAAATTAATATGTATGCTATGCATTTTTGATATCTTTATTTATATAATCAACATATCTAAATGGGCCAACCTATATTGGTTAGATCCCACATTTCTTACCAGTACGAATTTATCTTTAGAACTTACAAGAGTGCCCTGATCAACAAACCCAGTACCAGAACTGCCACCTATACTCAAATCATATGCACCACTGGAAATAAAACCGATTAGATTGTACACTTCAGGCAATGGTGTCTCATCATCATGATATAGCTTACCGTCGGCTCTAAATATACCATTTCTCTTATCTTTCCAATAATTTTCTTGTTCTTTTGGAATTTCGTATATCCTTGCGTTATCCTTCATGTGACCTCTTTCTACATATCTGCAACGTACAGACATAACAGATAATGGAACGTTAGCAACATCTTCTTTTGTTGAAATAGTCTTCTTTGTTTCCGTATCCAATTTTGTTGTCAATAAAATAGGTAATGCAGAGCAAGGTATGTTTAACTTTTCAACCTCTAGATCTTTTAAGAGTTCAAAGAGATCATTGACAACTTCAATTAACCTATTTGCGCCTTGATCAAATCGAGTTGTCTTATTAGGATTGATCATGGTCAATGTATTTCCCTTGCTTAAAAGGTGTGAAATACCATTCCGTAATATTTGTAGGAGTCTCCAATCACAAGAAAAGAAGTCACCAATTTCACCCTTCACCGAAGGAATAACTGTACTATGAATATTTTTGAGTTTCGAGAAGTTTACTCTTTTACCACTTGGTTTCCCTTCCCATTTTCTTCGAGATGCCTCTTTCTTATAATCTGTATTTTCTACAAAACCTGCCTCCGTAAATGGATAATCGTCAGGGAAATATAGTTTATTATTTTCATATTGTAATTGCTGAAATTGTCTCAAACCAACATTGTACATTCTTGGTATACGATTCAGTTGATACCACAATGGTAAATGCCAGAACCAAGGTAACATAATAACCCAATCATTAGACTCTTCTCTCTTATAGATATATATAGGAATCTCTGGATCAGTATCCTTTTCGAATGGAATAATGCCATGGTCAGAAATATTTGAATTACTATTCACCATCTGGCGGCGGCGTCTATTTAATTCTTTTATTGTCAATTGATTCTTATAAGATTCGATACGCCCTGATTGGGACAATAGTTTAGATAATGCATTATGAATTTCAGTTTTTGGTACATTGGTTTGTAGTTCCATAACCTTATCAATACTTAACGCATTTTTAACCATTTTAATTTTTTTTGGAGATCCGAAATGACGTGGATCAATTGTAGTGAAACCAAAACTTAAGTTTTGTGGCAAGGCTTTATAGTCTGTAACCTTGGATACTAATTTTAGTTGTTCAAAGGATTCAGATTTGGATGTACTCCTTAGGATGCTTGTTAATGATGCCAATGATTCTGCACCCGTTATTGTGATACTAGAAATAGAAAACCTAGCATCTTGAACCTTCAATTTTTTGGTCAAGGTCAATAAGTAATTGAATATAATGCCGAATATGGTTGGATGTAACCTTAGGATGACAGATGCTTCATCCACCCAAATAACTTCACTAGGTCCAATAATATTACCATCGATAGGACTGTACATTAGTCCTTGGAATAACTTTTTGGATGTATAATATTTGGAATTGACGGCTCGGAAATTTGTCAATTTTGAAATAGTTTCCTTTAAAAATGTACAATTATCTTCATCAGCATTTATAATTATTGTACCCATGAAACTAGTATCCATACATAAAGTTCCGTCGGAGGTAGCTACATTACTACCAATGCGGTGGACCATCTTAAAACATTTCTGGGTAGCTGACCATGGTATCTGATATCCCCATCTTTTAATCATATGCGATCTTTTGGCATTCCAGACATGTGTCGGTAACCATGTAAACTTCAATTGTCTTTTAACGTATTTTGGACGACCTTTAGGGATAGGTGCTAATTTATTGATCCCAATGTTATCGTAACTACCCATTGCATTATTCAATTTTCTAATATATTTTTTGTTTTCTTTGCCATCTTTAATCAACTTTTTGAGAGTTCTTATCTTTTGTCTAACACGACTCCTTGCTGCAGAAATGTTATTAGGAAAAGCAAGTTTCATAGACTTGGATTTACTAGCCAATCTTAATAATTTTATTGACATTTTAGCTTTGTAAAGGGCTTTCGCAGTAAGACCATGTCTTGGCTTTGCAGATGTTGATACCGTCTTCTCCTGAACGTTTTTCATCATTTCACGTAAGGCCCTATTACGCATTCTTTTTGGAATCCTCTTAATGTTATGTGAGGCTGTTCTTCTACGTAATCTCCTGGGTAAATCTTGAAACACTCTAGTAGATCCCGAGACTTTCGATCTGTGCATTGCCAATTGCAATTCTTTAATCTCAAATTGTCTTGAATTGGTAAATTGATCAACATTCAACATTGATCCCGATTCAGATAAATCCCCAGCAGCAATACTCTTGTTGCTCGAAGATACAATTACAGCTTCTGCCCGAATACTTCTGGCATTATATATTCTTTGCCTCTTTTGAATTTGGTTTTTATTGTATTGCTTCTTCCCACCCTTACTTGCAGGTGGCTGAATTGCCATGGTTGGTAATAGAATTAGATGTATGTTTGATTTAACCGCAATAGTGGAGGTTGACAGATAATATGGTATAATATATATATAAATAATCGCGAAGGAATGAAATTCAATACTTGTTTTGATTTATATGAAAAATTTATTTCACTATTCCATGCATCGCTTAGTTGAAGTTTCTGTATACAAAAAGAAAAGTTTGCTTCTCATAGAAATTTACTGGGTAAAGGCTGAATAATACCAGATACCCAAAAGAAGACAAAATACAATTAACAAGGGTCAAAATATCTCTGATACTTTTCGAATACCAGCAAATGTTTCATAAAGGTAATAAAATTGAAACTTGGATTTATATTTATATATTTACAAAATGATGTCATTATATATCTGTCTTTCTTGGAGTGTTCTCAACACGTTCAAACAAACAATAATCAGTAAATTGAACTCCATACATTCTATTCCACAATGAAGGGAAATGTTTATTGATGAAATCAGCAATCACAGGTGGGATGTAAAATGCTCTTCCTAAAATCTTGGAATGATCTACATCAATGATTTGATTACAGAACACGCGATTCCACTTCTGGTTTTGGATTTCTTCAATTGGATTAAATGCATCCACTTCCTCATTAGCATCATCCACCATATCCACAATATATGTACATTCATCGAGCTCTACAATCTTCCCAGAATCAAACTTATTTAAATTGTTCATCCCTTCGGGAATGGTTCTAATGGTTTCTAATAATGGGATAGATTCTGGGAAATTACCAGGTAGCAATCCATCAAACCCAGATTTTATGAATTGTAAACGATACCCATTAGGTAAATGGAACGATGAAGGGAAATGATACCATTCACGACCAGCACATACGTTGATAAGTTCTATACTGTCTGTTCCACGTGGACTTATGTTATATAGTTCGGCGAATGTATCTAATGGAGCCGTATAGTTAACAATAAGGGCAATAATACGGGATGATGCTTGGATGATTATCCCGAGTATAATAATTGATTTAAGTATTTTTTTCAATATTTTAAACAATTTTGAAAATGTCAATATTTTAGAAAACCCAATAGCTGCACTTAACGAGATCAGACCATAAATCGGATACAAAAATCTTTCTTCTTTATGAGGTTGCATAATAAATATGGTCATCCACATAATATAGGAGATCCATAATGGAGCCAATCGAGTATGAGTCAACCCTACAACACTGAATATTAATACAGGTAATGGGAAATTTAATAATAAGTTCAATAAATAGTAATACCATGGTTCTACACCGAAAATATTTGGACCGCTGTTTTCGTCAGCGTTCAATACATTATAGAATAGAATATTCCATGAAACAGATGCAAATTTACCGTAAAACATAGAGTCGATACCAATAACAACAGCACTAATTGAGAGTAACATCAACATACAATCAAACGCAGTTCTAATAGATACTATCATAGGGTTATAAAACACGTAATGAGCACACAATGGTAAACTTAATACTAAAACGAATGGCCAGCCTAATATACCTGCAATGAAGTTAAAAGTAAGACTCATTGTAAATGAAGAACTCTTATTCGTTGATAGATAACGTAGAGCGTATTTAATTGATCCGACATATAATATCATTGCAACTGAAGAAGGTAATAATTCGACAGATGCATGGAAATAACCTGGATTAAAAATTTGAAATAGTAACCATATATTAGCTACTCTGTGAGACATAGATTTCTTGATTTCATTATGCAATTGTACTTCGAAAATAAATGATAACAAACCTAGAGTAATTCTTGTAATATAAAAATTCCAAAGACTTTCCATTTCAGTGAACATATTAAACGGATATATGATTGCGTAGAATGGTAATAGAAATGCCCATGATCTAATAGAATATTCAGGTGAATATTCCCATGTTTGTTTGCCAAAGCCTCTAACTAAAAAATTCAAAGGTTCCCAATAATTAAACGTTTCATCACAATCAGAAATCAAAGAATATTTTGGTTGTAAAAAGATACGTGATGCAAATAGTATTGTCACCAGTAGAAAGGATACTTTCTTACAAGTCATATTTCCTTAACTGATCTAATAGTATGCAATAAGGAAGGTCAGAAATAATGATAATTTTCTATAAGATAGACGAATAGTTCTCTATCTCAATTATTTAGACAAAATTTTCAAGACTTTATTGTCTCAAATTTAATCAAAATCAAGATGGGATTATAATTTTGGTAATCACTTTTTCAATGGTAAAAATGATATAGAAACGAATTCCAATTACAAACCGTTTTAGTTCTAATTATTTTATGTAATGGTGACTTAAAACCTCCATCACCTCTTACTCCCTGATTCCATCTCGTATCTCGTTTGCGAACTAAGACTTCGCTTTCCTTTGCGTCCCTTGTCATAGATACCATATCCCACATATTGCAATATTCTCAAAGCTATCCCCATCCATCCTTCATTGTGTTAATACAGCGACCGCATTGAAAACAAAAAATAATATAACGCGAGCACAAACAAACTGAAAAAAAGACAAAACGTGACAAGCTTGATATCGTATTTCGGTGCTTCTCTGTTGCACAATGTGATTGAAGTTAAATGAGAAAGTTATTTTACAGATGTTGAGGACGATAGAAGGTTAGCACATTTCATTCACTTACTTGAAAAGTATATATATATATATATATATGCAGATGTTCTTGTTTATGTCGATTAATAATTAATCGACAAATGCGATACCACTACTGGATAATAGTAGTACTCCTTTCTCTCTGTTATGATGTAATATTATTCGAAGGTTTTAATTTCTCCCCGAGATAAATTCTCGTAGAACACGTCCTTCCTCATCGGAGAACGCCAATCATAAAATTAATAATAACGTTAACGTTAACAACAACAACAACAAAGAAGAACATGCTTATTTCAATCCCTTCTTCTTGATACTCCTTTTATATACTATATAAAGATAAGACATACATTTCTTTACTGGACGAATCATATTGTAAAACTTGTAGGAGGGAAATGTCCTTTTTTCAGAAGAAATCAACAGATGACGAAACTCAATCGAAAACTAAGATCATCAAGTGTCCTATATGTTCTGAATCAATATTATATATGAACATAAATTCTCATATAGATAAATGTTCTCTAAAACATTCCAAAGTAAAAGCTGATACTAGTAATGGTGGTGGAGCTAACAGTGACTTAATCAAGCCTGAGAGATCGTTATCTAGTATATTGAATGGTAAACGTAAATTACCGTCCACTCAATCTACTTCTGGAACATCGATATCAACTGCAATCGATATTAATGATACAAAGGATACCATGATTGATGATGATGATGATAATAACCGTCCGAACAAGTCTATTAAAATGGAACCTAAGAGTATAAAATCCATGACTATCCCAGAGAAATCATTGGAACAAGAGATTAAGTATTTACAAAAAAATATTCATTTACCTTTATCTGAAAGATTACGTCCTAAAGAATTAAGAGAATATGTGGGGCAACAACATATCTTATCTCATACTACAGGAACCCTCTATAAATATATCCAGGAAAATACAATCCCATCGATGATATTATGGGGTCCACCTGGTGTTGGGAAGACATCTTTGGCACGTCTACTTTCAAAATCGGCTCATAATTATTATATGATAGAAACAAGTGCCACTAAGGCTAACACTCAGGAACTAAGGTCTATTTTTGATAAAGCCAAAAAAGAATATCAACTGACAAAGAGACGGACAGTATTATTTATTGATGAAATCCACAGATTTAATAAATCTCAACAAGATCTACTGTTACCTCATGTTGAAAATGGAGATGTTGTATTAATTGGTGCCACTACTGAGAACCCAAGTTTTCAACTTAATAATGCTTTAATAAGTAGATGTCATGTGTTTGTCTTACAGAAATTGACTCTTAATGAATCATGTATAGTTTTATCAAGAGGTATTGCATTATTAAATAAATGTCGGAAATTGGTTTTAAACATAGACAAACCTTTAAAATTATCAAGAGCATGTCTTGAATATTTGGTAGATGTATCAATGGGTGACACACGTAGAACATTAAATTTATTAGAGATGATTGAGATTTGGACAAGAACCGGTGAAGTCAATTCTGATAGTTTGACCGTAGATGAAATTAGAGATATTATTAAGACTAATAGTTCTAATGGGTTAAGCACATACTATGATCCAAAGGGTGATAATCATTATGATACGATATCTGCGTTCCATAAAGCTATCAGAGGTGGTGATGAAAATGCATCATTATATTATTTAGCACGAATGATCAAGGGTGGAGAGGATCCTTTGTATATTGCTAGACGTATGATTCGCGTAGCCACTGAAGATGTAGGACTTCGAGATCCTTCACAGTTACTATTGGCTGTGGCCGCGCATGATGCAGTGATGAAGATAGGATTACCTGAAGCCGATTTAGCCTTGGCAGAATGTTGTGTGAGTTTAGCAAGAGCTCCAAAGTCTATTGAATTGTATAGAGCTTGGAGTAAAGTGAAGGGGATGATGAGTGAAAATTTGTATGGTTTAGCAAGTAGTGAAATCCCTATGCATATTAGAAACGCACCAACAAAATTAATGGAGGACTTAGGTTATTCTGAAGGTTATAAATATAACCCTGAATATAAGGATGGGTTATGTAAACAACAATACTGGCCTCAAGAAGTATTGGAAAAATGTCCAAATAGAAATGAATTAAAGTTTTTGACAGGGAAGAATTTTGGAAATAAGAGAGATCCAGATCTAGAAAGAAGATAGATATGGCAACATGAACTCTTGTGATTCTGAATCAAAGACGTATATTTTACCTTTCAGTCTACTTCATTTTTTATTTATTAGCATAGAGTTGTGTATTATTGATCATATACTACGAATATCATCATTTACTCATGAATTTGATGAGTTGAAGAGACCCTCTCTTTATGATTAAGTATTTCTGGTTCCTTCCCAGTTTTTCTACTACCTCTGCCTTATCCACCTTTCCTATGGTACGGTTGTTGCACTGTCAGAGATAGATGACCCCACTAATTGTCGTACTTACAACACCACTACTATTTCTTTATTATTACTTAACTTCAAGAGAAATTTGCAACACAAAAAATAAATAAACAGCGCGCAGGGAAATAATATGTGCGTACGTAGTCTCTTCCACTCGACATATTTTCAATGATCTAGTTATTATTATAGTTATTGAATGGGACGATCACGGAATTTAGTATTTCTTGTTATTGTTGCATTTTTTTTTTACAGCATCGATGGGATTAAGATGTCTTTCTTGGGTTGCTGCGGTAATTTTTCAATTAATATTCATATTTACTGTTGTAAGCAACCAGTTCAAGCTATAATAACAATAATAAAGATTGTCAACCTCGTGGTTACCATTATTAAATTAATTGTATTGGTTGTAAGTTTATTTAGAATAGTAGATTTATTATTATATATAGTGAACAATAGAAATAAGAATATAGAGTTTGTCGTTTTCTTTAAAAATATTCCTTGTATTTGAGAATGATTTTTGTGCATTTGATAAAACAGAGTAGATTATTGTAAAAATTATTGTTATTATATTGGCTCTCTATCGGATAAAAAAATATTACGTAGAGTACCAATTTGAGACCTATATATAAATATAAGAACTGCACTTTTTAAGTTTTGGTTCAGTGTAATTTCTTTTTATTTTTTTTTTGAGATTTCTGTGTGGTTTTATAGATTATGGAATATAATTGGAAACTTCCCATAGTATTAGTATCAATAGCTAGTATACTGATCATCACCTATAACGTTATTAACGAAGATATACTACCAAGCGCAACAATGTTACTACCTATACTGACGACTTTACCTCAAGTAATAACGGTCTCAGATCCAAAAGATAGATTGATTTTCATAGGTGATATACATGGACAATTCGACGAATTTAAAGATATGTTAGATACAAAAATTGGTAAATTAGATACACATACTACAGTTGTATTATTAGGAGATTTTCTCGTTAAGGGACCAGATTCTTTAAAAGTGGTAGATTATATTGTATCTCATCAAGACAATATTAAATTTGTCTTTGGTAATCATGAAATATTATTATTTTTAGCTTATGTTCAGGAACATTTAGGATTAGGGAACGATCATTTATTATTCAGTACAGATAAACAATTCCCTCCTAAAACTTTCAAACCTCCAAAAAAGATTCATAAAGAATTAATTAAGAAATTGGGATCAGAAAGATTACATCATTTGGCTTCAATAGGATCTGTTACTCTAAGATTTGATTTAACATTAACAAATGAAGTTTTGTTTGCTGTTCATGCAGGTATGTTACCAGGTGATTTTATGGAAAAGAACCAAATCCCACCAATTGTTGAATTAATTGATATGAAATATGTTAATGAACATGATTGGACGAAGAGTGCGAGAGAGGAAGAAGATGTTGAACATAGTAAAAGATGGTATAAATTATGGGATGATTGTGATAAGAAATTCGATAATATTACTGTATTATATGGTCACGATGCTAAGAAAGGTCTGAATATAAGGAAGCATACAAAGGGTTTAGACTCTGCATGTGTGAAAGGTGGTCAATTGACAGCATTAGAATATACTTATGATAGTGCTAAAGGACATTATATTACCACTCTACATCAAGTGCAATCTCATTCTAGTATATGAACAACTAATTTTATAGAAAGATATATATATACATATATATCTTTATAGTAACGATTGATAGCGGAAAGTGTAAAAGGGAATGTTACCTGGTTTTGTTAATAGCGTAACTCTATACCCATATGGTTCAAATACAAACAAAAGGTTGTTACCCCGCTAACGCCGGGTAATAACCACTCGAATATTTCACGATCCTCTTTTAAGCACTTAACGTTCTTATTCAATTTGGCGCAGTGAACCTGGAAATGAAAATTTGATGAAGTGGTTTTAATTTTTGTCCTCCTTTCTTGATTTTTTAACATTTTGAAACACCCAGAAACCATCCATCATAACACCATATACAAATAGTTGAAACTAATAAACAAGAGAGGTAGTCATCGATTATTGAGTACTCCGGAACCTCATCGACGTAAACAAAGATCGAAAATAAGATTTTAGATATACAAACTTGTTAGGTGTGCTGTACTTTAAAATTAAAAGGAAAGACAACTTCTATTTGCATCTATTTACCAAGTCGTGAATTGAAATACCCTTTTTTGGCGTGTTTATTTGTTTATTTTATTAACTTCAGATTATAATATCCTTTCAAAATGTCTGATTCCACTGACTTGGGTAAAGCAGCAGAAGACTTCGTTGATCAATTAAGTGGTAACATTGTTGTTGATCCTGAAATTTCAAATGAAGGTGCTACCAATGAGAGCGAGGCTCAACAAGAGGATGCTACCATGAACAAAGATAATGATTCAAATAAGGAATCTGACAGTGGTTTGTCTCAAATATTGAGCGGTAAAAAGTTTTTTATTAATCGTGATACAGATGCTCATGATTCTAGTAATGATGTAGATAAATTGGAAACCTTAATTACGGAAAATGGTGGTGAAATTTTGGAGAAGATCCCATATGAGACAACTGAAGATATGATTATTGTTTCCCCTTATAATGACACCAAATTGCCCACTGTTACACCAACTTATATCAAGGAATGTATTAAGAGTGGTAATTTATTAGACATGAAGAATTATTTAGTTCCTTACGATGAATTCCGTGCTGTGATCGATGATCAATTGCAAACTCCCTTCAATAATGAAAATGTCAATGATAAGGATCCACTAGAAACATCGAATGGTGGTGAGGATGTCGCTGATAAGCCAACTGAACCATCATCTGCTAATACTAACGAGGATGATAACATCGATGATGAATTGAAATTGTTCCATGATGCTGTGGATAACTCCAATGCTTTATCAGAACCATTAGTTCAAGTTGAAAATCCAGTATCATCACAACAGCAGATGAATACATCTGAACAACATATTCCACACAACGATCCTTCGCACTATTTGCCCCAAAATTCAGATATCATTAGGGCTAACCTTCCATCTAATAATAAGGCTTCATTTACTGAAGATGAAGATGAATTCATCCTAGATGTTGTTAGAAAAAATCCAACAAGAAGAACTACGCATACACTTTTCGATGAAATATCTCATTATGTTCCAAACCATACGGGTAATTCTATTAGACATAGATACCGTGTATACTTATCAAAGAGACTCGACTATGTTTACAAAGTTGATGATTTCGGAAAATTAATTCGTGATGACGCTGGTAATTTGATTAAGACAGAAGTATTACCTCCTGCTTTAAAAAAGAAATTTACAGCGGTAGAAGACTACGATTTGGCTCAAGCTGTGAAGAGACAATTTTATCGTGATTTATTTCAAGTGGATCCTGATACAGGTAAGTCTTTGATTTCTTCGAATGATACACCAGTGGCTATTGCTAAGAGGAAAGTCACAATGGATCATAACAATGTTCCAGGTTCTGAACCATCTTTTGATAAGTATCATACAGGGGCACGCAGAGGTCCAATTGCAAGGGAATTCTTTAAGATATTTGCTGCTAGACATCCCACTCACACGGAAAATGCGTGGAGAGATAGATTTAGAAAATTCTTGTTAGAATATGGTATTGATCAATACATTAATTACTACGATGCTGAACTAGAAGCTGGTAGGGTCCCAGAACCAATTAGAAATATGACTAATAGACCAAAAAGAGAAGGTTTACCAACACCAGGGAATTACAACTCTGCAATCAAGAGGGCTAAGGTTAATACCCCATCTGGAAGATCACGTACATCTCAAACTGTTAACGATAATGAATCTGTTTCTTTGGCTGCTGCCGCAGCTGCCGCAGCTGATCAAAATTCATTGGCAAATCATCAAAGAAACTATCCAATTCCTGAATCTGATTTGTTAGATGAAGAAACCATGAATTTCATATCTGATCTGAAGAATAATTTAAAAAACATGGATAATAACCTACCATTTGAATATCCACAAGAAATCGCTGATGCGATTAGACATGATTTCTCGATTGAAGAAGCAGAGTTTGATAATATTGATCCAGATACTATTCCTTTCCCACCAGATATTGCTACCATCGACTTATTCCTACCTACTTTCTTCCAAATGGCTAGTACAAGAGAATTCATGGACAAAATTGAAGATGTTATCTCCAGGGACTACGAGCCATCTCAAGCTGAGAAACTGGTTCAAGATCTATGTGATGAAGCAGGTGTTAGAAAAACATTCAGTACGAGTATCCTAACTGCGTTATCAGGTGATTTAATGGTTTTTCCACGTTATTTCTTAAATAGTTTCAAACATAACGCAAATCCACCTATGAACGTCCCTGGTATTTGGACTAGAGAAGATGATGAAATGTTGAAAGGTGGTAAAACAGAAGAACTAGCCCTCATCGAAAAGAAACATGGTGTTGGAAGAATTGAAATGAGAAAGAGGTTCATTGAAAAGGATCTGATTTAAGAATAGAAGGAAGATTTTTTGTTTAATGAGTCAAGTTTTAAATATGAAATATCTCATTATTTATTTCATATTATTTTGGCTGACACCTTTTAAACTGTTTTTATTATTGAAAAGTGAAGTGTTGAATATACATGTAATTTTCTCCTTATTATAAATGGTTGATTAAGATGGAATTACTTTGTATGTCTCTGGGAATGGTATATTGTTTTGTTTAATTTATCATTAAGAATTGTAATATATATATTTATATTATTTTGTAATATTTTTTATAAAAGAAAAAAAAGTATCTAAGAACTTACAATTGAGATTGCTTTTTTTTTAAATGTTGAATAATTATAACAGTTAATGATCTTAATCTTCAGAACAATATATATATATATTTACGTAATATCGATATACTTCTTGAGCAACCTCCAGGGAAGAACTAGGTATATAAATGCAGTATTGAGTCCATTACATTCAAACAGTTTTTTTAGATATATAAAATTTTATCTAGTGGCACTTTGCCCTACGAACAAAATACATGAAGTAGCAAGTAGAGAATGTGTAGATATAACTGAATAATGTTATATTGTTAAGAACTGTAGTTGTTTATTTGCACGAACCAATGTGTATTGTTTGGCAAAATAGATGTATACGTAGAAAAAAAAAATATTAATGAGGCAATAAAAACTTGCATACACTATTGAAAGAGAGGACATTCATTACATATAAGAACCATACGTAGTCTAAAAAGCAATCATTTAGCTCACAGGTTTGATCTTTAGGAAACCTTCGTGAAACATTGAAAAGAAATTTCAGTTTTCCGCGCTATAGCTTCCATTCATTTGTTATCCATTAATATATCGATATATATATATATATATATAAGTTTAGATAGATATTAAACCACTTGATCGTAGAAATGACATTGGCTCATATACCAATGAATATTAGTCTATTAAAAAGATTATTAACTATAATGTTGGAGAGGATTTGATTCATATTACAAGGTTAAATCGTACTCTCTCTTACCCAGACATGATTGCTTGTGCTGTGTCTTTCTCTTTCGCTTGCTTCGTAAGGATTTACGACAAGGAATATGTAAATCTGGTCTCTACTAAAAATCTCTCAATGAGATGATCCTCCCTCCCGTAGCTAACCCTACTCGAATATACTCGAGTACGCTACTTGTCTTCTCTCCATTGTCTGTATTTCTCCTTAAATTATCGGCTTCAAGTTAGTTCGTGATCCCTCTTATTCTTACTCTTGCTGCGTGCTTACTATCGATACTTCTCTCTCGAGAGATTTTTCAAAGTTGCTTGACTACCTGCAGCGGATTTTACTTTCACCTTCCGTTCATCGGCTCCTTCACTGATCGTCTTCCCCCAGAACTGACTTTAGAGACGTAGAAGAATTTAAAAGCGAAATAAGCAGTTGTTGTTCTTGTTATTTTTATTCGGTATATTTTTTGTTTAAGTAAGCAAATGACAATAGGTAGAGATGAATAAAGAACTAGAGAGAGAGACACTTTCATGCTCAGGAAATCCCTTACAAAGCACACATTAAGTGGGAGAAGAACAAGTCGATTTGGTTGGTCTTCCTTGCCGTCATCATTTATTTAGTATTGTTTGATTTATTTTGTTCTTTCTTGCATTGCATAACTCATAGAAAGGGCTGTTCTTGCTCTTATTATAATATGATTTTCCCTTTGACTGTGTCAACGTCAAGGATTAGGTGAAAAATAAAAAATATTACTGTTACGATCATTAAAGAAGGAGAGAGGGTCCAAGGGGGAAATTTTTAATTAAGAATTAAAATATATTTCAGTATCTTGCACACATGAAACTTTGTAAAGGGTTCTGTAATTATTTATTTATATTTCCTTTTCATCGTCGTCGTTCGTTTTCTTTTTCTTTTTACTTGTCTAACTTTATCGTTGTGAGTATATAATAATAATAGAATTAGACTACCCTCATTTCTTTAGATCGTCGAAGAAATAGGATATATCCTGGGTTGAACTCCGATTTAACGATTTGTAATTATGGAAGATGTTGAGAATATAAACAGTATAGCCCCAAAGATGAAAAATTATAGAAAGAACATTAATATGAATATGAATATGCAACAACAACAACCATTCCAACAAAACTTAATGACACCTAGTTATAATAATGATATTAGTAATGAGGTCGTAAATGGTTATAATTATCTAGATCATGGATCTGATATGAGCACCAATAATCACAGCTATATGATACCGAATGGGAGACAAAAACATCATCGCTATTCAGAACAACAGCAGCAGCAGCATTACGTAAAAGGTAGAAGTACTTCCTTAAGGGTTCAGAAAAATAACAATAATAATGCGTCACGATCATACAATATTGACAACATAGCGGAATCTCTTAATAATGAACAACAAAATATAGACACAAGTGTTAGAAGAAGTACATCTTTAGATCTATCTAATCTGCACAGAAATAATAAGAATTATTCGAATCCTAATAGGTCACCTCGTGTGCATAATCTTCAATACCATATTATGCCTTTCCCTTTACGAAAATATCTAGCAGATATGGCAAAATGTAAGATATTTGAACTTATTCAATGTGCTAGTGTTTCAGTTGAAAAAATATTAGACCAAGAATATTGGAATGCAGCCATTTCAAAATGGTTTACACCTGCTGCTACAATGAACGTGTCTAAAAATACGCATAATACACATAGACACTTTATTTATCTTGCTAAAATGTTTTCAGTTTTATGTCAAGCAGATCGATATCTGGATATAGATAGATTTGAATTATATCCAAGTCAAGTGTTTACTCAAGTTTTAAGTAATGGAACAATATTCTTCTCCTGTCTGAGATTATCATTTATCTATTATTATAAAGATGGAAGTTGTGTTACACATTATTCACAATTTAAAGGTGTATTCAATACTAATTTTAAGATTGAATGGATGGATTTTGGTGTCCATAGTTTTGTACCGGGGATTGAATGGAATGTATTGGAAAAAACTATAAGTAATATACAGCCAACACAAAATGCTACAAATGAAGCTACACCAAATGACCCATATGATTCACAATTTCGTACATCGACAAACTCCAGCTCTTATGATGGTAATGATGATAATACTAATATGAATACCGATCCAGAGAAATCACAAGATGAAATGAAACAAAAATTTACCGCAATTACTAAATTAAGATCGAATTTTGAAATGTTTAGAAATATTTCTGCATTAGGGGTACATTGTGATATCGTAAGAGCACTTCAGACTAATGAAATAATGTCTGATTTGAGATTTGTTAGAATATTCCAAAGAATGCATAATATTGATAGTCCCCTTGCAGCTTTGCAAGCATTTGTAGATGAAAAGGCTCAAGATATCAAAGCATATAAGGCCGCAGTAAATCAAAATATGGGAAGAGTAAGATCGCAAACTCACGCATCCAACACAAATTCGGGTATGTCATATGTTCCAGCAAATAATATGGGAATGAATAATCCAGAAATCTAAGATCTCAACAACTTCTAAATAATCTTCAATCTGAGTTGAATTATTCTTTATCGAATCAAATGAACAATAATTCATCCAATTAAAGATATTGTCATTACTTATATATTCAATAATATACGTAGCATTAATACATCATTCATAGATCTTTTAAAATCATCAAATTATGAGTTGAGATCGTATTTCCTTCTTTTTTTGGTTGTTTTCACGTAGTTATCTGCATATCTTTATTATATCATAATAATCGCGATGATGAGAAAAGTAGACCTCGTGGAAAAATATTGATAAATTCAAACTTAAATAAAGAACGTTCAATATTGCATGTGATATTTAAAAAAGTTGAGTTATATATGATAGTATACATTATTCAAAACTAGAATTTTCGGTAATATATATTCTAGATATATATTATTTTAGAATCAAAATAATACACAATATTATTTCGTGGTTTAAGTATGATATCCACCCATTGGGATAAGGTAGATTGGCCTGACCAATCCAAGATTAGAAAGGGTAAACTAAGAAATCCAACTCTCACATTTATCCAAAATCTGTTTAATAATGTTGGTGTTGCCTCATCGATAATTTATGCGCTATTAGTAATGGTTGTGAAACCAATTTTGGTCAAGCAATTTGTACAACGTTGTGAATTGAGTGCAGAAACTTTGATTGATGTAAGGAAACTAGTTATATTTTTGCAGAAGAAACTCAATACAACACCAATAGCTGTGTTAGGCTATAACGAACAAGGCAAATATGTAGAACACACTACGCAAACAGAAGAAGATGTTGATGCAACTACATTGGGGAAAGTGGAATGTCCATTAGTTAGGATTAAGAGCAAATTACAGGAACTAAATGATGATCTAGATACATTCAACAAAATAAATTTAAATAGGTCTACCACTAATATAGATTATTTCAATTTGAGTACGAAACTGTTGGTCCAAGAAATCAAACATGCAGATGATACGGGACCCCTAGTGGACCAACAAACTGAAATCGTAAGTTCAATACGAGAAATTAAGGGTTGGTTCGTTAGTGGGAAAATACGATGATGAATATGAAATGGTGATGTATTTGCTAATACTATTGAATATAGCTTATTATCTATGTCGTTTTTTGGTTTTTGGTTTTTGTTATTTACACGGTATGTAGTCTTATTATGTATATATTAATTTAATTAATGATACATAATTAAGTATGCAATTAATTGTTATCGATGACTTTATTTAAAAGAGATAATTTATCTATCTTTTTACTTTTTTGAGATTCGTTATTTGGTGCAGATTGTCTTTTAATGCCGGTCTTTTCCATAGTATTACTTCGAGAATTGAAATGTAATCTTATCTTTCGTGTGATGGGTATCTCATCCTGCTCTAACTCAAGTGATTTATTTTCATGTAACTGTTTTATCATTTCTCCTCTTTTCTTCCATCTTTTTTGAATATTTATACTTTCTTCCTCAGTTTGTTTAAAATTACTCTTCAGAATTCTTCTTATAGCGTCAGGAGAAATTTTAAAATGAGCACCTAAATCGCTAGCTGTCAAATGAGGCATTTGTTGTTTTAGAAGTCGCACATTATCCATACCTTCTCTCGATAACCTTTTACTAGGATTCCAACGTTCCCCTTTAATCTTTTTCTTTGTTGTTTCATCTCTTTGTTTCCATAATGGTATCACTTTATCCTTTTGATTTGAACCAACTTTATTTGCATTACCTGTTAAGAATTCAATAACTTTTTTAGCTGACTTATTCCTCGGATTACTCGATGACAATTCACGTCGTACATGGAACGATCTCACTGTTATTCTTAATAGATCGATTCTTTGCATTAAGCAAATGGTACCATATGGTCGCGGAAATGTAACTATGTATGCAGGTATTGAAACACTTTTTAGTATTTTAATAGATATTTTATAGTTTGTGTAAACCCAATACTTAGAAAGTAATGTAATTTCCTTTTATGCTTTAGGAACAATGTGACTGTGACCTACCATATTAAAGTAATAGTATGTACTTTACTGGAAATAATATTGTTCCACTGCAACAAAATCTTGTCAGACAATATCATTCAATACGTCGGTTATGTTTAAGAGCCATTCCGTTTATTTTTTTTGCTTAACGTAAATGCGATGATTATAATTGTAGCAATTCATTCCTGCATGTGGGCACCCTTTCTTTTACATAGAGATCTGGATTTCCATGAATATTCACATATCACACAGACGTCGCATATTTTAAATATAACTTTTAGAATTGAGATATATTTAAATTCAACTTTGTTTATATATTTTAGAAATAAGTAGAAATTTGTTGGTAGTCTTTGATACTTCGATTTTAGTATAGTACTCTTCGTCACCTATATTTAGGTCATTTTGCAATATTTGAAGAGAAGCTATTGAATATATTTAGGGAATGAATCTTATTAAAAAATTCATGGATCAAGGAAATAAATCAGATTTACTGACTCTACCATCTGGGGAGTTTGATCTATTAAGATCAAAGAAATCACCAAGGTCATCGCTGGAATGTATTTACAGCGATGCCTCATTATCAATTAGGGATGCAGGAAAATTTCGTTACGAATTGATTGTTAAAAAAGTCTCTGACGATGGTGATACTATCCTAGGTGAAGACGATGAAGATTTTTCAGATGATACCAGAAGTGTTTTATCTGTTCAATCAAAGAAAAAAGAAGAAGAATGGTCATTTTCCTTTTCTAAGGATCTTGCATTTTTGAAAACTTGGACTAAGAAAGGAGACGTTGCATTTGTTTGGAAAAATTTGAATGGAGATGAACTAGGTGAGAAAGTTCAATTTGTATTATCTCATGATGTACAGCATCATGATATTGAAAGATTTTTGGACGCGATATATTGTTGTTATTATGAGTCTAAGTATCAAAGACCTTCTTTGAGTGCATCACCAGAAATAATGAAAGAGATTGAACTTATATGTAATACAGCAAGTGCAGTTTCAGAAGATGACAGTGATAGTGATGATAATATTCCCTCGGTTGATAGATATGATGGTTCTGATCATGAAGAGTTTACAGATGCCAATGATTCAATGGGTGCAATTCGTAATTCTCAATCGAAAAATTCCTTGATACCTAAGAGGGCTCCATCACCTCCTCAAAACGTACCAGATGGGAAGCAATTTTTATTATTGAACGCCGACCTTTATCTATTCGATCCGATGGCTGAAAAATTTTTAAAACAAGAAAGCTCATTAAAAGTTAGTATTATCGATGTGGGTTCTTACAATTACTGGCTATCAGTTGAAGGGAAAGACAACAGACTAGGTACCGATATTTCTGCAAATATTAATCCTACATTCGAATCCTCTAAAAAATCATTTGTTTTCAACTATACGTTCGAAAATATTACTTTATCATATATGTTAAGATTTATTGATGTTAAGGATTTCAAAAAATTCCGTTCAACTTGGACAGAAACCGTCTGGATGTCTTTGAATAGAGACGATTGGAACACCCTACCTGCCATAGAAAAAGAGTACATCAACGATCCAGCTGATTCTCTGACACAACAATTAGACGACATACTACATATCGATGGAAGAAATGAAGGACGTTCTGAATCTGCTATTGATAGTTCTAGTTCTGAAGAAGACGAAGACGAAGACGATAACAGCGAGTATTCTTCTACACTATTGTCATCAACAAGTTTTGGTGAAGACAATAAGTCTGTTTTAAGTGGGAAAAATTCTACACGTGGTAATCAATCTCTTACGGTTTCTTCGAAAAACAATAGATCTTATGTTATTAGAGATAATAAGATTGGTGTTTTCAAGACAGGTGATGACCTGGAGTTTGTCACAACCATCAAAAATGTTACAAATTTGAAAGGTGATTCGTTTACTCCATTAACCCCCATGATGTATATGGAAGATTCTTCGATGATTCTATCAGATTCTCTAAACAAGAACAAATTATATAAAATGGATCTGAATAGAGGTTCTATTGTTGAAGAATGGGGTACAGGTGATAAAGATGTTGTCCAATATGGTCCAACAAAGAAATTCGATCAGTTAACAGCTGAACAAACCTTTGTGGGGGTTTCTTCTAATGGAATGTTTAAGATTGATCCAAGAATAAGCAGTGGAAATAAAATTGCTGTCGATCAATCCAAAGAATATAAGAGTAAATGTAACTTTAGTTCCATTAGTACCACGGAGAGTGGGTATGTTGCAGTTGGTTCTGAAAAGGGGGATATAAAATTGTTTGATCGTTTAGGTATTCGTGCCAAGACAGCTATACCTTCCTTGGGTGAACCAATTAGGCATATGTGTACATCGGCAGATGGTAGTTGGCTATTAGTAACTTGTGATAATATGTTAATGTTAATGGATCTTACTGTGAAAACTGGGAAGAATCAAGGCTCAGTTGCTTTCTTGAAATCATTCCCGGCTGCTGAAAATGCAAAGACTTATATTTTAAAGATAAGTCCGGAGCATGCTAGTTACATGATGACATATATGAAAAAACCAATTGTGTTCAGTAAAGCTTACTTCAATACAGGTATTGGTAAAACTGAGGATTCTATCCTAACGTCCACGGGTCCCTTTGCCATTACATGGTCTATCAAAAGTATAATACAACAGGTTGATAAGCCTTATTCCGTAAAGAGATATGCATCTGATGTAGTTGAAGATAATTTTGAATTCGGTTCTAATAAAAAAGTGATTGTTGCTTTGAAAGATGATGTTTCAATGGCGAAGATTAGATCTTTCAAAAAACCAAATAAAAATATATTAATTCCAAAGGAAACCATAGACGAATTTTATCAATGAGACTAAAATTTATCCCATATGTTATGATGGTTAAAAAGTAATGAAGCTAATTTAAAAAGATTCCTTAAACAAAGTTTAAATTATATAATTAACAAAAAAATTAAATAATACTTGTGTAATATAATAGAATATTAATATTTAATAATGAACCATGAATATGTAATTGATTCGAATACTAGTCTGTATGTTATCTACGATTTATTAAATCATTAGCTTTTCTGTGAAGACCAAATGAACTTCTAAATTCATCTATAAATAATATTTTGAAGGCTTTGAATTTTTGTAATTGTGTAGTTTTATATAAAAGAGGAGATATTGTTTGACGATATTCGATATCAGGAGTATCTTTAATACCATTAATTCTTCTATATATTCTTCTTACAAATCGATGAAATCCAGGACTATCCAGAAGTTTGAAATAGAGCCATTCTTCAATACTACGAGGAGCTTTTTTCATTATCAGTTTTTGCTTCTTTTCTTAGAAAATAGCCATATATTTCATTCTTTAATAAAGTAATCTAGAATTTAAAGAAAAAATTGATATTTCAGAAATTACTTAGTTAATATTTTCTTGACAACCTTGGGGTTTACATCCATAGTTTTCTATGTTTCAGTTGATCATTAATCAAGCTTTATAACCTTTTATTCAAAATCACGAAAGTTTTCCGTTCGCGTGAATGCTTTTTTTTTTTATCGACTTTCCGTGTAGGTGGCCTCTTTGACAGAGAAACACGAATCTAAGGGAAGTAGAAGTATTATTAAACAAATAAATTTTTTTGATAATACTCTTTCAACTTCAAGTTATCAATATATAGAGATTGTATTTCTGTTTCAGTTTTTAGATCTGTTTATAAACAAAATAGTTAAGCAAAACATTATTGAGTAATATATTCCCACTTTTAAAATGATCTCTGATACTGAATTGAATTCCATCGTTATCTGTTCCGGTTTAATCATGATGACTCTGATTGTTGCTTACAGCACCATTAGTGCTACTTTCGAAAAGAAACACAAATAAGTATTTTGAACAGTTAATGTTACAAAATAGTGTATTTGGTTTTTTATTTTATTTAACTTTAAGGGACAGGTTTTTGTCAGATTGCATAACGTACATAAAGAAGGATTTCATACCGATATATAATTTGAATATAATATAATAAATGATTACATTATAATATAAGATTACAATCCGTAAACTTGTTTCTGTTTATATCAGATACAATTTTCAAAATATTTTCTGACAGGGGACCTGAAAGAGATGACATTTTTTATCAAATGTCCAGGCTCTCGACATTTATTTAGATATTTATATATATATATATCATGTTTAATATCATCTAAAGGGCTTGTTAGTGAATTGATCCTTAAATATGGTGTGTTTTAAGTCTATAACTTTGAGCAATTAGCCAAGAATGTCTCTAAATTTTCGTAAAAAATATTCGAATTAGTTAAAAATATTAGATATGAATGTTGTTCAAGTTTAAACAAAATATTAATTTTTGTATTGACACCGATTATACTATTTTCAACATCATCTGTTCACAAAGTGTTAATTCTTTATTACATATTTTCTAGATTTGAAATAACAGTATCGGCTTTTATTAAATACAAGTGTTCCAGAAATACAATTGTTTACCTCTTTATATATGTGTATTTTTCTTTTCTTTTCGTGGGAAACGGTTTAGCCGCCGAATAAAATTGGGGAAATAGATGGTAGGAAGGGGACGAAAACACACCTCCTTACCATATATCATGTTTCATAGCTACAACACAACATAACACAACGTAACAAAATAATTTTAATTTGTAATAGTTGATCTAAAATGCTATTCAGAATTGCAAACTACACAACATTCTGAAAAGGTCAATGGTATCGAATAATTGCACATTTTTAAATGATCACCAAGAGGGTGATTACAGAATGAATAAAAGACAGACAGAAACTAAAGATTTTATAATATTTGGTAAATTCTATGAATTTAAAGCTGAGTATAATATTGTTGTAGAAACAGATATTTGGACATTCAATTTGTTAAAAAAATATACTAATAAAAAAAATATTAGTGTCGAAATTATTAATATAATTGATTTTTCAACCTATATTGTTTTGATTCCTGTCACGAAAGATATAGTTGAAATACTGAACATAAATAACCTACTGAAAATTCATCTTTCTAAACCGTTATGTCAAGAGATTTTACCATTCCCAAATGATTACATTGTTTCAAACGATGATAAACTCATCACCTTTCTAATAGAAGATACTTCACAATTATACGAAATTCTATTACATTATAATTCATATTTCTTTGACGACCAGTTAATTAATCCACACATTTTCAATCAAGTGGGGCTTACAGATGACAAAGTAGTCAGTAAAACGTGCATTTCACAGAGACCAGACACTACTTTGAGTAAAACATTCGACGGCAATGGGATCAACGACACACCTAACAGCAGTCCTGAAATATCTTCACTCGAATTATATCTTAACAAATTACAAATATCCTATCTGATTGGCAAAGAAGGTTATTGGATTAATTTTATAAGAGAATCAACAGAGGCTATAATTAAAATATTACCTATTCCCAAGAAACTAAGTTTACGGCAAATAAATTCACCACGATCGGTATTTCAAACAATTGTCATTACAGGTACCTTATTTGAAATAACAAACGCAGTTATCCTAATAGAATCCACCTTAACAAATATGGGATATTCAAGGATATGATTCATTCTATAATAGCCTAGAAAATCGATTACTTAGGAATATGCTAATTTTCGAAACAGTAAATTCATTATCTTCAGAGCTATTCTTTTAAGAATGTTACTATAAGTTGACAGTCTAGAATCATCAAAGCCAAACAATAGGTGACTCTATTGCGTAATTTCCCTTTATCTCGCTTTTTTAATTAGCTGCTTTTTAAGCACAAATAACTTCATCAAAGTAAAATGAGAAATCGAAACCTACTTGCACTCGTTGCGATTTCCTAGGGAGAAGACCTCTCTAACCGGCCAACACCTTTGCGATGCTCTTCCCTCTGTCAATGAAACAATTAGGTAAGGAAAACTCAAAATTTACTGTTTTCGTTAATGACGATTTCATGGATGCGTTTTGACTACGAATTTTCTCTGTGTTCTTCTTACTACCAGTACTCAGTTTTTTCAGATTTTTCACTTCGATGCACGCAAAAAAAAAATTAACAAAACAAAAAAAAGCAGTCTTGTCGAAATTTCATCGACGAAAATTTTTTTTTCAGTCACTCACAGTATCTTTTATAAACTCATCCTTTCTTTAGATGTTTTTAAACACTTTCTTCACGAATTTTGGTTAAAACGTTTTATGTGTTTGTTTAATTGTTAATCATAAAAAGATCGTTGACTAAAATATACATTTCAAAATGGCTGACGGTGTTTTCCAAGGTGCTATCGGTATCGATTTAGGTACTACTTACTCCTGTGTTGCTACTTACGAATCTTCTGTTGAAATTATTGCTAACGAACAAGGTAACAGAGTTACCCCATCCTTCGTTGCTTTCACTCCAGAAGAAAGATTAATTGGTGATGCTGCTAAGAACCAAGCTGCTCTAAACCCAAAGAACACTGTTTTCGACGCTAAGCGTTTGATCGGTAGAAGATTCGACGATGAATCTGTTCAAACTGATATGAAGACTTGGCCATTCAAGCTGATCGATGCTGCCGGTGCTCCAATGATCGAAGTTGAATACTTAGGTGAAACTAAGACTTTCTCTCCACAAGAAATCTCTTCCATGGTCTTGATCAAGATGAAGGAAATTGCTGAAGCTAAGATCGGTAAGAAGGTCGAAAAGGCTGTTATCACTGTCCCAGCTTATTTCAACGATGCCCAAAGACAAGCTACTAAGGACGCTGGTTCCATTTCTGGTCTAAACGTTCTAAGAATTATCAACGAACCTACCGCTGCTGCCATTGCTTACGGTCTAGGTGCTGGTAAATCTGACAAGGAAAGACACGTCCTAATTTTCGATTTAGGTGGTGGTACTTTCGATGTCTCCCTTCTACACATTGCTGGTGGTGTCTACACTGTTAAATCTACTTCCGGTAACACCCATCTTGGTGGTCAAGATTTCGACACCAACTTGCTAGAACATTTCAAGGGTGAATTCAAGAAGAAGACTGGTCTAGACATCTCTGACGATGCTAGAGCTCTAAGAAGATTGAGAACTGCTGCTGAAAGAGCTAAGAGAACTCTATCTTCTGTCACTCAAACTACTATTGAAGTCGATTCTCTATTTGACGGTGAAGATTTTGAATCTTCTCTAACCAGAGCTAGATTCGAAGATCTAAACGCTGCTCTATTCAAGTCTACTCTAGAACCAGTTGAACAAGTTCTAAAGGATGCTAAGATCCCTAAGTCTCAAATCGACGAAGTTGTCCTAGTTGGTGGTTCTACTAGAATTCCAAAGGTCCAAAAGCTATTGTCTGACTTCTTCGATGGTAAGCAACTAGAAAAATCTATTAACCCAGATGAAGCTGTCGCTTACGGTGCTGCTGTTCAAGGTGCTATCTTGACCGGTCAATCTACTTCCGATGAAACCAAGGATCTATTGTTATTGGATGTTGCTCCATTATCTCTAGGTGTTGGTATGCAAGGTGACATTTTCGGTGTCGTTGTTCCAAGAAACACCACCGTTCCAACCATCAAGAGAAGAACTTTCACTACTGCTGGTGACAACCAAACTACTGTTCAATTCCCTGTTTACCAAGGTGAACGTGTTAACTGTAAGGAAAACACTCTCCTAGGTGAATTCGACTTGAAGGGTATTCCAATGATGCCAGCTGGTGAACCAGTTCTAGAAGCTATTTTCGAAGTTGATGCTAATGGTATTCTAAAGGTTACTGCTGTTGAAAAGTCTACTGGTAAGACCGCTAACATTACTATCTCCAACGCTGTCGGTAGATTGTCATCTGAAGATATTGAAAAGATGGTTAACCAAGCTGAAGAATTCAAGGCTGCTGATGAAGCTTTTGCCAAGAAGCATGAAGCTAGACAAAGACTAGAATCTTACGTTGCTTCTATTGAACAAAACGTTACTGACCCAGTTCTATCTTCTAAATTAAAGAGAAACGCTAAGACCAAGATCGAAGCTGCCCTAACTGAAGCTATGGCTGCTCTATCTGTTGAAGATGCTTCCACTGATGACCTAAGAAAGGCTGAAGTCGGTCTAAAGAGAGTCGTTACCAAGGCTATGTCTTCTCGTTAAACATAGAAAATTGAAATTTCCTTTTTTTAAACTTTTAATTGAATAATACCATTTAATAAAATGTGTTTAACAATTAATACTTTGAAATAAGAAATATACATATATATTTGTATATAGTTTTTTCTCTTTCTTTCTATGTTTCATCCACTTAATAGGGAAAAGTGTCTGTATATTTTTATCTAAATAAAAAAATAAAAACCCCATCATGTATCCTAAATTAGTGTTATATTATGCAGTTAGTTGCTATATTACTAAAATGCGTTAGTGAAATCAATATGTAATGTCATCCTGGCTAAATGAATTCAAACCTATTAACAATTTTGAATTAAATTGAAACTGTGGTACTACTATTATTCGTACTCTGCCTCGAAAATTCAACCTTAGTATCACTTAGTTGAAAGCGCGAGGTAGGCTAAGTAAAAAAAATAGCACTCTCTTATCAAAATATATACACAATAGAACAGCTGGAAGGCGAAGCACACACTACAAATAATAGAGACTACATTCTTGAATATAGACATTTATGCTGACTCTACCTCTAATAGAAGGCGGTTTCCAACATGCTTATAAATAGACCCAATTGATTAGGGATATCTTGTAATCAGTTCCAATTTTAAAGATTATTTCTTAGTAAGCTATTAAAGTAAATACAATTAGATACAAGAACAACTAACTGTCATAACGACATGGTATTCAATTATATACACAACAGCATAAGTTCTCTACTATCTTCAGATCACCGTTCATTTGGTCACACAGGTAACCACAGAAATAGTAACTCTGCTAGTTCCACTGTATCGTCTGTCGTTGATCACGTAGTGGGTGGCCATCAGTGTCACAGGGAACATCGTCATGAACGGATCGCTTTAAGAAGGGAACACAGAGCGGAGCGTAGGGAACTGCACAGGGAGCACCGCCTCGAGAGCATCAAACTTCCCAGGAGAGGAAACCTCCCAGGGAACGACCACGACCAACACAATGACCACAATCACGATTACCGCAACCAGAACCATCGTCATCGTCATGGTTGTGGCCATGGTTGTGGCCATGAACCCGACAACCTTCAACACGACCGATACACACCCTCCTCTTGGCCATCCTCAACCTCCTCAACAACGACATGCACTGCGGCTGCTGTCGGTAGTTCCATGGACTGCTCGTCGCAACAAAGAACACAACCAGCAGTGCATCATCAATACCGTGAAGATGATATCGGAAGTGTTACACCCCCTCCCTATACTGTCAGAGCTACAGAATATCACTACAAGAGATGAACTCAGCACAACACCAGCTGCAGATGCCAAGAAAATAATGAATATTCTTAAGTAGAATACGCAGAAGGTTCAACCCAATGGGATCAATAAATAAGTAACTATATAATCAAATAATACAAAAATGAAATGTTTGTATCCTCTCCTCTATTGTAATTGAGAATGTAGCAATGCTTCTCTTTTAATCCTCTTGGTCACTTCTTCTTTTTGTTCAATTAATAGCTGTGTGAAAGGGGGCAAAGATGAAGTGATAATCTGTTCAGTTATATTTATCTCTTGAACAAATAAAGAACGGTTTCTAAATTCTTTCCTTTTTCCTTCCCAATACCTGAAATATATATATATATATATAGGTCAATGGTATCGAATAATTGCACATTTTTAAATGATCACCAAGAGGGTGATTACAGAATGANTATATATATAAAGATTAATTATTTCTTTTCTCATCATTTATCTTTCATATACAACTTCCATATATTTATCCTTTTCTTATTTCTGTAAAAGTAACTAAAAAACATCACATTCAACTAATAATACATACATATGTCTGCTAACGATTTTTACAATTCAGGTCAAAGTGGTGCCTATGATCCAAACCAAAATCAAAACAGGGGCCAAAACAATCAATACCAAAACCAGGCTCCAATTAACCAAAGTCAACCTCAGCAACAGCAACAGCAACAGCAACAGCAAGGCCAGAATGGTGAAAGAGGCTTATTCAGTACCGTCATTGGTGGTGCTGGTGGGTATTATGCTGGTTCAAAAGTATCCAATAATCATTCCAAATTATCTGGTACTCTGGGGGCCCTTGGTGGTGCAATATTAGCTAATAAGATATCTAACGGTGTATCTCATCATAATGATCATAATAACAATAACAACAACAACTATGGTCCACCACCTAATCAACATGGGAATCATCATGGCGGTGGTCTATTTGGTAACCGTGACAATAACCGTCCCCCACCAAACCAAGGTGGTTGGGGTGGCCCACAAGGAGGTAACCAAGGAGGTCCAGGTGGATGGAATAATGGTCCACAAGGGGGTAACCAAGGAGGCCCACAAGGTGGTCCAGGTGGTTGGAATAATGGTCCACAAGGTGGCCCAGGAGGTCAAGGAGGTCGCTGGTAAATTTAGCATTTTATTCAATTGCAAATATATCGTTCACTCTAATGAAATGGAATGGTGTTTACTATTAAATATATAAAAATTCGTCTTGACGTCATTGTAATGATATATATATATATACATATATACAGATGTTCAAAAGTTATTTCTATTAATGTAATTTTTTGCTCTTTTAGGATTATCTCTATATTAAGATACGTTAAACGCTTGTAGTTTCTTATTGATGGAAAATATTTCATCCATCATTAGTGGTATCATCCTAATGATACTAATTCTTCATGTTCTTGATATATTTCCTATTATTTGTGGTATTTTCTTCGGTGAGACACACCTTCGGGTTACATATTTACCTATAAAGACACACGAACACTTGTCCCATGAACTATTTGTATAGCCGAAAATTTTTTTTGTTCTTCAAGTTTTTTTTTCTTTCTCTGTGGAATGTCAATGAAATAATTATAAAAATATTGATCGATGAGCTGTTATATTTTTAGATATTATCAATAGATATAATGGAACAGACATTAACTCATTCGAGATTGATATCTAATATTTGCGTTACACAATAATACCAACTCTCACGTAGAAAATATGAAGTTAGATTTATCCCATATGAGATATATGACAGGCGATGACTTTAAAGTCTTACAAGCCGTTGAACAAGGTTCAAAAAATCATGAGGTTGTTCCTACAACTTTGATCCACCAATTGTCTGGTATGAGAAGTATGTCAGGTACTAATAGATCTATTAGTGACTTGGCTAAATTGAAATTGATCTCAAAACTGAGAAATGCTAAATATGATGGTTATCGTCTAACCTATAACGGCATAGATTATTTAGCACTACATTCCATGTTAAACAGAGATACCGTTTATTCTATCGGTGGATCTATTGGTGTTGGTAAGGAATCTGATATTTATAAAGTTTCCGATAAGAATGGTGTTGAGAAAGTAATGAAGATGCATAGACTAGGTAGAACTTCTTTTCATACCGTAAGAAACAATAGAGATTATTTGAAAAAAAATTCAAAAAATGGTGTAAATTGGATGGTTCTTTCTGGACTTGCTGCTAACAAAGAATTCCAGTTCATTACAATGTTGTACGCTAAAGGGTTTAAAGTTCCCGAACCTTTTGATAACTCACGTCATGTTATTATTATGGAATTAATTAAAGGGTACCCAATGAGAAGACTGAGGAAACATAGAAATTTACCAGAGTTATATAACAACTTAATGAAATTCATTGTGAAGTTGGGTTGCAGTGGTCTAATACACTGTGATTTTAATGAATTTAATATCATGATTAAAGATGAATCTGAAATTGATCCAAATGATCCTACCGATCTAGGGTTCGTGGTAATTGATTTTCCACAATCCATATCTATTCAACACAAGGACGCCGAATATTATTTCCAAAGAGATGTGGATTGTATTCGTAGGTTTTTTAAAAAGAAGTTAAAATATGAGCCAAAGAATGATCCATCAATGTTGGATACTGATGGGTTTGGTGATGGGTATAGATATGCTTATCCAGATTTCCAAAGAGATATCAAAAGAACTGATAACCTTGATGAATTGGTTCAAGCCTCTGGTTTTAGTAAAAAACATCCTGGTGATAGAGATTTAGAAGATGTAATGGTAGATATGAGAAATACCGAAGAAGGAATTGATGATGATGGGGAGAATACCAATAAAGATGATACTGATAATGAGGCAGAGAGTGCTACTGATGTTGAAGATGTTTCTGAATATTATTATTCAGAAAGTGAGGAAGAGGTTAGCGAAGAAGAATATGATAGTCAAGATGAAGAAAACGAAAGAATCATCGAAGCTCTTTCAAATGGTGTAGGAAACTTGAAAATGGATAAAATGGGTAACTACATACTCGAGGATTAATGATATCATCAACCAAACTCATGTTCTTCTAAAGTAATAGTATCAAACCTACACAAAAGGTTATATTGATAAATGATGCATTGCATACCTCTATACACATATAAATATATATAATCGTTCATACTTTGATTGAAATATCTAGTCATATTCAACACCTGAATTATCTTCATCGTCGTCATCCCCGTCATCCACATCTACTATTATATCTTCTAAAGAACCAATATTTATGTTATTTGCCGAGTCTTCATTTGTATGTATATTTTCAGCTGTAGAATAGTTCAATTGTAGATTCAATTGTGAAACATTTTCCGCAGGTGGTTGTATCTCTTCTAAATCATCCAGATCTTCTTCTTCTTCTTCTTCCTCTTCATCAGCGACTTCTTCTGCTTGGTCTTCATCATTGTCATCATTGTCATCACCCTCTTCTTCATCCTGGTCACTCCCATCAGAAAGATCACTATCGGCTTGAAAATCTTGGTCATTTTCTTCATCATCAGAATCGTCTGGCAAGTTCTGGAGATTGGTACCTTGTTTATTGTCTATTTCTGCAACTGCGTCTTTTATGATAGATTCGTCATTATTTGATTGTTGTGAATTCTTCAATTTCTTTGCTTTCAATTCTTCACTCATTGATTTATCAGTAACTTGTTTAATTTTAACATATCCATCAATTGTTGCATATTCTGATTGATCTATCATGGAAAATTCATATTTCTGTTCGTCATTTGTTATAAGGGTCATATTAAAAGTTAATCTTGTGATAGAAGAATACGTAATGGATGCAACATCTGTTGATTGAAATAATAATATAGGTTTCTTGAAACCAAATAATATATGGTCCGGTAAAAAATATAACGTACCTTCCTTTGTTCCTCTGTGACACTCAACATGGAATGAGTTTAATTGCCCTTGAGTATTATTATTAGAGAAGGGATCAGTTATTCTAAAACCTGTTAATATGGCTTGTTTCCTCATGTAATCCTTGCATTTCTTAAAGTCCTTCTCGTTGCTTGGCAAAATACCCATCTTACAAAATTGTTCTAAAGTAGTCATCTTATTTAATGTCATCAGTATAGGTTCCTGTTGGTTTGGATTATTAGGAGATCTACAATCTAGGAAAAGATAAACAATGTTCTGTTTTTCAGGTACTGGCAAAAAAGTAGCCATTTTAATATTAGTCTTCAAATCTCCTATACTATATTCTGATTTACCATTTTTTAATAAAGATATCATTAACTGTTTATTGGTTGGAGATAAATGAAATACGAAATCTAGTTTTTTTCTTAGAGGTGACAATATCGAGGCATTTTCTAATTTGAATATTATATCAGATGAATCTATCTTTTCATTTTCTGGCACATTAATGTTTGGTTTCTTCCTCTCTAACGTCTCTCCTTTAGTAAGTGCGAAATCGTATAATTCTTGAAATATTTCAACAGAATCTGGCAGAATAGATGTAATTCTTTCCAATTTTGATCTTAATTCTGCGGGAACTTCCTGTAAAAACCCTGCTACCATTTTGATAATGCTGTGACGTGTTTATGCAACTCTTAAAGAACGATGTAATGAAAAAGATAATTCGTAGATTACCACATATAATCTAGTTAAATTTCAATCTAAATAAAATCACTATAAACAGATAATACTTGAGAAAAAAACAAACCTTCTAAAATTTTGTCACAATCTTCAATACCACTAGTGTCATATAATTCGTGTGTTACTAGTTGCTTTGGTTATTCATGAAAGTACTTAATATTCATGTTACGCGTATTAAATTCTACCTGAATCAAAGTTTTTTTAGGCCCTTTGATTTCCATAAGTAACTGAGACGAATACCGCACAATTTTCTCCTTTTTAATTTTTCAATTTGAACTATTACAGTAATATTTAAACATTTTGGGACCATGCTTTATAATATTGGAATAAGTAGATATCTCAACGTATATGATACGGAAGTCATGAACCTCACTAGAACTGGCTCAGTACCAAATTATCGTATTATACAATAAAATATGTATACATTATAATTCTGTTGAATTAGTTTTAATAAAAAAATAATAAATAACGAATTCGTTTGTTTGACATTTCATTGCTCACCTTCTGAGAGGTAATATCTGTAACCCAATTATATATAACTTGACTTCTACTCTTGTAACTCCTTTTAGAATATATCAAATATAAGATTATGTTGTTTCACATTCTTACCAAAAACAAGAACATTCGCTTCTTATTTGATATTATATTCGTGAAAGCATCGGAAGAAAGGCCCTTTATTTCCCTTATTTTTACCCCAACTTTAAGTCATTCCCCAATTAATTAAAAAGAGCAAAAAGTAGAGCACGTAAACATAAATGTTCCCCACTTTTTACAACAGTTGGGTTTCGGATATATTGCTCACCATTTCCGTTGATCCAGTCGTAATGCCCTTGATATATAAATGAAGGTTTCTATAATATTTCTAAGAATCAATCTCTTGTTTTATTTATTTTAAATTCATATGTAGGGGGGAACTGAAACAACACACAACATACAAATATATATCGATAATTAAAAATTTAAGAATGCCTTGCACATTGGATTACACTTTTGTTAAAGAAAGTTCCTGGAAACCTGACTTATTTCAAGGGAAAGTTGTCTTTATTACAGGTGGATCAGGTACCATTTGTAGAGTGCAAGCAGAGGCTTTAGTGTTATTAGGTTGTAAAGCTGCCATAATTGGGAGAGACAAAGAAAAATTGAATGAAACATCTCAAGAACTATGTAGTTTGGTTAACGACAAGGAAAGGTGTCTCGCTATCCCAAATGTTGATGTTAGAGAATATAACGATTTAGAAAATGCTGTGAATCTAACATTGAAAAAATTTGGTAGAATCGATTTTGTTATTGCAGGTGCAGCAGGTAATTTCATCTGTGATTTTATGAACTTAAGTCCTAATGCATTTAAATCAGTAGTGAGTATAGATCTTCTAGGTTCTTTTAATACTGTTAAAGCAGTAACTCCGGCATTGCTAAAATCTAAAGGATCCATCCTATTCGTATCTGCCACTTTCCATTACTACGGTGTACCATTCCAAGGTCCTGTTGGTGCAGCTAAAGCAGGAATAGACGCTTTGTCTAATAATCTTGCTGTGGAATTGGCTCCTTTTGGAATTCGTTCTAATTGTATTGCTCCTGGTGCAATCGATGATACTGAGGGATTTAAGAGATTATCTAAACCAGAGTTAGTTGAAAGTGTTAAAAAAATGATTCCTTTACAACGTCTGGGTACCAAAAGGGACATTGCAGAGGCTACTGTGTTTATGTTTTCCCCAGCGGCTAATTATATAAACGGCCATGTTATGGTGGTTGATGGTGGTATGTGGCACACTGGAACTCTATTCACAAAGGAGTTATACCCACATGAAATAATAAAGAATGCAGAAAAAGTGATATCGAAGTTGTGATTTTAATTTGATGGTTACCGATTAAAAAGAAAAGAAATAAGAATAATATTCGTTATGTATACAAATATTCAATCAATGTATACCTATATATATTCGCTTGTCTTTTAATTAATGTTGCGTTAACATTTTATAAAACCGATATTACTATGCATTACTATGATTATTAAATGTAAGATATTATATAATAAAATGGGTATGAAATATAATTAGAACCTGGTTCATGTATAATTTTATTTAGCTCTAGGCACAGCACTTATGTTTTAAAAAGATGGGTGACATAGAAACGTATGCATTCAGTTTTGGCGCTTTGAAGGAAGTTCATCCTGAAGGTTAATCCCTGCTTCATGAGTTGTCGTAGAATCTATTAGATCAATATCGCCACGTAACCTTTTTCTTATTTCAGATGTTTCATTATGATCAATAGGCGATGCATGAGAGACAGCCATGGGAATATCTTCTTCCTCTTCTATTATTGTGTCTACTTTTGATAGGATATGATCAGTTAAAGTCTTACTTTTCTTTGCGGTTTCCATTTTTTCAGCTTCACACAAACTAACCATAACACCAACAGAAGGAATATCTAGGAGTTCTGCAAATTTATCTCCAAATCTATTAACAAGATATTTATTTAACATAGAAAAATTATTCTTCTTGCTAACAGTTATACCAGTTTGTTGACGTAGTTCCTCTATACTACTTTTATCCATGTTAGATGCAATACATTTGCTTGAAACAATTTTGAAGAAATCTTGAATGCATGAATTTGTTAAATTGTCCTTTTTCTTATTTTCTTCCATCAATACAAATATATTATCATAAAGATTATTAGTCATTAGATATCTATGATAATATTTATCATCCAGACAAATAATATTCTTAATACATCTTACTGCTGTTAAACGTAATTGTAAGATATGACCTGGTTTAATTAATCGACACACCTGTTTTAGAACATCCGATTCCAATATAAATTTCCGAGAAGTAATACGTGTATGCTCAGTGCTAATGAATGATATTAATTTGACCAATTGAATCAGTAAAAAATCATCATATTGTCCTTTTTCGTCATGGGCTTCGTTGGTGCTACCATTTTTCTCTATCAGAGGTGCAAACAGGATCGGTGCAATTAATTTGTAAAAATCATTAAAATATTCCTGTAGTTGGAATTCTTGATCGTTATCCAAAGAATCTAACGATGAATTCATATCTCCTTCATTGGTGTATTCGTTATTCAACGAAGTTGCCGAGTCAAAATTATTTTCACGTTCTGAATTTAAACGATAATTGAAATCATTCAACATTGATCCAGAACCCATTCCATCAAAATCACCATCAAGGTTATTAAAACATCCCTCAGGATGCAATAGGGTATTTAATGCTTGAACAATTTGTTCTCTTAAACCAGGATTTTTGTCCGTCAATAAAATTTTAGATAATATTTTCAATAGTTTCATTTCGTCAGACATTGGAGTCAGGTTTTTTAATCCATCTTCAGAAGTTTGAGATCCTGGTAATGGGGATTTTCTTCGTGAATATAACTTCGAATTTTTAGATGCAACATTGCGAATTAATAATATATCATGTTCAATAATTGTAATAATTGTTTCAGTTGCCAAAATTCTAATATTTGGATCGGTTACAACATAAAATGCATAACTTAAAACATTGAAAAGACCCATCCTCACCAAAGCCTTATAAAATTTAGTCTTATCTCTTTCTTCTAAATTCTTTGACATTTGAACACATTGATGTAATAGTTTTATACCGTCATTTCTTTTCTCTTCTAAATCTGTGAATTCTTTTTCTTCCTCCTTTCTTAAATCATACAGTTTTAGTATATTTTCCAAGAATGGATCAACCTCTAAGAAATCAATTATGCATGTCTGTAGATCCAATATAATATCCATGAATAAATTAAAATTATGATCATCTAAAAATCGTACTAATACAACATCCTTCAAAAACTGTAATCTAAAACACTTTTTGACGACTAGTTTCAAATCTTGATTCTCTAAAGGTAAAATCTCTTTGAAGGTTGGAGCTCCCTTCTTTAAATATTCTCTGTGGTTGGATTTAACGTTTGGAAATTCAGTATCATATTCTAATATTCCGATAACACCCATAATATGATCGTCATCCACCATATATTCCAGAATATCTCTTTGATTATACAGGATAAGAGTCTTGATAATATTACTTAATAAAAATAAATCTTTTAAAGCTCTATTCTCTTCTGCAATATCAAAACAATTAATTAAAATCTTGATATAATCACTTTGCAATACAAATTCTACTGTTTCAGTTTTCAAAAATTGATACGCCGTATTTTCATTTAGTATTTTCAGAGAGTCATACAATGTTTCGGTATTCTGTTCACTCTGAGTACCTGGTAGAGACACTGGTGCTGTTATAATTTCATGTATGGAACCTACACCTTCATCGCCCGATCTAACAGCTACTAACGAGATGTTTTTGGCAATATGTCTTTGCACTTGTACTATAAAATCACATAATCTATCGCAGCCGAGACTCTCTTCAAAACTTAATGCAATATCGTGGCCTTCGAGATCCTTCCACACAATAAGTGTTTCTTCTTGTCTTTGATACTCAATGTTCCCTTCTAATTTTGATTTCAGTAAAATGTTTGCAGGAAATTCTTCATTACTAACCATTAAAAATGCAGATTTCTGTTCTGTATCATTATCAGAATCTATATTTAGTGGTAATGTAGTCACAGTCGACACTTCACCAGTACAAAACCCAGTACCTGTATCCTTCCATTCATTATTTTCTAATATATATACTTTTACCCTTTTTGGTTCAGTGTTAGAGAAAGTACCATCCTCATCCTTTTGTAATGTTGTCATATTGTATTACTTTCTCTACGATTTTAATTAAAAGAATATGAATATGTTGTCGATATGTGTTTTTTGCAAAAATTAACAAAAATCAATAAAAGGAAATATAAACAATCTTCTTGGGAGTTATTCACCAATAATTAGTCTAGTGCCCAAATAGTGAATTTATAATACAATAAGTGAAATAAAACGGTATTTAAATGATATTTACCTTTAACCACTATTAATAATTTGATCTTTCAGTCGTCTCTTCACGATTTTTAAATAAATATATTTCCAACGGTCGATGTAATTTCAATCCAAAATATATATGTGATCTAAAATAAACCACTTCTACTTAATTCATGAACCGCTATTTAACGATAGTTTGTTATTATTTTGGTGTCGCTGAAATAACTTTTATTATTGCTATTCTTATTTTTCTTACTTTTTTTTTCCAGTAATTGATAATAACAAAAACATTAAGACCTTCTTTACGTGGTTCGTCTCTTTTTTTTTTTTTTCTTTTTAGNATTTATTTGCATACATATGTAATATAATATTTATTTGCATACATATGTAATATAATATTTATTTGCATACATATGTAATATAATATTTATATATATATATATATATATCAAAACGAGTTCTATTGGTTTAGGTTTCCAGAGCAACATGAAAAATATGAAAGTTTGTCTTTAGCTAGTTCTATAACTTTAAAACTTGATCTGTACCTTCGTAACCAAATGGTTCAAACCCATATTTATTTGCAAAATCACGAGGAATAAACCTACCACCAATATAATGCGTTGTCTTCTTTGGATCCAATAGTTCACTACATGGTTTTGGGACAGTTAAGGACACCAAAACATTTGGATTGATATATTTTTCAGAGACAGGTCCCTTATCAACATCCCATCCACTAGGAATATCTACAGAGACAATAGGAATATGTTCCTGTAATGTATGTAATTCATCTACAATACTTTGAAATGGTTCCCTTAGCGGAGGTTTGAAACTAAAACCAAATATAGCATCAACTATACATAACGTCTTATCTGGTTTCACAAATTCTTTCCAACTATCGGCATCATCTCCAGATAATATAGGCACTTTAAAGAACTCCAATTGCTTGGTTAATTGTTTATAAAACTCAGTTCTATTACTTCTAATCGGGTAATAGACAATAGGATTGTAACCAAATAATTTTAAATGCCTTGCACATACCAACCCATCTCCCCCGTTGTTACCGGGACCAGCAATTACAAAGACATTCGTCTTTTCACCAACTACCTTCTTTAAATGGAATTGGCGTGTAACTGCCTGCGCTACACTGAAACCAGCTAATTCCATTAGCTGCTCTAAAGTGAATCCAATTCTTGGACCCATCAATTCTTTATCAATTTCGGCTGCCAATTTGGCAGACACTACTTTTAAGGTCATGGTTTTGATGTATTTCGTTAGTACTTTATAATATGTTTTGCTAGAAGTATTATAACTATTACATAAAGAGATAAAATAACACAATACTAGTCGTTGTGCTCAAATAATATACTTCTATCTATATATATATATTTACAAAGTACTTCGGTCATGGCATAATATCTACTCAATAAAATCTCCCTTATTATACCAAATAAACAAGGGATAATTAACTATTTAATCACTAAGGCCCATTCATCATCATCTGTTACTTAATCGCAGTACTTGTTTTTTTCCGTCTTCGCAAAAATTGTAAAAGTTCGATAAGAAGCCCACAGACAATTGATATAAAAGGTACTTAATCAACAACTCTATTTAGCTACCTAATTCGGAGTTTTCTTCTATTCATGATACATGGATACAATATATATATATATATATGTATATATATCGTCTCATTAACAACACAATAATGTGTGATAAAAAATTGGCCATCACCATTACTAAATTTGCAATAGTGGCGACCTGTACTATTTAATAACAAGTAATTTTGAGTTTTGTTTTCAAGAATTCTAAAATCTATATAAGAGAGGTACCGTAAATATCATAAAATTATGTTTTGATGTTTAAGCCATTAAACTTTCTGAAAAATAAAATAAACGAAGGAGATATTTATTTTCTCGTATTACTCAATAAACTTCTGACACATCCCATGTCTTCAATAAGCATTTTTCTTAACCATTGAGTCTCATTTCTTTGCAATTCTAATTCTCTTTCTAACTGCGATATCCTTTGATCCTTCTCATTCAACAACGACCCGTACGACTGTTTTAATAATCTTGATACATGTTCCACCAATATCATATCCTGTCCATTTTTAGCTTCATTATTTTGTAAATTATTCTCGGCCCCAATTTGAACACCTGTCCCAGGGTTACTTAAGGTATTATCCATGACAGAAATACTTGCATGATTATTTTTATTCTTCAAAGAATTGGAAAATTGTAATAAATCATCAACTGTATCTTCTCCATCTATTACAGTTCCATTCAATGCTCCCATGGATCTTCGCTTCCATATTGATGAATTTAATGAATTATTGTTCATATTCATGGAAGTATTATTTCCTATCAAATTAGTATTATCTGTATTAACATTGGAATTAGAATTTATTGTTGCGTTTTGGAGAGCAGCATTATAATCGGTTGAGTTGTAATCATTTGGAGCTAATCCAAATTCAAATGTATTTACATCTGAACCCGGACTTGTAGGTTGAGTATAATATCCTCCTAGTGACCTTGAATTTATATCAAGGGAAACATTCTGGAGTCTCTTTTGTAAAATATGTGGTAACGAGGCGTCCATATTCATATTAAGCGATTGTTGTTGTGATGCTTGCTGCTGACCATTTATATTGGTCGTTAATGGATCAGTTTGATTGAGCGGAAAATCTGGTATTACCGATGTAGAGTGACGTGGACCCTGGGTATTTATATTTTTCCCATTTTGTATCTTTTTAGCACTTACATTCTTCTTTCTAGTATACTTTTTCTTGACTCTCTTAGGCGCTTGTCCTGCATTATTGCCATTGTTCGTTAATGTCGTAGTTGTAGAGTTAATTAAGGAGGTAGGTGTAGTCTCCGCAGTATTGTTCCCCGTGGGTCCTTCTGTATTAGAACCTGAATTGTTAGGGGAAGAATTTGAAGAATTAATTCTTTTATTGCGTAAGTTTTGATTTATCATAATTCCAGTTTCAGCATTGAAAACTGTTAATATACTAGTTGTTGCCAATTGCCATAATCTATCAGAAATAAATTCTGAATCTGGTTTAATTTCCCACATATGATCCTTCAATCCATTAAAATACCCTACATATGGAGACGATGAATAACTCAGAGTTAATTCACGAATAATTTGATGTAACCTCTGGAATAATTCTATTGCTGATTTTGGGGACGTCGATTTCTCATCGATGGGAATATTTGTTAATGTAGCATTGTATATAGCTGATATTTTCTGGAATATTGGAATGAATTGAGCCCGGGTCTGGAAAATTGTACTATTTTGATTTGGCTGTTCTTGTGTCTCAGTCTTAACAGGTCCAGTACTAGTCATGGAGGAAGTAGTACCGGTTTGATTGACAACATCAACCTTACCTTGTGATGGGGTGTTTACTTTTGAGTTACTATCATTTGGGGTTCCTGATTTAGAGTTTGAAGTGGACGGTACTGCTGTCTGAGGAGAATTTACCGTACTATTGAATCCATTACTGTCTATAATAGATCTGTTGGTAAGCAAACTAAATGCCTTGATGATAAACACATCTAGTTTTGTTTGATGATGGATTAATCCAAGAGAAGTGGCTGCAACATTTTGATTATTGGTGAAATTTAATTCTATGTCATTCATGTTTGTTTGTCTATTTTGAATAGTAGGCACACGTTGTAAATCACTTTTTATATCTTCAACTTGGAACAGTCTAGAATATATATAGAATATACAGTAATCGGTGCTTTGAAAGATGTATGTATACTTGATGAACAAGTTCTTGGCAGATTTAAACTTATACTTCAACAAGAAAAGAAGTTAATAAATACATAAGAAATAATATAATTGAAATAAAGGGTAATAAGAATATTAAGTTCATCGTGTAATGTAAAGAATAAATTTGATAACCAATTTCGTTTTCGTTTTTTGACGTATTGTTATTATTATTTTTATTACTAGTGATACCAGATAGTCTAGTAAGAGCGGAATATCGTAGTTTCCAAAATAAGATACAACGAAAACGGAGAATTTCATGCGCTATCAAATGCCCAACTAAACTCTCATGTGCTAAGTTTTATCTTTCAACCTCGCTGAACATCATCTAACCTTTTGTATAGCGAGAAGGAAACAACCCACTCTCTTTCCTGTTTGCTACACCTGCGGTTCCTACGAAAGGGTTAATTAATTTTTTTTTTCAACTCATCTGAAAGGAAATGATGAAAAATGGAAGGGCAACCTGACATAAACTACGATGATACGACTGCAGGAGACAAAGAGTTTGTTGTTTGAAAGTTTTTAAGCCCTCAATCGATGCACTCAATCTTTCGTCGCATCTCTCAGTGACAAAAGGAGTAACAGAGCGAATCGAACGTTTAACGTAATGAAAAAAATAGTTCATTTTTTTCCATCGTGATTCGTGAGAGCTGTGCGAGATATTCTTACAAAATTTTTTGGCTCCAAATAGCTTCACCATTACAACCTGGGACCATCTACAAAGAAACTTGAGGCCGAGTAAAGTTGGCTGGTAGTCTGCAAAAAACGATATGGATATCCTATATTAGAGAAAGGTTTAATGAATTTGACATAGCAAAGTAACAAATATTATTATCGACTGAACATCAAAATATAATAATAATAGACATCAGTGATTCAATAATTCTTCTATTTTAAGATAAGAAGTATAATAGGATCGTGGCACCACTCTTTATGTAGAAACAATCGGTATTGCTTGTGACCAAAAAAATGACGCATTCCAAAACAGAATATGCAATTAAAAGTAATGCGAGTTAGCCTGGGTTGGGATCCTAGGTTGATTATATATATGTGTGTATTAGTTGAGTTCTTCTGAACATATATCATAAATTTTTTTGAAATGCCTGGTGTCGCCGTCCTCTTAAGAACAATTATGTGCCGTAGTAAGAAGCTCGAACTCCGATCATGAAGTTGTACCTTACTACATTACATTCCATTGATTTCTTGAATTTTGATTTATGATTAATAATACAATATAATTAGAATGGATGTAATAGTATATACATATATATCTGGATATTTATATGTTTGTCTGTGCATGTGAGCTAACATTAACACAAATATATCTGTAATATGTCTAAAAATAATAAAATATAATGCAACGCAAATTAGTGTGCTATTGACTTTTTAAAGTAGAATGAGGAATGTGCAACACTGTAATAATGAATAAGTAGATGTAATGACAACAGTCTTAAAGAGAGAGAAAAAAGAGAAAGAAATTAATTTCTATATTAGGTCAAAAATTTTCAATTTATATGCTTTTTGTTATTATTGAAATAAATAAAAAAAAAAACAGAAATGATTAGAGACAGAAACGATATGAGTTATGAAAGTAAAATAGAGAGAAGAAAAAACTAAAAGGAATAAATGACTTGATGTGGGGAGATGACAAAAAATAAAAATAATTAAAAGAATAAGGTGAAGGAAACAAAATTGATAAGAAATTAATAATTATGCTTAATTTTTAGCATAATTATTGGTATAACTATATGGAACAGCTGTATTATTTATTACAGAACTATTCTGTATACCAACCATATTATTGTTAGGTACGACAGAATTATTTGGATTTCCTCCTAGAGTTGGAGTATTGGACGGATTCATGTTTCTTCTACTATTTGGGCCTCTGACACCTAATGGATTCTTGGAAAAACTTAATCTAATACCTCCCTTGTTACTAGTAGTTGTACGTGGTAATTGGCTACCATATAATTCAGCAAGCGCTCTTGTGGCAAAACTGACATCATCAAATTCAACAAAACACATTGGACCGTGACCATTTCCATTGTTATTCTTGTTTCTAAAAGATAATCTTCTAAATCCTTGCTGACCTGAAAATAATTGTCTCAATTCAGATTCAGTAGCATCTGGAGGTAAATTACCAACGTACAAAGTGTTACAAGGTGGATTTTGATCCGCTGGATTAGCTGGTGGTGGAACCCTGGCCAACAGAGATAGATCTGCCTGTGATATGCTTGATGGTGGATTGTTACCCTTAGAAACTGGGGTAGAGGAGGAAATTTTGGTTAACGAATTCATCTTAACCAAATTATTTGAAGATCCATTAGCGAGGTTTGAATTAGAGGCATTGTTGTTAATTTGGTTACCGTGTTGGGATGAAGATACCATGCCATCACTCATGTTTCTTGGTTGACTAGTACTCATTCTACCCTTGAACGGAGAATTGTTCATGAAGTTTCCCTGTTGTGAATTTTGAGGTGCTGGATAATTTATTTCATTATTGTCGATCATATTTTGCATAGGAGGATTATTGCTATTGGATCCCATTTGATTCATCATACCGTATGGTTGAATAGAAGATACAGTTTGATTTGGAGCAATTTGTGATTGATTGTTTGATCCTTGTAATTGTACACCTTTAGGCATTGCCATGGCATCCATGTTAGGCATTGTTGGTGTTCCAACAGAGCCGGAAGCAGGTGGTAAAAAGAAAGCTGAACTTTGTTTCCTGCTACTTGAATTACCCCATTCTACGGTTGGAGTAGATGGTTGTGGTGTATTACTTAAACCATTGATACTTGATGGAATTGCATTTGGTCCCCATATTGTATCATTAATTTCATCATTGTCCATAAGTAAGAATGATTTTCCAACATCGGTAGTATTTACAGATATATCTTGATGAGATTGATTCACATTTGATGCATTTTGTTGGTTTTGTTGAATAGATTCTTGATTGGCCATACTGTTGGCAAATGGATCACTAAAAGAAAATTGAGAACGCGATGAATTACCTTGTTGCTGCTGCTGCTGTTGTTGTTGTTGGTGGTGGTGATGTTGCTGTTGTTGCTGTTGCTGTTGCTGATGTTGTTGAGAGGTAGTTGGGTGAGTATTACTACCAATCATAGCGTTCATATTTGGTAAAGATGTAATTTGTCCACCCGTTGCAGTGAATTGAGAAGATGAACGTCCATTAGGTTGAATATTTTGAAATGCAACTAATTTATTCGTTAAATTATCAATGACTTCTACATGACAAATTATTGGATCCGTTGGACCGAAAACATCTGTTTTAGACACTAATAATTGTGCACAATATACTACAGAGTCCATAGAATTAAATTTTGCAATAATTTCTGGTTTTATACTTCCAGTTTCTTCAGTATGATTTTCTATAAGTTCTAAATGCACCAAATTATTTGTTAATGCAAAGATTGCATATGCTTCTCTTAAGGTAATATCCTTTGGTAAATTACCTAATTTTAAGGTATAACTAGCATTTAAGGAATCTTGTTGTGTTGGATTCATATCTAATGAAAGGTTATTTAAAACTGATGATAAATGCAAAGGAGATGTTTTCTCGTTCACAGGATTCATTTTTTTGTTATCTTTGTTATTAAATAATAAATGCAAGCTTTATAACAGTAATAGTTTTTTTTTAATCGTTCAATTTACGGACAGACACACAAATGGAAGTATGAGTAACAACGTGTTGAAATAATGTCTTATGTGCAACTTTCGATTATTTAAAAGAAATCAAACGATTGGTGACTTTTTTTTCTCTTAATAATATATGTGTAAATTATTGTTCTTTTATTATCGAATGTTGAATAATATGTTATATTATACGCGTTTTCTTCAGAAAGTAAATGGCTTAAGGAAAAACACTTTAGGTAAAAAGGTAGAATAAGAAGAATACTTTTTGTAGTAAACAGTCTCTTGTATAATCTTATTATGAATATATATTTCAGATAAGATAGAGTTCACAAAGTTCAAAGGGTATATCTTAATGTATTAACAAAATATATGTGTATTATAATTGTATTAAGCTGTCAAAAGGGGATACCGCGAAACGTAGAGAAAAGGGAAAAATATTGATTTAAACACTTCTTCTTAATGAATATTGCAATCAAAATAGATTAATAGAACAGATTGAAATAACTCTAAAATACTTTTGTGTATATTGATATTGGATGTATCCTTCTAACGTATATCTGTCTTCACTTGGTTAGGTGTGTGTGTGTATGTTGTTGTGTTTATAATGTAATTTGTAACGGTATAATTTATTATTTTTTTTCCTTTTCGTTCTTTTTTTCAGAAAAATTATTATGAAAGTTTTATAATTTTTTTGTTTTTTTGACCCGCTTCATACGCTTTTTTCGTTGTATTTGTTGAGCGTTCTTCTGTTATTTGTTTTGTTTGTTTTATTGTTCATTTGTCGTCGTGTTCCAGTTGGTTCTTCTCTTGATATTGCTATTATTCGTTTTGCTGACAGCGCGCAACGGATATTACGATTGCATTATAACATTATTAAAGAGAGGACTCAAAGGCAGAATGAACTATATTATAATATGTTGAAGATATGTCAGTTATTCATCCCAGGAAAGATCTTTCTCTTTTTATGTAGATGTAGATGTAGATGTAATATTGACGAATGGTTTGTTTGCGAGCTAAATTAACACATAATTTGAAGTTGTAACTGAATCAAGGTAACAGGATTTTTTGGTTGCCGTTTTCAGATGATCTTTCAGGGTAACATGGGAGTTCTCCTCTTTTGGGATTACCCTCTCGTATCGAAAAAGAATAATAATAATAGATAAGTATCGTAAAGATATATATTTTAGATATGTCACTAATAGATCGATTACCAAAAAGAAAAAAAAATATTATATTGGTTGAATAGTCTATGGAATATGAATATATATATATATAGCAATGCAGTGAATCTTCTCTTTATAAGTCAAGTGTTAGATTGAAGTATGGTATATTGATTAGAAGAAGAGCCGCGTTTTAGTCTTTTAATCAGGTTTGGAATATAGAGTATGCAATGGGATCTCTATAGGAAAAGAACTGGAATAAAGTAATGGGAATCTTAGTCAGAAACTTTGTTGTTTATTGTTTTTTCGCTGCTGTGAATATTTATAAATATTATTGTGCAGTTCGTTATTATTGACAACAAGAAGGAATATCAGACCATATGACGGATTTATTCATCGTAATATTAGTAGAATTTTTATCTTTATCTATAATTGGTACACATAATTCAGTTAAGTTTTTGATAGCTAGTTGTAGTTCATTTTCTTGGTTCGTTATTGTATCATATGGTGTTCTATCTGTTTCATCATTTTCTCCATATAAACAGAATGATTGCATCGAGATGTCTTTATTAGTATCTTTAGGTTCTATTATGTTTGTCATTTTAATAAATGAATCTGGTGATATAGTGGAACCTGATATTGATTGTCTTGGAGATTCAAATGGTGATGATAAAGTAATTTCGGAAACTACAGTTTCACCAGACCATCTTCTTTCTTTGGTTGGTGTAATATTAATATTAAGTGAACCAAATGAATCAAAATTATTTTGTAAAAATTTGTTATATTTTGAAGAAGGTGATAAAGGTTTAACATTTTTAAATGGTGTGGTAAATAAATATTCAACGTATTTACTTAATGGTGGATCGGTTTGAATTTCTTTATCTACCATAATAACAGGGTTTATCTTCTCCTTTGATATATCTTTGAATTGATACTTTTCGCTTATAATAGTCATCCTACTACTACTATTATTATTATTTGCTTCAAAGGAAGTTGACCAATTATTATTAATGGTTGGTTTCCTTTGTGTTTTCTTTGAATCATGTTTTTGATGACCTTTACATCTTGTTTTTTTATTTTGATTGGAATTTAGTTTAGATTTATTTTTATTAAAAGATGAAGTTGATTCTTCCTCTTCTTTTTTACTATTTCTTTTCAATTTCCTATTAGAATGTTTGCAATGATTAGTTGTTGATAAATTATTTGAGCATGAAATTGAAGCAGTACCGGCACTCATTTCTTATTCGTATTACGAATATATATACTGAACTTGAAATTAATAATAAGATAAGATATATAAACGAATAAAGCAATCAGATCAAAAGAGAAAATAATTTAGTAATTATAAACATATATATATATAAATATACTTTCTACCGCCGACCTTTTTTTTGCCCTTAAAATATATCTAGAATATGATTAAACCCTCCTCAAAGGAAAGATCCAAACGCCAAAAATAAAATAAATTAGGGATCCCCCAAGAAAATGGAAAATGGATAAATCTGCTCTTCTCACACCCAGAATCATTCATTGTGAGAGAAACGAATAGAATTATTGCAGCCACTTCTTCTTCTTCTTCTCCAAAATATGACAGAAACTAGATATTGCAGCAAATGATTTGGAGATTACGCCTGTCCCGCGTGTGTGTCGCTATGAAATACACGACGAAATCTAATAATAACAATCATTTGCTGTTGCTAGTCGCCCCGTAATCCATAGTCATGGCTCAGTCATTCTGTATTGTTCGCATCTTTACAACCACAGAAAAGTGGATATATTTCTGTCGTAATAAGAAGCGTAGAATATGTATCGGAATTAGTGAACTGATAAATCTATATTTTATTGGGGAGCAAGGAATACTTTCGAAATAAATGTAATGTAATATTCTTTTAACGTTATAAAACTGGTACACAGTTATATAGATATTAAATAAATTAACAGATCGTTGTTGTTGTTGTTGTTGTTGTTTTTGGAGTATAATAAACAATAACTAGAAATCCTCTGGAATTAACTGCCATGGTTTTACAGCATGTGGTGTCGGATTAGCTTTACCACAGCCTGGTACAGGTGTATGGTGACCTTCAAATCCTCTAATAGATGTATTCTGAGACACTTCAGAACTTGTTAATTCATTCATTCTTGACTCTACCATGTCTTCTGGATCAATAGTGTGTAACATACTATCTTCAAGATTCCCAGAATGCGTAGTGCCAATACCACACCCTAGTATGCCAATACCATTACTATCAAAATTTAATTTATTACCGGGGCATTCGTCTGGTAATATACCATTTTGACAAGAATTTAAACTCTCATCATCTAAAATATATTGGAAATCAGGGTATTCGGGTGATAAATTATTAAATATATGTGTTGGTGGATATTCGGGATGATAAGAGGTTGTAGATATTGAAGATAATTTATCTTGTGAACCTTCATTTTTAGTATGATTTTGTAAAACATAATCGTTTGCTGTTTGTCCCTCTCCTAGCATCCTTGCATAATCTGATGCGTCATGATATCCAAAATTTGGATCTTGTGGTGTTCCTTTAAGTGACATTTTATTTGTTTGTTTGTTTGCGTGCTCGTACTAATATATATTTGTGTTACTACTATTCTTATAATTATATTTTGATGAATATGAGAGTACTTCTGTTTTGTTTGATTTTAAGAATCTTATTGTAATCATTTATATATTGATCATAATAAATAATTTTGTATCCCTTAATCTCTCTTATAAATTTATATCATTTGTTTTCTTCATAAGTTATTAATAGTTTATAATGGGAGAGAAAGAGGTGAAAACATGTTGCAAACGTCATGGTGACAGAATATTCCTTGTGATACGTGTGCGGCTGTGTATGTTCTAGAAGAAAATGGAATCGAGGTTGTACCCTTTAACCAGAAATTTTTATCATGATTAAACCATTAAAAAAACAAATTTAATTAAGTGTTTTCTCCTCACTCATATTAGTCATTTCTGATTCGTTAGTGATAATATTATCTCCTTCTCATTTAACATGCACATAAAATACAAGCAAGTGTTTTGATTATGTATCCCTTAATATTACTAAGATTACAGTATCGTTTTAAAATTATTTTCTTGAATAGACTACGAGTAGCAATAATTACTAATAAAAATAATATTTTATTGATTTGGTTTGATGTTGTTCCCCTCATTCTTCTTATTACAAGTGGATTCTGTCCCCTATTTTTTTGTTTGTTTGTTTGACTTTGATGGCCCTGAATTATATTGCATTGCGCCTTAGTAACATGGCAGGAAATGGAAATGGAAACGAAAACTAATAAATATTTTATGGGGGAGGCAATAGAGGGAAGTGATGATCCGAATATGAAATTATACAAGAGGAGAGAGAGAGAGAGAGAGAGAGAGATCTTAAAACTATAATAATTTAAAGTTTTATTCATTCTACGAAATCTTTCAAAAAATAAAATACAGACAGACTATCACATCATATTTGAAGTATGAAGAATAGAAGATTTCCAAAGAAAACGAAAGGTAAAAATAAAACAGAACCAAAACGTGAATTAACTAATCAAAATGATTTTTACGAACAAGGAACATTTGAAGAAGAACAAGCTGAACGTTGGTTACTTTCAGATGTTAAAAAAAGTTTAAGATATTATGTTGAAGCTTTTAAAATGTATGAGTTAGGATTATCTTGTATGAAGGAATCAACTGAAAGGACTATTTATAACATATCTTATAATGAAAGTAGATTATTATTACAAATCTATACAGATTATTTGGCTAATGATGGTTATATTAATATTTTACAATATATTAAATTAGATGATATACCAAATGTTAATGAAATATTGAAAACTTTACCAACAATTGTTAATAATTTAGAAAATGTTTATAATAAGTTTATTAATAATGCAAAAATTGATACTTGGGATTTACAATATAATTTATTAACATCATATTTATCATTATTAGAATCAAATGAAACTTATCAATTATCAAGTGGTGAAATTATTCAAATTTGTAATAAATTTGTTGAAATGTCTCAATTATTAATTAAGAGACAAATAAATGAATTAGAAAATTGGCTAAATTTTATACCACAAGAAAAGAAGGATCAAAATGATATAAACTTAACTAAGGATACATTGAATGAAAATTCGTCTAGTAATAACAATGTGAATAAAGATGGATCTGGAATAATTCTTAATCCAGAAAATAATAAACCACACGAGGAAGAGATTATGGAAGTTTCAGATCAAATCACTGTAGAGACATTATCTGAAGTATTATTAAATTCTTATAAATTTATTGAAGTGATCCTTGAAATTATTATTCAGAATAAAATGATAATTACAGATGTATCGAAAGTCGAGACATTGAATGTTGTTCAAATAAATTATTTATGTGATTTAGTTGATAAATTATATGCACAAATAGAAGATATTATAATCACAGAACTTCATGGAATAAACTTAGATTTAAAAGATATTAATGTTACAAAATTTAGCATAGAGGGTGATAAAAAAATATTACAAGGAGATTTAGATGAATTTTTAAAATTTGAAGAAATTGATATAACAGATCCTAATTGGGATATATCATTAGCATATCAAATGATTAAAATAGATGCATTAGAATTGTCTATTGATTGTTTTACAAATCAAGATTCTATGATGGAATGGGAATTAGCTGGATTGTTATCAAAAAAATTATCAATAGTGAGTCGATTGTTATCAGCAAAGAGATCCAATATATTAAGTAATGGTAAATTTGATCAATTACAAATGGATCAATTAAGTGAGATTGTTTTCAAACTTTGTAATATTTATATTATAAATTCGGATAATGAATTAAGGAGATATATGATTAAATCAACTGATAACGATGCAACAAAATTAATTAAAATATTAATGAAAAACGCAAAGACTTTACTTTCAAATGGGCAAACGATCTCTAAACAATCATGTGGGATGCAAGAAACGATAGTAGATAAATTGAAAAGAAACTATATATATAATCAAGCTACAACTCGTCTTCAAATGATCGAACGTTATGAACAAGAACGATCAGGTACAACTACAGATTCGCCCATAACACACACAGACCTTGAATCGTTGGATGTAACCATTCAGGATTTACTTAGAGATCATCCATTTTATTCGGGATTACTCTAATCAACATTATATAAGATAGAGAAAATAGTAAATATGATCAAAGAACTCATTTATAGTAAAAATATCTATCCTTCCATGTATAGACTAATATTGTTCCCCTCCCCTTCCCCCACTATATTAGTCTATTTTTAATAGCTCTGTATGAAGAAGCATATAATTAACCGCCTTCATATTCCTGTCCTATACGTATTGATTAAAAATAGCGTATATTTGTCCGTATTCAATGATAACCAAGCCACTCCTATTTTAAGAATTCTACAAATTCAATGAAGGAACCGCAGTAAACCGAAATGAAATATCTTCCCATTTAGATTTCCCGATTTGGTTAACGGCTATTTCTCTTCCTCTGTCTCTTTCTTTCGGAGAACAGCCTAAAAAAGAGAAAAACAGCAAATTATTTATAAATAATTAGCGTGGCGCGTTAAACTGAAATTCGCGTGTCAAATTATCGATTAAATTATTTCTGTTCTCTGATTTTTACTGCGGCATGAGAGAGCAAACTGAAAGTCCAGCATGTCCGTTTTTGTATTACACAATTGATTTACTGGCTAAAATGACGGAAGAGATCAAGGAAATACAGTGCGAGAGAGGGAGCGAAAAGGTCATCGATAAATTGATAAAAGAAATAATGATCTAACATATCTGAGACAATGATTAACTGGAAAGTTTTTGTTATATTGTACTTCTTTGGATCAACTAAATTAGCAGAATATATATATATATAAATATACAGTTCTTGATTTTAAAGAAGTTTATAGTAATTTGTTCTTTTTAACTATTTTTTTTAATTTGACTTGGAACTTTTTTCAACTCTGTAAAGAATAACTTTCATAATCTATTTATAGATTTGTAAAAATAAAAACAAGAATCACACATTGAATACTCATTAATAATATAATTAAAAAGTGATATAAAATTATACTCGAAAAGACAATGAGTGGCTTTAATAATAATAATAGTAATAATAATAACTATGGTGATTACTCATATAATCCAAATACAAATATGAACAATAATAATAATAATACTAATGGTATTCGAAATCCATACCAACAAAGAAACATATCAAATGATTCAAGTTATCAGAGTAGTATACAATTAACTCCAACAGAACCATTACAATATGTTACCAATAACAACAACAATACTAATAATTATAATAATAGTAACCCACATGAAAATAATATTCCTGCATCAAATTTGCCTTCCCGTAATTATAGCAATTTTGTAAGTCATCAACCTACTTACGACAATAATAATAATAATACCCAGACTAATAACAATATTAATAATAATGTTATGGCACCACAAGAATATAATGATGTATTTATATCAAATACAACACAACAACCACAAAGAAGGGTACAACCACCAAATATTAATATTACACCTGCTTCCATTGTTGCTAGTGAATCTACACAACAAGGTATAGATTCTCCAAATCCAATATATTCTAGTTTAAATCAAAGACCTCAAACAAATTATTTTAATGATGAAAATTATTACCAAAATACGAATTCTGCAAATAATTTAGAATATCCATCTAATAGTCAATCGAATTTGGTAGATAGATCATATTCACCAGATCGTAATGGTGCTTCACCAAGTATTATGTCCAGTGATGAAGATACAAAACCAATCTTACCATATAATGGGCAACCACAGTCGACAGATCATTTTGATCCTCTGGCGTATCGTGATCCATATGACACTAGTAATCATGATCTAAACGAAGATATTGAAAATAGTTATATAGATCACAATGGTAATGACTATGAAATTAATTCTTACCTGGATAGAAATGGTAATATGATTGATCCATATCAATTTGCTAATAACGGTGCTGACGATAATGAGAATTTTTTGAATAAACCATACAGTCGTACAAATCATTTCGATTATTCATATAGTGATGGTGAAAACAGTGCAGAAGGTAGTGATCTTTCTTTAACACATCGTGATTTAGGTGAGTATGAAAATGATGACTTTCATAATGATTTAACCACATTGGACAAAATGGCTAGAGAAAAGACTCAATCATTGATTTCATCTGCCGATTCTAAGGAAATGCTTTTCTCAACAGAAGATGAAGATAAAATATTGAACAATGATGGTAGTAACAAATGGTTACCAAAGAGAGAAGCTACTGAGGTAAGAAAATTTAAATTATGGAGAGGTAATTTTATCTTCGATTCTCCAATAAGTAAAAATTTGATTGACCAATATAGTAAGGCTGTAGATAATCCAAGTCTATTGTCAAATGAATTTAAATTTATGAGATATCAAGCAATAACGTGTGAACCCAATCAATTGGCTCAGAATAACTTTACGGTTAGACAATTGAAGTACCTAAGACCAAGACAAACAGAAATGATGATTGTTATTACGATGTATAATGAGGATCACATCTTACTGGGTAGAACACTAAAAGGTGTTATGCAAAATATAAAACATATGGTCCGTAAGAAGAACTCGAGTTCATGGGGCCCAGATGCTTGGAAAAAAATTGTGGTTTGTATTGTCTCTGATGGTCGTTCCAAGATAAATGAAAAATCGTTAGCTTTAATAAGTTCTCTTGGATGTTATCAAGATGGGTTTGCAAAGGATGAGATTAATGGTAAAAAAGTAAATATGCATGTTTACGAGCATACCACGATGGTTAATATAGATAATATTGGTGAAGATTCCGCTGAACTAGTTGCCAACGAAACTACTGTTCCTGTACAATTGTTGTTTGCCTTAAAGGAACAAAACCAAAAAAAGATCAATTCTCATAGATGGGCCTTTGAAGGTTTTGCTGAACTATTACAACCTAATATTGTAGTACTACTTGATGCAGGTACCATGCCTGGTAAAGATTCTATCTATGAATTATGGAGAGAATTCCGTGCACCAAATGTTGGTGGTGCCTGTGGTGAAATTAGAACCGATTTGGGTAAAAACTTCAAAAATCTGGTTAACCCATTGATTGCGTCTCAAAATTTTGAATATAAGATGTCAAATATTTTAGATAAGACAACGGAATCTAACTTTGGTTTTATTACTGTGCTACCAGGTGCATTTTCGGCCTATAGATTTGCTGCTGTTCGTGGTGAACCTTTAGAAAAATATTTCTATGGGGAGAAAGTTGCTGAAGAAGGATTACATTTCTTCTCTTCAAATATGTATTTGGCTGAGGATCGTATTTTATGTTTTGAAATTGTCGTGAAAAAGAACGCAAGCTGGGTTCTAAAATATTGTAGAAGTTCGTATGCATCTACAGATGTTCCAGAAAGAGTTCCGGAATTCATTTTACAAAGAAGACGTTGGCTAAACGGTTCATTCTTTGCAGGTGTTTACTCATTTGCCCATTTCTATAAAATTTGGACTAGTGGACATAATATTGGTAGGAAATTCCTGTTAAATCTCGAATTTATTTATCTGTTATTCAATACTGTTGTGGCATGGTTCCAATTGAGTTCTTTCTTTTTGGTTTTCAGAATTTTAACATTGTCAATAGCTGTTTATTATAATGCTGTTTTTGGTATTTTATCAGTTGTCTTCTTATGGTTATATGGTATTTCTGTCTTTTCGACGTTTATTTTGTCGTTAGGTAATAAACCACCCAGTACAGAGAAATATTATGTTTTGAATTGTTTCTTCTTTGCTGTGTTAATGGTTTACATGATTTTCTGTAGTGTATTCATGAGTGTTAAATCCTTCGAAAGTATTCTAAATTCTGATAATATCACATTTAAAGGTCTAATTTCAAAAGAAGCTTTTAGAGATCTAGTAATCTCTATGGGTTCCACATATGTGTTGTATTTTGTCAGTTCTATCATTTATCTTCAACCATGGCACATGTTTACCAGTTTTGTTCAGTATATTCTGTTAAGTCCATCATATATTAATGTTTTAAACATTTACGCTTTCTGTAATGTTCATGATATTTCTTGGGGTACGAAGGGTTCGGTGGCTAAACCATTGGGTAAAATTACAACCAAGGAAGATGGTACTTTCAAGATGGAAATTTTAGTGTCCAGTGAAGAGATTCAATCCAATTATAACAAATATATGAATATTTTAAGTCAACCTGAGCAAAAAGAAGAGATTTCCAAAGAAGCATCGCTAGAGGAGAAGAAACCAGGTTATTATGCCAATGTTAGATCTCTTGTTATTATCTTTTGGGTTATGACTAATTTCGGTGTGTGTGCGGCTGTGTTGGAAACTGGTGGAATTGGTGATTACCTTTCTATGAGAAGTGCCCGTAAAAATAATACTACAGGGACAGCTTTATCTGCCACCGATATTGAAAGACCATTACTAACTAACAAGGCTACCGTATATTTTACTATCATTTTGTATCTAGTTGCATTATCTGCATTGATTAGATTTATCGGTTGTTCCGTATACATGGTGGGTAGATTCTTTAAGAGAATGGGACGTAGATGAAAATATATATAATGTTATTTATAGTTACGGATCATTTTATAAAAATGATTAATCCTAAAAGAAATGCATGATTTTTGAACTCGTAGATTATTTTTATATATGGGAATATTGAATGTTTTGTACTTTTCTATATCAGGGTATCATATCCCTTATGGCATTTTGACCTTTAAACTGTGGTATTATCCTTCTTTTTTTTACGCCTTCGGCACTCCCCACAACTAGGCGAAATCAGTCACTCATCGTGAATGTGTATTTAAATTATTATTAGTCAAAACAATATTCAACTATAGTTTAAATAATATCTGCACTATATACTATATAAAAGAGGAAGACATAGTTAATTTACATAGAATATTATTTTGTAATTTGATTTCGAAACAAACGATTATAGTTTTTAGCATTATTCTGGCATAAACAAAATATATATAACGAAATATACCAACATTCATTAAAAAACACAATAAAAGAAAGAACGGCTAGAAATGTGTAGATTTTTAATATTCAAAGGGAAAGAACCAATAAGGTTATCACATCTATTGACGAGACCTGCACATTCTATTATTAACCAATCCTTTGACAGTCGATTAAGGTTAGATACAAGGCGACCAATGAACGGTGATGGGTTTGGTGTTGCCTACTATCCTGAAGATCAAGAATTAGATGTCGATGGACCATGTATGTTTAAAGCTATCACTCCTGCATGGAATAATCAGAACTTAGAGACACTTGCAGAGAAGACTAAATCAGATTTGGTATTTGCACATGTCAGAGCCTCTACTTATGGTGTATTATCTGAGACTAATTGTCACCCTTTCACGTATCATAACATTTGTTTCATGCATAATGGTGGTATATCTAATTTTAATAAGATAAAAAGGAGGTTATTAAATCATATCAAGGATGAATATTTAAATTACGTACAAGGAAGTACTGATTCTGAATTTGCATTTGCATTATTTTTAGATACATTAGATAAATTTGGTTGTGATCCTAAACAGGTAATGGGTGATTTTGGTCATGTTGCCCTAAGACAATCATTATTGAGAACAATAGAATATATTAAGGATTGGACCAAAGAAGCATATACAGGTGACGAACCATGGGAACCTTCGTTATTAAATTTTGCTATCACTGATGGGTCTACAGTAGTTGTATCGAGATATATTACTTCTAAGACGGATGAAGCAGCATCATTACATTTCAGTTGTGGTTCAAGTTTTGTAGAGAGTTCACCTGGTGAATATCGTATGGAACGTTTAGATAGAAATCAAGATGTTATCATGGTTGCATCCGAACCGTTAACTTTTGAAAGAGGTGATTGGACTGCAGTTCCAACCAATAGTGTGCTTACGATAAAGAAACAAACGATATTGATGCATCCTATAATAGATGAATATTATCAACAAGATCCATTATATCTTAGAAGTTCTACATTGGTTGAAAATAGAGGTTTTATGGGTACAGTACCAGTTGGGAAGTCAGTCGAGAAGAATGTTCCACCATTAGACAGAGAAGGTCGTTTGAGGCAGCTATGATATTATTATTTTTTTGCAAAATATATACAGGACCATTCAAGAATTAGATGATGTTACATAGTGTAATTAAATACAGCAATAAAATTCCCTTTTTACAGACACTTTATTTTCCTTATCTTTAAATAAATCAGAAAAGTATAGCATTTTACTGAACAGCCTTACCTCATTCTTCAGCTTCTGGTCATTGGGTATTTTGTTTATTTCATTTTACATCTGCAAATTAGTTGAGTATTATATATATTTAAATATCGATAAATGATTATTATACATAGTGTGTGCTAGTCGTATATTATGATTTCAACCTGAACTTTCTTAATGAATGCAAAAATGACATAATTTCCTCATTTAAAACGACAAGAAGCAACAAGCACTACAGGCTGTGTATCTGTCTCGTTTGAACAGGATAATGATAAAAAAAAGCAGAACCCTTTTTTAAATTCGAATTGATAGTTAAAATAAATATTTGCAAGACAAGACAAGACAAGACCAAATAGAGAAGCAGTACAACGGAACAATAATAAAAAAACCATATCCGAATGAGGTAAATTGAAAATAGTAAACTAAAACGGATAGAATTTAAACAATTAACTAAATAATGATGAAGATTGTTTTGTTTTGTTGTGTATGTTTTTGATCTTATTCGTTATTTTATTCAAAAACCTCTGCATAGCGAAGTCATTGTTCCGTTCAAATTGTTTAAGGAAGAGAGACAAATACAAATACAGAGACTGGTATGGTAAGCAGTATTTCCATACGTACGACACCCACTGTGTGAATAATGAAAAATAATAAGCCGTCGCGTGGTTTTCCAAAGTTTGGGTGATGTATTGTGCGGCGCTGTCTTTGGGAAAAAGAAGAAAAGTGCGCGATATTTTTTTTCAATATTTATATATTTGTCTCTCTCCCTCTCCCTCTCTGTGTGCAAAACTTTTTCAGAGTGAATAGTAAACAAGAAAAGAAGCGAAAGAGAACACTTTTAGTGAAAAAGTGAGTTGATTGTCATTATTATTACTACTGTTACTACAGTTTACTAAACGGTTTGGGACAAGATATACAGATAGACAAGGTAAGAAATGGTTTTCCACCTCGTTAGAGTGAGTACTATTTGGGAATATCATTTGAGTACCCTTTTTCTGTTCCTTAATTTAGCTTGATAGATACACATCTAAACGTATTAGTGAAATGAGTGAAAAAACCAAAAAAATAACAATAATAACAATAATAAATAATAAGTTGCCGATGACCAACCGCAATAATTCATGTCTTTTTGCTTCTCATGATCTTCTTCTCTCCATTTATAGAGTGATTGTTCGGTCTTGTTTATATCTCTCTGTTTGCATTTGCTTCTCTAATAACTAAATTAAGTATTTCCTTTAAAACTCATTCCATTCCTCCTCCTTTTTTTTATATCCCTCTTACCTCTTCTTAGGTGTTTTGTTCAGAATTTCATTATTTTTCCATTTATGTCCATCTTTACTTTCTATCATTTAAGAGATATCACTCTTCCATAATTTAGTTTTTTTTTCTGTAATTTATTCGATAAAGTCATGAAATATTATATATATACTTTTTCCAGTTAACTACATTTAATAATCTTGAACTTTCTTTTTACCTCTTGACACTATATATTACGTTTAATCTTTATTAATAACGAGTTATATTTCCTTTTATAAAAACAAAATAACCAACATCTTTTATTGATTATATTGACTACTTTTAAAAAAAAAGTTTTTTTTATTATTTAATTTTATCAGAAGGAGGTTGAACATTATTATCTAATACACTTTGAAAAAGGAAGAAAGATATACACATATATTTATAAAGGAGAAAAATAAATAAATAAAGAGAATTGAATCCGTATTACAATTTAAATACTTCCGTTCCCATATATTACATTTCCAATCTTTATATTTTTGTTTATTTTGTTTTTACATCAATAAGATAATACTCATAAAAAATATCAACAATGAAGTTCTCTACTGTTGCTACATTATCTCTAGCTGCCACCTCTCTAGTGGCTGCAGTTGATCAAAACAAAGAATATACTACTACTAAAACCATGACTACTAAGTACAACCATGGTAAGGATACTTATGTGTATACTACCACTTCTACTCATACTACTCATAAGTATGGTAAGTTTAACAAGACTAAAAAATCTCATGCTCCTACTACATCTGGTACTTACAAGAAGGGTAGATTCAATAAGACTAAGAAGTCTCATGCTTCTACATCTTCTGGTACTCACAAGAAGGGTAGATTCAACAAGACTAAAAAGTCTCATGCTTCTACTCCTTCAGGTACTTACAAGAAGGGTAGATTCAACAAGACTAAAAAGTCTCATGCTTCTACCTCTTCTGGTACTCACAAGTACGGTAGATTCAACAAGACTAAAAAGTCTCATGCTTCTACCTCTTCTGGTACTCACAAGTACGGTAAGTTTAACAAGACCAAGCATCATTCTACTTTGAGTGGTCTACCACAAGTTAAGCATGCTAATGCAGCTGCTGGTTCTCCAAGTCAAGTTAACTCTTTCCAATTGTTTGGTTTGACTGCCGTTTCTGCTTTTGTTACTGGTGCCTTACTATTATTATAATTGTAAAGACTATATTGACTTTAAGCAATTAACTATCTAAAGGTTGTTGTTTTTTTATCACCCTTCCCCCCGTTTTACTTTTTTACAAAAAAAAAAAAATAATAATGTTACGAATTTCTTTCCTTAAGTAACGTAACTATTTTTATCCTCCATATCAACTTATACCAAATTAATTAATTAATTAATCCATCCTCCCTACCTTTTGGGAAATTGTAAATAATGTGCGTGTGTTTTCTTTTTTTCCCTCTTTTCTTTACATTTAATTACAATTATACCATAAAATGGATACTTTCTTCATGTGTGTGTGTGACAAAATGTGAGTTAGTCAGTTTCGATAGATAACTACTGTTGAACTGTAAACTTTTGTTTTTTTATCTCTAACTTTCAATTTTAAATTTTTTTTTCTTTTAATCCAAATTTGTTTTAACAAAAATGGAATCTTATAGAATGTGCAGTCCAATATTAGTCCAAGACTTTTTTTAATTTTGTGCTTTACTCAACCTTAACCCTTTCCCATTAATTGAACAAAAAGAATGTTCAAATATATCATAGACAATTGAAACATTTATTTGTTATGGATAAAACGAGTCGATTTTTCCTTTTAATTTTATTTCTTTTCCTGCTACTCCCTCTACTTATGTGAATCTTTTAACGACATTTGAACCTTTTTTTTTTCAAGAGTTAAAGATTTGGTTTGTTTCGTAACTACTTCTGATTATTTTTTTTAAGATTTTCAAAGATAAGTGTACTAATTTTTATTATTTCTTTTATCCTTTTCTTTAATTGTGTGTACCTAAGAAAATGATGACTTGCAAGAAATAAAGAACTAGAAACATTATATTGTTACGATCAATTGAAATTTTACTATCTTTGTGTGTATTTAAAATGATAGTTTTGATTTCCTTATTCTTTAGATTTCTTTTAATGTAAGGTTTAATTTTTTACATATGTCATTGGGAGATTATTTGGTTGAAGAAATTTTCGTAAAATGTTTATCATTCTCGTATTATCAATTCGATTGTTATTATATAAATATTATACTTATATAAATATATCTAAGTACTTCATTTAATTGATTAGTGTGGTATCAAAAATCTATTCTCGTTCTCTTCTTCTTTTGGGAACGTATAACTAAAATTACCCTGTGGTATTCGTACTAAGTGACTTTGCACTAAAATTGTAAATGAATATATTTTTGCCGTTCTTTTTCTGTTTGTTTGTTTGTTTTTGGCTCTGTGTCGCGCGCTTAAAATTTGGTGGTGGCAAAGGGAGAAAAGAAAGGAAGAAAAAGAATTTAGTTAGAGGGAACAACAATTTATAACAATTTAAGATAATGAAGATACAAGAAGAAGACAGAAAGAGAAGCAAAAAAAAAAAGAGAATATTAAAGCGAAGATATTAAACTTATTTAATTTTATTTTAATTTTCTGGTTTTGGGACTTAACTACATTTTCTCACAAAGGAAGCAATTTAAAGGTTACTAGAATTGTTTAACAAAGTATATTATATTAATCGAATATCGGTCTGAAGGTATACTGAGCATCTCTTTCCAATTTTGAAAAAACTAGTCCTTACATTATTAGATAAATATCGCAGAAAAGTGTGTTTTATTTATATCCATATAGTACAGTTAGAAGAAGAAGTGAACAATGGAAGATAACGAATCGAGCACTAATAAGTTTGTGCCAGAGTACAGACGTACTAACTTCAAGAACAAAAGTAGATTCACTGCTGATGAGTTACGTCGTAGAAGAGATACTCAACAAGTAGAACTAAGGAAAGCTAAAAGAGATGAAGTATTAGCTAAGAGAAGAAATTTTGTTCCACCTACGGAAGGTGAGGATTCTGAAGATGAAGAAGATAATCAAAACGCTGACCAACAATTTTATAATCAATTACAACAGGAATTACCTCAAATGATCCAACAGATTCAATCTAATGATTTACAAGAGCAATTATCTGCCACTATCAAGTTTAGACAAATTTTGTCTAGAGAATATCGTCCTCCAATTGATGTAGTAATTCAATCTGGTGTGGTACCAACTTTAGTAAATTTTATGGATCAAAACCAACCTGAAATGTTACAACTAGAGGCAGCTTGGGCTTTAACTAATATTGCTTCTGGTACCTCAGAACAAACTAAATATGTTGTGGATTCTGGTGCTGTTCCATTGTTTATCCAATTATTGTACACAGGGTCTGTTGAGGTTCAAGAGCAAGCCATTTGGGCCTTGGGTAACGTTGCTGGTGATTCTACCAGTTACAGAGATTATGTTTTACAATGTGGCGCCATGGAACCAATTCTAAACTTGTTTAACTCTACGAAGACTTCATTGATTAGAACTGCTACATGGACTTTGTCCAATTTATGTAGAGGTAAGAAACCTCAACCAGATTGGAGTATCGTTTCTCAAGCTTTACCAACCTTATCTAAATTGATTTATTCCCTTGATGACGAAACTTTGGTTGATGCTTGTTGGGCTATCTCTTATTTGTCTGACGGTCCACCAGAAGCCATTCAAGCAGTTATTGACGCTAGAATTCCAAAGAAATTGGTTGAATTGTTAGGTAGTGCATCTACTATGGTTCAAACCCCAGCTTTACGTGCTGTGGGTAACATTGTTACAGGTAATGATTTACAGACACAAGTCATTATTAACTGCGGCGTCTTGGGTGCTCTAAGAAATTTATTAAGTTCACAAAAGGAATCTATTAAAAAAGAAGCTTGTTGGACTATATCTAATATAACTGCAGGTAATGCTGAGCAAATCCAAGCTGTCATTGATGCTAATGTTGTTCCTTCTTTGGTCGCAATTCTAAAATCATCCGACTACAAGACTCAAAAGGAAGCTTGTTGGGCTATTTCAAATGCTTCTTCAGGTGGTCTACAAAAATCAGAAATTATCAGATACTTAGTATCTCAAGATTGTATAAAGCCATTGTGTGATTTATTAGAAATGGCTGATAATAGAATTATGGAGGTAGCTCTAGATGCATTAGAAAATATCTTAAAAGTTGGTGAAAAGGATAAAGAAGCTCGTGGTTTAGCTGTTAACGAAAATGCAGATTTGATTGAAAAAGCTGGTGGTATGGAAAAGATTTTCAATTGTCAACAAAATCAAAACGATAAAATTTATAACAAGGCATTCAACATTATTGAAACATATTTCGGTGAAGATGATGAAGTCATTGATGAAAGTATGGCTCCAGAAACCAGTGGCAACACATTTGGTTTTGGTTCTAATGTTAGCCAACAATTCAACTTCAATTAGTTTCAAATTAATACAAAAAAAAACATCAGAAGTTCATCAAAAGCTGTAGTCATGTTTAATATAATCGGTTATATGTGTATATATGTATATGTATAATTCTATATAATATTAAAAGAATTAAAGAATTTATTAGTAAATACGGAAGTAAAACCCTTTTAACAAAATCATTTATGCCTATGTGGATTATTGACAATTTTTTTGTATATGTCCGCGTTTCCCGAAGTTTATTTGTTTTGTTCATGTTACAAAATGATTATGCCAGAATTGATATAAACAGAACAAGATTCGTTTCATTAAGATATGTCTCTTTCAAATGAAGTAGCCAGGTATCAATTGCGAATTATTTTGCTATATATAATTCTCTATTCTGTACTATTTAAATTATAATTGCTATTTTTTTCATTATCATTAACTGATCTAACTAGTATTTTATGGATGAACAACGCTCGATATAGTAGACCTCCCGGTCCCTCAAATATATATAGGCCTTCAGAGTCAGAAAGATTACAAGCACAACAAAGAAACAGTCGACTACGGAATATACAAGAGAAGAGATATTCACAACATCTCGATGTTAAAGATGAACCAAGATTGAAGAAAGCGTCAAATGATTTTAATATGTATGGTCGCGTTAAAGATGAAATTCATATTGAGAATAATGAAAATGAGGATGATGATATGGATTATGAAGTAAATATTTCAAAAGACCATAAAGCATCTCCGTTTTATGACTATAATGCAAACACAAAAAGTAGTATACCGGATGTATATAATGACCTTGTAGAAGAACCATCACCTGTGCCCAGGGTTATGTCTCCAAATTCTTTTTTAAAATCAAGAGGATATCCATCATCTTCATATCAAGACAATCTAATTACTGAAAATAATATTAAGGACAATAATCGAAATAATAATAATATATTTGCCTTTCAAACAACAAAAAAAGATGTAAAATCGGACGAGCAAAATAATGTAGGATCTCGTACTTTACGAAAACTTTTGGGGGAACCGTTGCCATTACCATATTTAGAAAATGATATTAAACAAAATGAGTATGTGGGGGATCATCATATGACCATTTTGACCAAAAACAAACTAGATAATAAAAGTAAAAATTTCAATGATAAATTTAAACGACTGGTGTCACAGGACAAAATAAATGTAGCTAAAAGATTAAAGGAATTGAAGCATAATGAGTATGATAATGCTAATGATAAAGAGAGTGATATTACTACTTATTCTGTTCCATCTATGAACCAATTACCTAAGTTTGGAAATGAAATACGGCACTACAGATCTCATTCCAGATCACAAGCACAGGATGCATCATTCACATCTACACAACCTTCGGTTCAATTTTCAACAGATAATCATCAGGATAGCTTAGAATCAATCGATTCCGACAATGAAGTAAAAATCAATTCAATACCTGACCCATTAATATTATTAGAGTTACAAAGAACCCTTGATGCAAATGGTGAAAAGTTAGATTTGATCATTGCTATGTTGAACAATTTTACAATGGAACCTCATAAAAAGACAATAACAATAAATCGTTTCTATTCGAAACACATGTTAATACGGACAATCTGTACTATTACACTTGTATTAAGCATATTTTGCGTGTATTATTACCAATATTATATATATTAAAAGTATAATCCATTCATATGTAACTATAATAATATATTATATATAAAACCTTTCTTTTGATTGCGGATCATTTCATTTAGTCATTAAAATCATTAGAGGTTGGTTTCCCATGTTCACTGTTCATATATGTGTCAATTGCAAGAGAGAAGGCTGCGAACCCAGCACACCCTACTAATGCTGCTTGAGGGCCATTCTTATAAGCCAACCCACCACCTGTTATGCAACCTGCCCATAGCCCATTATATATATCACTCTTTGCTCGTACAGATTCTACTACACATTCTACACCAGAGTATATTAGCCCCATGTAACCAAAATTCTTTGCACTAGAGTACGATCTTTTCCCCATATCAGCGAATTGTAATTTTATTTGTTGTGTCATCGGTATTTCTGCAATTTTACCAACGTTCGCAACGCCACTCAATGGTGAATGTAAAGGTGTGTCATAGGCCATTGAAGCCATAAATAGGCCTAGGACACCACCAAGACTGAACCCTGTAACCCCACTTATTACTGTTTTTCCAGGACATGAAGACATGAAGCCAATCATCATCTGTGCACCTCGTTCACTTTGTTCCATTTGTGATAGTTCTCTAAATGGTTTATTAGTAGGTGGAGCCATTGTATGCTCCAAACCAAAACCGTTGTAGCCCATTGTCTATATTTGTGGATAGTTCTAGATTTATTATAAAGATTATTTTTGAATGCGTATTGTTAATAAAGTTTAGTAAATATATATTTATGCTGTTGTTGTTAAATAATCTTGCGATGAGATCAGCTTGCCTTTAATTTTTGTTTGGTAGGTTATTTTCCGAGTCATCCGATTTTAAATGAAAATAAAAGTTAGATTGATTCGAACATTATCTACTAAACGTAAACAAAAGGAAAATAAGAAACAGAGGCCAATAGAGTGTTGTTACAGATTAAGGTTGCAATGGAAAGTTCAATTACGACAAACATCATTGCCAAACAAAGTCTCAATGGATTACAACTAACCGATATATTAGATAAAGAGGACAAAGAGTGGTCTACTAATGTCCTCTGCCTCAACCAGTTGCAACACGGGGGAGAACAACATAATATCAGGCCATTAGGCAGACCCATTATTGAACCAAGTAAGTCGAATAGATCACCACGGTCAATTATATGTCAGGATCTTTATTGGTCTCTAGACGGTCGGTGTGTCACAGCAGTGACTGATGATCATGCAATAAGGCGATACATGATAGCTCATGATTCAAATGGTAAGACGATATTACAATTAACAAATCGTGTTTTCAAGAATCAAACAATTGTATCGTCAGAAATGGTACCAAATGATACATCTACAATAGCGATAGATAATCCAGGAGAAAAAATTCTTATAGGGTCTAGAAATTTACCAATCCAATTATATTCTTTAAATTCCACGAATGATGACGTCACAAGCGATACTCCTCTTTTCACGTATTCTACAATGAATCCACAGAATGAGGTCTTTGAGACCCCGTATAGTATAAGTTCCTTAACACAAGAAACTTTTCTTGTGGGTTCAATTAGAAATTCAGTCTCATTGTATGATATTTCATGTAAGGAACCGATACGGAATATACGATCTGATAAGATTAAATCTGGGAAAGCCCAATATAAGTCTATTGTCTCATGTTTTGATGAAGGATGCACAGGTGTTACTAATAGTAACGGTCATAACGATAATTATTTAAGGACAAAATATTTTGGAACTTATAAGAATGAAATATATCGAGTTGATCTTAGAGTAAACCGTAAAGGAATGGATTGTGTACAACAGAATAACAAAAAAGGAAATGGGATATATCAATTGCTTAAAAGTGAAAATGGATTGTATCTATATGTGGTAAAGAGGCAAAGTAATCAAATCAGTATATATGATATAAGAAAACATGGATCTTGTCTCAATAGTTTAAAATTACCATTTATGATAAAGAATCAAAAATTTAAGGCGAATATATCAAGTTTCAATGGGTTATCCATAGGGACTACAGCTAATAATATTATAAATTGGGAGAGAAGTATCGTGGAGTCTGGAGGTATTACAAGGCATGATTATGAATTAGATATTAAATTTTCCGATAATAAAAGTATATTAACAACGATGACAACTTCGATTGGTGGCTCGATCGAAGAACATCCAATCGGTACACAACAAGAACGACGGATAAATATTGTAAAGCAGAATCCTGAATACTTGGATCAAACGGTTGTCTCATATTCTCCGGATAAAACTGCGTTACCAAATATCACACAAGACGCCTCAGGAATATGTCTGATTGATACACCTTGACTTCGTTCTATAAATAATGGACAGATTATGTTATCGTGAATCGAAGCATGTCACTATATATCCTGACTGACGTTTAACATTTAGTGACACTACATTTCCCCATCACTTCTAACGAGGCGGTCGACTATCAAAATTTCAATCGACACAGATAGCCCCACCAATGGAAATAGCCAGCGAAACAACCGCAGAGACCGTCCTCATCCCCCCCCCCCCATAGCGGCAAAAAAAGAAATGCGAAAACGAAAAACGAAAAACGAAAAATTTTCGCGACGAAAAAAAAAGAGAAGAAATTCAGCGAAAGCGACAGCAGAGTGGAAGTGGAAGTGGAAATGGGAGGGCCATCCATCCTCATCACCATCGGTAGCTCCGTTTTGAAACTCTGGTTAGTCGACTGATGCCCATCGCTAGTAGTACGCCTAATGGTGAAGATAGTGATGAATTCAATATTTTTCGATATTCTTCGGATTACATATATATCAGTATTACTTTTTATCTTATTTACATGATGGAGGTGATGGAGGATATTATCAACTTCTTAATTTAAAAAACTATATAATTTACTGTACATCGTTCACCTTTCGGATCCTACTACGTTATAACTTTGAGAAATTTTTTTTTCAGCTTCTTACCGAACAATACTAATAAATAATACGTAAAGGCTTTTTTTTTAGTAGCCATTCCATTGAAAAGAAGAAATAGAGATTTAGATATAGATATATATATATCAAAGTATAGATCTAAGTCGTACTACCGTTAAATATTACATTAAGGAATCTAACTACTATCTTTTTTTATTTTTCCATATTTCGTTATTTTTAAATCAGTACCAGAACATTATCTCAAAAAAAAGAAAAAAAAATACCCTTTTGAATTTTATGAATAAGATATAATTAAATGACTACTCAGGAGAATATTAAACCATTAGTGGACAGAATATTATCAAATCCTTTACATTTTAAATTAGCCTCTAATAAAAAGACTTCTTTAAAGGCTTCTATTACATCATCAGAATTATTAAAGAATCCATCGTATTTAGTGATTAGATCAGCTAATAATAATAATAATAATAGGAATGCAGTAGCTAAGAAAGGTAAAGATAATTCAAATATAAAAGAAAACGAATTTCAATCTACAGAAAAGGATTCTTTGTCAAATAAAAAATCGAAAACTAAGAAACCAACATCGATGGCTGAAGCTTTAGCAATGTATGCATCTACCGCTACCACCATTTCTAAAACTGTTAATAGTAGTAATAATAACCATGCCGATACTAATATTGTAACTACTGATAACAAATCGGATCCTATCGATTCAATTCAACCATCTTTATCTTTGCCAACTACTCCAGAGGGTACTAATGATGAAGTGATAGATGATAGTACTAGTAGCGAAGACGTGTTTCATGAAGCCAAAGAATATATATCATCAGCAAGTGATGAAAATGAAAGTACAGGCAACGATGATACAACTGACAATAAGATATCCGACATGGTTTCTTCTTTGATTTCAGAACCAAAAATATCTTTATCAGATACTGATAATAATAATATGGATGAAGATCTGGGTGAAGATATAGGAGAAGACATTGGAGAAGATCTTGAAGAATCATTAGAATTGGATATCGAGACTAAGAAAGATGGCGAATTGGCTAGCAATAATGAGGATGAGGATGATGACGGCGAATGGGAAGGACAACTAGATTCAAGTGAACAAGAACATGATGAGGATGAAGGTGATGGAGATCAAGAAGATGACAGCTTAAATAGCAATAATAAAGAAGTCAACAATTTAGAAATTCCAGAAGATGAGAAACGTGCTCTTTATGATGAATCTATGGAATATGAAAGATCTAAAAAAGAAAATGAACAATTAAAAAAATTAAAATTAGATATAACTATGCGTGATATTATTCATCCAAAGAGGGAAAATATTAACAATGACGAAGAAGATAAAGAACAGAATCGCGACAATAAAATTATGAAATCTAGAAACGTTAATTACATGGATAAGAACCATGAACAAGATGAAAATGAAGATGAAGATGCTGAGGGGGATGAGGCATTGAAACATAAATTACCTTTATCTCAAAGGTCAGTAACACCCCCAACAACAATATCTGATATTGATGATTTTTATAAATTCAATGAAGAACAAAATGATCAAGGTTCTATTTTACCTTCACGTATACTGAAAAATTGGGGTCCAGAGTTCTCAACGCTAAAACCTCGTGGACTATTAAATCATGGTGTCACTTGTTATACCAATGCAGCAGTGCAGGCAATGTTACATATTCCAGCAATTCAACACTATTTGATTGATATCCTAAACGGTAAATATAATAAAGAACTTAAACAAAATTCAGTTTCTGAAATTTTTGCCGAGACCAGTAAGAAAATGTGGCTTCCAAATGACAAAAATAAAAAGAAAACCAGTTCTTCTGGGTTTTACGATCCAAAGAGATTGATCTCGAGGTTAGAAGATATAAATTTTTCGATGAGTGAATGGCAACAAGAGGATTCTCATGAGTACTTCATGTCTCTAATGTCACGTCTACAAGAAGATTCTGTGCCACCAGGTCATAAATTGACAGAATCTATCATATACGACATATTTGGTGGCCTTTTGAAACAATACGTCACTTGTAAATCATGTGGCGAAGTTTCAAAGACTGAACAGCCATTTTACGATTTGTCATTACATTTAAAGGGTAAAAAAATCGTATCACTTTCTTCAGATGATAAAAAATCACCAAAGGGTCAAGAGAGAGAAAATTCTAAGTCTCCTGCGAAATCTCCCCAAATTTCGAATGGAGAAAATGGTGAAGCTATTAACCGTAGATTTTCTATTGAGAAATCCATCAAAGATTTTTTCAATCCAGAATTAATTAAAGTGGATAATGAACATAAAGGTTACGTTTGCGAAAAATGTCATAAGACAACTAATGCTGTGAAACATAATGCTATTTTAAGAGCCCCAGAAACATTATTGGTTCATCTAAAGAAATTCAGATTCAACGGAACATCATCTTCTAAGATGAAACAAGCTGTGTCATATCCAATGTTTATGGATCTTACAGAGTATTGTGACACAGAAGATATTCCATCTGGGAAAAAACTTCTACCCGTTAAATACCAGTTGATATCTGTTGTTGTTCACGAGGGCCGTTCATTATCATCAGGGCATTATGTCGCTCATTGTAAGCAACCGGACGGTTCTTGGGCTAATTATGATGATGAATATATTAACAAAATGTCAGAAAGAGACGTTTTGAGAGAACCAAATGCATATTATCTAGTTTATACTAGACTAACACCTAAAGCCATAAAATTGAAAAAATCGATCCCACAAAGCAGTTTCCTATCATCAGTATCTAATGGTATTTCTAACAATGAAGGTAGAGACAACAGATCGGTAGCCACGACTAATAGTAATTCCTCAAAAAATAGCAATAACAAAAACAAAAAGAATAAGAATTGGAATAAGAACAAAAAGAGAAGGTTTAACAAATATTGAAAATACTTTCTTGAATACTAAGCATAAATCCTTATCATCGATTAGGTATCATAACTCATGAGCATTCATTTAGCACTACTTTTTTAATAGAAAAATACATAATTAATTAAAATTCAAAAAAAAATAATAATAGATAATTCATTTAATTTTAAACCGTTGTCGATTCAAAATATATATTTAAAGATATCCTTTAACACATGATATCTAAAGAATATTTAAGTTTTATGTACAGGTTAGTGGAGTAATTCATATGAATGGGATAATGCACGGTAATAAGAAAATATAAAAACATCATGGAACAACTCTAATACCCATGCTCTTAGCAACACCAATAACAGACTTTACAATACTTTCCATCTCTAATAATGAATGTCTTTGATCTGTCTTTTTAATCTTTGCTATTTCATATACATGTTTTAGAGAAAGCTGGCCAACTGTACCTTCTTTAGCTTTTTGGTTTGGTGTGCCGCATCCCTTTTCTATTCCAAGGGCCTTCAAAAGTAAATACCCAGTTGGAGGTGATTTTAGCTCGAATGTAAACGTCCTATCTGGTTTAACGGTAATTAAAGTTGGAATAGGGATTCCTGCCTCATAACTAGCTGTTCTGGCGTTAAATTCTTTACAGAAATCAATAGCTTTGATACCTTTAGAGCCCAAAGCTGGACCAACTGGAGGAGAGGGAGCTGCTTGACCAGCTGCGACTATCAATTTCACGAGAGAATTCTTGGCTGCCTGAGACATATCTTTTTAACGTGTAGTCTGTTTACTGGTTCTATGGTAAAAGTATGTAGTTTATCTGCTCAAACTGTCGTTTATATGTGTTGTCTACCTTACATGTTATATTTATTATATATATTGTAATGTCATTGTTTCACTGTTCTTATTTTTTTTATTTTTTTTATCGCCCAGACAGTGAGTAAGTTCCGAAGACTATCGCATCAGACTAATGGCCCTCCAATTAAATGAAAATGCAATCGAATTATGTGATCAAATATTTGAAACCATTATTAATGGTAAGAGTGTATATTACCATTAGACTACACATTGTATTTTTTGGCACATAATGGCATCTTATCACCAATTTCATTACTGTAAAATTGCTTCAATTTTAGAATAGATAATATGTACTTATATATAAAGACGTTACAAGAACTATACATATTGCATCATGTTGTTCTTTTGCGAATCATTTATTGGTGATCAATGATGTTGCTTAGTAGTGTTATTTGTTGTAGCTGCATTTTTCTCTTTCTTCTTCTTCTCTAGGCCTGCAATATGGGCTTCACTTTGGTCGACTTGTGTATGTGTATGATCAGAAGCGCTAATAACGTTTGTTCTAGATTCATTTTCAACAACTGAACACATATCAATACTGACAACCCATGGATCTTCCATGATTTCATCGATGTTAGCTCTACAAGCAGGGGCCATGTCTACCATTTTACCAATAATATGTTGAGATTCTTCCGGTAACGAATGTAATAGTCTTTGTGGTCCGATGTTTAAGTTGTTAGGATCGGCAGAGTTGTTAAAAGAAGATTTCTTTTCAGAGTCAGGTTGCTTAACATTATCATAGGATGGTGGGTCTGGAGTTCTTGTTACCAGTGCACTTAGGGAATCACAATTTCTACCAGAACAGAACAATTTGAATGAGTTATCCCTTAATTTCGGAATCTTCCAAGGAAATTTCTTCAACATCATGCAAGCGAATATGATAGCAGAAGACCAAATATCAACAGGACGAGGATCGTATTTGCTAAATATGCAGACTTCCGGTGCTAAATATGGATCACTGCCAACAATACCACTAGATTCAACTAGAGTTTTTGAAAATGGATAAGAAAATACTACAGCTGCACCAAAGTCAATCAATTTTACAATACCATCTTTATTTATAACACAATTATCCAATTTCAAATCTCTGTGTGCTAATCCAATACTATGTAAATATTGGATACCAGTTAATATTTGTTTAAAACTACAGCATATCTCCTCGTATGACATTTTGTTACTCATAACAATAGCGAATAGATCGTATTCACAATATTCCATAACTTGTAAAATACGGTTGCTCTCATAAGTTATTTCAATGGTTTCTATAATGTTTGGATGATTCAAAGTGGTACCGATACAATATTCAGAAGTAATCTTCTTCACATAATCTCTTTTAGTTTCATTTTCAAATTTAGATCTAAACTCTTTAACAGCGAAGATTTTATTGTCTGTAATTCTTTTAATCAACTTGACGGAACCTCCTGCACCTGCACCCAAATCTTCGCCAGTACTAATATAACGTTTAGAAAATGGTAATTGATTCTCTCTGGAAGAATTATGATTTACCGATGAGGCAACATAAATGGTCTCACCATTCATACTACCATAGGAACCTGGTGCGAACGGAGATTTATTGGTACCAATAGTTTGGTGAGAAACGTTGCTTGGTACAGGGACACTAGTAACATTAGAGTTATTTATATGAGAAGTACCATTGCTTAAATTACTTGAACTTTTCTTGAAAAATGATCTTAAATTAGAAATTGAAGAATGATGAGATCTCGGTATACTCTGGCTAGGTGGGTTACTATTAGTATTATCGTATTGAGCGTTCGGCGAACCATAAGTGGATTCTGAATATGAACTGGAAGGTTGTCGAGAGGAAGAGTAGATACTAGTAGTCCTGGCTCTAGTAGGCTTTGGTATGGCAGTTCCATTGCTAGAACTACCACCGACTGAGTTGTGTGGTGTATGACCATTTGTTGGATTACTAGTTGTATTATTATTATTATTATTATTATTATTATTATTATTATTATCATAATAATGAGGAGAACCTTGTTTGTCTTTCGTAGGTTTTGAGAAAAACATGCTACCAAATTGAGATGAAAATGAGTTTGATCTAGATACAGAATTTCCATTTGCCTGTTGTAGGTTGCTTTGCGATGCACTTTGTAATTTTTGTTTTGAAATTACAAAACGTGGTTCTACAGAATCAACTTGTGGTGATGAAATAATATTAGAATCAATTGCAGATATATTCTTTGGAAGGCTACTCCCATAGACTTCCAACCATGAAGAGGTCAATGAAGAATTATTTGAGCCGTGGGAGTTTAAACCATGTGTGCTATCTTTATTTGAATTCGGTACAGAGTAAGGAATACTTGAGGATAGTGAAGGGATATTTCTACCGTTGGATATACTATTACTAGACCTTAGGGAATCTCTTCTTATTGGATACCCGTTATTAGAATACGATGTAGATTGGTTGCCGGAGATTGAGTTATTATAATTATTATCAATAAATGATCCTGTGTTGGAAGTATATAAGGAGGCTGTATGCGCAAAATTGGCATTCAAAAAACTTGAAGACACAGTTGGTGTATTGTTTGCATTATTATTATTATTATTATTATTGCTATTATTTGTCAAATTTGAATCAACACTGCCATGATGTGCATCATCTTCAGAATCAATCTGAGTAACTGTAGTCACGCTTGTTGTAGTTCTTCTAGGTTGAGTTTGTCCCAGATCTAAAGTTCTGGAGGTTGTACGTAAAATGGTAGGACCATTTCTTGTAACTTTAACATTCCCTGGACCCAAATCATTTATATGTTGTGGGTTTTTAGTTTCACTAATGGTAGCTAATGAAGAATTACTTTCTGAGGAATGTTCATTCTTCTTTTCCTGTAACAATTTAGTTAAGGAGGACATGACAGATATGGGATATTTTCAAGAAACAAACTGTAGGTTAAAAGGAAAGATGGTTGTTCTCTTGTAAATAACTCGATTACAATAAATAGGAACAAAAGAGAGAGAGAGAGAGAGCTTCCCTACTACAATATATGTCTAGTTGTCTCAATGAAAATAAAATATGGATAATCCCAATGAGATGATTAGGGAAAATAGCAAATTATGATAAATAAAATACTGATCTTAACTTAAAAATGAGGAAAAATGTTATTTATTATATTCACTAGGATTGGAATATGATTATATCTATAAGTGAAATTTGAGTAATCCTATTCGTTTTAAAAGGTTCTTTAATTCACTTGAAAATTAATTATGTAACTGACTCTATTACTTTATGAAGGATGCAGCTACTGTAAACTGTCTCAACTGTGGTGATTTTTTCTTAATTAAGTTGCGCAACCAGAAAGATAAGAAGCGGATTTCGCACTATTTCACTGTGATAAAAAGCAAATTAATAGATATAATGTGACTGATATATGGATTAAGGTGAGTCCTTTTATCAAATGGTAGTTGTTCTCTTATTATATTTATCTTCTATGGTATATATACCGATATTGTCCGCAATAGTTTTTGATTAATAATAGTACAATAAATATAGATGTATGTAAATATGATATTTCAAATATCGATAGGTTACAAAATATTTATATATATATAAACAAGCAAAGGGTATTTATTTATGTAAACGGAGACCTTTATATCAAGAACACAGATATCGATACTGTATACAAAGCATTGTTCTGATTTGGATTTAGTATTCTTGATCTCTGTGTGTCGTAGTGGCTTGTTTCCCCTTTGAATATTCTCCAAATTTTGCAGAATCAGTTTAAAAGAGAACTGAAAGCAAACAAAAACAAAAACGAAAAAGTACTCTCGTACTCATTGGATGTATTCTTGTGAATGGAGTTAACAATAGATGATATACTGCAGTCTCCGATGGTAATGGTAGAGTGACCGTAATCCTGTACATTTGAATGTATTACATCTGTTGATAACGATGATTTGTCATTGAATGTCATTGATAACGGCGACTCACGCCATTACAATATTCCGGACGCAGTCTTTGTACGATTGCGTCATTTCGCGCGCTGTTTTCTTTGTATTAGTGTGATCTGATTGATGCAGTGGATAATAGATAGATACATATATGGATAGATATATAGATATATAGATGTAGATACATGTAAAAGTATACACTTTTCTGTAATAACAACTACCTTACTCTTGAAGTTGTTGGTGCTCTTTGTACAATTTTTCATGGATCTCTCTTAAATCAGTGTATGCCTTGGTTAGTGTAGTGACCTTTTCGTTAAGAGTATCGATTTCTTCTTGTCTATTAGACGAAGTGGTACTAGTTGCTTGAGCTTGATCTTTTGGTGTTATTATATCACTGGATATTCCAGTATGATCCATAAAAGCAATTTCTTCAGATTGTACGTTCAATAGATATTCTTCTAAGTTGTTCAAGGGAGAGGACATCGAATTTTTAGCGTGGTCGTCGGTTTGCCCCTCGTATTCTTCACCAATTTGATACCATACATCATGGGATTGGTTAGCTTGTCCCTTGTCGAGAATGACTCTTTGTAATGCAGGCAATTTTTCAAGACCTCCGGTACTATTCTTGTTATTATGGTTATTTTTATTCATAGTTAAAGCCAATTTCTCATTATCTACTGTAGAATATGTACTCAAAAGAATGTTTGTGACTTCACCTATCATTGTTTGTGATGTGGTTAATGATTGTAATGTTTTCAGCACTTGTTTAGAAAATATTTCAGTAACATGAACTCTACCATGTTTGTCACCTAACAATAGGATTGATCCATCCATTGATACCTTTAAGCAGACAATACTATCCTCTAGAAACTTATTACAGATAAGTTGGTTCTTGGCAAATAAAGCATCTTTGTTGATCTTCGTAGAAATATCGGTAGGTTCCTCAATAAGAGAGTAGATCTTTCCTTGATTACCAGAAGATGGTTGTAACAAGTTTAATATTTTGTTACCGTTCAGTTTATAGAACAATGGTAATGAATAACATCCGACTTGAGTACCCAAGTATACAGCTCTCTCGGCAGGATCTAATGCAATACAGTCGATTGGGTAAGGTAAAGTGAAAGTCGCCAATAATTGTGCAGTATCGTCTGATCTTCTTTGTCTAGTGCCCCTCTTATTATTTCCTTGATTAACTAATGTACTTAAATCGTAACATCTTAATGTAGAATCCTTTGATACAGTGTACAATTTGACACCGCTAGTAAACAAGTTGTCTCCATGTACTGATGAAACTTCGAAGTCAGTCACTGGTAAAGTGTGATCATGTAGAATAGCCACAGGTTTAGGTTCATCCTGGGACACCAGGTCATTCGTTTGCCATATTATAACACGGGAATCCTTACCAGAAGTGATTATATACTTACCGTTCATAATAGATTTGATCTTTGTGATGGCCTGGTAATGAGCGGCAAGTTTCACATTCAATAGGATACCTGAGTTTAATTCCCAGATGTATAGTTTACCTGATTCTGTACTGGCTAACAACAAATAAGGTAAGTTCAATTGTGGTAAATTGTGTAAACTACCATTGCTCTTGGTTCCGCTATAAATAGAAGCATTGTTCTCGACTACTTCTAAACAGTTGACTTTCTCAGGTAGTGGTAATCTTTGCTCAACGGATTCCCTTTGGTTATTATAGGCCGCACTGTACACATGGATCAAAGCCTTCTGAGCTTGTGCCACAAATAGATACTTTTCACCGACTCTAACAGCACTATTCTTCGAAGCAACTGTACATTGTCTTAAATTGGCTTGTTCATAGGAATGGACATTGGTAATACTCCCGGTAGAATTTGTGGTAAAAATAATTTGTTCATTCATCTTATATAGTTGATAAATTCTTATACTAGTTTGGAGAGCTAGAACTAATTGAACAGTAACTATATACTTTTCACAAACGTTTGTTTTAAGTATCAGTACATCATATAATAATGATTATAATAATAATTTTGCGATGAGGTGAAAATTTTCCATTATTTCGGGAAGCACGCCCCGTAGTGGAAAATGTAAATGGTCAAGACGTGGAACTAAATTTGAAAGAGCCCACAGGGTAACATTGGAAACCTTGAAGGTGGAATAATTTAAACACAATTCTTTAACAAAGATTTGATTTCATTCATTAGGATAATCAGCGGAGAATATTTACTTACTAAAAGGTATATCTGGTATATCAGTGTAACTATTATTGGTTTTTTAATATTTTTAAATCTCAAATTTAAGCTTGAAAACATAGAATAAAATATGCCATTAAATATTTTGGGTACTGCACTACTGGATGGAACGGATAACATTCCATACTATAATGTTATAAAGAAGGTCGTTCCTTATGTTACAGCAACCGCTGCAGTTAAATATTGGTCTCGTGGTCCGTCTAACACATGGGAAAGACAACTTCACGGGAAGGTATATATAGTGACAGGGGCAACAAGCCAAGGGATGGGTACCTCAGTTGCCTTTGAGATGGCAAAACTAGGTGCACAATTGATTTTCCTAACAAGAAGTGTTGATGAGTGGTCTACGGATTGGGTAGAGGATATGAGAGATGCCACTGGGAATGAGTTGTTGTATATGGAGCAATGTGATATGGCAGATCTATATCAAATTCGTCAATTTGCCACTCGTTGGTTGAATAATTCTCCACCAAGAAGATTAGATGGTGTCATTATAATGTCAGGAGATATGGAACCTATTGGGATACCACATTTCTCAAAACCAGTGAGACAATCATCTGTTGATGGATTGGAAAGACAAATAGCTGTGAATTATGCTGGGGTATTTCATTTAATGGATTTATTGCAACCAAGTTTTAAAGCACAACCACCTGATCGTGATGTAAGAATCATTATTTCCACTTGTTGGACCCAAGTTATGGGTGAGATTAATGTAGAGGATCCATTGTGGCAATCACAAAAATATAAAAGTCCTTTGAAATTTTTTAGTAGTAGTAAATTACAATTAGGTCTAACTATGATGGAATTACAAAGAAGATTAATTGAAGATATCAAGAAGGTTGCGAAGGAAAAAAAGGATACCGAACGTAGTGGGTTGAACATTAAAGTTGTTCTGGTACAACCAGGTACGATGAGATCGAACAGTTTACGTCGTGTTGTGTCCAATGGATCTGTTATAATTTTATTGGTGTTATACTGTGTGATATTGTATCCATTCTTGTGGTTATTGACAAAGAGTGGAAATCGTGGTGCACAGAATATTCTTTATGCTTTAAACACTCCCGAATTTGAAGAAGTCAATTTAAAGGACACTAATGCTAAATATGTATCGGATTGTTCAGTTGTGAAATTCGCACGTAAAGAATTTGAAGATTCTGATTTACAGAAACAGTTATATGATAATACGCGAAGAGATATATTAGCACTTGAGAAGAAGATGGCAGTTATTAGAAATAGCAAAAAGAAAACTGAAGAAAAATCTAAAAAATAGGGTCACATTTATTACTATTATTATTAGAAGGGTGCAGAGGAGTAAACGGTGGCGGGATAACATTGCTATTGATATCCAGATGTATTATTACATAAAGTTTTATAAGCTATTTTGATATACAATGAATAACAAAAAAAAAATATTAGATTTATTAAAGATAATATTAGATAATATATGATGAATTATGCAGTTTTGATTTCTTTTGAATCAAATAGTATGAAGATAAGTCCATGTAAATGTATGTTTGTGTATCTATTTTAGATGGTTGAAGATGATGATGAATAGAGGGCTTAGGGTGGTAAATTAAAAAAACTGGTATTACATTATCACACATTTGTCCTTCTTTTTATTTTTATTTTTCTTCGATGATGAATTACTAGTACCGTTTGTTGATGGTAACTTTTCCTTATTGTGTGAGTGTCTATGACGATGAGAACTTCCACTGGTACTATTAGATTGTTGTTGTTGTTGTTTATGATTAGAATTAGTGATTATATTAGTAGAGTTGGTTTTCACAGGAGATGTTAATTGGGAATCACCAACATCATTTGAGTTTATAGCTGTGGTGGTGGTGGTTGTATTTATGTTGTTGTTGTTGTTGCTATTATTATTATTGCCAATATCTGGTATAATTGATTTTTTCTGTTTATTAGCCAACCTTTCCGGTTCAAATACAACTGCATCAATGGCTCTTTCAAAGACATCTCTAACACCAATTTGGGTCATTGCAGAACATTCTACGTAACCCATAAATCCATTATCTTTAACGCATTTTTCAATATCCTTTTTAGAGATATATTGAGGGTCGTTTTCTGGAATAGTCCCTTCTAAATCAGCTTTCGTGCCAATTAAAAGTATTGGTAATTTTCGGAATTTAGTGAATAAAGGATTATTTTCAATATTTGAATTTGATTTTAATTCAGGTAACCATTTATCACAAACGTTTCTAAAAGAATTTCTTTCAGTAACGGAAAAACAAATCAAAAAAATGTCTGTTTGAGGATATGATAACGGTCTTAATCTATCGTACTCTTCCTGGCCTGCTGTATCCCAAAGATTTAATTTAAATACTCTTAAATGTTCATTAGAATGTGTTGAAGGCGGACCGGAATGACTATCTTGTTCATTCAAAATATTGGTAGAAGAAGAGGAAGGTGGTAGAGCAGGTGCATTTGGGTCTCTTAATGAGATGGTTGTAGTATAGTTGTCGAACACTGTAGGTACGTAATCTTGTGGAAATGTGTTTGTTGTGTAAGATATTAATAAAGAAGTCTTACCAACAGCACCGTCACCGATAACTACACATTTAATGGATCTCATAGTTGTTAATGTTGTTATTATTATATTGACGTAAATATTAAAAATAACGTGTTATAATTATATTATTATTTTTTAAGTTAGAGAGATAAGGGAATAAAAATAGAACAGTTTTAATTTTTGTATAATTAATTGATTGAATTCCTTTATTATATGCATATATATATATATAATAGAATAGAAATATGTAAATCTGAATAGAGAAAAAAAATATTGAAGTGAGCGACAACGAGAATAGCGAACGAAATTAAAGGAAAAGGGAGAGAAAGATCGGAGAGGCTGTAAAAAAAAAAGAACGAATACTGCAAAACGATACTGAAACAGAGAATAACAACAACAACAACAACAACAAAGAATACTATATATTAATACATATATATATATGTGTATATATTAATATACTGAAGAAATATGGCGTTTATCCCCTTAATTTATAGTATTCTTTGTTGTTGTTTTAATTAATCTCTATTAATACTGTAGCCAGCAAGAGAGAGTATAATACCATTGGGGTCGATACAGAGTTAGTAACTATGTACAACGCCGTTGATTGATTAAATAGAATCGACTATAGTATAAAAAGTTGTAGTGTCTTTGTGATTGTCGTTGTTGATGGAATGAATACATGGTTCATAGATATCTCTCGATCAGTAAAACATAAGTGCAAAAACGAAAAAATCATACGACAAACATTCAAGAATTAGAATAAAAGATAGATAGATATATATATTTGTGTGTGTATTATTATATCCCCGCAAAAACCTATTGGTGGGGGATACTTGCCAAGGGGTTAATATTATAACTCCTATTACTCTCGTTACAACTTCTACTAAGAATAAAGCCATAATTAGTTGTAGAGACGACGGTGTTAATCTCATTTTATTTCTAATAAGATTCGAATTACATTTACAAATCAGTTAAGTTACGATGAATTGACGAAATTTTCAAGATAGAATGAGATTAATATATTATCCTTTTTACGGTCGAGAGATATAACTTTGTTCAGCTCTGTTCAGCTCTGTTCAGCTCTGTTCAGCTCTGTTTTAAGTTAAGTTAAGTTAAGTTAGCAAAATGAACGGCAATTTAATTTAATTTTTAATTCTTCTCTTTCGCTTTGTCTGTTTTAGGGGGGAGGAGATGGGATTTTGTTTGTTTGATGGTGACGGTGATGATGATGGTGGTGACTACGGGTGTTTCTATCTGTGTTCCCCTTATTTTCTCTGATTTTTCTCTATCCGTTTATTGTTTGTATGTATATTTATGTATAGAAATGCATTGTTTTCCTGTCCGCTACGTGTGATTCGGTGTGTCTCTGTCTCCCTGTTTGCTTGGTGCGACTTTATCTGGGATCCCGCACCGCACATTCATTATTATTTCGAATATATATGTTACGTACGTTTTTTTTCTCGGAGTAGTGCGGTCCGGTTGCGTTGACGCCTGATTTTGGTTTTTTTATTCCGTTTTTTTGTGACTGCATTTATGGGGTGTCCTGGTGTTAAAATCTATATACATCAGGACACCCGAAGAAGTTTGTTTTCTCGAGTTATGGTTATTAATATTTTTTTAATGGAAAATTCATTCATATGCGCAATGGTATTTTCTCCCTATCTCGCTTTTCATGCAGCTGATTCTTCTCTTCTTAGTTGATAATTGGTGAAATATTTTCCAACAACAAAGATAGAGAGAACGACATACTAACTGAAAGAGATAGAGTTAGATATGGATGGATGGATGGATGAGCATCTTAGTATTTTTGGATAATGTCATATTGATTATAAAGTTATATATATAAATATTTTTTGTAGTATTTAAATTTCTTATTTTATAAACTTTTCTTATTTATCATCCTCCAGATAAACCAACTCATAAAATCTATTTAACAATGGCCCCACTTATTTCCAAGAAGAGAAAGCTAGTCGCTGACGGTGTCTTTTACGCCGAATTAAACGAATTCTTCACTAGAGAATTAGCTGAAGAAGGTTACTCCGGTGTCGAAGTTAGAGTCACTCCAACCAAGACCGAAGTCATCATCAGAGCCACTAGAACTCAAGATGTTCTAGGTGAAAATGGTAGAAGAATCAACGAATTGACCCTTTTGGTTCAAAAGAGATTCAAGTACGCTCCAGGTACCATTGTTCTATACGCCGAAAGAGTTCAAGACCGTGGTCTATCCGCTGTCGCTCAAGCTGAATCCATGAAGTTCAAACTATTGAATGGTCTAGCTATCAGAAGAGCCGCCTACGGTGTCGTCAGATACGTTATGGAATCCGGTGCTAAGGGTTGTGAAGTTGTTGTCTCTGGTAAGTTAAGAGCTGCTAGAGCTAAGGCTATGAAGTTTGCTGACGGTTTCTTGATCCACTCCGGTCAACCAGTCAAGGACTTCATCGACGTTGCCACTAGACACGTTCTAATGAGACAAGGTGTTTTGGGTATCAAGGTTAAGATCATGAGAGACCCAGCTACTAACAGATCCGGTCCAAAGGCTCTACCAGATGCCGTCACTATCATCGAACCAAAGGAAGAAGAACCAATCGAAGTCGCTCACGTCAAGGACTACAGACCAACCGCTGAAGCTGAAGCTGCTCCAGCTGCTGAAGCTGCCCCAGTCGCTGAAGAAGCTAACTAAATTTATTAAATTATTTTTAATATTAAACATTTTTTATATATATAATATTTAAATACAATTAAATTAATTAATTAGTTCTCCTATGTGTCTGTCTTTTTTTAGGAAAATATTTGAATGTATGTTATTTACATGATAAATATGGATATAAATATATATATATTAAGATGTTAGTTATGTTGTTAATTGTTATGATTGCAGTTTCTACCATTTATAAACACCACCAACAGATCCTCTAATTGGTTTATCCCTCAATTGTACCCATGGTTTCTTCTTGAATTCTTTCAATTGTGCTTCATACTCTAATCTACCTTTCGTTACACTCTTGGATTTAAGAATACATCTAATATGAATATATCTATGTGTAAAGATACCATGTCTACCACGACCTTTAATATCTATACGTTTCCACCAATTACCATCACTACCACACCATATCTGAGCAATATAGAGATCATTTGGATCTAAATTCATGGTTTTCGCATCTTCAAGACCACGTAACAATAACTCAGACACTTCTTGAGAAACAGCCTTGTCACCAAATTGACATTGTGTAATGGCTTTCTTTAAATCCATTTCTCTTAATAGTCTTAAAAAGATTGTAGCCTTCTTCATTGATGATTTAATACGATAGGATTTTAAATATAATGAGGGTTCTAATACCTCAATTTCTTTCTTTGTTAGTTGCAATTTGTATGATTCCTTAGATGAAGGTAATGTCACTATAGTACCAGGTTTATAAAATCCACCATTTTGTTTACATGCAATCTCGTAAAGTTGTCTCTTTAATGGGGAAAGTAATATCTCCGTGGATGGCTTCTGTAATGGTCTTTGTTCATTGATATATTTTTGCAAATGTTCATCATTATCAAATGTAATAGCATTCTTACGAGCTTCTTGTTGTTCAGGGGTCTCTTCCTCGTCTTCATCTCTCTCCATGGCCATTTCAAGACGCTCAGTCAACTTTGATGCATTCTCCCTACCTTCAACAGCACCATCGTTTTGATTCGGCAATGAGTTCTTCTCATGGGTTTTAGTCTCTAATTCACCAAACAGGGAGTTTTTGCTGTTAAAATGTATGGGGCTGATGCTGAATGGTCTAGTGAGGGTTCTGAACCTATACACGTTTGGTGTTGCCAGACGAAACACATTCCTCGATACAGTAAACATAGTTTAAGAGGATCAAGTATTTATGTATGCAGCTTCGATCTTGTAGTAGTGTATCTGTATATATATATATATATGTAGGTATACGTATCTTCTCTGTTTTTAAGTACTTATCTTTTTACTTGGTTTAAAAAAATGGATTTTATTGCATACTTTCTCTAATTTGAATTTCCTTATTTTTTTTACTTTATTTTCTTTACCAACGATAAAACAGAAAGCGACGGAATTAAGAAAATATATGACATGATTGATTGGGCTTCTTAAATATGTATAATATGTCCGAAAATATCAATTTTAAAGATGTTTTAAAATTGTTTTCAACTATTGTTTTTGTAAAGAATATATCATTAAAATGGGGTATATAAGTTCGAGATTTTTGTTTGCTCGAGTGTGCTTAAGGCGGCTTAGGCATTGATGTACCTTTTATATAAATGTTTTGTTATCGTTAATTGTAGAAAATTTTCGATTAAATAATTTCTCGGAAAAACCCTTGAGGATTTGATATTGTCGAGTGTACATTACTAGATGGACTGTCGTAACGTGACCCCAATCTGATTGAGCTCGAAGACATGGTGGAGTCATCTGCAAAAGATGATTCGGCAGACGATGATGCATACGATACAGCATTCCTTCCGATCCATGACTGTGTATCTGGACCATAGAAATTATCTATTTTATTCTTTCTAGGTAATGGGACAGGAGGTGGGTGTCTCGTTTGCGTCTCTTCTTGATTAGTAAATGGATTCGTTGCAGAGTATTTAGTAGGTGGCAAGTTCATCTGTGGACTCATACGGGTTGTGATTTTAATAGCATTCTCATTGATGTATGACGATGACGCTGGTGTTCTCCTAGTAGAGCTATAACCTTGCCTATCATGGATTTCATGAGAAAAGCTTTTGTCATAATCATGGTTCATCTTTGAGGATTTATTTTTCCGACTTCTTAAGAACCACCATAATAACAGTACAGCCACTATGACACCACCAATACTACCTACAACACTTCCAACAACTGTACCAACTTTACTGGAATGAGATTGTGTCTGATCTTTCGAAGACGATTCAGAACCATCTAATGCTCCATTCAATAGTTTTTCATACATTGAGACATTAGCAGTGATCGTTGATGAAGGTATTGAAAATGAAGTAGTTGCTTCACCTGACACAGATGATTTTGCTATTGTTATTGTCTCAGGGAATCCTGTAGTGAAAGAAGTCATAGAGTCCGTGAAATCATATTGTTGTGTGTATACATAATAAAGGGCACTTTCATCTTCTAAATATGAATAATCGACCGTACTGGAAGGCAGTTCTGTTGAACTACTACTACTACTATTACTACTACTACTACTATCGATATTTGTAGTGGTAGTAGCCTGAGCTAGAGAGGAAGATGATGATGATGAAACATGTTGTAAAGTTGTGGTATTTCTGGTAATGGGTGACGTAGAAGTGTGTACGTTGCTACTACTACTAACTGTCATAGTAATATTCGAAGAAGATGAAGACGGAGATAGATTTTTATAAGTCCTTGTAGTATTTGATATGTTGTAACCAATACCTTTTGGTGAAGAACTAGATATCCCTGTTGTTAAATATGAAGTGTAATTATGAGTAGTGCTATTTTTCAAGGCATTGAATATCGAAAGAAATGGATCATTAATTGAAGTTGTATTTGACTCTATTAAATTGGATCCCATGACAGAAGTTGTTGGGTTCCCAGTAGTCGTGTGTAAATAAGTGGTTTGGTTTTCATTATAATCAATTGTCAAAGTAGAATATGCATCATTATCCCATATACTGTTAGTGGCTGAAAGTAGAGATGAAGATTTGGATAAGGGAAAGCTGTTGGAATTATTGGATGATCCTGTAGTAGATGGTATTTCGGTCAATTGATCATTTATCGCTGATGATGATGATGACGCTTTAGAGTAAGAGGGAGATGTTATTTCGGACACAATTGATGAAGATAAATCAAACGAACCGGAACTACCATAAAGTGAAGTAATTGATGATGTCGGTCTAGTTTCAATTGGAACTGTTGTTAAAGGGGATGAAGATACCTGAGTATCAAATGTGCTAACTGACGAAGATGAGGATATTGGCAAATATGTTAAAGAAGTACTTACTGTTTCAGACACATCAATAGCAAACGAACCAGTGGTGGACAAGGAATATTGGTGAGCAGAATCCTGATTTGTGATTTCTATTGATGATGGTGAAATTGCTAAAGTCGATGAATCAACAGTTGCTGTTTGAGGTAGCCATGTGTCTGTACTACTGGTCAATATGTCAGCAATTTTTGTACTGTTATCCTGCACCATTGCCATAACGACTAAATGTATGAGCTGAGCTAGTTGATGGTTAGTTTGGGTATGAGGTTTTAATTATAGCAATACTTGAGGATAGTGACACAGCAAAGTATATATAGTAAACCCAAGTAATCGGATCAATAAATAAATAAATACACCGAAGAGAATCAACAAAATTTTTCAAGAATGTAAAAATAAAAGTGATATTATTATTAATATTATTATTAAGTTCTATTGTTTGTAATAGTTTCTCTCCCCGCCTCTTTACATTGTTAAATAGAATAAAAATAACAACAATAGAATGAAGAATTTGTGAGTGAACTGTTACAGAATCGAAAGATAAAATTAGTTATCAAAGTATTAGGAGCAATTACTAATTTGCAAATGAAATAATTTCACATCATTTGGATACCATTATTATTGTCCTTCTTGTCCGTGTTGTTGCATTAACGAAACAGGCAACTGATACTTATTCTGATAAAAATATAAATAAATAAATAGAGACGAGAAACGAGATATAAATAGAGACGGGAGAGTAGTACGTGCATCACGTTGTGAAGTTTTGACGTGATGCGCGAGATTTTAGTCATTTTTTGCTGTTTTTATAACTTGTTGGCTCATACACCCAGACATTCGCAGCTTGCTGCACGTGTAGAGTGATATTGGTCGAGGTGAACCTTCTATTTTTATATTTATATTTATTTTTCATTTCGGAGTATATCTGTGAGTTAGCCGCCAACAGGGATATAAAAGACTGTTTCGCAGATATAAAAGATATAAAAGATAGATATATATAAAGGAAAGTAAGGTTTGGGGTGAAAATGTTGGTTAATGATAAGCAGGTTCTTGAACAAATATTTTATATTTTTGTAGAAAACTGCAATATTCAACAATACATAATATATATTATAGAAATATATAAGGTTGGTGTTAACCGACTTTTGTTATTAAAGTAGTATATCGGTAAACAAATTTCATTTAGTGATAAGACATATTATTGTAAAATCTGTCATTTTTTTTAGTGTTATTATACAAATATGTTTCTATACGGTTTTATATTTAATTATGATTTCTTCCATATATACTAGTCGAACTTCATCTTCTTCCCTTGAGATGGAACAATGGCTGCAGAACCTCTTTGTGCAGAAGATAATGCTATACTACTTTTTAGACGGTTATTGTTACCCATCTTAGAGTTATAGTTAGATTTCTTCTTGTAGACTGGCTTATCCTTTGGTTTGAAATCTTGAGATTTTCTAATTGGATTTTGTTCATGTGGAATATCAAATGGTTTCTTATCTCTTGGTCCATTTTGTAATTGATCTGGTCTCTTTCTAACTTGTCTCTTACTTCTATCTTCACCATATTCCATTCTAATTGGTCTTAATGCCAATTTTCTACATGTCTTATCCTTTAAAGCCTTTGTAGCACTAGCTTCATCTTTAAAATCAACAAATGCAAAACCTTTACATTTACCACTGTCTTGAAATGTAGCCATACGTATCTTGGTAATATCACCACAATGTTGGAAATGATGCTTTAATTGTTCTTCTGTTGTATCGAAGGATAAATTACCAACAAATAAGATTCTTGATGGTGGATTTTTTGAAGATGCAACTAAATCCTCTTTATCTGGTCTACCTTCAAAACTTTTGGAGTTTTTAATTAAAAGGTTTCTACCATTTAATTGATTTTCTGATAATTTTACAACTGCAAGCATCTTTGCTTCAGAATCAAAATCCATATAACAAAAACCTTTATTTTTGATTTGTTTACCTTCATTAGAAGCTAATGGTAACTTCACTCTAATAATATCCTTTTCTTCAACTTTACTAGCTTCATCCTCATTACTTTTAGTCTTAACTGTAATGAATCTAATTAAGTCCTCCCTTGTTGTATCAAAGGATAAGTTACCAATCCATACACCAAATGCTTCCTTCTTTGGTTTCATCTTCTTCTCAGAATCATCATCACCATCTTCTTCTTCTCCCCCTTCTTCACCTTGACTCTTCTTCAACTTCTTTTGTTCTTTAGCTTCTTTTTGTTCCTTTTCAAATTCAGAGATAGATGATGCATCAATATTATACTTAGCATTCAATTCTTCTAATGTAATCTTACCTCTTCTCAACATACGCTTCTGTTTTTTAGATAATGGAATCGAACTATTGATATCGATCTCGATTTCATCTTCGGCTTTACGCTTCTTAGTTGGATCTTGTAAAGCCTTTTCGATTTTAGCATCTTGATCAGCAACTGTAGTATCAGTAGTACTTTCGACAGGTTGCTCAACTTGAGTGTTTTCGACAACTTCTTTATTCTCTGTTTCAGACATTATTAAGTAATGATAATTTCTTCAGTATCTATATCTATATTAATATATATATATTTGCTTACCTCTAGATTTAAAAAACACAAACAACAACAACAGCAACTTAATACATATTCATATAAACGTATAAAGATATACATTTACGATCACTGGTTAGCTCATCTCTCTTATATTAATTTCATCTTATGTTGAAAATTTTTTCCTTCTCCCCGTCGTTGTTGTTGCTGTATCGCGCGATGAGCATCAGTTATTTCATTATTGCGTATTATGACAAAGCTGTGAAAAATAAGATTCAGCCTATACCATATATTGATGTATAGAGAGAGTGAGAGATATGTAATTTTATTGAATGAAGAAAACAAACATACAGTTTTCTTAAGATACATATATACCCATATATATATATATGATCAATTATCGTCTGCCACCTTATCAGTGGAGTCTGTGTCCTCTTTTATTTCAAATAATGACGGTTTCATCTCTTCAATGATATCTGGTGTGATCGTTCCTTCTTCATGCATACTGTTGTTCTCACTAGCATCACGACTTGGGTAATCGATAGTTTCAATGACTCTCACCAACTTATCATTAGCATCCAATTCTAAAAGTTCCTTGGAGAGCAACACTTTCTCTCCGGTCTCTTTGTTTCTCCTATACTTACGCGCCACTTTGATCTTCTTGGTCTTACCGTCCTGTAAAGCTTGTTCTTTAGTGATATAATTGTTCTTATTTCCGTGCTCGTCCAGATCTGTCGGATAAATATCACTCGTAGTCCATTTACCATCAACAATATATTTGAAATGGATTCGTTCAGTCTTATAATGCAAAGGGATCACTACTTCATATTTTCTAGCGTCTTCATTTAACGACATAGGATGCTGCTTTACCCAATTATCAAAGGATCCAAATACTGACACAGTTTGAGGAGTTCGCTGAATCAAATTATATGGCCATTGGAAGGAATAATAGATGGTCTGCATTTGGTGAATAGTTTATGAATAAAAAATATATATAATGATAACAGACCCTGAATACCTCTGGTACTTTTTAATCTCCTGGTTGCTTTGTTAAAAAAAAGGAGTACTATACTAGTATATTTTTTCTTATCTTTTGGATGATGTTGCAATTAGAAAAGAAGGGAAAATACACTCATATACAACCTAAATAACATCAGATATATTTATTTCTGTGTCCCCCTTTAATAGATACAATAAGGTATCCCTTACCATTTGAATCGTTAACAAACTAAATCGACAATATAATTTAATTCCCATTATATCTAATTATGATTGTTACTATATGCGATTGATTCTCTCCTTGTCTAAACAGCGAGGAAGAGGGCGGAATTACGAAAAACAAAAACAAAAACAAACCTAGAAGGAAATATGGTTGTGGCACCTTTTATAGACATATATCAATATAAATAAATGATCAAATATATACATTGGGATATAACTATTAGTATATTTACGGGTATACTTGTAGGCGCATATGTTCTAAAAGAAATCACAAAACTGATATATTAGCCTGCTTTGTCCACATTTATTCCTCTTCCATAGATGCAACAGTTTGAGACGAGTGGAATCCCAACAGATCAGACCTTCGAAACGGATATTAACTCTACACAAGAACCAATTGAAACAAATAATGATTTAAAACAAGGAATTGATTATTTTGAATGCTACAAAATTCCTAGCGATACATGCTTCGATGAAGGTGACGTATGGGTTTCCCCAGACAAAAAGATTGTAAAATTAATTATGGGCGATAAAGTGATACGAAAGTATCGATTCAATGAACCAATTATAAACGCTGGATTAATTCAATTCGATAAAGAATATCATTCACTAGCAATAATTTTACAAAATACTGGACGTATATATAATTTAACTACAGGAAATCAATCTATTATATCATTTCCGTTTCCTATTGGCGGGGCATTCTGGTATAGTAACGGAATCATATTAGAGAGAGCCATAGATAAAAGATTAAGCGATCTAGAGTACCCACATAAATATATTACATTGACAGATCCGATCGGACCCTTTGGGTTAGTGTCATTTGCAAACAACCAGCTGGATATTTTGAAATCATCTAGAATGGTAGCATTTGCTAACTCTAATTATAATAATAATTTTAGTGTTCTATATGATAATAACACTAATATGTTGAATATTTATTACACAAGACTATTAAATAATACAGTACAGAAAATCAATAGCATTGATAAATCTCCTACAACACTACCTAATAGTAATGAAATAAACAACACAACTATTATTAATGATAACTCTAAGTCGATCAAGAATAAAACTCTAAGAAGAATGCTTTCATCAAAGAGAAGAGTGACATCGACATCTACAAACGGAACGTCAACCATATCTGCCCTTTCTAGTAGTAATAGACACAATAACTTCTTGGCATTAGATTCAAATGACGGAGATCCATTATCACAAGTACAAACACCGTTAGCAAATAATGATATATCGATGACTATGGGCCGATTATACAGCACTAATTTAACACAGGATAACCAAATGATTGGAGATACATTGGAACTAACGACAAATAACAACAACTTAATGAATACAACTTTGACCTCCTTACATTTGGATAATAACGTCATGTTACCAAACCCACAACAAGATGATCTGATCAATCAATCTATATTATCGAATGATATTTCCTTAGTGAAAGTATCTTCGATTTCTTTACCAAATGATATTCGGTTTTTATCAGAGAAAAGACTTCGTTCGCTTCGATGTATACCTCTAAGATTTCATCAACAGGAAGCTCTTGTTTTCTTTGATAGGGAAAATAATTTTGCAAAAATTTGGTCCATAGATATGATCTCTGATGTGATAAATTCTACATCATTTAAATTATATGGTAATACACCAGAAAATATGATCAAATTATCAAATTTCCAAAATAATTTGTTATACAATTCTTTAAATGAAAAACCATTGATGATTACAGACATAATATCATGTGATATTATATTAAAACAAAATGAGATCCAGGGTACGTTAGCACTCATTTATGACGACATCGATATGGTACTTTACAACCCATTCCTTGAGCTATATTCACATATTATACATATTCAACCTTTACATTTTGACGTTCTAGATAAAAAAGACAAAACAAGCAAGTTGTATCTTGAAAAATCTATTTTTATTTATGTACAAAATACGTTACTTTACCCAACTAACCAGTTTACAAAACAATGCTTTACAGCTCTGAAATTAATAGTACCGGAACATATTTTCTTATGCATTCTCTTTATTTGGCAGTTCCTACTTCACAATGGTATAGTCTCTATGGAAAATGATTCTTCATATGAATTCAGTGCGCTCTCATATGTGATTAAATTATTATTAGAATTATGCCTAAATGGACCTAATGACTCGATAGATGAATCCTTACAGAAAAACCTGACCTTTAAAATTATACTAAACGAATTAACAAATATTACGAACACTATTCCGAAGATTATCATGGGGTTTCATCTCATAAGAGAAGAAATATATTTAAATGTTCTCAGAAAGAAGGATTTGTCATTATTGGATGAATTTTTGAGTTATTCCGTGAATAGAATGAATTGGCCTGCTCAGTGGAAAGAATATTATCAAACTAATATTAAAAAACAAGAAGGACAACTCAATCCCGAGAGTGATAACTTTAGAACTAGTATTTTTGCACATCCCCTGGATGAACCCCCCTCTATAATGAAATCATTATATAGTATAACGGAAAACAGCCAAATCCCACTTACCAAATTTATTAGCTTTTCAAGATTGGTAGATTCCAATTCTGATGTTGATATTCTTATAACGCCACGTTGCTTTAAGACTTTACGTTTATATGAGATAATCCACTCTTCTGACTTTGTAAATGAATATATTTTAGATATCCTATCAGAACTCAAAGTATCAAACCTCGAAATTGAAACATCTCCAATTGGTATAATGAAACCATTGAAGGAATTGCTACATTTGGTGGAAGATATGATTACCAAACCAGATCAAAATTTGAATTTCTCATTAATAGCTAGGCCAGATTTAGAGAGGATTGTCACAAGTTCAAAAAATAAGAAAGAATTGCATTCAAATTTAGATAACAAGACCGAAGACAATATCTTCAACTTTAATTCATATCTCAATAATAATGCAAAGAAAGAAACAACATCTAACGTTTTTGAAGTTTTAGCAGACATAATGCGTACTTCTCAGGGTTTGGAAAATGAATTATCAACAAGGAACAGCAACTCTGATGAACCATACAATAGCTACCCCGACCAGATATCTAGCAAAAATAAGGATATCGAAATAAGACAGAACTCTGATCTGATATTTGGTGGTGACCAGAGATTCAAAGATGCTTTAACACTAGTAAATAATTCTACCCCTCAACGAGTTCATTTTATATCGACAAAGACTGAATACACTGCTGTGCTCGCAAAGAGGAAAATATTTCTTCAAATTATTTCTCTACGACTAGCAACAGCAGGATTAGGATATGGCGCAATGCTCTATGGAACAGAAACACCATTATCTACACAAAAATGGCATATACCTGAAATTTGCCATACTGTAGTATTCTCCAACGGAAGCAGATTCAATATTACATCCCAAGAAACTTCTGATATAATTTCTAAGTGGGGTGATTTCCATACAGGTGTTGCATCCGGTCTAAAAATTACAAGAAACTCTTCAGAAATAACTGGCAGTTGGATAGCCTTCAACAGACCAGGAGTATTAAATGCTACATTTGGAGGATTTTTGCTTGGGCTAGGCCTAAACGGACATCTGAAAAATCTGGAAGAGTGGCATATCTACAACTTTTTGAGTCCAAAGATAACTTTCGTAAGCGTTGGTCTATTACTTGGATTATGTGCGAGTTCCAGAAAGTCAAAAGACTTCAAAATAATTAAGGTATTGAGTGTCCATGTTGTGGCTCTACAACCCCGTGGCTCTAGGGATATGAATATAAATGTTGAAGTCCAAATTGCTGGTTTGATTGGTATCGGACTAATTCTGCAGCAGTCTCAGAATAAGAAAATCAGTTCTGCGCTTATGAAAGAGTTTAAAGATTTAATTACTATACAAGGGGAAGAAATTGCAATTGAAGAGTATAGAATTGCAGTAGGTATATCAATAGGTCTAATAAACTTAGGTTACGGAAGTAAATTTAATGGGTATGATAGTAAAACTTTTCAATCTAATACATTAAAAAATGCTAAAAAATGGACCGAGGGAGATCCAGATGACATTGGTGTCTCCTCAAAATATGCTATATTCTCCAACGATACTTTAATAAGCAAATTACTTTCAATATTAAATGATAATACAGAACAAGAAAAATCTTGGATTCTTGAAAATTCACAAATCGGATGCATCATATGCTTAATGTTTATGTTTTTGAAAACAAATAACGAAGACATTGCAAATACCATTAGATTAAGTATATCAGAGTCAGTCGCCATTTGTAGACCTGATCTGTATATGTACAGAGAATGGACTTACTATATGGTGTTATGGAATGAAATAGACTATTCATTAGACTTTATCCTAAATGGCATACATGATAGTACATTAAAGGGAGATCTTGATAGCGACAACCTACCGATATATTATACGATAGCTGGAAGAATTCTTGCTATTGGCATCAAATATGCATCGACGAACAATCTCAAAGTCCGTAACAACATGCTAATCCTAATTGACACATTTTTACCATTTTATCAGTATTCAAAAGAAGAGAATAGTACTTTTGGCAGTAGTGCTGATTTTAAATTAGCGATTAAAGGTATCGGAGTGTTAATAAATACTCTGATTGTATCTGCAAGCATGGTAATGTGTGCGACAGGGGATATCGAGGTTCTGCGTAGAGTGAAGTACCTACATGAAGTTGTAACTGGAAAATTTTCAGATTTATATAGACAAATGCCGACCAACGACGATAACAACAGGGAGAGAATGGATGACACAGTTTTATCATCTGCAATGTCGAATGATGAAACAAACGCAACGTTAAATGTACCAACTGTAACTTCTGATTTCCAAAATGATTTGGATAATGAAGATGCTGAAATACTAGGGGAGGAAGGCGTCGAAGAGCTTATCAGAAAAAAGATTCGGGAAGAAATTGATAACGAATGTCATTATGGTAAATACCTTGCAACAAATACTGCCTTGGGATATTTATTCTTAGGTTCTGGACAATATGCATTAAAAACTTCAAGTTTAGAAAACGTCGCTTACATTGTTATGTCTATATTACCTCTTTACATGGAACCATATCCATTCCAGGAATTGAAGCATTTCTGGAGTTTAGCCGTGGAACCTAGGTGCCTAGTAATAAAAGATGCGGTCACTAACGAGCCTATTAACTCTGTCACTGTCGAGGTAACTTATGATACCAGTGAGGATTCCAAACTTGATCCTTTGTATGAGAAAATTTCGATAACAACCCCGTGCTTACTCCCAGATATTACAACATTAAAGACGATTGAGGTACATAGAGATAACTATTACCCATTAGAGTTGGATTTTAAAAATTACATAAACGCTACCCATTACTTCAAAGAAGGTACTGTTATCTATATTCAACCGAAACCTTCACAAAAGAGATGTTACAACAACATTAATGATATTCGAGGTGCTCTCCAAGAGAAAATGGATGTATTCCATAAGGGAGTGGAAAATCAAAGTCAAAGTACATCTTTGGAAGAACTAAATAAAGAGGATGAAGCTATGATGGAATTAAAATTAAAGTTAAGTTTAGACAAGAAAATGACTCAAAAGTTAGATGATTCCGATATTTACAACCATGACATGTTGTGCTCCGATGAAAATAGTGGTGACGTTGCAGACTATATGGTTGAACTTTGGAAAATGAATGAAACAAAATTTACTGAGAAATGATCGAAGTCTAAGAGAAGAAGGTCTAGACTATTTCATTTATATCAATGTAGTCTCTTGAGGCTAGACGTAGCAGATCCGAGAGTTCGTAGTTTTTTATACGTAATATTTATACAAATATTGATGTGTTTTTTAAAAGAGCATAAATGAATATAATTATTTACTATACATGGAAATATTGGTACTCAGATCCAACGGCTTGCGAAATGGTCTACACGAGAGGTTGTGTTTTATCATGGTTCTCATACTAAATTGGTGCATGAAATGCTACACTTAAAGGTACATATCTGATCATTTCTATTTTTATTTTAGTTCTAACATTCGACTATTAATCTGGACTTTTTCATCCCATTATTTTGTTTCACCGATATTTTGACCCATTTTAACCTTATCGCCTACCTTCACGTTGAACTCAAAGTCCGAGGGTGCCTCAAAACAAAGAACCACTGTACTCCCCAATTTGAAACCACCCATTTCTTCACCTTTCTCTAAAGGCATACCACCTAGAATTGAACTAGCATTCTTATAGGTAGCTTCATAACAGGTGTGTGGTTCAATGTGTGATCTTCTCTTTACGTTTGTAACCAGCTTCTCGTCAAAGTTCAATTTAATAGAACCAACGTTGGTGGCACCAACAGGGGTCATACTGAAAAACCCATATTTCCAATAGCCTAATAATGCCACACGCTCATTTAGTACAAACAGATTAGGCATATTCTTTTGGAAGTATGGTGCTACCGAATATAGATCACCAGGGAAATGACGTCTTTGTTTACATACCCAATCAACCGGAGAATGATAATGATGATAATCACCCGGAGATAAGTAAATCACTGCAAAATATAATTGAATATTTTGTGATGGATCTGTCTTGAACAATCTATAACGTGGAATATTCAAAGCGAGCTCATTCAACAATTTTACCTTCTTTGTAGCGGATATATCATTACCCTTAACAACAGCTGTATCACCTTCATCCTTAAACTTTATAACATGACCATCCTGAGGAATCTTGGTTTCTGTAGTTATTGATGTGTTCTCATGTATATTATCCATGGATTCATTCAATTTTAGGAGTCTTGCCAATTTATCATCTTGTGAGCCTTGTTTTAAATTTAGATTTGATTCACTTTTACTCATCATCGGGTGGTTGTGAGTACCTAAAAATTCTTTAATAGAATAAGTTAGCCCTTTCACTTGCTCAATCTCACCGGTATCTGAATTGATGATACCTAGTTGTAAGACTTGACCATCACTTGGTGAGGCAAGAATATTGTCTCCTTCAGCAATAGGTCTAGTCTCTGGTCTTATTGTTCTATAGAAGAACTCAGATAAGTTTGCGTAGTGATATAAATCTGGGTCTTCCATTTCATCAAGTTTAACACCAAATAATGAAGTGTAGAAATTGAAACCAATTGGTCTCAACCACATAGGAAGAGTCAAAGAGTTTACTTGACCCCAAAGTCTCGACATTGCATTCAACGGTAATGTCGAATAACAGAAAAACATCCAATTATTATTAAATATCTTAATGCCTTTATAAGTTGCAAAATGCCCACGAGAGCCGTATTTATGTTTCAACTGGTTCTCTTCATTTTCATCGTCGTCGTCAACATCCAATTTACCATAACGGTCGTTTCTCGAGGCGATAATCATAGTACCGATTACTAATGTGACACCTGTTAACAGGGCCCACTTCATGGATAATCTTTTATCGGATTTGGTAGAGACTGCATTCTTAGCCTTTTTAACGATATCTGAGGGACTCGATTTCCTTAGTTCATTACGAGCAAAATGCCTTGAAAATCTTCTGTTAAACAAAACAGCAGTTCTATTACGCAAATGCATTGGTGTAGAAATACCACTGACCATTGCAATACGTCCTTTTAATATCGTATGCCCCTGCTTCAGCGCGGATCTCATCGGAACTATCTTCAGCATTGTCTCCAAAATCTCTGACGTAAATGTTTGTTTATGAAATAGGAAACCTGAATATCGAGATAGATCTATATATATATATATATATATCTGTAAAAGTATAGTGACTGATATGTCTCAAACGTCCTCAACTAACTATCCTGCTGTAAAACACCCGTTTTACAAATCGTCACTAGTTTTGTTTGCCATGTTGTTGATGACAGCTCGAAGTTTCAAACGTCGATGACTTTTCTTTCGAAGTGCCGCGACTTGAGAAACTTCGCCGTGTAGTCAAACGGCACTGGTAAGGGACACCTATGCGTAATGTGTATCGTAACTCATCATGCACAGCCAGGTATAACGAACGAATTATTTAATCGAGCATTTATATTTATATACTTAATAAATACATATATACATATATACAGTTGAGTTTATGTATATGGGGAAGAGAACGGGTCGTATTGAACTCTTTCTAGGAGGATTTATATTCGTAACTACCAGGACGGTTTTGACAGTCAAATGACATATCTACTAGTAAGTTATCACCAAAGAACAGTTGTCCACGAATAACATCCCCGCTTTTTAGTTGCCCAACTCCAGCTGGGGTTCCTGTCAATACTAAGTCACCTGCCTGCAGAGTTACTGCTTCTGCTATGTGACCTACAATCTTATGCATAGGGTTCAACATCAAGTCTAGGTGACCTTCTTGTCTTAGTTCAAGGTTAACATAACATTTCAATTGAAATTTAGAATGGATCTGATCCAATGGGGTTTCCTTAAAACCAGGAATTTCATCAGGTGTCAACATTTGAGACACCGGAGAGAAAGTATCGTACCCTTTAGCAAAAAACCATGGAAGTCCCTTCTTCTTAGCATCCGCTTGAACATTTCTACCAGTAAGATCAAACGCTAAGCAAAAACCTGCAACATTATCCAGCAAATCCTGGGGTCCGAACTTATCAGCGGATATGTTTGAAATGGTATTCTTCATCACTAAACCCAATTCCACCTCATGATGAACGTTGACATTTTTTGGAATATAGATCGGTGATGGATTGGTTCCATCTTCTCTCAATTTAGTAAAAGTAGCAAGGTCTTGACTTGCTGATTGTTCTGCACTAGATAATGGTGTAATCAACGTAGTTGTTGGTTTCTCGAAGAAGAATGGATGTTTGGGAATTGCATTGTTCAATTCTTTTATGTGAGCGGCATAATTACGACCAATACACACAATCTTATTAACCGATTTCAAATATTTAAAACTCATAGTACCTACCTTCTTGCTGACTTGATGATGAAGTTATAGTTATTATCCAATGTACTCTACTTTATATGTTATATAATCGTTTTCAGAACTTATCATTTGATCTCTCTTTTAACAGAGAGAGATAAAGAGAGTCACACACTTTTGATGATAATTTTTTTAATGCTATTTCCGAATTTTTGGTATCTTCGGATCGAATCAACAAATGAAATCTATTTAACGTTAAAATAGTAAATATATTCGAGATGAAGAGAAACTACTTGTACTATTATATGCAAGGATATATATGTCATTAGAACTTAAAAAAACACGTTATGACTTGGGGGTCTCGTCGTTACCCTGTGAATGTTGGTCCTGAGTTACCTCCTGGGGATCCGATGTAACTGATCCCGGCGGTATAATTGCAGTTAAATACGATGGTATCGAGGACGGGCTTAATGCACCAGAAGAGGCACCAGCTGTAGTAACAACTGTAGATATGTCATGATGCGTATGTTGAGGCCCAGCGTTCGTAGTATGAAATGTCATTGACACAGGCAAAGACTGTCTCTTTGTGGCTGTTATTGTTGTTGTTGTCGTTGTAGACTTCGAAGAGTGTGACGAAGTCGAGGAGTTTTTCCTTTGACTATTCTGTTTCTTGTGATCCTTCACTACTTGTAATTCATCAGCTAATGGGTTAGTACCATTACGTTGGTATACTCCTGTGGAAGAAATTATTTGTCTTACATGTGATACCAGATTTAAAGCACTATTCATGTCTCCTTTACGTATAGCATCTTCCAACGATAGAATATAAGAGTTAGAGTTATCCGCCATTGTGGAAGGAGGGAGTAATTTAAACAAAGTCTTACTCATTTCATTGTATTCTGTTTCATAGAAATGTATATCTTCTTCAATCTTTTTAATATATTCCTTCTTTCTCTTTCTGAATTTGGAGGCAGCAACACGATTTCTTTCTAAAAACTCTTTCCTTTTTTGTTCTTCCTGTTCAGGGCTTAATTGTTCTTCAGTATCTTCACCCATAGTCATGATAGTACTATTATTATTACTATCGCTACTTGTAGATATTTTTGATGTCTCATTGCTCGGTTCAGAGAGCGATTCCCTCTTTATCTTTACTTGCGTAGATCCTGATATCGTATCCTTTTCATTATTAGTCTTAGTTTTCTTCTTTGACTTAGTAGTTGAACTCCTACTAGTAGAGGCACGTTTTTTCTTTATGGAGGTAGCCTTCTCTGCTGTCTTCTTACCATTACTTCTAAGAGTCGCCATATTGTTCTGTTGTTCATTCTTTAATACTCCCATTGGTAAAGTATTTGATGATGGAAATTGTGGGTGTGGCGATATACTACCACTGGCTCCACTACTACCAGCTGAGTCAATGGTAGTTACATTCCCTGAATTCACCTGTTTTGAACTTAAAGATGTTACCCCATTGAAAATTGCAGACATCCCAGGGGTAGAAGGTTGATTAACTCTACTATTATTGTTATTATTCCCACCAGAACTAGAAAGAGCTGGTAACAAAGGATAATTGAAGGAAGCCCCCAAGGAACCTGGAGTCAAACCTGATCTAATACTGGACTCGTTTGGCGTAAGGCCTGTCCGTGGTAAATACGATAAAAAGCTAGGAGCGCCTGCACTATTCAGTTTAGTACCGCTATTACTATTACTACTACTATTATTATTATTATTATTACTATTCATAAGTGATGAAATTAAGCCGACACCACCATCGGGACTTTGCTGAGAAGAAGGTTGTGGGTTGAAATTAGGCGATAGTAGAGGTGGTAATCGTTTAGATCCACCGGGAGTCAACATAGGGGGCGAGTGGATCACAGGACGTTGTCCTGAGAACAATAGAGTGGTGGAACTCGAGGATCCTAACGGTATATTTGGAATATTATTTGATCTTTGGAATCCTCGAGGTGCAGAACTATTTGAATTGTTAGTTCTTGGTTGGTTAGCGAGGTTCAAAAGACTGGAAGGTGATCCAGATACAAGTCCATTTGTATTACCAATCGGTAAATCGAATGGTTTCTTGGTAGAAGCGAAACTTTGTTCAAATGGATTTGGTTCCAAATTTAAGGACGACACGGGTTTACTTGGATCATTTGCTGTTGATGCTGTTGCAGAAGTAGCAGTAACATTGCTACTCGATGCAGAACCACTATCGGCAATAGTCATTATTATTGCTACCAAAACCAAATATAAAAATACGAGTTATTAAAACAAACAAACAAACAAACAAACAAACAAACCAAAAAGTAAAAGAAAAGGAGTCAAACACGCTAGAATAATCTGTTTCTCTCTCCAGTTATTCCGAATATATGTAGATAAACACTTACTCTCCACCCAAAAACCGTTTACAACCCTTATTGAGCCAGAATAACCTTCTTCTTATTATCTTTTAGTTCGTTGCCTCTTGTAGTGTTGGCTTGCTCTCCATTCAGCCTCCCAGAATGTCAAAACCCAAAAAAAAATTTCGTCATCAAAAAAAAGAAGTGAAGAAAAAAAGTATTTCCTAACGCGCTCTGCGGAGGTTTCACTGCAAAAAGCTGGATATCTTATTTTGTTACATACAGAATACAACTTTTACTATAAATGATTTGTTTACTGATCAATGCTATAAAACATATGTATTGGAGGTTGGAGGTTGGAGGTTAGAGGGTTAGTGGTGGGTATTAATGTCTATGGTAATATGGTGTCTACATCCACTGCAGTCTACTTGTTCCCGACCCAGAACTGGCCGTTCTCTCCCTTGTCGATTTGTCTTCTTAGTTGACGACTTAGTAGTACACCGGTCTCGTAACGCTCTTTAGTCTTGCGGTCGAGGTATTCTTGAAGTTTTGTTAATGCGACTTTTAGTCTCTTAGAGTCATCGATACTTAGGTTGCCTTTATTCACCATCCCAGTTAGGTATGAGATCTCCTTGGTCAGTTTCCCAGTCTTGTTACTCAGGTGGTCGTATCGTTGTTCCAATCTTTCTAGTGTAGTCTCTTCGGAGTCGATTGAACCAGTGGATATTGGGGAGATATTGCGTTCCGTTAAAGAAGAATTCGTGGAACCTACAGATATTACACGGAATGATCTGGATGGCAGACGTTTTGATGTGATACGTTCTATCATCGCGTCGTCTGCTATCGTAGGAGTTGTATCTGTTGTGTTATGACCAGTGTGTTTTGGAAGAACAATCTTGCTTGTATCTTTATCAACTGTCTCTGTATTCTCTTCACTGATTTCTTCCCATTCATTGTCATCATTAATATTATTATTCTCAGTTGTTGTTTGAGGTGCCACTGGTGCCACTACAGGTGCTTGCACTGTTTCATTACCCATCATCTCTGCTGCATTATTCACCTTTTCGATACCCTTGACTATTTTCTCTACAGAGGTTTCTGCTGCATTATCCATTACTTCATCTTTCGGTGTTATCTTGGAGTCGTTATTATTAACAGGTTCTCCTGCTGTGTCAAGTAAATTATCAACCATCTCCTCAGCAGCGCTACTAACACTTTTGGCTGCTGATATAACTTTTTCTAATGAGGTCTCTCCTACTGGTTCGTCTACTTCAGGTCCTACGGTTGCATCAATTGACGTATCAACCATCTCTTCAGCTGCACTTGCAATGCTCTTAGCCGCTGATACAACTTTCTCTAGTGAGAGCTTACCAACAGCATTCTCATCATGTGCCTGTGAGACTTTATGGGTCTTGCCGTCTACTACTTTGACTGGCTCCCCAAGACCATCATGTTGAGAATCGTAAATAGAATCCAGATGAACAGGAGCCTTTTGGACCACTTCGGCAACAACCTCATTCATCTCTAACTCGGCATTACCTTCTTCTTCTTCTTCTTCTTCTTCTTTTTTATTAACAGTATCAGTATCGTCAATCTCCTTACTTTGTTCTTGATCCTCATCGTTTGTCGTACCAAGTTGTAAATTGTCATCTATCATCTGGTTCATTTTGTCGATGTCCAGCTCGATCTGCGACAAACGCTTTTTGATTTTCTCTTGATCCAGTCCCATAATTCTCCCTAGTTTACCGTTACAATTTCAAGTTTCTCTCGATTACCTTCATTATAATGTTTAATACGAAAAGAACATCCCCTTTTCTTAAATAAGTTGCAACTTGTTTCAATTCCTTATATAATAAACAAAACCCAATTCCAGTTATTTATTTCGCGTCGATGATTATTTCTCTAATGCCGCGATCTTTTCAAATTTCTTCGATGTCATTAGGTGAATGAGAGAACCTAAAGGAATATGGATGGATCAACTTGAAAAAGAAGGAGGGAAGGGAAGGTATGAATATCTAACCAACTGTTTAGATCCTACCAAAGTAGTTATCGGTGTCTGTTATACTCTCGATTAATATCAACCTGCTACTGTAATGGATAGAGTGCGTTCCCTTATCGGTGGTCGAAGAAGGAATAACGATGGTAGAAATGCTCTGCCAAGAAGAATTACTCCTAATCGTACATCGACAGCTACTACTCACCAAAACAATAATGATGATCAGATGACGGTATACACAATCTCGGAAACGTTAAATGATACAACGACAATTACTGACCAGTCAGATTCAGAGACTCTAAACACTTACATATCTGAATCAGGTACCATCGGTGATATGCAAAGATTAGGGTATGTTAATAGATCCCCTCAATTTGATTCGATACGTGATATTTGTTTCGTATCAATTCTATTAACAAAAGGATTCTTTGCATTTCCAAGTCACGAATCATATAATCAATATTTATACAATAAAAGAAAATATGATAACTTTGATCCGATAACCGGACTAGGGGTACCTTTATTTCATGCGATTCCAGTTAATCTAATGAAATCGATATTTAGAACGAATAGAAGTGAACCTATTATGAAAATATTTAAATATGAACTACTAAAATCCACGGAATATAACAATATTACTACGAATAATCCAAACGTTCAAATCATATTTGATGGTACAACATATAAAATTGTAAAATACCTATTTTGTACGATATATCGAGAAAATGGTGTGACTCAATCAAAGAAGCCAAATTCTTCAAAGGACTCACAACTAGATCAAAACTCAAAGATTAAGCATACTTTAAAGTTTGATGATGGTTCGCATGTAGATATGTTCAATATTAATGGACGGAGAGATATTGATGCATCACTAGATGGATTGCCATTACGATGGTTTGGATTCTCTAGTTTTGCTTCACCATTTGGGTCGAATGATATTAAATTACTAATTTTAGACGATAATATGACAAATTTGATCGAAGATAGTAATTCTGAATCTAGAAATACTGACCCATCGAGTCAAATTAATGACACTAATGCCATATTAAGACCATTAGGCTATCTACCCGTGTGGGCTAAATATAGCGATGTAGATGACTCCTTATTACCAACTAGAAGGACTATACATTTAGCAAACTTAGAACTAAAAGAAGTTTCGAACGGTTCACAAAATCTTGGAATATTAAAAATTCCCCGTAATACCCAAGTTCTGACTTGCATGTGTATGCTGCTTCATGACTATGAATCAAGAAAAGAAAGGAGACATAACAGCACAAATGTTCCTGCATAGCGTCATAAATCCAAACACATTCTAAAAAATTAGCAATTACACATAAACATTCTTAAAAGAGGTTTATCCTATAATATTATGGAGATGAATCCTTATTATGCATTAATATATAATAATATCATAACAAAAACAATGAAATATTTATATAACTATTTATACGTTCCATCTTAACGACTCCTCTTTCGATGCGAATTTTGTTGATCCTCCATGTGATTATGATGATGGTGATGCTCATTATTGGCATTCCCATTCATCGGCATTCGTCGATAGCCATATGCCTTGTTGTACCATTTTATCATGTTTTTAGGTGGTTCTCCAAACACCATATAATATTCGCAAAACATACACATCGGTTGCTTTGCATCTAATAACATTGCAAAATTTGGAGGCTCTGATACACCATTACGCATTTCACGTCGTTGCACTTCACCATAATCATAGTCTAAATAGTGCTGATTCCTAAATGCAGATGGGCTTTGTTGATCATTTAATGAATGCTGATGCTGACGATAATGGTGCGGACAATATCCATCTTCGTGGTTATGATCATGATCATGATCATAATATGAATCATTATTCTCATGTATCCCATTCATATGTCCCTCTAACATATCGACTCTTTCACCAGGGTCCTCCCCTCTTTCATCATCTAGAGTCATGCGATACGTAGGGACTGCACCATTATCAATGTTACTATCCACTAATATGTCATGGGATTCTATATCGCTTGAACCTTCTTCTGTTATATTCAATTCATTTCCATTTACGACTGCATGTAATCGACCATGAACATCAGTGGAAAAACTTCCAGGTAAAACAGACTCTATCATTTCTGATATTTTCTTACCTATACCTTCAGGAACATCTTCCAGACCTTGCCTCTCGTAATCGAATATTATCTCTGCTTCCTCGCCATTTATGTGTAATTCAGGGTCTGGAAACTTTTCTTCCAGAAATTTATCCACCTCATTTTCATCTAGTACCAGATCGTGACCTGTTACATTGGAATGTACATGATAATTGCTATGATTGTCTATCTCCACAATATCTTCATCCTCAAGCTCTTCGACTTTTCCATTTTTAGTACCTTGTGGAGTCTTTTTATCTGTTTTATTTCTAATAACGAATTGCATTGAATGATCACCATTTTCAAATCCCTTGCCATCTTGTAATTGGTTGGATAATATCTTGGTAAGTGCCTTAACACCCTCCTGCATCATGATATTTATTGGAATAGGACCATCCTTAGATACTAATTCTATGGATGTGTTACCATTTTCGATATTTGCAGAATGTCCTTTTGCCATCTTCTGTTCTTGCGGAATTGTTACTACTCAACTATAATAAGTACTTTAAATGCTATTTTGTTATTTATTGTTGTTAAAAAATTATGTCACTAAAACTAATTTGTCGATAACTAGATTAATCTTTATTATATTTCCAGTTATGTGGAATGGAAGTACTTATATCTGTGGGTTGATTGTCCCATCGTTTTTAAAGTGTTATGTATGCTACTGTTTTGTTTTCGTTCACTCTTTGCCTCATTTCGCACCGTTTAAAATTTTCAATTATTATTAACATTAATTAATACATCAATACATCATAAAGAACATAACATAAGTGTATGATACAAGAGCATGTTGCGAAACCTGGCTTCGTGATTGATTAATAGTAAATAGTAAACCACAGATCGAAGATATATATAATTATGTAATATTTATAGTATACCAGAATATACAAAAAAAAACGTATAAAAATAGAGATTTTAAAAAACTAATTTCTCTTTAAAGTACGTTGCTTTTCAGCATTTTGTATAACCTTCTCATCGACAAATAAACCTTTACGTCTTCTAATATTGTTCATATGTCTACGAGCAATATTTTCTTTATCAGCAGTATCACCAAGCTCTTCCAACTCCTCTTCAGTAGTTGGAACCCAGAATGGATCGATATCAATACATTCAAAACCTGAGAACACAAGCTGTGGTTGAGCAGCACCCGAGGTTTTCTTTCTTATGTCTTCACTCAAACCGAAGGCTTCAACCACAGGAATCTCTGCTTCAATTTGGAAAAATGGAGTACCCTCTTTCATTTCTTCAGAAACAATCTTACCATGTCTTTGTTGTACCACAGCATATACTTTACCAAGGACTTCCACGGATGTTTGAATATCACATGTATAAATAGCCCACATAATTCTTGGCGACCAGTCGAGGAAAGATTCATGAATTTGATCTTTCGTATGGTTGATAAATCTACCAGAAAGATTTGGTATTTCAATTTGATAATGCTCATCTGCTATAGCAGAAATTTCATCTACCGTCATTTCGTGGATATCTTCCATTACAACAACCATACCTTGAACTGGTTCCTTAGCTAAAGGACCCTCATTAACCGATATTTGGAAACCATTAATAATGGGATCTGAGAATTCAAATTTACCACTACTTTTGTTCAGCAGACTTCCTAGCAAATTGTTTTCAGATACTAAGATGTTACAACCAACTCTTTTAGGACCTAGTGCAGCCACTTTGGACAAATTATCACCGAATATGTTTGCTAAATTTTCCTGTTTGGAAATTAACTCTTCCAATTTACTCACAAAAGTTGATCTATCTAGTATTGTGCTTTCAATAGTCTTCGGAACAGAATCATCATCATTATTTCCAAATATATGTCTGATCGACGATTCATGTCTATCTAAGAATACTGTGATGTCATTCTCTAATGGTATGGTTCTTAATCTAATTTTATACTTACCTATCAAAGATTCTACAACACCTCTTCCAAATACTTTATTCTTTGGAGGTCCCATATCACTCTCTGATATGAAAGTTTCTCTGTATGGAATAGCAGGCTCAGAATGTGTGACTTCAACACCAGCAAATCTGTCCTGTAAGTCATTTAGACATCTTTCCAGATGTAGTTCACCTGCAGTACATAAAATGTGCTCACCAGTGTCTGAAATATATACCTCCACGCATGGATCTGCTTGGTCAAGTAATTTCAGACCTCTTACTAATTTGCCCATCTCCGTTGGGTTGGCAGGTTCAACTGCCACACGAACAATAGGAGTACTGTTGATATTCACACCAGCAAGATTAACACCATTAATCCCATTTTCTATCAATGTACCATTCTTCAGAACCTTACCTGCAAGACCACCAATACCGACAATATTACCAGCTGGACAGTAGTCTAATGGAACCAACTCTTTCCCCATAAATAGATACAAGCTTGTGATTGTCGTGGTTTGAATATGCTCAGTTGGATTCTTTGGGTCATACTTAGGACCAAGTACACAAATTTCTTGACCTACCTCAAGTGAACCGCTATAAATTCTTGAAAATCCGATTAATACTTCATCTTTTTCATTAAATAAATCCTCAACGTTTTCATCTTCATAATCAAATGGATCCATAACACCAGTGTCATCTAATGGATTTTCTTCTTCGTACTCAAACATAGCACTCAAAGGATCATTAGGATCAATATCAGCTGGAACAAAATCTAAGTCGCCATCAAGATTAGCATCCTCATCCTCGTCCTGTTCGTATTCAAACCCAAGATCAATATTCATTGCTGGGGCCGCTTCTGTTACAATTTCAAACGTGTCATTGAGTTTTGGTACAGGTTGCTTCTTCTCACCAATATCTGGGGTAATGACAGTATCCTTAGCTCTTTTATAAAGGTCTTCATCCTCAGCCTCGGTACCCTTGACATCCAATTTACCCATATTTTCCAACATTTCAGCTCTCTTAGCGGCTTTTAAGGCTTCTTCTCTAGCCTTTCTACTTCTTTCCATAATTTGATCTGGCGAGACTTCTGCAGATCCAATCACAGGTAGCTCTTCCCTTGGAATAGAAATAATTTTGGAGACATATGCACATGCTGGACCATTTCTATCACAAGTGCTCATAGAGTCTAGCAAATGTTTATCAACATTTTCAGTATCAGTATCTATCTTCAAGATAGTATCTAATCTATTCTTTTGAGATTCTACAGGAGAAGGTAATTTTTCAATGACAGTCAGTAGGACAGCTGTACTGACAGGTAACCATTGTCCCATCACGTTCCTTAATAATTGTTTGTCATCCTTTGACCTAAGGTCACGAGGTAATAATTTTATGTTTAACGTATCTGTAATTTTGCTGATCTTTTCATCATCCCTTGCAATGACAATATTTTCGTAGATTTTCCAAATGTTATCGAGAATTAAAGATGTAAACAATGGCTTCAAATTCCTTCCTTTCAAACCTTTATTGTTAATAATTTTTTTGGTCTTTGGATCTAAATAGAAATCACCCCAAAGAACCTTTTGAAGATTTTCTCTTTTCGCACCTAGCTTTTGCTCATAAAATTTTGCCAATTGTCCAATATTGAAACCCCAACCATCAACAGCTGATGCAAAGATAACGTTATTGTTCTTAGGATGGAAATATATATCAGAATCATCTCTTTCAGTAAATTCAGCGTTTTCATTCTCTTTCAATTGTTCTCTCCATGAATAATCATCTAACTGTCTTTCACCAGCGAAGAAAGAACCCAAGACGGAATTAACTTGTTCTATTATCTTATTCAAATGGAGATAAGTCTCCTGAGGAGTCATTTGAAGTTCTGTAATTAGTCTGTCCATCTTGTTTAAAACCAAAACTGGTTTCAATTTCTCGACCCAACATTGTCTCAATACAGTAATAGTTTGAGAACACACACCTTCTACTACATCTACAAGAACTACAGCACCATCACATAATCTAGATGCTGCACTTACCTCACTTGAAAAATCAATATGACCTGGTGAATCAATTAAATTGATCAAATGTTCATTGACCAATGGCTCATCCGTGCCTTCTTGCTTATGTAAGACTCTGAAATACAAGGAAATAGCAGATGATTCCATTGTAATACCACGTACTTGCTCATCTGGTCTGGAATCTAAATAACGTATTTTACCGGCCAGTCTTTGCGAAATGATACCGTTTGATGCTAATAAAGAATCCGAAAGTGATGTTTTACCATGATCCACATGTGCAACTATACATATATTCCTGATACAGGAAGCATCATTTTGTAATCGTTTATAAGTATCTGGACCGACTCTAACCATTTTACAATATAATTAAATAAACTAAATATGATTATGTCGTTATTATACTGGTTTCTTCCCTGTTTTTATTAGAGTTATTCGTGTTTTAATTAATATAAAGTTTTGTCTTGATTGAGATATACCACCCAGTGTTACTATTGTGGAGCCCAATAATACCGTAATAAAATTCTCCTTATTTTTTCTACTTTTCGAACTACAGCGCGATGAGCTTAAAATTCTCTATGTACGTTAAATGAAAAATTTCAGTTACGGGTATGTAGATAATAACTTCGATGATTATATATCTAGAAAACCTTGTCATCATACAAAACAGGAAGTGCTCTATCAGCCAAGTATATCAATTAGAAACATATATACTGTAGAATTAACTTATCGCCAACCTCTCGAATTTCATTTATACGTATCTTCTATCAAATAACAAATGGTAATGTCAGCACAGAGAGAAATTACAACGGAACAGCCCATACCTGAACAAGATAGAATAAAGCTTCAAGAAAATGAATTAAATTTGAATATTGAAACAACTGAACCATTCGAGGAAAGTGTTTCAAATGACACTAACAAAGAACCTGAAGATTATTCACATTGTCCCATTTGCAAGACTGCTTTACAGAAATTTTTAATCCAACAAAATTATTCTCTAGTGATGTGTCCTAAAGATGAGTGTAATTACCCATTCAACCAAGAGCATAATATAGATAATATTGCTTATGTAGATGAAAAAGAGATTTTAGAAGTGGCCCAACAGAGACTCTCTTTGAATCCAAAATAGACCAAGATACAGAGAAAAGTTTCCGATATATACGGCTAAACATAACTACTATTGCGGACTGGTCCCCATATCACTGTGTTAGATATTAACTATACCACTTTAATAATTGAATGATATAGTAACCTAATGACAATCTCATATAGATATGTCTTCCATCCAATAACAAAAACAAAATCGAAATAGCAAACAGATGCAATGATAGAAATGTAAATATTTTCATGAATGGAACGGCTGAACACATTTTTCTTGAAGATTTTTTTGTTGGAAAATTTTTACAGAATAAAAACTATTATGACTGCTACTTTTGAACATCCGTACATCTATTAGTATTATGTGACAACCTTACATTTACCTGCGAACAATTATTTTCTACGGAATAATTTTTAATTTTTCAGCTTTTGAAGACGCGGTGAACTTTTTTTTAAACATATATTTTTCAATCACGTGCAGCGATATATCTTCCAATTCAGAGAATATGCAGTAGAGATATACTTTTCATTGAATTTCTAAATGAAGGGAACAGAAAGAGAAAAGTGCAACTCACCATTTTGAAATTCTTTCAATATTCAATTTTGGGCTACGCTCAGCCAACCAGATTGGACTAGCTGTTGTGCTAGATAGGTTAGACTCAATAAAATTTATCTCTGCCTGGAAAACTTTTGGTAGTTGCCATATGCTAAACCGATATTCTCTGTAAGGTATACCGTTTCCTTCCACGCAAACCTCATCATGGGGTTAGGAGGATGCCAATCTGTTCAATATATGTAAATTAAATATACAAATAGCATATATATGTGAAATAGATGTATTTATTAGAAGTTAATATTAATTCTTGTTAAAGAAACCAATACAAACTAATCAAACAGGCACAATGGGTATGTTACAACATGAAAATAATTATAAATTTGATAATATAGAGTTATAAAATTGATAAATATGGAAGAAAGAGAGATATATGAACAAAATGAGAATAAGAACTAATGTTAAACGGGGAATGATACCTTGAGGTCATTAGAGTCGAAATTTTATTAATTTTTTGAGAATTTTTTTGAAAGGTATGAGATGAGATGATTTATTAGATAATTGAATACTTTTATGGAACGGAATAAACGAAAGCATGGGACTTAACCAAGTACTGATTAATAATATTGTTGTAAAGAGTCACTATTCGAACTAAGATCAATATGACAATGAAATATTCTTGTTGATCGTGTTAATATACCACATTCTGAAATATATGTACCATCATTTATCAATACAGAGATGTTACAATCCAATAAATTTTTTGTCTATCATGAATACATTTATATGATCTATGGATTTGTGTTTTAAAAGTGTGAGAAATTTTAATTCCCCATTACAAAACTAAGAAGAACCAATTTACAATTTTTAATATTTCATAATATTGATTTTAAACATTTTCGAACTTAAATTGAAAGAATTCCCCAATATCATTACATCTTCACAATTTTCAAAACTCAAATATAAACTATCAAATTTATTTTCTAACTCCAACAAAGCAAATAATTGTTCTATTTTACTAACAATGCAAAATTTGTTATAATTTCTTTCGAATCGTCAATTTAAAGATTGATGCATATCAAATTATAACATATATTTTTATTTCATAACAGTTAACGTTCCAAAGACTAGAAAGACCTACTGTAAGGGTAAGAACTGTCGTAAGCACACCCAACACAAGGTTACTCAATACAAGGCCGGTAAGGCTTCCTTGTTCGCTCAAGGTAAGAGACGTTATGACCGTAAACAATCTGGTTTCGGTGGTCAAACCAAGCCTGTTTTCCACAAGAAGGCTAAGACTACCAAGAAGGTTGTTCTAAGATTGGAATGTGTCGCTTGTAAGACTAAGGCCCAATTAGTCCTAAAGAGATGTAAGCACTTCGAACTTGGTGGTGAAAGAAAGCAAAAGGGTGCTGCTCTACAATTTTAAACTTTGGAAAGAAATTATGTTATATATCTTTTATTTTTAATCATTTTTAACTCTCCATTAACGTTTTTTATTGTCAGTATGTATTAAACATTTAATAATAATAAATACTAAAATTTCAATTAATCAAACAGTTTAACTATCATGGTTTCTACGTATATAAACACAAAACCTTGTCGTGAATGCTCAATGTTATATCGAACAATGCATTATACTTAGTATGAGATCAAATATTTTATGATTGATTATATCTACAGATTGTTCTGTACTTTTTCCCTGATCTCTTTCTTCACTGAGAGCGAAGGAGATAGAAAAGGAAGAAAGAGAAAGAGAGAGGGAAAAAAAAACATAAGCGATACAATTTCCAGATCAAAAATAATCTATAGAAAATAATAGATCACCAAATATAAAGAATAATTTTTATTAAATTGAAAAGTTATTATATATATATATATACATATATATACTGATATACACGAGAGGTGCTGTTATTGTGAACGCGTCTTTATTTGATCAGTTTATTAAGTTATTATTTATAGAGAACTCCCTCCCCGTTTTATTTCTTTTAGGAATTTATTTATTGTCTATTTTGCTTAATAGAGGGTGATTTAATCGCGTATATTTGATTAAGAATATCAACACTTTCAATTGAGAAATATAAAGTGACTTGACTATGTTTAATAATAATAATGGTTTTGGCTCCCAAGGGAGTAATTTTCAACAGCAGCAAATGAATTACCAACAACAAAACCAAATGCAAAATATGGATCAAAATCAACAAATGCCAAGACCACCTGCAGCTAATTTTAGTAATAATTACATGAGACAGCAAGGCTCGCATCAATCCTTACAAGATGATATAGACAGACAAAACAGTAATAATATTAATAATAATAATAATAATAATAACCTGATGCATAACGGAGGGTTCACTGATGTTCCTTCGTTGAATTTCCCATCTACACCAACACATCAAAACAATTACGTGATACCGAACCAAATTACAAATACACCACCACCTGCCATGGCTAATCTCTACAAACATAACAACAATTCAAATAGTATGGTACAAAATAACGGAGGTAGTAATGGTAGCATAAGCAATATGAACCAATACAATTCCAATATAAATAATAATGTTAATAATGGTGTTATTATGGATCAGCCGGCAGCTCCATTCTCTCCAAGTGTTTATTCAAATGATTCTGATTATGGACAACCAAACTTACAAAGCAATACAAGTATTCATAGTAATCAATATCAACAACAACCACAATTCTTATATAATGAAGAACATTCTCATTCGCAATCACCTCAACAAAATAGTCCTGTCAGAAGTGTGAAAAATATACCAGTTCAACAGCAACAAATACAACCCCAGCAAATTCAGCAGCAACAGCAAATGCAACAACAACAGCAAATGCAACAACAAGGTCAATATAATGAAAAACAGGGGCAACCTAACGGAAACTACATGTATTTTGAAAGACGACCCGATTTACTATCTAAATCTACTCAAGATAAAGCAGCAGCTGTTAAATTAAAAATTGAGAATTTCTATCAATCTTCTGTCAAATATGCCATTGAACGTAATGAGAGACGTGTCGAACTTGAAGCTGGTTTAAATTCCCATGACTGGTCAGAAGAGAGAAAGAACAGACAACTAACATCTCTAGGGAAGAAAGAATCTCAATTTTTAAGATTAAGGAGAACCAGATTATCTCTAGAAGATTTTCAGACTGTCAAAGTTATTGGTAAAGGTGCATTTGGTGAAGTTCGTCTTGTGCAGAAGCGGGATACGGGTAAGATATATGCCATGAAAACACTTTTAAAATCTGAGATGTACAAAAAGGATCAATTGGCTCATGTAAAGGCAGAAAGAGACGTTCTTGCTGGTACAGATTCTCCATGGATTGTTTCGCTATACTATTCTTTCCAGGATCCTCAATATTTATATCTGATCATGGAATTTTTACCAGGTGGTGATTTAATGACTATGTTAATCAGATGGCAGTTATTTACAGAAGATGTTACCAGATTTTATATGGCTGAATGTATTCTTGCGATAGAAACCGTTCATAAGCTGGGGTTCATCCATAGAGATATCAAGCCTGATAATATTTTGATTGATATTAGAGGACATATTAAACTTTCTGATTTTGGTTTATCAACTGGTTTTCATAAGACTCATGACTCTAACTATTACAAGAAATTGTTACAACAAGATGAAACAAAACCACAAGGCGCGGGTGCTTCCACTGGTTTAACTAAACCTGGGCAACCTGGTGAAAACAATGGAGCAGATAACAAGAGTAATAGGCAAACAATGGTTGTTGATTCTATCAACTTGACCATGTCTAGCAGACAACAAATCCAAACGTGGCGTAAATCGAGACGTTTGATGGCATACTCAACTGTTGGGACGCCTGATTATATTGCACCTGAAATTTTCTTATACCAAGGTTATGGACAGGAGTGTGATTGGTGGTCGTTGGGTACTATCATGTATGAATGTTTAATTGGGTGGCCACCGTTCTGTTCTGAGACACCTCAGGAGACATATCGTAAGATTATGAATTTTGAACAAACGTTACAATTTCCTGATGATATTCATATCTCTTATGAAGCTGAGGATTTGATTCGTCGTTTATTAACACATGCAGATCAAAGACTAGGTAGACATGGTGGTGCAGATGAGATCAAAAGTCATCCATTCTTCCGTGGTGTTGATTGGAATTCAATTAGACAAGTTGAAGCACCATACATTCCAAAATTGAGTTCTATTACAGACACTAGATTCTTCCCAACAGATGAATTAGAAAATGTACCAGATTCACCAGCAATGGCTCAAGCTGCGTTACAAAGGGAACAAATGATGAAACAAGGTAATAATAATGCTCCAATTAAGGAGGACTTACCATTTATTGGGTACACCTATTCTAGATTTGATTACTTAACAAGAAAAAATGCTCTTTAATATATCTATATATTTAAACTGTTCGAAAAACTATAATAATATAATATCAAAACAATATGTAAAAGTTTCTTTTTTTCTTTCTTTATTCTATCAAAACTTCGGTCAATCATTTACTTAAATAAAATAAATCATTCTAATTAAGAACAAAATGTTAAATAAAGGGTGGGAAAAAAACAAACATTGTAAGACTAAATAAGATCCATGGAAACAATATTATTATAATTAATAAAAAGCAAAGTGTTAAAAAGATGTGCTTTCTTACAGCCTTCAAGTATATAATAGTTATGTAATATCATATAATAGAAAGTGTATGTTAATAATCTTATCATGATCTCTGTGATATATATTTTCAAAAATATAAGATCTGAAATTCCCTGCTTGAAGAAATACTAATAAACGTAACCTACTTAATAATTACTAACGTATATATGTTTTATTGACATCCATTACATGTAAGGGTCCTCTCCTCCCCACTCCCCCCTTAGAATCAAATAAGATTTTAAAGGATATATATCAATGAATGAAGAAAGTACCTAAAGAAGTAGTACTACCAACAATCTTCAAGGGAATTAAAATAAAATAAAATAGTTAGCTAAACCGAAAAATGCTACAATTACTGCAATAAAGAGATATAGGTAAACCCAAATTTCGTCCCAAAGAATATTTTCTTCAACATGTGTCAAGAACTCAAAAGTACTACGAACAAAAGATACTGATATATCAATAATGATATTACGTAACTCTCACTTGTACTTCTAAGGAGTTTCAGATATCTGTAAAGTTTTGCTGTCATTTCTGTAGGCCTTTTCTTACTTTTTCGTTTTTAGGTTCTCGTACTACATATATTAATTTACCAACCGTCGTTTTATCTTTACCGTTCATCTATTAAGTCAAGGAACATCTGAAAAGAAAAGAATAGGGGTTGAAATAAGACCAGATTATAGTAATGGCTCTATGAAATTCACCAGATATTAAAACATCCTATAATACTAATTTATTAAATAATTACTTTGTAAAAGTAATTACAACTTGCAAGAGAGGTTCTTGATTAATCAAACAGACCAATTTTTAAGAATCCATAAAATTTTAAATTTTGATTACGAATACCCTTAGTTAAGCACTACTAACAAATTAAACTAATAATTGTTGTTATACTTGAAATTTATTAAATAAGAGTCTATCTACTATATAGATATAATATTCCCGGCAGTAAGAGTGTAAGTATCTTTTAAAGATCAAGACTAACAAAAATATAAATAATTCGTACACTTATATTAACAATAACTTCAACTTCTTTATTGTCTGTAAGATAATATATACATATTTTTGTTATTGCAATCTTGCACATCAATGGATAATAGATAATACAATTATTTCATTTATATTATTTCTGTCCGACCTGATGAATTAGAAACAGAAAATGAGAAAATAGCTTCAAAAATTAACTCAATTATAAATTTGAAAAATAAACAAAAAAAATAAATATTTTTTTTTATGCGGGGAATTGTTTGTCTTCGGTTTTTGAGGACACAGAGAACGTACTGGGAAATTGTAAACAGTCCGTAAATAGTTATTCGTTGCCTAAAGTATCTTACTCAATTTCCAATTTAGGGAGCGCTTCCTCCTGATTTTGTCTGTCTTATACTCTTTTGTTACTTGAGATTTCCTAATTCGGAACAGTAATTAGGGGAGACTTATAATTTGATCTTTTAATTTTTTTATAAGGACCTTAGTATTTTCTTACTGTGGAGTTTCTATTCCACATATATATTTTCCCGGGCTGAATTTATTAATTATCTTGACCACTTTTTTAAGAAACGTCGTACAATTACTGATATTATTATTATGATTACCACAATAGGAAATCTCTGTTCTTTTTTCTTTTGTTTTTACCGCAAATTGAAAATATAATTTTCACTAAGAAAAATAATCCGCCAGTAAATAAAGTAGCTAACAAACTAATAGAATTTTATTCCGATGAGCAATGAATGGTAGTACATCCTTAATTCATATGCAATGAATGATTCCTATACCAATACTCTTTTACATTAAAACAGTTGACATAGAGGGATTAAAATGCAACTTTGCACATAACTTGAACTTTCTTTCTCTTGCTCTTTTGAGTTTGAGAGGTTAATAGTTTCTTCCTAAAATGATGCAAAGCCTACTTCATCTTTCGATTCATCATTTTTTAGTTACAACATGTGACAGGGGTTTTGTTTTGTCTTCCGAATGATAATCGAATTATTAATTCATAATGGAAGGGACAAGATTTTCTAACGATTTTGCGTACATTATATCCTTATTGTTTGGAACTGTTAAAGAAAGTTCAAATTAAAAGATGATTAAGATCGCTGTCATTTTTAACAGTAGCATCCTTCGCCTCGGTTCGTATTCAATACGTTTATTCTACCAACTTTCATCTTGTATACTGTTCCGTTCTCCGAGATTTGGTAACGTTTATAAAGGTTTACTTGACCTTTATTGCTCTTATTGTTTTATGTCCATGTGATGTAAACCTTTCTATCTTCTCTTCCCCCTTTTCAATTACGAATTTAAGTCCCTGTTAAAATTTTAATTTATTATTTATTTTGTTGTCGTTCCTTCTAGGAACTCAATTTGTATACAATTTATACGAATTTAGTAATAATTATTTGTTATGATAAGCTAAGGTTATCCCCACACCTCTTTCTTTCCTTAGTAAAAAAGTATTTCTTACTCTTTCAAATAACTTATTATAACACCATTCTTTTTCTTTTATTCTGATTCGATACTTGTTTAGGAGATTTCCTTGAAACTATTAAATGCTTAATTTTCTCTGTCATTTCAGCCCACTTTAACTTTTTATTTGCTTTAATCTATATACAGTAATAATGTTTCTGAGGGACTCTTTAAAATCTACTTTTTGCCAATAGACATCATTTGATTGAAACGATGAGGTTATACTTAGTTTTCGTCCTTACCTTCTACCGTTAATTAATTGAGGAATTTTTAATAAATCCCTTAAATTAATTGTTCTTATTATTTGTTTATTTTACTCAGTTATTGGAAAATTAAAAAATTGTTTAATTGGAAATTTTATTCATATATATAGGTATACTCTCTTACCTGTACAAATTGTATTTCTTTTAGTTATACTTCCTTCTTAATTTATTTACGTCTTTTGTAATTACTATCAGTCTTTCTTTTTATTTTTAATATTAATTCTTTATTAAACATATATCACAACCAACCACCACTACTATTATATATATTTAACAATGAAGTTCAGTGTTGCTCTAACCGCCTTACTAGCCGCCACATCCGTTGTCGATGCCTCTCCAATCGACTTTTTAAACAAAAAGAAGCACTCCGCCAAAGCAGCCTCCACTACTTCTACTCCAGTGATTGCCAATGCCTCAAACTTTACTAGTTTATTCAACATTTCTAACTTCACAAGTTTCGCTAACTCCAGTATTTTCACTAACACTACCCGTAACAACAGTACTACTGTTGAATTGCAAGAAACTGTTCAAATTTATGTTACTGGTGGTCATGTCACCCTAGACAACTCTACTATGAGTGCCTCTAACTGTACTAATGTATTAAACGAAACTAGTACTCTAAACATCACCCAATTGTATGATGTTGCCATTGCTGTTAACTCTACTCTAGGTTATAACAACACCAAGGGTAGTGTTATTGTCACTACTCAAAACAACTTAGAAGCTCTAGGTTTCTTTGCTGCTGTTGTCTTCGACTCCTGTGCTCCAGTTGTTGTCGGTACTAATGCCGATCAAGCTTACCTAGTCGCTAACGACACTGGTGCCGCTAACAGAGGTGCTCTAGTTGTCGATGTCGATGGTGTTATTTACTCTGGTATTTTCTCTCCATCTCTAGACCAATCTGCTTCTTCCATTCCAGTCGGTACCATTAATGATGAAGATGTCATTACTTGGTTCTTTGAACCATCTCTACCAGCCTTCATTTCTGAAAATTCTGGTTTGAGAACTACCTACACTAACTTCACCAACACTAATCCTCTAGAATACTCTCTTATTACTCCAGTTGTTCCAATTGTGTACGATGGTGGTTACAGTGAAGACTTAATCAACTCTGTTGCTTCTACCATCTCTGGTCTAGTTGTCATCTCCTCTGGTGCTTCAACTAACTCTTCTACTTCTCAATTGGCTTCTGAAAGTATCCCAGTTGTTTACACCGAAACCTCTCCATTAAACGTCGTCACTGCTGGTGATGTTCCAAAGGGTGCTATTGCTGGTAGTTGTTTGACCCCAGTTAAGGCTCAAGTCTTCCTAGGTATTGCTATTGCCAACGATGTTGCTGACGCTGCCTCTGTTGCTAAATTATTGAACTAAGAGTGAGAAATGACAAAATAAGTATTGGTACGATAATCTTTTATTTTAATACCCAGTTCCAATATTAATTTTCTAAGTTTTACTTCAAATTTTATTCACTTACCTTCTTTAATTCACTAATTTCATTATTCCCAATTAACTTCAACTTAATAATATTAGTTGTGGTTTAATATAACGAGAGATCATTTTGTTCTTAAATCTTCTTTTCTAGTTTTTATCATTCATTCCTAAGTGAGCTTTCAAGAACAGTAGTACAAGTTTCATTATTATAATATCCTTTGATGCATAATTAGAGTGTTTTCATTTTTTTATCATCATATTGTACTTGTTCTGTGGAAATCTCTTTTGTCTTCACAGGTATATACTTATACATTATAAAATCAAAAATAATGCCTTATTTGGCATTTTATTATATATTATATACATAATTAATAATTAATTTTATTTTTACTGTACTTTAAAAATTCTTTTTATTATTCAAAAGATTCATTATTATTATTATTAATTTATTGCGAACATATACATAAAACTAGAAAAAACTATTACAAACACATATCCTATATAAGTACACACAGTACAATCATGCGGTATGCAATTCAAAATAGCAAAGAGTAAAATTGGTAAAGGATGTAAAGAACTAAAATGATGGAGAATAATAGGAATAAGACCAAATTATTAGCACCAAACTTGAAAACATACAGTTCCTTTAATTGTTCCAAGTATTGAATGATGACCTTACCAGATAATTTAGATTCACCTTCGGTTCTAACACCAAAAGAGAATGGAATTTCACCAATTGGTTTGTCAGCTGGTAATGGTAATTTGGCCAACAATTCCAAAGCAATCTTGAAACCCTTGGAGTCAATGTCACCATCCTTAGCCTCAATTAGGTACTTCTTTTGCAAACCGAAGAACCCACTCATTGGATCAGAAGCAGTAGTCAATGGTCTAGCCATCATTCTAGCGGTAGAAGAAATGACTCTACGGTATAATGGCCAATCCTTGTCAATACCGACACCTGGTGCGTATCTGGTACCTATGACGAATGGATGTGTCTTCAAGTTGTCAAACAAAGATGGAACACTCTCTGGAGGATGTTGCAAATCAGCATCCATACAGATAAGGTAATCACCTTCAGCTTCATAGAAACCTCTTAAAACGGCAGAAGATAGACCACGTTCGGTTGTTCTGACAATGATTCTAACATTGTAACCTTCCTTTTTTAGTTCTTCAACTTCGTCAACGGAACCATCTTGAGAGTTATCATCAACAAAAATCAATTCTGTAGTTTTAGCACCATCGTTTCCTAAGGCAGCAAACAGTCTAGTGGTTAAAGGTTTAATGTTTAGCTTTTCCTTATAAGCAGGAACAATAACAGATTGAGTTACAGACATTTTATATTAAATATGTTATGAAATATTTTTGTTGTGGAATGCAGATCAAGATATAATTGAAAAAACTATAAAAGAATTAAGAAAAAAGAATAATTCCTTTGTAAATCATAAATACTGTAAGATCTAACCACGTAAGTTCATTGTTTATATAATTCTTTAATTGAAATATTTTTTTAAAATTGTGACAACGTTGCAAAAGTTTCGCACGCGTCTTAATATTATATAATTTTTTTTTTCAATCCTCCATCTATAATTACTGCAAGGAACAGAAACTAAAATGGTGAATTCTTTGAATTTATAGATAGATGGGTAAAATTATATATATATATATATATACTTTTAGAAGAATGAGGATTACTCTGTTATTATTCAGACCCTATATGAGGGTTTCTCTTTCTTGGTCGTATACTCTATCGTTAAGATCCTGCCCACGCAAGTACATTTGTGAGCTATGCGAGCAAATGAACTCAGTATGAGACTGCATTCGAAAACAACAAGTATCCTCATTGACTAGTACCGACATGATACTCTTTCCTTTCTTCTTCTTAAAATTCATTCTAAGAGCTCTATTTGGCGTCTAAGTCTTGCCCTATCCACAGAACGTTATTACATCTAATAAACACTTCTCCAATCTTACCTGCAGATTTGTCATTAACGAATTCCTCAGTGTCCTTTAATTGCACGTTAAAATAGTTATCAGAAGATACCAAAGTTCCCTTATACTTGGTATTGTTAAACTTCAGCGTCACCACAACACGCTTATCTATTAGATCTCTCAAAAATGGTTTTGGGTTCACCGGTACAAACTGTAATACAGAAAAAAGATAATGTCAAGGTGATAAGATATAATTTCTCATCTCATTACATCACATCGTAATATATCTGTTAGTAAATATATCATATTGTATCTCGAAAGAAGTTTCATACTTCTCTGTGACGACTTGGTTTTATGGCAAGTCATAAAAATGGGACAAATTGGATACATACATCTGACATAATTTCAATTTACTGTTATGTTGAACTGATCACTATTCTTGAATATTTGAATACTCTGAGTCTACCTTCAATGGTATATATATATGTTTCAACCACTTGTTCCTGTTACCGTTCTTTTCTATGTAATATTCAAATTTATTTTGAAAATGATACGAAAGTTGTCAGAATACAACGGACTGCGAGCGTAGTAAAAGTTAAACAAAATTGCTAGAGGGTAACAATCTTAATATTAAAGTATATGTAAGATAAGCTAGGCGGCTAACGTTACAAATTTATACATAAATAAATTCATATACATATATAGACGTAGACATTATATATATGCTAAACTTGCGCCAGTTTAACATCATAATTGGGCGTTTCTCCATCATACTCGTGTCTGAGCATAGCCCAGATTAAATCTGAAAGAATAGTACCTATCGCCAGAGCATTGACTAAAGAGACAGCATAGAAGAAGTTACTGTTACCAGAGCCTGACCCAATCCATAAGTGATAGAAGATTGGCGATAGCATGATCCCATGTATAAATAGTAACATTGCGAACACTTTGTAACGCATATATCCTGCAACTGGAACAAAGTAAGCTAAGAATGAGAACCAGAAACCATAATCTCCAAGGACTGGATATGGCTTAGTTAGGATTAACCATCCAAGTATGACAATCGACACATAGAAAGGTTGACCACAGAATCTGATAGTTAGTGGGATTACAAACGAGAAAAGAAATAGACCAAATGCACCTTTGAAAAATGGAATAAATTCTGTAAACATTTCAATAAAGAAATACCACCATATACCAAGGTTTGGAGTCACTATTTCAAAATTTAAGAAAACCATATAATTTGCTCTCAGGAAATTCCAATTATTACCATTAATTTTATATGAGATGAAAATCAAGAATACACAGTAATAAATGGCATAAAGTGTCAATCTGATAGTATGGTTAACCCTTTGAGATCTGGATGAGTTTAAATTTACTAAATTTACCAATGGGAATATTAAAAGGATTGGATATAACGATAAATAACCAGAGAGTGCTACGAAAAGTGCTGTTATTGGAATGTTTCCATTCATGGCCTGTACAACGGCGTTTATTATACACCAATTAGTAAATATAACTGATGATTTACTCAAACAACTCAATAAACTTAAGGGATTAATTGCATATATCAATGCTGGTAACCATGTTGGAATATTAACAAACAATTTGTTCTGTCTTTTAACTTGTGCAGTCAATTTAATAAATTGCATCAATATTAGACAATCAAAGAATATAAATAGATATTCGTGGTATGAAATTGGAATCCCTTGTAACGCTTGTAACAGTAATGGGGGGTGATGTACCACACCTCCATTGTAGTATCCATTATCGAATGTAATTGTGTTGGCCGATCCCATACCTAATACAAGTGCCTCCTTTAAAGATCTGTATGACGTCACTGGCGTAGAGAATTCGACGCTCTTATCGAGAAGACCCCCAAGGGAAGGGAAAATCCATAGACCCAACAGACGTAGAGTTGCACATATTGCACATATTGTCACAGAATTAAGTGCCATCTGAATTATATGTTTTGTGTTTAATTCTTTATTTGAATTGTTTCATTAGACTATGTGGGTTATAAAGTTCAATTGAAGTATACATCAATGACTACGTAATACCCTTAAATTAAAGAAATAATGAACAAATCGATCATCTCAAAGATATCAAAGAGAGAAACATCAACTTTCGTGACAAAATTAAAGTTCATTGATCAGAAACATCATGTAGCACGACATGCAACAATACACCACCGTGTTATATATTTTTTTTATTTCGAAAATTGAGAATTCCGCACAAAACAAAATTCGATAGTAATAATAACAATAATAGAACGAAAATTGTTCACAGCGTGGAGAATTTCAAAATAAACATAGGATCGGACAAACTTGCAAATAATCGAGGGAATTTGAGCGATTGTGATATGGAGTAACGAATTAATAGACTGTCAATTATCAACCGATTTTTTACATTAACATACTACAAAACCTGTTACTTTAACGGAAATACGATTTTAAATCAATTAAAAAGAACTTATACTCAATATTTCCCTTAAGAGTTCACTTGCAAAACACCAAAACACCAAGTTTTTTTTAATAAAGGAGTATTGCAAACGATGGATTTCAGTGTTAATGAAGAAATCAATGGGGTCCGGTTTTCCTGGAATGTGTTCCCACCTACTAAGGCTGATGCCAGTATGAATGTTGTCCCAGTTGGTTGTCTATATACACCATTGGCTGAGTACGAAAATTTACCCATTGCTGAATATAACCCAACAGCTTGCGCTGGTAAGAACTGTAAAAGTATTTTGAACCCTTATTGTCAAATTGACACGGCTAATAAGGCGTGGGTTTGTAACATTTGTTACTCTAGAAATGGCCTTCCAATGAACTACATTAATGTGACCCCAGAAAACAAACCACTGGAGTTACAATACACTACCATGGAATATATCACTAATAAGGCAGTTTTAGTACCACCAATCTTTTTCTTCGTTATTGATATCACTTCCGAACAAGAGAATCTAGATGCCCTAAAGCAATCTATTATTACTTCTTTGACTTTGTTACCACCAAATGCGTTGATTGGGTTAATCACTTACGGTAACGTTGTGCAGTTACATGATTTATCAAGTGAAACAATCGATAGATGTAATGTCTTTAGAGGTGACAGAGAATACCAATTTGAACAGTTAGTTGAGATGTTAACTGGTCAAAAGGCCGGGAATGCTAATTTACAAGGTAATAACATGAAAATCACTCCTACTTCTCTTAATAGATTCTTTTTACCTTTAGAAAATATTGAATTCAAATTAAATCAATTGTTAGAGAATTTGACTCCAGACCAATGGTCCATCCCAGCTGGCCATAGACCAGCTAGAGCAACAGGTTCTGCTATGAATATTGCTACCTTATTGTTACAAGGTTGTTACAAACACACTGCTGCTAGAATCATTCTTTTTGCCTCTGGACCAGGTACTATTGCACCAGGTATGATCGTGACTACTGAATTGAAGGATCCATTAAGATCTCATAATGACATAGATTCTGATCGTGCAGTACATTACAAAAAGGCTTCAAAATTCTATAACCAAATTGCGAATAGGGTTTCGGACAATGGCCACACTGTCGATATCTTTGCCGGTTGTTATGATCAAGTTGGTATGTCTGAAATGCAACAATTGACAGATTCTACTGGTGGTGTTCTGTTATTAACAGATGCCTTCTCCACAGCCATTTTCAAACAATCTTACATTAGATTGTTCTCCACTGACGAAGATGGTTTCTTAAGAATGGCTTTCAATGGTGTTATGTCTGTTAAGACTAGTAAAAATGTGAAAATCCAAGGCCTAATTGGTCATGCAACAGCCATGGAAAAATCTGATACTTCTAACGTCAGCGAAACTGAAATTGGTATTGGTGGTGTTTCTACTTGGAAAATGTCAGCCTTATCTCCAAACCATACATATGCTATTTATTATGATTTCCCAACTACGGCAGCTAACTCTCCTCAAGGTGTTCCAGGTCAACCTGCTACTGCCTATACTCAATTCATTACAGCTTATCAACACTCTTCCGGTACTAATCGTATCAGAGTCACCACTGTCGGTAATGTTGTTATGGGTAATGGTAATCAAGATTATGCCAACTCTTTTGATCAAGAGGCAGCAGCTGTGTTAATGGCCAGAATTGCTGTTTCAAAAGCTGAAGCTGACGATGGTGCAGATGTCATCAGGTGGATTGATAGAACATTGATTAAGTTATGCCAAAGATACGCCAATTATGACAAGGATTTACCAGAAACTTTCACCCTAGTCGATAGTTTCAGACTATATCCTCAATTTACATATTATCTGAGAAGATCTCAATTCCTAAGTGTGTTCAATAATTCTCCTGATGAGACTGCCTTTTATAGACACATTTTTACCAGAGAAGATACTACAAATTCTTTGATTATGATTCAACCAACTTTGACATCATTCTCTATGGAAGAAGATCCACATGCAGTACTATTGGATTCCATCTCAGTTAAGCCAAATACCATTTTGTTATTAGACACTTTCTTCTTCATTTTGATTTATCACGGTGAACAAATTGCTCAATGGAGAAAGGCCGGTTACCAAGATAATCCAGATTATGCTGCTTTCAAGAGTCTTTTGGAAGAACCAAAGGTCGAAGCAGCAGAATTGTTGGTCGATAGATTCCCATTACCAAGATTCATTGATACCGAACATGGTGGTTCCCAAGCTAGATTTTTGCTATCTAAGTTAAACCCATCTGATAGTTATCAAGATAGGAATGCTGCCGCCGGTACACTTGGTACTATTGTTCTAACTGATGATATATCTCTACAAAGCTTTATGCAACATCTAAAACAAGTTACTGTAGGTATTCAAAACTAGCAAAAGGTAAAATACCAAGAAAATCCTAAACAAAGAACTGGATTTACTGCATTTATCAAAGCCTTTTTTTGCTTGAAATAACAAACTTTCTTTATTTTCCAAAAATATACATTGAAAAAACAATAACAATAGTTTTATAAACCATATAAATACACTCCTTTCTCTCTTAATGTCAAATCTACCTACCTTTTTCAACGCTAGGTTTTTTCATTAAAGAAGAAAAAACTACCAATAAATAAAAAGTGTTAATTATGATTAATAATATATATTACGATTACAACACAAATTTATAATTCATATATAGGCATTTCTAATGTTATTCCATCGAACACAATGAAATTATTTAATGGAGATTGTCTTTTCCCAAGAATATTAATGACATCTTGAGCCACAGCGCCACCAATGATAGCTGCCACTGGAGCAAACTCAACATTAGCTTGTTTATAAAATTGTTGAATATATTCATCCTTCAAAGTTGAGGATTGAATACCTAATTTATCACACGTTGAGAGTGTATTCTTGTGCAATTCTTCCACTGAAGATGGAATCTTTGTTAAATATGATATCGTTAAGGGTACAATACTATTAACTCTTTTTACTTGCCTCTTAGTTAGTTTTCCTTCCAGAGTGGCCGTCTGTAACATGTCATCGAAGGGTTTATAACTATTTCTTGTCTTTATGGTCTCAAATATTTTCTTAGGATCATCGTCATCTACTCGAGTATCTACTTCAATAATCGTTCTATTTGAAGAAATCTCACCTGTTAAGGTAGTTCTACCTGTTTTCAATTTTTCTTCTTCTGATACAAACTCTATCAAATCCACAAATATATAAGAAAATAAACCATTTGATCCAGTAACATACAACGAAATATTCAATTTTCTTGAGATTCTATTAAGTTCAGTAATTTGGTCTTTACGTAGTTCAGTTGCTACAATTAAGTCAAACTGTTTGAAAAATAACTCATCTTTATTAGCTAAGGAATCACTATCAACAGTTAGATTTACACGAGGATTCAAATCTTTAATCTTTGGAGAACATACATCCACTTTCAATTTCCCAACATCTTTTTTTTCTAAGAAAAATTGACAACCTAAATCTTCTTCACGAACAATATGATTGTCAAGAACACATAAGTTACCAATCCCACTAAGAACAATATTTTTAGAAATTTCAGTACCTATGGAACCAATGTTGATCAATAGTACTTTAGCAGAACGCATATTAGCTTGTGCAGCCAACCCCCACAGTCTAATTTGTCTATCATATAATGCAATTTCATCGGCAGTTAGTTTACCCGTCTGATTAACTTGTGACATAGCGTAGTTGATCTTTCTTTTAATTTATGGTAATCTTCAAATATATAAGACAAAATACTTCCAATATTACCAAACAATTATTCTAAGCGTTTTAGATATAAATCTAACTTTTCTTACTATTGTAATACTTTTCAAACTATTGATATCAAAATAATAATGAACGTTATTTTGAAATTTTAGGTTAAACAACGGGTTCGATCTCTTTCTCGCATCGTCAAAATTGTAAGAAATGTAAAAATACCAATATATGTATAGTATATATTATACATATATAAGAACAAATGCAATGATGAGGAGAGGCTCTATATGATAGAAAATGAAAACAAAGAAGCAATTCAGAATTCATTGAACCACATATCTGATATAAATGACCTTGAAACTCTTGTTGGATATGGGACTCTTCAAAATATACATATATATATGTATATTTTTTTGTTTTCGAAGTGATTTATACGATCAAGGAACAGGATTACTATTAGATTCTTGGCATAGGGGGAAAATTGATACTACAATTATCCACAGCTGTTCCTAATATCCATCTTTAAAGATTCATCAAATATGTAGCTCTATACGGAGCGGAGTACATCCTAATACAAGTTGCTGTCATTAACAGTGTTCGTTTCTTCTTCTTCCTCTTAATATTTGTTTTCCGTTGTTGTTTTGACTGCGCTCTTTCTTCTCTGCATATTGTAATCTATCTATATACAGTATCCGAAATGGTAATAATATTGTTATTTTGACAATTTCACGATTTTTGCCATATGCAGAATTGAATTGGTTAGTTTACTCTTGAAAAATTAAATAAGCAAGATTCGTATAGATTTACATGACAGTTACTAACTGTATTTTTTTATTAATTAAAGTCTTCTGAAGTTTCATTAATTATAATTACATTATTTTGTCTTCTTTTATTAATCCTGGGAATAACAGATAACATACTTGGAACTAGTATTCTGACAATACACAATTCTACAACAGAATAGAACGATTATTTTAATTGAGAGAAGAAACATAAATACATACATTTAAGTGAAAATAATTTAGGAATTCAAAAGATAAAAAAGACTAAGATATACAAACTTCATTTATTATCAAGTATATTGAAAGATATAGAGTAAAAAGAACCCCAAAACAAAATAACAACATAGTAATAATGGATTTATTGAAAATCCTAGATACTAAACCAGTACCAACAATTGTTGATTCTCAAACGCTAGGTGCATCAGGTAATGTCTCTGGCGATTATTGGTTACCCACGACAATGTGTCTATACCAAAAAGAGTTAACAGATCAAATTGTATCATTACATTATTCGGATATTCTAAGATATTTCGAAACTACCGATTATAAAGCAGATGTTGTTCTAGAGTCGATGAGAACAATGTGTTTAAATAGCGAATATGTGGCAACACATCCATATTTATTAATTGATCATTATATGCCAAAATCATTGATTACTAGAGATATTCCTGCTCATTTAGCTGAAACAAGTGGGAAATTTGTCGTATTAAAAGACTTGGTAAACTTAGTTCAAAAATATGAAACAAATACTGCTATCATATGTAGACCAGGAAGAACAATGGATTTAATAGAGGCATTACTATTAGGTAATAAAGTAAATATTAAAAGGTATGATGGTTCTTCTATTAAATCTAAACAAAAGAAACCAAAGAGCTATGCATGTACATGCCATTTATTCCCATCATCTATTACAAATACAAAAAAATTCCAAATTACTATTTCTGATAAATTTGATATGCTAATATGTGTAGACCCATCCGTTGACACAGATGCTTCCCATATCCAAAAGATTTTGAAACATTCTAGATCTGGTAAAGGTTCTGATGCAAAAGCTCCCATTGTGAGATTAATCAGTATCAATTCTGTCGATCATTGTAACATTTATTTTAGTAAGAGCTACCCTAAGGACTCAACCGAACTATTATCAAAAATAACAGCAGGTGTTGTAGTACTAAGAGATAGAGTCGGGACGTTGCCTCCAGATCTGAGACCTATATACTCTCAACATCTAAACTATCTTGTGGAATGGTTAGAAGATTCAAATTTACCTTGGCCACTACCTGATGTATATCCAATTAAAAAATATAATCCAATGGATGTCGAACGTTCATTACTTAGTGAGGTTAAATTTAATCAAGTGGAAGATTTAGATGCGATTTTTAATTCAAACTTGAAGAAACGGAGTAGACATAAGGACCGTAATGGAGACGGAGCTTATAATCATAAGAATAAATCTTATTATAATTTAAAGAGGTTAAAAAATGATTATTCGACTAATCCAACCAAACAAGGTATGAAACAACTCACAGGCATTACTACTGGTGGAGGGGAGGATTCTATTAACTATCATTTGGTAAGTGGTATATTGACACACAAATTGATTCAATCTATTGGCCAAGTATATTATGATATCGAGAGACAAGTAGATGATTTGAAGGATTATCAAAATATGAATAAAATCGAAGATGACCATGTTACCTTCTATACCAAAGAATGTGATTCAATAAATATAATATTTCAAGATTTCAATAAATTAATTGAAAAATTTAACGAAGATTCAAAGAAGTTAGAATTATCTAACAATAGAAATTTTGAAGTAGTCCAACAAATGGAGACCAAGTATACAACATCAGTAACCAATTTTGAATGCAAAAATGATTTAGATAAAAAATTGAAAGATTTCATCATGGAGAAGAAAACTGTATTGGAAGAACTAGAAAGGGAAGAAGGACAAAAAGAGTCTAGGTTGAAAGAAAAAGAATATATGACATTAGAAATCAAAAGAGCTAACGAAGCTATTACTACATCCACTGACGAAATAAATAAACTGAAGACTGAATCGGAAAATATTGAAAATACTATTCGTGCTAAATTTGAAAGAGATTCTATGACACAAATAAATGTAAATATAAGAATCGACAACTTAAAGGAAGAGTTAAAGAACGAGGAGAAACAACATGATCAATTAGAAACCCAACTCTCTAATTTAATAGAAAAGTTACATCAAGTACCAACTTCAAGAGTACGGGTTACAAATACCACAAAAAACAAAGGAAGACGAAAATAAACTTTCCTCATTTTGAAGTTCATCTTTTTTCATTTATTTATTTTGTATGTAATATATATACCACATTATGTAAATCGAAAGAAGAACAACTATGCATGATTTTCCCATAATTTAACAGAACGGTCCCAACCACCACTGACTATATACTTTCCATCCTTAGATATATTTGCTGTTAGAACTTTATCTGCATGGCCCACTAGAGTGTTGATTTTCGCCCAGTTATCGGCAGAGTAAATATTAATAGTTTTATCGTAACCACAGGAGATCAAAAAAGGTGCCTCATCGTGGGTGACACTTATATCAGTAACAATGTTTTTATGAGCCAAGATCTCACTGGCTTTTTTTGTATTTCTAATGTCCCATATATTGATTAAACCATCTCCACCTCCAGTAGCCACTTGGTAAGCGTTTGGGCACCACTGTACTGAATATACAGGTTTTGTGTGTCCCTTTAATTCCATAATTGATTTCCCAGCTCTTACGTCCCACACAAGTCCTATATTATCTAACCCGCCAGAGCATAAGAGTGATCCATCATTTTGAAAATCTATGCTATAAACCTCTTTATTATGACCTTCTTGTAATAATAATTCTGAACCAGTTTCTACGTCCCATAATCTCCAGGTATTATCAAATGATGCACTAGCAATATAATTATCTGTTGGATGAAATTTAACATGGGCTACTCTCCCTTCGTGTCCCTTCAATGTAAAAAGTTCCTTTAGACTATTGCAAGATTCGTTAAACTCATGAAGTCTAACAGTTGAGTCTTCAGAACCACTAACTAATAAGTTTCCCCTTCTATTCCAATCTAATCCTCCAATTTTCCCTCTAGCTTCTTCTTCAATATTTACTATTCTTTCTAAGGTTTTTACATGTTGAATAACTATATCCCCACCCCAACTCCCTGCTGCAAAATATTTTGATTTGGCTGAAATTGATACTCGAGATATAGGTCTTTTCGAGATGACTTGCGACCCTTCTAATTCAAAATGCTGAGCGACTTTAATTCGTTCTCTTCGGCTTTTAATCATACTAGATTGTGTATTAGTAATAGTGAATTGTTTTTCATTCCTAATTCTCTTCCTGGCTCTTTCAATCGAATCCTTAACCAGAAACCTCCTTACTGAAAGTAACTGGCTACTTGCAGGTGTGTAAAATTCATCTTCATCGCTCTGGTTTTCCTGATCTTCGACATCTGATAGAGAACCGTCGTTTGTCGTAGTTCCATTTTCAGATGTACAGTTCAAGTATAATTCAGATTTATAATATTTCTTTAAGCTATCTCTATTAACAAATAGAATAGTTGCCAATCTCTTCCTTCTCTCCTCCACTGTCTCTTCACGTAGCATGGTTGGTTCTTCAATTAATTCCAGTATCCGTATCACATCACTGTCTTTCTTCGGAGCTATTTTCAAGTAGTTTCGTTTCTTCTCTTCTAATTTATCTAGTGTCTCTTGAACTGTCTCATTAGTAGTTTGGTCTTTCTTATGAGAATTATCAACTGGCAAATCCTCAAACGATATTCCCTCTGTAACCATAGTGGAAGATTTTATAATATCTGAATTGGATTATAAATATGGTATAATATTGTAGTCATACATGGAGTAATATGCAAATTTCTTGGCGTTGAGCGGTTCTTATAGTGAATTGGTAATATTTTTCATTTTTAAAAATTGCCTTAGTTGAATTGCCATTTCTTTAGAGAGTCCAATTTAGAGAAAATATTTAAGAAGACATTTAGAGGAGTATATCACGAGATCTGTAATATCATCGCACAGATACATCGATACCTGTATAATAAACGCCATATCATATTACATAATGTCTGATTTAACATTATTGAAAGAAAAACACATAAATTACATCGAAGCATTAGATAAAAAGAAAGATGACTACGAATATTGGCTATCCGAACATCTACGTTTGAATGGTGTCTATTGGGGGTTAACAGCTCTTTGTATTCTGGATGCTAAACATGCATTTACTAGAGAATCGGTTATAGAATTTGTTATGAATTGCTGGGATCCTAGAAGTGGTGGATTTGGTCCCTTCCCTCGTCACGATTCTCATTTATTGAGTACGTTGTCAGCGGTACAAATTTTAGCTACATATGATAGTTTGGCCATTTTAGAGGAGACCAATAAACTAGAAGACTGTACTAAGTTTATAATCAGTAATCAATTGCCTGATGGTAGCTTTCAAGGTGATAGATTTGGGGAAGTTGATACGAGATTTGTTTACACAGCTCTTAACGCATTGTCAATTTTAGGGAAACTATCTCCAGAAATAGTAGATCCTGCTGTAGACTTTATCCTAAAATGCTATAACTTTGATGGCGGATTTGGATTGTGCCCAGGTGCTGAGAGTCATGCAGCACAGGCGTTTACTTGTCTAGGTGCCTTAAAAATTGCTAATAAGCTTGATGCTTTAACACCAAAACAGATAGAGGAGACAGGCTGGTGGTTATCAGAAAGACAAACTCCAGGTGGTGGATTAAATGGTAGACCTAGTAAATTACCTGATGTTTGTTATAGTTGGTGGGTATTATCTTCACTTTCTATAATTGGGAAATTAGACTGGATTGATTATAAAGGTTTAAGGAATTTTATATTAGAAGCTCAAGATAAAATAAAAGGTGGGATTAGTGACAGACCCGATAATGAAGTAGATGTTTATCATACCGTATTTGGTTTAGCTGGTTTAAGTCTGATGGGATTTTATGATTTAGTACCGATCGATCCAACTTATTGTATGCCCACTTCTGTAACTAAAACTTTTAAGAAATACCCCTATGAATTAAATAACCAATGATAAACAGAATTAGATGTCATTTTGCATATATATAATTCAAGAAGTTCAAGAAAATAATCATTATAAAACGTTTGCCATTTATACACTATTATATAAAATTAATTAATATGACTTTGAAAACATGCTATATTTGTGGTAATTCTAAAAGTAAACCTCTTCTTGTGTAGCCCTCTTCAATGATGGTGTGTATTCCAAGTATCTTGCACATCTTTTTAATAAAAATTTACCAGGATTTAAAGTCTTACAACCGTTGTACGTAACGTCAAACCGAGGGGCAGATGTATCACAGACAATTAAGATCGATGGAATAGGATACATAGTTAAAGAGTGATCCAAATCCCAGACAACTGGACGAATTGTCGTTAAAAATGGTGAAAGGTTTCCTTGATCAAGTAATGTCTTCACATATTTTCTTGATTGTTCTATCTCGGTAGGTAGTTGATGAGTATCCTTAATTAATTGATGAATGATAGTGGAATCGTTAATAGAGACATCTTCAAGCTGTCTTTCCAATTCATCTACATTTTCTTCTTTTTGTTCTTCAACCATTGGAAATATGACACTATGTCTCTTAAATCTATCGTCTAAGTCATCCCTTATGGTTATTATTTCTTGTGACATATATGCAATTCTTAATGGATTAGAACCCCAAACAACATTTTTACAGACTCTATTCATCTTTTGTTGAAAGTCTGTTGGTATAGGCCTTTGTGGAAAAAGATTGGCGCTACCCAGCGAACTAGTAGAACTCCAAGGGTCATTAACACCTGGAATAAACACAAACGTCGTTTCTTCTATCAAGTTTTTAAACTCGGACAATAATAATGCAAGGGTATCAAAGTTGTTTTTATATTGAGTTGTCGAACTAATCATCTTACTTGTCATTGACGAATAGACAGGTACTGTTGAAAAGGACCCATATAATAAGATCATTGTAGGTGGATCATCATTAATTTTGGTAAATACTTTCCTTAATGCATCCATAGTTTCCATTTGATTTAAGAATATATCACCACCAAGGATTATATATCTATGATATGCAAGGTCCTGCTCAAGATAATGTAACCTAATCTTTAAATCTCTACTTAATCTTGAGATATAATTTGGATTTGATAAGCCATTAATACCTAACAAATCAATATTACCGATGGATTCCATAGTAGTTTCTCTTCTTTCGCCAGGTGGTTGTGTCATAGATGTCACATGAAATTTGTTACCTACTGTAAAATATATACCTTCTGCTAATACAATACAACCAGGCACATAGTAGAGACCCTCTGTAGGAATAGCCTGTGAAATGTCAATTTCTGTAATGCCAGAAGGATCTTCAATGGTCCAATTCCCTTTTGAATTTTTTCTTAAGAGTCCCAAAATCAAGAAATTTTGACCATCTCTACCAAGTAAATTTTTAACAGGAGTTATAGACATAGATGAACCTGTCGAACTTGAAGGTCGGAAACCAGGTGTCAATTCTTTCTTTAAGGACATCATGGATGAAAGAGGGTTGTAAGCATCTGTGCTTTGGAAGGCCTCATTACGCATTATCCTATCTCTCACTAAGTAATATCGTGTAGAAAACATTCTAGTATTAGCGTTTACAGTGGGAAGTTTCAATTTGAAATTTTGTGGCGAATTTGTTCTATTTGATGGTGTGAAAATAAAATGCATCTTTAATGGATCATAAGAGAATTTTTGTAATTCTGTAGCATTAATAAACTTGAAATAGTCTCTCCAATTAAGTTCTTCCTTCGAGCCTTCTAAATTTGAGAGACTGGTTTGGTTATTATTTAATAACGGATATGAGGGATCAGCATCACCCATAGGTATATCATCTAAATCAGTGATATTATCCTGAGATAAATCAGGGATTACCATTGATGTGTTTGCTATCATAGATGATTCCATATCTTCATCGTTTTCATTCTCGTTAGGTAATGTATCAATTGGTTCAGGCGATTGATATATATGATTTTGTTCGATGTCTGAAGAATTGGATCCTGATGAGTTTATGGGTACCTCTGGGGACTTCTTTTTAGATAATTCTTGTTCATTATTATTTTTATTGTTGGAATTTAAATATTTGTCTAAATTATTCTTGTTATTATTATTCGAATTCTCAAATTCTCTATTTCTTGTAATTGTATTAATATTTCGAGACAATATTTTTTGCCTCTCTTGGATTTCATTGATAACCTGCTGAACCCCTTGGCCATCCACAAAGAGACCTCTTTCCTGTTGTTTCCATACAGTGGCAAAATTCTCAAGAAACTTTATCGTCTCTGGATTCTTCTTCCAATCGATGCCGAAGTTCTGTCCTATGAATTGAGCCAATGCAGCTAACCCATCAGATTTTATACTTAGACCATATTTTTTCGATAACGTACGATATGCCAGTGGTCTCAGATGTGCAGGTTGTATCTGGACTGGTAATGATTGACTAGTATGGAACATATGTACGTAGTTCAATTCGATATTTATGAGTGCGTTAATATAATCCTAAATTGTCTTAAAATATTCAGTGTAGATTATGTATGATCTCTGTTGAAACTAATAATAATAAAATAAATGCTTCTAAATGCAGTCTATCATATACTTATCTTCTGATAACGTAATATTATGACTCCATCAGCTTAATATTAGTAAAAAAAACCCTCTTTAAAACTAGATAGAAAAGCCTATTCAACTTAAAAAATGTCATCGAGACGTACTATATGGAATATTTGGCGTTTACGCGTTTGGCATTACTTCCAGCAGGCAGATCGAAATTTTTCAGTTTTTTTCTTTTTGGACAAAGAGCGAAACTGAAAGAGAAGAAGGGAGATCAAACAATAAAAAATAAAAAATAAACAAAATAAACAAGGTGAAATCAGAATTGGAACTACGTTCAACTAGGGAGAATGGGGCTTGAATTATTTATTGCCACCATAAAGATCTGAAAATAAATAGATCAACAGAATCAAGTACATTTAGAAGAAAGTATCTGTCCAGAGTTGTATATATAAGATACAACTACTTGTCTTTTGGTAATGGCATTGACAAGGGGTAAACGATTGCAAAGTGCAAACACCAGTAGAGCAGAACAAAGTATTATAGCCGATCGATCAGGAACTGACCAAACTCAGGACGTAAGCATGGACGTTGGTAATAGCAACATCGAGATTTCTGAATCCGGAATACATCCAATCGACACATCAGAAGTCGGTAATAGCTATTTGACAGGAACGAGTTCTAACAGTGGGATGTACGGTGAAAAAGGCGATTCAACTAGAAAACGTGGTAGGAATCAGGATTCGTATGATGAAAGTTACAGTTATATTGACAGTACTACAGATTCAATCGAACCTGATTTTAGTCAAAACATGAAGAACAACAGAGTACGTAGAAATCATGGAAGATTTCATTCATTATACAATTCTATTAAATCATTTTTCTTTACGTCAACCGAACCAAATCTGTCAATGAAGAGAAAATTAAGAAAGAAACGTAAATACTACTCTAAGGATCCTCAAAGTAGACATCTACATTCTCCAAAAAGTTTGAGACGTAGATCAGAAAATAATGTGTCTGGTATGAGAGATAAGAAATCAATGAGAGATCAAGTACTTCAAAGAGAGAGACAAAATAGAAACATGATCCAATCAGGTAATTTTGTTTCTCCGCCAGATGTGCAAAGGCGATTGACTTTAACTAATGATTCTTTGTCGAGTAAAGTTAATTTATTACAAAGACAATTAAATGCTGTAAGTGAGGATTTAAAATTTGCCAAAGAGAAGAACGCATTATTTGAGAAATTATTGGATGACGCTAATGTCGATAGATCATATGTCAAGTCTAGAAGAGATATACGAAACCTGGAGAAACGTAACATCAAACCGCAGGATGAATTGCCTCCATCACCTGAAAGAAAGGTAAATCCTTTAGTCACATCAAGTCCAATTCACAGAGTATCAACTGACCATACAGAAAGTAGAAACTTGAAATTAGCTCCTCCAAAGATTAATTTTTACAGCAAATACCCGACCATTCCTCGAACCGAATCTTTAGTCATGGGTGCAAACCTTGATCTAGGGCCAGATCATATCACAGACAATACTGAAAACAATAACGAGCCAGCCTAATAACCTTTTAATACATAATATCCATATACAATTAAATACATAAACAACATTATCAGCTACTATCAAAATAGGCAATGTATCCATGATGATACTTCTATTTTGTTTTCATCCATTGTTTAAACTGTTCGGTCTTATGACTATAAATTACCCTACATTGCTTCGCAAATTGAAAAATTGTTCGAACTTTGCGGGTCATACGATATCCAAAAATTTTAGTAGTAAAGAACCATTTTGACATCAAAATTGAGGATTTCAATAAGTGTGAAATGCTTTCGAAGAAAGGAGGTATTCAGGGTTAAGCTTTGATTTTTTTAAGAGAAGAACTATAATTGATAAAAGAAATATATATATATATATATATTTATCTCAATAAGACCAAAAATAAGGACCCTTTTTTTGTTCTTTATATGGTATCCGGACTTCTTTTAAAATAATATCATTATTAATCACCACTTTCTCTTTAATTTCAAGATATAGGGTATTTTCACATAATTAACCTCATAATTGAAACCTATTAATAGAGTATAACACCTGAACAAATGAGCACTGGTGATTTTCTTGCAAAAGGTATAGACTTGGTTCAAAAAGCTATTGATTTAGATAGTAATACAAAGTACGAAGAAGCGTATACAGCATATTATAATGGTTTGGATTATTTGATGTTAGCCCTTAAATATGAAAAGAATCCTAAATCTAAGGATCTTATAAGAGCTAAATTTAGTGAATACTTGAACCGTGCTGAACAATTGAAGGAACATTTGGAAAAGGAATCACAAAATAGTATCGGCAGTGGTAGTAGTATTAACAATGGAGATAAAAGTCATGACAGCTCTACAGGGAAAAAAATTTCAAATAATAATGACGAAGAAGCTGAAGATAGTAAAAAACTACGAGGTGCATTAGCAGGAGCCATTTTGAGTGAAAAGCCAAACGTTAAATGGGAAGATGTTGCAGGTTTAGAAGGTGCCAAGGAGGCTCTAAAGGAAGCTGTTATTTTACCAGTAAAATTCCCACATTTATTTAAAGGTAATCGTAAACCAACATCAGGTATTTTATTATATGGTCCTCCTGGTACAGGTAAATCTTATTTGGCTAAAGCAGTTGCCACAGAAGCAAATTCCACCTTTTTCAGTGTGAGTTCTAGTGATTTAGTCTCAAAATGGATGGGTGAATCTGAAAAATTAGTGAAACAATTATTTACCATGGCTAGAGAAAACAAACCATCGATTATTTTCATTGATGAAGTTGATGCCCTTACGGGGCAGAGAGGTGAAGGTGAAAGTGAAGCCAGTCGAAGAATCAAGACAGAATTATTGGTTCAAATGAATGGTGTTGGGAACGATGCTCAAGGTGTTCTCGTGTTGGGTGCCACAAATATCCCATGGCAATTGGATAGTGCTATTAGAAGAAGATTCGAAAAGAGAATATATATTCCATTACCAGATGTTGCAGCAAGGACAAAAATGTTTGAAATTAACGTTGGTGATACTCCATGTAGTCTAAGTAAGGATGATTATAGATCGTTAGGTCAAATGACTGATGGTTATTCTGGTAGTGATATTGCAGTGGCTGTAAAAGATGCCTTAATGCAACCTATAAGAAAGATCCAAAGTGCAACCCACTTTAAAAATGTTTCTGAAGATTCTGATACTAAATTATATACACCTTGCTCCCCTGGAGATCCAGAGGCAGAAGAATTGAGTTGGATAAGTATAGAGGCTGATGAATTAAAAGAACCAGAATTGACAATTAAAGATTTCTTAAAGGCAATTAAAACTACCAGGCCTACTGTTAATGATGAGGACTTGCGTAAACAGGAAGAATTCACTTCAGACTTTGGTCAAGAAGGTAATTGAGAATTCTAATATTAAACTTTTAAAGTAATGTAATTGTAACATATAAATAGAAAACGTACAGCAAAAATATTGCGGTCCCTTCATTATACACTATAAGCATATTATCAAAACGCATATATTTTGTCTAATGAATTAATTTTAACGATACATAATATGTATTATATACAATCGGTATATGACACAAAATATTACAAGAGATATAATATTATCACCAAACTGGTAAATGCACATGTGGTTATATATCTTGAAACAATCATAAAAAACAACTTATCAAAATATATATTTCACTTATATATATTTGTATTATTTTCATTGTCTGTAACTTTTGCACTTTCAATCTTCACCTTAACAATGACGGTTTTATCACTATCAATAAACACTTTTGCATCTGGGTTAGTCTTCAATAAAATATCTTTATAGTAGAGTGACTCCTCACTACCAGGATCGATTGGCATAGCCTCACCTCTAATGGTAGCACTCATTTCATTTAGTTCTGCTTGATTTAATTGTTGTAAAAGGTTCAATAATTTACTTGGATGTTGTGGAGCCGAGGCAGTAGCCGAAGGGGTAGATTCTTTTTCTTGCATTGGTGTACCAGAACGAGATAAACTATTCTTTTTAACAGAAAGGTTGTTGGCTGTAACCCAGTCATGGAACAATAAGGATACCGTTGGATTACTTAAAATATTGATATATTTTTCAGTGTTATTGAACGTTGCAAAAATGATAAAACAATCCTTTTGATCAGGTGAACTCCTAAAAGTCTTATCTGCAGGGATGTATGTATAGTTCATTAATGACACAGATGGGACACAATCTGTTGAAGCAGTAGCCAGGTGGACATATTTAGATGTTTTAATAAGGTTTATTAAATGGTTTGGGAATTTTTCAGTACAGGACATTTTGCATATATTTGTAATGTAGTCAACTTTTTTGAAGATAATCTTATGAATACCGCCAAAATATATTAAAGAATAACGATATTCTAACCTTCCCCCTCTATTTATATTAATTAGTATATTTATTCTGGATTTCATCTTCTTGCCTTATTATGTAAGCAAAATATATTTGAAAAATTAGTACCGAATCCGAGAGTGTAGGAAAATAGATTACGTACTCGATATAACAGGGGGCAGAAGCTGCCCGCCGTTAGTTTATACAGACAAATTACTTGAAATATTAGCGATTTTAGCGATGCCCTTTTTATACTGTCAAAGTAGTTATTACTTGAAGTAGAAAGTATGATCAGGTGTGAAGAAAGGGAACAATATATACTTAGCGTGTATGACACAGGGATGTCGACTCAGTCTTCAATTGCACTACTAGAGACTCTAGATAATATTAATTTCAAAGAATCACATTAAAGAAGATTCTCATTTATGGTATTGTTACATTGAAAAGTACCAGATTATGTACAAAATTATAATGATGAGTATAATTCATCTTCGTTTATATATGTATATATAGGGAACTTAGGTATCTGTAATGAGCCTTAATTCAATTATATTTTTGAAGGTAACTTTCTTTTTGGTCCCTTCGCACGTGCTTTAGTTACATGAACTAGTGGAGTAGATTTAGAGGGTGTTGAAAGTGTTGTTCTGGTGCGTCTCATAGGAGTCGGTTGGCTAGGAGAGTTGGAACCGTTGAATGTTTTCCTTTGGTGTAATGCCATCACAGTTTCCAACTGAACATTAATTGGTTGCTTAGATGGGTTTTGTGGTGCTTTTGATTCATTACTTTGTGATTTAAGTTGATTAACCCTCTTCAACGCTTCCGGTAACGAAATTTTTCGTTCAGGGACTGCAGGAGCAATTTTGGCTCTTGTTAAATTATTCTTTTTCATTAAAGCTTCTGGAATAGATGTCGAGAAATCTTTAGAGTTGGGATCACTGTTATCTATATTTGTTTTCTTTAATGATTTAGCATTTACTAATGCTTCTGGGATCGTTGGCTTACGTTTAGGTACATCTGGTCTGTTAGACTTCTTACCTTCATCAATAGAATCTGGTTGATTTTTATCTATTGATCTCAATTTTGGTAATTCCAATTTATGTTCATTTTCTACTGATTTCTGAGCTTTTGTTGCAGGTGATTTATTTTGAATAGGTTTTAAGATAGGAAGTTTGATCTTATTATTCTTTATTGGTACTTTTGGAGGAATCTTTGTTACAGAACTGTCCTTTTGATCTTTTCCGATTTTAAAAGATTTCAGACTTGCCTCTTTCTCTTCATTTTTTGAGTCGGAAGAAGAATTAATATGATCATTTGTGAATTTCTGAGGTTTCGAAGGTAATGTAGGTTTATCTTTCACAACAGGTGGACCCACTTTCTTCGCACTCTTTAAATTAGAATTTAGAGCAGAATTGATAAAACTTTCTGATCTAGGTAATTTACTGATCCTTGTTTTTATTGGGGAGGGGGTTTGACTATTACTTGGTGATACCTGTGGTGAAGGAGATTTCATCTGAACAGAATCTAAATAATCTAACCCTTGTAATTGTGCTTTTTTCTTAGGGGTATCAGGTAATTTTCCATGAGTTTCACTTAATTTATTTTGACTCAATGAGTCCAAGAAAGTAGTGGTGTCATTTGATTTTCTGGAAGTCGGAGGTACGGGAGATAATGATGAATTAGTGCTTCTGATTGAATTTGTTATAGGAGATTTCAGTGATTTATTTGCCGGTTTTATGGATTTGACTGAAACGGTATCCATTGACGGTGGAGTATTACTTTCTGAAAGTGATATGAGATATGCTTCCTCATCTATTAATTCAATTGCGGACATTGGCTCAGGTGCAATATTTTTGATTGTATCTTGCTCCTCTTTTTCATTTAATTCACTTGTCATAACAGGTATTCTAGGTTTATTTAAAACTGGTTTGGATTTAATGGCAGGTGGAAGTATTTTTATTTCTTGTTCAGGAATTTTTGTGCTCCTTGCATGAGCTCTTGAAGGTAGAGATGGCTTATCCATTTCATCCCCTGAATCTCCATCGTCATTTTTGTATTCATGTATATATGAACGGTTGCCATTAGGCCTTGTTGGTAGTTGTGGGGGAGGTGAAGAATTTCTTTCATCATGGATTCTGTTGAATCTTCTAATATATACATCATTGTCTTCATCGTCTTCATCGTCACGGGATTCAGGCCCTCTTGTTTCCCTCCGAGATCTTCTTGGGGGTAGAGAAGGTGTATCCATGTCAATATCTACATCATACTGTATTTTCACATTATTAGCCCTTGGCTTACCTCTTGTGGGCATTGTTTTTTTCCTTGGTGAAAATGCATCTTTGCCGGGAGTTTCACTTGAAGATGAAGTAACCTTTGGCGGTATTTCTTGTCTAGGTTTCACTCCTTTGCTTAACTCCTTATCCTTCTTCAGCCTCTGTAATAACAAAAAATCTTCTTTTGAAACAGAAAAGGACATACTGTCGTCCTCATTTTGAGACTTTCTTGGTGGAAGATATTCTCGTGTTTCGTCACGTTCAAGATCTAATTTATCGAGAGAATAATTCTTTTTTTTTGGAGAGAATGTCTTCTCATAATTGTATGCAGATTTAAACGTTAAATCATCCTCGCCATTATCATTATATTCGGATCCGTCAACTACCATCTCTTCATTAAACTCAATCATATCACTACCGTGAAGAATCTTCCTTGCTTCCTTCAGATCACTTTCATTGAATTGATTTCTCTGTGATGTCAATCTAGGTTTAGGTTTCAGAGCAGGTGGCCCATTATTACGTTTTTGTTTTCTTTCATTGTCTATTTCATGAGTCCTCCTTAGAAAATTATCTAATTCTGGATCATTGCGTATTTTGGTATCATTCATTATTAATAGGATTATCGTAACATAAAATGGGCCCAGTTGTGCTCTATAATTGTGCAGGTACCGTTATACTTGTCAAATTATGAAGGGTATGCTCAAAGTTTGCTTTGTTTACATAACTGATTACATAAATCCAGATCAAGCTGTATTGTCTGTTTTTGTTATTTTTTTACCTTGACGGGAAGCTGAAAAATAAAAATTAGAACTATAAAGAGTCTGTTACTAGAACAAGAATATAATGGATAACTTCAGAATATATATGTGTATAGAATGGGAATATTTGCTACTGTCCTCGTACTGAAAAATGTCAAATAAAAGATATTATGAATAAAATGCTATTGTGCCATTGAAAAAATACCTGCAATGATATCTTCTTCTTCTTGAATAACTTTTGTAACAACTTAAATTCTTATAAGCTTTTAAATTGGAAATTATGTAATGTTTCTGTTTTTGGCAGTAATATTTATTTGTTTGTTTGTATATAATTATGATGATAAAATGATGTAGTTTAATATGATATAAATGTATTTCTCGAAATAGCAGCAAGATTTTAGGAAAAAAAAAGTCTAAAGATTAATGGAAAATAATTGATTCATAAAAATGTGAATACAAATGTATATATATGATTATGCTCCAATCATATTTTATAATCTCTTAAAATTCTCTTTAGGTTTCTTTCACCTTAGTTCGATGGCGGGTTGTTTAGCGATTAGGTATGCTTGGAATCCACAGAATACAAAAAACCCTAAATACACCAATGCAGCCAAGTAAACAGTATGTGCAACTGCAGGTCCATCCACAGGGTCATTTATGGAACCAACGAATGATTCGTGGCCAACGTTAAACAAATGTGCTATCACAGATAAAATTACTACACCGAATGCAGACAATACGGTACAGAACCAGGCTTTACCTCCCTATAAATAATAATAATAAATAAATAACCCTCGTAAATTGTACAATTAAGCATAATTCATCCAGATATAGTATTATTCTGTTAGTAAAATAAATAATTCAATAATCATATTATAATGAAAAGTAGTTCAATATCCTCCTCAATAGAATAAGGAGAATCTCAACGAAGGACTGAGAGTGCCATTCTCAAACATTGAGATTCCACCATATTTTCCAATTTAATAACATACAGAAACAACAGGTCTCATTTTATATATTAATTTGTATAATTTATTTTTATTCTTTACAGCAAAATATGCTCTCCTAAATTATAATAATACTGGCAACGGTTTAAAATTATTTTTCTTAAAACCAACAATCGAGTATTCTATATCGTCTATGATATATCCTTTGAACTTATAACAAATCAAACACCTTCAAACGTTTTGTAATTGTCTCAATATAGAGGTAAGTATATGAAGAATAGATTTAAATAATCATCATTTTTCATTCTTGCAGCACTTTTTTTAATATTTAATGGCTGCACCGCATACAACTCTTTTTTTGTCAATGGAAGAGAAACAACGCACAAATTGCGCTATGTAGTCTATCTGATATAAAAAGGTCATTTTATGGCTGAAATGACCATCAATGTATCTTACTTCCAGGCTCAATGAACAAGGGTCAACAGCATAATTATACTTAGGAATAATAATCACTCTAATGGATAGTAGTTTAGAAGGTGTACTTTTTAGCTAGTATAATGCTTTTTTGGCTCATATTGGAAGTCACAATAATATAGGCGAGCTGAATATATATTTGAAGTGCAGCGGTAACTATTAAGGGAAGATAAAGATTTATTTAATTTATGATATCATGTTTTATTTTATTTCGTATAGAGAGGTTTAATTCCATGGGATTTTTAAGACGCCTTTCAAAACCATGATGTTTGTTATCGAACGTGAGACTGCTATCTTACAATTCACAACAACAATATTGGGATGCAATTAAATTATTTATTTTCCCTCTGCTGATCCACACTTTTTTATTTTATACAATCAAGAATAAAACATATTACCAAGGTAGAAAAATAATCTGATACATGAACGTTGTTATATGATTATCTTCTTTGTATACCTATTTTTAAAGGTAAAATTGTGTCATTTATTTGAAGGAGAAAAATAAATGACAGAAAAAAGGTAAAATTTGGGATCTCATCTCAGGTAAGGTTATTCCTTGCTATACTTTTTTTCACATTGACAAATGGATTTTTTTTTTTACCCACCCTTTTAAGAAATGTCCAATCTTTAATGTTTTCATTATCAAAAATTAAGATTTTTTGTTTACTGTGTTTAGTTATTACTGTGAATTATGGCACTTTGTTGTAGTTATGTAAGGAATATTTTTACCCATTTCACATATTATGAGAGCTAGCTAAAGAAATTTCAGGGTTCATAATTTTTGAAAATTATCAATAACCCCAAATGAAGGTAATTTATACTAAACAGAACAATTTATTTTAATATAAATATGATGCTTAATTATTAATTTCTAAAGTATTATTAATCCAATACTCTTAACTTTTAGTAATATTGCTTGTTAAAGCTTACAGGAAGAGGATTACATATTTCATTACTACTGTCACAGTATCGATATACTTTACTAATTAGCATACTTTAGTGCTACAAAAAAAAGAAATAATGACTGAAAAGGTTATACCAGTTGAGTCAGATTTAGCACCAACTAATACACATATTTCCCCTAGCAGTTCAGTTTCAACCGCAACGATAGCTAGCCCACGTGAAAAAGATGAGCCTTCCCCCATTGAGTCATTTACTGAGGAGGTGTCAAATGCATTTTTATTAGGAAATGAGGACAGTATAGCCTCTTTAGATAGTACACTATCATCTTCTGATTCTTCTGATTCTTCGGACGAAGAAGATGATATCAATGCTTTAATTAGTGAATTACAATCTAATCAAGATTCTGAAGAAGAGTTAGATTTCGAAGATAACACTGCTACTGTTGGTTCTAGAGTTGTACCGGAAGAACTGCTACAGACTGATATTAGCATTGGACTGACATTGGATCAGGTGTTTCAAAGAAGAAGAAAATACGGGGTTAATCAGATGACAGAAGAAAATGAATCATATATCATTAAATTTTTTAAATTCTTCTTGGGTCCAATTCAGTTTGTTATGGAAGTTGCAGCTATTTTAGCGGCAGGTCTATGTGATTGGGTCGATTTTGGTGTTATCTGTGGATTATTAATATTGAATGCATGTGTCGGTTTTATTCAGGAATATCAAGCTTGCTCGATAGTAGATGAGTTGAAAAAGACCTTAGCAAAAAGCGCTATTGTGTTAAGAGAAGGTGATCTAATGGAAATACCCTCTGATGAGATTGTTCCAGGTGACCTAATGCAATTAGAGGACGGCACAATAGTTGCTGCAGATGGTCGATTGGTAACTGAGGGTTGTTACCTACAAATTGATCAGTCTTCTATTACAGGAGAATCCTTAGCTGCAGATAAGCGCTATGGGGATCACGTCTTTTCTTCGTCAACTGTCAAGAGAGGGGATGCATTTGTGATTGTTACATCAATTGGTGATAACACTTTTGTTGGTAGAGCTGCAGCTTTAGTGAACAAAGCATCTAATACAGAGGGACACTTTACAGAGGTTTTAAACGGTATTGGTATTATTCTTCTAATTCTTGTTATCATCACATTACTATTGGTTTGGACATCATGTTTTTACAGAACCAAACCTATTGTTGCAATATTAAGATATACCCTTGGAATTACTATTATTGGAGTTCCAGTTGGTTTACCAGCGGTTGTGACAACTACTATGGCTGTTGGAGCAGCATATCTGGCCAAGAAGCAAGCTATAGTTCAAAATTTATCAGCCATTGAATCATTAGCAGGAGCTGAAATTTTATGTTCTGATAAGACAGGTACCTTGACTAAAAATAAATTATCATTGCACCATCCATATACTTTTGAAGGTGTATCATCTGACGAGTTGATGTTAACCGCCTGTTTAGCTTCCTCGAGAAAGAAAAAAGGTTTAGATGCCATAGATAAAGCATTTTTAAAGGCATTAGTTCAATTCCCGACGGCTAAAAGTCTACTGACTAAATACAAAGTCCTGGAGTTTCATCCATTTGATCCTGTTTCAAAGAAGGTTACTGCCATAGTAGCAACACCTTCAGGTGAGAAAATAACATGCGTAAAAGGTGCTCCGTTGTTCGTGTTAAAAACTGTTGAAGAGGATCATGCCATCCCAGAAGAAATATTAGAAGATTATCATACTAAAGTCGCTGAACTTGCTTCTAGAGGTTTCCGTGCTATGGGTGTTGCTAGAAAAAAGGAAAAACAACATTGGGAAGTACTAGGTATTATGCCTTGTATGGATCCACCTCGAGACGATACAGCTCACACAATTGTTGAAGCTAAGCGACTAGGTTTGCGAATCAAAATGTTGACCGGCGATGCAGTTGGGATTGCTAAAGAAACATGCAGACAACTAGGTTTGGGTGATAACATATACAATTCTGAGAGATTGGGTCTTGGTGATGGTGATGCAGGTATGCTCGGCTCTGAACTTGCCGATTTCGTAGAAAACGCAGATGGGTTTGCTGAAGTATTTCCTCAACATAAATATAAGGTTGTTGAAATACTTCAAAATAGAGGATATTTAGTAGCGATGACCGGTGATGGTGTAAATGATGCGCCATCTTTAAAAAAGGCAGACGCTGGTATTGCAGTAGAAGGTTCCACCGATGCAGCTAGATCAGCTGCAGATATTGTCTTTTTGGCTCCTGGCCTATCTGCAATAATTGATGCTTTGAAAACTTCTAGACAAATCTTTCACAGAATGTACGCATATATCGTATACCGTATTGCACTTTCGATCCATCTAGAAATTTTCCTTGGTTTATGGATTGCTATACTGGATAATAGCCTTAGCATAGAACTTATAGTATTTATTGCCATATTTGCTGATGTAGCAACATTAGCTATAGCATATGATAGAGAACAATATTTAACGGTACCAGTAAAATGGAATCTTCCTCGCTTATGGGGTATGTCTGTTGTACTAGGTGTAATTCTAGCAATTGGGAGTTGGATTTGCGTCACGACTATGTTTTTGCCTAGAGGTGGAATAATTCAAAATTTTGGTTCTATTGATGGGGTCATGTTTCTTCAGATATCTCTTACTGAAAACTGGTTAATATTTATTACAAGAGCTGTAGGTCCATTCTGGTCGTCTATGCCTTCCTGGCAGTTAGCAGCTGCTGTTTTTGCTGTTGATATCATTGCAACTATTTTTTGTTTATTTGGTTGGTGGTCACAGAACTGGAATGATATTGTGACAGTTGTAAGGGTATGGATTTGGTCACTGGGTGTATTTTGTGTTCTAGGCGGTGCATATTTCTTAATGTCTGAGTCAATTCTGTTTGACAAATTGATGAACGGTAAACCTCTTCAAAAAGAGACAGTACATAACAGAACGTTCGAAGATTTTGTTGTTGCTATGAAGCGAATGTCTACGAAACATGAAAAGGAGGAATGATAATAAGTTTATTATTATTATTATTATTTAAGAGAATCTGAGATAGAGTTTTCCATTCTATTAGTCTCTGCAACTTTTGATTTTTTTAATTCGGACATTTTATAATACGATAATTGATCCGTCTCTTTATATTATACATAAGTTACATATTAAAGAACATTTAATATTTTATATGTATTTGTCGGAAATATATTATAAGAATGATAACGACCAAGGTTAATCCCTCGATGATCTGATAATAGGTTAATCCCTCAACAACTTACTAATAGATTACTTACGTCACCGTTGAGTGAATTTATAATCACTACAACAAGAAATCCAACATATATAAATGGAACAATATTTCATTTATGAATATAATTATTTCCATGATTTACTTTTTATATTTTTATATAAGATAAAAAAGATCAGACGACTATAAGTTGATTTTATAATATAATAAAATTTGTTCAGTTAAATAGAAGACGTCTTCTATTTAATTTTACCATCAGTATTATACTAAGAGCTTCTTTTTATATCAATGAGTAAATGTGAATAAAGGATTTTCTTTACTGTTAGAAATTAAGAGTAATATGCACAACACTTAATTTCAATAGGTAAAGAAATACCTTTATGACAGAGAATATCTGGAACCAAGATATCTAAAACGTCCTAATAAGAACTAAACATTTATTAAGTAATAGTCGTTTAGGTCATAATCGTTTAGGTCATAATCGTTGAGTAATAAGTTCATTACTTAACAATCGTTTAGGTAACAATCGTTTAGATAGCAAGAAGAAATGATATATCGGTAAAATTAAATAATATATAAAGACAAAGAATTCTGAACTTACATTGGAAGTTAGATTCTATTCGTTCTATAAATTATATATAATATAAAGAGACGGATCAATTATCGTATTAAAAAATGTCCGAATTAAATAAAGTAAAGCTTGAAGAGACTAATAGAGGCAAACACTCTATCTCAGATTCTCTACATTTACCTATATTAAAATTAAGGGAGTTATATTACCCTTAATTTCTGATAACCTATTACTGTTAATTTCTGACAATTATTATAATGAAGAATTATAATTTTGTAATAACCAATGTATACTGAGGTTTGTTTTATTTAACTTTTGTAGCTCTCACTAAAGTTTTATATTTTCAAATTTAATATATGCTTTGAAACAATTGTAAAATTCGATCTCCAAACTTTAATCTATCGAAAATATATTATAACAATGATGTTGAAATGTAGCGGTAGCACTAAAAGAACCACTTATTCTAACTTTATATCTATACAATGTTCCTTATATATACTTACTTTATACAACATAAAATAAACCACAAGATTATATATTTGAATGTCTATAACTATGTCCGATAATTTCAACTCGAATGCTAATCGTATATTCTCGATTTCAAACTTACGTTTACAAGTTGCCTCTGTTTAACATCATTTACCATTTTTCAAGAATGTTTAGTAAGAATACTATCAATATTTGATAGACTGGCTGCCTTTCCAAAAAGTATAAAAGGACCACATATGCTAACTTTAAATATATAATCTTCCGTATATAAACTTACTTTATAAAACAAAAAGAAACAACGATTATTGAAATAAGTTCTAATTAGTTAACAACATAGTAATAGTAATTAAATATAACTGTCTGTTATATTTTTGTCTTCAACCATCAGAGATCCCAATACAACAAATTACATTAAAATAGATCCCTTGGCCCAGTTGGTTAAGGCGTGGTGCTAATAACGCCAAGATCAGCGGTTCGATCCCGCTAGGGATCAATTTTTTGCAGCAGAAACAACTGCTTATCACATTTCTCGAGTGTTTGACTATGTCGCGCCTGAGCTGAAACATATTGCTTACACTATATCGATATTTCGAGATGAAGTACATTTTTTTTTGCCTAACTAGTTTAATTTTGTAAAAAACAATTGTGCAGGCCAAATATTTTTCCTTTATGAAAGTAGATTGGAAAAATTAAATGGTAAAGCCTGAGTGACTATTCTCTCTCTTTTTAAAATTATGAATTCTCTTTATAATGAGATATACATTTTCATAGCCATTTTCATATTAATTATTAAATTGATCTAATAAACTAATTCTTTGAATGTTCTCCAAACTTTAAGATAAAGGTTTTCTTGCCTAATCAAAAATTTCTTTTGGCGACACTTTAATATTTTAAATATCTTCCATTTTAGTATTAATTTTATGTTAGCTATATCTCTTGTATTACAGAATAGAGATAGCCTATTTTTTGGATTTCTCTAATTAATATATTAGAAGGGGTATGTTTATTTTAGAAAAAGAATTAAATGTTTTTCAAGATTATTTCTGTTAAGTTTACATATCAGGCATATCTAATTCTTCCAAATATGTACATATACAAATACATATGAAACTATAATCATCTACAAATAATTATTCCGAAGAGGCTTCTCTTTTGAGATTTTATGTCACGATCGAAAAGTAAAATCCAACAGATTAGAAAACCGGTATTTGTCTAGTTGGATAACGTAATTGGTAGTTATAGTTTTATGGTTTCAAATGTTTTAGAGGTATAATCGTTATATAAAATATATATATATTAAAACACTTAAAATTCACTTAACCGATCCGTCTTTCAACATATGACGAAAATACCGAAGAATTACTCTACCGAATGTGATGGAGTATCCATATCAGTTCCTTTCAAGGTATCATTATGCAATTAAATATAATATCAAAATGGGATTCTACATTTACAAATCGTCAAATTTAGTTATACCATGAGAGTCGTTATATGTTCTCTTTTCTTGTTTTATTTTCTTGTTCTGTTTAGCATTCTCAGCTTTTGTTTTTCTCTTTTTGTTTTTACAAGTAGAATTATCTTCAACGGTTTCTGGAATTTCCTCACTGTTGCTGTCATCGTCATTTATTAGATCTTTATCAAGTTCAGCAATTAACTCTTCTCTTGACAGACCAGATAGTTCTTTTTCATCGTCAGAAACATCATCTAAATCAGATACAGAGTCGTTCTCAGAACTTGACCCCAAATCTGATACATTCTCATTTTCATCAGAGTCCAAATCATTCCCTTCTCTATTTTGAGACTCCCAAATTTTAATATTATCCATACCACCCGACACTAGTCTATAATCATAATCTAAATCCAAAAATTGAACCTCATCGACTGAATTATGTGTTCTAATCTCTGATATCCTACTACCTTTAATGTCAACTTTATATAGTTTACCATTGGAGCAGCCACACCATACACAATTATCGTCTTGTAATGTTGGTACGATACATTCCACACTGTCATCTTTTGTAATCTTAATTCTTGATAATTGATCCTCTAAATCATTCTTTTTAGGTTTCCATATGGTTACAACCCCTTCACCCATACCACAAACAACAGTATCACCTTCTTCAGGATCAAGAAAGGTTCCACATAAAATTTCATCTTCTTGGTCATCACTGTAGACTACATTTCTTTTCATTTCATCTGTTTCAGTAGAGTCATTTTCGTTGCTATTCCTACAATCCCAGTATGCAAGAGTAGTTTCACCTACAGAAATGAATTTATATACCGATCTCTTAGCGAAGTTGAAAATATCATTGATAGAGTCACCTCCATGGATTCCTTTAATAACATTTAGTAATTTGAATGTTTTTGTATCTAATGTATAAATATTACCAACTTCGTCACCTAGTAGCAGTATTGGATGAGTTGATGATACAACCATTTTACTAAACTTATGATTATTATTCTGAATATTAGTCTTTTGTAATACCTTACCTGAAAGTACATCAGCCTTCTTCAAAATATTATCAGTACCAATGGAATAAATAAATTTTCCGGTTGGATCCATTGAAATGCATCTAACACTACCTTTATGACGTCTAGTCTTCCACATTAACGTAACTGTGTCATTATCTGCTTGAGTAGTTCCTTCATCTTGGGATACATTAACCATTTTCCAAAAGACTTCATTTTTCTCACCAGTATTTTCATCTGTTAATTTGAATGCCTTTTTATGTTCCTTCAAATATGTGACTAGTGCCTCAGGGTTATATCTATAGCAATATATGTATCCATTAGATAGACCAACGGCAATGATAGGTTCTTCTGGATGAGAAGCCATTTGAAATAATGGTTCATCGAATTTGAATTCTAACAGAGGTAATGCATCAGATTCCTTTAGAACCTCATTCTTTTTATTTTTTGAATTTTTTTTAGCCATTTTGAACTCTATATTGCCTTATTGATCAGTTGGTTCGATATGAATTCAATTATCTTATTGATAACAAGATGTTATTTAAATACTGATTGTCTCATCTCATCTCATCTCATCGCAAAATATATGATTAAATGATAATTTTTCAAAAATTTTCAGGTTTTCCATCTGCACAAATATCGCTTGGTACGAAAATACCACATAATACTTAATTGAATTAAAATAAGACAGTCTATTTACTATACTTATTCTAACTCCCCTTCAAGAAAAGATATAACATAGAACATGTCCGTTTTTCCAACTTTGGGAGTTGATTACATTTTTGAATTCCAGTTTTACTGGAAAACCCAATACTGGCTGATATACCAAACTTCCATTAACAATATCACCACATTGATTATAATTTTTTTAGGATGTGCTTACTCAATTTTTATTATTAAATACTACGGCTAAGTCAATAACAGGTCTTATATTATCTTTGAGACACTCAATCTTCTTGCGTATCTCGAGTAGTTATGTCGAACGTGACACTTGTTGTGTCACAATATCGTATTCATCACTGTAATAAGGTTAAAAAAATAAACAGCACAATTGCACGTGATTCTGTACAAATTATGTGGCATTTTTATCCACTTATCTGTGTTCCACCTAAATTATAAATGACAGAGATGGCATACTAACCTCAATTTATAATATGTGATTTGCTTGTTAACTTAACGATTAATCAAATGAGAGTGCGTATGTGGCAACAGAAGCATTCAAAGTTGTTTTGAAATAATGTTTGATGAATTATGCATCTTATATATATATATAACGGAGATCTCTCATAACGAATAGGAATGTGGTAACTATGATTTGATCAATCATAAGTATCATATATCTATAATATATTGCATTGTGTCTCCTATCCTATATATAAGAATGTCAAAAGTGTATCAATTGAACAATAATATTACAGTGACGGAAGAACAATTAAATCATTGGAATAAATTCTTGGGCACTCTAAGCACACCACAAGAAATTCTAAGATGGGCAATTATTACATTCCCTAATCTCTTCCAAACTACTGCATTTGGCTTAACTGGGCTTGCTACCATAGATATGCTATACAAGATTCATTCACAGGATGAACAATACCCATTGGTACCTTTGATATTTATTGATACATTACATAACTTCCCTCAGACATTAGATCTATTGAAGGTTGTCGAGACGAAATATTATCAACCACTAGGCCAATCAATCAATGTAGTTAAACCTACCGGTTGTTCTGATGAAGCTGAATTTGCTAGCAAATACGGTGATTTATTATGGGAGAAAGATGAAGATAAATATGATTTTCTAGCTAAAGTGGAACCTGCTAGTAAAGCTTATAAGGAATTAAGTGTTACTGCTGTTTTCACTGGTAGAAGGAAATCTCAAGGTGCATCTAGATCAGAATTAAATTTTGTCGAGATTGATACGTTGAATCAAATTATTAAGATTAACCCTCTGATGAATTGGACTTTCAATGAAGTTCAATCATATATTAACGAGCAAAATGTGCCCACGAATGAATTATTGAAGTTAGGTTATAAATCTATAGGTGACTACCATTCTACGCAACCCGTTAAAGAAGGTGACGATGAAAGAAGTGGTAGATGGAAAGGTAAAACGAAAACTGAATGTGGGATTCATGAAACAAGTAGGTTTGCTCAATTCTTAAAGGAGAAAAATGCAACTGCATCCCAATCAAAAGCCTAGACTAATTTCAACGTTTAAACATAGACATATAAAGATATAGATTTGTAATTAAACATACATAGTAATAATTATCATAACTAGCAGAGAAGGTTATTCATTAGTTCAAATGGTGACGTTAATGATCGTTATACACGTTTATTCTATTACGCCTAAATAATTATTGTCTCGGGCTCGGGTTCTAAGAAAACCGACAAAAAAACTTAATAATCAAAATATAATTACTATTAAATATATCAAAATATAACATAGAAGGGAACAGTTTGCTGTATATGCACCTGTTTGAAGAATTAAAATAGAGAGGTAGAAGACACAGTACCAAACAACTTCCTCTGTATTATATTGTTTGAGTAACAAATATATATACCAATAATATAATGGGTAACTTTAGATTTCCTGTAAAGACGAAACTTCCTCCTTGGTTCTTAAATGCTAGAATCATTAGAGATAATTTTAAGAGACAACAAGCAGCTGAGAATGAAGTCACTGTGAAAGCATTAAAATATATTGCCAGAAATACTGTCCTACCACCAAAGACCCGTTTGCAGGCCCAATTACAATTGAACATCATGCCTAAATATACCAAAATGACTCAAGTGAAGAACAGATGTATTGCATCTGGTACAGCCAGGGCTGTGATAAGTGATTTCAGACTATGTAGAACTCAATTCAGAGAAAAGGCTCGTGCCGGTGAGTTACCTGGTGTTAAGAAGGGTGTGTGGTAGAAAGAACACATGTATTATATTCCAGCTGAGCAGACCTTCTTTTGTTTGTTAATAATATCATTCCTTAATCCATACTCTAGACGATTACAATTTCATTTTGTAAATAGTGATTGTTTTCATGTACATACACACATACGTAACATATATTGTATAATTACAATACAATAATTCAAACTTCGAACAATTATTATATTTCATTAAATACTTTTTGTTATTATTATTTTTATTGTTATTACAATGAATTATATATCTATATATACAATTGTATATCCTCAATCATCAAAAGCTTCGTAAAAACGAGAAATATTTGAATTGTATCATAAAGAAAGGCTTTTTAAATATATATATATATATATATATATATATTTCATCACAGAAGAGACTAAATATAACGACGACATTGCTTTCCTTTTCTTCTTCTTCTTCTTCTTCTTCTTCTTCTTCTTCTTTTCATTTTAAATTATTTCTTTTCCCCAACACACATATACGCTTATAATAGAGTACACTTTCTCTTCTTCTTCTTCTTATCAGAGTTTGAGTTTTTCTTAGTTTTCCCATTAGTCTTTGACTTACCCATCAATGAAGCTCTTGTAGCTGCTTCAAAGACTTCTCTAACCCCAAATCCTGTCTTTGCAGAACATTCATAGTAACCTGTAGCACCGATTTGTTCTGCTACAGCTTGACCATCAGTAGTAGATACTGGTTGTTGACCTACTTCTCTTAGAGCCTCCATCACTTGCCCATCGTTTCTTAGATCCACTTTACAACCTACCAGGATGATTGGAACACCTTGACAGAAATGTAATACTTCTGCAATCCATTTTTCTTGAACGTTCTCCAGAGAATCAGGTAAATCAATAGAAAAACAAATTAAGACAACGTTGGAATCTGGATAAGATAAAGGTCTTAATCTATCGTAATCTTCTTGACCGGCAGTATCCCATAGAGCCAATTCTACACGACGACCATCGACTTCGACGTCAGCCACGTAGTTTTCAAACACGGTTGGAACATAAACTTCTGGGAATTGACCCTTTGAGAAGACAATCAACAGACAAGTTTTACCACAGGCACCATCACCTACGATGACCAACTTTCTTCTGATACTATTAGCTTGTTGAGACATTGTGCTATTATTAGTGAATATTATATCGTTGTATAATTCTTTTTTATATTTATCAAAAACACAAAAGACACAACCAAATCTAATAGAATATTATAATTAATGTTCTTTTACTTTTAAATATTAATATATGTATATATATATACAAAAGAATGAAACAGTGTAGCAATTTGTACTAAGATAATACTTGTAAAACAAATATATCTAGATCAAGATCCTTATATGAAGCTAAAATAAAGTATATAGAGATGAACAATAATAATAATACTGGCAATGTAAAACAAACAAACAAACAAACAAAACTACCAAACTGAAAAAAAATAACATAAAAGCTGCCGGCTGGAAAAGAATCAAGAAAAACTAAGCACAGCTAGAGCTAAACAGCGAGCAAGCACAGTCTGACCACAATAGAAAAAGGTAAAAGCATTGATCAATATACAGATATTTATTTATAAATATGTAACATATGCCGTGCAATGCACATAATACATTCGTTATATAGGGATATAGAGAGTTCATGGGTTATTTATCGTCGTCATCTCTGAAATACTTGAAATACTTGAAAGTTGTTCAGTGTGACAAGAAACTGAAAAATTATTTCCTCCGCGTCTTTCACTGGGGAAGTTGCGCCTTGCTTTGTGGAAAGAGGACTGGCTCTGCGTAGGCAGATTCTGCAATAGAGCGAGAGAGGCTTATAATTAATGTTATCACCAATGGAAGCAGAAGGGGAAGGGGAAGCAGAAGAAGGAGAAGATGATGAATAGGTTATATGTTTATGTAACTTTTTAGATACAGTGGGATATTCGGATGTGACTACTTTCAATGACGATCTTACGAATGTATTTAAAAATAGTTGCATTTATACGTAGATGTACAGAACAACACAAAAAAATAAGTGGAAATGGAAATGGAAATGTAGTAGTAATGATGATTGATTCAACATGACAATGCTAAGTAGATAATAATATTAATAATATGCTCGAATGCTCGAACGCTCGAACGTTCAAGGATGTTATTCATTCTATTGGTATCTTGATGGATATTTATTTCTTCTTACTTCAGGAACTCGCTTGTAAGGGATGCCACCTCTATCGTTCCTTAATAATAAACCGTTACGGCCATATGCTTGTGCAACTAATGGAGTTGTACCGTTATGTTGTAGACCCATCTCAGGAATAGGCTCTCTAGCTGGTTTTTTCAAATCTTTACTAAAATTCCTGAAATTATCTCTATATAACAGTGGTGTCATAGTCTCAAATTTTATTGGTCCATTCTTTAATTGGGATATATCTGAATCCTTGATGGTAACTTGTATATTTAATAATTTTGGTTTTGAATTAAATCCTTCAATAAGTACTTTCTCCTTTGGTTCACCTTCTTTAAATGGTCTTAAGATTTTCTTTAATTCCGTTGGTGTAACTTTTAAACCAGTAGTTGGAAGATCATCACCATAAACTCTTACCAAATCATCCTCTACTGGGAAACTGATTCCAACTTTCTTCTTCTTCTTTTGTTTTGTCTTATCACTGGTTTCACTATTCTTTAAGATTGATCGTATCTTTGTAGAATTTTCATCTAATTTCATTTTCTTAGGACTACGTTCACTATTTGAATTATCCATATTTTCCTCTTGGATGCTTGTTCTCTTATTATTCCCCGATGTTTCATCGTTTGAATTTATTGGAGAATCCTCTTTTTTCTTGTATTTTGTGAATGATATCTTCTTCTTGTTAATTTGATTTTCCTTAATATTTTCATCTGTTAAGATAGTATTATTAGTTTCAATAGATTTCTTTTTTTTGCTACTATCAGCAATATATATTTCTCTCTTTGGTGTAGATGTTGGTACTGATTTTTTCACTTGTTTAACTTCTTTCAATGCACGGATTCCTTCATCTAAATTTACATTCGATGAATTCCTTGAAATGGTATCAATTTTTGATTGCGGTTTGGCTTCCATTGAACTGAATTTTTTCTCTATATTATTAAATTTATAGATGTAATCTTTGTATAATGTAATTAACCCATTAATTAAATCCAAATCACCAGAAGTGACACCATCGACTCCAGGTTTTACATGTTTATTATCTTCTGTAAACTGTAGAAGAGCTCCGTTCAATTGTGCCAAATATGACATCAATAACGGTACTTGATCTTCATTGAATTGTTTCTGCTGCTGTAAGGTATCGAGAGTATTACGCATCTCTTCTATGACGGTAGCTGACAAGGCATGTGAGACGTTTACTAATTGAGGTACTGGGTTGGTTGACATATTTTAATATTTTTTTTGTTGTTCAAAAACAATAGAAAGAAAGAAAAATATAGAACTAAATAGAAAACAAATTTGTAACTAATAACTTTGAACTTTATTAAAAATAACAACAACGTAAAATCTAAGAAAGTAGAGGTGTATGTATTTGTTTTGTTATTCTCCCTGCGAATTTCTTTTATTTTATTTTATCGATTCTCCTTTTTGGCAAAAACGTTATTATAACTATCAAAAATATAATAGAAGGTCAATACTAATCTATTATACAAAGAAAGAAAATGTATACTCAGTATATTCTTCTGATAGAAAACAAAAATTAAACTAAGTAATTACTTATCGTAAGAGTCCTTCTATAAATACAATTTTTGGGGTACGGTTTAAAAACACGACAAAAAAGTAAAAAAAAAATAGGATGCTAATCTAATATTAAGTTATGTAACACAACGCTTCTTTAGAGTTCCTTGTATTATATCTTTGCTTCAGATCGTAAAACACTGAACTATCTTTTTGCTTCTATTTATCCCAATAGTGGTGTATCGTTGTTTAACCTTTAAATTCCAAATGACTCTCTTTCTCTCTCTATATATTTTCTCGGCTCTCTTTGAATATTTTTGAGTGGGAAAAGATTTTTTGAATAACGCTACATACATCGTTGCAAGTGATAAACGTATTGTTGACAAGATATTACATCGCAATGCAGGGTAACAAAATCTGATGAGTGAAAATTTAACACGTATTCTCTTTCGTACACTATATATATACGTTATTTAGAACATGTGAGAAGCTGACACTCATTCTATGATGCTATAATACTCTTTCCGTTATTATCTCAGTCATCCCTGTCAAGCTCCTCTCTTTATTCGTTACCCTCTCGGTACATCTACTACTACCAGACACTGAAGTTTTGGATGCTTTTTTTTGGAAGTTCCCACGTCTGCCTTAACAAGTCGCACGAGGAAAACAAATTTTCTTTCTTTCTTTCTCACTCTGTAGATTTTTTATCTGTTTCGAGAAGAAGAGGAAGAATAATAGCAGAAGAGGCTCTGTACATGGCATAAGCTTTTAAATAAGGGAAATATCTTATTTAGTTTACATAGTTTATATTGTCTTTATTCCTTCTCATAAAAGTAGAACAAACAACTCATATCTAATATATATCTCAGCAGAATATGTTACGTTTATCGAGACTTCCAATACAAGTGCTGGGTAGGACCCGATCCACTCCAACTGTTTTACCAAGATTGCTAGCTTCGGCCCAATCATCATTTCTATGTTTCGATAAATCGTTTCACACTAATGTTGTAGCACAGTCTGGAATGGACCGCTCATTTGGTCGTAGTAACGATAGAGGTGGTGGTAGAACTGGAGGTTATAATTTTAATAACACTAGTGGTGCTCGTTATAACCGTAATAGACGTGATGGTTTCAATAATAACAGGAAACAGTTCCGTAAACCTGTTAGAAGGGATGAAGATGAAGTACATTTCGATGAAGCCACTATGGCTAAGTTGATCCACGTTCCAAAGGATGCTGCTGCTGAAGAAGTAACTTTGGATCAAATGTTAGAAGAGAAACTATTAGACAACACATTACATAAATCCATATCTCGTATGGGATTCGACGGGTTGACTCCGGTGCAACAAAAGACTATTAAGCCCATTGTACAAGATGAAGAAAACGATGTTATTGCTAGAGCTAAAACAGGTACTGGTAAGACATTTGCTTTTTTGATTCCAATCTTCCAACATTTAATTAACACAGACAGGGATTCTCAATATATGGTTAAAGCTGTTATTGTCGCACCTACTAGAGATCTTGCATTACAAATTGAAAGTGAAGTGAAAAAGATACATAAACATAATTATGGTTTGAAGAAATTCGAAGCAGTTGCATTAGTTGGTGGTACTAATTTTGATTCAGCTATGAGAAGAATGAATAAATTAAGACCAAATATCGTCATTGCCACTCCAGGTAGACTATTAGATGTGCTAAGCAAACAAGGTGATAAATTCTTCAAATATGTCGATTTTAAAGTATTGGACGAAGCAGATAGATTATTGGAAATCGGATTTAAAGAAGATTTGGAAGAAATATCAAATACTTTGAATGGATTGAACGGGAAAGGTCGTGATCATATTAGAACTTTGCTATTTTCTGCAACTTTGGACGAAAAAGTTCAAAGATTGTCTAATTCCATTATGAATAAAGAAAGTTGTCTTTTCATAGATACTGTGGATAAGAATGAACCAGAAGCTCATGAAAAGATCGATCAATCTTTAGTGATCTCTGATAAATTTTCAGATAATATTTATGCTGCTATTCAACATATTAAATCTCAATTGGAACTATCCCCAGGCTATAAAGCTATTCTTTTCACCCCAACTGTCAAATTCACCAAATTTATTTCTCATATTTTAAGAAAAGAAATTGGAAGAGAATTACCTATCTTAGAATTCCATGGTAAAATCGAACAAAGAAGAAGAACTAACCTAGTTAGAGAGTTCAAAGAACTTAAAAAGGGTATTTTAATTTGTACCGATGTCGGTGCTCGTGGTATGGATTTCCCTAATGTTGCAGAAGTACTACAAATTGGTGTTCCATCAGAGTTGTCTAATTATATTCATAGAATTGGTAGAACTGCTCGTAGTGGTAAAGAAGGTAAGTCGACAATTTTCTTATGTAAAGATGAATTACCATTTATTGAAACATTAGAAGAAAGAAAAAATATAATCATCAAGAATAAATTAGATTACAAGACTAATGAAGGTATTTCAAAGGAGTTCGCATCCAAGATTGATGACCCATACGAACTATCTGACACATTATTAAGTTTGATCTCCTTCTACAGATCTGTTATTAAGGAATATGGTTTCGATACAAGAAAAATATTACCTCAATTAGCTGCATCATATGGTGAATTGTTAAATGATCCAGAAGAAAAAATTTCCATTGGGAGACATCAATTAGAAAGACTAGGTTTATCAAATAATCCAGTTGCTCAAAAAATGTTTAACATAGCATCATCAAGACGTTTCAATAATGACGACAACGATTATGAACCAGAAAGAAATAGAAACTCTCGTAATAGAAATTACGACAACGATAATAATTATCAACAGAATAGATACTCAAATAATAACTCAAGAGGTCAGAGATTTAATAGATTTGGTAATTAATGACTTGAAGATATACTATAATTGAATCAAAGATCATCTTTAAATGATGCAAAAAAAAAAATAAACAATCATAAAATAACTTAAAAAATAGATTCTGAAAACTAGGTTCTGAATTATAAAAAAAAACAGAGTATAGATAGAAAGGAGTTATTCTACCACTTGTAAATATACATATCTCCATTGTTACTTATATATAATATATCTGCATTTACTTCTATAAAGTTCATATTTAAATTAGTTCATTCATGTTCTTATTCCTTCTCGGTTTTTAATTTACTTTTTTATGGCAGTTACATCGCTTAGGCTAACTTTTGATTTTATTTATATTATAATCATTGAAAATTTAGATACATAACGATTTAGTAGAATGCCACAATAAACGTTAAATAGCAGGATTCAGAAGTTCAATATAACCATATAAAGGATATTAATCAATAAATTCAAGGTAAAGACACAGCGCAATGGCATATAACAATAACTCAAAACAGATACCGTGTAAATTTTTCCAACAAGGATATTGTAAATTTGGGACTTCGTGTAAGTTTGCTCATGTATATGCCAATGCCAATGGCCCTAATAATAATAATAATTTAAACAATCAAAATAACTTATTTATACAGGGAAATAACAATAATAATAGTAATAATGATAATGGAAGTTTCGGTCAACCTGCATTTGGATCTAGTGGATTTGGTAATTCAAATGCTAATCCTTTCGGCTCGATAAATAATAACAATCAGAACACAACTGGTCAAAATCTAACAAATTCATTTGGACAACCAGCATTTGGCCAAACAGGCGGAAGTAGTGCATTTGGGCAACCTGCATTTGGATCCTCAGCTGCTACAACAGGTGCATCTCCTTTCTCATCAATTCAAAATAATACAAATTCTTCTGCGCCTAATGCATTTGGGACATCAAGTATGACAAATAATAAAAATCCAGGCAATCCTGGAGCTTTTGGCAAGCCTGCATTTGGAAACCCAAACCCTTCTTCGATGTCGTCAGCGTTCGGCTCATCATCCTTCGGAGCCTCTAATAACACAACAGCGACAGGTAACTCACCTTTCGGAAATGTTCAAAATTCTAGTACAAACTCTGGGAATGCTTTTGGAAGTTCTGGGTTTGGAACTACGAATATCGCATCATCTAATCCAGGTTCATCATTCGGCACATCAGCATTCGGGGCACCTGCATTCGGTGGTAACGCCAACCAGAATAAAGCATTTGGCACCACCACTACAAATAATATATCACCTTTTGGTGCTATAACTAATGGTACAAATAACCCCCAGAATAGTCCATATGGGACAACTACAAATACCAATACATTTTCAACTCCCTTTGGTGCAATTAATAAAACTACTGGTCCAAGTACATTTAATAATACTAATACAACTACAGCGGCAAGTCCGTTTGGATCAGTAAATAATATAAGCAATACAAGTCCATTCGGTGCTGCTGCTAATCCAAATACTAAAAGTGTCTTTGGTGTTGTCGAAAATACAGTCGGGACGAATGGATTTAGTGTCAATAGTACTGAAAGCATAAACAATGGTCCATTTGGAGCTCCTTCTACAGAAACTACAGGGAAATCATCATTTGGGCAACTTGGGGCTACTAATCTTGCATTTTCCCAAAGCTTTGCCAATAATGCAACGCCTTTTGGTAATATAACATCTAGCACATCTAACGATACCTCGAATGCATTTGGTGGACAAACAAGTAAAGCTATCAATAATACAACTAATGTGACAACTAATTCATTGTTTGGAAGCGGAAACCCTAAAGTACTTACACAAGGAAATGCATCTGCAGTTGCTATGTCAGCTAATAATGTAAGCAACACTAATGTTGACGTTTCAAGTACGGGTATTGAGTTAAGTGTTGAAATATTAGAAGCCTTTAAGGCAGCAGATTTCGAACTTGGAAAAGTACCAGATTTACCACCTCCAATTGCATTGGTCTCATAATACTACAAACGTTTAATGGTCATTTTTTAATCTATATAATTATATAACGTCTGACAATCACCAATAACAATCAAATCTAACGTATCTTTGAAAGCATTCAATACAGATTGTGTTGGCGGTTCATTTGATATAAAAATAACATGACCTTTTTTACGTCTCCCATTCTTTAAAGAATGAGCCATGTTTTGGCACAATTTTTTCACATGTGGAATTGATAGCATTGTTCCAACAATAATTAATAAATCTATTGATTTTAATTTTGTATCGTAATTGATAATATTTGCAATAGTGTCACCGTCTTGGTGAACTTCATTATACAGAGTTATGGTCGGACGAATTGAACCTACTCCTTTTGATCGAAGACCCGCAACAGATCTTACATATTCCAATTCTTCACATTCGAGACAACTTGCAATCAAATCCCCCTTTGGATTTTCAGTTGTTTTTAATCTGTGTGGGTCAAATTTTTGAATATTGTTACATTTATTACATCTTGTATTGGAAATATTTCCATGCAATTGCACCAAGATGGGATAATTAGTCGAGTTATTATTATCATTATATTCCATCAAATGTGGTAATTTAGTCTCTAATGAATCAATATTTTGTGTATAGATTCTTTTCAATCTCTTTTGTTTAGCTAATTTATCTAATAATTGGTGAAATGGTGTAGTTTCAGCATGAATTGATTTTAGATACAAGGAAACCATTAATTCATTAAATTTTAAAGTCATAGATTCATTTGAATAAATCATATTAATATCCATTAAAGATTTATTAAATTTTTCCTTTGAATATAACCCCGTTTGTTTTGATCTAAAATCCGGTATACCAGCATGAGTAGAAATCCCAGCACCTGCTACGACGACAATATTTTCACAAGTATTCAAAATATGACGTAAATAATTATTATGTGGTTGTTCCTTTGGTTTAATCAAAGGGTAACATTCTAGAGACAGCACTGAATTTGCAATAGGACGGTGTATCGTAGTACGTCTAGGTTTTTTACGTTTTATTAAAGGTGAAGATTGTTTAATTTTCTTCTTTTGTGGGGAGGATGCAGGGGTCAACAACTTATCATTTTTCAATAAATCATGTAGTAATAATTTTGGTGCTAATGGAGATTCATTTGATAATACATCACGAGTTGTACGTTTCTTTAAAGTTGTTGGTGGTGTTAATGGCACTGAAGGTGTCAACGATGTCTTTGAAGAATCTGATGACAGTGATGGCATTTTTTTTTTTACTATTCTTGATGGTTCACCCTCTCAATATTGATCAAAGATCTATGTTTTTTGAATAGCCTGATTGGTCTATTATCAAGTCAACTGTAGTTTATTTCACATATACAGAACTAAGTTGTAGAATGAAAGACTAACGAAAGGTATGCAAACAATATATATAGAAAGAGACTATCCATTTAGATTTACAGGTTCTTACTTGTATCTGTTAGTTCAGGTACAAGAACGCCAATGCCAACAAAACGCTTCCATTACCGCGAGCTCATCTCTTACCTATTTAGGAGAAGTAATTGGTAGAATAATTCATATTGCTGATTATTTCACTACTGAATAAGTTTGCTTCACGGGTTTTTGTGTAAAATACAGACAGACCCGCCTTCTTCTTTTCTAAGAATATCGCCAATCAGTTACGTTGTACGCCGTGCAATGTGATAACACACGTTCCACTATTTGATATTCATTTTGTACGCACTCATTTGTTAATTCGCATCAATTGCTATATATAATAACAACATACTAGTAGTGTGCCATTGCTCAACCTTGCATCCCCACATGTATCGTGATAGTATAAACTGTATCGGTTCAATCACCCAACAGTTCGTATAGACAAGTTTTCTATGTGATTTATCATTTTACGTAATCAGAAAATCAAAAAATTCCATGCGACGAAACGATCGGAAAAACGTGTTTGTGCGGCTATATCTGTGGGCCTATCTAAGTAAATTATATAATCATATTGTGAAGTATACGACAAGCTACTTTGTGATCTCAACAGAAACTGGAAGCTTGAGAGGTTGCTTACTATATACTTAGTATTTGTATTGATGGTAATAATAGTAATACCAGGTGTATTCTGTTGGGAGGAGGGGTGTCCGGCCTTACTTCTATATGTCCACATCTGAATTACTAGATGCCTAGTCCGTAGTATGGGGTGTGGAGTGGGGGAATGAGAATGAGGAATATAAGGTGTCTAAGAAGACACGATTTCAATAAACATGTAGTTATATATGTATATATTCATAGAATGCACATATGTGTTGAATTGTATTGATCAGGATCACAGTTGGATATGAATCTATTGTGACTCTTCTTTCTTCTATATATATTTTGTGAGAATTGGGGATTTGCCTCTCTCTCGCTTATTCAATATTCGTCGCTCATTTTTTGGCTTTTTTGTTTTTTTCTCTTGATTAATAATAATTAACATATATAAAGATGATCATGATCATGGAGAGATTACTCATCTCTCCAAAATAACAAAAATTTGTTATATATATATATATATACCCTTATTTATTATAACAAAACTTTTACTTTTTATTTTATCTTAGATACTACAAGTAACCAAGTTTTATACATATCCATTATAATATTACATTAGATTCTTTATCGGTGTATTACTCACTTTAAATTTTATCATAACATTACTCACAACAAATACGAGAAAGAAAAAAAACAGACAGACAAATCTATATATATAAACAAATGGAATCCGGTTCATTATATTACCGACCCAAAATTTCAGTTGTTTCACAAAATTCATTATATTTACTACGATATTCTGAAATCGATGGGAAAAATCCATCTTATAACGCAGAACGATTACAAAAATGTTCAAATTTTAATATTTTATTTTATATTGATATTCCAACAATAGATTATTATAATGATGAATTGAATGATACGAAATTATCAAAATTTAATAGAAGATTTAGATTAAATCTTTTTAAAAAATTGATTTGGGATAGTTTTGTCGATAATAATCAAGAGTTTTGGTCACAATTGGCTACTGTTAAACACGATTTGATTAGTTGCACTTTAACAATAAACACTTCAGGTTCAATAAGATACGTGGAAACTATTAAATTTTTAATAGAAACTTTATTTAAAAAAATTCATGATTTATCAAACGTTAAATTGCATATCAATCTTAATGTCTCAAGTTTAACTTTAAAATGGTTTAACACTTTCTTAAATAATAATATATTGGAATCAAAAATCATTAACTTTATTCATTTAGGTTATCATCATTACACTTCCACACATTCTTTATTAGATAAAAAATCATTAGTTGAATCACCATTTAAGGATTATTTTACTAAATTAAATAAAAAATTCCTTGAACATAATTCAGTGAACCCACAAAATATAGAATCAATCGTAATTATAGTGAATAGTACCGGGATTAAAGCATTATTAACCATTCTTTCAGATAAACCATTAACAAATTTTATATCACAAGATTCTATTGATCAAATATTCGATGATTCAACAATGACCTTACAAGAAAATTCTCCATCACCTCCTCCTCCTCCATCTCCTCCACAAATGATACCCACAACTCCAACATCGAAGACACATAAAAGGTCTGATTCTAAAGAATCGATTAAAAGAGAATCTTTATCATTAATGCATTTCCAAAATAATATTCTTACTTCAAATAAAGATAAATCGGTTAGAGTAAGATCACAGTCTATTAGTACAAAACCTTATCATCATACCAATAAAGTAATATTAAATTCTATCCCCATTAGAAATTCTTCATCGAATACAAATTTAACCATACCTTCTATCAAAGTATCTCCTTCACCAAAAATACTTAATACTCAAATCGATAAGAAATCTCCTTTAGAACAAAATGATTCACATAACGTTACAAAAATACCAAAAGATATAACTTCCGATCTAGAAATGAATAATAATGGTGATATTGTTGAAGATGACGAAGACGAAGATGACGACGAAGAAAATGACGAAGATGAAGAAGATGGTATTAGTTTTTACGTTCCAAGTCTTCTTTCTAGAACTGCCTCTAGTCAACATGTACCAGATATGGCAAATGAGAAAATTCAAAATGGCTCATCGTCAAATTCATCGTCATCTTCTACTACTATGAAGAAGGGAAGATTCAGATCTTTAAGTTTAATGGATCCAGCTCAAAAGGCACCATTTAACCAAAATAATTTAATTCCTTTCGGTTCCATTAGAGATAATATTAGTAGTAGAAGTTTTTCTAATATTTATGTCCATGATGGTGATTTCCAAAACGATACTTACCCAAAACCAATTAAGAGAAAAAGAAAATATACACTTAATGGTAATTTGAATAATATTCCTAATCCACCTACAGGGCTAATACCGCCTGAATTCTATTCAAAAATGTCGTCTCCTTCCACTAGTAACAACAGTTCAAATGCATCATTGGTTAATATGTTTACCACACCGAAGGGTAATAACGATAATTCAAATGTGAGTTCCTCTACAGTAAAACTTTTTGAAAAGAGTTTGATAAATAATTCCTTAGATGAAATAAGAAAGATTAATAATGACAATAACTCCTCTAATGGAACTTTAGGAAAATCTAACGTAATATTTAATAATGATTCAAATCCATACAAATTCCCTCATAGAAATGCATTTGCTTTGATGTTCAATAAACCACAGTCGAATTTCTTGTCAATGGATGAGGAGGATAGATTGATGATGGGTGAGCATTCATCCCCAACCCCAAAATATGATGAAAAAACGCATTTTCTTCCATCCAAACCGCAAACGACACCAATAACCAAAGTGTTATCTACTGATTTTGACCCTGAGCTAGAACATGAACAAAAGAGATATAGCACACCAGTTCAAATTGATACAACTCCAGGATTCTTGGACTTGAATTTATATGGAGTTGATGAAAATGATACCGATGGTACTGTAACTAGTTCGACAAATTACTTAAACGAGAAACATTTGGGGTCCCAGATAAACACCAATCAAGACTCTCAAAGAACAGAAGTTACTGAAGAACCTAAACAAAATTTGAGCTCTAAATTTAAGAAGATATTATCATTCGACCTTTATGGGGATAATGATAAAGATGGAGATAAGTTCTGGATGTTAGGCCATAATTCATGACATCTAATATCTGATTTTACAAAGAATTGGTTAATACCAAACAAAAATAGCATTCTCTACGCAGGTTTACATTTATAGATACCCTGAATCAATACCCATCACACAACAACAACTGGATATAAAATATTAAAAAACAAAAACAAAAAACATTAATATTATTCGCAGGCCGATGGTTTAACTTTCATACAACGAACCTCATCCCCATTTTTCACAGTACTTAACACAATTTATTTCATTTTATCATATATAGACATCGCATTTTACCATTACCAACAACCTGATATAATACCGATATGAACTGGTTATCTAGGAAAATGATTGTACTTGGTAACTGCATTTTTTTCACTACTATTCTTACTATCTATTCATAACATTTAATACTTTTATCATATAGTATATTTCATTATTTTCGTTCTTTTACCCTTACTGGATATCACCATTAACGGGATTTAGCATTCTTATATCACTTTCGCCGTCTTTTCTTTTTTCACTTTACTTTGACTTGAAACAGCGAGAAAGCTCATCGCATCGAAAAGTTTCTTTGAGATCATCGATTTTTTTTTTTGATATTTTTTTTTTTGCTTTACTTCACTTTCTACGAGGTTGCGTAAATTTTTTAGTGATGCTATAGCTCAAGTAAAATACATATTTGAGAAATAAAGACTAAACTACTTGGCACTACAAAGAGCAGTCATTGAAGTACAACTACCACCGTATAAGCGTTTTTCTCCCTAAAGATTGGACTTTCACTAGATTATTAAATTTTATTTGTACATTACATTTTTATCTCAACTACCCACTGAGAAGTAACTACTACTACTACCTAGACATAAGTGGAAAAATATAATTCTCCCAAAAAATAAATAAAATAAAATGACAGAAGTCCAATCGAGAACTACTGATCTTGAAGAGGGCCAGGACCATATGCTAGAGTCTGCTCTTCATCAACTCCTGACAGATTCGGATGATCCATTTCAGGAGGATCCTTCAAACCCTTTCACAAACGATCCAACAATGGTTTTTAATCAAAATGATACCGAACATGAACATAGTAACGACGAAACTGATATCGAAAGAGCAATTGAGTCGGCTATCACTAATATGAACAATACCGACATAATAGATGCATCTCTCTTGAATGATAAGCAGCTCTCTTTGGATACTATACTTGGCGAGAACACCCATGCAGCAGATATGGATATGCATTTAACAGATTTGTTAGGTACTAATAACAATATGAAGAAACGGTCTATCGATAATCTGGACGATGAAATAACAACTTTAGAGATAGAAAAGAAGAAGAAAGTAAAGACACAGAAAAATATTAAAGATATACGCATTTATAAAACTACAGATGAACCTTTCTTATCTCCAGCATCATTATCGCCGTCTTCAACATTGTCACCAGAAAATAGTGAAACCCAAATAAAGTTGGAATCTTTACCAATCACTTCATACAATAAAAAAAAACAAAAGAAAATCGCCAGCAAAGGGAAGACCTTAACATCCGAAACTTTAAAGGCAGATATACCTATTCCTGATAAATATACCAATGAGTTCACTATGACACAAGTTACCGATATTAAAAAGAGGATTGTCAGTACTCATAAATTAATTCTAAACTTCAACTTCTTAAAAGACGGTTATGCTAGAACATGTGTAGAATTAAAAAAGGCTATGATGTGTTTGAAAGATAGTGAAATTCATAGAGCACACCTATTGACAGAAAATGAACAATTAAAGAAGGAAATTGCTGCTCTTCAAACCACTGTTAAAGAAGAAGATATTAGCTAAAATATTAAAAGGACGGTCTATTCAAAAGGAAGTCAATTGGTTAAAATAGTATATTAATATACGTATAATAATTACGAAGATAATCCTATTCTTCCTTATCTTCTACCCCCATATCTTTGCATTATAATGAAGTTATTTTCACTAAACGAGTAAGAACAACTTCATTGTTATAAATAAAATACCCCAAGGAGGGTTCTCATAATAATAGAATCTATAAATAATATACATAATTTTTTGCGTGCATAATAACTACATAAGAAAAGTTAATTATTTTTGTTACATTTAATAATGACGTTCCAAAAGATGGGACTATACAATTGTATCTAAAGATCCAGACTACTGTCACTCTCATAATTAGATTTAATCTTCGTAGATTTTAAAAAACCGGATGTATTGGATTTTATTAATCTTTCCGACAAAAGATATCTCTCTAATGCACCTAACTCAAAAGAATTTGGATCAGTCCCCAATTTTGAAAATCCCACAATTCTTGTCCTCTCAAGTCCATTTATATATCCGACAACAAATGGTAAAACTTTTATTTCAAGCTTATCAACTAAAAATGCACAATCTTCAACATTGGTCCTGATGAATTTTGTATTAAGGTACTTTCTTGCTAATTTACTTAACTGTTGATCCATATATTGGCATTTTTTGAAATGTGGTAATTGAAAATGTATAATTACTGGTATACTAGATGAACTTGTTAGTTTTATCAATTTAGCTTCATCTTCGATTGTCTCTAAGTTACCAAAATTTTCATCTTCTGAAGTCTTCTTGGAGACATTTTTCAAATGATCCGATAATTGTTGTAATCTTGCTTCTCTCTGCTTAGATACAATATTTTGAATTTCTTCATCATTATCCAATTCATCCATTAATTGATCTATATCAATGTCACTTTCATCAGAATCGTGGTCACTAGAAGTATTATTATTTCTAGAGAAGGCCTGCCTTTCAAATTTGTCTATTTGATGAGACATAAGAAGGATAAATTGTTGATATTATTTAAACTCTAGTATTAATGTGCAACCTTCTGTATACTTGGATCCGTACCGTTAGTTGCGAAAGTATATTTTATACTCAAATATTACTAATGTTGTACCTGTTGCCCTCTATATAACTATTACGTAGTGCAACGCGTTTTTGAAAAATATCAATAAAGTCTCAAATCAGTTGAAACAATAATATATCAATAAATGAATAGAATAGTGTTATTTTAAAAAATTTGTGTTTATACAGTTTTCTTTTATTTACTTGTTAGATCTATTTATAATAATACATAAAAATAAATCCTAATAAATTTACAATAACGTTCAAATTGACGTTTACATCATTCATTAAAAGTTTTAGTTTCTTCTTACGAGCTTTGGATTTCTCAGTCTTATCATCAGCACTTACAGGTAAAGGTAATTCATCTTTATCAGCATATGCACTATGTAGTCTTGGTCCTTTAACTTTATCAAATTTAACCAAATACCATATCAAAGCCACAAAGTTGATAGCAGCAGCAATAATGTAACCCCAGATTGGTTCAAATGGATCAGGTAAGTAACAAATTTGAGTCTGGATAGTTGGTTTACCTGTATTACTTCCATCATTATACAGTGAAACCAATTGAATAGCAGGTTTTGATATACCCATGTTCATTGCACATGACTTCACAGTAATCTCTTCAGTCTGAGCTTTCGTATTAATTGGTGTATTGTATGTATGTTTAATATGACAGTAATCATGATCATCACCAGAGAAAACAAAATCAGGTTGTACCTTTGATAGAACCATTTGTGATATGTCACTGTCAATAACAGTTTGATACTGAAGACCCTTTTGCATTGGAAACAATTTTTTAGATTCTCTTTCTGGACCACAACTTTGAATTTCTGGATCACGATGTAATGGAACATGAGTTAACATGATTCTTGGATATGGGTGAGATTCTTTAGTAAAATTATCCAAGAATTCTTGTGGGATAGAGGACACGTTTGGATTGGTTCTGTCAGATAAAGATATCGTATCTACGAGCACAAATGTATGATTACCTACATCCACTGAAGATGACGTTGGACCAAAATATGTAGAGAATCTCTTTAGACTAGATTCTACTACTGTATCTCCAAATCCAATATCATGATTTCCTGGTAAAGACATAACAGTTTTTGTATTTGGTTTTTTTGGGAAAATTTGATTAAATCTTTTATATTCTTTTAACCAATATTCATCCTCCCAATTTCTACCACCATCAAATAAATCTCCAAGGAAAAAATTGGTCTGTGGATTTAAATGATATTGAACGTATTTCCAATTTCTAATATGGTAATGATCGACGAGGATCTTAGTGACATAATTCATAATCCATGGTCTATTTGGATAAGAATAATCATCTAAGATTTGAGGATCAGCAAAGAGAGCAACTCTATGACTACTTACTGGATGACCATTATTGTCCTTGGACCAGGTTTCCCATTTCTTCCAATCACATTTCTGTAATGTTCTTTTCACAGACATATGTTCATAATGATTAATTACAATAAACCAACCTAATAATGATAATAGACAGAACTTCCAAAATATTCTTAGTTTCCATTTAAAATATGGAACATTGATTTGAATGATACCTTTATGTTTTCTGTTGATTAGTGGCTTATGTGTTTTTTTCTTTTTCTTATCTTTTCCTTTAGCAGATAGCCTGCCTTTGTTAGTACGTTTCAACATGCTGTCAGAATATCTAGTTCTTGGATAATACTTTTCTGGGTTTAAGGTACCTTATTATATCTTAAAGTGAGTGGAATCAAAGAAAGATAATTATATTGTCCGATTTCAACAACAACAAAACAAATGTGTAGAACTTAAATATCTTTTCAGTAAATGTAAAGTACTAATGCTCCACAGATCAAATATAATCTTAGTTTCACTCCCGGCTAACAACCAATAACTACATTTTTAGTTTTCTTTAGCTTTATACTTCTAGCTTAAAATTAACATAACAACAGAAACAAAGCCATCTCTAGCACTGGCTTATCATTTGTTTACTCCTTTCCATAAACTTTCTTTCTTCTCATCGGATTTTCCCACCGCAAAAAACCGAAAAAAGACATACGATGAGCATTTCCGCTCACGTGATAAAAACTGCAGATATGAAACTCACCAAAAAACTGGAAATTGAAATTTGTGAAATGTCACATAAAGTGGAAATGATGATTGCATCAGCAAATGGTCATACAAGACGTGTCAGAAGGTATCAAACAAGGGTTACGTTAACAGTTTGAGGCTTTTAGTGGTAGGCTGATTTGTTAAGGTTCGTCATATTGCAATTTGAGCAAGATAATTGTTTATATCAAAGGATATTTACTACGTTGAATCAACCTAGTCGCGTGTTTTGTTTTCCTTTGCTTTCCATTGTTTTGGTTATTAGATACATTTAGGAATGGATACCGGATCAGAAACAAAGTTAAGATCGACTAGATCTTCTGCTACGATCGATAGCGAGAACTCTACCAAATTCGAGTTTGATTTTTCCCACGAGATTGATCCAAATGAACAATTAGAATGTTTGTCTCGTAATATTGATAGACATCATAAGTCTTCAAAGACTGTAAATATACGAGACACAAAGATTTCCATTTCTAAAATGGTCTTAGATATTGAAGATCATAATATAAATTATGATAATGATGATGATGATGATGATGATCCACTTCCGGATACTCTGTACAAAGCTTTCCACAAGAAAATGTTAAGACAAGAAAATAGAATGATTGAATCAGATATCAATGAAAGTTATGAGAGTGCAGAGCATCTTGAACAACTATATAACAAATTGGAAGTTATAACGTGGCCAACTGCTTTGGCAAAAATGACTAAAATTAACGATCCTACTGACGACGATGAGTTAGGTGAAAAAAGACAAATGGCAATGAATAAGATTATGGATATGTTAGATAAATATAAATTAATGAATGAACATGCATCTATATTACAAAAAAATAAATCCAAATTTAAAATTAATCCATTAACTAATTATACCAAGATATATAGAAATGTTGATCATTTACTCTTGGATAATTATGAAAGTTCTTCAGATGAAGATGAGGAGGAATTTACAACGGAACAAATACGAATTCATAGAATTAAAAAGAGAACTGAGAGTTGTGGAGGAGTTATTACAATAGGATTAAAGACATTTGAAGTTAGAGAGCATTATACAATAATTGCACAACCTTTAAAGAAACCTTACGTCATTAAATTAACTTCAAAGGAAAAGAAAAAGCTTTCAAATATCGAACCCCAAAGAAGAGTTTTCAAATATTCTAGAACTTTGAAAAATAACGTAGGGAAATTAAAACATCGTGATGTGGTCCCCGTAACAATGATAATTGATGATAACGAAAGAAAGTCATTAATTTCACAATATAATATTGAGAACGATATTGAAGAAACTACAGAAATAAATCCAACACCACATGAGATTGATTCTACCCCACCTACTTTGTTAGAAATGACGCCAATAATAAATGAATCTTCATTAAATTCACCTCATATATCCACTGATAAAGAGATACAGTACGTCCGATGTTCAGAACAAAGTATACCGGCGCCTTTATACCCCAGTCAGCAATTACAGGTACAACAATTATTACAACAGTCATTTCCTAAAAACAAACTAAGAGAATTACAAAAATAAATTAATTCCCATTTATGTTAACCACGAATTCATAGTTTGGATGGTCAATGTAAAATAACCCAACAGTTATAAATTCCTTTACCCAACAACAAACCATTTTTTAACTAAAAAATGGAACTGTTATTGTTAATTGACCACATACTGTCAATATTATACCCTCAAAAAGAGACTTGATTGAACCACAACAATAACAATCAAATGTCTTAATTACTCATAAAAATTGAAAATTCGGAAAGGTTAGTTCTAATTCTCTTCGAATTGAATCATTGTTGAGGATCAGTTCTGGAATGAAGGTAAAGGTACATATATAATGAGCCTAAAATACTCTTGTTTCTATATAAATGGTGTTATGGGCATTTTATGAATCTTCAAATATTTCCATTATCACACAGACATTAATAATGATATATTTTATAAGGACAATCAATGTAACTCTTATTTAATATATACATTATATATAATTTGAAAAGCACAATATGAATGAATTAAGGCTAATCTAGATTATCCAAATAATCTATTAATGCCTCATCATCTTCAAATTTTAAAATTATATCATTAATAATATTTTGTAGCGGCTGTAAAATATTCTTATTCAAAACTGCAGGTCTTCCTTTCAAATCATCCTCTTGGATTTCATCATATAGCAAAATATCTTCCTTCAAAGAGTACAAATTAATTAAATATAACTTTAACTTTTCAAAGATAACAGTTGCAACAATTATGTTTCGAAGTTTTGATTTTGCTGGAAAATTGATTAGTAACTCTGGCGTTTCCATGGCCATTTTTCCATGTGAATACGCAATTTCCTTCATTTGTTCATATTTGGTGTCAATTTTTCTTATGAAGATTAATAATTCATGCTGATCCTGAAATCTCATAGTTGAAATATTGGAGGCAATATATAAAACGATATGGACGTTCTCATTCATCGTTGTTTCGTTCAGACATGCACCAAGAAGCATATCAACAGTGTTTAATAGACGTTTGTTAAACTTCGCAATTGATCCTTTTGAAGTCGTCATATTCCTCTGCAATAATAATAAAAACTGGTCGTTTTTGTAATATTCTGTCGTATTACAATCTGTTGCATACTTGATCGCAAGTAAAACGCCTTTTGGTAATCCGCTGTAAACCATAGTTTCATATTTCTCCATCAGCATCGTAAACAAATTGATTGTAATCTTTTTTATGTAAGTGTTTGTTGATGACAACAACGCAACTACGGTCGGTACACATAAAGATGGATTGGTATAGCCATACTCAAGAACTAGTTTCAATAGTCTTATACCTACCAGCGCATTTTTGAACTCTGTTAATAAACATATTCTGAGAATGTTTTGTATGTAACGAGCGACCAGTGCAGTACAAATACCATCATTTAAAAATTCTGTTCTTTGGTTCATTTTTGTACGTTTTTTTCTTTGTTTATCTGAGGACATATAAGAAGTTTCACCGGTTTGTCTTAAGCTATGTTTCTCCTCTTGTACAAAAAAATCGTAAAAGCTCTCTAGAATAACTAATTGAATATCGAGATTTTTACCTTTGAACTCTGTATCTAGTATCTTCAAAATATGTTTTGAATTAAAAAGTCTGGGGTGGTTCCCACATAGTTTAGTTAGATTTTTAATTGCTATTCTTCGAATGATGTGATCAATATCCCCCTTTGAAAATATTAGCATGCATTTGGCAACATATTCGTACACCGGTTCACCATCGGGAACATAAGATATATGTATAACAGTTGTATCAAAATTGGTAAACCTGGCAAATCCACTTGCCAAATATAATAATCTCTGCAGTTTGCTATCTAATGACAGTTTATGAAGATTGTTATTTGCAAGATTAACATATGGGTTAAGGAGTGTAAAACATGAAGAGCATGCCTTCAACAGTCTTCCAAAATCATTTCGTTGTCTTGCAACACACCATGCTAAAGGGATGGCCTCATCGATTTCTTTCACGGTCATTTTTGGAAGAGCGGTAAGCAATGTTGTCTCTAATTCAAACAAAAATTTTGGTTTGAAGTTTGTCAACTGTTGCATTGAATTTTTGTATGTATGTAATATGTGGAAGTAAAGGTTGCTCCTGGCATCAGTCACCATATACGGATAAAGTCCGATGATATGATCCTTACTGATAAATGGAACAACAGAATCGGAAAATAGCGATAATAAATTTAATAATTTCTGTTTCTCGGGATTGATATCATTATCATCTATGTCCTTGGCTTGCAATTCAATTATCATTTGTACAAGATTATTAGTAATGATTTTTAAATTATCTTTAATCTCTGTGTAACGACGGACTGAATGATACTCGTCATTCAATAGGTAAAAGTTCAAAAACCAGCTAAATAAATCTGAACATTTCTCACTTAAGGAAATAACACCAGACATTATTTGTATAATTTGATAGCATGTCTCATATTCTTTTTCGGGTAAATTTCTTAAATCTGTCAAAATTAATATCCACTTCCCTAGTATTATTTCTCTGGCTATGTCAATAATATTATCTTCTTCATCTTCAATTTTCATTAGAACTCTTGAAAAAACGTATATCTTTGTCTCCTGGTCTATGGTTTCGTCGTATATTTTTTCATTGATACGAAGAATATGTCTTCGAACCTGCAGACTATCAGAATCGTAATTTATATTGATTTCCTTATAGAAACGAATATATGCTGAACCAATTGAGACCAAATCAAGAATTGCGTCCTTAATAGATGCAGCCGTAGGGTTTCTCAGCAGATCTGTTATAGTCGTTCTGACCATAGGGCTGGATAAAACATTATTATCCTTCGTAATAAGTACAGATAAACTTTTGATAGCAACAGATCTTAGCTTAATTTTGTCTTCGTCTAAAATAGATAAAACCAGCTTAAGATATGGTTCGTATAGGTTTATTAATTCAAAACTATGCAATATCGAGTAGTAATGGTATTTAACAGTTTCTGAGGTTATAGCAGTGGGTTGTTCAGTTGTATCGTGAATTAAAGTGTTCACCGCATTGAATATTGTTATTTTTGTTTCTTGCTGGTCAGATGTCGTATCTTTCATTAAATCATATAACTTTAGAAGAGAATTCATTTCCATACAATATGTGAAGTAGAATGCTGATGACCTTGATGTATATTTCTTGATATAACTAACATATTTTGAAAATGAGCCAAGCCATTGGGGAAGCATATCTGGGTAATTACAAATCTTAATCAGATTATTTGCTTCGTGTACTTTAGTTTGCCTTTTTATGTCAAACGTTATCCCCGCTATATGTCCTAACTGTTGAAGACATGTTGTTTCGATATTAGCATTATATTTCCTGGACGACCCAAATATATCCAACATTTTATTGACAAGTGCGCTAAGTAGATTCTCTGCTACAGGATAAGTACCGCATAATAAAGCATTAGTTAGATCCTGGACAATATTCTCGAGACAGTGACGATATTTTGCAAGGTGATGTATCAGTTTATTGAATATGAAGTCGATGGTACGATCAATATATTGCAGAATTTGTTCAGAAGAAACCTTTTTATGATAATTCAATACTTCAATAATATTGTTGTCGACTGCTAAAATAGACTGAATGTAGTCATAGTAGTTGATAGTTTCCAACATTTCTAGAATGGTCAGAGATAAATGCGTAATAAATGAATTATTGTCGAGTCTCGCTAGTTTTTTCTGCAATCTTTTTTGAGGAAGTCTCTCCATTTGTGATAGTAATTCATCTATAATAAATTCTCTTTGATTTGGTATTTTTTCAAACAACGAAATGAACACCCTTGAACATGTCAATTTAATATTTCCTAGTGTGGTATTTATTATCGTGTTTGAACCAGATTGTGATGTCTCTTCCATTAGTAATGAAGAGAAAACATAAACAAGTCTTGTAACTAATCCGTCATCGATATGCGGTTTTTGAAGGATGTATTTTGGTATCAAGGAAAGGGTATTATCGAAAAGTTGTATCATTTCTTCATCATCTTTGTTTTGTGTATCTTGAGAAAAATCTGAACATTCAGTAAGAAATTCCACAGGTTCTAGTACGAACTCTTCAAGATATAACCTATTTTCTTCAATATTAAACAAAAAGATCGTAAACGTGACATTTATAGATAAAAATCCAATTCTCTTTAGCATATTGGTGTCAAAATCTAAATTAATGTATTCTCTAGAGAGCCGTATATTTTCTGTTGATAAGTTCAATAGTTTTATTAAGTTCTGGACATTTAATTTAGGCCATATTTGTGGAATCTTTGAAATGTTTTGTAATACAGTTATAATTTTTTTCAAGCAAAATTCGGTTAAGATAAAATGGTCCTTACCTAGGGAGTACCATAATTCTGTGCTTCCTTCGACTTCATCGTTCGTATCGGCAACTAGGATTTTTACGAGTTCTTCAAAATCCTTCATATATTGTAAACCAATGCTCTCCTGATTCAACGAAACATTGGTAGATAATTTAGTCTTTTTTGATGGTTGTTCACTTAAGATATTCTCAGGAAACGAAGTTTCCTCTTCAGTAAGAACAACTTTTTTATTAACTATTTCCGAAACTGTGGATGTCTGAACTATATGTGAGGCGTCAACATGGGTTTTTCTGGAATTCATATATTGCAAAGTTGCAGGTGAGAGATCCTTCATTAGAGTGGATTGATCATCGTGGTTCTTTTTCTCGGTTAATTTAATATGTTGGGGGTATATAAATTTCAGCTCCAACAGATCTTTATTAGATGGTTCAGTTGTTTCTGATATTTCTGACTTTATCATATTAGTAATCTCATCGTTCCTGAATAAGCCGCCTGGGATCTCAGTTGCCAGATTTATTGTTGGATGCATGTGCAGATCGTTTATAGAAATAATATCATCTTTAGGTATCAAATGATTGATAGGACGCTTACTGATTGCATTGACTATCCTTTTAGGAACATCATTGTTATTCTCACCAGGGAAGTTTGCCATAGCCGCCAAATATAAAAACAGTATAATTCCTTACGAAATTTGTTAATACTATCGGAGATTTCTCAGTTAATTAACAAACTGAAACCAAGATCCGAGTAGGGTGCAGACTTACTATACTGTATTGCTAAAGAAAAGTTGGATGTAATATGTGTCAAATATCCCACCCAACTTAATATATGTTTATATGAGAATTTTAAAATGAGATGACCTTTATATTTTTTTTGGTTCCCTGCGTAGCGTTTATTTTTATCGTGCAAATAACGCGTTAATTAACCCGTATTTGATCTATTTACTTTATATACTGATGGGAGATGGAACTATGCTATTTAAAATAAATATTGGGCCATCAATTTCAAATTTGATTTATGGTTATCTGAAATTATCTTATGTCTTTCTTATGAGTCATTTTCCATGATATTACCATCAGTGATATGGGCAAGTATACAATCAGCCAGTCTAAACATCAATATCTTGTTGCATTCTTTACTGACACAAATAGAATTGACAAAATCTCGAATATCCTCTTTCGTTATGTTTAATATTAGGGTCCCTTTGAATATTTTGCATACTTCCCATAGCTCTTCTATTATCTCATTCTTAAATACTTCAAAGTCGCCCCCTGTAGGTATCGCAGTTCGTGGCCCCATAAGATTATCGTGTGGAAATAATGTGTGCCTTATAAGTCTCGTTAAAGACGAGACCGTGGTTGAATCCATTAATTTTTTATATATTAAATTATCTAATGCATTATTAGAAATCTTGTTTAATGTAGTAGATTTTGAGAATATATTTTGTAAAAATTTCAGTGTTGAGTACAGTAAAGGTTTTCTTATTTCTAATTGAAGTAAGTCAACAAACCATGTATGGGTAATATAATTGTTCATTACTGAGTCATAATTGCTCTCGTTATTACGATTATCGTACGATAAAATATAGGTTACCATTTTCCTTACTTGAGAAAGTTTTGTCTTTATCTTGGTCCAATATTGTTCATGTGTAGATAAATCTTTTGTGTTCTTCCTCTCCATTATTTTGTTACAACATTTTGAAATACTCCTTAAAACATAATAAGGTTCTGCAACACTATCAAATACCCTCCCGAGTAACAACTGATTGAATAGCGCATCTATAAACGTACCTTGAAGAAGTGATGTGTTGTTCAAAGATCGTTGTATGAGAATTGTTATTACATAGGGATATGTATCCTCTTCATATAAAGTTAATTGGGAGTATCGTTTGTAGATATCGATATGATTCATATTATATTTATCATCAATGGAACGCAAGGCACATATATGAGTTGATAATAATAAGGGAAATTCATTCAAAAGAATAGATTTAATATTTATATGTGATTTTTTTCGAAGATAAGATATAAGCTTTTCGACAATATTATATATTTCTGTTGCAAACTGTGTATCTTTTGTTGGAATTTTGGAGCCATACCAATGACTAATGAAGTTTTTGTAAATCAATACTACCAACGCCATTATTTCTAAGTCTGGTGAGGCCTTTAAATTCCTAATTCGTTGATGCAAAGATGAAGGTAAGTAGAAACAGCACAACTGATGCAAATATTTTGGAGAATCTTTGGAGTATTTTGAAACAAAGGGATCATCATCTACCTCTGAAGTGGTTGCATTAGTTAGTACACCATCTTTGTTTATTAATGCACTCTTATTCTGACGAAGATTATTCCTCTGGTATCGTTGTATAAACGTGGAATTTGTGTTGTATAGTACAGTAGACATGTATTTAATCGTCGTAATGGATTAATTCCATTCGAAATAACTTACTTTGAAAATTATGTGTATATTAATGTATGTTGTTCTTGCTGTTGATGTTTTTTTAAATCATTTTCCTTTAATATCTTAAAGGTTTATTTTACTAAACATAAAAAACAAATTGAAAGGTCAATAAATTTGTCCGTTTTATCAATGCGAGTGTTATTCTGGTTTATGTGTGGTCAAATACAATATTCATTAAACCAGAACTTCGATAGGAAACGCAAATGCAATTCAAATTGCACGTTTAATCATGCAGGATATTCATGTTTTCTTTTTATATAATACGTATATATATATGTAAGGTCTGGGATCAATGAGTATATCATTGATAGAAAAACAAACCTATGTAGCGGTGGAATGCCAGAATATGAAGATTATGAATTAAGCTTATTTGCCCACAAATAGGATATATAAGCTAATCAATCGAGTAAACGTATTCTTGAACTCTCATACATTCCAACCAACCCAATATAATGTTTAGGGTTACCCAACAGTTCCACTCTATTACCTGACAATTTCAAGAATTCCGTTATATATACAATTTAAATGTACATCAATATTAATTAGTAAATGCTTTTGTTTACTTCTATACATTTTTTTAAAGTATCAGCACGTTTACACTTTGGCTTTGAACGATAAATTTTAGACGTATTGCTGTATTTCTCCAAATTAGGGCTTTTTCAAGCCCTTACACATATTAAGGACTTTCAAGCTTTAGAAATTAATCGGTTACTTGAACACCTTTGGTGTACAAGACCAATGATTCATGTTACGGAGAAAGACGCGATACACCTTTTCTTAGTATATGGTTTAATTCTAATAAGGTCAGAGCATTACTTTACAAACGAACTGATATATGAACTGATATATTATGCTTACAGAGCCCCAAAGTATTGAATAGTAACTAACTACGAATAGAAGTGTTAGCATAAAATACCCATAACAATACCATTATTTCTAAATTGGAAAATGATAGAAATACCGAACCACTTACATGCGGCCATTGAAGATCCAACAAGATTTCATTACAAACAGGAATGGCTAGAATCCACAGAACCCGGAACCGAAAACATATTTGAATTATTTTCGTTTGGTACAATAAAAGATATTCAACCACAATTGAATCTTACACCTGCGATGTTCAAGAAATTGCAGCTGTTGACTATTGTATCAATGGTCCAAACCCAGAGAGAATTATCATACACCTATATAATGGAGCAATGTAAAATATTTTCGACAGATATAGTGGAACGATATCTAATCGAACTTCGACTTTTTTTCAAAGTGAAACTTGACTCTATAAGACAAGCTGCACAAATTCTGTCAATCTATGATTGTCGAGATGTATATGATAATGAAAAACCATTGCAATACGTTTGTATCCCAAGAGACAATAAGGATCAAATTATTGAGAAATTGAAACAGTGGCATGGAAAACTTACTGGTCAGATCAAAGATCCAAACTAAATGAAGTTATTTTTTTTCTTTTTAAAATAGTAATTCTAGGAATATATAAATATATAAATATATATAAAAAAATGGATATACCATATCATGGTCATCATTAGTAAAGGTAGCAAACGATGAAAATCCATAATATAATATTGTTATTCCTCATAAACGTAAGGAGAAACAAAAATAAATAAATGTAATAGAATAAATTACGAATGAATGACAGGTTTCTGATCTATGCCTATTTAGATGATTCAGTAACTTCTTTAGAAGTAGTCTTCCCAGTCCATAGAGAATGGATTAAACCTGTAATACCTTCACCTTCACTTTCTAATTTATAGATACCTAACAATGAGATTAAGGAACCACCTCCTAACAAATATAACGCATAATTATGGAATTTACCGTAAACTCTCTTTGGGATATAATCTGTGATACAAGAGTGGAATTCCATGTAACAATAACCTAGTAATGCTACAGAAAATACAGAATCATATGTAGTCGATAATGGGCCTGCAATTAATGCAGTGGCAGCCAATGGTAAAGTAGCAACAGCAAATGTTTTTTCTATCCACCAGTGAATTGGTCCTTCCATCTTCGAGACTGGAGGTGGAACATATGGGTCATTTGGTGTACCAACAACACCACCTGGTTTTTGAGGTAGGACAGGTAAGAATGGAATAGTTAGACATCTTTTTGCAGAGCTTTGGAACGTCCTACGAGAAACTAGACCAAGAGATCTGTTTAATGGAGCAAAACCTGTTCTAGACAACATCATCATAAAAATGGAATGTATAATATTTATATGTAAATGTGTTTTGTATATGTTTTTAATTTAAAACTCTTTTAAAGGCTATAAAAATATATATTAATTAGGCCTCCTCTCTATTTCCTTTAATATTCCTATATATATATGTGTATATTTTATATACACATATATAGGGAAAGTCTTTGTCTACTCCTTCCCCTCTCTGCGTCTACATAATTTCGGGTTCCCCGATTGCCGGAGTTCGCAGTGTTCTTTGATCCTATTGGTTGGGCGCGAATGGGGTCAGTGAGACTCACTATATAAGCAGATTAAGACGATCAAAGGATTGTTTACAATGAAATAATGTCAAACAAACAACACTTTCGAGTGAATTAATTCGCTATGTTCTTTCCATTTTTAGTTGCAAATATATGAAATAGATAAAATGTAGATATATAAGTATTTATATGACTAAAACTTCTGCTTCCTTTTATTTTTACGGATTATGTACAAAACATCTAGTTCAGAAGCTCTTCAATGACTCTATTGATACTATCGTTATCGTTAGGATCCAAAGATTTGATACCTAATCTCCTGAGTACTTCGATGATTCTATCCTTTTGAAACCCTTGAGATTCAAATTCCTGTACCAATTCCTGACTGATCCCATACAAATCAGCCTCATCTGCGTTATTTGCATTAATCCCATCATTATTACCATCATTATTACCACCAGCATACAATTGTGTCCAAAGTGCAGCAGTTTTATTGAAAGATTCTCTATCTTTCAAATAATGTTGTGCGACTTCAGCGTCTTGAGGATCACTAGGTTCAGGTGATTGCAACAATGCTTGCAACGATATCAATGCACTCTTGAGCGTAATTACTGGAGACCACGCGTTCTTCAGGATATCCAGACAAATAGCACCTGTCACTGAAGAAATATTTGGATGATATACTTTCGTATCGAATTTCATCTTTGGTGGTTTGAATGGATATTCCATAGGGACTTCAATATCCACTACAAATGTACCATGTTCGTAAGGTGTCCCCGGAGGACCTAGAAAAGAACCCTTTAGATGGTGAATGTCTGATTCACTGACAAATTCCAAAGTGATGTGAGCTTCAGGATCATCTTGGATAGCTTGCATCTCTTTCATAATTCTTTTGGCTCTCGACATCTTTCGTATACGTATATTATGATTTTACTAGGTGTGTATGAGAATTCTAGTACCACAGTTCTTTGTATCCTTCCTTGTTCAGTGGCAATTACACTGTGCAGTTTTTTTGTATCTAAATATTTGTTACTTACCTAAGTGAGATCTAGAATAATGTGTACTCAAAGAAAGCTGTATAGAAGTAAAAATCAACAATGTATAGCTAACATTGACACAACGGGAAAGCAGCAAAACGATATATTTTCTTGTAATTAAATTTGTAAACAAAAACTGAGAAACCCGCGAAATGAAAAAGTACCCGACACACCAGCCGTGGAAAATGATAGGGTGGGACGTTACCCTCTTGAACCAAAACATTAGATACATATCTTTGCCACTGGTTTCTTCATTGCGAAACCATAAAACACACACCACCCGAAATGGGGCACACACTGTTGTCTTTACACCTCTGACATGCTGCTGATAATTGATATGCACTAGTTTTGGTTGTTGCCGATATCATGTGTGACGACTGAAAATTTTTCTAGTTACTTTATTTCTCGGCGATGACAAAAATGAAATATTTTTATTTTTTACTGTTTTGCAATGAGACACACACAACTAAACGATTTGGTGAAGTCATCGCATACTGAGAGGTCAGTTGCAGAGCTACATATATTTATATATACCTATGTATTACAACTACTCATTTAGTAATATTCATTTCTTGTATACGTTCATTATCGTCAACTGTATTACAGATATATACATATATACATACACTCACACTAATACATTCCCAATATGGTTGAGGATTCAAGAGTTAGAGACGCTAAAAGAAATGGTGAGCAACGTGCACTACCTGCATCGTTAGTTCCTGAAGCTCCCCCAGTGCTGACATCCCGTGATAAGAACACTAGAAGGATGATCGTCGTCCTATCCGAGGCCTCATTGGAGACACATAAGATTTCCTCGGGTCCTGGGGGTGATAAATTTGCATTGTTGAATTGTGATGATCATCAAGGTATCTTAAAGAAAATGGGTAGAGACATCAGTGAAGCAAGACCAGATATTACCCACCAATGTTTGTTAACATTGTTAGACTCCCCAATTAACAAAGCTGGGAAATTACAAGTTTATATCCATACAAGTCGTGGTGTCTTGATCGAAGTGAATCCAACTGTACGTATACCTAGAACTTTTAAAAGATTCTCTGGGCTAATGGTACAACTATTGCATAAATTATCCATCAGATCAGTAAATTCAGAAGAGAAATTATTGAAAGTCATTAAAAACCCAATTTCAGACCATCTACCAACTAAATGTCGTAAAGTGACTTTATCATTTGATGCACCTGTGGTACGTGTACAAGATTACATTAGTAAATTGGATGACGATGAATCTGTTTGTGTGTTTGTTGGTGCAATGGCTCGTGGTAGAGATAATTTTGCTGATGAATTCGTAGATGAAAAGATCGGTTTATCCAATTATCCATTATCTGCATCCGTGGCTTGTTCAAAATTCTGTCATGGTGCCGAAGATGCATGGGAGATCCTTTAGTATCTACCTATACAATTTTCTTTTCCGTCTGTATATGTATATTTAATAGAATTTCAAATAGATAAACGTTTTTTTTTGCTTTTTGCTTTTTGCTTGTTGATTGGGCTCAATTGGTTGCAGTGATGATGAAGTTGGTAAACCTCTGACATTTTTGAAACTTGGCTCGTTTGTTTTGCTCTTCGCGTATTTATGTGCGGCGATGCCTCTGACATTTTAAATTTCAAAACTAAAATTCGTAGGGAAAACCTGTTACTTTCAGAAAGGAAGATATACTTGAATATCCCATAGTTCACATAAAAGTATATATATTTATATTTCAAAAATACAACGTTTGGCAACTGTTTCAAATAAGTAAAACGATTATTGATAATTTTATATTCCTCAAATATTTAGTTTATATAAAATAATACCTTTCTACAATATTACCTAATATGAATAAAAGAATACTCATTTAATTAATCCATCATTTTATGTAATTTCTTCTTAAGATGACAAATGATACTCTAAAATGCGTGTATTTACAAATTATTTAAAACTAGGCGAGGCTTTAACCCAAATATGGATTAATAGATACACATTGGTGCTAATTCTAGCAATTCTAAAGCTCACATTTTTCACCAAATCTTTGGTATTAGCATTAAATAATTCAGAATCTTACATTCTTTCGAATTGTTCTACAATTGATAAAATATACTCTAGCGTGATTGAAAACACACCTCATTATTTAGGTTTGATGGGGAACTATATGGTGGAAAAATCAATGATTGCAACAGTCAAGGCCTCACTTGAAACGTTGACACTTCTAGTTTATGCTAGTGAAGAATTGCTCACATTTGTAGTAGATTTATATTTGGGAACTTACGCCTGTTTAATTGTAAGTGCAATTGATGGCACAGTGGATGTAGCAACAAATACTACGGAAAAATTATTAGGAGCAATTAATGGAACTGTACATAACATTGCAAATGACCTTGATGATGGATTGGATGATCTAACAAAGATCATTAATAAAATTTTAAGCGCAGCCTCAAAAGTTGAGAATTTTTTTACTGATGATGACGATGATGATGACAGTGATAGTACCACCAATAAGATTAAAACCGTAAATTTGACCATTTCTAGTTTAAGGAATGTGTATATCCCATCATCGATAAATGATAAACTAGAGTCGTTAGCTGCAAAGACACCTAGCTTCGATACATTAAAGAATAAAACAAAAAATGAACTTTCAATTCCATTCATTTATGCTAGAAATGAAGTAAAAAAAGTGAATGTAACCAATATATTTAGCAATAAAAGTTTACTGTATACCCCACCACTTACTGATATCAATCTGAATGGTACTGGAATATGCTCGTCAAATAAACCAGAGATTCAATTAATATACAAAGATTTAGTTAAAAGTGTTAAAGTTGTAACTACAATTTTTATTGTATTGATGTCAATTGCAGCCGTTGTTGTACTTATCCCTATCGGATATGAGGAATATTGTAAATGGTCAAGGTTAAGACAACTAAATGATACTTATTCATCGAAAGAATCATACTACTTATCTGATGATATCTCTGCTGTTAGCACATTAAAGGAACCTCTCGATGATACACCAGATATAATATCAACTTATTACACTATATTTAATAGATGGCAAACAAGAATATCCAAAATGTTCCAATATTTATTTACATTAGGAAACAGATCTAATATGACGAAGTTACAAAGGTCTAAATTGGAATGGTTTACTGCATATATCACTTCTGAACGTGCATTAATAATTCTAGGAATTGGTATAGTGGCCCTTTTGGTATGTATATTCCAATTAATCATACTAGCTGTGTTAAATAAGAAACTCGATCCTTCAAATGGAGCCACTATGACGAATAAAATAAAAACATCATTAAATAGTAGTGATACCTTGAAACAAGGTTTGACCACATGGGGATCCCAAACAAATTTATACATAAACTCTACCGAATCGTACATCAATAAAGAAGCCTTTGGATGGATCGATGAAACCACATCAGCTATCAATAAAACCGTGGCTACAATGATTTGGGATATCGATACAGCACTGGGAGATATGTTTAATGGGACGCTACTTTATAAACCTATGAAGACAGTTATTAAATGTGTTATCGAGGATAAACTGTATGCTGTCGAGAAAGCCATGACTTGGATAAATAATAAAGCTCATTTGAATATACCGAGGGTAAATGTGACAGAGCTGGAATCAAATATGTCGAACGGAGAATCGTCGCCCAACAGTAAATTCACTCAGATAGTAAACGAGTTAACAGATGAAATGAAAACAGGTCTAAAGAAGATAATACATGCTTTCCACAAGACAGCTATGATGGAACTTTACATATCATTAGCCATACTTGGTGTTTGGATCAGTCAAATCCCAATTGGGCTTGTAATATTGTTGATCAAGGAACAGCAATTAAATAGATATATGGTTTCAAAGTAAGTTTATACATATATATTCAATTTTTTTTATTTTTTAGTATGATACTGTATTCCTCCCAAAGAAAAACGAAATTCGGTTGTATGATAATAATAACATCAAAAGCCAAGCTTCATCTGAAATCTTCGAGATAGTTTTTGTGTTAATGAAAATTTGGCGCAGCATATCTCACTATAATCGTTTCAACATTGAAGGCAAAAAAAAGGTCATAACCTGGGGCTTATGTCCATTTCTGATATACACATGTGTATTCTACATCAACCACGTATTCCAAATAGAGCTACGTCATACGTAATTCCATGAACAGAATACGCTTGACATAGAGAGAGTTAAACGTTGTGACCGTATCGGGTCACTGGTTTCCCAAGTTGGCCATACTACCGCAGATCAGTTATACCTAAAACAGCAAGAGCTAAGCCGTTTCTGTTGTCACACTCACGCACACATATAACCTCTATACGGACAGATTGAGCGTGCGTCGTGTTGAAAAATCTGTTCGTACGTCCTTTGTTTACGTTGATAGTGAAAATGGGAACTGAAGAAGATTGCGATTGAGATGAATGGAGGGGTTCAATTTTTCAGATTGCGATGGAACGGAAACTGAGAAGTACGGGGGGAAGCGTTAGGACAAACATTGGGTAGAAGGTATGGGGAATTAATAGTCTAAAGATACAAATAATGTTTTAGAAGATGTCATATGTAGAGTTTTATCCACACCAATATATATATATATATACATAGGCAAAGCATCATATTTCATATTAATTATATTATTTGTAATTTATTCCTTGAAATCAGAAGATTAAATTAATCAGATAACGAATCAACAAACGGCATAGCTAGAACTTATGAAGCGCTTCTTTTCAGGGAACAGATCTAATGAATCTGAATCTGAATTATATATGTCCTCTCCAACCACGTATCGTGGTATCTCCGATAGCAGTATTGGTACTACATCGTTTGGTAGAGAAGAAGAACCACTATCTAGTGAATTAGTTCCTATCGTAACATTGTTAACTGCCCATACTCATAGACGTTATCATGAAGGGATTTTGATGATTTTACATGATTTAAAGAATGACGGATCACCTGCAGTAAGGAAATGGAAAGAAGTATATGGTGTGCTAATTGGTACACAAGTGGCATTTTGGGATACCAAAGAACTTGTCGATACAAATGAGATAGATTTTAGGAAATTTGCATCAAAACCAACATATTTGAATCTAAATGATGCTATATTGAAACCTGTTGATGCCGTCGAGGGTATTTCTACTGCAAGTAATAAGAAATTAGAAAATGCTCTAATTATTTCAACTACTTTAAAAAACAGATATTTTTTACAATTTAATGATAAACCATCATTTAATAAATGGAACGCAGCTATCCATTTGAGCATATACGAAAATGTAGCATTACAAGAAGGTTACACTGGTGCTTTTTTGTCTAGTAGAGGTGCCAGATTGAGTGATATTAAAATCATTTTAGCATCTACAAAATATGACTATGAGGATTGGGTTAGTGTTCGTTTTGGTACAGGGATGCCATGGAGACGATGTTACGCAGTTATTACACAACAAGGTTCCAAAAAATCACCATGTGGTCAAATCAAGTTTTATGAAAATGAAAAGAAAACAAAGAAAGCCGATACTATGGCTGTAATTACAAGTGCCAGCGAAGTGTATGCAGTATATCCATCAGCTGCCAAATTAATTGATACCTCTACAATCATTAAAGTAGAAGGTACAATAACTTTTGAAAAAATCGATAACCCAACCTCCACAAATATTTTCATAATGCCAGAGAAACATATGGCAGTGCAAGGTTATGATACAATTATTCGATTCTTAATACCAGCAATGAATGCATTCCAGCTTTATGGTAGACCCAAGAGATTGATTGCAAATAAAGATGATCCCGAATCCTTATTGTTTGGGTTACCTACATTGCCTCACATATATTATTTACAAGTTGATGATATTCTGAAACTGGCTACATCTACAGAAAGTCTTCGTTGGAGTAATGCCGATTGGAAACAGAGAATCAATGAGATTATGCTGATAAAGAATAGAAGTGGATATAGTGGATGTGGCACTAGTAAAGATTTAAAGAGTTCAATAAATTCATCATTTTTAGAATCAGGGGAATTGTTTGATGCTGCGGGGACAATTTTATCTCCAAAACTTAATGCCAAATCTTCATCAACCTCACCAAAATCTGATAGAATTGCAAAATCCTCATCGACGTCATCCTCGGCATCATCCTCGGTGTTTCCAGGTGCTAGTACCAAACAAGCGATCTCAATGGAGTCTCCTGAAAGACAATATATGAAATCGCCAGAAAGAATCAATACACAATCTGATTCTATCACTGTATCGAAACGAATGGATAGAAATAATAGAAGTAATGATTCTCTAAATAACATTCATTCTCCTACTAGCTTCCAGAATGTTACGACGAATAGAAATGGTTATGCTATTAGCTCCTCTAACCGTGATAATATGAATAATAGATCACCAGAGAAACGTAAAGGGCATATTCCAGAACAAAGCACAGAAAGTATTTCGTCAATATTCAACATGTACGATAATAATGATGTCGAAGAAGAAAGCTCTAATTCTATGCCATTGAAGACTGAGAGTTCGAAAAATAGTAAGAGTGATATATATAATTCGTTTGTTCAAATGGGTGGACGTAATATCAAACCTGATAATTTTAGAGTATCATCAGAGATTGAAAAATTGGGTACAGGGATCAAAAATATTTCTATGAATAAACCTAATGCTACTAATACAGCTACAAATACAAATACGAATAGTCGTAATTCTCCAACCAGGAGACAACCATACCCGACTGCAATGATCGATGATCCTGATCCATTTGATCCCTCATTTATGGAGCAAGATAGAATGGTTGAATATGATAATGAGCTAAACTCCAGAAGTGTTGCAAGCAGTATTCATGAGAAGAATCTTGGATACAATTCATTGAGGAATTCTCCTTCGAAGAGTTATATCAGTGCCACTTCTTCGACGTCAGATCATGGCAGTAAAAATAGTGGTAATAGTAAGAGTGACGTGTATCATTCTGCAATTGATGTGAATAATTCCAAAATGAATGATCCATTAGTCATTAAACCTAAATACAACCCTTTCGCAAAGGAGAACAACCCCAGTAACAACCCCAGTAACAACGACAATGATAAAAGGCAAGATAAGTATCAACAATTGAAGAATAATAGCTTGACACGAACATCTCCAGAGAGACTATCTATATCTCCAAATAAGATGTCACCAAGGAGGGAAAATAATTTACAATCAAATGATTCTAATCGTCAAAGTATTACCAGCAATGAAAAATTTCAAAGGAGGAAACCACCTGTTGCAGAGGAGTTATTACAACCAGTACAAGGTTCAAACAATGAATCAAGACAACATTCCAATACTAGTTCAAATTATTCCAATAACAATCCAAATGTAAATAACGGGAAAGAAAATATCAATAGAGACAATAATGGTGTAACAACTCGTAATATAGGCGATAAAAATGAACGATCACAGCAATACCCAAATCCTTATCAGCAAAATGTGAACAATAATCCGGCGTATAATCAAAACTATGTGCCACAACAGACACATTTTAATAATAATGGTAATAATAATGCTGGTATGATTAGGAAAAATAATAATATGCATAATACACAAGGTTACGCTCAACCACAACTGCAAGGTTATAATCCTCAACAGCAACAATCACAACAATACAGTTATCCTCAAACACAACAATATGGATACTCTCAACAACAACAGATGTACATGCAACAACAAAATCGTTTCAATCAAGGATATGATCAGCGTAATCCAAACTTCAACAGTCAAGGTTATAATACTAATCAAAATTTCCCACCTTCTCAAGGTAATATGAATCAAGGATATTCAAACTATGGCTATACCAATGAACGCTATTCAAACCAAAAACATCCAAGAAACAATTATCCAAGGTAATTGTATTTCTATAGTTTTCTTTTTCATCTTATGATTTACATAAATTTTATTCATATGGCATTTTACAAAGACAATACATAATTTTAATTATAATACTAAATTAATGCATTACACATAACTTTTCGCTCCCTTGTATTTTTAAAACAAAAAAGAGATGTAACTTCCTCGTGAATGACTGTAAATCAACCCTAATTGATGAGTTACTCGTTATATCTATATATCAATTTTAAATAGTAAATGTCACATAATGTTATGCATACGTTAGCAAATTAAGCATATGTTGTATAGGGTCGGTTAGTATATGAGAATAACTAAAACAAACCGACAAGACAGAGGCACGTGATGGGAGCTCCTCTTTCTCTCATGAGTGTCCCAAAAAAGTGAGGCGTTCATTCCTAATATGGTAACTGTGATGTCTTCCATCCAAGATTCCCCCAAAAATGCCGAATGTGTAAGAAGAGCAACATGCAGCGAAAAAAGAGTTCACGCACGGAACCAAGAGAGAGACGCCACAGTTATGGCAACCGCCTTAAATCTGAAATGAAAGAAGTAAAAAAAGGGATTTATATATCCACTTCGAGGGCGTTGTGCGGTATCTTCAGAGTCAAAACCGGGATCCTCCTCCCTTGGTAATCCCATTTCTGATTTATTTACAAACCCCGTGACTTCGTCAGTTTTCTCCGTTTTCTTGCTTGATTACGTACTTGTAGTTAAACATCGCCGACAAAATTAGTCCTTTCCCTTCAGTGAGTAATTTAATTGATCATGCATTATAGTTCCTTTTATCACTTGAGATATTGAAATATATTTTGATTAAATGGCATATTTACTCTGAAATTTCATCATTAAATGCCACATTAAACAACTTCTAAATCGAACAAACAAAGCACCAAAGACACATCTTGTTAAATAAATTCTGGGGTCCGTTTATTTTCTGCTGTGTTCACATCAAATTAGAGATGTGGCGAATGCACAGAGTTAATAGAAGTCTCTATTACAAACTTGATGATTAGAAATGGAATGGCGTAATATATATAAACTCAACACTTCGTAAATTTAGAATTCTATATTACTAACATTTTGTGTTCTTACTACAACAAAAGTTTGTGTATTAAAATAATTTAACTACATTAAAACTAACTCACATATATTATTACCTGAACGACAATATATATATATCTTAACATATATATATACACAATTAAAATTCATTTGAATCTTTTTTTCTATCTCTGTCAATCAATTTTTCAACAAGATTATTATAACAAAAAGGAATATACATTTATTTTATTGAATTAACATACTCAAGTCATCATGTCACAAACATTATTTTCTAAAGACTTAGTGGATGTAGATCCTAAAGAAATTCAACAATATAATTCTTTCACAAAATTAGTGCATAATCAAAAAATAGTTCAAATACCAGAATTAGTACTAGAGTCCGGACTTGTTTTAAACAATTTTCCTATTGCTTACAAGACATGGGGTAAATTAAATGAAAACTGTGATAATTGTTTAATAATTTGTCATGCTTTGACAGGTTCGTCTGATGTTGCTGATTGGTGGGGTCCATTACTTGGAAAGGATAAAGCTTTTGATCCAACCAGATATTTTATTATTTGTTTGAATTCTATGGGTTCTCCATATGGTTCATTCTCTCCACTATCTATTAATGAAAGTACAGGTAGACCATATGGTCCGGAATTTCCATTATGTACAGTAAGAGATGATGTACGTGCACATAAAATGGTCCTAGATTCATTAGGTGTTCAATCCATTGCATGTGTTGTAGGTGGTTCCATGGGTGGGATGTTAGCATTGGAATGGACTACAATGTTTAATAAATCTTATGTGAGAAACTTGGTGGCATTAGCTACTTCTGCGAGACATTCTGCTTGGTGTATTTCATGGTCAGAAGCTCAAAGACAATCTATTTATTCTGATCCAAAATATTTGGATGGGTTCTATTCATTAGAAGATCCTCCAATAGCAGGGTTATCTGCAGCTAGAATGGCTGCTTTATTAACTTATAGATCTAGGAATAGTTTTGAAAAAAAATTCTCTAGAAGACAACCTTCAAAACAACAAGAAAATAAAAGTAAAACTAATGAAGGTTCAAATGTTTCAAATAGTAACATTACAGAAATTAATAAACAACCTTTCACAATCAATGAAAGATCTCTTCATATTCATAACGACGGTATGAGAAATTATGGTAATTCGTTATCTGGTAATATAATACGAGGTGGTAGAACAGGGAGTGTAGTCAGTACACAATCCAACGAATCTCAAGCTTCTTCAAATGTCTCATCATCCGATTCATTACATTCTGTATCTTCTGTTAGTTCAATAAGTGGGGAAGTAAAAGATTTGAAACCAGCTCAAACTTATTTCTCAGCACAAAGTTATCTACGTTATCAAGGTACGAAATTCGTCAATAGATTTGATGCTAATTGTTACATTGCCATCACTAGAAAATTAGATACACATGACTTAGCTCGTGATCGTTCTGTTAATGGTTACGAAGAAGACATGGAAAAGATCTTGGAATCGATCGAACAACCAACTTTAGTGATAGGTATCAGTTCCGATGGTTTGTTTACTTACAGTGAACAAGAATTCTTGGCAGAACATATTCCAAATGCTAACTTGGAAAAAATCGAATCTCCAGAAGGTCATGATGCATTCTTGCTTGAATTCGAATTGATAAATAAATTGATGGTACAATTCATGAAGAAAAATATACCAAATATCATGAATGCTAAGCCATTGATCGGTGAGAACGATGAGGATTTAGATACTATATACCCTAGGGATTCTGTATTTGGCGAAGCTGAAGAAGTTACCAATTGGTAAGTTCGTCTCTTTCACATGTCGTATTCAACCGTACACCTCTTATTACATATCACAGAACTCATGAACAATCTCAACCCCCATTTTATAACGTTATCTATACTAATATATGTAATATCATAATCAGTCATTTAAAAAAATAGTAAAAAACTAAAACGGTAATGCATACCTCACGTATTCGTGTATTTGTTGTTTTGTTTTTCTGAGGAGGTCTTGCTATTATTGGTAGACAAAGGGAGCAACAAGAAAGGAAAAAATACTCGTATTGCCTTGCCGATCATTCGATGACATATTTTGTTGAGATATTCAAGGACGGTTAATAAAAGCCTTCATTTAGGGAAACAAAGGGACGAAAACAGATTCAATCTCAATATTCTTCTCATATATATATACCATCCAAAATTTTCTCAGAGGATTATATTTTCGTCCTTCTCATGTAAAAGTTACGATACTTTTAAACCTACGATAAAATTAAGAAATATGATACACTCCGTTACAGATCCTGCAAAGTCAGCCACAGTTGTATCAATATCAAGTAAAAACCAGACAGTACAACCATCATATGATTCACAAGATATTCCACAGGATAATGACAGCAACTCAAATGGGTCCATTCCATGTAAAAGGCGAAGAAGAATACCCATTCCTGGGAAAGGTATTTATCTCGACTTAAAAGACAGACTCCCACTATACAAAAAGGACTGGACCGATTCTTTGGATTATCGAGTCATCCCAGCAGTAGTAGAAACATTCTTTAATAATCTTTTGCCTGCATTAGCTTTTGCTCAAGATATGTTTGACAGGACCAATAATGCGTATGGTGTGAACGAAGTTTTATTATCAAGTGCGATGGCTGGAATTGTTTTTGGAGTGTTATCTGGACAACCATTGTGCATTGTGGGTGTTACAGGTCCTATTTCTATATTTAACTATACTGTTTATGATATAATCAAACCTTTGGATATTGATTATTTTGGTTTTATGTTTTGGGTTTGCATATGGTCCATGATATTTCATTTCATTATTGCTTTAACAAATTTGGTGGGTCTTTTACAGTTTGTGACCACTTTCCCATGTGATATCTTTGGTTTGTTTATTAATATAGTCTACATCCAAAAAGGTATACAAATATTGATACGACAATTCACCATAGACGGTAAAGAATATATATCATCTGGGTTTGCAAGCATTGTTGTTGCTCTATTAATGATGATATTTGGGGTGACTTTCAAACAGTTTACAAGAACTCCATTTCTGAATCATACTTTGAGAACATTCATCTCTGATTATTCAACTGCACTTTCTGTTCTATTTTGGTCAGCATTCACCCATTTTGGTGGATATCTAAACGATATACATTTTGCTAAACTACCAATTACCAAGTCATTCTATCCTACATCCAAAACAATGAGAGATCCGTCAACATGGTTAGCATATCACTCTATCAGTACAGGGGATGTGTTTATTGCACTACCATTCGGTATTATCTTAACGATTTTATTTTATTTTGATCATAATGTTTCTTCTTTAATGGCTCAACGTCATCAATATAAACTTACAAAACCTTCATCATTCCACTACGATTTTTTATTATTAGGGATTACAACAGGGGTTTCAGGTGTTCTAGGGATCCCTGCACCTAATGGATTAATTCCTCAAGCACCACTTCATACTGAATCTCTTTTGGTAAGAGATGTCGATGGGAGTGTAATTAAATGTGTTGAACAAAGATTTACGAATACGGTGCAAGGTTTGTTATTATTGGGAACTATGTCTAGGCCTCTATTAATATGCTTACATCAGATTCCACAAGCAGTATTATCGGGTTTGTTTTTCATTATGGGTATAGGTGGATTAAGTGGTAATGTGATTGTTTCAAGAATTATGTGGTTATTCACAGATCCGAAGAAGAAAGATCCATCCGTGCCTCTATATACGATTCGGACGAAACCATTGCTCATATTCCTTGCCTTTAGTCTTGCAGGATTTGTTGGTGAGTTTGCTATAACAAATACAATTGCTGCCATTGGGTTCCCCTTAGTTTTGCTGTTAACAGTAATAGTGTCGTTTGTGTTTCCATATATTTTCACTAAACAAGAACTAGAAATCCTTGATCCACACGTCGCAAAACGATTTACAATCAAAAACTTATTGTTAGAAAATTTATGTGGTGATAATCGTCATATTAAATCTAATAACTTAGATTCTTAAAAATTTTGTATATATGAACGCATACTGAAATAATTAATATTATTATTATATATAAAAAATATTTGATAAACAATATCAATATCATAATTTAATGAACCATTCTTCATGAGAAATTTCAGGAACAATTGTCTTAACCTTACCTTGTGTGACAGCTTGTAAAGCATTAGTATAGACTAATTCCTCCATCTTTTGTCTTGTTTCAATACATTGAGTACCCAAATGTGGGGTGCATACAACTTGTTTCATCTCTAATAGTTCTTTAGTGACTTCAGGTTCGAATTCGAAGACATCCAACCCAGCTGATTTAACTTTACCAGATTTCAATGCTTCGACCAAAGCTTGTTCATCCATGACCGCACCACGAGCTGTGTTTACGATTACAACACGGTCCTTCATTTTAGCAATTGCTTCGGCATTAATTGTATGTCTTGTATGTTCATTCAATGGAATATTAATTGAAATTATATCACTGTTGGCAATTAATTCATCAAAAGATACATATTCGCAACCGTTTTCTAATTCGGGGCTTAATCTATGTCTATTATGATAGATAAACTTTGCAAATCCAAAAGGTTTCAATCTTTTAACAATCTGGTGACCAATACCACCTAAACCTAATACACCGACTGTTTTCCCTTCTGGATCATTACCAAATGGGGTGTTATTGGCTGCAACTTTCGAGTTACCTTCGTTCAATAGTTCACGAACACCATAGGAAAAGTATCTTAATGCACCTAGTAATAAAAAAACATGAGTGTCTGCAGTAGCATTACTAACTACATCTGGAGTATTAGAGATTTGAATATGTCTCTTTGAGAAATATTCAACGTCGATCTGGTCGTAGCCTGCACCATTATGACAAATAGCAACAACCGAATCCGGCAATGCTTTGGCAATTTCTTCATCAAATCTACCAGTATTTTTAATACTACTAAAGGTTCTTGTAATGACCTTAGTATGCGAAAGAATATCATTTGAGTCACCTAATCTTTTGATGAATTGTTCCCTTGTAGTTGCAGGGTCTAATGTAATAACTTGTGCAACTTTTGACAATTCTGAAAAATCTCCATCTGGAAATGAGACACCTCCCAAACAAAGTAGAACTGGTTTTTCCGACATTATTATGATTAAATTGTAGATTGGATGGTAATTTATAGATATATATATATATGAGGTAGTCGATTAAGAAATAATTCGTGAATGGTAGGCCCTTTTTCTATATCTTTCTCGAGGTTCTGTGTATCTGACTGAACAAAAAGATTGTAAAATCAGGGGAAAAGGTTTATCTAAAAGAAAAACAAGAATGCAAGATACATATATATATATGTATCTAGGAGATAAGTGATAGATGGCGTAAGTTGCTTCAATGAGAAACATTCATAGTATTGACCTATCTACCGACTTCAAGAACGCTATCGCTTTACTCAGTTTACTCAGGATCTATGGTTTCCCTTACATCCTATAAGCAATTATTAGTTCAAACTGAAATTTTCATTACTTCCGCCAACGGTCTTTAACTCCGTTCGCTCAGAACATTTTCGAAGCGATTTAAACCCCGATAGACAGAGATATAGACGCAGAGATGTAGAGAATACGTATGATGAGTCAGGGATGATAATGATCAATTCAATAAGTAAAGTGGAAACAAAGGTCATTCTTTGTTGTGTTTACCGACTGGCTGTGGGACGCTAGAGATCAAACATTTCAATGCGAAATTTGATTTCTATCGAGGGTTTAATCATAATGGTAGCAATATACCATCGGGAATCAAGAAAAGGTATATTACTTAAACGTACGCTGGCATAATCAATGGTAAACTTCCTGTGATGTTTAAATAGTTTAGTGATGATATTTGACTGTACAATGAAGTATTGAAATGCTTAAATGCAAAAGTAAATACCATATAAAGATATATGTGATTTGTGATATGTCAATTTATTTCACTGCGGGTGTTTGTTAGGAGAAAGTAAGAAGACGCCAAATTGCTATCTTGATTTCTTTAAGGCGAGAAATACTCATTAATTAAACCAAAACGCGTCTCCATCGTTACATGAAATACCAATAATAAGAACAATAATGAATACTTGAAGAAGAGGAACAGCTTAGCATATTAACTTAGTAATAGCTTATATAGTTGAAACTTTCCATATACATAGGCAAACAAGGATATATTTGAACATATATAATCTGGCAAAATGACGGACATCAATCCTTCAATTGTGTTGAAGGCTAGAATTGCATTACTTTCTACATCCATCGGTGGTCCAGATTATTCATCAAATGAGCCAACACCACAGTATAAATTAGGTGATGAAGCCCTTCTCTGTTTGAAAGATTTGAAAAGGTGGTTTAAACTAGTCGACGATGAACAAAATAGATTAGATGTAGCTATGGCTACCGCTGAATATAAAATATTAATCAACGATTTGATCCCAATATTAATTGAATGGGAAACTAAAGAAGCTCAACATAAGACTATTGGGCAGGGTTTAAGTGTTAGTAAGTCATACTATGATAAGATTGCATTGCAATCTTTGCAATTAATGGTCTTAATGACATGGCCATTGATTCTTACAGATCAATCAACTATAAGTCAAGTTAATAATTATGCTGAAGTCAAGAAATATCAACTTACATATAAGAAAGCTATTCTATCAACTGAAGATGGGAAAGTGCTTAGGGCTGTTGTAAGATTAGTAACTAATGTAATGAGAATTGATAGAATGCAAAGAACTCCCCATGATAATATGATAATAAAATTAGCTTTAAACTTTTTTAGAAATGTGATCGCAATTGAACCTGGTGAATTAACCATAACAAATAAAAAAAAGACTCCAAAGGGGATCAATGCGATAGATACTCTACCTCCTGGTGTAAGTAACGATGATATATCATTGAATTCTGTGATAGTCAGTTTCAATAAGAATAAAGTCTTTAAATTATTATTGACATTAAGTAGTTCTATGACGAAAGAATTTGATCAAGATTTTATTAATGTACCATTATTAGAAATTATGACCTATTTGACAAAGGATATGAATCAAGACTTTTTGATAGAGCCATCTCTGAACAAAAACAGTGAATCCTCTAGTACGAATAAAAATGATCATTTAAAAAGTGTTTATTTATCAAGACCAAATATTGAATTGACAGATCTTTTAAAGAAAGAAACCGAAATGAAAAAAAATTTAATTAAGCATACCTCGTCAAGACATTCGAGATTTGGTGCTATGTTGTCTATTCAAACTCCGAATGGTGGTAGATTGACTGTCTCAGGAGGTCAGAATCTTTTAGATGAATCCTCAGCTATGGATAAAATTGACGCTAGAAAGAAATGGAATAAAAGGCAACTACAAAAGCGACAAGATCCTATGGAAGAAGGTTTACCTGCTGGGTTTTTAAACTCAGAAAAATATACGGTTCCTTTAACAGACTCTACTGCAAAATCGTTTATAAGATTCCTGAATAATTTTATTGATTCAAGTTTTAATATTCTTTTGCATAGTATTAATAATTATTTCACTACTGAACAAGACAAGATAGTTACCCTTGAACAAATAGAATATTTATTATTTACAGCATGGTTCATCAAGTATCAAGTCAAAAGGTGTAATGAGGATCCTACAGCTGACATTGCCATGATTGGCGAAACATTAAATGAAACGTCATATATTCTAGTATGTCAATTATTACGTAGTTCATTTGATATGAAAAATTGGCCTGTTGTACATGCAACAATGATAGCTTTCAATGAATTATTACTACTCTTAAATGATAACACTATTCAAAATAGAGAAGATTTTGATATTCAATATATACTCAGCCGTTTATTTAGTGAGGACAGAATTCATTTATTGTCAAGTTTACCAAGAACTGCATTTAGGCATTCGGAACATTATATGAAAATTTGCATTCATTTAACACATTCGGTTCTAAAAATATTAGAGAAGAACACAGCGAATCCATTTGTTATTGAAGGTAAGAACAGAAAAAGTTCGAAGAAACAAAACTTATCAGAAGATGATATTAAGAAGCTAATGGAACATCATAATATAGACAGAGATCTTGCTATTGAACTTTTGGTCCCACAAAATAAAGAGATCGAGGTTGATTTTACTAGGGTTCAAAGCCGGTTCATCAATGATGCGACAATGGATACTTACATTAATTTCTTAGAGCGATTCCGCGAACTTGATCACCAATCTATTAAACATGCTGTTGCGTTCTTTCATAGAATATTAACAAAAGCCAAAGAGGAAACATATCTTTTCCGTTTGGATCTCATTGTATTATTACGTGATATATTGGATAGTTCTAGTTTGGCAAAAAACTCGAAAAGCAGGAAGTACGTCGAAGATTTCTCAAATTACTTATTGTATAGATTGAAAAAAAGATTAAAAACATCACCAGCGTGGTTTGTAGGATTGTTATTTCCATCATTACATGATAGTCAAATTGGATACTACCAAAGATACGGGGAACCGAGAAGTACATCAACTCGAAACCGTTTTGGAGTTACTCCAAGTATCTTCAGGCCTATTGAAGATGAAGAAACATTACCAATTGCAATTGTTAGAGATATGAAGGTAGGAATTCTTGTTTCTGCAATCATAGATAATGGTGATACTGATATTTTAGAATTACTAAAGAAGAACATCGAAGTCTGTCTTGCATTCTATGATGTAGCTTTAGGAATAGCTGAAAGTGTTGAAACTATTCCTAAAGAAGTTGAAAAAGAAAATTTTAAACTTCCTGATGAATTTAAAAAACATCTACTTATAAATAAAGACTTTAGAGCACTTCTAGCCCTACTAGAATATAGTGTACCCCACACTGATGATGATAAATGTGTTCTTATTTCTAAGTGTAACTACGCTCAGTTATTGACAGATCTTCAGTCCTTGGAGAAATATTTAACTACACCTTTCGAAACACCAAATGGTAAATCTTCGTCTTCATACTTAATTAGATCTATTGAGAACAGTGAAAATATATATGTTGATGAAGACGGATGGAATGGTCATGAGGAGTATGATTATGATGATCCGTCTATTATACGGGATGATGATGAATATTTTAAATCACTTGACCAGAATATGGATGATAGGTTAAAGGGTAAAGAAATGGCTAGAGGTCTAGCTAAATCTAAGAAACTGAACCGTTCGAAAACCCCTCGTTCTAAACGTGGAAGAAATAAGTTGCCTATGTTTGATGTTGATGACAATTCGCCTACTTCTCAAAAAGATAGTTCTCATAGTTTTGTTGCGAGTAGGGAGTATATTTCAGATTCGGATGACGAAGAGGATATGTCAACTATATTTTACGAAAATGAAATATACCTGAGATACCTATTGGAAAAATATAACCAAATTCTGTCACCAGCGCAGTCCTCGATGTATGCAAAATTCAGAAATGAGCGTGTTTCTAACAATGGTACTATTATTAATGTAGGTGCTTACACAGAATTGTTTGGTGGTCCAATTCCAACATTACAAGAACTGCGGAAATCTTCAACAGGCTCAACGGGACCTAATATGGTTTTACACGATTTATCAGCTAAAAAAATGGAGGATACTTTTAAATCTACAGATGGGATGAATTCTGATAAGGAAATAGCAACCACAAACCAAGAGGGTGAAACTGAAGACCTTCACCAATCTCCTTCAGGTAAATCTAATGAAGAAGAAGAAGAAGAAGATGATGATGATGATGATGTTGGCCCTCCAAATTATAAAAATAAGAAACGAAAACTCTCTGCAATTGATAGTAACACAGATGATGAGGATGATAATGATGATGTACCAAACCCAGATGTTTCGAATGATGATGAATCAGACACTCCAGCTTTATTAGGAACTCAATCTTTAAACAACTCTGATATTTCAAATAAGGATACTGTGTATGACACTATCATGAAAAATATGGAAAAAAACGATCAAGAAGCCTATTAATTTTGTAAGCATCTCGGTGATTCCCATAAAACTACTGAAGTAATATTTTCATCCAAAACTCCTTGACGATATATGTCTGAAAGAGAGTCGTATATAAATGTATCTAATTTTTCAAAATATTTACTAATGTCTGTATAACCTATATTTATAAATTGGAACTTTACACATTTTCCTGCGCATCATCGAATTCATCTTCATTTGATGGTGAAGAGGTTCCTTCTCTATTTTGCTCGTTTCCTGTGTAATCATTTAAAATATCGATACTATCATCTCCACTAGCGACGTCTGCTATATGATTATCTGGGTTTTCTGTGCCAAAATTCTCTTTCATATTGTTCGCTATTGGTGTGGACACTTTGCTACTCTCGGTTGCAGGATCTTGACTATCATCGATCTCCAAACCTTTTGTGACGCTATTTTCACTACTTTCTTTAATATCATCATGGTTTTCTATTTGTACTGATTCGACAGTTTCGGTAACAGTTGTATTTTTTTCAACAGTAGAAGATTCTGGCCCTTCCTTTGTAAATGTTTCATCTTGTTCCTCCTCAGTAAAAGTTGTCCCCTTATTTGTATCGATATTCTCTGTTGTATTGACATCTAATGTTTCAGATTTGGAATCTTGATGTTCTTGATCTAGATCACTTTTACTCTCGAAATCGAACATATCATCTTTTTCAGATGTAGGTTCTTTGTGAGATGTTAGAGATTCCTCACTCTGAGAATATTTCCAGTTTTCTATAATATTAGGAGTTTGAGTCTTCAATGTTTCATCTTTAGATTTTATTACTGGTCCAATCTTGCTTGTAATAGAATCATCCACTGACCAAATACCGATATGTGTCCAGAAAAGCATGCAACGTAATTGACACAGATGTAACCAGGCTCTTTGGATATTAGTAGTTGGAAATCCTGCACGTTCAATAACTGCATTTGAAGTTTCGACCTGGGCCGCCATTTTATTTTGTGAAATTCCTAAGCCTTCCATGAAACTCATCCTTTTAGACTTTTTATCTAATGGTGCAGTCACTTTTCCTACCTTCTGAATATTTTCCATTTTGTTCCAATCTCCTTTCTCAATTGTTTTTAAAGTAACTTGTTCTAGATGCCAAGTTCCCAACTTAAGGGATCTTAAAAATGCAAATATTTGGCCTGTTTGTCTGACCTTATTAACACAACTGTAACAGAGAGAATATGTGCTGGTTACTGTTAATGTTCCATCATCAGCTTTGCTTTGAACTTTGAGAACATGCATTCTTGCATGTTCGATAATGTCATCTCTGTTTTCTCCGCAAAAGGCGCAAGGTCCATGAACTGCTACTGGAGGTGAGTTGACAGGATAATTAAACATATGCGATTCCTTGGAATTTGCATCCAATTTTGAGGGTTGGGATGTGTTTCCATCTGCATTACGATATCCAATCTGGTATGTCTCATTAACTCCACTCAGTGGTTCAAGAATAACCAAACCTTCTATCATTTGTTGTATTAGAGTTTTTTTTGCTAACCAGCCCACACCAGGTGCGTTATCAATTCTTAACACAGGCTGTACTTCATCATTGAGTAACCTTCTCAAAAGTTTTGATTCTGATGCCGTCTCTCGTATAGTTTTACAATATGGTAGAACAGCAACAAACTTCAAAAATTCATTAAATAACGTTAAGTCGTAACGGATTGTCGTTACGTATGGTGAGTAGAGTATAACATTGTCTGAATCTTTTGTAATAGAAGAACTTGAGGTAGTAACCTTATTTAGAGATCTACCTGAAGTTGTATCAGAGTCATTTAAAATGGTCGAATATCTACTAGATTGATTCGAGACAGATTCTTTTTCCACATTCTGAAGTACTACTTTTAGATTCTTTAATTGCAAGTTCAGCGTCTCTAATGTATTATCTTTGTTCCTCAATTGTTCCACCAGTTTTGTGTTAAGTATCTCTGTCGTGTGTTTCTCTCTTCTAGCATCGGCTACCATATTATTAGCTTCAGCAAATAAAGATGCAGTAAGATCTTCAACTTCTTGACTTAATTTATCCACCTCTGTTTCTGCCTTAGTACGTAACTCAACTTCAGACTTTAAATTACTTTTTAAGTCTTTAATTGTCTCATCTTTTCCAATCATTTTTTCTTTTAAGGACTCGTGTTCTACTTGTAATGCTTCGAGAGTTGCTACAGATGTACTTTGGGATTGTAACAGTTTGTTTGCTTGCCTCAATTTATCTTCGAGTTGGGATTGTCTATCAACACTTTCCATTAATTGAGTAGAAAGTGACGAAACCTGTTCTCTGATTCTGAGAGTTTCTTCAGTTACCTCAGCCATAGTTCTGCAGAAGCGAATATTAGATGTTTAATATTATTACACTTTTTGTTCGAAGTTTAGCTTTTTCGTATAATTTCTATACTATTATTACTATTTGCTCCTTCTAAATATCGATTTTAATTACCTCTAGTGAAAAAGGTTAACTTTAGCATATAGTCAATCTGATTTCTTATAACATTCTGTTTGATGTATTTCTGTTAGTGGTGTGTTTGTTTTTCTTTAAATCTGTTTTCTTCCTTCACCGCTTAAACGACAACAAAAGCGTGGTACAGTTATTTATTTGAACTTTGTTTCGAATGATTCAATTTTCAAAGGATATTGCAGAGGTAAACATACGGAAATAACTACTTTGATTATCTCAGGTTCTCGAGGAACTTTTAGTACTTATATTTGACAATTATATATGTAACTTGTATGTACTTCATAGCTGATGATAAGCAAAACGTCTTGGTCATGGCTGGCCTGGTCAGAATTGCCTACGAACAGAGGCATGAATTCATCAATTAAAAAAATGCAAATTATATTTCTCTAAATATTAAATATGTATATTCCGGGTTAATGGAAACGAGTACATCTATTGTCCGTTGTTCAGATCGCCGAACTCTTCATCATTTTGCCCAACCTCTTCAGAAATTGAGTTAGCATCCAAAATTTTATTTTCCTGTAGATCTGTTGTATTCTGTTTCACAGATGTCTCAAGTTCATTTTCATGTCCATCCTCTTGAAGAACCTCTGAGTCCTCAGGAATAGAATTTTCTTGTGTATCGAAAAATTTTAATTTATTACTTCCATCAATACTTTTGTTTGATTTCTTTCTGCGAGCACGTAACCTTTCCTTATGCTCATCCAATGAAGAGTTTTTCTTTGGCGAGGACGATGTAGACAACGTCGAAGATCCTCTTAATTCCATTAAAAGAGTAGTAGCTCTATCATGAATTTCTGACTCCTCTTCATCGATACTAGAATCCGTACTTCTTAATCTTGAATGTTTCGAAGGCGACATCGGATGCTTATTAGCAGAATTGAAAGATGAGGTAGGCGAATTAACTCCTAAAGGTGTTTTTGTAATACCACTATTATCAGGAGAATATACCAATGATTCTTCGTCTGTCTCCAAATCCTGGGTAGTATCATATATATCTTTTTCAGATGTAAGTTTCTTTCTTACCATAGCTCTCTTTCTAGCGGATGTAGGATCAGTTTTTTGAGGTCTCACATTTTTTAATTGTTCTAGGAGCTTATCCATAACAGCACGTCTGTCATCTTCGCCAGAATTGTCATCCTTTCCATCGTCATTACCCTCTATTCTTTTACGTCTTTTTTCCTCTTCCTGTTGTTGCTTTCTCTGTTGATCTTCAACCATCTTTTTATGTTTCTCATATAATTTTTCTTCTTCTTCACCCTTGATATTCTGAATCTGAGCTTTTTTATATTCATTTATGAAGTCAACAAACTTTCTGAAAAATGAATTTTTGGCAAACTTGTCCTCAGGATCTTCTCCATAAATCTGTAACAACCCCGAAAATTCTAGCATCGTTAACTTCACCTCATTTTCTAATAGATTAGCCTTTTTACGTGCTTCTTGTAAAACAGGTAGAACTTTAGCTAGAACCCTATCCTGTGGGTGGAATTTTGAAGAATCACTTAAATTACCGATCTCGACGGATCTTTGTACATTAACTATCGATTTCCCGAATGTTTGGCAATCATTGATCAATTGATCTATGGACACCTTCACAACATCAGTAAGTGGTTCTAATTCCTTTAAGAAATCATTGAAAGATGGATAATTAGTTCTAACAATTTTTTCAACATAGTTAAGGAAGGTCATACTATTTGTAGAATCTTTTATGAATGTCAATCTTTGAAGAGTAGTTAATTTGAAACCTTGCGCTTGTTTGGATGTATCATTCATATAGTTACCGACAGCTAAGATAACATTAAATACATTATGAATATTCTCAGAATCTTGCAAAGAACCGACCGCTTTATCAACTTTTCTTAATTTTGCTAATAGTTCGCTATACTCCCTCTCATATGATGTCACTACTGTTAAGGCCCTCATACGGGAACCCCAGTATGATTGAAGGTTAACCATAAGTTGTAGATATATCTGATCAGCTCTTTGTAACTCATTAGGATCTTTATCAGGTGCTTTCGCGTCCTCGATTTTTCTAATGCCTTCCCATTCTGTAGTGTATGGCGCATAATTTTTAGCTAGGTTGATTGACACCTCAATAATTTCTGTCTTTGATAAAAATTCAAGAACACTCGGGTAATTAAGAAATTCCCTGTCACATTTCAATACTTTCAAGATCAGGTCATCAACTGAGAGAGAGCTATACATGTGAAGGTTAATACCAAATTGTTGAGAGATATCACGTGATAAAAATGTAATTTTGTTCATATCTTCCTTCTTTTTAGATGCAATGGATTTCACCTCTCTAGCGGCAAAGGCTCTTTCCAGATTGGAGAGAACACCCTTTTCGTATAAATCGTCAGCAAATCGTTCCGCTTTGCCAGCATTCCAAACAGAGTTATCAGCTGGTTCTATCTTTTCCCAATGTAACTGTTTTAATTTCTTTTGAGGACGAGGATATCTTTCAAATAATGAAGGTGATTGCGTTAGAAGAGGGGAAGAAACATTTTGTTTCAGGGAACCCGGTGTAGGAATCGGAGGTGCTGGTGGAGGCGGAGGAGGGCTCATAGAGCTGATAGATGTTGAACTAGATACAGGCATTGGGGGTGGGGGAGGAGGTGGAGGAGGAGTGGAGTTTCCAGATGGGGGACCATCTAGTTTAAACAGGCCTGCCGGAGGTGGTGGCGGAGGTGGTATTGTTGAGACTGCATTAGCATCAGACACCCTATTGTCCTCATCTCTACTCTCCATAGGTTTCTCGAATGCATCACCGATGGCTTTACTAACGGCAACGGTATTTGTTTCATCAAGTGTTTTATCTTGCTTTCCTTCATCAGATGTAGACTGTTCATCACTATCACCAAGCTCGAATGTCTTGTTGTAGTCAGGCTCATCATCGGAATTACTATCATCTGTTGCCTTATCGACTTCTTCGATAGCAGGTGCTGTATTTACTTTTTGGTTCAGTTCTTGTAAGTAAGGTGCAGGTATAGAAGATTTTCTTACACGGCTCAAAAATGACTTTTCATTTCTAGTTGCTTGATGGGTTAGCTCTCTAGCCCCAGTACCATATTTTTGAGTTAGCACTTCTAAGAAAGATCCAGAGCCAGTAGATCTCTCTGAATTTTGACTAAACGTATCATAATTCATATCATTAACGGAGGATTCAGTTTCAGAGTCTGAAGATTCAGCGGAGCTTGATGAACTTTCGTCACTGTCCTTCTTTTTTTCTTGTTCTTCTAATTTATTTTTCATTCTTATCAACTCGTCTGTGATCTTATTAATCTCATCTAGTTGACTTTCATACATCTTAGGATCCAAACTGGAATAGTCTTTTTGATTTTTCTCCTTATCAGTACTTTGAATCCCAACATCATCAGGTGACTTTCCTAAGATATCTTCAACATTAAAATTGATACCAAAATCTTTATACTTAGTTTCTAATTCTTTCAATCTCTGGAGAGCTAGTAGTCTTTTATCATTAAACATTTCATTAACGCGTTCCTCAACATTAAATTTAGATATATCATTAGATTCAGATTGAATCTGTGCTAAGGTCATTCTCAATTCATTTAATTTCTTAATTTGAGCATCATTATCATCATTTTTACCAAAATTAGGCAGTTTAGAACTTGGTTTGTGTTTTGCAGATTTATGTTTCTTTTTTATTTCAACAGGTGCTTTCAGGTTTGATTTTTCATAATCTGTAAAATTGGTCATCTCTAATTTTCGAGCTTCATTTTCCAGACTTTCCATTTTTGTTCTAAGGTATTTGAGTCTCTTGTTTGGCTGGACAGTCATTCCAAACTTCTTGGAATCAGCCGTGTAATCATTATTTGCACGTCTTAGACCATCCTGAAGGGCTCTTTGAATATTTCTTTGTTTTTCTTCGTTGAACATCTTATGTTCACTTCCTGCATCTGATTTACTTCCTTTATGATGAATTTTCTTTTTATTGTCTGGTCTGGAATTCATTATCGTTAGCATTTTACGTAATTCAACCTCTTGTTCGTGTTTCTCAAGCAAATGTTTCTTCTTTAATTCTTCAAGTTCGTTCTGCAACTGCACAGTAACACGCTGATTCTTAGCTAAGATAATATCACGTTCCTGTAAATCATTTTCTAATTGCCCTACTAAACCATTTTCAGCCTTAGATAATTTTTCAGATAAAATTTCTTTCTCAGCTTGTAACTCTTCTAGTTGTTTGGTTAAAGATCTACTTTCTAAAATAGCACGACGAGCGACTTCATCTGTTTGCATAGAATCATATAATCTCTGTATAGCCATATTCATTGTAGATTCTTCATCCGATGTGGATGCACTTATATTCGTAATTAACGAATCCATTAATTTTAATTGTTTGGAAAGTTGGGTAGTATCTGTTTTGTTTTCAATAATTCTTGAACTTGATAAGAAAATGTGTTGAATTAGAGATACCAAAGTCTTTTCGTTATCTGTACCTTTACAAGAATCCCATAGATTCCCTAATAGAGATATAGGGTCTTGTAAATTCACATCCGTATTACTATTATTTCTTTCCAGCATTGTATTGAAATCGTCTAGTTTATAATTTTCATACGATTCTATCTCTTGTATGATTTTATCGTAATCGAACATTTTAAATCTACTAATGACTCTCACAAACCCAGAGTTTTCGAGCTTTGTTCTTAAATGCATACGTTGTTCAATATTATCAGAACCCATACAAATATTGTTAATTAGGATCATCGTCAATTGACAATATTCGAGTATAGTATTTTCGCCTCCTGCCAACTTATATTCATCTGAAGCCCCAACCATAGATCCCATCTTACCACGTCCATCCAGACTTTGTTCAACGGCAAATCGCCAAGCTTGAATCACTTTCAATTGACTATCCGCTGCGAGATGACTAAAATATTGTGGATATTTCTTGAAATATAACATCATATGGGCATTTTGATCTATCTTAAAATTTTGGTCCATTGATTGAAGAACAACTTCAAAGTTTCTAATGTTTTTCGTTTGAAGGATAACCACAAATATTTCGGTGGCCATTTTCTTTGTATTTAATCTAGTTGAAAATAAACCTCTTGCAATAGTATCTGGCATAAGGTTATGTGTAGTAAATTCATCTAGACCTTGTCTTAACATTATTAATACTCTAAAACATTTGAAAAATGCACTTTCTTTATCTAATAGTTTTTCGGTCAACCGATCAGTAGGTGCTGTCCTATATAATGTATTCATTAATGAATTCGCCATTGCAATATGACCTTGATGTTCTAAAAATGCATCTACCCAATCAAGTTGCTCCGTTCTCAATGTAACCCACAAATCATTTATTTCATCTATTGATAATTGTTCTGCCAATATTTTCTTTACATAATATATCGGTGGTCTATTTGTCTTATCTGATGCTACTGACGATGTGCTTACATTGCGTTCCGTCTGTTGATACAAAGCTTCATTTCCTAATGGATTTTTAGTAGAAGTTGTTCTTAATTTAGTGAGTCTATTACTGTCAGGTGCAAAGGAGGTAGGTGATTTATCTACTATCGCGATAGAACTTGATTGACTTGGCTGTATTGAACTCATTGATATAGCTTCAGATGTAGTTGAAGGTTTCTTTGATTTCATACGTTTAAATTCATTTTGTAAATCTTGCTTGACTATTAACCATTTTTTTTTAATATCATAACTCATTAATTCTTTTTGTTTCAAAGGTGGTAAATTTTGTAAAATGTTTCTCTTTAACATAATATCTTCGAATAATGTTTCTACTTCATATGGATCGCTTGGCATCTCTAAATGAATCTTACCATCTGAAGTAACAAATTTTGATAAATTAACAAATGAACCTTGTGATAATATACTTGCGGCAGAACTTTGATTAGTATGTTCTCTAGAAAGTCTATTTATATTCATGTTTGTATTATTAATGTTATCCATTGATGAAAGTTGTGATGATCTACGAGAATATGAGTATTTTGAAGAAGATTGTATGGATTGATTCCTTCTATGGTAAGAATCTGAATCGGGACTTAAAGTCTTTGGTTTATTATTATTATTATTACTGTTCATATATTGTCCTAGATTCTGTGTATTTAAAGTAGTCTTTTTACTCAAGGGTTGTTTGAAATCTGATGTCCCATTAGTATTATTAGTTATATCATTCGATCTTCTACTGGAACTTGAAGATGATTTACGATGATGTTGGTAAGACGCGTCTCGACTTGGAGAGGTAGACGGTATAGCTTTGGGACTACCAATCATACTAGTAGTGATTTGATTTGTTGAGCTTGAACTATTTGAGTTTGCTAATCTTTTCAAATTTTGAAATAATCTAGACCCTGAGCCTGAGCCTGAGCCCTGAGCGGAACTTTGGTCGGATCCATTTGAGCCGCTAGAGATAGAATTCTTCAGCATCAGCGTTTGTATGTGTGTGTGTGCCTAAAGGTAGAAAAAAATCCTCAAACAATTGTATCTAAAAGGTCAGTTGTTAATACAGGAATCTAGAATGACAGCTTGATATACAATACACAATCGCACACAGATCTTAATGATTTGAGTATATGATATCCTTGTTAACAGATGCTGTTTCACTAATATGTATGTGTGTCAGGATATAAACAGCGGAAGCGTCAACCTCCTTTTCTTCTCCTACTTCTTCTTCTTCTTATTTTTACAAACTACCTTTAATTTTATTAATTATTATTATTATTAGCATTATTGCTATTAAACCTTACCACCAAAAAAACAAGCGAAAAACGACTATTTTGTCAATTTCAAATTTCGAGAGACAGCGAAAGCGAGAGAGAAACTCACAAACACACATACAAACACGCATAGCAGAGAAAAACTTATTCGCTGGTTTACCCGTTGACAAAGCGAAAGAAGGAAACAGTTACGGGGAATTATATAATAATTTCTTTCTTACGCGATTGTCGCATTGTGAATTATTAGTATTATTGACGATGCAACAAACAATAAGATATTTATAGTGAAGGACTATCACGGAACAGGGCAGAGAAATAGATATAACTATTTGTATTGTTTCTATTTTTATGTACTTACAGGATACACTTTCTAACTATCTTCTTTATCATGGGAGCTGTGATTCATATCTAGTAATCAGGATATTTCTTGCTTGCTTGTAGATATGTTTATATATTTATATATATATAAATAGATACTGTTTATAATATACTGCAGTAAGTACACAATAATACAAGTATATGAACCGTGTAATGGAAACAGATCAATTGCCAGTGGACAAATTCAATGGATATTGGAACTATCATTGGAATGAATGTAAATACTCAATACCTTTAAGAATGTTCGTAGTCGTTGGATTTGGTTTCTTTATTATAGCAGGTATTATAAGTTGTGATGAATGTGATCAAGAAGGTGTACATGTACTTGGTATATTTGGTATTATATGCAATTGTATAGCATTTTGTATGCCTTTGATTGACACATATGATCCCCATGATTATCTTGGAGTTGAAGGTCATATAAAGTATTTCTTCGAGATTACTCAAAGGAAACCTACGATGGAGGCAAGAACCTGGCATGAAATATCTTTAACGATGAATCAATTTGTTAAAGAGAATAAATTAACTAGGACAGGATATTTATTTTATGATGAAAAGAGTTGTCAAGATTATTTTATTAGATTAGTCGAGAATCATTTTCAAAGAAAAAGATATAGAGCAGAACAAAAGAAAAGAACTACACTAATCAAGATATCTGGTTATAAACCAAAGGAAAGAAGATGTGAAGCACAAGAATATTCTGATTGTAATGAACAAGCAAATCCTTCTTCTCCTTCTTCTTCTCCTTCTTCTCCTTCTTCATCACCAAACCAATCTCATGCGATTATTAGAAATGATTTATTAAACATAGGCGAGAATCCAATTGATAATAAGATTATACGTAAATCATTTAAGAAGGCAAGAAAAGTATACCAAAAACAGACTGAAATTTATTGGAATAATAAATATCCTGAATTACATATTAGAAGACAAAAGAAAAGAAAATGAATATTAAAATGACGTTATTTATTAATTACCACTCACTATATTTACTAGCAAAAAGCTTCACGTGTTGATCACTTTGCACGACGCGTATTAAAAATAATACACTAAAAGATACATATATTTTTTTTACAACTAAGCGAAGGACCGTAGTAGGAATTCCGACGCAAACGGAATTTATTACCGTTGACAACTTGCCTCACACACAGCCACACTACAAAAAGAACAAGTTATATATATATAGAGAGAGAGAGCACTTGTCAAATATCATAATAAATAATCATATATTATGATCAATCATACACTAGTAATACAACTTTTCTGTCAAAATCCTTTAAACAAAGGGATCCCCGCAAAGGCCAACGGCTAACATCACGAGCCACGAAAGATGCACAGGGTTTGGCACAAAACTTTCCATTAAACGCGACGGAATCCCCTCCCCCCATCATCAGGGAACACCAGAATTGCCGCGCCATTCCATGCTTTGCGGCGGAAACCCAGAGAAAAGCATCACGGCTCTTTTGCCGACGGAAACAAAACTGCTATTAATTTCATATTCCACTGCGACGACCTCTCTGTGGACAACTCAGCTCCATAGGAAAAAGAAAATTGAGCGGGGACGCACCCACACACCCCACCCAGCCCCGTAGCCAATGGAATTAGAAAATTAAGACACATAAATAATTCGGTTGTCGACTATTTCGACAGTGAAAGACAGACGGGAAAAGCCTCCTCTCCTCATCGTAAAAGACGGGAAAGAAAATCAAATTGCGTGGTGAAAAAATTCTGTTTTATTGTTTGTTTGTGCGGCACTTGCTGTAGAACAAAACCAAAAATATTGATCAGCAACGACGTAACACATTCTTTTGTATTGGATGAACTAATCCCTCTCTCTCTCTCTCTATTAATTTAGCTTCACCCATTTTTTTCTGATGGTTTTTGAATACCTTCCCTGGGGAGGTTTACCTTGCTGGCTCAACTTTTACCTCGCAAACTGAAAATTTTTCTTTCTTAGTAACTTCATATTGCTTCGGTAAAGATACGTTTTTGGAAAGGATGGATGGGTCATACATATTTTAAACTGTTCATAATCCTTGCTATATAAGAAATTAATTAAGTATTTTAATATAAATAATTGAGACACCCTCTTTTTTGTTTATTTGTTTAATAGTTTGATTTCTCATTACTCTAATTATATAGATATAATAAAAAATAGTTCCTTTGACTAATTTCATATACTTAGAACAAGGATAAGAAGTTACAAACTCACTCACTTACTCACACCTTTGAATAGTCATAAAATTATACAAATTTTAAAGTGGTTTTTTGAAGTCATTCATATTGTATTTCCTCTAATTGTTAATTGTTAATATCCTGAACAGTTTGTTTGTTTGCATAAATTAAAAAAAAGAATATTAGTCACCTCTTTTGTTTTTTCAACCTTGAAATATTATTGGTTTTATTCTTATATAAAAGTGAACAAAGTATTCCTGGAAAAATTACAATAAAGATAATACAAATTACATTTAATTAATTGTTACTATTATTAATTATCATCGTCATATACACATACACATACACATACACATTTAATTATGGGCAGGTTTAGAAATCTAATAAGGTCCAAGAAAGAAGTGGATTCAGATGAAGATATTTCTTCAATTCAAGATACTGGATCCCCAAAAATTGAATATTCTAACGATAAAATTGAAATACTACAAACAGAATCTGCTATCACTGATCCTCATGATATGAAATCTTTAAAGAAAAAACAATATCAATCTAATGGATTCGATATTCATTCTATTAGTGATTCTTTAGCCCATAGAGGTACCAATATCGATGAAGACGATACGGAAGAAGCTGAAGTACATGATACTCAAGTTAAACGTGCCTTGAAAGAACGTCATACGAGTATGATTGCTCTTGGTGGTACTATTGGTACTGGTTTATTCGTCGGTATCGCTACACCTTTGGCATCTTCAGGTCCAGTAGGTTCATTGATTGCTTATATTTTTATGGGTTCTATCATTTATTTTGTTACACAATCTCTAGGTGAAATGGCGACTTTTATCCCTGTTACTTCCTCGATTACTGTATTCTCAAAAAGATTCTTATCACCTGCATTTGGTGTTGCAAACGGTTATATGTATTGGTTTAATTGGGCTATTACTTACGCTGTAGAAGTCTCTGTTATAGGTCAAGTTATTGAATATTGGACTACTACAGTACCTTTGGGTGTATGGATTGCTATCTTTTGGGTTCTAATCACTTTAATGAATTTCTTCCCTGTGAGAGTTTATGGTGAAATTGAATTTTGGGTGGCTGCTGTTAAAGTTGTTGCCATTGTCGGTTATTTAATTTATGCTTTAATTATTGTCTGTGGTGGTTCTCATCAAGGTCCAATTGGGTTCCGTTATTGGAGAAATCCAGGTCCTTGGGGTCCAGGTATCATTTCAGATGATAAAAATGAAGCTAGATTCCTTGGTTGGGTTGCATCCCTAATTAATGCTGCTTTCACTTATCAAGGTACTGAATTGGTCGGTATTACCGCTGGTGAAGCTGCTAATCCAAGAAAGGCTGTGCCTCGTGCTATCAACAAAGTCGTGTTTAGAATTGTCTTATTTTATATTATGTCCTTATTCTTCATTGGTTTATTGGTTCCATACAACGATCCACGTCTTGCTTCAGATACTGCTGTTATTGCCTCTTCCCCATTCGTTATCTCTATCACTAACGCTGGTACAAGAGCTTTACCACATATTTTCAACGCTATTGTTTTGATCACCGTCATGTCTGCCGCTAATTCCAATGTCTACGTTGGGTCTCGTGTCCTATACGCCTTGGCTCAAACGGGTAATGCCCCAAAGGTTTACTCTTACGTCACACGTTATGGTGTTCCATATATGGGTGTCTTAACCACTGCCGCTTTAGGTCTATTAGCCTTCTTGGTCGTTAATAACAATGCTAACGTTGCCTTCAACTGGTTGGTTAACATTTCCACATTGGCTGGGTTATGTGCTTGGGTATTCATCTCTTTATCTCATATCAGATTCATGGCTGCATTGAGGTACCGTGGTATCTCTAGAGATGATTTGCCATTCAAAGCTAAATTCATGCCTTGGGGTGCATATTACGCTACTTTCTTTGTCACTGTCATTATTTTCATTCAAGGTTTCCAAGCCTTCTCACCAACATTCAAAGTTGCTGATTTCTTTACCTCATATATCTCGTTGATTATTTTAGTTGTATTGTTTTCAGGTTGTCAACTATACTATAGGTGTAGATTCTTCTGGAAGGTTGAAGATATCGATATCGACACCGACAGAAGAGAAATTGAAGCCATTGTCTGGGAAGACGATGAACCAAAGACTGCTTGGGACAAGTTTTGGGCAGCAGTCGCATAAGCATACTACAACTGTGTTCGCATTTATTGCTTATAACAATTATGTGTTCACTATTAATGATAATAACATCCTTACATATTTCTAAAGAAAGAAAAAGAACTGGACAAGGACAGAATATTTCCATATAGTATCCTTGGTTCTTTGAAAGAGCATTTTTTACTTACTACATTATAATAATATTAATGAACAATATAGGGTTACAGTGGGAGATATGCACAACTTACATTGCATTACTGCTTGTCCTCTACATATACACAAATTTATATATTTACATTACTACATACATTTAAAATAATATTAAAAATAATCTAGAAACAATTACATCAAATCAGTTTTAAATGAATGTGGCCTTGTTTTGTTTACATTGACTATATCCATTGTTACAGTTGAAGCAAAAATGTTAACTAAAATTTTTACGTCTCATTGTTTAGAAGATACGTAACATGTTATTGTTTTTCCCTCTATTCTTTGTTTTGTTCGCCTCATACATTATTTGATTTATATTTGTCGTGTTGTTGTTGGCATTTTTTACCGTGAGAAGGGAGAGGGAAAGAAAAAAACAATATCAGAGGCAGACAGAGAGAAGGCATTGAAATTTATTAAGACTGACATTATTAGAAACAAAGGTCAAGGTTATAACCAAACACATAACGGTCTGTAATTATTCTTTTGGTTTTTATCTCTGGTGGAAGCAGTGTGAAATTTTTCATTAAGGATCCTTTTATTCAACAAAGTTACATTTTATTGGTGTGTTTCTCATTTTTACAACTGTTGTTTTTTATGGAAATTAAGATCTCCCTTTGATCGATAATAATCACACATATTTGCAAACAACTTTCAAGAAAATAGCACATAATTTCACCACTTTTTGATATATATACGGCATAACACAATGGGTATAGAGACTCCTCCTGTGGATACTGAGGTTCAGATGTCTACAGAGAGCCTACCAAAGAGAGAAAGCACAACGCAACTCAGTGAGAATGAGAAATTGTTAGAGTTTATTAACTCATCTCAATTCTCTTTATATGATTGCATTGAACTGATATGTACTTATTCAAATAATGTGGGGATTCATTACTATTTGTGTCAGAAATTATTATCATTCCCACATTCTGAATTACAATTCTATATTCCACAATTAGTTCAAGTATTACTTACAATTGAGACAGAATCCATGGCGTTAGAAGATTTAATATTGAAATTAAAGAATGAAAATCCTCATTTTGCATTGTTGACCTTCTGGCAATTACAAGCTCTTTTAGCTGATTTATCCCTGGATCCAGAATCATATGGGTTTCAAGTAGCGAGAAGGGTATTAAATGAATTGCAAAGTAGTCTTTTCAATATTAACTCCATAGAGGATGAAAAAAAAATACAAAAGATACATGAAAATGTTGCACCTGCATTAGTTCTGGCATCGATGATGATGTCATGTATGGCTTCGCCCGAAATGGCATCTATGGCGAAGCCAATGGTAGAATCTCAAGGTAGAAGACAAAAGGCATACGTCTTTAAATTAGCTAAGAGTGCAATGAGAGACTTCACTAAAAATATTACACTCAAGAATACAAAACTTAATAAACAAACGTTTTATAGATCGTCATCAAAGGGGAAGAAAAGAGATGTCAATACAATTTCCTTACCGGATACTCCGGTTGATATTGTTGATGCGGTCACTACTAAAGAAGATACTAATTTTAGGAAACCAAGGAAGAAGGATGAAGAAAGAGAACATTCTTTGAATTTTGATATTATTGATGATGTTGGGGAACAAATGTTCTCTGAAAAAATTTCAGGGTCAATTAAATTACCAAAGAGGAAAACTAAATTTGTGGATAATTCATATGTCCATAAAGTTTACGGTAATAAAACTGTTAGCGAACATGAACATCATGAACTTGAACTTGATGATAACACAATTGTCGTGGGTAGCTCTGTTGTTAATGATGAAGAACATCTAGTCGATAGTCCTGAATCTCAGAGGAAGAAGACAGGACTGGAAGCATTGAAAGCCAAAGATCAATATACCAGTTCAATGCCAAACTTACATAAAGTTGATATTCCCAGATCATCTGCATCATATGGATCACCAGAGAGGAAAGCTCCGAAGTTTATACGTTCGAATTCTCAACCACCTACTGAAAATACATTAGCTCGAAGAGGAACTTTAACACGTAACCCTAGTCAACTGGAGATCGATATAAATAGAATTCCAATATCCAAGAGAATTAAAATTCTAAAGGCAAATTATTTCCGTTGTGCTACTCAGTTTGCGATTGCATTGGAATCTATCTCTCAACGACTTGCTCAGGTTCCTACCGAAGCACGTTTAAGTGCATTGAGAGCAGAATTATCCCTAATTAACAGAGATCTACCTGCAGAAGTTGATATTCCAACTTTGCTACCCCCAAATAAAAAGGGTCGACTTCATAAATTAGTAACCATCACTGCTAGTGAAGCACAGGTGTTGAACTCTGCTGAGAAAGTTCCATATTTATTATTGATTGAATATTTGAGAGATGAATTCGATTTCGACCCTACTACGGATGATAACATCATGGTTCTGAAAAAGTCTAATTGTTCTAAAAGTACACCACTTTTCGATCTAAATTATTTGAGTAAGAAAAGAGATAGAGAGACGGGAATGTTTTCGTTAGCAGATTCTACAGATGCCCTTGTTGGCGATGAAGAGTTATCTGATGGTATTCTAAGATCTAGTAGTAATCCTTTGCAACACACATCCAGTCTACCAGAAGTACAGCATCGTGAAATGGACCTTGGAGACTTATCAATGGTTCGTGTGAAGAACCAAACAGATGCGGAAGCTTACAGAAGCTCAATTGTTTTAAAAGCTGCTTCAAATGTACCAGTAATACCTGATGATACTCAAGACAGAAGTCCAGATCTTGCTTTTGCGCAAAATATGGATGAAGTGATTGATAAGAGAAGCGCTGATTCCAAAGAATTCCACAGAGAAACAGATGACCTTGCAGATCAAATGAGAATATCGGCATTAATGTTAGCTCAATTGGATAATTCTCCCCAACAATTATCAGATTCGACAAATCAAATTCGTGCACAGATTATAGCATCTATGAAGGAAGTTCAGGATAAGTTTGGTTACCGTGATTTAGAGGCAATGCATGGTGAAGCTGGTGAACGTAAATTGGAGAATGATTTGAAGACTGGTGGTATCGATACTTCTTATTTAGGTGAAGACTGGAATACAAGAAAGGAGAGAATTAGAAAGACATCTGAATATGGTCATTTAGAAAACTGGGATCTTTGTTCTGTCATTGCAAAGTCCGGTGATGATTTAAGGCAAGAAGCCTTTGCTTGTCAAATCATACAAGCTATGGCGCAGATATGGAATAAAGAAAAGAGCGATATATGGGTGAAAAAAATGAGAATCTTAATTACGAGTGCTACAACTGGTCTAGTTGAAACAATTACTAATGCAGTTTCCGTTCATAGTATAAAGAAATCCTTAACCAAAAAAATGATTGAAGATGGTGAACTAGATGAACGTGGTGGAATTGCTAGTATAAGAGATCATTTTATTCGTGCATTCGGTGATCCAAATGGGTTCAAATTTAGAAGAGCACAAGATAATTTTGCATGTTCTTTGGCGGCATATTCTCTAATCTGTTACATTCTTAGGGTCAAAGATAGACATAACGGTAATATTATGATTGATAATGAAGGTCACGTAATCCATATTGATTTTGGATTTATGTTATCCAACTCACCAGGTTCGGTCGGTTTTGAAGCTGCTCCATTTAAATTTACCTACGAGTACGTTGATGTTCTCGGTGGTTTACAAGGTGATGCGTATAAGAAATATGTTAGATTAATGCAAGAAGGTTTCAGAGCATTAAGGAAACAGGCCAACCAAATTGTTTCCATGTGTGAAATTATGCAAAAGGATAACATGCAACCATGTTTTGAAGCTGGTGATCAAACCAGTGTCCAATTAAGACAGCGTTTCCATCTTGACGTAAATGATGATGAAGTGGACAATTTTGTTGAAACATTCTTAATTGGAAAATCTCTGGGTAGTGTTTACACTAGATTATATGACCAATTCCAATTGATAACCCAAGGTATTTACAGTTAGAACGAACGCTAATAATGGACATGATAGTTATAAAAAGCAAGTAACAAAAACAGCATACATATATACAATTAATTAATGAAATCATACATAAAGCATTTGTAAAGTCGACACTAGGTTGTCATTCATATATACATAATAATAATAAACAGACAAATAAGAAAATGAGTCACTCTACATTGTTTGGAAATATCACTTTATATTTATAGAATTTTATAGAATTTGAAGATGAATTCTTAAATTCAAATTATTTCTGTTCAGTTTATTATGTTGTCATTATTAGTAATTCGTTTTTCCAGATAATTGAATAATAACTTGTTGTGATGTAAAAGCTCTCGTTAACGTGCCAGCGTTTGTTTACATATACGTTCTAAAAAACTGAATTTCTTATTTTTATAATATTTTAAGTTTCTCAATTATCTAAGAACTTTCAAAACTATAACCTTTACATGGAACGAGTTAAGAAAAAAAAAATATTAAAATACAAATTTGAAATCTTATTAAATTAAATATATAATAAGTTGATTCCTATATACATAAGTTGGCTCAACCTATAAGTTCGGTAGTAGCCATTACATATATATAAAAATATAATTCGGCAATTCAATGATAAAAGAAAACTCAATAGAAGAAAAATTCTATTCGTGAGGTAATCTAATACTTCTTAATAACTGAATATATTGTAGTGGCATTATAACGAATTTCTGATTTTCGATTAGTAGCCTATAGTTATGTCAATTAATACTTTAAATCATTATGCTATCTACGTAGAGCTGCAAATCTTTTCTTTAAATCTTCTAGTTCCGTATCTTCGTTCTTATTATCCAGCTTTTTCTTTTGATGAACTATTTTAACATCTTTCTTTATTTCTTTTGGAATTATTAGATCCTTCTTCATCGTTTCACTATTTTGTCTAGGTTTCCGTACTGTAATAGGTGTGTGTTCATCGTTCTCATCTAATGCAGCATCATTATCTATTGCCACAATAGCCTTTTTATCATCCTGCTTAGATATACTCTGATTTTTCTTCGGGACACTGTTACCGTTGTTACCATTCTCATCATCTGTTTGATCTTCATTATCTCCATTAATATCGTCTGTCTTTTCACTATCTACAACAGATTCATCTTCCTCCTCCTCTTCATCATCAGTTAATTGGCTATATGGAGTATCGTAGGTACGGGAGATCTCCTTCAAATAAAGTACTACGAGATCTTCCGGTGGAAGATTTGGAGAACATTTCTTAAGGACCTTATCAGGAACACCAACTTTCTCCTCTAAAATGACTTTTAAAAAATCTTGACCAAATTTAAAAGTTAACAAGTCACGTAATTGTCCCAACTCTTTAACTTCACTAGCATGAAGGGAAGCATACACTAATGCTCTTACTGCCTCATTTATACCATCTTCTATATGATTTGTCAAAAGGTCAACTTCATCCTTAATACTGGTCAATATTGATACCCTTGCCAATAATAATTCACAATATAATTCTAATATTTCCAAAAGTTCAACGTGTATATCGTCGTTGATTAGTGTTTCAACACGGTAATGAGCTTTCTGTTCCTTACTTGCCATTAGTAACTGTGCCACATCTCTTCTATACTGCTTGGCAAGAGCTTGTTGTTTGTCCTGAGCATATCTCAGATACTGTATGCACATTCTAAGACATGTCTTCAATTTTACCTATCGGAACGTTGTTAGTTTTTATTATTCGTATAGAGTCAAAGCTATAAACTTTGAACTGAGTTATATAGAAAAAAATTCCAATGGGCACATACTTGATAAGGGATTTGGTTTGGTGGCATCTTCTAATTAGAGTCGACTATGTAAATAACAAATGGTGTACTTATTATTATTATTATTATTATTAGTAGTAGTAGTAGTAATAGCAGTTGTAGTTACAATGGCTAATGTGTTCCATTTGTATCCTTCCTATTCAAATATGCAAATTGCATTAAGTATCCCTTTAAATTGCCTCGAAGAATTTCAGATTACGCGGAACAAGCAAAATATTGACATTTGATGAAGAAGTATCATACTAATAGTGTTTGTTGCATTTTCTAAATTAGAGTGAAATTAATATATATATTGGTTATAGAATTCTAAAAATTTTCATATATGACATCTTATATCTCTAATTGAAAGAAATCTTTACGTTCTATAACATGACAACACCCACATTACTACGCTTAACAGTGTCGTAACTCTTATCATCTTTTAGACCGCCCCCGATTGGGAAGGCCTTGTAATTGAACAAATAGAAATTCAAGAAACCGTCACCTGGACCAAATTTCAAGTCTTCTAAAAATAATGTATTATCTTGAGATGTCAAAGCGTTGAAGACATCCATGTTCGCACGCTTAGCTAAGATAGTGGCATCACTTATTAAACTGTTTAATCTTGTCTTTAATGCCTTTGTAGCATCCTCAGAAAATCTGTCATCGAATCCCAAATCTGCATCAGATGCATAATAAAATAGATAACCTATACCTAATTCTGAATGCACATCATGTTCCAGCACAGTAAAAGGTAAAGAATAAAATGAAAAGAAATCTGATATTTTACCATCTTCATTTTCAACTACATAGGTGAAAATTACTTTTTTATTTTCTGGGATATATTCCTTCCCATAACTACCTAAGAACCAATGGGTGAACTCTTCTTGGTTAAAAGATTGAACCAACTCGAAACGAGATTCGTACTTGTCAAAGAGAGTCATCATTTGACTGACATCCTTCAATTCCATGGGTCTCAGATTTTTAGTCTTGGTATCCTTTGGTAGAGTATATAGTGCTACCATTTCAGCAGCAGTTTTACCAGCTGGTACATCTGTAAATCCAACTTCCTGCAATTTATTCCAATTGATAGGACGATGGGCATAACGACATGTAGTTACAGGTGAAGGCAACACAACACCTGCGGTGTATAGTGCTTGCCAGATATTTTGTTTGTTGACTCTTCTGGTGATTTCCTTGATAAGTACTGGTGTCATTCTCTTGGATCTCAATTGTTTATGAACGCATAAGAAATTAATTTCTACACTTGGGACGTTTTTTCCTCTAACTGTTAGATTAATTGGAATCGCTGAAATGAATGCGACAAGTTTTCCTGTCGTTTTCACTCTGACACCTACATTCCATTCCTCTCTCCATCCAGGTGGCTTCAAAGCCCAATGGAAAAATTCTTTAGTATAATTGAATCTAAAGGAAGCATCCTTGTCCTCCACATAATTTTCATTCAGTAAAATGAAGACATCTTCCATCTGGTGTTTGTCATTGATATCAACTGTGCTCCATTCGAACTCCCCTAACATTGGGTAAGGTTCATCTCTAACGTCAGCAGGTGTTTTTGTAATATCAATTGGACCCTCCTTATCAATTGCTTCATCGAATTTCTGAACTGGCTGAGTCTTCCAGAATTTATAATCTTTCATATCCTTTCTTTGTTGATCTGTCAATTTTGACAGATCACCTTGGTTGAGCTGTAGTAATTTCAACAGGTCCTCTAGTTTCTTTTGATCCATCTTTGCGTTGTATTTTTCAAGTGATACCTTTATATGCTAACTTACCGACACTATATTGGTCAACATTCAACAGAAATATACATATATATTTCACAATAAGAACATATGTTGTACCTTTTCTATCTATAATTAAGAGGGTTACCCCAGATTGACTAGGTTCGTTCCAGGTTGTTAGAAGTTTCAGCCTCCCATTATTCAAGGTGGTACTGGAAGATCATGTACTACGAAGAGCTGAAAATTTTTCTTTTTTGGTTTCTTGAAAAATATGGTGAAGCTGGCGATGCCCTGAACCGTGAAGATTTGTGCGATGAGCTGACTTGGGTGATACTATAGTCCATCAAGACAATTGTAGTAAGTGTGAAATATAGTAGTAAGTGTAATTAGTTTTGCATATATATACAGCTTGTTGAAGTAATGAATATATAAGGATTCATAGCTTTGTACAGGTTCTGAGAAATTACTCTCTTTTTGACAGTAATACTATAAAGACACATACCAAGAATATATTAGCTTCTAATAAAAATGATTTCTGCTACAGCTTGGGTCCCTAGAGGATATGCTTCTGAATTTCCAGAAAAGTATGAATTAGATGATGCTGAAGTAAAAAGAATTGAAAATATGGCTAACTTAAACCTGAATGAAATCGATGTAGAAGAAGCCGAAAGATTAGCTGCTGAAGAAGCTAAGGCAAACGAGGATAACAATGACGACGACGAAGGTGTAGGACAAGCAGAAGGTGATGATGCTGCTACTGAATCTGCATACAATAATCAGAATGCACTAAGAGATCAAGCAGATATAGATAATGATATGAAAGAATATGAAATCGAGGAAGCTCAATACACTGAATCTAATGGTGAAGGTGAAGACGTCACAATGTTCCCTGGTTTAGCCAATGATAACATTAAGTTTCACGAAGGTGAAAATGGTGAGGATCCATATTTGTCTTTACCAACTGAAACTGAAAACACAGAAGAAAAACAAGAATTACAAGTGTATCCAAATGATAACATGGTCTTGGCTACAAGAACTGAAGATGACGTTTCTTATTTGGATGTATATGTTTATGATGATGGTGCTGGTTTCCACAGTGATGAAATTCCTCAAGAACAAGGTGATGAAATCGATCCAGATGTTGCAAAGGGTCTTGTGAGAGACTCTTCTTTATACGTCCACCATGATTTGATGTTACCAGCTTTCCCATTATGTACTGAATGGATCAATTACAGACCAGGTAGCAATGACAATGATAGTGTCGCTAATTTTGCTGCCATTGGTACATTTGACCCACAAATCGAAATCTGGAATTTGGATTGTGTTGAAAAAGCTTTCCCAGATATGATTCTAGGTGAACCTACAGACAACTCCATTTCATCATTACAAGGGCAAAAGAAAAAGAAAAAGAGTAAAGGTCAACACATCACCACTCATCATACGGATGCAGTGTTATCCATGGCTCATAATAAACAGTTCCGTTCTGTTTTAGCTTCGACTTCTGCTGATCACACTGTAAAATTATGGGATCTTAACAACGGTAATGCCGTCCGTTCTCTTGCATCTATCCACAGCAATAAAAATGTTTCTGCATCCCAATGGCATCAAACTAACGGTTCAATCTTATTGACTGCTGGTTACGATTCACGTGTGGCTCTATCTGATGTTAGAATTTCAAATGAATCCGAAATGTCTAAGTACTGGTCTGTATCTAAAGGTGAAGAAATCGAAACTGCTGTCTTTGCCGATGAAAATATAATATTATGTGGTACTGACTCTGGTAATGTCTATTCATTTGATATCAGAAATAATGCCGAATCTAGACCAGTATGGACCTTGAAGGCTCATGACTCTGGTGTCTCTACACTTTCTGTAAACAATTTTATTCCTGGTTTAATGAGTACAGGTGCTATGGGTGAAAAGGTTGTCAAGTTATGGAAATTTCCAACTAGTGAAGAAAGCTCTAATAAAGGACCAAACATGGTTTTATCTCGTGACTTTGATGTTGGTAATGTATTAACCACATCTTTTGCCTCAGATATCGAAATATCAGGTACTATGGTTATCGGTGGTGTTAATAAGGGTTTAAAGCTATGGGATGTCTTTTCCAACAGAACTGTTCGTAAGAGTTTCTCTGACGAATTACAAGGTGTCCAACAATTGGCCAGAGAAGAGGCAAAGAAACTAGGTAGAAGTTCAAGAATAGCAAGAAAATACATAAAGAACGACAACCCCGATACCGTCATGCAAATCGAGGACCAAGGTGAAGATGAGGAAGAGAGAGATGGAGAAGAATAGAACCCCAAAGAGGACCAAACTCCCGCAATTTATCCAAATTTACATTAATTTCGTCATCCATTTTCATTTTTTCATTTGCGCAATTGCATCTATGAGGTAATGTTTGTATTTTAACTATATAATATACACGATATCCCACGATATTGCAATAAATAGCAATAGTGAGATTGTCAGCACCCCCAACCATGTACAGTATTAAATAGAGAATACATAAATCATCATGATTTAACAAGAAATAGCATAGACCTAGTTCTGTCACAAACCACGACAAAGAGGAAGACCGTCCCAACGATATTTTTCATCCTGAATTCGATGAGATGGGCCGTCAAAAGTGATTGAAAATTTTTCGCAGTGAAATTTTTTTTTCTTAAAATTTTGCGATGAGTTTCCGAGACCTCGAGTGATTCTGAACCCCATCCTACATACACTGGGTAATGGAACCATTCGATAATGAGATGCACACTAAAACAATCGATATATCTTTTACTTTATATTTGTTATAATAGTTCTAGTTAGTATTTCAGATATCTTAGTTTGTTTGTATTTATAATATAAGTTAGTATCTATACTTAATCAAAAGAGACACCGTTATAGACGAAGTGATAATCATGGCTCCTATTGAATATCTATTATACGAAGAACCTACCGGTTACGCTATCTTCAAGGTCAAGCTACAACAAGACAACATTGGTGCTAAGCTTGCCGAAGTTCAACAAGAAATTAACGAATTCGGTTCCTTCACTAAGTTAGTTGAACTAGAATCCTTTGCTCCATTCAAAGGTGCAGCTGAAGCTTTAGAAAATGCTAATGATATCTCTGAAGGTCTAGTCTCCGAAAGTTTAAAATCCATCCTAGAGCTAAACTTACCAAAGGGTTCTAAGAGTAAGACTGTTACTTTAGCCATTTCTGATAAGAACTTGGGTCCATCCATTAAGGAAGTTTTCCCATACGTTGACTGTATTGCCAACGAATTAGCTCAAGATTTACTGCGTGGTGTCAGACTACATGGTGAAAAACTATTCAAAGGTTTACAACCAGGTGATTTAGACAGAGCCCAACTTGGTCTAGGTCATGCTTACTCCAGAGCTAAGGTGAAGTTCTCTGTTCAAAAGAACGATAACCATATCATTCAAGCCATTGCTTTGGTCGATCAATTAGACAAGGACATTAATACTTTTGCTATGAGAGTTAAAGAATGGTACGGTTGGCATTTCCCGGAATTAGCTAAGCTAGTTCCAGACAATTACACATTTGCCAAATTAGTTTTGTTCATTAAGGACAAGGCCTCTCTAGACGATGAATCGTTACATGACCTTGCTGCTTTGTTGAACGAAGATGCTGGTATTGCCCAAAGAGTTATCGACAATGCTCGTATTTCCATGGGTCAAGATATTTCTGAAGCTGATATGGACAACGTCTGCACATTTGCTCAAAGAGTTGTCAACCTAGTTGACTACAGAAGACAGTTATACGAATACTTATGTGAAAAGATGCACACTGTTGCTCCAAACTTGTCTGAATTGATTGGTGAAGTTATTGGTGCTAGATTAATTTCTCATGCTGGTTCTCTAACTAATCTTTCCAAGCAAGCTGCTTCAACTGTTCAAATTCTAGGTGCTGAAAAGGCTCTTTTCAGAGCTCTTAAGACCAAGGGTAACACTCCAAAGTATGGTTTGATCTACCACAGTGGTTTCATTGCCAAGGCATCTGCTAAGAACAAGGGTAGAATTTCTAGATACCTTGCTAACAAGTGTTCTATTGCTTCCAGAATTGATAACTACTCTGACGAACCAACTAACGCTTTCGGTACTGTTCTAAAGAAGCAAGTTGAACAAAGATTGGAATTCTACAACAGTGGTAAACCAACTTTGAAGAATGAAGTTGCTATCCAAGAAGCTATGGAACTCTATCACAAGGATCACCCAGAAGAAACTTCTGCTAAGGTAGAAAAAACTTCCTCTAAGAAGAGAAAGGCTGAATCTGATGATGATGAAGAAGAAGAAGAACAGGAAGAAAAGAAGAAGTCCAAGAAGGAAAAGAAAGATAAGAAGGAAAAGAAGGAAAAGAAAGATAAGAAGGAAAAGAAGGACAAAAAATCTAAGAAAGAAAAAAAGAGCAAGAAATGATATCAGTTAATTGATTGATATTTGTTGTATGCTTTTTTATTTACTTATATTTTCATTTATTTTCATTTTAGCAACTCGTCATCTCATCGTTTCAGAAAGCGAAACCAAAACTAAACCTCTTTTACATCAAATTTAAGGATAGACGATTATCCGTAACCACTTCCAATATATCTATGTACTGTATATTTAGCTTTATTATTTTTTGAAAATAGATATTGGAGTCAATATTAAATTTAGGTTGTTTGTTTCAAGGAACTAGATGTTCCAATATATATTAATAACAACTCAGTGCTGTGCTATAAACAATAAGTTTTATGTTGTGTATTTTATGTATTATTTAACATTCGTTATCAACTAAATATATAACCCAGATTGCGTGCTCATTGCAGATCCATCAAATCTCCAATATTTGTTGCATTCTTCGTAATACTTTTGAGTATCAATTCCACTATTCCATTGATTCATTAAAGCATGCACTAATACATTCATAGTTTCTAATGATATCTTTTCAAAACCTGTTGGGCCTTCACTTGGTACAATGATACTACTAAAATTTGAGACTGATCGAACAGCTGCATTCGATATTAGGGAACCAATAAATCCACTAACAAATTCTGGAGGGTTTAGGTCGCAAACAGAAGCTGTAATTGCTTTGGAATTCATGATTCTATCTGATGCACCAATCACAAACGTTTTCTTACAGTCGCTGAGAAGACTTGCTAGTTTTTTAGCAAGAATATTATCAAAAATAGGTGACAGTTTTAAAAAATTTTCATCTATGGATATTAACAGACTATTATTATTAGGGATATAAAATAGTGGGAACTCAAAACTAAAAGATTTCTGGTTTTCTTCATTTTTTTCGTTAGTTGCTGGGTCAAATTCATTTGGAAAGTTCTCATTAAAGTTCCAGGAATAACTCCCTTCACTCAAGCCGCTCTCTTCAAAGGATAATGCCATCCTAATTGAACCAATTTCTTTAATGTTAAGGAATTTTTTTGGAAACAAAGGATTCATAACCTTGGTTGTTATATAGACAATATCATAATCTTTCAAATCTAGTTCTGTAGGTAATGTAACAGTTGGTAATGGTAAACTTTGTAAGGATTCTTCTTTTGATGTTAGAATGGGATAATCCAATTCATGTCTTGGTATAGATAATTCATTCCATTGTTTAAACTAATATATCCAGTAGGAGCAATGATATCCACTTTAGTCACATTGGAAAAAGCCTACGAATATCATTCAAATAATACAAATATATGTTAGTAAAATGAAAAACTTAAGGGACTTTTAACACCGTATTGATCCTGTCTGCCCATTTAGGGCCCAGTTTAAGATTCCGTTGTTAATCAGAAATTTTAACATACAAGCATGGTAAATTTATTGTAATATATTAAGTAGGAATACTAAATCAATGCTATCGGTATTAGGAGTTGTTCCTTTTTTATTTTATTGAAAGCTCGTTGGTATCTTTAATACCTATTTAATATATATTTTTATAGCGCATCACCTAAATGTTACATTAAATCTTTTGATTTATTCACCAAGCGCATCATCAAAGGATAAAAATTTCCAGTTTTAAATATTATAATTATTCAATGAAGAGTGAGTTTACTTAAAGAACATGAGAAATTTATAGGTAAGAGCTTCTAGATTTGTACTATCTGACTTTATTATCTCAATTAACCACTCATAAATATCATATATTTTAAATCATGTCAGACTTGGCTGCACAATATCAAAAAGTTCAAGGTGATCTGGAAGATCTGATAATGAACAGACAAAAGTTAGAGACACAATTACAAGAAAACAAGATTGTCACTGAAGAATTTGAAACTTTAAAAGACGAAACGCCGATCTATAAATTGACTGGCAATGTTCTCCTTCCTGTAGAACAGGATGAAGCACGCACTAACGTTGATAAAAGATTAGAATTCATAAATGGTGAAATTGATAGATGCGAGAAGAACATTAAGGACAGACAAGGTGAATTGGACAGATTAAGAAACGAATTGATGAAACAGACCAAATAAAGTAACTTTAGAATCGCTTTTTCTTCTTATTCTTTTGATTGTACATTATTTACTAGCATCGTGAGACACAGACTTTTAGGTCAAATTTCTCTATTAATCTGAAACTTACAGGGCGTAATATTCGAAATAATCTAAACATAATATTTACCTTCCACCAAAGTAAAATAATAAATGGATACGTGCACTCCCTTTTTTTCCATTGTTTAATATCAATATAAATTGTAGAGTTATAATATCATATAATTTTTAAATTTGCAAAATACTTATATATGTCATTAATCTTAAATATCAAATTTTCAAATATCCTTAGTTTCAATGACTGTCTATCTACATGAAAAGCCATAAATGGTTTGTATTTCCATTAATTAAAAAACAAATATTATTCTTTATTTTCTAACAAGCTGGGATTTGATGAGATTAGCAGAAACCATTAAAGTATACCATGCAAATTCTTCCGCATTGTTGTAGTAATCACCAAGCTTCATGACATTATACAATTTATCATGTGCAAATTGCATAGTTTCTGAAAAGTCGACTGATCTATCCTGAGCCATAAACAATTTGCTTGTCACATATGTGAATGAAACACCCAATCTTTTAGTATACCATGCCATATCAAAATGGTCCTTTTCATTTGAAAAATATATCATGTCATCTGCTAGGTTAAATAATTCAGGCAAAGCAGTATCCATCAAATATTGACTTGGAATTGATAATTGAGCAAAAAGATCAGTTAATTGGTTTCCCATGGGGATATCCATCTGTAGACGTTTAATCAACAGTTCTTCCAATGTTGGTAACCCATTGTTACGATCAATATTTTCTTGAGGGATATCCTTAGTTAATTCATGTCTCTTAGTTACCAAATGATACTTGATCAATTCCAGCACAGCTGGAGAAGAATGAACGAACGATGGGGAGTTTGATGCACCTAACACTGATATTATGGATGGTGAAAGACCTAGTTGGTTAATAGATTGAACAATTGCCTTTTCATTAAACCCTAGTTTAGGCACGTTGTTAGCAAGACAGTGATCCAGCACTTTGCTTTGCAATGAATCTGTAGTATAAGTCAATGGTTCAATAGTGATCGGTTTGACATAGTCTTTAGAAATTGGGTGATACGACCGCATGCATAGCAAGGAAGGTGTAGTAATCTTACTTTGCACTAATTTCTTTGCTAATAAACGAGACATTTTACCTCCAATTGTATCGATATTGATTCGAATAAGGATTACACAGTATAGGTTATGGTGAGTTATGTATGAATGTACTGTCTGTAATCAATGCTAGTCAACTTTCCCTGCTTATATATATGTATGCATCCCCCCCCCCCNNTTCCCCCCCCCCCCCTCCGTTCCCTTGGAATATGTAAAGTCTGCCTTTATTTTTTCTTTCTTTGCATATTGAAAAAAATAATTACGATCAAAGAAGAAATTTACTGACGTCAATACTACTGGGAGCTAGAGACAAACAAGAAAATGTACTTAAGACTTACCAGAACAATGAATATTTGCAATTCGAAACTATTTTAATTATTATGGTGAATTGATGAATGTAATTTCTTTTATTGTTGTGACTTATGTACAGTTGTGATTAAATAATGCTAATGTGTTATGTTATGCTAATTTTAAGAATATTTTACTGTCGATGGTTTGAAGGGCAGCAGAGATTTTACATTCCTTAGTGAAAATTTGGTCTTGCTAATGTTTGGAAGACCTACTAAATTATGAACGGGATCCTTCTGTAGTATGGTAACGTTTCCCCCTAAATCCTGCTACATACATATTGAATTGATATACTTCTTGTGGGTTGAAATCATTCAATTCCCATTTGGTACTCTTGAATATATTTTCTATTGGATTCATCAATACATCGATTTCAGAATTGAATTTATTCTGTAAAAGATTCATATCATTTACAATATCTGTTTTATTGAATCCTGTAGTGAAAATAGCACACTTAGTATCTAACAATGCCTTCATTGTACCATTATCTATCCACGTTTCTTTACCCTTAGCAGCTGATGTAACACTTTCAGAAGCATATCCTGGATGGAATGTAAAAAAGCAATCGAAGAAGGGATCATAAGGATAGAATTCTTCCATTTTATGAAATACATTAAAATAATCAGTGTAATGAATCAATTTCAAAGTTTCGTCAACTTTCCTTATAAATGGTTTTCCGTCATGCTTTCTAACGTACTGGTTTTGTTGCTTATCATAATATGATTCCGGCCCTATAAAATAAATTTCAAATGATTGTAAAGGGAATAAATATTGCAATTGCTTCCATACATAACCAGGAAGTTGTGTTTCTGCTCTTGCTCCGAGAATGAACAACCGTACAGGTCTATTCTTTACGACTACCTCTTTACCTGCTTTACCAATCTTTGAATCCATAGCCTTCGTCAACAAATTTCCACTATCACCAGATTGGTTTGAATAAAGGGTGTAACGTAATGCAGCCAGGGACTTCAAACCTTCTAAAGTTATAGGACCTTTAGGGTTTAAGAAATACGGGGAAAACTGAGATAGTATCGATGCAATAGTCAATGGATAACTTAGCATCTTGGTCATTGCAGCCAATTGAAACTCTGTATCCATTGAATAAAATCCTCTTGTATAAAAGAATAAATCCCAATTAGTCATATTGATGACCCTGTCCCTTCCTTGACTTAAAGGGAACTCGAATTCGGGAAATGGTCTCCCACTTCTCAAATCATGTTCATATATATTTACTTTCCTTAGTTTCTCGTAAATCTTATTTTCGTGATAATTTTTATCCATCTCCCATGCTTCTTTAGAATGATGAGTTGGTATACCAGACAAAGGACACACATATTGAATATTTTTGCCTGTTACGGGACATTTGGCAACCTCCATGATCCTATTAGCTCTCTCTCGTAGTTGTGGATAAGGCGATTGATCCCAAGGATGGAATCGATTCTCTGGTGTTGGGTCAGTTTCCGCAGAAGGTGGTTCTAAACCAAGAGCATTTCGTACAAATCCCATAATATTTCTGCGTTGGCTCATATGCAAACCCCTAGATATTGTTTTGTATCGTAACATTTGACAGTTAGGCATCATTAAACGATGTGCTAACGTTGAACGGATCATAATTAAATTATATTGAAACAGTTAGAAAATGGGTCTTCTCATAAATTTACAGTTTTTGTTTATCTCGAGCTATACCTTGACAGGCTTAATTATCGTTAAAGGAAGAAGTAATCGGGTAGCCAATCTAAGAACAACACTACCACTTTCCAAGTAAAAATATGTGTATAAACCAAATAACACTATAACAAACTCTGCAACTTCTTTAACCCGAACTATTGTGTTTCTATTTCGAAGTTCATTATGCTCGATTAGTTAATTATCCAAGACTGGAAAAACATTAATAATCACGTGCAACCACCAATTGTTTTTTGCTTAATTATTGAACAGAACGTCCAAACTGACCATTTAAATTCAAAAATTCTAGCTCAACACCGAGAGGAAGAAAGGGAGAAATAAGATTTGGAATAATATACAAATATAAAATGTATATGTAGTTCTAGTAAATAAATAAATGCAAAGGGTCATTTATTTAATTTCGGTACTTGCAATAATATAATCTCACAGTAGTGGAAATTCTCTAGCCTTAAAACATTCCTTTTTTTTGATTCTATTTACAACATGTTGAAAAGTGGATGGCAGAGAGTGACATCGCAAATGGCACAGTTGCGAATCTATCCCGTGAGACAACTGAGCCATCAAGTTCGCAATGGATTGATACTGAATCGTTTCTCACTATTAAGTGAAAATATGGGTGAGAGCATGACCATGCCGAATATATTTCAACTATCGAATAAGATGAACTGTGTTCCAGATATTCAATTTGTTAATGAAAAGGATTTAATACGTTCGATAACTCAGATTGGTGATATTTCACCTATGGTAGAAGATAATGGTATGCTATTGGACTCTGTACTTAGAAAGAGAAAGAAGAAGATGAAGAAGCATAAACTAAGAAAGAGAAGAAGAAAGGAAAGAGCTGAAAAGAGAAAATTGTCTCAAGGTAGGTAGGTAAATTATACGATAAATCCTTAACAAACAAACAAACAAACAAATAAAAAAAGTCTTTCAGTCCCTTTCTGAAGTACAAATATACATATATTCGAAACGAAAGAAGACAGTCACTTCACCATGTAAATATATCATACTACATACAAATACTCACATCGTCGTCCCATACAAAGTAAAAGAATTGGTCTTTTTTATAAAAATAATAATAATTTTGAATATGATTAGAAACTATGTAAATATATATGTATATAAGATGGTTGTATCATAGAAGATAATTCACAACCAATCTTTTAATAATGAAATAAGCTAATAGTGCTTGAATGAATGCGATACTAAATAAAATATTTTTTTTAGTCTTTTGTGAAATGACAGTATCATTAAATTTCCATTCTTCAATTAAGAACGTTATTAATTTAAAACTAAATTTATGCATCAATTCATCTTTATTAACATCTTTAATTTCAAATAATGCAGCAGTATTACGATCGAATATTTGACTTGCGGTATTAATAATATCCAATTTTTGTGATTCAGTTAATTGCTGTCTTGTATTTAATTCATAATTTTTCTTATAAGTCCATCTTAATTTATTTTCTGCATCTGTTGTTGGCGCAAATCTAAAGAAATTTGTACCTTCTTCAATCATTTCTTGTTTCGTTAAATGATCAAAATTTGGTAAAAAACCTAGATTCTTATAAAGTGAAGATCTAATAATTCTACCACCAGCAAATAAAGCTAAATAAAGAACATGACAATAAGCTAAAATAGTGATTGGGTTTTCTGTTGTACTTTTATTAATAAAGTCAACAAAATTGTTTAATTCTGGTCTTGTCTTTAACCATTCATTATTAACATAATTTGGATCAATTCTTAAAATATTTAAATCTTTTAATAATTGTGGCTTTCTTCTAAAATCTTCCACATAAAAACTTTTTAAAATAGTAGCAGTTTGACTTGTTGGAGCCATATTGATAATTTCATCTATTTTATTTTCAATAGCAGAGAATACAATATAGTAAGTCTTAATAATATCTTCATAAATAAATCTATGTCTCAATGCGAATGCAATATTTAATGACATAGCTTTATCAATCTTATTGTGAGCATCTCTGGTATGCAAATTAATTCTGTTGGCTAATGCGCCAATATCAGTAGGAGAAGGAATAGTTTCAGACATTGTATGTTTGTGTATGTATGTATGATGTATTGTACTAAACTATGTAATATGATATAATATGAGACAAGACAAGAAATAAGAAATATAATTACTGAGATACCCTTATATATATACACAGACAATCTAATAAATACACCCCAAAAAAATAACAGAAGTGGCTTTTATTATTTGCACCTCCTAACCCAAAATTATTACCATTTAGTTGTTACAAGTATTGTTATTATTACAAATCACTATATATATATATTTGTATATATTTACTCCGCCATTTCCCAGATGCCCCGATATCGCCGACAATATGCAATAGTAATAGTAATACAGAATGCCATAGAAGAAGACTACACCCTTCAAAAGTTATATAGAACCTATACACTAGAAAACAGATATACATATATACATACATATATACGTTTATTATAATTTGTAAAACCTGTTAAGTCATAGGCTTGGAATAAGATAGCATACTAGTATGTAAGTGACCACTTATATACACTGACATTAGTTGTCATCATTCTTAAATATACCTATCCCCCATAGATGTATTGTACATATATAGCACATCCATTCATTTAAGTTGTCACTGTAGGTATGATGACATATATCGATAGAGGTATATCTTCATGCCGTAAGTTTATATTTGCATATATATACTTCACTCAGTAACACACGATAGTAACATTCCATCAACTGTATAATCCATCTTTCATCAACGAATATATATATACCCACTAAAATAGACATGTAGATTAGAACAAGAGCAATATATCAATATATCAATATATCAATATATCAATATATCAATATATCAATCTATCTGTTCTGGTATATCCGTATAGTAAGTTCAAGTTATAATGCCCGGTTCATATCAACAGGCCGAATATTTTACGCATCCACACTGACATCCACATTTTATCCGCAAAAAGGGGTGAAAATGAAAACAGAAGGCTCCAATCGACAAAATAACAATATTTTGCATTTTGATATAGTGGGGGTAGATAATCTTGAACTATATTTCTCTTGACTGGATTACTTTCAAGTATTTGTAATTAACAAACATAAATATATTTATACATAAACATTAACACACATACAGATATACAAAGTATAGAAATCGTGATTACGTATTCGTTTTTGTTACGCTATAAACTGATAAAATTCGAAGATGTCAAAACAGTTTGTACGTTCTGCTAAAAATGCTTTCAAGGGCTATTCCTCAGCTCAAGTACTTGTACGTGATGCTACTTCTAACGATATGAGATCCACTAACATCGGCTTGATGCAAGAAATTGCCGCTAGAACTTATGACTCTGTGGAATTCTTCGAAATTATGGAAATGTTAGATAAGAGATTGAATGATAAAGGTAAATATTGGAAACATGTAGTCAAATCTTTGACTGTATTGGATTATTTGGTAAGGTTTGGGTCTGAGAATTGTGTCTTATGGTGCAAAGAAAACTTGTATATCATAAAGACTTTAAAAGAGTTTCGATATGAGGATGAAACTGGGATTGATCAAGGTCAAATCATTAGAGTGAAAGCTAAAGATTTAGCTGATTTATTAGCTGATGATGAAAGATTAAGAGATGAAAGAAGATTGAATCAATCAAGAAATTATAATAATCCAAATAGAAATAATGAGAGAAGAAATAGAAGTAGAGATAATTCACGTGCTAGAAGATATGATAATAATAATAATAATAATAATAATAATAATAATGATAATACTAGTAATAGTAATATGGATAATGATTTAAGAAAAGCGATCGAAGAAAGTAAATTGACCGTTCAAGAAGATGAAGAACGTAGAAAACAATTAGCTTCTTATGATGATGAAGATCCTGAATTTCAAGCTGCTTTACAATTAAGTAAAGAAGAAGAAGAATTAAAAAATTTGCAAGATATGCAAAGATTACAACAACAACAATATCAATTACAACAACAACAAACTAATGCAGTTATGAATATGTCAAGTCAACAACCAACAAATGGGTTTTTTGATATTTTTGGTAATCCAATCTCTGCTGATGAATATAATCAATATCAACAACAACAAAACTTATGGGAACAACAACAACAAGAACAACAAAAAGTCGCACAAGAACAATACATGGCTCAACAACAAATTCAACAACAACAACAAATGCAACAACAACAAATGCAACAACAACAACAAATACAACAACAACAAGAATTACAACAACAACAAGAATTACAACAACAACAAGAATTACAACAATATGCGACTGCAAATGCTGCATATCAACAACCTTTGGCTACAGGTTCAAATAACCCATTTGCCTTGGATAATTTAAATGGACCTGCAACAACAAATCAACAACAAAACGTTCCACAGCCTTCATACAATGGTATCTCAGATTTAGCATCACCAAATAAACAGAACATGCAACAATCACAATTTTCTCCACCACTACCACAACAACCATTGAAACAGACGAGAACTGGTAATGAAGAAATTACTCAGAAGTACAGTCAATTGAATTCCATGCTCTCAAATGGTACAGGTATTGATACATTTGGTAACAGTGGTGAACAACGTATTCCAGCGCAACATACAGCTACTGGTACATTTATTAACTCACAAGGTACTGGATATCATCAAGAGACAAATGAACCAAAGAATAACCCATTTTTAAATAGTCAATATACAGGATTACCAAGTTCTGGTATAGCCCCTCTACATACGGGTTATGGTTTTGGTAACCAAGGACCACAAGACAATCAACCACCACTACCACCACAACCAAATCAAGCCAGCCAATATAATCAACCACCACAACCAAATCAAACCGGTCAGTATAACCAGCAACAACAAATCGGCTTTCCACAACCACCCCAGTTCCAAACACCTAACCAATATCAACAGCAGAACAATAATGCTAATGCGCCTGATCAAGGTATTAGTTTAATTGATTTATAAGGTGATCTTCGTCATATCTTCAAAGATTTCTTTAAATTTTATGGAGACACACTTATGCTTTTTACCCACTCACATAAACACAGAACCATTTTACATAGAAGCTAAACAGTTAGCTCTCCTTGAATATTTAAAAAAGTCGAAACAGATATACATATTTATATATAAGCATGACTACTGTGTAACTCAAACAATTGTATCATTTAAAATATCTCTATTTGTATATTGATGTCTTCTTTATATTGGAATCAAGTCTCATTTTGTTAAACTTTTTATTTCTGATTCAACATCGCGTAGTAAAGCGAAAGAACAGCTCAACGGTAAAGACAATCTAACTTTATAAGTTAATAAAGGGGAATTTCGAGAACGACGTATAATTTGCAATTCTTCGATTCAAACGCAACTATTATGGAATTATCTTATACTATAGACAAAACACATCGTTTGATTTAATAGTTGTTACGTAAATTGCTTTGAATTACGAAGTATCAAGTCAGTGGCAATAAATTTATCCAATTGATAATCACAATAATTACAATTTATATCACATTGAAGTATTTTTTCTAGTTATATTGCCTAGTGAATATACACATATCATTGTGAATAACCCATCGTTTTACAACCTTACTTTGCCAATATGAAATTTTATAAATATATAGCGAGTTTGTTATGGCTCCAATGTATTAATGCTCGACAAGATGACCCCTGGAGGAAAGCAAAAAAGTTAATATCACAATTGATAGAAAAGCCTGATGCCATAAGGCACCAACCTCCAGAGATAGTAAACAATGGAGACATTAGAATATATATCCCAACCGGTTACAATGAAACATATCAAGAACTTGAATTCCAAAAATTTTGGAAGGAATCAGCCAACGAATCTCAAATAAATTTACATTCATGGTTGACAGACTCAAGTGATAATTATAATAATGAAAACGCTACATACACTTTAGCACAGATATATTTAGATTCGTTATATGGCATACCCCACAATAAAACATTAGCATTCCAATACCTTGACAAATACAATAATCTAACAAACTATAAAAACCCAGAAACATTATTTCAACAGGCCGTAGCTTATTCGACTGGTTTATTTGGCACGATCCAAATTGATTCAGCCAAAGCCTTATTGTACTATCAGAGATCTGCCAGATTAGGAAATCTTCAGGCCAAACAGGTATTAGCATACAAATATTATAGAGGTATCAATGTTCCAAGAGATTCTAATAGAGCTTTAATTCTGTATAAAGAGATTGCTGATTTGTTGAAACAGACATACTCGGAAGAGCAATGGTCCTTTCAGTTTCCAACAGAAGAAAGTTTTAATATCAGAATACCTGATTTTGAGGATGGACTGTTAGGCACCGGTCTAAGTTACATGTCTACCAGTATTTATAGAAAGAGATCTGCAAGACCTGATATTACATCTAGTGTTCTCACAAGTATAAATGGTGGAAATGTTGTACTAAGGTTTGGCAATACGGATCGTTCGAATCCGTTTTTGGTAGATGAAAATGATGAGACCGACGATCAGATCGTTGATATTTTCTATACTGCACTGGATGAGTATCTTGGTACATATACTTCCGTGAAGAATACCACCAGAGCTCGTCTGCTGTTAGAGGCAACGTATGAAGAATACGATACTGATGTTGCATATTTAGATAATTTACAAAGATTTTTCTATGGTCAGTGTCTGGATCTACTAGGTCATATATATTTCACTGGTAGTGGACTCGAGAAGCCAGATATAATGCAAGCAGAAAAATATTTAAAAAGATCGATAATAATTATTGAGTCTGCTTCCACAGTCAAGAGTGGTGCAAATGTAGACCTTGGTTTGATCTATCAATATTATTATTTCAACGATACAAAAGCCATTGAATACTATAAAAAGGGGAGGGGAAAGACAAATAATAAAGGTGTCATCGAATACCAACTATCTGCGTTGACAGAACAGTATCCTGACCTACTCCTAGGTAGTTCATTTATGTTGATGGAAGAAGCAAAATCGAAGGGATTTGTTCCAGCAAAATATGAGTATGCAAGTATGCTGGAAAGAGGCGTTAACGATCGTTATAATTGTGAAAATACAGCATATAATTACAAGTCTTTTGTTGAAGAAAACGAAGGTCGAATGGCGTCTCGTCTAAGATCAGCATTTAATGAGTTACTGTTAGGTAATACTGAGGTGGCATTATGGAAATATGCTCAGGCAGCCGAACAAGGATATGAAATGGCGCAAGTTTCTACAGCTTATCTTCTGTATCAAATTCCATTAGAGTTAGATGATCCACCAATTACTACTGATGAAAGAAAATTATTGGCTGTAACATATTATACTAGAGCCTTTAAACAAAATAATATAGATGCTGGTGTTATTGCAGGTGATGTTTATTATAGTCTTGGAACTTATGAGAAGGCATTTTCATTATACCAAAGTGCTGCTTTGAAATATTCTACGCAAGCTATATGGAATCTTGCGTATATGTACGAGTATGGGCTTGGTGTTCCTGTTGATTTCCATTTAGCAAAGAGGTATTATGATCAAGTCCTGGAACGTAATGGTAAACTATATATGGCAATCAAATTGAACGTAATGAAGTTACAGTTGAAATCATTAGTCACATGGCTCTTAGGTAGAGATCGAATTCCTTACAAAATGATTGAAGAACAAAAAAAGGTATTAATTAAGACTTTAAAGAGTGGTAAAAAATTATTTTACAAGTACTTCAGCTGGCCATTTTCAAATGAAACAAAGCCTTCCGTTGGAAGTCACACCCATACGATTACAGTAGAATCTGGATGGGATAATATGGTATCCAAAGATGGGGAAAGCGAGGGATTTCTAAGTGGATTCAACTTGGTCAATGAAGATATTTTTACATTAATTATTGTTGTAATATTCTTTTTCGGATCTTTCTTCCTCAGACAACTAGCAGAAAGGAGGGGGTGGAATGTTCAAGTCAATGGTGTGCCAGTAGGGCAACAAAATCAAGAAAACAATCAGAATAACGATAATGACAATAACCTAAATATGCGTGGTAACGGTTGGAATTTTGAAGTACAATTCTTTGCCATTTGAGATTGTGCCCCAAGCGAACATCCATAATTCGGGCACCCTACAGAATATTAAGTAAATACATATATAACAAAACTACATATCTTGACTATAAATACCAATAAAAATTAATGATACACATTTACAGAGCTATCTTCATTGTCCATCATCATGGAATAAAGTTGAAGTTTATACTTAGAAATCCCTGTTCCGTAGGTGTTACCCTCAGGGGATCAGTGAACGACACGAAGACAGAAATGCGAATGAAAAAAAAAGTTGGGCGGAATCCAAATAATAACGAAATAATCCGCGAACTTGAAGGTTTGGTCGAGAGCCTTTGGTATGGTGGTTGGCATACATACATATACACACAAACAACCTAAAAAGAAGTTTTGAAGATTTTAATCTCTTAAGAACAAATTTTATTTATTGTTTACGAGATAAATTTTGATAACTTCCTAATTGTTATTTGTTTAGACACAATCATTAAGTATTGAAGGAATACAAATATAAAATGGTATCCATAACAAACGCACACAACGATTTGATCCATGACGCTGTATTGGATTACTATGGTAAACGTCTAGCCACCTGTTCATCTGACAAGACTATTAAAATATTTGAAGTTGAAGGTGAGAATCACAAGTTGATAGATACTTTAGTTGGTCACGAAGGTCCTGTCTGGAGAGTCGATTGGGCACATCCTAAATTTGGTACAATTCTTGCTTCGTGTTCTTATGACGGTAAAGTTATAATCTGGAAGGAAGAAAACGGTAAATGGTCTCAAATTGCTACACATGCAGTCCATTCTGCCTCTGTCAACTCTGTTCAATGGGCTCCTCATGAATATGGTGTTATGCTACTAGCAGCATCTTCTGATGGTAAAGTATCAATTATAGAATTTAAGGAGACCGGAACCTCCACTCCAATTGTTATTGATGCCCATGCTATAGGTGTTAATTCTGCCTGTTGGGCGCCTGTCAGTTATCAAGACGTTGAATCTGATTCTAATAAACCAACAAAAGAACTACGTAGATTTGTTACTGGTGGTGCTGACAATTTAGTCAAGATTTGGAAATATGATAATGATACACAATTGTACGTTTTAGAAGAGACTCTAAATGGTCATTCCGATTGGGTTAGAGATGTTGCATGGTCTCCATCTGTACTTCTACGCTCATATATTGCCAGTGTCTCCCAAGATAGAACTTGTGTTATCTGGTCTCAAGAAAACAACAAAGGTCCATGGAAGAAAACCGAGGTAAAACAAGATAAGTTTCCAGATGTATTATGGAGAGCTAGTTGGTCTCTATCTGGTAATATTCTGGCTCTATCTGGCGGAGATAACAAGGTCACTTTATGGAAGGAAAACTTGACTGGAAATTGGGAACCAGCTGGAGAAGTTCAACAATAAACAGCATGTGTATCTGACGTGGAATAAGATGTATTAGAGTTTGTTGTTTTTGGAAAAATTTTATAACAAAACAACAATACAAGGAAAACTATTATTATTTCAACCTTCTTATCTTAGATCTTTATTTCAATAGGAATTGCATTTATTTGAAGATAAATAAATCATACTGTATAGTAAGATATATATGCATATTTATATATATCCAAAAACAATAAAAAATAACAAGTAATGACAAAATCGACATTCAAATAAATGTATCTATATAGATAATTATAATTCTCCTACAACGCCTTCTATCAGTCTCTCGACATCTAAAGATGCTATTTTTCCATTTTCTAAGACTTCACTATGCGATGCCATACCTTGATCTAAAGGAATTGGATTATCATCAAGTGCTGATGCAGGTGGGTCTAAAACAGACACATTTGTTATTAAACTTAAAGCTAATACTCTCCAGCCACAATGTCTTGCCACAATAACTTCTGGGACTGTACTCATCCCAACAGCATCAGCACCAAGTAGATGCAACATCCTACTTTCCGCTCTACTTTCAAACGTAGGACCAGAGGCAAATGCATAAGTACCCTCATGTAGACCTCGTTTCAGATCCAATTCCTTCATCTTACGAAATAACAATTTTCTTAATTCAAGGTCATAGGCATCACTCAAAGGTAAGAATCTTGGTCCATATTCATCGAAATTCGGTCCCTTTAAAGGATGCAAACCTGCCAAACCAGGGAAATTAATATGATCATTTATACACATTAGATCACATGCTTGAAATTTACGATTAAGACCACCAGCTGCATTGGTAATAATCACAGTTTTGATACTCCCCAATTCATGGAGAACACGCAACGGAAACACCGTATCTTGAATCGCATAACCTTCATAACTATGTAACCTACCTTCCATCAGCACTACAGATGTCCCATTCATCTTACCAAATACAAATTTACCTGCATGACCAGGAACAGTACTAACTTTAAAATGAGGAATCTCAGAATAACTTTGGGGAATGGAGTAACTATCTTCAGAGATTCTAGAGGCAATACCACCTAAACCAGAACCGCAAATGATTAGAACAGTCGGGAACACCAGATCTATATGTTCCTTCTTTGCATTATTCAATAAATTCCTCAAAAATGATGAAGATTCCTCTATATGTTTTCGCTCTTGTTCGATATCAAAAGTGCTCATTTTGGATTATTAAATTTTACTCCTTGGTGCAAAAATCAAATAAAACAAAAACAGTAACTTAATGTTTAAGTACTTCTACAAGGTGCCTTTAATATCTTTGAAAGTTTAAATACTTCCCTCTCTTCTCATTTTATTTTATTTTATTAGAAGATATCTATAAACGGAGCACCCCTGTTTCTAGTTCTTATCCACTCTCGAATCTATTAACCGTTGAGTATCTCAATTTCAAGCGACGGCTAAATTGATAATATATACATTTTGAAAACAAACATTATTGATAAAGTTAAGCATGGTAATAAGATACTCTGATAACACAATAGCCATTGCAATAATAATTAAATCAAGAAAATGTACAGTTGGTGCTGATGTGGAAACCCTTCAGAATTCTCGACCTCGAGATCATTTTTGCTACAGGTTGACTCTGGATACACAAAATGGAAGACAAGCAATTATTAGAGACATCAATCGGCGACAAACGTATAAATGATGAAAATTATCATATATCCCACAGCCTGTTCTTATTGGCTATGTTATATTGTCCCTTCAACTATTCTATTCTCTTCAATGTCCAAAAAAGGAACCAAGACGAGGCAGACAGAACAGATCGTCATGTGTGTAAAAATAGATCATCGCGAATATATATATATATAATACATTTTTTCTTTTGTTTTCTTTTGGGGTAGAGCATAGCCATAATCATAAACAATTAGCAGCTTTCCACATATAGGAAGAAATACCAAATATATCATACACTATCAACCATACCATTAGTAGTCTCCACCTTTATCAGAGAGTGTCGATACCCAACGAACTGTAAAACAAAGCATATACAGTGATAATTCTAGTTGTTTTTGAATATTTTTATTATCATTGTCCAAAAGAACCATTGCCATTTTGGAGAAAATAAACTAAAACAACATAGAGGTTGTAAAACTATTAAAATGGAGTTAGAGGACCAGAATAGAGTGCTGAATGATATCACTATCCGAAATTCTAACAAATTACCTAGTACGAACTTGAAGCCAAGAAGAAAAGTTCCACCCCCATTACTCGATCCATCGACCTCTACATTAAGTGAATCTGATAAAAAAATAGTCAGTTCTATATATAATGTACGGTACGAAGCTATTAGTAAAGAGATTAATGAATGTATATCTGATTTTGCTAATTTAGATACATTACCTGACTCCTTTGGTGATGATGAAATAACTTTACATGATACCGACAACGACGAGGATCCTTTCAAACTAATCGAAAATGAAGAAACTCGTTTGACTTTAAAACAAGCTGAAGAGAGATATGGTGTGACTTCATCAAACCCTGATGATTCAGATTTTTTGGACCCTGTTCTTGTTGCTGAATATTCCGACAGTATATATAAGTACATGAGAAAACTAGAAGCAAAATATAAGCCAAAGAATGACTATATGAATAATCAGACTTTTTTGGATTGGGAGTTTCGTCGAACATTAGTTGAATGGTTAGTTAATATCCATCTAGATTTAGATTTAATCCCTGAGACTTTATTCTTGGCAGTCAATTTGATGGATAGGTTTTTATCGAAAGAATCGATAACATTGAATAAGTTTAGATTAGTTGGAATTGCTGCATTATTTATTGCTACTAAAATGGAAGAGCATAAAGTACCATCATTAGAGGACGTATTAGAAGCCCTAGATGGTCAATATTCGGCAGAAGAAATTATAGATTCAGAAAGATTTATTCTTGTAACATTAAGGCATAGATTGGGTTGGCCTGGACCAATGTCATTCCTAAGGAAGACTAATAAAGCTGATGATTATAATGATGATATTAGAACACATGCAAAATATTTTCTAGAAGCAACGTTAGTAGAGGCTAAGTTTGTTGCATGTCCACCTAGTTTATTAGCAGCTGGTGCATATTATATTAGTAAATACATGATCACCTCTGATAACTCATGGTCATTAAAACATGTATATTATTCTGGTTATACAAAGGATCAACTTGCACCATTAGTGAAGTTTCTTTTAAAAAATTGTGATAATGGGAAAACTACTCATAAGAATATTAGAAAGAAATACTGCAAGAAAACATATTCATCTACGGTGAAATTATACGAAGCATGGAGAGGAAAACAATAAACAATAAAGAACACAATTATTTGTACCTTTTTATCTTCTCCCCAATATTAAAATACCCTACATTATACTATTTGGTATAACTTGGACGACCATTAATTTGAACAATACCAAAAACAGTTGTCATGTAATAAACAACATTATAATTTATGTTGTCCTATATATATATATATGTACATATATATCGCATTAATAAATAACGAAAGAAACGTATATCAGGAGCACAATGTTCTAAGCTGAATCAACAGAATATTTCTTCTTTCTCTCCTTTGCACTTTCTACTAAACTATCCCAACGTTGTTTTAGACGATCAACTTGTAAATTCAACTTCCTATTTTCCCTTTCTATCTCTTGTATTTTATTCTCGTACTCCTCATACTTTTTTTGCTCATACCAACTTACTTCTTTTCTAAATTGTTCGACATGTTGTTGAATCTTTTCTTCAATTGATTGTGTTCCTTCTTCATTCTGTTGAATATCTTTAGTTTGATTAGAAACAGATAAAATAACATTACTCTGTAGTTTGTTAATAATCCCCAGAAATAATGGATCATTGTTAGGAATAAGTTTGTCATTGCTTATAATATTTTCCCACATTCTGGCACCTCCTGGTTGCATTACAGAAGGGTTCATTCTTAGGTATACTGATCCAAGAAAATTTTGATTTATGCCATTGGAATCTGAACTACTAGGGCAATTATTGTTAGATCCATTTTTGAAGAATTCTGTGTTTTCACCTATTTTATTATTAACTGGGAGAGTAAAATCATTATCAACATGCAGTACGTTTTGAATATCGTATATAGTTTGAGATACGTCCTTTCTTAGCAATTGAACAGCTTCTATCACATTATTTGACAAACCACTCTCTTCTATATTATCTGTAATTTCGTTAATCTCTTTTAATGTTTCTTTATAGTATATTATACTATTTTGCAGATTACCTCTTTTTGTTTCTTGCTCGGCGGTTTCTATTAATTTGTAAACCTAACTAGTAATCTTTTAGGTGCTATCATTAGCATATTAAAGGAACTTATTGTTAGTCCAATAAACATATAATACACTTAATTTATTCAAATACATACATTACATAATGTTGACATTATTCCCTAAACCTTTATGTCGTTAGTCTTTTTAACTTGGTATTGTGTGTTTATCTATATTATTAAAGCTCCCTTTATTTCATTTTTTTAATAAAGCATATTTAGGTGGAGTTACAAATCCAGACTCTATTAATAATTTATACACACTTAATTGAAACAGTCATTGTTTTCGATATATCTTGTTAGAGAGAGAAAGCGCTCATTATTTATAGTAGTAGAATTGCATAGATAATTAAAATCTTCTTGATTAATTTATTTAAATGACTATTTTAATGTTAAAACTAGTTTCAATTGCATCTACATGATGTTATCACCCTCTGCATCAACATCATTATTCTGATCATTGAACTCACCAATTACATTCTCATCTTCCAATAATACCTCATCTAAATAACTTTTCTCCTCCGCAGAAGTATACTCTTCTATTAAGCTTCTAGCTACCTCTCTTGATTCAATAAAATCATCAGCATCAAATATTTCGGATTGCTGGAAGGCATTCAAGAATGCCTTCTTTGAATAAATTTTGTCAAAGGAACCGCACACTTTTTCAAACAATGGTACAACACCAGAACTATTTGATAACATCATACCGTTAACTTGACTCTGCTCTCCATGTAGCCCTTTTAGATAGTGCGATCTTCTTCCATTATTCACGTGGATAATTGTTGGTGACCAAGCTGCAAATTGTAATCGTTGTTGAATCTTATTTATACCTCTTGAAATATCATTCCTTTCAATTTCACCTATTATTGTACTGAAGACATTTAGATAGATAGGTTTCTTAGAATGTTTTGACACTAGCGAATTTGGAGCATCTATCAAATCTAATAGAATATCATACGCAGTATTTCTCTTATAATCCATCCCGCCTGTTACATAATCTGAAGTAAATGGAGTGAATGCAGGAGTTAAAAAGTGTAACTCTGGAGACGGTACTAAAGTAGAAAAAATACTCTGAAGAGAAGAATATAAATAACTTGGGAAACGAATAGAATTTGTGATAGATGAAAGCACAGAAGCTATAAGTTGGTTTGTTTGATTGTAATCAGTTTGATTCTTCTGAAATACTCTCCCAGATAGATTACTTAGAGCATTATTATCAAAGACTACCGATGCATCACTATCTTCTGCTAACCGCCTTAACGTAAGGATTGTATTATATGGTTGAACAACAACTTCTGATTGGTCACTAGGAAACACAGAATACGTTGTCAAAAGTTTTTTCTGGTATCTATCTGCAAGTGCTTCAAGTAAATTTGAGCCTAACCCTGACCCAGTACCACCCGCTACAGAATGTAACAATTGAAAACCTTCGAAATTTTCAGTTGAATCCAATTGTTTATCAATCATGTTTAAGAATGTATCTTGATTCTTTTGACCTTCATCATAACCATTAGCCCAAGAATTACCTGCACCATACCTATCTTCAGATACCCATGTTCCTCTTGGATCAAAAAAATCAGGAAAATAATTCAAATTGTCATTTATTACACTTGGTTCTAAATCGATCATTATTGCTCGTGGAGTATACTTGTTTTCCTGATATTGTTTGAAGAATGGATTTGTGTCATCTTCTTTAAATATTCGTTCTTTAGAATCACCTTGTGAACTTTCTGAAATTTGACCATCCCTTCCAATGCCATGTTCTTTTGTAAGTTGGTCCCAAAATTGTTTTCCTACATGGTTCCCACATTGGCCCACCTGTATAGTTAATATTTCTCCAGTCATTTATCGACAACGTGCCTTGTATGACTTATTTGAGTTGTCGTCTCGAATGAAAATAATGGCACTATTAATTTGGTATTACTTTCTCAATCAATTGTTTTCAGTCAAAGAGGTAGCTCTTTAGGTTAAAATTTGATTTCTTTGTTTACTTTTTATCACTTTCATTAAAACCTCAATCATTTTCATAACGCGTCGCACTAAATCTGGAAGTCTCCATGGCGAAGTGTTGAAAGACTACTTCAAAAACAAATATCACATCGAAGTATCAACTGTAAATATATAAATTAATTTCAAATGTTGATTGTTTATTCCAAAGTAAAGTTATAAGTACAAATAAGTTTATATAATTAGGTGTACGTAGAAAAAATAAAGAGCTCATCAGATTCAGACAAAATACAGCCCTCATTCATTATGTTTATTTCGTATTGCGGTGATTTCCATCACAAACGAATTCTCAAACCAGAAGCAGGTGCACCGATCTTTGTTACTAAAGTAATACTATCAAGCTTACCCTTTTCAGATGCATGATAAACAGCGCCGGTCAATGGATCTTGTGTAAAAGCTGTGTCCTTATATATAGGAGTATGGGTAGCAGCACAGACTTTGAATTCCGCATACGGATCAAAATCAATGGTGACTTCATCACTCGCCTTTGCATCAGCTCTGGATTTTATTTTACGTGCTTGTTCAGCTCTGGTACCAGTAGATACGATTTCTAAGAATTCACTTGCAAAATAAGAAGCTTGAACAAAATTCTTATGTTTGAAATTTTGAGACATGGCAACTTGTAAGGCATTACTTCTGTGTAAAGGTAAGAGATCAGCCTTTGTGAAATATGCTGCAAGCTCCAAGTTACGTTTGATATTGCTTGGATCTAATGAACGACGTTCTAATTCGATAGATAAACCTAATATATATTCTTTGGCAACTCTTAGTGTTTCACGAGCTTTATGTTCATCTTCATCATTGTTAACAGCCAGGAGCACAGTTAGATAGATAATTTCACGGAATACTTCAATAGCTTCTTCAAGCTTGTTAGCCTTGAATAGTTTGAAACCATCTTGCAGTTTTTCAACAACAATAGAAATGTCACCAGAATATGGTAAAATCTCTTCTGAGGTTTCTGTACTGGAACGAATAAAACCTTCGAGGGCTGGCATTTCCACTGGTGTAGAAGCAAGGTATGTCCTACAGCTTGCATATCTTTCGGTGAAATATTTTCTCAATGGTTCAAATTCAACAACACCGACTTGTTTGTTCAAAGCCTCACCAGCTGCACCAAATGCACCAGCTGCAACGAGAACTGATGGTAACTTGGAATTCTTGACCCAAGTGGCAGTTTCGCTACTGCTTTCAGGAGTTGCGATGATTTCTTCATCTTCCTCGATTTGTTCTGTTTCTTCACCCATATCAAGATCTTCGTCACCCATATCCCAGGCGCCAGCCTCTTCATTTTCCGATTCTTCATCAATAAATATACCTTCATCAGCAGCAGCATCAATTTTTGTGGTAATTTCACTCTCTACTGGTTCTTCATTAATCTCCAAATCATCAACTTGGCCCGAGATTGCTTTTTCAAAGTATGATAATTCGGCGTCCTTCAACGGCCATTTTGAGAATGGTTCTGTAGAAGTAGGAGCCTTTGTGTTACTAGCAGCATAAGTGATATCCGGCAAGACAATGTCGCTTTCATTGATTTCAGCTTGAGCAAGGTATTGACTTGCCTTAGCTTCATCACCATTAACCTTGGCAATTGCATAAGCAAGTGGTAGAGAACCACCTTCGGAAAAGATATCAGCTCTGGTAGATGGAGAGTTATTATAGATGGAATTCAAAACCATACCCTTGACGTCACCTCGATTTTCAGCAATGGCTTCCATTTTTGATAGTTTTCCATTATCACCAGTTAACAAATACAGGAATGATAGTCTGTCAAAGGCGTTTTGTGTTTGATAAATCATTTCAGACATTGTAGTGTTACCTTGTAACAATGCTTCTTTGTTTAGTCTTTCCCAGACAGAGGCCTCGTTTATTTTCTTAGCCTCTTCAAGAGCAACAATTAGATTGCCTGATTCTAAAGCTAAATCAAAACGTACTTGTGGATCTTGAACAAATTGCAAAGCAATTTCTGGATAACCTGATTTTTGCAAGTAAGAAATAATATTTTGACCAACCAAATTAGAGTTTTTGATGATTCTAAGCACTTCTGGGAAATTCTTGTTAACCAAGGCTTTCTTGAAACGGTATTCGGTTGGATCAATCGATAAAATTTCAACCTCACCTTCACGATTCAAAGTATAAACGTACTTGTCCTTAACCCTAGTGATGTAAAGAGTATTCTCAAGAGTCTTGATAATACCTCTGTCACCATTCAATAAAGAATATCTAATATGGTTTAATGTAGAGTAAATCAATACACCAGTTTCATCCCAAGCAGCACTCTTAATACGGATGGTTTCGTGCATTGAGTTAATCAATTCCAACTTCTTAGTCGCCAAAGTAATGGTATGTTTGCTCATCAAGGCAACGTATTGTCCATCGTTAGACCAAGAAACGTACTTGACATTCTTAGCAGTGATAGTGGCTAGTTTCTTACCTTGTTGAACATCATATAAAACAACTTCTCTTGGGTGTAATAGCAAGACGTTACCTGGACCACCGTAAACGATGTCCTTAATAGGGTCGTTGATCTTGATAGATTTAGTGGTCTTGTTGTCTAGGTTGCGGATCTCAATGGATTCGGTATTTTTATTGTATACAACAAATCTGTTACGAGCAACAAAAGTGGCGAAGTTACCGGAGTCCTCAATGACATTGGTTGGATCAATTTGACCCGTTGGTTCCTTTGGTAATAATACCAAAGCAAATTTATCATTAGCTTCGTTGACTAATAAAGAGTGTTGTGATGGATTGTATGATATACTTCTGAATGCACTCCAAATTTGACCAATGCTCTTTAATGAAACATAAGGTAAAGAAGAGACACCCTTTATGAAATCGAAGGATTGAACCAACTTTTGTTTGTTAACAAAAAACAATTGATTTTGGTAGATGGTATTACTTGGTCTTTCACGATCCAATTTGAAAATCATAACACCAGAATCATGAGCGGCCCCAAACAAGTTGATGTTTGGATGAGAGGCAATCAACCAGAATCTATCGTTTTCTCTCTTGAATTGTTTCACAGGGACTCTCTTATCAAGATCCCAGATTCTTAAAGTTTTATCTTCACCGGCAGATAGAATTAAGTTTTGATGAGGATGGAAAGTAACACAATCAACATTGTTAGTATGACCTCTACAAGTGTCGACTTCCCATGCTTTAGTGGCACTCATTCTCCATAGTTTTACTTGGCGATCGTCACCACCAGAGACAATCAATGGTAAAGTAGGATGGAATGAAGCCCAATTGACACCTCTAGTGTGACCTTCCAAGATAAATTTAACTAGATAGTCTCCGAACCCACCATCTAATAAATTTTGTTGAGCAATCATTTGGTCCTCGACGGTCATGGCACCAGGAGCAGAATGTTTCTTTCTTAGACCGGAAATATCCCAGATCCTAACTGTTTCATCAAGGGAGGCAGAGACGATCAAGTCTTCAGTTGGATGGAACTGAGCACACATGACGAAATGGTTGTGACCAGTCAAACATGCGATCTCTTTACGATTTTGCCAATTCCAGATTCTAATGGTTTGATCATCAGAAGCAGTGATCAACCATGGTAATTCGTTATGGAAGAAAACGGTACGGACATAGTCCAAATGACCAGTAAATGTATGAATACATTTGTTAGTATCTAAAGACCAGATCTTGATGGTAGTATCATCACCTGTTGAGGCGAAGATAGGTTGAGTTGGATGGAAATCAACACCACGGACAGGTCCTTCATGACCTTCGAATCTATGTAGTAAGGTCCCCATTCTATAATCCCATAATTGAATGGTAGAAGAGAACAAAGCCACTAGAACCCATGGTCTGGAAGGATGGAATGCGATCCCTTTAGCCCTAGTAGACTTTGACTCAAACTTAGTTAGCATCTTCATCTTGTCTTGGTTATATTTAAATTAAAATCAGTCTGGAACGGGGGAATACAAATGATATCAGTTCAATATCAGCCCTGTTTTTTTCCTGTCTCCTTTTGATTTATCAGTAGTGCACAATATATCAAAACTTCGATCAAAGATTAATCAATTAGTGAAAATACTTGTGTTATAACTTTGCTTGTTATTTGATCTTCAAACCAGGGTATGTATATCTAAGCACAGCAACAGTAATATAATCAATTGATGATGTAATAGTTCACTATCAAAAAAATATCAATTCAACAAATAGTTCAACTACGTAGATAAAACTGACAGTCAATGCTATCTCTTTTTCTTTCTTCTGTGTGTATATGTCTGTTTGTTCTATGGATCGTTAAACTAATTCCTGGCAATTCTAAATTTACACGTATTCCAACTTTCTCAAGTTCGTTAGATTTTACTGTTCTTCTCTCTGTCTCTCTCAACGTTTTCCCCCATTTTGTTCTTTGTTACCGGCCCTCTCCCCTTTCGCACAGAAAAGACAGCAAAGATAAATTTTGTTTTTGGCGTTGCTTCGCTTTGGGCTCAGTCTGCCTCGAGGCTGTTCGTTGCGCAGAATTAATTGAAAGAGTGACAGAGAGGGTAACGAGCATTGAGAGGACAGAAATATATGATTAATTTTATTGAATTTATAGAAGTACACTGGTGATATAGACAGATTTTTATATATGTTCTACGACAAACCATTATGGAAAAAAGAATATTAATGCAGCAATTATTACAAAGATGAACCAAATTCAGACAGTGACATCAAAACGGGTTGGCAGATGATTTTGATGGCGTGGAATCGTCAGTTTTATATTTGTTAGTCAGCTCGTTACTGTAAAATCTTATTCAATATTTGTACTTTAGTTAGATTTAATTTATTATTATCATCAATAAGATCGATCTTGGAAAAATCTAATAATCTTTTCTTATCATGAATTATAGCTTCCAGACTTGTGATATTTTTGTTATGATTTTTATTCATGGATTCTGAACTGTTTGTTGACTTTTGAATGGATGCATCTTTCAAACGAGCAGAAGGGTACCTTTTCTTAAAGAATTTTGATCTTTTACTTCGTGTAGTAGACCCTGAATCCCTTAATGATTTAACTCTTGGAGTATAATCACAATGCCACTCCAAAGAATCTTCACTGAATTTAGGTTCGGCATCATGGTCGTAACTACATGTAGTCATTAATAATTCCGTAATATCAAATTGACGTTGATATGTTCTTCTAGTGATACATTTATAAATTTCATTAAAATAATCATTTTGTTTAGGTTCAATACGGATCTCTTTCACTCTTGAATAAAATTGTCCATATTGTAAAATATCAGGAGAATTTTCCCAATCAATGGGTCCTCCAGCCCATTCAATCGTCCCCGGATGATTATCCTTATCACCTCCTGGCCATATGGCAATCTCTAATCTTGATGGAGTCTGTGGATATTTATAATGTTTTGTGATGGGATCCCAAGTGTCTTTTTTAAATAATGTTCTAACTGGTCTACCATCAATCAACCATATTATTCTTTCCTCATTCCAATCAAATCCATATTTATGATAATTTTCATATGAATCTGTATAAATTGGTTGTCTTTGCATTCTAGTATAATCCAATTCTGTTTGATAATACCAATTTGTTTGAGCATCAAACGGTTGATTTCCCAAAAATTCAAAATCTATTTCATCACCAACTTGAGACATTAAAACAATTGCAGTGACAACACCTTGAGATCTACCAGTTTTTAAAGATACAGTGGCTTTCCCATATAAGAATTCTCTAGCGGAAGCAATTAATGAGCCTGTACTATACTTTGGCATAGTCAACAATATTTCACCTGAATCGTCATCAATCTTAGTGTTACCACTATAGATAAAATCGTAATCATATAACATATCTTGAGCCTCTCTATCACTTTTAGTTATTAAAAATTTGGAATGATGAATGAATCTCTTCTTATGCATTGAAGCCTCCAGAGGTATATTTTTTGATGGGGTTTCGAACATGGATTCTTTATTATTAATCTTATTATCATTTTCAGTTGAATATCTCCCATTCTTAGAGGTAATTTTAAATTTATTTGAGAGAAAATCATGATGAAATACAGCATTAAATGGATACACCAATACCGGCAATGGGATACAGCTATCTTCGTCAAAGGAATACCTAGGGTCACAACCGCCAACACAAGTTGGTCCGGAACCACATTCTCCGTATGGAGAACAACAAGGCCATTCCTCGGGACAATTAGAGTCCTTAGAACAAAAAATGGGTGTTGACGGTTTGAACGTTTCTTGTTCATTGGCTTTAATTAATGGTATTGACCAAGAAAAGGGTAATATTAACGTTAATAATATAAAATAACAACGAACCATAATTTTTATTGTGGGTTGCTTCTTAATCTTGTTACGATTATAAACAGTTAATGAGTTGTTCAGTACGTTTCTTGTAACGTATGAGTTGTAAATACCATTAAAATATTAATATATATTCTTTGTTTTGTTTTGTGTGACATTCTTCTTACTATGGTGTCGCACATAAACATATCTAGTTGAATTTGCGACATTTCAAGCAGGCAGGAAAAGGAGACATAATTAATCGTACTATTAGACTTATATGTATGCAATGAAACAAGTAAATACTTACATACGCACAACTATGTGCGTAGAATACGATTCCCTAAGACGCAGAACTTACGGCGCGTCTCGTCTGCCTCAAAGGGTGCAATATGTGACAATTGCACCAAAATAGAGGTGTATCTTATACATATGTGTGTGAAATGACAGAAATTCACCTTTCATTCACTCAGATTCTGATATTGATTACCAGTACATATTACAGTTGAAACATTCTTCACTGAACTAATCACTTCCAATTACTTAAGATTACGGTAACTCACAACGCCCTATTTCCATTTATATAATTTTATATAATGAGTAGACTGTCCATATTAATTACGTGATAGCATCATGTTACACGAACCACTAACAAATATCCTATGAGCAAATATTTGTTTTTCTCACATTTCATACTGGGCAGTTCGATTGAGCAAATTAAAAGAAAGCATACATCTACTGGTGATAAGGCTACTTTTCTGCTTCGTTGTGCACATTTTGTTGATGTGGCGCCTGTTGAGGGTGCCGCTGTGTGCAGTTCAAAGTGTCACAGTGCAGTTAATTAGGTAAAAGAGACACAGGCAGAGCAGATGAACTGGAAGAACTGGAAGAATCCTTGAAGGTTTGTCATGTTCCTTGAGAAAGAAGGTGGAACTAATAAGTGATAGTGGTACTCATCTCGTCTTAGGTACTTTGTTTATATATTTATTTATTTTAACGTTTGATATGTGGCTACAATGCTTGATATTATAAGGTGCAGATATATTAGCCATGTTGATATTGACTAGCCCCGGACCGATATATGCTCTTCTGCAATGATTAATCTGTTCAGACATTGTAACTTGTAGTTACCTAAAGTTCGAAGAGCTGCTTGGTTTTTCTTCTTTCTTTTCTTTCGTTAGATCTTGGTTGTTCAAGGTATCCTGACAAAAAAAATTATATATAAAGATTGGGTTAGTTATACTTTTGAAGGGTGTCGAACTCAATTCTTCCCTCTTTGTTAATGTTTCATTTATATTTTGATTAAACAATATACATATATAAAATATATAAAATTCATATTGGAATGAGATTCATTACAGGACCTTCTGTGCTCTGGTTTGTATATTTTCTTTCAGGAGTCATAGCACTATCTTCTTTGGATTCATCAGTTGCTACAGCCTGTCTGAAATATAATGCGTTGTTTAAATGGAACTGCACATCGAATAAAAAATATTCGTGTCTTTGTCAAGATATTAATTGGTTACAAACATTAACTTATTGTGTCAATTATGGTGCTGATCATGAAACACCATTGAAACATGCTATGAGACATATACGATTGAGATGTAAATCTGGTGATATTGATTTCACCACTGAGCAATTACAACAAATTTATGAAAATGGTACTTTATATACAAGACCTATCATATCAAATGACACTACCACTAGAGTCATAGGGACATTGATTCCTGACGAAACTACATTTGATTATTATTTGACAAAATATAAACAGACTTCTCTGTTTGTCACTAGATCTCAATGGTATGGTTGGGGTTTGATATTTTATTGGGTTACAATCATTTTAATTAGTACAATTTTTAATATTAATAGAAAAATGATTGGATTTAAAACTTTTTTCCAAAATGTTTGGATTAAAAGAAATGTTGCGATCCCTTCAGTGGGTAAACATTATAAAGAACGTACTTTTCTTTTATTTCGTTGTATTCCAATTAATTTCCCAACTAGATTGGACGCTTTGATTGTAACTGTTTTTGTTATCTTAACAATTATCTTTTGTGGGATGGATTATGATATTCATTTACCACATCCAAATTATCCTGATCAATGGAGACTTAATGCTAGAATGTTAAATTATAGAGTAGATCAAATGGCACTTACTTTGTTTCCAGTTATTTACATGTTTGGTATAAGAAATAACCCCTTTATTGCATTATCTGGGTTTTCTATTGGTTCCTTCAATTATTTCCATAGATGGTGTGCATACGTGGCGTCCTGTTTGGTATTGGTACATGCAGTGTTATGGACAGTTTATTCTCAAAGGTATTCTACATATCATCATTACATCTCACAGGAATATTTCCAATGGGGGATTGCTGCTACTGTGATGATGTTTGTTTTATGCTCTCATAGTGAAAAGATCTTTAGAGATAGATTTTACGAATTCTTCTTATTTTTCCATAAAGCTATGAATGTAATATTTATCGTAGGTTTGTATTACCACATTGCATCATTCGGTTGGTTGAATTGGGTTTGGGCCCTTGTTGGTATATGGGCCGGTGATAGATTTTTAAGGTTTGGTTGGATTGTCATCAATGGTGGAATTCATAATGCAACTTTGACGGATTGTTTTAATGGTGTCATAAAAATTTCTATTCCAAAACCCAGATTTTTCAAATATCAACCTGGGATGTTTGTTTACTTGTACTTCCTTGGATTAAATGAACCTTGGTTTTGTTCTTTACAATCCCATCCATTTACAATCTTAAGTGAACCACAAATAGATGAAAGCCAACCAGGTAATTTAATAATTTATTTCAAAGTTAATAAAGGTATCACTAAACGTTTATTAAAGAGGTTGGAAAAAAGTGGTAAACAGAGTATCACTTGTAAAGTACTATTGGAGGGGCCTTATGGTGTCCAATTACCACAATTAACGTCTATTACAGAGAATTATTCAGGTATATGTGCAGGTCTGGGAATTACAGCTGTGTATCCTGAATTGTATCATGCAGCTCAAAAGACTGAAAATATTGAAGGGTTCTCTCATAATTTGACTTGGATCATTAATAACCCTTCACATGTGGAATGGTTTCATCAGGAATTGACTCTGTTGTCTCAATTGAATTGTAACGTAGAAATCATTTGTACAGCAAGAACGTCTAATAATACCCCAGTAGATGAAAAAATGAAAGGATTTAAAGATAAGTTGCAATTCACTACAGCAACAGATTCTGGTAGTTCCGCTACCTCTACGAATGACCGTTACGCTAAATCTCATTATGAAATCCAATATATTGAAGCTAGGCCCGATTTGGGGCAATTGATAGCCTCTCGAATTTCAAAATCTCAAAATCAATCTTCACAACCAACAGATTTGAATATCTTGACATGTGGTCCCTCCAGTTTCAATGATAAAATTAGATTTCATATGACTGAGGAACTTGCAAAAAATATCTCAATAAATGTCAATTTCGATGAAAAGAGTTTCACATGGTAAATTGGTAAGTATATAATAAAGTATGTGTACTAACTAAATTATGCTTATAAATATCCTCTATAAATATATTCCTCTATAAATATAAAAATTATTAAATCTTAAGAAACGTTTCTAATCATTCTATCATCCCTCGCTATTTCTCGTCTTTGTCTTGCATAGCTAATAACTCCTTCCATTTCTCTGCCAACTCCCTTATCGAATTAGGATCTAAACTGGCCTGTACAACATCATCTGGTACTTGATTCTCGGAGTGTTCCTTACATGCAAATCTACCTGTATTATTTTTTAGGACTAATCTCAATTCATAATCATTTTCTTCATTTTGTTCTTTAGTTATGAGTTCATTCCAAGAAAACATCAAAGGATCGGTCTTTTTAGCAAATGGATTAATATCAATTAAAAATATTTTATCAAATGGTCTTGGGATATAAATATCTAGGACTAAACTATCATCGGGGAATTTTGGAATCACAATATCCTCCACAAATTCATCTATTAAATCTTTAAATGTGTCTGACAATGGTTTTAGGTAGTCGTAATAATTTAAGTCTCTTTGTGATACACCGACAATTTGTTTATCTTTAACAAATACTCTAAATTCTAATGCCGGATTTATATCGAACCATTTTCTTAAAATTAGTTCAAATGTTGGATTTTCCATTTTATTATCATTATCTTGACAATCATCAAAGGCATATTGTAAATCATGCATAATATAATTTGAAGCATTTAATATTAAGTAAAGTTCATTCACCTCTGTACATTTCATCGAATTATTAGGTAATATCCAAGTGGCATCCTGTGGTGCAGACCAATTCAACTTAGGTGCAACAGCACCTAATTTTTCCAACATACCTTTCAGTTTATCATGAAATTCAGGAAAATCTACCACTGGATCTAGCTTAGGATTCTGAGGCTTTTTATCTTCTTCATCATTGTAATCATCAAGGTCACTCGAATTATGTTCCTCTTCTTCCCAGTCACTATATTCATTTTCTTCATTTTCCTCAATCGGACCTGTATAGAATGACGAAGTGTGTTGTTCAGAAGGTAGCATAATACCATCTTGTTCTAAGTATTGGACAAACTCTTTTGGTACGGGTTTTATTATCTCTGTCTTTGGAGTATAAGCTTTAAAAAGTGGGTACCAGTGTGAAAACGAACAGTTTTCAATTTGTCTTCTGGTAACACACAGATCCCTAAATGACTTATAATTTTCACTCATAATATTGGTAACTTTATTTGATGATGGTATTATTACTTGAGATGCTAACTTTGGATGAAAATTAGTTAAGTTATTCAATTAATTGTACCTATAATACATGCTTTTGAAAAATCATTATGTAATAAATTTTCAAGATTTTCTCAGCTCATCGCTTCTTCGCATTTAACACTTTCAAAGAAAGCAATTCTGACTAATTTTCATGTGTAGAAGAAATATGTTGTAATGAATATATGACATCAAATATAAGTAATTATATTTAGATAAATTTTGTTTTATATACGAGATAGTGCACTGTTATATCTTGAGGAATTTAACTGCATTTCTGCTCAGAGCATAGGATGCACCACTTAATACAGTAGTCCCACCCACGATGAATCCTAACCATTTAAAACTAGCCAGTAATACATTATTATCCTTATCTTCCTCGTCGTTTTCTTCAGCTTCTATGTCTGTTTTGTCGTCTTTTATTAACACTACGACACCTAGTCCTAGATATATCATCTGTAAGAAAGTATTCCATTTAGAAATTTGAGATGGTTTCACCTTAGCGCTGGGGTATTTGAAAAAGTTCCAGTATGAGTTCCAAGTAACCCCTTTGTAAACTTTTTTCAATGATGTGTATCTTAATATAAATGCAGTCACGGCTAATCCAAAATCTCTCCCTATAATCACGAATGCAAGTGGTAAAGGAATAATTGCAGGGCCAGAAGGTATAGTCATTGCCACGGTAGTAACAAGCATTAATAGTTTATCAGCCATCGGATCTAAGATCGTACCAGCCATAGACCCCAAATTGTATTTTCTTGCTATATAACCATCAAGGAAGTCCGTTACACAGCAGTATGCAAATATACCAAGTGCTGGAGTCAAATTGTTTGTTATGATGAAATGCCCAATAAATGGTGTTGCTGCTATTCTTGAAATTGTTAAAGCATTGGGTATAGTTAATACTTTGTTAGACCGTGGAGGTTTAACATGTTTCTGTTTATTTAATATTATTGACGATGTGTGTATGCTAGTTCTTGAATTACATGTTGCAACAACTCTTCTAATGGCTGTTGTTCTACTACCGATGAGGCGATACATATGTCTTATATTTAAGAGAAGAAAAAAATGTGCAGTCTTTGAAGTTGTGAAGTTGGATTGTAAAATGTACCTCTCAGGATAATACTTCGATCAAAAATATGAATGTTATTTAACGTTTCCAACATTAGCATAGATCATTAAATCTTCGTCCTCTTCATCTTCTTTGTAGATAGCCAAGAGTTCCTTTTTTTTTCAAATTGAATTAGTCTTCGTTCTGTTCGGGCTCTCGAGTGAAAATAAGTTACTATGAATATCTAATCGCATACATAGAATAATAACGACATCAAAAAAAAATATCTAAATTTTATAATCAGACTTTCTTTACATATGTCAAAGCAAAAGCAAAAATTACATAAGCTATTTAAGAAAACATCTTAGACAAAGATTTCTTTTGCTCAGCGACTTGAGAACGTCTTTGTTCCTTTGTGTCCTTAATCGCCTTTTGAATACCTGCGTCATGAGGATGGAATGTTGCTGCCATCTCCAAGTCAGCCAATGCCATGTCTGTATCCTTTACAGCTGCATATGCTAGACCTCTACGGTATAGAGCCTTAGCCTTTGAGACGTCGTCTGCAGCACCGGCATATAGGACCTCGGAACTTGCAGTCAACACAACACTATATTCTTTCAATCTTAATGCGACCAAAGCGATATTTAGTGGGATTGCAACTTTCAAGCCATCTATCTTCTTCATACGTTCTTCAGGTAAATCTTCTGGGAAGTATTCCTTTAAGAATTTATCACATTTTTGATATTTCTCCAAAGAAGCAGTATAATTTTGTTTCTTGAATTGTTCAGTACCAATATTTTTAACAAATTCAATTGCAGTCAATACAGACATAAAATCGTTCAAATCGACTTTAGTGTCATCCTTCAATGAAGATTCATAATTATCTCCGAATTCATCAACAGGTGTTTCTTCAGCGTTTTCAGGGACTATGTAATCATCTGGCAAAACACCACAATCGGTAATCTTAACGTCTCTAATAGGTTTATCATTTTCTTTATCAGTTTGATTCTTTTCTATTAAACGAACGATTCTTTTCCCCTGGATGACTTTCCCAAAGACAACATGTTTCCCATCCAAATGAGGAGTTGGAGCACAAGTAATAAACACTTGGGATCCGTTTGTGTTTGGACCTGCATTTGCCATTGATAATAGGAATGGTTCATCGTGTTTCATAGTGAAATTTTCATCTTCAAATTTTTCACCATATATACTTTCACCACCGGTCCCATCACCTTTTGTGAAATCACCAAATTGTAGCATAAAATCTGGGATCACACGATGGAAGAGAGAATCCTTGTATGATAGTGGGATTGATGGATCAGATTTGCACATCCCTTCATCACCGGCACATAAATGGTAGAAATTGTCTGTAGTTCTTGGAACTATATCATTAAACAATTCAAAGACGATACGACCCTTTGATTGGCCGCCAATTGAAATATCGATAAAAGTTTTTTGTCTGGACATAGCGTAGCTTAGATAGTGGTATGGTATACGTTCAGATTAATGATTTAGTAAATATAAATTAACTCAGAAAGTATCAATTAACTAATTCATTGTTTCGTTATTTCATTATTCCATTTATATATATATAAGAAGTATATATTATTCAATGATTTGAAGGGGCGATTAGGCGGGAAATTTAATGAAAAATTATTTGAAGAAAAAAAACATTAATCGAATTCCATAGAATATTATAGAAGGAAACCCCCAAGTATATATACATATATACATGTATTATCATTCTCTATCGACAGTGTTTACACGTTCTCTATTACCATTCTGTTCCCAACATTTCCTAAAGGCTTCCATTTCTCCAAAACATTTCCCCCAATCTCCTGTATCTGCGTGACATAATTGTAATGCCATATTTTGTACATAACAACCTGTATCGTTAATTCTCTTATCCCAATCATCTAAATCATTTTCGGCTTGTTGTTCTTTATATTCTTCCAATGCCTCTTTATAGTACTCCGAGACCGGTTCACTCATTGTTGAACGTGTGTGTGTAAGTATATGTTGTCGCTGTTGTAAATAACAATGGCAATATATGATATTTACCTAATTTACCTACTTTATATTAGTATATTAGCGTACTATATATTATGTTATAAAGCAAATTGCCTCGCAAAGACGGGAGCAAATTTAGTTTTCACATACAAAACAGTAAAAAATAAAGGGATATGAAGAAAGAGAGAGAGAGAGAGAGAGAGAGAACAACTTTTATAACACAAGTTACATATACATAAAGGATGAGAATATCGATACTCGATGGTGTAATGTTTGATTGACAAGCAGAGTTACATAGATATATGGATATATACATATATTTGTAAACAATCTCTCAATCATGCTAATGGTTAGCGAACACATTAACTATTCACTTGTTTAGTTTGACTAATAACACAAGTAATGGAAGTAGTATAAGTAGTATATATCATACCATGTCATGTCACAGTCGTTTATCCCATAACATCAGAAACTGAGAAGAGAATGCTTTCCTTTAATTCTTTCGCGTCGAGTAAATAGCAACGGGGCCAGAGAGACAAAGAGAGAGAGGACACGCGTTATTTTGAATGGTGGGAATTTATCTATTTCGTTCGCCGTTGGGAGGTGCGCTGAGCGTGAAAGGGTAGTTCTCTGTTTGTAGTTGGAAGGCGTGAAAGCGAGAGGCAAAGGAGACAGAGAGAAAATGTAAAAATGTAAAAATAAATAAATAAATATAATAAACCTTCTCTAACATTTGAAGGTAGCTTGGTGTTGATAAATGTTATTGCTAGTTATAACATATTGAACTTTCAATTATCATTTACTTCTTACATATAACAAGAAAAAATAGAAAACTGATTTATTGGAAACTTTCAACTGTTGCCCTTTTTTTCTTTCTATTGATCGTGATTTGATTTATTATTTTATTTGATCTATTTTAAATCTAATATATTTAAGGCAATTGATTGTATTTATTTTACACTAGAAGAAGAGACGAACACATTGAGGAATAGATAGATTGATATTCAGAAGAAATTTAAGTTAATTATTCTAATAAGATGGTAAAATTAGCTGAATACAATCGTACAGCGACGTTTGCTTGGTCTCATGATAAGATTCCGTATTTAGCTTCAGGTACCGCCTCAGGTACAATGGATGCAGACTTCTCTAATGATAGTATCCTTGAATTGTGGTCTTTATTATCAACTTCCTCTGATAAACCTGTATGTTCCATTAAGACGGATGCTAAATTTAATGATTTAGATTGGTCCTTTGATAATAAATTTATTGCAGGTGCTTTAGATAATGGTGCCATTGAATTGTTCTCAATGAATGACTCTAAAACTACCGTTTCTTCAGTAACAAAATTATTGAAACATACTTCTCCAGTAAATACTTTAAGATTTAATCCAAAACAAACTAATTTATTATTATCTGCAGGTAGTAACAATAATGAATTATACATTTGGGATGTTAATCAATGTTCTACTCCATCAACTGCTTCTTCATATACTCCAACATCTCCGGGGACTGCTATGTCTTCCATGGATGAGATTAAATCGGTTGCATGGAATAGAAATAATACTAGAGTCTTCGCTACTGCTGGTGCGAACAATCCTTATGCTTCGATTTGGGATTTAAAAGTTCAAAAGGAAGTATTACATTTGAATTATACTTCGGAAACTACAGGTTCAAAACCATTATTATCCGTTGTGGAATGGCATCCTGTAAGTTCTACTACTATTGCTACAGCTTCAGGAAGTGATACAGACCCTGTTATCGTCACTTGGGATTTAAGAAACGCCAATCAACCATTGAAAGTAATGAATACTGGATTAGGCAAAGGAATCTTGTCCTTGGATTGGTGTGCTCAGGATTCTGGTTTGATGCTTTCAAGCGGTCGTGATAATACTGCACAATTATGGAACCCTGAAGAAGGTAAATTGTTATCGCAATTCCCAACTAGAACTAATTGGTGTTTTAAGACTAAATTTGCACCTGCTGTTCCAGATATCTTTGCCTCGGCTTCATTTGATGCAAAGATTCAAGTTCAAACTTTACAAAACTTGGAAAATACTTTTGATAAAGAAGAAACTCAACAAAAGATCAAAGAATCTGAATCTGAATTCTGGAACAACGTCTCAAATGAAGAACCAAGTCAAAACCAGAAACCAACAGTGTTGGAATTACAAACACCTAAATGGTACGAGCATCAATCTCCTGCAGCTAACTGGGCATTCGGGGGTAAACTTGTTCAAATTTTACCTGACGGGAAAGGTGTCTCGATTTCTAAACCAACCATTCAAGGTTTGGAGCCTAATGAGGTGTTGAATGATGCATTGAAGACTAAGGATTTCGTTCCTTTGATTAATGTAAGATTGGTGAAGACTGTCAATAAGACTAATGAAGAAGATTGGACTCTATTGGAAAAATTATCAATGGATGGTAAAGAAGAATTCTTAAAGGATGCTTTTTCATTCGATGACAACAACGAAGTTGAAGCCTCTGGAGAGAAAAACAATGATGAAGATGAAAAGTTTTTCAATAAATTGGAAACTGATTTCACGCCATCTGGTCAATTCAAATTGAAAGAAGGTAAAGAATCTAACATTTCCAAGGATTTGATTAAAGGTAATTTAGATAGCGCTATCACCAAGTGTTTGGATGACGACATGCTACTAGAGGCTCTAGTGATCGCTTTGGACTCTACAGATGCTACAATGAAAGAGATTGTGAAAAATACATATTTCACTAAATATGCAAACAAATCTTCTTTGTCCAGAGTTATGTACTCCACTCAAAGGAAAGATATCGAGGATATGATCAACAATTTGGATATCCAACAATGGAGATACACTGTCAAGGCTATATACAATTACTTCAAGACTGAAGAATCTAAGAGAAACGAACTATTAGTTAAACTTGGTGATAAATTGGTCGAAAAGAATATGAGACAAGATGCTCTGATCATTTTCTTTGCTGCTAACTCTCTAGATAAAGTATCCTCAATTTGGTTGAAAGAATTTAAATCAATGGAAGATAGTTTGAAAGAACAAAACAAGACTGTTTACGAAGCTCATTCTGAATGTTTAACTGAATTCATTGAAAAATTCACCGTTTTGTCAAGTTTCCTAGGTGGTAACTTGGATATTAACAGTGAAGAATTAATCTCTAAATTCATGGAATTTGTTAACTTGACTTCTGCCAGTGGTAATTTCGATTTGGCTGCTGCTTTCCTAGAAAATCTACCAGGTGATAATCAAGAAGTTAATGCTGAAAAGCAACGTGTTCAAATCGCATCTGGTAAACAGACTAGAACCGTCACCAGTAGAACTCAGCAATCCAAGGGTAGAACCACTGCGTATACCAACCCACAAGTTACTAACCAAGTTCCTCAACAAGCTGCTAGATATGGTATTCAACCACAACAACAACAACAACAACAACAGATGCCTCAAACTACCCCTGTTCCACAACAGACTAATTATGGTGTCCAATCACAAATGCCAACAAATGTTGCTTATGGTCAAGCCACAATGAATCAAGCCATTCCAACTGGTAGATATGCTCCGGTTACTCCAGCTACTGTTGCCGGCGGTAATAATCAAATGGCTCAAGCACCACAGTCATCTTTCCTACAACCACAAAATCCTTATGCACCATCAGCAACAGCAACAGGTGCCCATAATCAATACACTCCTCAACAGCCTGAACTTGCTCCACCACCTCAAACCATGAATGGTGTGAGATCTGGTCAAACTCCACATTTAAACAGAAAGGCTAATGATGGCTGGAACGATTTACCATTGAAGGTAGAAAAGGACAAGGCTCGTGCTAAGGCTGTCTCTATAGCCCCACCACCTATGATGCAAGGCTCCCACAACTCATCACCACATACTACTAATAATGGTATGCCACCTCCACCACTTTCAAGAGTAACATCTTCTGCTTCTGTAGGTGCACCTCCATCAATGGGTAGAAACTCAAGAAAGCCATCACAAGTTGCTCTAAGTAACACCGATAGCTCAACTCCTCCTCCACCTTTGCCAAAGATTCCATCAAATCCATATGCACCAAAGGTTACTGAGAATGCCCCTCCTGTGAACATTGCACCACCAATGATGGGTCAACCTCCTCAAAGTAACTTCCAACCAAAGGCTAATCCATATGCCCCACCTGCAAACTCTGCACCTGCATCAAATATAGGTGTATATGGTCCATCTCAGACCTCTACTCCACACATGGGTTTTGTGCAACCACCTCAAAGTAATATTAATGCTGCTGGAGTTCCACCACAAAATGCATACAGCCCACAACAGAACCCATATGCACCACCACAAAATGCTAATCTTCAGCAGCAGCAGCAACCAATGTCATCGTTTGTTGCACCTCCTCCAATGAATAGAGGTATGGATTCTTCTGTTTCACACACACCAATGCAACAACCAGTTGGTCCTCCTCCAATGAATCCAAGAAAGAAGAACCACGACAATGGTACAGTTGAAAATGCAAGTAACTTGTTGAACTCTATTGCAAATAGTGCACCATCTATTGCTGGTGCTCCAGCCGCTAATGCTCCAGTTCCATCTGCTCCTCCTATTTCTCAAGCTGCCGCCCCTGTTGCAGCTTCTGAACCTGCAGTTATGCCAGAAGAATACAAATCTATCGTTGAATTTCTGCAAGCAGAACTAAAACGTGTTACTCCATTGATACCACAAACCTATACCAAGCAATTGAAGGACTGTGACAAGAGATTAAACATTCTGTTTGGTCATTTACAAAAGGGTGATTTATTAACTGCGCCAACTATTGAAAAATTGAAGGAGTTAATTGAATTCTTGAAGGTTAAAAACTATGAGGAAGCCAAAAAGGTTCATGTTGATATTGCCACTAATCATGCTCACGAAGGTGGTAACTGGTTAACAGGTGTAAAGAGATTAATCGGTATTGCTGAAGCTACATCTTCATAATTCAATAATAAATTCTGGATGAAGTAGCAACTTTAAAAAACAAGAACAATATATATAGATATAGATATATATGTTTATATAGGAACTTATTTTCTTTTTAGGAAAGAAGAAGCGAAAGACATGTAAATTAAGTTATTTGAGTAAATTATTGACAAGATTAACTGTCGCAACTTTACTTTGATTATATTGTTTTATTATTTTTAACTGTATACGCATGTTTTGCCTTCCCCATATTGTCATTGCATAATTTTTGGTCCCCGAGCGTGGGATAAACGCATAAATACGTAAAATATATTTATAAAAAAATAAAGATCGCGGGGGACCCTGATGACAATAAAGAAATGTTGAATGAAAAGAACTGAAAGTAGGAAAGGATTAGCTAAGGCACGTTGACAGATTACCATATAACAGAGTTTTTGTCAGTGGATCAGCTACAGAGGTTGCGGTGATAATAGATACTATAACAAATAATACTTTCTTCATTCCTATTTTGAACTCGTGCGAAGTGAAGTGCAGCATATTTCAACACATTTGGAGAATAGGACGTGCATTTTAATATTTCTGATTCGCAATAGATTGAAACGATTCCATCTAAAGTTCCATAAGAACTATAAAAAAGAGATAGCATTATAGGGGAGGAAGAAAAATTTTCGAGGAATTAATTACTATTAAATTATACATAGGATCCCTGCTGAGTTATATTTGGAATCACTAGCATATAATGGGAACAGAAGAAGGAACAATAGGAAGTTCGCAAGGAAGAAAAGATCTTCTAAATAATGCCATAATTAAAGTACGAAATAGATTAAGAATACGGCATAAGCATAACGAAGATGATGATGAATATCAAGTGGGATCTAGTGATATGCAGGTCAATCCAATTACTCCAATTGATATGGATGATAAAGATATTAAAAATAATGTAATAGAAAACCATACGGAAGAAATAATACCTAATGATAGTTTATATGATATTGAAAATAATGAACTCCCGATAGGTGAAGTATTAACTCGTACGCATTCCTCTTTATCAAATATGTTTTCAGAGCCGGCCATGCCACAATCTAATATAGTATCGATTGTCGTTGGTGCATTCGTTACCGTAGCCGGGTTTTTATTTGGTTACGATACAGGTCTTATTAACAGTGTTTCAGAAATGCCTTATTTTTTGACACACATGACACATGATCAACATTCATTAAGCACCAAGGAAAGATCTATTGTAGTGTCATTTTTAGCATTAGGTACATTCTTTGGTGCGTTATCTGCACCATATATTGCAGACAAACATGGTAGAAAATTACCAATCATAATTAGTTCGTTAGTCATTTTCACCACTGGTAACGCATTACAAGTTGCATCCAAAACTTTAACATTATTAACTGCAGGAAGAGTTGTATCAGGTTATGGGATCGGTATTATGTCTGCTGTTGTTCCTCTATATCAAGCAGAAACGGTTAATAGATATCTGAGAGGTTCCATCATTTCTATGTATCAATGGGCTATTACTTGGGGACTTTTGGTTTCGTGTGCAGTCGCATTGGCGACTAAGAATAAGATGGATCCCTCCTCATATAGGATACCTATTGGTCTTCAATTTATCTGGAATACAATTCTTGGTATTGGTGTAATGTTTCTGCCTGATTCACCTCGTTACTATGTCCTGAAGGATGATTTGACCAGTGCTGCTAAATCCTTATCCTTTTTAAGAGGTGTTCCGGTCCATGATTCAGGTTTATTAGAAGAATTGGTGGAAATTAAAGCTACATATGATTATGAAGCGTCTGTAGAATCTTCTTCGATCTTGGATTGTTTTAGAACCACGGAAAAGAGGCCCAAACAAACTCTGAGAATGTTTACAGGAATAGCAATTCAAGCATTTCAACAATTTTCTGGTATTAATTTCATTTTTTATTATGGTGTGAATTTTTTCGCTAGCACTGGTATTCACAATAGTTATATCATTTCATTAACCACGTATGCTGTCAATGTACTATTTAATATTCCAGGTTTGTTTTTTGTTGAATATTTTGGTAGAAGAAAAATTCTGTTATGTGGTGGTATTATTATGGCAATCTCTAATTTAATTATTGGTATTGTTGGTGTTTCTATTGATGACATTAAAGCTGATAAGATTATGATTGCATTTATTTGTGTATTTATTGCTGCGTTTTCTGCTACATGGGGTGGTGTTGTTTGGGTTGTCTCAGGTGAATTGTATCCCTTGGGTATAAGAGCCAAATGTGCAGCTATATGTGCAGCAACTAATTGGTTAGTAAATTTTATTTGTGCGTTAATCACACCTTATATTGTTGATGTGAAGGATCATACTTCTAATATTGGTTCCAAGATTTTTTTCATTTGGGGTAGTTTAAATGCATTAGGTGTTATCACAGTATATTTCATGGTATATGAAACTAAAGGTTTAGTATTAGAAGATATTGATGAAATATATAAGAAATCCAAGAATGCCATGGATTCGAGTAAATGGAATGAACAAATCAGAAGAGAAGAAGAAGAGCGTGCAGTGGTTCATGTACCTACCTCAACGTTACCATTCGAGCGAGAATTAGAAACGATAGATAATGGGTATCCAATAAGTGTTATTCAAGGTAGTAGTAATGGGACGCCGTCCACTAATAATGTTGTGTATAGAATGAACAATTGTGCTTCGCTAAATACAGATTATGGTAAAGAATGTTATGAATTAAAGATTAGTTCTACATTAAATTCTAGTGGATTCAATGAAAGTTCGATACAGAATAGTAGTTTAAGAGGACCAATACCTGAAGTTAATGAATTTGATAAATATATGATGACAGAGTCTAAGAGTAAAGATCGGAACAGTCAACATTATAGTCATCATGATATTTTACCAAACATTAATCACATTCCAATCTCATCTGATAAGAGTATAGGTATTGCTACTAATTGTAGTAATACTAATCCAGATAATAATTATTTGGATCTAGGTAATGGATTAGGTTTAAACACATATAAGAGGGGCCCACCCTCTATTTCACCTGGATCATCTATAGATCTAGATGATCGCAACAATGAAGATCATAATTCTAGTTCATTGAACTATAGTGAAGATCGTCAACAAATGGATAAGATTAATGATTATATGGCCCAAATCATGAATAATGACACAAACAGTGGTTCGGCAAGATCGCAAGGATACACACATTCGCAACATTTCAACTCTGAATATATCGATCTGGGTGATGGGTTAAACCTAAATATCATGAGTCGTGGGCCACCCGATATTCTTTCAGATTCTAGCGATGATGCAGGCAATGATTATGACCGTAGTCCCTCCCCTGATTTCATATCCAAGGGATAATACTAGCCAGGCAGCATATACATATATATATATATATATATATATTTCCATTAATAAAATATTCGTTCATGTGCATATTCAAAGTCATCGATGGCATCCACAGCAGTAATATCCCACGATTTCCTTGATGGATCATCCGTCGCCTTCGACATCACATCATGTTGCACGAGCAGGGGAATCTAGTAAATTCTCCGCTTTTTCCCCTGTTCAGTTGATTTCAGTTAAAATGAAGCACAGAGAGCAAGAGAAAAAAGGACAGCGAGCCATTCAATCGAATATTTCTGCTGTTGCTGTTGCTGTGTGGTGTGTCTTGAGGCAATCGCGAGTGTTGGCGGCAGCGGTGAGATGCCAGTTCGGTAGAACAAATGGGTGAATATTGGGTACCTTACAACCCGTCCATAGTGAAGTTCGATCCAGATAGATTTTTAGAAATTAAGAAAAATGTCATCGGAGAACTAGCTCTCTCTATGAGGCATATATATAAGATATATATCTAAGTTGGTTAAAGAGATAGGGTTCTGTATAAGCATTCCTCTTTTACTAAAAGCAAACTTTTACAATACCTCAAAAAGAAAAGCGCATATAACTATATATATATATATATATATATACTAGTTTTAGGTGAAGACATTTCTAGTAGATTACGAAGGACTAACCGAGTGATTTTTTTTTTTTAAAAGTTAGTGATTGTTGATCGACTTATTGCTGGGTTTCCCCATTTTAAACAGAGTTCTAGGTAGTTATTCTCTGTTGATTGACAATATACATATATCTTGAATATTACAGGATATTGATTGTTTTTATTTTTAGACTCTTTTTTTTATCTTTTGATTTTGGTTGAGTTTTCACACACTCACATATCAATAAAATGACGATGACAGAGGCTCATGCTATTAAAACCAAATATTTGAATGGTAATGGAAAATTTGTTGTTGATAATGGCAATGCTGATATGACTGGTTCAACGGGTTCTAGCTTCCATATTCCACCACCTGCCGCTAGTAGAATGAAAGGTGGTAGTGCAAATACTAAAAGACGCACTGTACAAGCTATATCTAAATCTATTTTTGTTGATAATCGAAACATAAATACTTCTAGTACTATTAAGAGTCAAAATGATAAGAATAATAATAAGGCTACTACTACTGCAGTATCATCTAATACTTTTTGGAAAAGTGAAAATACTAATTATTTTAAATTCACTTTCTATAAGATTGTCCTTGCAATATTATTCTTTATGTTTGGTATCTTTAGATATGGTCAATTACAATATAATAAGAGTAAACTAAAGATATTAGATCTATTATACAATCCATCAAATACACCTCAACTGATTAGACAGGACGTGGTGAAACTAAATAAGATTCCTTCTAGATTAGCTGCAATCCTAGAGGTAAAACCAATCGGTGATGTAGGTGGTGGTCTAAAAGGCATACTGAATGATGCTAGCGAATTGGTATCTTGGACCATTTCTGCAGGAGTTAAACATTTATCTCTGTATGATTATGATGGTGTCCTACAAAAAAATACTGATGAACTACGTAACGCCATTTATGAACATCTTTCCATTTATTATGGACCTGCAAATGTACCAAATTTTGCTATAAGAATCCCACATTTTAATAAAGTGTTATACAATAAGAAGGGACAAGGTGATATCAAGAGTAAAGTTGCCATCGAAGTTTCGTTATTATCGAATAGAGACGGTAGAGAAACTATCGTTGATTTGACAAGAACAATGGCTGAACTTTGTTCCAATAAGGAATTGAACGTCGATGATATAACGGTCGATTTGGTCGATACAGAATTGAAACAACTTGTAGGGCAAGAACCAGATCTGTTGTTATATTTTGGACCATCCTTAGATTTACAAGGTTATCCACCTTGGCATATTCGTCTAACAGAGTTTTTCTGGGAAGAAGATAACAATCAAGTGACTTACTCTGTATTCATCAGAGGTCTTAAACAATATGCCGGTTGTAAAGTGAACGTTGGTAAATAGCCAAGCTTAAAGAATGAACCTGTATTGATGGGTGTCCTTAGTTGTTATTGTTGTTGTTTATGTTGATCTACCTACTTATCACATTACCATCGTACCTTTTTGCATGCTATTTGTTCGCCTTTCTTGCAACATTTCCTCCTTCATTTCGGTGACAAGATAACGATTTTCTTTTTGTTTTCTTGATTTTTGCTGACTATCTCATACTTTCTTTTCATAAAACCTAATATTTTTTGCATGGTGAAACACCACATTTATTATTTGCATAGCTAACCACATCTTTTTGTTTTCTCATATACCCTCCCCTTTCAACTTAAAAAAAAAAGTAAAATAAAGCTCATCAAAGAAAGTATATTCATACTCATTGCCTTTATTACCAATGTCATTACTATTACTACTTTTGCTATATATATACATAGGTATGTAACATATTCGATAGATACATAGAGTGTATTGTCTGTTGCATTACATCGACGATACACATCCCCCTGCTACTCAATAGAAGAATAAAACAAATTAAATAATAAAAGTTACTAATATATAATTAAGAATTTCTGCTATATATGTGTGTTTGTGCTAATGGGTTAAAGTTTCCTTTGGTTGAACCATTATGGTGTGTCATTATCCACGGTTGTGACACCTAAGATGAATAAATAATGACACATTTTTATTGCCATGAGATATCCCAACAGATAGTTACATTTTCAGAGCAAGTAACATAATTGTTCGACAAGATCCATCGTCGGTTTAAAGAATGTTTGACCCACTTCCACCTGTTATCTTGGTCATTTATATATATAAATATAATCATTAATAACCGTCACTGCTGTAGCTTCCTAACCGAAAGAGGCAAAAATACTCGGCAATAAAAATAAAAAATATTGGCGAAGTTTCGTGAAAAGAGAAGAAAAAATGTGAGAGACGGAAAAAAATGGCTGGAGGTGCGATAAATAATGGGAAATTGATAGATGTTTTCGATACATACGTTCGTTATACACACAATATACCTAAGGTTGTTGTTGATTCATTCTTGTTATTCATAAACAGGGGTTTCTTTCTTTAGTATTTGACGTTGTTCGTTTTGTATTCGTTAGTTTATTTTATATCAGCTAATCATAGAAGAAGAGTTTCTCTTTAAAAGACAATCATACTAAGTGTTGCATAGAAAATATAGAAAGAATAAAAATGGGTCTATTCGCCTCCAAGTTGTTTAGTAACCTATTCGGTAATAGGGAAATGCGTATCCTTATGGTGGGTCTTGATGGTGCCGGTAAGACTACCGTCCTGTACAAATTGAAGCTAGGTGAAGTCATTACTACCATTCCAACCATTGGTTTCAACGTCGAAACTGTCCAATACAAGAACATTTCCTTCACAGTTTGGGATGTCGGTGGACAAGACAGAATCAGATCTCTATGGAGACATTACTACAGAAATACCGAAGGTGTTATCTTTGTTGTAGACTCCAACGATAGATCTCGTATTGGTGAAGCTAGAGAAGTTATGCAAAGAATGTTGAATGAAGATGAATTGAGAAATGCTGTCTGGTTAGTATTTGCTAACAAACAAGATTTACCAGAAGCTATGTCAGCTGCAGAAATCACTGAAAAGTTGGGTCTACACGCTATCAAGAACCGTCCTTGGTTTATTCAATCTACATGCGCTACCTCTGGTGAAGGTCTATACGAAGGTCTGGAATGGTTGAGTAACAACTTGAAGAATCAATCATGATCTCGTAACTTTTTATGATACTATATATATATTATTATTATTACTACTACTACTACTACTATTATTATTATTACAATTACTACTTCCTCTTTCAATTTCTTCTTTTATAATAAAAAGGAGAATAGTGTTTGCATGTTTATATATATGTACGGACTATAACTATTGTTTCTAATATACTTTTATCAACAATTTAGAAGAAAAACTAAATTATTCAGATGTACACAAATGACTTAGATAACTCATCTATTTCTTTTTGAAAGATGTATATTTATAAATCTTGTAGATAGATTCGGTATATTAACTTATGTATTCAACTAACTACATCGGCTCACATTTCAATAGAGATGCATGGCATTTTACATTTTATAGAAGTATAACGAAACTGATATCATCACTTGATTGTATAACTCGAAATACCAAAACCCATTCAGAATTCGAGTTTCATTGTGTAAGTTCTTGCTATGTTGGTAAATATCAATATATTAACAAATCTTAACCGTCATCGTCTTGAATCTCTGAAATATGACTGGCAGCAACATTAACATCCGTACATTCCCATAATAGGGTCAACCCGTACCTCCAGCATTTCTAAATAAAATAAAAGTTTCAATTTTCTTTCAGAATTTCTATTTGTCATTACCGGTCAACGCTCCGAGAAATAAATTTGGAGAGCCAATTTTTACACCAAAAATTTTTTAAATGTTTTCTGTTTTTTCATGTCGTGATAGTTTATGGAATGAACGATGCGCTAACTGACAACTATTGCGAGAAGCCATATGCATAGTGAGTAAAGTTTCTTTTCATGATATTGAAAAATTATTTCATATAGCTTTTATTGATTAGTATATATGAACTAGTACTGTTAATTCAACTTTCTTTATCGATTTTTCATTATTTGAAAGAAAGTGTACAACAAATTATCGATTCAAAATGGTATGTTATAAATGAACTAGACAAAGGGGAAACGCAAAGACTTCAAGATGATATTACAAATTTTGGTATAGCATTTTTGTCATTTAAAAGATAACTTCAGATATATCCCATTGGAGGATCGACAGTTATCCAAGTTACAAAAATATTTGAATGAATGTTTATGCAAATAACAATCTCCATGACGTTATAACCAACCGAATAAATTTTACTAACTATTATTTTTTTAATGTTTAAATATTTCCATGATATATTATTTCTGTTTTGTTTTGTCTTCGACTTAGACCTATCTTCCTTTGTTTATAAGGATTTAGTTTGGTAGAAGACAGAATGTCTCTGATAATATTGTTTACTTATTTATTTATTCATTATTATTGTTTATTATTATAGGCCGGTGTTAAGAGTTACGAACTAAGAACCAAATCTAAGGAACAACTAGAATCTCAATTGCTAGACCTAAAGAAGGAATTAGCTGAGCTAAAGGTTGCTAAGCTATCCAAGCCATCTCTACCAAAGATCAACACTGTCAGAAAGAACATTGCTCGTGTCTTAACCATCATCAACGAACAACAAAGAGCTGCTGTCAGAGAACTATACAAGGGTAAGAAGTACCAACCAAAGGATCTAAGAGCCAAGAAGACCAGAGCCCTAAGAAGAGCTCTAACCAAATTCGAAGCTTCCAGAACCACTGAAAAGCAAAAGAAGAAGCAAATTGCTTTCCCACAAAGAAAGTACGCTATCAAGGCTTAAAACAAGGATATCTCTTTTATCTCAAACTTAAGAGTTATATATTTTTTTAAAAATTTTGTATAATACATCCTTTTTTATTTCCTTAATATAATACTATCAGTATCATCTTTTCTTCGATACAAGAAAACGAAGTTGTTCTTTTTATGTACAAGAACAATGCTCTAGATTATATATAATATAATATTAACACTCAATATATCAACCAAAAAAGGGCTTTACATATATATATATTGCTGATATAAATATGATTTTATTTTTGGGATTTTTTACTTGCCTTCCATTCTGTAATAAGTTGTTTTAATTCTTCATTAGGAATGACTTGTTCTAAACGTAATGGACTTCTATTGAAAGGATCTGTTGAATCACTTAATAAATGTGCCTTGATAGTACTCCTATCAATATTAACCTTGGAGGTAGGTAAGGTCACTGGATCCTTCATTATAGTATACATTAACGGATCTAAGAATTCATCAGGCGCATCCTCATACTCCATATCCTCTTCCTCCTCTTCTTTTCTTGTCTTTTCTGCCTTGTCCACAAATTCAAAGAGTTTAGTACAAAACTCATCGGATACAAGGCCTGTCCTTCTACCTAAAATATCAATAGCTCTCTTGAAAAAATCAACATTAAAGGATCTACTATCCCTTGCAACAGCCTTTATAAAATTATCTTCATTAGCTAAATTGATATAAACGGAACATAACGCTTTTAATAGCTCCTTTGGATTAAACGAATATTGTTCGGGATCTTTAACCCTTAGATTACCACATTTGGGCCCAACAAGGGATTCCAAATTATAGTTTAACATACTGGCAAGTCTATCTACAACTTCAGCCGTGACAAAACACTGCGAAATATCCTTAGTATATAATTCAAACAATGTCATCGATTTTGCAGCTAACCCACAGGAGGATTTAGCCTGTCTTTGGGCTGCTTGATATCTTGATTGCATATCATTTGCAGATTCATCTGTGGCATCCTCTGGTTGATTTATAGAATTAGGGTCATTCAATTGATTACCAAGTGTGTGTACTTCGGATAAATTACTTAGACCTTCATCTAGCAAAAATGTTAAATCATTTAACATACGTGCAATAAATCTGATAAAGAAATCTGGATTATTTTGAGATTGCCATATTAGTTGATTCTTATAGCTTGGGATCTTGTTATACATTTCCTCTAAAATAATAGATATACTATATCTACTATTAAATTTATCGTAAAATTGAGAAGAGGAACCTGTCTTTTCCACAATAACATAGAAATCAAGTAGTGCATACAAAAGGTTTTTGTTCACCAGGCTGTTTTCTTCGAAAATATTCATCATAAAACCTGGTGAGTTATCAGTCAGTGGCATAGAACCCACGCTAAATAATTGAACTAGTTTACCTTTTAAGTGAGGGTTAGATACTAATTCGGGACAACGTAGAATTGTAGTTCCTAATTCTACGAAAGATTGTAATCTAGGATTTCTAAATATTGGAGAATTACCATAATGTGATATGTATAACGAGTAGTTAATTGGACCTTCCACAACAAATTCGGGATAATATTTAAATGGTACAGGCGCATGTATTCTCAAATAATCGGCATTATCCACATTTTCAACACCCACTTGATCTGGGATAAGTGGTAGTTCGATTGTCTTGAAAGGGAAATCATGATTAGGATCGATCACCCTTAGTAAAAATGTCGATGCACCACATATGAAGTCGAAGACTTCTAATTGCAAGGACTTGTTCGAAAAGAAGCCTTTAAGAGCATCTTTTAATGCCTTTGTATATGATAGTGTCTTTTCAAGTTGTTTTAGTTTTGCATCAACAAAACTGGAAAGAAGGGAATTAGAGGCAGCAAATGTTTTCACTTTTTCAATTTCCTCTTTTATTCTCTTTATTTGAGGGGTGATCTTCTCATCGTATAGCAATGTACCACCAATACCGTAATGCAAGTAAGTCAAAGTTAAAAAGAAGCAATCAGATATAAAATTTGGTTTAACATCATTTCTGTGGTCATCATAGAATTTGTCGGCTTCCTTAAAATCGGAATTTAGACGAGTCTCATTCGAAAGATCAATGAATAGATTTAAGGTATTGAAAAAATTTACATCAATCTTGTCAATCTTATTAAAAGATACATCCAAGAACGGCTGAGAAAATTTGGTTAAAATTAAAGTGATATTGGACATAAATGCATTGGATGCTAACTTGTTCTGAGCAGCATGATCTGCTCTCCTCAAATGATTTTTATTCACAATTTGTCCCCAGTACGATACCATATCAGTACGTGATTCCACAGAGCCTCTAATAATTTTATCACAGATAAAGAAGAGTCTATCGAGAACTACTTTATGCTCCGCTTGCAAAGATTCGTGAATCATGTTTGTATGGGTCGTGGAACGTTCAAGCACCTCCCCATAGTTTTTTAAAGCCACATTGATATTCAGAGGAGAAAGAGTCAAAATTGGACCCAAAATTGTTTTCTTTTCGTATTCGTTGGCTAACAGTTCATGGTGAGGGAGAAATCCATCTATTGTGGTAAAAATGCTTGCAACTTGCTTAAAATTAACAAATAATTCAAATACAGATAGGGTGTTATTGTAATTAACAGAATCATTTAGATCAAACAAGGCATTTGGTCTGTGAATATATTGTAGTATATTTGGGAAAAAGCTATTTAATAAATCAGCTAGCGAATCCTCGATTATTGCCCTTTGGATGATCTGCGATAAAAAATCGGAATAGGAGTCGAATCGGTGAAGGATGTGAGCAATATAAGTAGTTATATTACCATTTAATGCAAACTCCTGGATTTGGAATGCGACTAAACCATATCCGATAACAAGTCTATCAATTTCTTTGAACACTACATCCAGTTCAGAATTATTTTTATTTAACCTTTTTTGCCTTTGACAGCGTAAAAAACATTCATTCAAATAACTGAAAGGCTGTTCCAAGGACTCATTTTCTGTTAATTGATATATAAGAGCAGAATCAGTATTATTAATATCTAAAGTTTGAGCATTTCCCTGTTCTGCAAAATTTACCAAATAGTAACCCTTCGGGATATTCTGTGGGTTTGTTGAAATTTGGAAGATGTCTTCCAATATTTTTGAAGACATTAGATCTTAACTTGATATATGACTTCCTTTGTTTAGAGTATACCTTAGAATCGTTGACTTAGGATGAATTGTTGAACTAGTATGTGTGTTTTGTCAGTGTTAAACTGTAGCAACTATCTCAATGTGTGTCATTTATAATTGCAAATTGAATTCGCTTTGTTGCTTTTGGTATCGGAACATAGTTTTAGGATATAAAGAAAAATATTCAAATTGTATACATATATGACTTCGAGACTAGCAACAAACACAAAATTGAAACTAAATACTAGTATCCAGAAGAAGTAACCGGGTGCACGTTTTACTTTTTGAAACTACTACACCACTAAAGGAAAGATTATTTGCTCTCTGAAGGATACCTATTATTTGATAAGGTGGAAGAACAATTAGATCAAAATGAGCAACAAAATCGAATACCATACTAATGCCACCCAAAATGATGGTCAATCGGATAACAATACTTCTGAATATTGTACCAATGGTATAGCAACACCTCTCCTACTAGCTTTATTTACAAGACCACTTGATCGAAAATTTATTATAGAGTTAGAAAGTAATATTTCAGGATTTATTGATTCAGATGCAAGAACTGTTAATCTTGATACGATGAACTCATACCACAGATTTCTTTCTTATAAGGTTGCCGATTACCACGAACTGAAGCATACTATATTGCGAAAAGATGAAACTCCTGCCATTGTACTTTATAAAGATACAATTGCACCAATGACTATGAAACTCCCATTACTTAAAGACTTGAAGCAAGAGGATTTTAGTACGGAAATATTATCAGCAACTTTAGAGAAAGTTACACTGAATGATTCTAATGATTCTGATACACAATTGTCGGCCAAAAACTTAATTTTGAAAAATAAGAAGGTCAAACTTTTGAAAAGAAGTGGAAAACGATTATCTATCGAAGAAAATGATAAAAATAAGAAGGATATCCCAAGTATTCAGAAGTTAGAGACTGTAGAAGTTTTATCAAATAATTTAAGTCAGGACTCGATTAGTAGTCTCGAAGAACAACGACTGCAAAAGGAAAAAGAATACGAAGAAACAAAACTAAAAATATTTAATGATAACCAAGATATAAATAGTCATGATGAAGATTGCGATGATTATAAAGAAAGTTGTAAAGAAGTAAATTCTAATTTAACAAGAGAGAAGAGTGAAAGAGATATAGAAGAGCATATATGGGGTCAGGTAGAAGGATCGATACCCAATATAGGTACTAATGATTCGCCTCAATATTACAAATCAAAACCTTCGAAGTGGACTAGCGACATAAAGAATTCTAAGTACAATAATTATAATTGTAGACAAGATACTGGATACTCAGGTGGAATGCCTCTTAATCCAATGTATCCATCTTACCCGACGCATAATGAATATCAAGGATATCCATTAGGAACAGTAGATCTACAATATATGCAACAGATAATGTTTTCACCTCCGCTTAATGGTTATAATTTTCAAAACCCCGTTCCATATATGAGCTATCAACCTCAACAGCGGAATACCATGTATAATGGGTATAATATTCCGATAAATGGTTACGGAGTTCCATATAATAGGCCTCCTCCTTCTTCTTCTTCTTCTTCTTCTTCTTCCTTCAACAAGAATCAATCAAAAAAGAAAATTTACGGCAATGACACTAGGACTCCGTCAGGAAACGGTTATCCAAACGAATAATTTATAAAGCAAATAATTATTAATAATATACATATATCTTTGGTATTTTTGAATAATATCATTTTCAATTTTTTGTTTATTTACTCATTAATTTCTATTCGTAGGTAAATATTAACGTACTAAACTTAAATATTTTTATAAAACGTCACAAAATTTTAAGTTATTTGTTAATACTTAGTGTCAACCCAAGTGCAAACAACAAAACCACAGTACATAATAGTGATGTAATATTAAATTACCAATATCATTAAAAAGGCTACAATTATATTGATACTTGATCTTGAAAGTCAACAGGAATCAAATAAAGGATAAATATCAATATCAAGTAATATAATTTATATTCATAATGGAAAGTACAAGAACCGAGAGTGTCCCGGGTGTAGATATTCCTACCTTTAGAGAATTAGTGATTGCTCAGCAAGATAAAAGGAGTTGTAGATTAGAAAATAAGTTCGTTGAAAGAATGGAAGAATCTTTAGTCAGATGGAAACCTGGTGTTTCCTCGCATCGGGGCACACTCATGGCAATTGATGGGGTACACCCTTATCAATTACTCACTGGAGACCGCAACAACACTAAAAGAAGTATAACATCTAAATTGAACACAGAGAAATTACATTTTTCTTCTTTCTATAAGTTGAAAGACGACAATTCTGTTCAGAGCAAAGGTAGCGTAATCCAAAATTTTATAAGATGGGTTTATGATATAGATTCCAACAAGGATATTGATGGTAATAATAATAATAATAATAATAATGAAGAGTTAGAAGATAATCTATCCTTCGATCACGATGGTTTATCCTTTATGCTTACATCAACAGGTAATAATTCTGATGTGACAGGGACTCCCATTATGTACCCTCGCGCCGCACGGCTAAAACCAAAACAGATCGTAGGGGAGGATACAAATCATCTTCAATATATGACCCACCCATTAGGCGCCACAGAAAGAGCATTGTATGAATTATATTATAATAATCCTATACCTGTCAACTATTTGGAGGCGACAATGCAAACTAATAATGAAAATATTGCTACCGATACTAACAGGGAGCATTGTAATTTAGTTCAAAACAGAGGCTCTGTTGAAAAGGATGGGTTTCATGATTGTATATCATGCAACACTCTAATAGAAATGCTTCCATGTTTGCAATTGAATAACAGTGCTTCTCTCAATAATACGAATAGCAATTAGTAAATAATTAAAAAAGGTTTTACTTAAATAAAAATATTAAACTATGTTAATCTTAAGCGAAAATTGTTAATTTATTAAACTATACTTTAATATATATATAAACGTATAAAGTCATACAGATATAGAAGCCCAGCGTAATGAATCGACAGTTAGGTTTATTATAGAACTAGACGTATCAAAATAAGATTGAATTTATAAAAAAAGAAGTATGAATGATTAACAATAACAGTCAATCAAACTAAATCATTTATTCAATCGATCGCTTATTTGGATCTAGCTCTCACCTTCCGTCTCTTTCTCTTAAGTCTTCTAGTTCTCTTCTTTCTCCACTTAGCTCTCATTATGGATTAGTGTGGTTTTCTTGAACTTGAACAAGGATAAGAATTGTAATAATTAAAATAAGAGACCTTTAAATATATATAACACCTATATATTAAATGGTGGATACTACTTAAGAAATGAGGAATTCATATATAATTTATACAGCATTTGGTTTAATCTCAAGGGGGCGGACGAGGAGGGAAACCGGGATGGAGAGAACGGCGCAATAACAAGTGAAATCTTGTTATTCTACGGCTTTTTGTTACTACGCCCGAGAATTATAGATGGAAATGAACGATTTACTTAAAGAGGCGAGATTGAGAATTTCACACGAAACTTAATGATTGTTGAATATTTAATATGTGGTATGTACGGATGTTATAATAAATGTAAAAAATGCACGGATGTCATAGTCACAAAAACAACTACAACAACAAAAAGGAACTCTATAAGAATCCATTTAATGGTATTCCAAAGCATGATAAATATAGGAACATTGGTCATGAATGACTATTCGTCTCCTGTCTAACGGCTTTTAGTAGAATATTACGAGTTTCCTTTATATCCAATAATTGGACTAATGCATCTACTCTCTTTTCGGTAAGGTATGTTTCATTATTGATCAGATTTGTAAAATCTGGCAATTCACTTAAATTTATTTTATTATCTCCATTAAAACCTGTTCCGTGATCTAAAAGGGATTTTAAATGTTTTGCACCTATATATGCTTTATAACTACAGTATGATCTATAGGCTAAATAAAATCCTGGGATGTTAGGTACAATTGGAAGTAATCCAATTGGTAAGGTGAAAGGAATTAATGACAGATATACCATAGTTCTCTTTTTATAATTAGTAATTCCCATTTCAGAAAACGTCCGTAATTCTTTCAATATCGAATCTGATTTCCACGAATCAGTTAATGGGAAGTATAAATTAATTGGTTGAATTCTTGGTTTTGGTTTCAAATTTTTATATTCTTTTGTTGTAACATGTCTTGATGGAGAATGTTGTAATATGTCTTGACCCTCATCATGCAATAATCGCTTCAATATATAACTCTCTCCGGGGATTGTCAGTAGAGATGCTTCAGGCCAAGGAATCCTATCTATTGTTTGGTTAACCCATTTGACAATCTTTTGGTTATACGATTTCGGAGAATTTACCAATTTTAACCATAAAGAAGTAAATTTATTCACTACCCATTTTTCAGTTGTTTGAATCCTTGATTTCTTATTCTGTAAACTATCATGATGTTTACAATATACAAACAATTTATGTTTATTTATCGGTATTATGACCAACTTCAAGGGATCATTTAAATATCTCTCTAATATGGATCCCTTTGTTGCGATATTTGACAGATTACCAACAAATCTCCTTGTTAACATTACAATCCGATTATCTCCGAGAAATTGGTATAATGCTTTCTAAAAACAAAAATAATGCAGCTCAGTTCCTTTTAAAATAATTAATCAGAAAAGCAGTGAAACTTGCTTATCAAAGATATTAGTGAATCCTCTTTTGATTCCAGAATGAATATCAATATATTGTATAAGTGATGTCAGCTTATGACAGATCACCATGTCCAAAATTTAACACCACCCCCACATTGAATTTCCTTTACTTAATCCGCTTTTTCCTAAGCCTTAATTCTAAGTTTTTTCGTTTTTATTGTTCGGTGAGATTCTTTCGCTCTTCGAATTTTTTTCATTTACTAGCGTGGTTTTCTTACACTTCGTGAATTTCTTACCTATGGAAGGAGTTCCTGCATGAGCGCCGTTCCAAATTAGCTATACAAATTATATCATATGATATAGAGATAGACACATGAGTTGATTTAAATTCGATCATCAAGAAGGAACTTCCCAATTCACTATACCAAGACTTTTATTCGAGCTAAGAGTAAAATAGTAATCAGTACAATTATCTTGTTCTCTTTGATAGAAGAATGACCCTGGAAGAGGATTAGAATCAACGATTGCTGAATTATGGTAATACTTCATCACCTATAGAGAAAATACACTGTATATACCCATTTTTATTTATTTCTTAATGTTCCTTCGATTTTTCATCTCTGTGGAATTATGCTCCTTCTTGTAGTTGAAAATAATTTAATAATATATGGTAGAGATCTCAGGACGACAATACATAACATAGCAATCAATTCTATGTTAAATCGATCTCCTGGGGTAAGTTATTCCATCAGTTCCAGACGTTACCCAACTGCTTCAAATAAGTTTAAATCGATCTTCACAATACAATCTTATTAATAATACATGAGCTGGTTCCATATAATTAAACTTGACATTTCGAACCTTTCAATATTGAATGTTTAAATTACATTGATTTTTCCATCGGGAAAAACAAAGTTCCGATGTAAAGAAAGGTACTATTAAGCGCCTAGTCACTATGTGTGGTTCTCCTTCTGCCACAATGTTCACACCCATTTTCCGTATTTTTTTAATTCCAGCGGAATTCACGAAACCCGCCAAAAAATAACAACACCATAGATTAATCTTGTGATTTATGTGCGGAATAGTCATAGGGAAAAGGGAAAATTGAATTAATTAGAGAACTGAATAAGATGACTCAGTAATACAGTACGCACAGTTCAGTTCTTTTCAATCTTTGAAGAGAACCAGTAACTTGTGAATCTAATATACTCAGTGATTAGTACCAAGAGTTGAACGTAATAATACCCATTTTCTGTTAAACAACTGAGTTTAAGGTATTAATTAAAGGGATACTAATCCAACGAATATACTGACTGGATCTATCCTAGTCTGCTCTAATATTTTGGTAGCAGTCACACGTAATTTTAAATTCATTTTATTTTGGTTTTCTTTCAGTATGTTATTATATGAGAAAATAATATTTTTAGGTGTTTGTGTGGAAGTTATAGTACGTTATTTGCGAAGTGAAATGAGAAAACAATGAAGAGAAATGAGCTATTAACGTTATGCTCTAGTAGCTAAAAATCAATTTCTTTAGATGAACTTTCTATAGACAATATTACTAACAAAACTATACTATGTATGTGTCATAATAGGTGCGATGCTTTAGTAATAATATTTCCTTTTAGTTTCTTCGTAAGATTTTTTTTTCCTTTTCAATTAATTGAAAAATTTCACTTATTAAATTAAATCAATTTTATATAAATATATGCACTAGTATATTGATATTTGTTTATTATCTGGGGTTCTTACTTCCAACATTTCTTTTAATTATTAAGTTTGATCTTGATTTTCAAATAAAAAGTATCCAGCCAGAATAGAATTTGTGATATACGTACCACATTTTTAAATCCGATATATATATATATATACATTATTTACAATGTCCGAAACAAATAATAATGCTAATACTGAACATGCTAAGAAAAATCCATATGCTTCTCACGCTGCTGATTTCTTATCTAATGTCAACAGTTTCCAATTGATTGACTCTACTCTAAGAGAAGGTGAACAATTTGCTAATGCTTTCTTCGATACTGAAAAGAAAATAGAAATTGCTAAAGCTTTAGATGATTTCGGTGTTGACTACATTGAATTGACCTCTCCTGTTGCTTCAGAACAATCTCGTAAGGATTGTGAAGCCATTTGTAAATTAGGTCTAAAAGCCAAAATTTTGACTCACATCAGATGTCACATGGATGATGCTAGGGTTGCTGTAGAAACTGGTGTCGATGGTGTCGATGTTGTCATTGGTACATCAAAGTTTCTAAGACAATACTCTCACGGTAAGGATATGAACTATATTGCCAAGAGTGCCATTGAAGTCATCGAATTTGTTAAATCTAAAGGTATCGAAATCAGATTTTCTTCTGAAGATTCTTTTAGAAGTGATCTAGTCGATCTATTGAATATTTATAAGACTGTTGATAAGATTGGTGTAAATAGAATTGGTATTGCCGACACTGTGGGTTGTGCTAATCCAAGACAAGTTTACGAATTGGTCAGAACTTTAAGAAGTGTTGTTTCTTGTGACATCGAATGTCATTTACATAACGATACTGGTTGTGCCATTGCTAATGCGTACTGCGCCTTAGAAGGTGGTGCTAAGTTGATTGATGTATGTGTTCTAGGTATCGGTGAAAGAAATGGTATTACTCCATTAGGTGGTCTAATGGCCAGGATGATCGTTGCCGCTCCAGAATATGTTAAGTCCAAATATAAGTTACATAAAATCAGAGACATTGAAAATCTGGTCTCCGAAGCTGTCGAGGTCAACATTCCATTTAACAACCCAATCACTGGTTTCTGTGCTTTCACTCATAAAGCTGGTATTCATGCAAAGGCTATCCTAGCTAACCCATCTACATATGAAATTCTAAACCCACAAGATTTCGGTATGAAGAGATATATTCATTTTGCTAACAGACTCACAGGTTGGAATGCTATCAAGTCTAGAGTAGATCAATTGAATTTGAGTATGACAGACGACCAAGTTAAGGAAGTTACTGCAAAGATTAAGAAAATGGGTGATATTAGACCATTAAATATTGATGATGTTGATTCTATCATCAAGGATTTCCACCAAGAGGTTACAACACCAATGTTGAAAGGAAAAGCCCTTGCTACTTCTCCTAGTCAGTCCTCTTTGAAACTTGATAATGAACCACCAGCAAAGAAAGCAAAAACATCAAAATAGTTGACCAGTTGAAGTTGAGGTTTCTGAATTCCAAGGTCTTACCTATGTATCCCATTCTGTCCATTTAACATTAAATAATTAACCAAAAATACATAACATGACATAAAAACCAAGCATCAATAAAATAAGTACTACCATCCCACCAAAATTCCATACATCCTAGACGTATCATGATTATGGTTGACAAAGTAAAGGTTGAACAGGGGAATAGCCGCGGAACCTCTTCTCGCGTTTAAATATTTCGGTATTATATCAAGTTCTTTAATGCTAAACATCTGGGTAGAGCTAGGAGAAAAATAAAGCAGTGGACCAATCATAGGTCGTCATTTCAATGTATAGCGACATATCCACGAATTGCCCTCCTCGCACCAATTCAAAGGGCGAACCCTACTAATTTTGCGAAGAAAAATGCGTACCACAACAAAAAAGTCCGGCTATTAGGACAAAGTAAGAATTTTGGTGTAAAATACATAGTCAAGAATAATAGGTCACAAGGTTATACCAATGGTTTGGTCTAATATTATTATCCAATACAGAAGGCAGTAGTTTAATAATTTTGAAGAGAAAACTTGGCTAATTGGCTGGAAGTAACAGAGAAGAAAATATATGGCCCTAGATACATTTAACGAAAGTTATCAATTTGTATTTGTAGGTTTAGTATTTATTAATCGATATAATTATAAGTAACTTAATATAATAATAATAACAAAAAAGGGTATATATATAACTGTTCAATTTACCGAACCTGTAAACACGTATATACAGAAATAATATTACCGGTACATTTTATTAACTAGAATCATCGAGATATATTCTTCACCAATATAGAAAATCAAAGACACACAAAGAACAAAAACACATACAACTTAATCAAAATGCTTTCCAGTTCCCGTTCCCTAGTGACTCGTTCAATCAAAATCAATAAAGGATTGTTATGCTGTAGATTTTATACAGATGGTTCTCTTGGTTCCCAAAGACCTATTGGTTCTGGTGACAGTTTCACGAAGAGAGAAAAAGTCAATGAAGATTACTATGTGAAACAACACGAAAAAGAATTATTAAAGACATTAAAAAAACAATTGAAAGAACAGAGAGACAAGTTGGACCATATGGAAGATACTCTAAACAAATTACATGAATAAATCATTAGATTTTTTACTTTGTTTTCTACTTTAGTATTCTACTCAAAAAAATAAAAAATTAACTCATTACAATTGAAAAAAGAAAGCATACGGAGATGAAGACCGTCATGTTTAGCTGCCATAAAATTATATTATTCTCATTAATAACTAAACATGAGTTCTCATTTTATAGTTTGTTCTCTCTTTTCATATTATCGATACAAATATTCCGCCCTTTTTTAAAGATATATTCATCATCACATCTTTTTCTTTTATATAATATATANTATATATATATGTACATTGTTATTTCCTTAAATACGTACCTTAGGATGTAACATGATATTTACAATTATTGAAAAGAATTAATGTTAAATAAAACGATATCATTACTGGAATTGTACTGTTACTACTACTACTACTACTACCAGTATCACATTCAATCCTGTTTACTGACGTCTTCCAGCCCGTAAACCATTTCTTGGAATATATTTTGAGACTGTTAAACACCCAGACATATTAGGTAAACCCAGACATCTCAATATTTTCTTATGTTTTTACAGAAATATTTAATAAAATATTTCAAAAGAGACCATTTTTCCTTTCGGTCGGGAAGAGTAAGTTCTTCCAACAGTTAGAATGTGCCGAAGGAGTACCCAAAAGAATGAACTTTGTCACTTCGCTTCATCAAAAACTGATAATATCATTCATTCCTTTGGTAATTCCAAAATATGTTAACTTTACTATGTGTGATACTGAATCGTTAATTACTCACATAGTTAATAGTAGTTAAAGAGAAGTTGAAATTTTTTAATACTTAAAATGCCTTCATCTAATTTTAACATTTAAAGGAATCGTAAGCAAAAAAATCATATAATAACAATGTCTGACGCTATCATCTCATATGCTGCTTTCATCCTAGCCGATGCTGGTGTTGAAGTCTCCGCTGACAACCTACTAGCTGTCACCAAGGCCGCTGGTGCCAACGTTGAAAACGTATGTTAAATAAATCCATTTTACTTCAGTCATAAATATGTTTTATTACACTTATATTCTATGAAATAATAGTACTATTTCAATTACTCATCCATCCAAGGGAGCATAAATATCTAACCTTAAAAGAGAATAATCAAGAAGAAATTCCTAAATGAAGTTAAAGAAGTCCTTGGAACTATCCGATTATTGTTTGAACATAACGCAAACAATTGAGAATACCCATGTGTTACTGTTAAATAATTTTAAAAATTGAAATGAATAATAATTGGCTATTGGGATGTATCAGGAGACTTAATTACTCTAAATGAATGTGATTTCTGCATAACTTTATTGTTTCATATCGTTATATTCGACTAAATGGCATTATAATTCGATTTAGTCGTACATTGTATGATTAACCATTTTGTATTGACTTTGGTATAGTGCAAGTCTAATTCTTTTTTTTTAGTTTCTAACCTCTCGATGATATCCCACCGTTTCCAAATAATATTTATGAAATGACATATGATATAATATTTTGAATAAAATTTACTAACAAGATGAATTAACTTAATTATCTAATAAAAATGTTCAATCATATGATACATTTTTGTTTTTATTTTATGTTAAATCCTATTTTTGTACAGGTCTGGGCTGATGTCTACTCCAAGGCTCTAGAAGGTAAGGACCTAAAGGAAATCCTATCTGGTTTCCACGCTGCTGGCCCAGCTGTCGGTGGTGCCGCTGCCGCTGGTGGTGCCGCTGCTGCCTCTGGTGAAGCTGCTGAAGAAGCTGCTGAAGAAGAAGCTGAAGAATCCGATGACGACATGGGTTTCGGTCTATTCGATTAAACAAATTAATTATTAAAATATAAAAAACTTTAATTACATAATTTTTTCTCTGTATCGTTATAACCATTCTAACTTAATCATTCATTAAAATATATATATGCAAATATTTTTGGAAGTGTTTGAAAACTATGATCTTGTAAGTCGACTAACAGTAATTGGTTTCAATTGATTCATAAAGGGACTTTTCCCTTGCTCTTGACGTCTCAATTTTCAGATTTATTTTGTCTTTCAGGGTTTGATTTTTTGCCTTATTCTTCTTTATATGACTTTCGTCGCTCTTGATACTTCTCCGCATAAGGATTACCAGCAAAGAAAAATATTTAATAGATAATATATAGCTGATACTTATCATATTTACATATGATAAATGCCTATGAAACTAAATCTCATTTATAAGAACATAACAACACTTTTTTAACTATATATCAAATCTCTGAAAGCTATTAATTCATCATAATTCCAAGCTATCTAATAAAAACACACTTAACTATATAAGATGGCCCGAATAGACCATGCCGCACCCTATTTTATGCCACTATTCTGTTCAAATCGATCCTCCATCGTTGCTATATTGGTATGTATAATTGTTAGTATATTTGTTCTAATATATGCAATATCATATCTATTACCCACAGAATATGATGATCCGAATATGTTTACGCCAAATGCTCAAGATTATTTCAGAACATCTTTATTAGGATTTCTATCACCCTTTTTATTTTATTTCTTGAAGACATTCATATTCAATATCAATCCAAAATTTCTTCTAATCAACTTATTTTTTGATTTCCCATTGAATGATTCATTTTTATTATGCATTTTAATTGGTTTAGCGTATCCTCAACTCCAGGACCAAATTCATCGTCCACAAACAGATAATGTTATAGATCCTATAGAACCAGCACCACCGCTATGGCATATCATACCTAGACAATCGTATATTTTCGGTCTAAATTGGGCTTTAGCAGAACTGATACTGTCAATTTTAGACAACATGCCATATTATAAAGAAATTAAGTTAAACTCGACACTTGGCAATTCATTAGATCCAAACATTATACCCGATAATGATTATATAAATACACCCGAAAGCGAAGAAAGCTTATTGAATAGGAATAATATTACATTATCCAGATGTGTTGGATTAAGAAGAATCTCATCTACAATCTCATCAAATGTTTATTCTTCTGATCTGGATGTATTACCAAATAGAAACAGTAATATTAATTATGGAACCATTGGATCAGAGAGAATGCATTCGAATAAACACAAATCTACCGCTAGGGATAGAAATGGTGACAGATCTCGTAGTACCTCTATCTCAGAGAATATAGCGTCTGTACAGGTTGAACCAGATTCTGATTCAGTTCTGATAATTGATCCCAAGGATAATTCAATAAGATTAACTTCATTAGATTTGGAACATGAAATGTTTAATAACAATAACTTCAAACCTAAATTTAATAGAAAGAATGGCTTTGTTTGGGTTACTTTCAATGATGAAACCAAGAGTATTAAGAAAACAACAACGGCATCTCATGATTTAGAAAACAACAATAGTAGTTCTGATACCATTAACAGATCTCTCATTGAGAGACAAAATCGTATTAGATACTATTGTGAGATCCAAAATAACAGATACCTAATTGTTCGATATTTTAGAGCATATCTAATTTTTATGGGTAATATACTACTTACCATCGGAGAAAGTTTTATTCTTTCGATCTACTTCATATATATTCGAGGGCATGAAAATTTATTTACCGATGTAGTAAATTATTTTGGATCTCATAGTTTGCTAAACTTCTTTTTATGTGTAATTATCCCTTTCTTAGCGATAGATTACATTGTTAATATTCTGATATTATTCTGGAACGATATGGAAAACGTTTATGGAACAAACAGTGCTCATGGAAGAAACGATAATGCGGGACATACGAACAGACAAAATAATGCATTATATCAAACAGAACATTTTTATTTTGATTTATATTCAAGAGCACTTGATTCAGAAAATGTTCCTCGTCCTCAAAATGCATTAATGGCAGATTACTTTACACCCGAAAGTCAGATCAATTCCCAACCAAACTACTTAAATGACCCATCATTACTGGGTCTAAGTACTATCTCCTTACCTGAATCGAACAAAAATAATAAGAGACGACTACTGAGAAAATTAATGCACCTATGGCAAAGGGTTGGTGTCAAGAGTGCATATATCGTCGGAGCACAATTTCTGTGGGGGTTGACAGTATTTGTAGTAGGCATATATACAGCAGCAGATATATAATCAAAATAGTAATGACAGTAATAGAATAATATTCAAGGTAACCCTATATAAATCAATAAAAAACAGGCAGCATCGTTTTTTGACGTTAGATCATATTTGCAGTTGTTATTGTCGCAAAGCCAAGACGAAATCACCGATAGCTAACTCACTATCAAACGGAGATGGCATGATACGAGTCATTTTCTGTATCGATGATATTCCTACCTAATACTCTGACAGAACGAAAAGAATGCCCGTATATTCCTACACATCGCCCTTCTCCCGTTCTCTGTTTCTATTATTATCATTGTTGTTCAATTCAACTCAATTTGAGTTTATTTATTTCTGCATTTTTCACCTAACAACGAACGAATCGGAAGAACGTAGGCAATGGTAAAACCAAAGACAGACCCTGATATAGAACTTCTCTTTCCCCTATTTCTATACGCTAGTGATATAAATACACCGTAGTCTATGTTCTTGTAAAATATATAAATGAGTACAATTTTTATCTTTAAATATACGCAATCTTCATTGTTATATCTGCACAGTTTAAATATCTACAAGAACAATGGATGCCACAACGCCATTGATTACTGCTGATAATCTCCTACATGGGAGAAGAAGTGGACCAACATTATCTACTTACGCTGCCTTTAAAGTTGATTTACACTACGTTTTATTTTCCTCACCACTGAATGTGCTTTTGCTATTTGTTCCATTGGGTATAGTATGGGGTTATTTTGAACTTTCTCATACCTGGACTTTTGTCTTTAATTTCTTGGCCATTATTCCTTTAGCTGCTATTCTAGCATATGCCACTGAAGAATTAGCGGAAAAGGCAGGTAGTACTGTTGGTGGTTTGTTAAATGCTACATTTGGCAATGCTGTAGAATTAATCGTTTCTGTCATTGCTTTGAGAGAAGGTCAAGTAAGAATTGTCCAAGCCTCTATGCTAGGTAGTTTGTTATCTAACTTGCTATTAGTACTAGGGTTTTGTTTTCTCTTTGGTGGCTGGAATAGAATTCAACAAACGTTCAACCAAACTGCTGCTCAGACTATGTCCTCATTACTTGCTATCTCATGTGCATCTTTGTTGATTCCAGCTGCATTTAAGGCTACATTACCAACAGGTAAAGAAGATAGTTTAATTGATGAAAAAATCCTGGAGTTGAGTAGAGGTACTTCGATTATTTTATTGATTGTATATGTGTTATTTTTATACTTCCAATTAGGTTCTCACCATGCTTTATTTGAAGAACAAATGGAAGAGACGGAGGAAGTACTAAGTCAAATATCAACCAAACCGCCTCATTCTTTAACCATCAGATCATCAATGTCGTTTTTACTAGGTGCCACTATCATGGTCTCTGTATGCGCGGATTATCTAGTTGGCACTATTGATGGTATTGTAGAGTCTACCGGTCTTTCCAAGACATTTATTGGTTTGATCTTGATTCCTATAGTAGGTAATGCTGCAGAACATGTTACCTCTGTGATGGTTGCTCTAAAGGATAAGATGGATCTTGCTTTAGGGGTTGCTATTGGATCATCTTTACAAATAGCTTTGTTTGTTACACCATTCATGGTTCTAGTGGGTTGGGCTATCGATGTCCCAATGACCTTAAATTTTTCCACCTTTGAAACTGCCATTCTATTCGTTTCAATATTATTATCCAATTACTTGATTCTAGATGGTGAATCAAACTGGATGGAAGGTGTGATGTCCTTGGCAATGTACACTTTAATTGCCTTGGCTTTTTACTACTACCCGGATGTCGATACTTTCGGTGTTTAAAGACTCTTTCTTTAAATATATATTTTAGTTTTTTCCTGATTATCAATAGTAATTATATGACACTCTCAAATATTGTAATACTCTTTTTATACTGTTCACCAACTCTATTATCTTTCTTTTGAAATTTTTACTTTTAATTATTGAAAGGTGTATGTATATGTATGTATATATTTATAAATATATCGCAGTTGGAAGAGTAATGTAATATAATATAGAAAAAATGAATCCCAAAATTTCATATGATCAATTAACTGTATAGATCGTCATCATCTTCGGCGTTGTTATTGAAATCCGCGCCAGTACCACTTGGGGCAGAAGCACCTGTTGGATTAGAAGTATTGGAGTCGGTACCCATAGCATTTTCATCAAAGTTAAAGTTGCTGAATTGACCTCTAGAGGCCTTCATTTGTTGTGAATAAGCTTCATAACGACGTAATTCAGCATCACTGACAGAACGTTTCGCAGTCTTCATAGCCTCAGCGAAATGTTGCTTTGTTATATATGGTACAGGGTCTTCTTCTGGTTCTTCTGGTTGTTGTTCTTCTGTTTTCACTTCTTCGTTATCATCACCCATTTCTACGTCCTCATTCTTCACCTTTGCAGCCTCCATTAGTTTCTTAGCTTCAATAGAGTCCTTAATAGCAAATTTGGCTGCTCTTTGTACAATGTAAGATAAATCAGCACCAGAGAAACCTTGGGTAGCTCTAGCAATAGAAGATAACTCTAGACCTGGCTCCAATGGAGTCTTTCTTAGTTGAGCACTTAAGATCGACAATCTAGCTGGTTCATCTGGCAATGGAACGTAAATCAATTGATCTAATCTACCTGGTCTTAAAATAGCCGGATCGATTTGATCTGGTCTATTGGTGGCACCAATGACAAAGACATTCTTCTTAGCATTCATACCATCCATTTCGGTTAATAATTGATTGACCACTCTATCAGAGGCACCACCGGCGTCACTACCACCAGCACCACCTCTGGCTTTAGCAATGGAATCCAATTCATCCAGGAAGACCACAGTTGGAGCAGCAGCTCTAGCTTTGTCAAAAATATCACGAATATTAGATTCAGATTCACCGTACCACATACTCAATAGTTCTGGACCCTTAACAGATATGAAGTTAGCAGAGACCTCGGTAGCAACGGCCTTAGCCAACAAAGTCTTACCAGTACCTGGTGGACCATAGAATAATACACCCTTTGATGGAGCTAAACCAAACTTTGTGTATTGATCTGGATGTAGAACTGGGTATTCCACAGTTTCCTTCAATTCTTCCTTGATTTCATCTAGACCACCAACATCATCCCATGTGACGTTAACACTTTCAACAACGGTTTCACGTAAAGCAGATGGGTTAGAGTTACCTAGAGCAAATCTGAAGTTATCCATAGTGACACCAAGAGAGTTCAACACTTCGGCATCGATTTCATCTTCATCCAAATCGATCAGATCCATCTTTTCACGAATTTGTTGCATAGCAGCTTCTGAACACAAAGAAGCAACATCAGCACCTACGTAACCGTGAGTCTCAGCAGCCAAAGTCTCTAGATCGACATCATCTCCTAATTTCATATTCTTAGTATGAATACGTAGAATTTCCAATCTACCAGTGGCATCTGGGATACCAATATCAACTTCACGATCGAATCTACCGAATCTTCTTAGAGCTGGATCGATAGAGTTTGGTCTGTTTGTAGCTGCAATGACAACAACATTGGATCTAGCCTTCATACCATCCATTAAAGTCAATAATTGGGAGACAACTCTTCTTTCGACTTCACCGTTGGTCTTATCTCTCTTTGGAGCAATGGAATCGATTTCATCGATAAAAATGATTGCAGGTGCGTTCTTTTCAGCTTCTTCAAAAGCTTTTCTTAAATTAGATTCGGATTCACCAGCCATCTTAGACATAACTTCTGGACCATTAATTAAGAAGAAAAATGCACCAGTTTCATTAGCTACAGCACGAGCCATCAAAGTCTTACCAGTACCTGGTGGACCATACATCAAGACACCTCTTGGTGGTTTAATACCAATAGCTTTGAATAATTGAGGATGTCTTAATGGTAATTCTACCATTTCTCTAATTTGAGCCATTTGTTTACGACAACCACCAATATCGTCATAACCAACTTCGTTAATATTGTTTTCTTCATCTTCTCTATTGATTGGTTCACCTTCCCAATGGATGACAGTATCTTGGGCAACAACAGCATATTCATCAGGTTCAACATCAACAACCTTAAATTCAACTTGTCTCATACCACCTCTAACGACAAAATGATCACCTTTTCTAACAGGTCTATAAGCCTCGACGAAATAAGGTTTTAAAAACACATCAAATAAGTTACCGGTTAAACCTTCAATAGTATCAGCGATTGGTAATACAGAGATTCTAGTTGCATATTTAATATCTGGACATGGATGAATTGTTACTAAATCACCTAAACGAATACGTAAATTGTTTCTAACAACTCTATTAATTCTACAAGCACCATCGTCTAATTCATCATCAATAAGAACAATTAGGACGGTATCCTTTCTCTTCTTACCTTTAACTAAGACAGTATCACCACGGAATAATTCTAATTTGTCCATAGTATTAGAGTTAATAGCAATAACGGAATTATCATCATTAGTAGCATCATCTACTAATAGCATATTATCTTTCTTCTTACGTCTTAAGATAGCAGTAGCAGTAGCATCTTCTTCACGAGGTTCTGCACCAGATGCATCCAAAAGGGGTTTATGTTCTTCAGCAGCCATATTTTATTTTCTTATCTATTGATTTAGCGTTAGCTTTCGTTTCCCGTAATTCAAAATAAGACAAATAACTTATAACCTTTGGTTTCACTAATTATAATTAATTAGTATTAAACAGAACAAATCAATTATTACTATTATTGTTAATATATTCTTGATAACGTATGTAAAATATATTTATATATATAAATTATAAAAAATTATTTGCCACCTTACTCCACCAAAGAGGGAAAAACAAGCCAAAAGGATAAAGTGGGAGCGAAGCGAAAGAGTGGTGGGTGGCCTTAAAATCAAAAAACGAAACGAAATAATGGTGAATTTCCCTTTTTCTCTCTCTTTCACTTTCGTTTCTTCAACCCCCCCGAACAAATAGAACCTAAAAGAAGGAATAATAATAGAAGGTTCTCATAGTATATTAACAACTTCAAATAGGTGATTGAACATACAATTAGTATTACTTGCTATATAACAGTAATATGTAAATATAAGATGACGTTAATACAAAGAAAATAAACACTTGATAGTTATCGTATCATTTTTATTAGTTTGTATGTGTAGAAAAGCACACACTCAGTGGAAACTTTCTTTAGAATAACCCTAGGGTTTGTGTTAGGGTCTGGGTTGATGCATGATCTCGTTTGCTTCTCTCGGCCGAGTCTTTAAGGAGAATATATTATAACCATCATTGCATATATATGGTCCTTCCTTGTACTACAAACAGTCTTATTTCATTTCATTGTTCTTATTATTAATGTTTATAAACGGTATGTGGATGCATTTACTGGAAGGTACCATCTATTTATTTATGTGTGTATGTATGTATATGTAATTATGGGTATACAGGATGACTATTAAGTTTTATTGAATCAGTATAAGATTGTTTAGCATGATGTAATACAAATTATTGAATCGTGTTCGTGGAATATGATTTTGAGTTCGGACATTTGAATTACTTGTGCTCGCTATGCTTCTGTTGATTTTTGGTCGAAATTTGACTCCTCTGGGGATTACGCTAATCTTCAAGGATAAAAAAAAATTGAAAATAATATTACATCTTCTATTGGTGATATTTTAATCGAGATCATCGAAATAAATATATATGTATATATTTATTAACTTTAGTAGACACACACACATATATAGAGATCTATAGAAATAATGTTGAAATTATCGAGAACTGCAGTGAAAAACTGCAAGTTATTGTCCGTATTTAAGAGATCATTAACGTGCTCCCCTAATGTGAGACTATCATCATCTCTTTTAGTATCAAATTGTAATTCAATTAAAAAAACTTTCACTCCAATTAATTGTGCTGGTAGTATTCGTTCTTATTCAAATGGTCCAAATGCTGTCAAATTGACATCTGAGGTTTATCCAAATGTTCATAGAAATAATCACTATAAAAAATTAAGTTCTGATGATTTAGAATATTTCAATTCAATCTTATCAAAGCAAGAAATTATGTATACTGGCACGGGAAATAATTTGCAAGAATTGGATTTATATAACGAAGATTGGATGAAAAAATATAAAGGTCAATCTCATTTAGTATTAAAACCAAAATCTGTCGAAAAGATTTCGTTAATTTTAAATTATTGTAATGAAGAAAAATTAGCGGTGGTACCTCAAGGTGGGAATACTGATCTTGTAGGTGCATCAGTTCCTGTATTTGATGAAATTATTCTTTCTTTAAATAATCTTAATCAAATTAGAGAATTCGACCCTGTAAGTGGGATCTTAAAATGTGATGCAGGTGTGATCTTAGAAAATGCAGATAATTATTTAAGAGAACATGATCACATTTTCCCATTGGATTTGGGCGCTAAGGGTTCCTGTCATGTTGGTGGTGTTTGCGCTACAAATGCAGGTGGGTTAAGATTATTAAGATATGGTTCACTACATGGTTCTGTCTTAGGTTTAGAAGTAGTCATGCCTAATGGTGATATTGTTAGTAGTATGCATTCTTTACGTAAAGACAATACAGGTTATGATTTAAAACAATTGTTTATTGGTGCTGAAGGTACTTTGGGGATTATTACTGGTGTATCTATCTTGACTCAACCAAAACCCCAAGCAATTAATGTTAGTTTCCTTGCAGTGCAAAACTATGAAGCTGTTCAAAAAGTGTTTGTTAAGGCTAAGAAGGAATTGGCTGAAATCTTGTCTGCTTTTGAATTTATGGATCAAAGATCTATTCAATTGACCAAAAAACATATTGAAAAGGATACACCTTTCCCCTTAGAAGAAGAATATCCATTTTATATTCTTATCGAAACTTCAGGCTCCAATAAAGCTCATGATGATGCAAAATTGGAGACCTTCTTGGAGAGCGCTATGGAATCCGAGATCGTCATTGATGGTACAATTGCTCAAGATGAAACTGAATTACAGAATTTATGGAAATGGAGAGAAATGATCCCCGAATCAAGTCAATGTCAAGGGGGTGTATATAAATATGATGTCTCTTTGCCATTAAAGGATCTATATTCTTTGGTCGAAGTAGTAAACAAGAAATTGGTTGAGGCAGATTTGTTAGGGAGTGCTCCAAAACCTGTCATTGCTGCTGTAGGGTACGGTCATGTTGGTGATGGAAATTTACATTTGAACGTTGCTACAAGACTATACTCCAAGGAAATTGAATGCACTTTGGAACCATTTGTTTATGAATATGTATCCTCTAAGCATGGATCAATTAGTGCAGAACACGGTCTAGGGTTCCAAAAGAAAAATTATATTTCATACACAAAGAGTGAGCCAGAGATTAAAATGATGAAGGATTTAAAGAAACATTATGATTCAAATGGTATCATGAATCCATATAAATTTATCTGATTTTCGAACTCTAAGTAAGTTAAAATACCACTTGGGTAACTCCTCCTGTATATATCTATATCTATATATAAATTGAATATTCCCTCTTCCCATTAATTAAAAATTAAGTTTTATTAAAAGTCTATCAATTTATTCATTAAGGAAGAAATCCGCCATTTTTCAAACTTTCAACTGCAACAGATGAAATATGTCTGAATCGTGCAGATCCTAAAGGAGTACCTCCATACCATCTAGTAACGATTACCAAAACATTGACTACATTTGCTCTCTCCAATAGTGTCAAAAGTCGCTGACCAGCAGCTGACTCTCCACAATCTGCACAACCTTGTTGTATATTTTGTATACTGACAGGATCCTCTTTATTTTGTTTCTTGCTGCGATTCGAGCTTTTTTTGGTATCCTTGTCAATCTTTTTCGTAATATCTCCAGTTCTCCATGCATACATATGCATATGTGACGCTTTCGAGACACTCTTGTTATTTTGAATGAGTTCGTCTAATAACTTCGGAACATTAGATTGATCAGTCACTGCACAGCTTCGACCTTGAAATTTCGATTTTCTGTCAATTAATATCTCAGATTCATTCCATCCTTTCATGACGTTGCTATAATATCTACACACCTTACTCAATTTATTCATTCATGAGTAATTGAATTGCAAATATGGATTCATTACACATTAGTATCGGCCATAAATAGAATCCATTCGGAAGTTAATTGTTACAATGTACATATATGGTCTTAAAAATTGAAATTCAAGTTGAGATTAAAGCTTTCTTTCCATTTAGATGAACCTCCCACCTGACTGCACGAAATTGTGATGACGCGAAACTTGATTCTGTCTGTATTAGGAAGAACTGAGAGTTATGACAGAAATAAATAAACTTGGAGGTTCAGAATATTTGTAGTGGGATGTAAAAATATCAATAACGTTTAGTATACATTTTTCGTATTTTTTTAGTGATCAATAGTTGATATATAATCAATTACTTACAAGAGAGACAATGTTCACTCCGACTAAGACAATTAAATATTATTTCAATATTATTTGAATGAAGGATATGTACATGTCTTATACACATTAAATGTAGCATGTAGCGATGACTTATACTATATGATTATTATAAATGACTATATTATGTTAATGGTTAAATTAACCAAGTAATTGAAATTCTTCACTAAACTCTGGCTCACGTAAATTTTTATAGGGCGGTGGGAAGAAATGACCAACCTTTTTATGTGTTTGTTTTGAAATTAGACTTGATTGTACATTATTATCTATGGAATTTAGATTATTGTAATATATGGGTTCCAACACACTAGGCAGATTCTTACCTGAAAATGCACTTTTTTGATATTTCATTTTCTCTGTATGCTTATCTATATGACAATCATCACCATAATGTCCTTTTTCACCACAATTATAACAAAATAACGTATGCATTGGTATCGTTGATATGGAAGGGTTTTCTGATGGTACCGGTCTTGTCACATATGCTCTCCATATAGACGGGCATCTGTCAATGACATGTCCATAACTTTGGCAAGTAGTGCAAAATTCACTTTCATCTATATCTATTTCTTGTCTTTTCGTCGATACTGTAAGGTTAGAACACAAAGAGTTACTTCCGATATTAGAGTGATGAGCTTTCATTTGTCCACAGTGTTCGCACAAAGTCCTGGGACAGTTTTTAGTTCGATGTTCATTGTTCTGGCAAATTTTACACTTGAAATGTTTTTTATTGGACTTTTTATTTATTCGTATCACTTTCCTTCTATCTTTACTTCTCACTTTTTCTAACTTAGCCATTATAATAGATTATGAGATATCAATGGATGTGATTTATGTTTCAATTACAAGGAATTTAATCAGGAGGGTAATAACTCTCGGTGCTTATTTTAGGAGTAATGGTCTCTAAAATAGATACTAATGTTAACCTTGTTAAAATTGGACTTAAGGGTCGTTTGTTAACAAGAGATCTCCCAATTTATGATTACTCATCGTTCTGTTGCAATAATCTTAGTATGAGTTTATTCCTCAAAAATCACGTGCAAGTTTTTAGTTTTAAAAAAGTTACATTCATTTTCGTTGGTTTCGTTAACACGTCAAATAAAGCTTAAGACGATTCTACAATTTAATATATTATAAACTCAAGTCTACAAAAACAAGGTAAAGCATACTCTTGCTACCTTGATACGTGACGAAATAGTATATTATGAGTAATATAAGTGAAGCTGAGAAGCGTAAGCTCTTTAGAGAAAGAAGACAAAAGAAATTTTCTAATGGTGGCGCTACTTCAAGATTAAACAAAATTACAGGTCAAGCCGATAGTCAGTTAAATACAGAATCACCATTAGATAATCCAAAAAATGAATTTGTCCTTCCAACAGAAAGAAAGGTTGAAACTACCAGTTCTCATGACGATATTCATAATGAAAAAAGTGTATCAGAATCTGAGAATACACCACAGGTAGAATTATTAAAGCAGTTGGCCTCAATGCAAAAAGAGGGTTCCGACTCCACTCCAGATTTGTTTTCCTTATTGAGTTCAATGCAACAAAATGGTGTACCTAATGCTAATGGGTTTAGTGAAATACCAAGTGATATTCCTATGGCACCACTTGTCGATCCTGCCATGCTAAATTATCATAATTATTTAGTGAGTAAATTGAAGGCTTGGACTATTCTACTAAAATGGATTGTGCTGGTTCCATTTTTATATCTAGTAACAAGAGGTGAAGATTTCGACCATAGCTCCATTCTAGGTCCTCTAAGTAATGTTACTGATTCCACTAATTTCTTTATGGTATTTACAGCATTTGAAATAGTAGCAACATCCATCTACTACCAAAGACTTCAAAATATTGAAAGAAACAATAAGGTAAACACGTTAGACAATAACAGTAAGATAGTAAAGATGGTATCTATCGTACCAGAAGGTATCCTACCAATCAAAAACATAAAGGGCAAAGTTGTTACCTTACTGCAATATTGGGACGTTTTAGCTATGTTTATTTCCGATATTTGCTTAGTTTTAATTGTAATTGGTATATTTCAAAAGTTTTAAGTAATGTAAGACTATAATATATAATTTACGTCTCTTAAACATATACACTACTTTTCAATCAGATCATGGATCTTACGTTATGTATCTTATATGTGGCTATACAAAAAATATTTTTTAGTCACGTGAATATTTACTGAAAATTTTTGCAGAGAACAAAATCCGATGAGCAATGTGAAATTTATATAATTAATTAATCGATGAACATCACAACATATAAAGTAAGTTGAAGTTTCAATTGAAAGTGTATACGAGTTGAAATATAGAAACCAACCCAGCAAACAAATAGCATACATTTTAAGATGGCACCTCCAGAGAAAAGGATTAGAAAACCTAGGGAAAACCAAGAGAAATATGAAAGACCAAGTCAAAACAATGTAAAAGAATATAAGAAGAGTAGAGACAAGAAACTTAAGGCAAATTTAAAGAGAATGGATAGACAATATGCCCAAACTGTGTCAGATGCAGCTGCCACTGATTATCTATTGCCAGAATCATCTGGTTACATGGAGACAGAAGAAGAGATGGAAAAGACATTCAGAGTTAAACAACATGAGATTGTGAAGGATGTTGATATCTCAACTGCAAACAAAGCTCTAGATCTAAAATTAAATGAATTTGGGCCATATTATATTAACTACTCAAGAACAGGTACTCATTTGCTAATGTCAGGTCGTAAGGGACATGTTGCTTCTATGGATTGGAGAAAAGGTGAACTACGTGCAGAACTAAATTTAAATGAAACCTGCCATGCAGCTACATACTTACAAAATGAACAATTTTTCGCTGTTGCACAAAAGAGATACACATTTATATATGATCATGAAGGTGTGGAATTACATCGTTTGAAACGACATGTTGATGTTAGACATTTAGAATACTTACCATATCATTTCTTACTGGCAACTGCTGGTGAGACTGGTTGGTTGAAATACCAGGATGTCTCTACAGGTGCGTTAGTTACGGAGACGAGAACTAAATTGGGACCAACAACTGCAATGACACAGAATCCATGGAATGCTGTCATGCATCTTGGTCATAGTAACGGTACTGTTACTTTATGGTCTCCATCTATGCCTGACCCATTGGCTAGAATATTGTCCGCTAGAGGACCTATTAATAGTATAGCCATTGATAGAAGTGGTTATTATATGGCTACTACAGGAAAAGATAAATCATTAAAAATATGGGATATTAGAAATTTCCAAGAATTACATAGTATTGAAAACTTACCAACGCCAGGTACAAATGTTTCTATATCGGACACAGGTGTTCTTGCGGTTGCAAGAGGACCGCATTTAACGTTATGGAAGGATGCATTAAAAAGAGGTAAGGCTGCTAAGCCATGCTTCGGTTCCATGGGTGGTAACCCAAATAGAAACACACCATATATGACCCATTTATTTGCAGGTAATAAGATTAATAATATGACATTTGTACCATTTGAAGATTTATTAGGTGTTGGACATGAAGGTGGTATGACTAATCTAATTATTCCAGGTGCAGGTGAAGCTAATTATGATGCATTAGAAATCAATCCATATGAAACTGCTAAACAAAGGCAAGAACAAGAAGTCAGAAGTTTGTTGGACAAATTACCTGCTAATACCATTACATTGGATCCAAATACTTTAGGTGCTGTTGATAAGACAGCATCTAATACTAGATTATCTGCAAAGGATTTGGCCAATGTCACAATTGGTACAGAGAAGATAAAGAAGGAAAATATGGATATTCCATCGGTGAAAGTTGATGTTAAGGGGAAGAATTCAGGTCTTCGTTCGTTCTTACGTAAGAAAACTCAAAATGTTGTTGATGAAAGAAAGGTAAGAGTACAAAAACAATTAGAAAAAGAAAAGGCTCTTCGTTTGAGAAAGACTAAGATACATAACAATGAGCTTTCAGAGGATCACAAGGATCTCGTTGATGAAGCATTAGGTAGATTTTCATAAGTCATGTAAAATATATAGTAAAAATTTAAAAAAAATAGTAAGTATTATATTATTTGTTTAAGAAATCGATATATCATTTATTAGTTTTGTTTTAAGATGATTAGAATAGTAGTTGTCAAAGGATCACAGCTATTACTATTCCTTTCATTAAAAATGTGTACAATCGTTTTCAAAATTAAGTTATAATTACTATTGTAAGGTACTTTAATAGATTAAAAAAATATGCTAGAGTAACCTCAGAGGGTGTATTATCTTTAAATTGGGCATTTCGTTCCTTTAAAGTTATGATGGTTGCATCGACATGCATTTAGAAATGAACATTATTTTCCAAACCGTTTCTGAAACGTTTCTGATCCCATTTTACAAATTTCGAGTGATTGAGCATGTCTCCATCCATATGCAAGTTGATCAGAATCAACCAGCCATGCACCCGTACACCTCATTGTTATCATCATGAATCAAGACGCGAAATATTTTTTTTTATTCAAGATAATACGTCTTGTAAATTGTTTCCTCCAATGGTTTTTCTCTTCTTTACCCCTCGAGGAAAAGGAAAATCCTAGGAAGGAAGCTGCGTATCATTATTAAATGAAGTGGAATGGGTTAAGAGGTGATTTCAAGCGGATGAGCTACATGGTTTCTTAATGGTTAATTTTGTGATTAAGTGTGATTCCTTCCTACGTGGGGAAATGAGGAGTGGTGGATTCAATTGGATTAATTGAGAAAATCAAATCATTTGCTTGTTTCGTCAATAAGTGCGTCTGTGGGTTGTATTTTCTTTTGGTAGGGTAAGCTACATATAGAATCAAGCGAAGTTTAATAACTCATTCATTTTTAATATTTAACCAGGTATCTATATGAATACTTCTTCAAGGGTTTTCTGTCCTATTTACAACCATTTATTAAGCATTGTTCATTTATATTTTTAAAGTATATAAGGTAAAAGACAATCTACCCGGTAGTAACTAGAATTTTTGGTAGGTGTTCCAATAGTAATTTAACAGATCTGAAGAACTTTTTTCCAAAATCTATTTTCTACAAATATATAGACATAGATAGACGAGTAGGTCCATTTCCGTAGAAGTAAAAGAAATTTCTGTGCATGTGTATTTTATTATGAAATGTTGAATTTGAAATTTATCGAGTGTGTGTTTGTTGAAAACCAGTTTCGAACGTTTATATAGATATATACAACCACAAAAATGTGGATAAGTTGCTTGATGACATAAAAAGAGGTGATATTTAATCAGAGAAAGAAAAAGCTGAAGAGAGATTAGCATTAAAAAACAACCCCAAATCAATACAATAGTCTGATTGAGATCTTAGCATCTGTTTGGTTCAACTTTTCGTAAATTTCCTTAATATCACTTTGATCAACTGAAGAAATATCAGCCATCAAGTAGGCAATGTCACCATGAGAGTCAGAGAATTGTTTGTCAATGTTATGGTTGGATAAAATATTGTTAACAGTTCTTAAAACACCAGGAATATTTTGATGGATGTATAGAACACGAACGGTGTTTTCTTGGTCGTAATTTAGAGCCTTCAAACTAACTTCTGGGAAGTTCACAGAACCAACAGAGTTACCTTCGTTAATGTAGTTAGACAAGGAGTTGGAAACTTCAATACCAATGGCACTTTGAGCTTCCTCAGTGGAACCACCAATGTGAGGAGTCATGATCAAGTTTGGTAGAGAAATCAAGTCTGAGGTCCATTTGTTTAAGTCATCACAGAAGGCACCGACACCATTCTTACGTGGTTCGGCTGGGTATACATCAATAGCGGCACCAGCTAGTTTCTTAGCCTTCATGGCAGCAATTAAAGATGGGATATCAACAACTGTACCTCTTGAAGCGTTGATGACATAAGCACCGTCCTTCATGGCAGCGAATTGTGGAGCAGATAACAGGTTTTTGGTTTCTGGAGTTTCTGGAACATGTAGAGAAACAAAATCAGCGTTATTCAAGAGTTCGTCTAAAGTGGAGACTTGTTTAGCAGTACCTAGAGACATGATGGTGACGACATCATAGTAGATAACGTGTAGACCCATCGCTTCAGCTAGAACGGACAATTGAGAACCAATGTGACCGTAACCGATAATACCTAAGGTCTTACCTCTAACTTCCCAACACTTGTTGGAAACTTTGTTCCAAGTACCAGTGTGTAGTTCGATGGATCTGTCACCCAGTTGTCTGGCTAAAGAGATGATTTCAGCAATAACTAATTCGGCAACAGATCTGGAGTTAGAGAATGGAGAGTTAAAGACAGCAATACCCTTCTTAGCAGCAAAGTTCAAATCAACTTGGTTGGTACCGATACAGAAACAACCGATACAGACCAAATTTTTAGCATGTTCAAGAACCTTAGCAGTCAATTTGGTCTTGGATCTGATACCGATAGCATGAACATCCTTAATCTTTTCGATCAATTCTTCTTCGGGTAGAGAGCCCTTTAGGAATTCAACTTGGTAACCTTGTTTGTTAAAGATTTCAATGGCAGTTTGGTTGACATTTTCCAACAATAGGATCTTCATGTCACCAGTAGAGAATGGCTTCAAAATCTTTTGTTGCTTAGAAGTACTCAAACGTCTTGGTAGAGTGTTCATGAAAGATTGAGTTGGGGAAGTAGAAACAGCACCTGGAGAACCACCTAGGTTTACAGCATTTTGAAAAGTGTTTTGTAAGTTTTCGATATTTAAAGCAGACATTGCGTTATTCTGGTGTTTGTTAATGATGTACAGTGGAATTGAAATAGGATATGAACGACGATGTTGTCTTTTCTTTTAAGAATAACTACTTTTGTCTTTGTTCCTTGGATTGTTCTTACTATTATATAATGAAAAAATTTCCCAATTGGATGAAAATCTACAAAGAAAAAGGGATATTTCAGGACAAGAAAAACAAAGAAAAGTTTGTTGTTTATATATGCTTATTGAGAGCATCAGCAAGCTGTTCTGAACGTCGCTAATTTGAGCATTTTGCAACACTACAAGTATGATATTACTCATAAAAAAATATTGACTCTTCCAAGTTGTCTTTTGTTCGAAGCTTAAAAATCGGTCGCTTTCTCCACTAAAAGGCCGCAGCCACACTCAAAATTGTGAGGGTGAGATGGTCACCACAGTGAGCGCAATATTTTCACGTGTAAATGTTTTTCTATGCCGTACCAGAAAAATAATCGTGATGCTAAAGGCCACGTTTCCGTATTACGAGTTATAAAAAAAGAATTATATCATCTACTCATAGTAAATAAGGTCAATTATAAGGAATAAATAAATTCAATGAATTATGGTCAAAGTTCGTGCACTTTTAGAAGTTTATTAAAGGGTTCATGATTATTGACAGATGCAATGTCGTCTTTGAACAGATCCTGTACCAAAAGAATACATATCAAATGTTATCTTATATATGGAAAAAAAAACGCTATTATAGTATGTAATAATAAGCGGAGGAAGCCTCCAAATACATACGATGGAAACATATCTCCGCACACTGGAGTGGATTTACTTTTCCGCACTTTTGTTCTCTAAAAATAGAGAAAGCACCCAGACATCTCCATCTAAATCATCTAATACGTAAATACCTTTTCTCCCTATCCGTATATAGTTACAAATATAAAATGATAACCGAGTCACATATTTGAACTTACTTTAATGAAAAGATGAAGTGACTCGGTCTAACACAGTTTAGTTCAAATCAAAGAACTAAGTGAAATATCTTCGCTTACAAAATAATTAATCATGGTTACAGGATGAAGACAAAATTTTGCAGGTTGTCTACTATTGTGGCAATTTTTTTGTTTATGTATTAGTAAATTAAACCACGTATGTACAAGACGTAAGGCACTATTGAAGAGCAATTATTTAGTAATTATGTGAAAGAAATTAAATGTCAGAAAAGGAGACAATTACTGTCATTACCTTTTTTTTGAAGTAACATTTCATTATTTATTTTCCGATGGAGTCCCTTTGTCAGATTCGGTGGGTTCTGGAGTAAGAACAGGCTTGAAAGAATAATCACCATTACTTTCCTGGATCAACAAACCACTTTTGACTAAATTATCAAACATATCTTGTGGAATCCAACCTTGGGTGGCTGCGAAAGGAGTAGTGACTAGTTTTTCTTGTAATTTAGCCAAATCCTCAACGTGCTTCTTAATTTCTTCTTCTGTATATTCTAGAGGGAATTTCTCTTCAGAGACAAGTTTATTCTTGAATAATTCACTCCAGATTTGTTTTAATTGCAACAAATTCTCGTCAATTAATAGGTAATCTTGATCTGTTTTCCTTTCGTTTGCTGCCGCGTATGGACTTCTTAATAATTTGATTGGTGGAGCCATTGAAACAATCAAGTTTGGATTTCTTTCATTCAAAGCATTTTCCCATAGATATTGATTACGAGTTCTTTTGTAAATGAATTGGCACTGAACTTTTTCATTTTCACTCAATTTGTCGAAATCTGGAATTTCATCTTTGATGTTGTAAATCTTTGGACCATCATATTCTACAAATCTTGGGGAGCTCTGTAAAATAAAGGGTTTAACGACAGAGCCTTCAAAATCTAATAAATATGGAGTACCATCGGTCTTTGAAACAATGATGTTCATTGGATCTAAATCGGGATCATATATACTTGATTTTAACAAATCTTCCAAGTTTGGAACTGTTTTGTTATCCTTTAAACTTAAATTGAATAGGTAAGGGGCAATCTTTGTTAATCTGTCAAATGTTGAAATTTGGTCATTAATTACATCCTTCTTTGCGATCTCAGATGAACTATTTGCATCGATCAGGCTTGCACGGCCTTTGGCGTTTTCGTGTTCAATTGAACCCAAATTCTTGATAATGCTTGAAATTGAGCCACCTTTTTCATTCCATGGACCTAGATAAGTGTCAATTTCACCATTTAATCCATTCTTTTTTCTCCAGAAAGATCTCTCCATGACTGGTCCAACAACCCATTTGTTATCAATAATTTCAGTGTTTTTGTCATTTAAAATCTTTGAATCAACATCTTCTTTGAAGTATAAAGAACCAACGGTATTAAATTGAATGGAATTCAATTTGGAATGGAAATCAGCAACTATATCAATAACTTTCTTCAATTGTTCTGGTGGTTTACTGTTTGTTCCATCGTCACAAAGTGGGTCCCATTGTTTCATCAAAAGTTCACCGTCAATAAACTCTTCAAGAATGAATGGTGTGCCAACAGGGTTAGCCGAATTCTCAGAGTACATATAAACAGTAGGAGTTTTAATACCACATTTAGTTGCGACGAAATTCATAGTGGCAACTTCACTCTTGATTCTATTGGAAATAGTCTTGGATGGGTCAATATTGTAAGGAATACGCAAAACCAACGACTTTCCTGGTAAATTAGTATCTATCTTGTATATTCTATGGTGTTTACCTTCGTGGAAACTGGATATAGTTTTAAGCTGAACTTGTTTTTCGTTAGCATTTAAAACATCTAAGTTCTTGATATTAACATTATTTGGCAAAGTTACAGTAGAATCTTTATGGGCTTTGATAGAACCTAAGGTTTTAGGATCTAATTTTGAGATTTCCTTTGATTCGATATATAGATTGTTAATGACTTTGCTTAGGCCTTCAATAGAAAATTGGGTAGTTCTTCTTTCTTTCTCTAGTTTGTCATTTTTTAACCAAGAACCCCAAGTGTAATTGAAGATTTGGTCTCTTTGTTTATCTGAAGCATTAGATAACCTCGTAAATGTCTTGGTTGGTTCATTAGAGATGTGTCTAATAGCAGAAATGGATTTCAAAGTTCCTACGCTTGCAATTTTAGTAGCGGGTGTTCCGGCTTGAAGACCAACATTCCTTCTTAACAGTCCTCTGGCGGCTCTAAGGGTTGTAGATCTTAACATATCTCCTAATTGTAGTTTATTTTTGTGACTTATAGTACTATTGTTATCTAATACAATTACAAAACAAGTGGTTATATTAATAATATAAAATAACGCAGATATATTTAACTTTGGAAGTAGTGATACCAAATAAAAAATTAAGGTCTTACTCCCCTCACAAAAAAGGTCTATGATTCGTTCATCCGTCCCCTCGGAAAATGAAATATATGGTAGAAAAACAACGTACTATAAAACATAATGAAACAAGAGAGCTCACACACATTAGATATTGGTTAACTGTAAAGGATGTAGGTTGATGTTTATTTAGCAGTCATTAGTTGTAGTGACATTGCGTAGCCTTTAGAAATTAGGGCTTGTGGTCAATTATTGTAAAAATAAATCGTAACAATCCAAAGAATTAATTATATATAGCCAATGAGACATCGGTTTGAGTAGTGCAAATTAATCAATTGAATACTATCGTTATGACAGATTTCTTAATTACATTTTTATGTACGTATTTTTGTAATGAAGCAATTAGGTATAACTCATTTTATCTCAATATTTGAACTTGAATGATTATTTCTAATTTTTGCGCCAAATATTTAATTTTAATTCACTTTCTTCGGGATTATAAATCTTAGACGTTTATTTCAACTCTCAATTCCCCTGGGGTATAATGAATGTCAAATTCCAAAACAGACCAAACAGTCGAACAAATTGTGTTTTATTATATGAATAACTAGAGTCCATGAATTGTATAACCAGACATCTTCAATTATATGGGAGATTTGTTCCCAGATGTCCCATGTTTCTATCACGTCCTTTGGTGACAAGGAATTATACAGCAGCTGTAACTGAAAAATTTTCGAATAGGAAGAGACTTCCAATATACACAGGACAACCTATACATGAGACTAGACCTTATTTGTTAAATCCTGGAGAATTGACTCCTGGTATTTCTGCTTTAGAATACTACCAAAGAAGATTGAATGTGGCTGCACAATTACAAGATGACTCCTGTTTAGTCATTGCAGGAAATGACGTTCAGTTCGCCTCTGGCGCTGTGTTTTACCCATTCCAACAGGACAATGATTTATTCTATTTGACAGGTTGGAATGAACCAAACTCGGTAATGGTTATAGAGAAACATTCATGCAAAAACGATGATCTCACTTTCACCATGTTTGTTCAAGAAAAGAATGCATTTTCAGAGCAATGGGAAGGTTATCGAACAGGCATTGAGGGTGTTCAGGATATTTTTAATGCCGATCAAGCATTTGGTATTAACCAATTAAGTAATAAATTACCAGATATTTTGAGACGTGGCAAAATAGTATATTTCAATGATGGTCGTAAAGGGGCCCTCACAAATAATAGGAAAAGTATCATAAGAATGATGAGTGAAGGTGGTTTGTTAAGTACAAAGAATTATAAGAATATTTTAGCTGGTGTCAGGAAAGTTAAGTCTGAGGCAGAGCTAAAAATAATGAGAAGGGCAGGTCAAATCTCAGGGAAATCCTATAATCAAGCATTCGCAAAGAAATTCCGTAATGAGAGAACATTGGCATCATTTTTAGATTATAAATTTATCTCTGGTGGGTGTGATAAATCTGCATATATACCTGTTGTTGCTACTGGCTCTAATGCATTATGTATACATTATACAAGAAATGATGATGTTATGTTTGACGATGAAATGGTTCTTGTAGATGCTTCAGGTTCTCTAGGTGGGTATTGTTCAGACATTTCACGTACTTGGCCAGTCTCAGGTAAATTTTCAAGTCCACAACGTGATCTATATCAAGCTGTCCTCAATGTTCAGAAACAATGTATCGACTTGTGCAAATCCACCAACGATATCTCGTTAGAAGACATTCATCAAGAAAGTCTAAAATATATGAAACGAGAGTTAAAAAATCTTGGTATTAGTGATGTTAAAAATTGGGATGTGGAACGTTTGTATCCCCATTACATTGGACATAATTTAGGTTTAGATGTTCATGATGTACCAGAGGCTTCTCGTTATGAAAAGTTGAAAGAAGGTCAAGTGATAACTATAGAGCCAGGTCTATATATTCCCGATTCGGAAGAGTTTCCAGAATATTTTAGAAACGTAGGTATTAGAATTGAGGATGATATTGCAATTGGGAAAGATAGTTATACAAATTTAACAGTTGAAGCTCTAAAAGAAATATCAGATTTGGAAAATGTCATGAGTAATGGAAATACATTGAATAAATTTGATGATGATATTATCAGCCCCTTGGAAAACTGAATTTTTAGTAATAGGTACTCTTCAGAATCGTTGTATTGATACGAAATTTGTAAATAATAAAAATAACAATATACGCTATATTTAAGAACGTTTTACCTGTTCTGTAACGGAGTAGGAAACATACTTTAATATTTTATTTAACTTTAACAAGAGACGTTTTAAAAAGACATGGGTAATCCTTCGTATAATTTAACTAGTCAATACTTGTAAAAAACTTGAATGTTAGCATTATCCAACACCCTTTTGTAAGATCATTGTTCCGTTATATTCAAATAATCTGGCATAACAATATAAATGCACATTATTTTTTTTGAATAGAAAATTTCACTGAATATTTATGATTTTAATCAACGCTGGCTGTTGGAACCAACACCATTTAAATATCGCTCTACTTTCTCCATCTTATTTGATTACCTAACTGTGAGAATAATATGATGTACTACATAACTATTACTGAACCCATATTATAAAATATAACTTTCCAATTCAGATATGATATTATATTCACATCAAATTTAAGAAAAACATATCAAAATTTGTCCATATTCTGTATTTTATTCACATTGTAAAACCATTTGCCAAATATTTGAACCTCTTTGTATCTAGCATACGTATAATTGATTATTAATATAAAATATTTATTAGTGAAGGGTTAAGACTGAAATTGTTGTTCCATTTTTTATCTTAATATACAGAATAATATACAGTTAAATAATGAACAATGTTTATTTCAATGAAGAAATAATATTCCATAATTATAATCTTTGATTTTCTATTGTGTCATGATTATGAAACTCACCCATAAATGATATGAACGAAATGTTAAATAATGAAACTGTAGAGAATCTGAGATAGAGGGTTTGCCTCTAGTAGTCTCTGCAAGCTTTAATTTGTTTAATTCGGATATTTTATAATATGATAATTGATCGGTCTCTTTTTAATATATAATATATATAAGTTACATATTAAAGAACATTTAATATTTTATTTATATTATATTAAGAGTTTCTTTTTTATATCATTTTCTTTAAAGGTTTTTCTTTCCTCAATCACACCTTTCATTTTTGTTTTGTCTGATCCTTATCAATACTTGATCCTTATCAATGGTTGATTCTTATCAATGGTTGATTCTTATCAAAGTTTTTCTTCAACTGTTTTAATTAAGAGTTGTACATATTACTCTTAATTTCTGACAGAAACAAAGCATGTTTTTGATGGAAACCTGTATTTGAACCACAGATGTTGTTAACCTTAATTATTGAAGTACAGTTGATTACTCTTATACTTGTATACAGAGTTCATATAACGTTGAACTATTACTTCTTTCTATACATTACGTTACCTTCTATATTGTTTGTCAAAGTACGTCCATTCAGTAAAACAGGTCAGACTTGTGAATGCAAAATGGCAAGAGAGTAAATCTGAATAGAATTTGGATTCTGAACTGTTAAAATATAGCGGCAGCACTAAAAAGGCTAACATTAGCTTAACCTATCTGAAGGAGAAGGTAGCTAATATAAGTAGAATTTAGAGTGTACTGCACTACCGTATATATAATAACACATGGTATATACTGCATAATGTAGTATTCGTTCCCCCTACATTGGGTTTATTGGAGCTACATAGTCCAACGTTACTATGCACAAAAGATGAGCAGTTTAACAACAGCAACTCTGTTTAACAATCGATTTCAAACTTACGTTTACATAATGTAACGTTCGTTATATTTTAGTCTTTACTTTATTATAATTATAATAAATGCATATCGTATTAAACGCGCAAGTGGTTTAGTGGTAAAATCCAACGTTGCCATCGTTGGGCCCCCGGTTCGATTCCGGGCTTGCGCATTTATTTTTTAATCTTAAGAAAAAGGTCACGTGAAGTTTTTGCTTATCTGAAGTAAGAAACGAATAAAATCATCGAAAGCAAAATATTAAAAGAACAATAATATGTGATTCTCTTGCTCTCCAGGATTCCAAAGATTAAAAATCCAATAACTGTTCATATTTTTTATAGGTGCGTACACCGTTGAAGAAAATATGTCTTTCATAAATCTTAAATACGTGACTCTTCGACAAGTAGGCCGCTTCCCTCAAATTAGCCGATCAATACATTGTACTAACGTCTATTTAGGTTCTAGCGTTAAGACGAAGCTTAGTGAACTTACCAAACATGATGTTGTGTTAAGGAAAACTGCCAAAGATTTTAGGCGATTAGAAAAGCAACAGAGTATTAAAACCAAAAAGAAACTGAAAACAGCCTATTCTAAACCAATTGCATTCAAAAAGATAAAGAAGTATAATTTAGAATCTAGTTTGACAACAACGGAATCCACACCAAATTTAGGACCAACAAGTGATGATAATCTATTATTATTGACGAAAATTAATGACAAGAGATTAATATATACGATACTCGGTATTACAGGGGAACAATTACGAGATTCTGTCCTTGTAACTAATGATGTGTCAAAGTTTATTAGGAGAGGACAGTTAGAGAAGGCTACATTTTTAGCAAAACTTGCAAAACATAAGGGATCTGCTGCCATGAATTCGATAATGAAATATTATCTTGACGAACTGCAGTCCCCTAAATCGGCTCTTCATATATACAATTGGAGGAAAAAGGTGGATGTGCCACTTAATGAATATTCAAATACAATTTTATTTAGTGGTCTAGCTAACCAAAAGAAACCGATCTCCAAAACTCTAGGTTTATCTGTTTACAATATTGTGGACAAATTGATCATTGATAATAAACTTAACCAGACTGAGTATAATGCAGCTTTGGGTGCATTGGGAAATTGTGTAGATGTGTCATATGCATTTAAACTATTCCGGAGAAAGAACTCTATAAAAGGTATAAAATATGATGTTGTTTCCATGATGTGGATCTTTAGGGTATCTTCGAAGGTTAAGACAGATTCCTTATTTGCGGAAATATTCAATGAACTACTATTATCTATTAGTAAAACCCAAGTTGATGACAAGCTGCTTTTCGAGATTTGTAAAACGCTTCACAAAAAGGATAAATATAGCTCATCACTTTTAATGGCTGTGAATAAATATTTTAGGATGCCTCCAAGTGATGTTTGGAATGAGTCATTAATACGTACATCTTCATTGTCCAAAGAGTTGAAATTGCCTGAACTTGATAAGTGGGGTATCAAAAGAAAATATCCGGTGAACAAACATATTATTGGTTTACTTCTCAATAACTCCTTAAAAACTGGATCATATAAAGTGGGAATATCTATATATGAAGAAATTAAGGAGTCAAATCCCAGTATAATTGATATTGATATGTTTCATTCTTATTTAAACCTGATTATAGAAAGCTCGTCAGCAGATTATATGGAGAAAAGTTTAGCTGTTATAAAAGAAGCCAAGGAAAATGATCCAAATTTCATTTCAAGACATACTATTGCTTTAGCCTATATGGCATTTAAGAAATGTTTTAGAAAAGCCAGGTGTAATTCTACACCTGAAGGTGTCGTCAATATGCTTAATATGTGTGACTCATTCGTTTCTCGTTATGATGGAAAATATTCCAAAGATTTACAATGTAATGTTTACTCAAGAGAGTCGTGGTTATATTTGTTTCAAATTGTAAAAGAATTAAATTCAAAAGTAGGTTTCGTTTTAGAATGTAAAGAATTTGTGTTAACCCAATACTTAAAATCTGTTCGTGCAGGTGAATTTGACATTACGTATATTCAGAAAAAAGATTATTCTAAGGAGATATACCTTCAGTTAGAAGCTGTTAGATTATTAAGTAGTATTGCCCAGGATCTTAAGACAATAGATAACGATCCTAATATGACTGTAATGAAAGATGATAATTTCTTACGTAGAAGACTGATATTACGATTAAAGAAGAGGTTATTACTCCATGTTGAGGAGTTAGAAAATGCGAAACAAAAGGGAATGGAACTGGAACCGACGAACTCCGAATGGTCCACAAAACAGCTTGCAGCTAGAATTGCGAATAGGAATTACGGAAATCCAGATGAAACTCCAGATGTAACCTCTGAAACCCAGATAGAACCCCACAATACATAAATGAATAGATCATGTAAATAATAACCAACATTTCTGCATTTAAATAGACCACATAAAAGATGGCCAAGTGTACATATAGATAGAAGATTGAAAAATAAAAGAATAAACATTCCATTTCATTAAGGTTTATAAATTGTATGTAGTTAAGTAAATATGACGTGAAAACAAAGGTAATCGCATCAGGAAATTTACATAGCAGCGTTCATCTCTTCAGATAGCTTACCTTGAGCAATCAAAGCTGGTGGACCGTCCATGACTGGTAGCATGATTTCGATCATTCTGATCTTGGATGGAATGTTGAAAGCCTTGTCAGCGACCAACTTCTTCCATTCACCGGTAGTAGCGACTCTGTGAGTTTCGTAGTCCTTAGCACCGAATAGAGGTAGCAACTTCAAGTTGTCCCAGTTTTGGATTTCGTTGTAAGCAGCCTTTGGACCGTGAATCAATCTTTCAATGGTGTAACCATCGTTGTTCAAGACGAACAAGTATGGCTTTAGACCCCATCTAACAATGGTGGAGATTTCTTGGACGGTCAATTGTAGAGAACCGTCACCGATGAATAGAATGACTCTCTTAGCTGGGTCAATTTCTTCAGCGGCGAAAGCAGCACCGGCAATAGCACCACCAGCGTAACCAATGGAACCCCATAAGACTTGGGAGATACCGATGGTGTTAGCTGGGAAGACAGAGGAGTTGATACCGAAGGAAGAGGTACCGGTTTCAGTGATGATAACATCACCTTCTTGGAAGAAGTTGGAAACTTCATTCCATAACCATTCTTGCTTCAATGGAGTGGAAGCAGCAACTTCAGCGTTGGCTGGAGCCTTAGCTGGAACTGGAGCGACCTTGTAACCCTTAGCGGCTTCAGCGATGACAGATAGAAGTCTTTGTAGAACGAACTTCATTTGGACACCTGGGAAGGTGGCGTTTCTGATCTTCATGTGGTCAGAGTGGAATTCAACAATGTTCTTGGTGTTGTAACCGTAAGTGAAAGAAGCAGTGTTGTAATCGGATAGCAAAGCACCGACGGATAGAATCAAATCAGCGGATTCAACGGCTTCCTTGACGACTGGTCTGGATAGAGAACCGACGTAGATACCACCGAATCTTGGGTGGGTTTCGTCAATGACGGCCTTACCTAGAGGGGTAGCGAAAGCTGGGAATTGAGTGACATCGACAAGCTTCTTGGTTTCAGCCTTGACGTTGTGTCTGGAAGAACAAGCATCAGCGATGATGATTGGGTTCTTGGCAGCCTTAACCATGGATAGGATTTCAGCAATGACTTCATCTTCGGAAGCAGCATCGTTTGGCTTCAAAGATAGGTCAATTGGGGTTTGTAGCAAAGAAGCTGGAACAGTCTTTTCAAAGTAGTCAGATGGGAAACCCAAGTAGACTGGTCTTTGTTGAATGTAGGTAGCTCTGATACATCTGTCGATTTCACTTGGAGCGGAAGCGATGTCAGTGATCATAGAGGTGGTACAAGAGATGTTAGCAGACATTCTGTGGAAAACATCGAAGTCACCGTCAGCTAGGGTGTGGTGAAGCAATAGACCCTTGGCTTGTAGTAGGGTGGATGGACAACCGACAATGTGTAGAACACCGACGTGTTCAGAGTAAGAACCGGCAATACCGTTCAAAGCGGATAGTTCACCGACACCGAAGGTGGTGATCAAAGCGGCCATACCTTTAACTCTAGCGTAACCGTCAGCAGCGTAAGCAGCGTTCAATTCGTTAGTGTCACCGGACCATCTCATACCTTCGACTTCGTATAACTTGTCCAATAGGACCAAGTTGAAATCACCTGGTAAACCGAAAACGGTAGTACACTTGACTTGCTTTAATCTTTCGAATAAGTAACGACCTAGTTGAATTTCAGCCATGATTGGTTGTATATAAATTTGATAGGATGGTTTCTTTAAAATGTAACTAAAAGAAAAAAAAAATAAAAATAAGGTAATATAAAATACTAATTGATAGAAAAATAAATAATTAGAAAAGAAGAGGTTCTTTATATATTAATATTTCCAACATTGATGATCCAACAAGAAATGAAAAAAACAAAGAAAAAGAAAAAATTTAACCAAGAATCACACCAATTATTTTCAGTAAACTTTCATAACATTTTGCACTCTTTTCTTTTACTTTAATTTTGGCCCTTATCAGACAAAAGTTCGTGAATTATGTATGCATCAAGTATGAATTTTTAATACATAGACAGACAAACGAGTACATATATTATTAACATATACGTATGTTAATTGCCCACTTGGTTCCTTTACAAAAGAGCAAAATTAAAATGAATTATAGTGTTGTTTATGCTGCGTTACTTAAAGTTTAGTATTGAAAAATTTTGCATTATTATTGTTATGATTATTATTATTATTAACTAATTATTTACGATGTACAAAAAAATTTCAGTGAGAAGATTTTTATAATTTCTCTCACGTAACTTCGAATCCCACGCAACAGCACCCACCACTTGATTTTAGACCCAAAAAATAAAATTAGGACGCAGTGATCACGATAAATTAAGACAACTAAGGCTTGATTGCCTTATAGGATCTGTGTGCTTATTTATTATTTTATTTCGATTTTTGTTTTGCATAATTTATGCAAAAAATGGGGAACAATCAAAGAAATTTAGAGAAATGAGCGTGAACATTATATTTTTTGCCTGGTTTCGAGATTGTTTCCAAAACAGCGCGAGAGAGCGAATTAATTTGTGGTTTTCAGAATGCAAAAATGAATATTTGCATATTTTATGCGAATACCGGATTCCTATATTTTGTGAACGCGCAATATATTGAAAAAGAAATTAATTGTGGATGCTAGGCTCTCCAGAGAAACAATTTTTGATTTTAAAAGAAACGAAGCCGAATGTTGTTGCTGTTGTTGTTTTCCAAAGATGATGCCCCAGGCACGGCTTAAACTCCACGTAAGTCTTCCATGTTTCATTTTTATTTGTAAGTCCAATAATTTAAAAAAAATTTAAGACACATTATAATAGAAGTATTATTTTTTTTTTGATCCATGTTAAAAAGTAGAAACATAGTACTTAGGAACTTCAAAAATGTTATGTTCCTCAATTTATTACATGGGAATTGACATGGAGATAGTTTTATTGGATACGTTTTTATTCAAGTTCGATCTAGCCGGAGTAGGATTATCTTTATAATTTTAGTATCTTGTGTTTATGTAAGGGATACTTCGGAAAAAAAAATAAGAAGACGGTTAATAACAATAATTTTATGTACTGGATATAAAATTAACTAGTGGTAATTTTGAACGGCTGATTGTTAACTATACTAATAAATTTTGTTCCTTATCATTACTGTTTTCCAAGTTAAAAAGCGCTTATTTAGTTATATTTATTGGGTAGTTTGTGTAAAAACTTATCGTGCTAAATAAATATTAACATTAGTCCTTCTATTTTTTATGCGTATGTTAGTTAGTCTTATCGTTAGATTCAAATCTTCGTATCCTAAAAGTATGAAAATACCCTTAATTCTTCTGCTTTATCGGATTTTTCAATCCAGACCTTTTTTTTTACTGTTCACATATGTTTAAAGCAAATAAAATTGAATTATCTTAATATTTTAATACTCATTTGTCTCAATTAAGCGATTATTATTATTACTATTATCATTATTATTAATTGATAGACATAAATATATATATTCGATTCTTAAATAATGTACAATTGTTGAAATTGTAACAATGCAAGGAAACTACTATTTCTATCTAATTCTTAAAATGTTAATGAGTTTTATGTTTCAAAAATGTGATAAATGTGATATTTGTTAAAATATATGTAGTTGTAGCTATAGACAGAGTTAGTTATTGTCACATTGAACGGATGTTTATTAATATTTGTGTGTTTTCTTCTTTTTGAAAGTTTCGGCTTTCGTTAAAAATATATAAATTATGGGATTACTATAACCCAGTTTACTACGACAGACTCCATCTCAAGAAATTTGAACAAATAGTAAAATTGAAGTACTGGACATATAATATTTTGAAATTCTGACATTTAGTCAAATTAATCTATCCATTTACTCAATATAATAATGAGCATTCACTAAACATTATATGATATTAAATTAACAAGAAATCATATAATGTCTAACGTCGTCATTATAAAAATACCATAAAATAGTTTTTTATGTTATTTAATATATATAAAAAGAAGATCAATTATTATGTGCAAAAAAAGTCCATCTGAAAAATAGCTGACAAACAACTTGAGATGAAGCAGACATGGAAAAGTCAAATTGTTCTTCTTTTAGTAATATCGATGTTTGGGTAAGAGAGTTAGTTATAGTTTAAGTATGAATTGTGAAAGTAAAGCAAATTTTTCTTACTCTTCTTTTCTTTTAATTTATAAGTGGTTTTTATTTATATCTGTCAAAATATAGGAGTAATACGTGCTACATTTATTTAACAGAGTAGTAAAGAAATATCCCTATGCACACAAAAGAGTAAACCAATCAATCAAATATTATGATGTAAACGTAAGTTTGAAATCGAGAATATACGATTAGTATTCGAGTTGAAATTATCGGACATAGTTATAGATATTCAAATGTATAATCTTGTAGTTTATTTTATGTTATATAAAGTAAGTCTATATAAGGAAGATTGTATATATATAAAGTTAGAATATGTGGTCCTTTTATACTTTTGGAAAAGGAAAACAGTCTACCAAATATTGATAGTATTCTTACTAAACATTCTAGAAACATGTTCTAGACACTTATGAAACAATTAGTAATACTTGCTTACTAATCATTCTTAAAGAATGTTCTAGAATCATATTGAACAGTTAGTAATAATTTCTTACTAAACATAAAATTGTAATAACCAAGTATTGCTACTTTCTATATTATAACATATGATTTGTTCAACCAATATGTCTCAGGATTGCTCAACATATATGTGACAAAAAGTATGTCAGGAAGAGATATCTCAAATGTACTAGTAATGAGTAAACATTAAGCAAATAAATGATGAAAGAAATATTGGGTGATAATTCCATAACGAAATAAGAGAAACAGATTTTCAAGAAGTAATATATAAAGACAGAGAATTCTGAACCTAAAATTTAAGTTAGATCTTATTCGTTCTATAAATTATATATAATATAAAGAGACTGATCGATTATCGTATTAAAAATGTCCGAATTAAATAAAGTAAAGCTTGACCAGACTAATAGAGGCAAATACTAAATCTCAGATTCTCTACATTACTCTTAATTTCTGACAAAAAATGAGTGATAGTAATTAATATAACTGTTTATGATATTTTAGGCTTCCATACATCAAAATAGCCGTAATACATTACAGAAATATTATGGGCACGTGGCGCAGTTGGTAGCGCGCTTCCCTTGCAAGGAAGAGGTCATCAGTTCGATTCCGGTCGCGTCCATTTGTTTTTTTAGAATTTCTGGTTGAATTGGCTACCGATATTTTTTTTTGGTTTAGAAAAATTATAAAATTTCCTCAACTTAACTATTAGATGGAAGAAGGGTTTGATTTGTATCTTACTAGTTGATGTAAATTGGAGCTCAATGAAGAAGGTGTGATTCAATATTCTCCAATCTGAAAATATATTAGTATAAATAATTAAATATTTCCATCTATTAATTGAGTATTTTCTTACTTAAACTGTATAATGAAATGAAATATTACTTATTTTTTTGGTCTTACTATTCTGCGTATTCTGAAACCCTCTGTTATAGAGGTACATTTAAAAGATGATTTTTCTTCAAATACTTTATATACATATTACAATTATAAGTTCTTATTACCATACAATTAAACACAAATAGTATAGAAGATTCATGGAAAATAAAGTTTTCATAATTCTGAAGGATTAACTATTACCATGAATTTTTTATTTATGTATATGAAATGGTCTACTAATGTAAGATACCTATTACAATTACAATAATAATGGAAATATCAGAATCAAGCGGTAACTGTGTTACCCCCCTTTTATCTCGGAATTGCTAATTTTTCGGTCCGTAAATCAAGAAAAAAGAGATAAAAAAAAAAACGTTTAAAGTCCAACAAAGAAAATTCAGTACAGCTTTCCCCACAACTTCCCCCACAACTCTATTATTATCCCTAATTAGCAATAGAATAAAACCCGTCTACGATATGAATTTCTGATATCGTTCCGTTCAACCTGAACAACCTCGAGAATCAACAAATTTTGTTGATTTTCGGGTTGATTGCTCTTTCAGTATATCTGGTTGTAGATCCATCTATCTATACCCGCTATTCCAAGTTAAAAACTGATAGTCAAATTTATATTTATATTTTGTTTTATTTTAAAAGCAACCCAACAAAGAACTAAATACTGTAAGGATGGTTATTACATTTAGGGGTGTAAATAAATATATTGCCGAAACTTACAAGTATAAAAAAACACCTTTACTATTAACTTTTTGTATCTATTTTAAATCTACCTAAAACAGAATATGGCTAGACTTTCAAAAAAAGGAAACAATAGTAATGACAAAATCAGTTCATTGTAATTAGATATCTCTCTTTTTTCTTGGAACTATGCATATATCTTAATAATTAAATTTACGTCTCTATTGTGAAATATGACAACATTCTTGATATTACATTTTTGGTATCATTAGTGATAGAAAACAAAGAATAGTTGAAGCATCTCTATATATCATACACCAACCTTAATATCTGAAATATGGGAGAAAGAAACATACATATAACCCAATATGTTCTTAAAAATGAGATACTGGTATAAGAACAAAAGCAAGAACATTCATTAAACGTTATTGCCAAGATGTTGGTCTATCGGCTGAGATTTATTCTACGCAGATACGGGGGCTATATGAGTACATCATTTTCACAACACAAAATATAATAATATTCTCTTTCTCTCTACGGCTTAAAATAAATAAATATATATAACATTAATAGCATGATTTCTTCCTTTCAAGTAAACTAACTCCTGTCGTTTATTTGTTTGGAAAGATCTAACTTAATCTTCCTACGTAGTTTTCTATTTAGTTGTTGTTTTTCTCCCATTCTGTACCGTACGGCGTGTGTACAGAATATTTAACGGAAGACGTAGAGGCAGGTCATTTGTATCACATAAGCAACATATATTTACATACATTTATATAAAATTTGTACGCCGTTTTCTCTGGAAATAAAATTTTTGTAGGTCATTTTTTCTTTTCGAGGTTGCCAATGATTGTTATTATTATTATTATCCCGTCATCGCTATCTATAATTTACATCCTACACAAGCATCGAAATTGATCGTCGGTCAGGTCAAAAAATAAATAAATGGAGACAGAGACAGAGAGAGAAAGAGAGAAATAACTGATAAACAACTAGGAAGTTCAATATATTAATCAAATTATTTATAACAATAAACAATATAATATTATATATCATTCAATATATCTTATTCTTTTTGCGTCTTTCATTGAAATTAAAGACAATAGAATCAAACTAACATTATTTATTAATATTTGTGATAATCTAATATCTATATCACAATAGATTAGACCTCCAAACAAAAGGTAAAACGCTATATTTTTAGATACAAATTTAATTATATGCATTTTTTGATTATTAAAATTTTAAAATTTCATTTTTTGTTTTGTTTACTTATACAATAGAAAAGAACAAACTTATGATAACTAAAGTCACCAACTAATCTTTCGAGAGTTCAAAACCTAATTATAAGAATAATAATAATAATAATAATACATTACATTATTTTCGTATAGTATCAATATGAGTGGTGTTTATTCGATGAAAAATTCATCAAACCCATTCGTTAATATAAATGCAACATCAAAAGGCTCTACTTTAAATATTCCAGCTGTCTCAGTACCGATACCAAATAAAAACATTAATTCAACAACGGCGATGACATCAACAACAACAACAACAACCAGATCTGTACCAATTGTTCAATCAAAAATTAGACAACCAGTGCCACTCACATTTAAATCGATGACATTACCAAATTTCCCAAGTTATAAACCTCAAGAACAAACTTTCCCAAAACCTAAAAATGTGAATTTAATAACAGCTGTTGAACTTGGAAGATTTTTAAATGAACATGATGCTGACGATTATATTCTATTTGATATTAGATCTTTCTCTGAACATTCAAAAGAGACTATTAAAAGTTCTATTCATGTTTGTTTACCATCAACACTTTTAAGAAGAAAAAATTTTACATTTGAAAAATTATTAGAAAGTTTACCATATAACGAACAACAACGAATACTGAAAAGTTTTAAAAATCCAAATTTAAGAATATATTTATATGATAATAATGTGAATCAAACTGATAGATCAATATCACTCGGTTGTCATGGTATCTCAGTTAAACTATTAAACTATTCTCCTTGTATTAATCCCGACAACCGAATTAAAATTGGTATCTTATCATGTGGATTTTCACAATTCAAAAATATATTCCCAGATGATATAACAAACTTCGTAACTAATGAAGAATCACTATTGATGGCAAATTCAACTCATCCGAAACAAGACGATACTTCATCTACAGACAGTCATCATAGCCCAAGTATCCTAGATAACATTAATTTAAGATTAAACGTAACTGATACCAACACGTCAACAACGTCAAGTTTCTTAAATTCACCAAGCCCCCAACATGTCATTACTGACTCCCCGCTTTCATCTTCATCTCCAATCTCTGCATTATTAAAATTCCAATTGCCTTCACAGAAGACCATGCCATCACAATTATTTAAGTTCCCACAAAATGAGGAAACAATGAATTTAGAATCGTACATCAGTGCCGTAAATATTAATGAAAAACAAAATAGAATTCAAGAACATTTTGAGAAGAAGAAATATAGAAATTCTTTGAATTTGGAACGCGAAAAGTTTTCTGAAGAGGATAATGAAGATTCTATAAGTCTTACATCTTTCCAATTTCCCAAGAGAAGTACAAGCTCTTGTTCTAACCTTAGTAATGATGAAAAGTACAAGGATAAACTAACTGTTCAAATAAAATATTCAAAATTACATTCAAAATACCCTCAAAAGGATATAGATAAAAATATTCCGCAATGGTTTCAAGAGTTAATGAGTAGAACCAAAATTCAATTTGCATCACAGTTCCAAAAGTTGGATATTTTAGAAAAAAGACGATTAAACAGTTCCATTTCTTCAATGGGTACTCATAGTAACCAATCATCTACTGTATTTTCAACTGAAGACCTCCACAAGGCGTTACCACCCTGCTACTCTAAACCTAATAGTCACTCTGGTTCATTGTGTAGCTCTAACATAGTTCACAAAAACAATAACTCCGACACATCTTTCGGTCTATCAATACCTTCTCAATTTTCATCGTCCCCCTTCTCTTTAAAATCACCCCCTTTGCCACCATTTTCCAGACCAACAGCTTTCAAACAGACACGTTCCTACTCACAACCGGATTGCCTGGTATCTGATAATCAGAAATGGATAAGTGACATAGACACTGATTTGACAAATATGGATAACGATAGTGAAAAGATCGTAATATCATCAGGTGTCGAACTAGGTGCCAAGAATAGATACAAGGATATTTTCCCATATGAACATACGAGGGTTAGATTAAAGAAACATTCTTTATCTTCATTTTCATCTACCCCATTTTCACATTACGATACTTTGGTAAACCAAGATATTACTAAGGAAAAGGACATGGATATTATAGATAATTATATTAATGCAAACTACATTACCCTACCAGAGCTTGATAATTCGAAGGAGTTATTAATGAAGGCTCAAAATTCATCTCAGACAATCTTACCATCGGTTTCACAAAAGGTTCGTTATATTGCAACACAAGCTCCCTTACGATCTACTGTGCAGGATTTTTACAGTTGCATAATAAATGACAAGGTTCCATTAATCTTATCCTTAACCAATGACATAGAGAATGGGGTTGAAAAATGCTTTCAATATTGGAAATCAAACAACTATAACGGTATTAAAGTTAATATTATTGAAGAGCTTAACCCTCCTGAGTTAAACAAAAATGTTATAATTAGAAGAATAAGATTACTGTATGACAATGATACTAAGACATATGATGTCTTACAGTATCAAATAAAAAATTGGTTAGATTTAAGCACATTATCCGATCCCATTGAAATTATCCATTCTATCTGTTTTAAAAATATTTTGATCAAGAAGTTAATTAAAAATCACATAATAGCCTCGGAGAGTACCCCTACTATTCTCGTTCATTGCTCTGCTGGATGTGGTAGAACTGGAACTTGGTGTACGATTGATTCTATTTTGTCTAATTTAGAAAATTTTGATTTATTCCTGTACGAGTTCAAGGAAAAATATGATTCAACAGAGAAACAATACGACCCTGTTGCTTGGACAATTAATATGTTCAGAAAACAACGGATTTCCATGGTTCAAAATATTAATCAATTTTTATTCATCTACGATTGCCTATTGTATTACTTTAAATTTCAACTCAGAGATCGTTCGAAGATGAGATTTGAAAGATCGTCACTTTCGTTAGAATCTGTCGATGCTGACATTAAGAAAACAAGAATAATAAAAAGATTCACTGAAGGTAAACTTCATGAAATCGCAACTACTGCATAATACCTGTATTATTTTTAATTCTTTTAATTACAGGTTATTCATATATAACAAATTATATATTTAATTAAGAAAGAACATATCGATAATATTTTAAATCTAAAGAAATTTCCTTATGTATTAATATTGTACATTTTATATAGTTATTTCATCAAAATTATAAACAGGAAATAAGTATGCAAAGAGGAGACGCTATGATGTCTGTTTCATTTTGTTAAATGCAGCAACGAAATACGTTGTTATTCCATCAACCCAATAGTAATTCATATATGATTACGAGAATATTTATACCGATCAGAGGGACTGGATAAAGTATTATGACCTTAAGAGTCATGTAGTTATTTTGTTAGTAAAAAAAGAGCAATTTAATCCTTCATAACAACTTCTCCAAATGATACATACTTCTTAAAAGCGTTTGCACAGCACCAATTAGTTTAATAACTTTAGATTTTGCTGTACTTTCTACTTGACCAAAAGCTGGTGCTTCATTTGCATTCTTCCCGAAACCAACTTTACAAAAACAAAAATCATAAGAGTTATTCATACGAATACTCGATACAACAGTTAGTAGCACATTCTACGTCAATCATCATAACAACACGCCAGTTTATAACATACTTCTACCAAGGAAACGTTCCTCACTTAATACTGCGACGGCATTTATCAACAGCAAGATAACATAAAACAGTTTCCCCAAACCAAATAAAACCATTATTAAGGATTTGTATTACCGTTTTGCAGAGAAACAATAATAATGAATTCCTGAACGTTTAGATTTGTTTTTAATTATTAGTCTAGGTTAATATGTCGTTATATATAATCTTGATATTTGTTAACCACTTTTTACTGCGTAAATAAAACTTCGCGGTGAAATATAAAAATGTGAAGTATACTACATATAGATCTTGTGATACAAAAATACACAGCAGAGAGGCTAACAGCATAAGGAAACATATATCAATAAAGGTCAACCTCCGATGGTTTAAAATAGATATGTAGTGTTTATTTTTTTAAATTATAATCCAAAAATTTGTATATATACTAATTAGAAAAACACAGAACATTAAAGATTGTTAATGATATATTAGAGAAAATAAATTAAAGTCAAATTTTATATGTAAAATTATAATGAGATTAACCTGTTTAATCAGCGTTACGACGAGCAACCTTCTTAGCTCTTCTCTTACCGGTACCGAAGACCTTCTTGTCTCTGTTCTTCTTTTGCTTTCTTTGTTGTCTAGAAGCCTTTTCGATCTTTTCAGCTAGACCGTATCTGACTAGTCTGTAAGTTGGTTCGAACTTCTTGGCATCGGCAGCAGAGTTGTAGACTAGACCGAAACCAGTGGACTTACCACCACCATATTGGGTTCTGAAACCGAAGACGGAGACAGCATCCTTTTCAGCCTTGTAAACTTCAGCTAGTTTTTCACGTAGTTCATCCTTGGAGACGTTAGCTCTGTTTGGGTGTAGAACGTCGATGACGAATTGCTTTCTGGCTAATAGTGGGTTAGAGATAACCTTTCTAGTACGGATAGTGACGGCGTCAGACTGTAAATATTCATAGTGTGTTATAATTTAACATAATCACATTTAATTGTTAGTATTTCAGAATTTTTTTAAAAATTATTCAAATCCATTATGACGATAAGCTTTAAAGCATAAGTGATTGCGGTAATTAATTAATCTCATCAGTTATTGCCAAAATATTCATCATTATGATGACCTTAGATATCTCACTCCAATATAGGTCTTTTGAGAATGTTTCCTATAGTAGATGTATTTATCCTGTCATAACGATTTGGTTACAAAACTCCTAATAAAGTACAGGCTATAATATTTTCTTTTGTTGTTTACGTTTGAATTGTATTCTTAGATCCACAATCTTATTTGTTCTTTATTGATATCATAAGTATATTTCCTCAAATAATAAGTTCCTAAAATCTATCATTGTTTCCCATAGTTGCTTAAATCACTCTTGTCATAACCATATCATCTTGCTTCTACATACCATATTGGCTACTTTTTTCGTTACGGTTTCAATATCCTTTGTTAATGAAATATATGATCTCCTTTAAGTATACCTTCTTTTATTACTATATTACAATCATATATTACTATGCTGCAATATTCAATATTGGAAGTTCAAAGATTAGGCGAGTCAAAACTTTCGACAGACAGATATTAGAAGGGAAACCACTTACTGGAATGTTCTACTGGTTAGTATTACCATGATATTATTCCTTTGATCATAGGGCAGCAAATCCTCACTCAGACTGGTGCCCCGTCTGAGTGAAACTGTTTGAACGCATCTCAAAGTTGTTGTGCGCGCTGGTTGAAACATTGAAAATTTCAAAATTATTATCAAAATATGCAAAAAAAATCTAAAATTCAAAATATTTCAAATAAAATAATGGTGTGTGGGTGTATTTTGCAACAGTCACAAAATTGTTCTTACCAGGAACGGCTTTATTTAAAGTTCAAACAGTTGACCTATCCACATCAGCATGAACAACTAAAGTGGAACATGATTTTTTGTGGTCATCATTTCTCAGTTAATCGTATTGCGTTGCAAATAAAATATATAATAGATTTTAAAATTTGTTTATTATTAGATATTTAAATTATTAATAAAAAACTATATAATATTATTGGAATGTAAATACATTGTTCGTTAATGATACCTACGACTATTCATAAAGTACCTGACTTTACTTCGTAAACATTCAGGTTATGCATATATGGGGTGTTTGGGGGGGTTGAATATTGTGGTTAATGTTACCAATGTGAGGTATTTCTTTTTTTTTACTTTTATTTAGTGATCATCATCAATGCTATATTTGTTCTATAACTTTGGGTTATCAAGAGCCATTCTGATAGATTTAACTTGTGTGTAGTTATCAAGCGCAGCAGAACCCATCTCACGACCAATACCAGATTGACCAAAACCACCGAACGGAACACTCTGGTGGAATGCATTATAAGTATTGATCCAGATTGTACCAGCCTTTATTCTTCTAGAGACATTAATAGCTTTGTTCACATCCTTAGTATGAATACCAGCAGCTAAACCGTATTGAGAGTCATTTGCTTTGGCGACAACGTCATCGACTGTAGAGAATTTGGACACTGTAACAATTGGACCAAAAATTTCATCCTTGACAATCTTCATATCTTCTTTAACATCTGCAAAGATTGTTGGTTCTACGAAATAGCCCTTGCTACCACGTCTTTTACCACCAATAACAACACGAGCACCTTCTTCTTCACCTTTCTTGACATAACCCAGAATCTTTTCAAGTTGTTTTTGAGAAGTTTGAGCACCTTGGAATGTGTCCTTATCGAATGGGTTACCAACCTTCAAAGATGCAGTATATTGTTGGAATTTTTCTAAAACTTCCTCGTACACAGAATCTTGAACATAGACTCTAGAACCTGCACAACAAACTTCACCAGAATTGAAGAAAATACCATGTGCAATGTTCTTAACGGCTTTATCTAAATCGGCATCTGCGAAGACAATATTTGGAGACTTACCGCCAAGTTCAAGGGTTACCTTTTTGACTGTGTCAGCGGCATTCTTCATAATTGTACGGCCTGTAGCTGTAGAACCAGTAAACGCAATCTTCTTAACATCTGGATGTTTACATAGACCTTCACCGATAACTCTACCAGAACCTGGAATAATATTCACGACACCATCTGGAATACCAGCTTCTTTACACAATTGAGCCGCAAATAAAGCGGACAAAGGAGTTGTTTCAGCAGGCTTTAGCACAACTGTGTTACCAGTGACAAGGGCTGGTCCGATCTTCCATGACCACATCAATAATGGGAAATTCCAAGGAATAATTTGACCACAGACACCTAATGGTTCCTTAACTGAATAAGCAAAATGTTCTTTACCAGTATCGATAACGTTACCATATAATTTATCGGCCCAACCACCACATGATCTTAAGTATTTAGAGACTAAATCAACGTCACCACGGGAGCAAAGTAAAGACTTACCATTATCCATGGATTCAATTGCAGCTAAGGTTTCAGAGTTTTGCTCAATTAAATCAGCTAATTTGAAAAGAACTTTCGCACGTAGTTCAGGGTCAGAAGTAGACCAATTATTATCAAATGCGGCTTTAGCAGCTTTCACAGCAATATTCACATCGTCATTATCAGCTTTATAAACTTTTGTAATCATTTGTTCAGTAGAGGGATCAATGACAGGTGTAGTTTTCTTATTAACGGAAGGAACAAAATTACCATTAATAAATAAACCAGTAGGTTGCTCGTATATCTTACCATTTGGTAAAGTGATTGGTACGCTCAAAGGTAGGTTAGAATAGAGACGAATTGTTCTCTTTGTTATATTTCTTAACGCAGCATTTCTTAAATAGATTGTTTGTGACATCATCTTGTGATACAACTATAGGAAAACGAGAGTTTTTACAAATACAGCAGCGGAAGTTTGTTTAATTAATAATTGTCCAATCGTTTCTAAGAAAAGATTGAGATCAGATATCCTTACTGTTTTATAGAATTTACTTATTTATTCTTGAGTATAGCACAAAATAGCTTGTAATTTGTAAGAAAGAAAAGAAAAGGAACGAATGTATCTCCCTTTATATATATATATTCAATTAGTTATCAACCCATATTGGTTAGCCTATCAAAAATGAAAAAGAAAGAAATGCAGACAACAAATTATATAAGGGTTTCCACTCTTTAATTGATTTACGAGTACTTGTTTACCTTCAAGAATTACCTAATTTTATTATTAGAGGAATATCATAACCTGATGAGTCAATTAGCTCATCTATCAAAAATGCCAGAAGAAAAAAAAAGGTGGACCGCCCCGCTAAATAATGAAAATTTCAACGAAGAGATATAGTTGGTGAGTAATACTTCGAAGGCCACACCAAATTTTATACAATGAAAGGCTCCAAATTATTTACATCTTGTACAAACTACGTTTGAAATATGATTTAAAAAAACGGGAGTTACAAACTTCGTTGATTTCAAGGAAAGATACTCTCTATGTATCCATAATAAAATATGAAGAAGCAATATTATTCACATTATGGAGTGGCACTGGACTTTTCTTCCTCTTCTTGATAAAACGTATGAAATATGCAATTATTTTGCTAGCAATATTTGACAATTTTCTGAGCCGTACGACGATATTATTTTCACTTCTTGTTTGATAGTTACACTTTCTCCGACGCATCGTGCAATATATTGATCAATCGCACATAACATTATTTAAATTCTTTCAATGCAATTCTTAATTTTGGCCGGTACCGGAGGCTAGCTTGGTAAAATCATACGAATTTTCAAGTATTTCAGAAATGAATATATAATTTAATAACCACTATCTCTTTGTTTTATCTAACTGTGTTAAGAAAAGTACAAGTGTCAATGGAGTCCGTGATATATCGTTATGTATACAATTATTTTAGAATGAATGAAAAAATTGCAATCCCACTTTTGATAGTTACAATTATATATATTTTGTTGTGATATCTTTCATTACTCTCTTCACAAACTGGCAAGTTCAAGTTTGTGCAAAGGGATATAAGATTAGACATATATAACCACGTATAGTAAAATTCATTGTGTAGCGCAGAATACAATAAAGAACCAGGCTCCAAAAATTGTCGTATATTGCAATCATCTTTGACATACAGTAAGTTCAAACAATCTGGTTACTAAGAAATTGTTTGATTCAAAAAATAACATTATTTAAATTATAAAATAGACATGATGTATTTCTTCTAACTTGTATAGTATAGACACCTTATTATAACGATAATAAGGTGGCACACCCTCTTCAGTTCATTCTGATTTGAAACATGAAATAAAAAGATTAATTTCAAAAATTCACGTGATTTACTGTTTGTTTTTTGTAGTACTTCCTGATAATCTTAGTAGTGATGCGCTAAGCATTCATTGATTCATGAAGTACTAAAGTCCATTAAGGGATTTCAACAAATATAATGATAAGGCAATGATACAAATTAAAGGTTATTAACGTCAAAAGAATCTCAATCACTGAAATCATAGATATTGAATAAAGAATATACTTTCATATCAACAACAATAACAAAAAATGGCTTCGAATTTTGATATAAAAGATGGTAAAGTAGAAATAAGTCCATTCGACACCACCGAATTATCCAAACTTCTAAAAGATACTCTGGAAAATCTAAAGGATAAAGAAAATGATGGAACGATCAAAAAAGAATTAAAGAATACAATTTTATCTAAATTGAATCAAAATTCTTCACAATATAAATATATAATATCAATTACAACACTGACAACAAAAAGTGATGCCAATGATATAACAATAACAAATGAAGTCGGTGCATTGTGGAGTCCCAAGAAGGACGGTTTATTAAATTTCCAATTATTGAACGATGCAACGAATACTCAGTATTTCGTTACTGTGTTTTTTATTTTTAAATAGAACCATGATATATTTTAATGCATATATTTATTATAATGATAAAATGGGACAGTAGAATAAAAATCTGTATCCATTTTCAAATATGTATAAATAGACAATATCTACTATATGATAATCACTTAGCTTCATATTTAAATCTTGAAATGAATGACAAATCTGTAGTCAATTCACTCAAACGTATAGCTCTATCAGGATCATTTACAAAAACAAGAGCCGATTGAATCAAACTCTTTCTAGATGAACTTTCTATATCCTTCCTACTGTATAAAATAGCGGTTAAAAAGTCAATTGTCCCTTCTGGATACTCGATCATAAACTCTTTCCAAGTTTCAATTATTTCATCAGCAGACTCACAACTAAAGTCCATGAAATATTCCATGATTCTAAATCTACGGTGTATTATTTCCTCCTTTTGATCAGGACTCACAAATTTGTTGAATAAACTGAAGAATATCTCAAAATCTCTTTTCATTGCATCCAAAAATTTATTCTTCTTAGTCTTAAATGAATGGCCTTCATTCATTGCATCTACAAATCTTAAGAAGGCTTCATCAATAACATTACCAATAAAAATGTTAAATACTACTGCACTCATTTGTGGTCTTATATCAGTTAGATACTCAGATAATGTATCACATATCAATTTCGCTTGAGTTCCACTGTACCATGTTTTGCTAAATATTTCCGAATATGGTTCCTTCATATCATCGAACATAATCGAAAGTAACCCTTGCAAACTGCTCTTTACTACATCTGCAAAACCATCTAACGCAGATTCCATATGTTTCGAAATCTCTTTAGTATATGCTTTACTTACTAATGCACCATATTTGTTCGATATAGCCATTGTATAGTCAGCTGCTCTCATTTGGTCATTAGCTGCAGCAATTAGATATTCCAATAGACCACCTGGACACTCGGCATCTGCTGAAATATTTTGGGGATCTTCGTCATATAGCATATTATATCTTAATAGTTTGCTTACTTCGCCTGATATTGTGTTATCCCAATCCTTTTGTCTCCTAATTAGTAAATCACAAAACTGTTCTATCACACCCACTAAAATTTTTGCTTGATTGGACCCAGCTGCAACTTCTACTTGCTGGTTAAACATTTGGAAACATGTCTTAGTACCATCAAGGAATAATAATCCGTCGACATCAGTATGAGGTGGGGTAGACCTCTCTAGGAAAACATCAAATTCTGCTTTTTCTAGATTCTTAATCCATTCAGTCATTTTCTCGATTATCAAATTCAAATAGTCCTTAAATAATGTCTCTTTCTGTTCAGGTCCAATGATACTTTTTAAATCTTTCTTTACTAGACCAAAATCACTAACCATTGTGTCCTGGAAAGTCTTGTCGAAATCTAGAATATCCAATATAACGATAGTTTCTGGTTCTGATTCCACCAGCTCATTAATAAGTAAATGCAATTCTTCATAATATAATTCGTAGAACGTGTTAAATATTTTCCAGTTTTCGGGGCAATATTTGGAAAGATGTTCTTTTACTACCATTAGCTCATTAAATATCCAATCCATATTTTCTAAAACTTCAAAAGTTTTTTCTCCTTGATAAGTTTTCCTAACCTCGACAAACATGTCTTCTATTGATTGTCTGAGCTTATTTAAGAAGAAATTCTTGTACCCCCTTACAGTCGTTCTTGTAGAGATGGTACCATTCAAAAGTTCTGCGTACAAACCTTCGTTAGTTGGGTATTCGATTGTACCTTGGCTGGCTCTACCTGCCAGACGTGCTGCATTCTTATTGTTAGGTAATTTTTTGATCGACGATTTCTCTAATTCAATTTCTTTCTTTTTAATTATATTTCTTACAGCAAATATTTTTAGATCTTCCCTCTCTTCCAAATCTAATATCTTGAAAAGTCTAATTGCCAGTGATTTTTGTTCCGAACGTACTATTTCTACGATATCATAAATAAGAGATTCCAATAGTTGGTCAAACTTTTCGATAAGTTGTGAGAGGTTGCCAAATAACTTGTGGACTGTTCTTTGTACATCGTCCGTTGACATTTGGGCCATTACTGCAACCTGATCTTGGAAATCCCTAGTCATGGTGAGTAGATAGTGGATATGAAGTAAATCGGGGCATCCTGTATCTAGGGCATCCTGTGCCAACGCATCAGCTAACATACCATTAATTTTTTCTACTAATTGACTAAATTGAACAATCTTCTCATATATGGTAGAAGTATTATTAATCATTTCGTATATCTTAGTGGCATCAAATATAACGTTGTACCTCTCTATAGATGTTCTGTTTTCCTTACTTAACTTATTAATATCAGATATCTCATCTCTAATAGAGGTCACTGACTTTTGCGAAAGATTCAGTAATTTTAAACTGTCTTGAAGATCCTCGAAGTACTTTTCCGAGACTTTACTTAATTGATAATCAACTGTGGAGTGTTGCTTGATCAATTGATCCTTGATTTCTCTGATCTTCTCTAATGATATATCATTCTTTAAAAGACCGGAGAGATTTTCGACCTTGGCAGGCATTGTTAAGAATAATATATATGAGATTCTTTTATTGGAAGGCCTTAGTTCCTGTTTAGGTATCAATTAGTTGATATGCTTAACTATTACACTTTCTATGATTGTTATTTTCATGTATATATTTATTTTCCTTCATAGCACAATTCGGCTAGTTCGATTATTTAAATAAACGTCTTAAACTGTGTTTTTTTTACCGAGCATGGGAGAAGACAAGAGAAGAGTCCGCTATACAGAGAATAACATATACTTATTAGTGTGGCTTTACAGACGTTTGAAATTTGATTGTAATACTTTTTATTGATTCGATTATGTATGTTTATTTATGTTTGTAAGATTATAAAAATAAGGATTATGAATATACCGATATGAAATTAAGATAGAAAAAAAATGACCCAAATTGAAAATTTATCAACAGAAGAAATGTAGAAATATAATGACTAACCAGAGCACATTTCACAGGCTTCTGGATTATCGATAGCACATGCAATAACCTTGGAGTTGTAGATATCAAAATTTTCTTCCTCGGCATCAAGAGCAGCAGATTTATCCTCATTAGCAGAAGTCTCTTGAATAGCAACAACTGGAGTCTCTGGTTGTTCAACGGATTTGTTGGACTCATCAGATGGCGTTGGGGAGCTGCTTCTGCTTCTTTCGACAACGACTTCTTCTCTAATTTCAACAGCGACTTCGACTGGCTTTGGAGCTGGTGCTAATGGAACATCAATAGCACCTGGCTTGGCAGTAGAGATTTCAGATGGAACGAAATCAGCTGGAGTGTAAGAAGCGGGAGTTAGAGAGAAAGTTGGACGTTGTAAGTTCTCTAGATCAGCAATAGTTTCACCAGCTTGATCAGCAACATTTTGGTCAATGGTGAATTGAATAGCAGCGGAGGCAGCTTGAGTTCTTAGATAGTACATACCAGTCTTCAAACCCTTCTTCCAACCGTAGAAATGCATACTGGTAATCTTACCCATAGTTGGAGCACGTAAGAACAAATTCAAAGAATGAGATTGATCAATGTAGATGGAACGGTCAGCAGCCATGTCGATAATTTTCTTTTGAGAAATTTCCCAGACAGTCTTGTATAATTCCTTTAGTTCTTGAGGAATATTTGGTAGGCCTTGAATAGAACCATTAGAAGTGATTAAATGTTGTTTCATACTTTCATTCCAGACACCTAGATCGACCAAATCACGTAGCAAATATGGGTTGACAATTTGGAATTCACCAGATAAGACACGACGTTGGTACATGTTGGAAGTAATTGGTTCGAAACATTCGTTGTAACCTAGAATTTGAGAAGTGGAAGCAGTTGGCATTGGAGCCATGGTTAAGGAGTTTCTTAGACCATGCTTGATGATGTCAGCTCTTAAAGTTTCCCAGTCCCACATACCGTAGGCCTTTTGGTCCCACATGTCCATTTGTAGAATACCCTTAGATGATGGAGAACCGATGAAACTTTGGTAAGTACCTTCCTTTTGAGCAAGTTCACAGGAAGCTTCCAGGGAAGCATGATAAATGGTTTCAAAGATTTGCTTGTTCAAAGTTTGAGCTTCTTCACATTCGAATGGTAAACGTAGCAACATAAAGGTGTCAGCAAGACCTTGAACACCAAGAGCAATAGGTCTGTGTCTCATGTTGGAGTTTCTAGCTTCTGGAACAGGATAGTAGTTACGGTCGATAACCTTATTCAAGTTTCTAGTGATAACCTTAGCAACATCGTGTAATTTCTTGAAATCATAAGTAGAAGTCTTACCATCTTCAGAGGTTTCAATGAAAGCTGGTAAAGCAATGGAAGCTAAGTTACAAACAGCGGTTTCATCTGGAGCAGAATATTCGACAATTTCACAACATAAGTTAGAGGACTTGATAGTACCCAGATTCTTTTGGTTACTCTTTTCGTTACAAGCATCCTTGTAGACGACGAATGGAGTACCGGTTTCAGTTTGAGCTTCAAGGATGGAGTACCATAGCTTTTGAGCTTTGATGGTCTTACCACGACCTTCTCTTTCGTAACGAGTGTAAAGTTCCTTGAATTTCTCACCGTAAGCATCAGATAGACCTGGAGCAGCACTTGGAGAGAATAGAGTCCAATCACCATTAGATTCAACACGTTCCATGAACAAATCTGGGATCCATAAAGCTGGGAATAAATCTCTAGCACGAATTTCTTCTTTACCGTGATTCTTTCTGATTTCAATGAAATCAAAGATATCCGCATGCCATGGTTCGATGTATAGAGCGAAAGCACCTGGTCTCTTGTTACCACCTTGGTCGACATAACGGGCAGTGTTGTTGAAGACTCTAACCATTGGAATGATACCGTTAGAAGTACCGTTAGTACCTGCAATATAAGAACCAGTGGAACGGATATTATGAATATGTAGACCGATACCACCAGCAGTCTTTGAGATCAAAGCACATTCTTTCAAAGTGTCATAGATACCTTCGATGGAATCATCCTTCATTGCGATTAAGAAACAAGAAGACATTTGAGGCTTTGGAGTACCAGCGTTGAATAAAGTTGGAGAAGCATGAGTGAAGTATCTTAGAGACATCAAGTTATAAGTCTCTAAAGCACCTTCTAGATCTCTACCATGAATACCGATAGCGACTCTCATGATCAAATGTTGTGGACGTTCAGCGACTTTACCGTTAATTCTTAATAAATAAGAACGTTCTAAAGTCTTGAAACCAAAATAGTTGAATTGGAAATCTCTATCGTAAACAATAGCAGAGTTAATGAAATCTTTATTTTCCATAACAATGTTATAAACATCATCAGAAATCATTGGAGCACGTTTACCGGTAGCTGGATTAACATAACGATAAAGATCTTCAACGACTTGAGAGAATTGTTTAGTAGTTTGTTTGTGTAAATTAGAGATTGCTAATCTAGCGGCTAGAGTAGCGTAATCTGGATGAACGGTAGTCATATAAGCACAAGTTTCAGCAGCCAAATTATCTAGTTCGGAAGTGGTAACACCTTCGTAAACACCAGAGATAATACGTTGAGTAACCTTAACAGCATCTATACGTTTTGGATCTAGACCGTAACATAAACGGGAGATTCTAGCAGTAATCTTGTCAAACTTGACAGGTTCTTTATGACCGTCTCTCTTAATGACATACATTGTATTGAGATGGTAATATTTTTATATGTGTATATTATATTTTTTTCTATAAGAAGAGAAAATGATGGAATATAAACTCTTGTATTAATATTTTTTCCGATGGTATTATTATTAATAAGAAATAATAATAAAAAAAAACAGAAGGAATAAATAATAGAAGGTATAAAGAAATAATAATAATTTTTGATCTAAGAAGTTGTTTGTCTATATCACTTCCTTATATATGAAGTTGAACCAAAACTTTTCTATCAGTTTGTTTATTTTTTATTATTATTGTTGTACTCTGTCTCTCTCTCCGTATATATTGCTGTGCATCACTGTTAATTATTATTAATAATACTAATAATAATAATATTATCTTCAACTAATTAAATTTTTCCTTTTCTCTTCTCTTCTCTTCCCATAAAAAAACGTAAGAGGACTTGCTTCATTGATTTGAAAGCGAGGGGTTTGAACTTATTTCTGACAAAGAGAAAACGCCAAACAACAAAATAAATAAATAAATAATTTAAAATGGGAGATGGTTGTACAGAAGAATCATAGAGAAAAGAGTGTGATCTAACTTGGATGAAGGAACACGAAACGCGTAAACAAGGATTAAGATAATATGTAAATAAAGAGAGACAGAGAGTGAATTGAATTATTACTATTCGCTTTCTCTCTCTATCAATATTGTTAGAAAAGGGTTTCACTCAACTAAATTAGCTAATTAGCAGTGCAGAAGTTTCCGTTGTGGCTGTACGCTTTCTTTAATTTTATTTTGGGGGGAGGGGAGGGATGGAGCAGCAGTGGGAAGACTTTTAATATTTCTTTTATTTACGCGTCTTGGTGGTGTGTGTTTTATGACGGTTGTACAGGTGTTTCTTTGTAATTTTTATTAAATCAAAATATTAATATATATTTGGAGTGTCTCCGTTGCCACCCATGGAAAAAGAAAACACCGTACAAGAGAAAAACATATTGAGACGCGTTCCAATGTTATTACGCGTAATAATAATAATATTAATAATAATAAATTCTTTAATATTACTAATTGAGGGAATACTTTTTAATTAATCAAATATAAAAAGGTGTGTGGATGAATATTACGCGTCCCAATTGTTTACATTTCGAATCTTATTAGGTTTCCGCTGAAAGGAAGATCCTCGTCATCATCATCAGGACACCTCGAAGGACGAACAACTACAAAATATTAAGTTTTATTGTACCTTTAATGAACTGATAATTCATAAGGGTTCAAGCGGATAGAAAATTGAAAGTGTAGTGTTTTATTAGTAATGATAATATTAGGCCTTTTGTTTTTTTGATAGTATATACGCACTGTAGATTTATTTAATTATTAATATGAAATAGAATGTATAACGCCGCTGATCTTAACTTCATGTCTGTCTTTCTGTCTGTCGCTTCTCCCCCACGTTTAATCCTGTTTGAACACCAAATAATCAGTTAATCTTAACGCGTTTATACTCTTTCTGCCTATCAATTTTATTACCAAGAGTTTTATTATGTAAATTATTGTAGAGCCAATCAAGAAAATATAGATAGATAAATAGATATCCGTGGAAGTGTTGGACCAGCTGAATAAAGCCCTTAGCCATTTATCAAAATTCTCTTTTTGTTTAAAAACTACGGAGCTAATACTTGAACCAACAAGCGGTGATAGATGTTTTCTACTGCATAATCATTTGTGTAATTTTTATTCTATTTCTTTCAACCCAATTACTAAATATGTCAATGTATTACTGTTATTATTACTGCTGTATATTTATCTTTTCTTGATAGTTACGGTAACGCGTAGTTACCAAACTCAAACTTACTTTCTATGTCTGTGTATGTGTAGTTTTAGTGCATGAAAAAACACAGAAATAAAGCCAGCCCTCTTATTCTATATCTCAAAAGAGGAAAGATATAATTTTTATACTGAATAAATTATATGTATGCATTTTATTATTATCCCCAAGGAAAATGCGTCTCCATAGTGATTACTTAGGAAAGTGTGTTGTTATTATGACACCGTATAATATCTATGTAGGTAGCATTTCAATGTGGTTTTCTTGTTCTTTTAACCCATCATAGTAATATTATTCCCTCTAACAAAGGAAGACAAAAAAAGAGGTGTCTTAGTTACTAAGGAAATTTATTAACATTTGTTTTCGTGATATATACATAGAAGCATATATATCTTTCATGAACTGGTTTCGTTTCCTAGGATACGCGCTCATTATACTAAATTCTTAGTAAAATCACATATTTCAACTTTGTTGATTGTGTTTCTTTTGGGTTTTCGTGACCTTAGCAACCATTCTTGTAAAATTTAATTTAATTTTTGCCTAAATTCTTGTTATTATTCAGTACCTTATAATTTAGTATTTCTTTCTCGTTGTCATCATTAATTATATACATAGAATTATATATATATTATTGATACACTTTATATGAATTTATATATATTTATATGTATATTAAACTGTGTTTCTATCGTTGATAAAATGTGATACTGGACGTACACCAGCCACTTGTGTTACTCTTTCAAACCATGCTAGTAAGATACCACCTTGTCTTTGTCCCTCTGGAACAGACATCCCCTTATACAAATACTTCACCAACGCATCCTGTTGAACAGGTGTCAAGTCGCCTACGATTCCAGCTATATCAGCTTGTCTAACAGTAGATAACGTCTCAAGGACAGCTTTGAAATATTCATTCTTAGTAGCTTCGTCACCACTGTATGGTGGATCACTGACAGCTAATGCTACGGCTGCTTTGGAATCACCACTACTTGCTAATGAACGCAATTGAGAAATCTTGGATGAAACTTCTTGTGATGTAATTTGTGAAGAATATGGTGGTTCAATATCTTTTCTCGTTAGTCTTCCACTTTCGGGATCAAAGGCATCAATATCAATTCTTCTCCAGTTAGTTTCAGCCATTGCTACTATGTATATATGTGTGTGTGTGTGTGTGTGTGCTCCTATTATGTTGTAATTGTATAAGAACCTAAGTCTTTCCCTGCTCTTGTACCTATTAACTAAACATTTCCTGAGGGTTGTAATAGGAGGCTCCGTGATAGAAGAGAAAGTTCAATAAAAGAAAGAAAGAAAAAAGGGACTAGTTAAAAAAAATTAAAAACAGAGTGAGGGTAACACATTTTGTTAAAAATATCTCTAAGAAAATATGTATATATAGAAAAGACTATATTAATTTTATTAACCTATATCACGGAATAAACTAATGTATTGTTTGTAAATGTACTATTACTGTAAATTATAAATTACAGATATCGTTTATTTGATTTATTGAACGATCTTATCCTCTGGAATACCAGCGTATTCGCCGTAACCCATGGCTAAGTTCATGTTTTGAACAGCTTGAGTAGCTGCACCCTTTAGCAAATTGTCGATGGTTGCACAGACAACTACACGGTCACCAGCATCGTTCACTTTAAAGCCACCGATGGCTACACCATGAGTACCAGATATGTCCTTGACTAAAGGAACGTCCTTTTGAACATGGACCAATTTCTCACCATCATAGAATTTCCTGTAGATATTTTCAACTTGTTCGGAAGTTAGAGAACCCTTCTTGATTGGAATAGAGACGGTTAAACTAATACCTTGGAACCATTGACCAACGTGAGGCATGAACGCAACATCATGTCCCATACGGGTAGAGATTTCACGTTCGTGGATATGATTGGTCAAAGCATATGGAATCAAATTGTTGTTTAAAAACTTAGGATCATTCTTTGGAGTTGGTTTAGCACCTGCACCTGAATAACCGGAGACACCAAACACAGTAGGTAAGCCATCGACGTGATTCAATAATGGGGCAATGGACATTTGAGAACCAGTAGCATAACAACCTGGATTGGAAATCTTTCTGGCATTGGCTAATCTTTCTCTATCATTTAATTCTGGTAAACCATAAACCCATTCGGTTTCAGGTACAAATCTGTGATCGGCTGATAGATCTAGGATCTTAGAATTACCGTTGACACTTTCAATTGCTTGAACAATTGGTTCAGAAATATTGTTTGGTAAAGCCATGATCCAGAAATCGATATCACCTTTAGCCTCTAGACGTTTAATATCTTCGGCTTGTAGATTTTCATAGATAATTTCAGCTTTCTTGTAACCTTTCAATTTTTGACCTTTCAATTCACGAGATGAAACATGAGCAATTTCAAAATGTGGATGATTGTCAATTAAAGCCAAAATATTTTGACCAGTGAACCCTCTAGCACCAATTAAACCAATACGACCTGGTTTGGTGTTAACACCATTTGGTTTTGGAGTGGATCTAGTAGAGTAAGCTCTACTAGATTTGCCATTCTTGAATACGCCGCTTGAATTAGAAGCATTGTAACCGTTAGCAGCTGCAGTTGTCTTTTTAACAAAGTCACTAACTAGTTGTGATACAGTGTTAATGTCTTGAACACCATACCAGAATAAGACTTTACCGTTCTTCAAATAAGAACCTTGAGACTTATCGAAATGCCAAGCAATGTTTGGATCATCTTCACTGACAACCCATTGTAAAGATGGGAAATCACGTTTCAAAGCATTGAAAACGTTATCAGTGACGTTATTTAACCAAGCAGCATTAGTACAAACAAATTTGTCTAAGACAGGAATAATGTTTTCATCTTCCTTAACAATAGCTAATGCCTCTAGTGGTTCATCTGAATAAGAGACGAATTTGGCAGTTTCAAGAGATCTTAAGTAAATAGAGACAGATTCGTTACCGGAGACAACATCTGCATCCTTCTCTAAAGTTTGTCTTAACAAGTCGGTAGATGGGAATTCACCAAGAGATGATCTTTTCAATAATTTGTAACCTCTTCTAATCATTGTACCAGCACCTGAATCAGTAAACAATTCTTTTTGTAAATCTTGAACATTAATGATGGCGACAGAAGAAGAACGTGGTAAATAATCTAATAATTCCTTGATTTCTTTGATCTTTAATTTAGTACCATATTTAACCCAGCTTTGTTTCAAAAGATCGTCATATTCTTCATCCAAGTTAATCATGGAGATTTTTTCATGAGTTTCTCCATTAATGATACCACCTTTTTCATTCAAATAAACAATTTTCAATGGTTCAAAGACACGAGCCAATTCACCAGCAGCAACATCAGCATTAACGTTTAACATTTGACCAGATGGAGTTTCTGCCAAAGAGGTTAAAATTGGTAAAGCACCAGCTTTAATCGATGATTCGATAGCATTTTTATTGACGCCACTAATATCCCCAACTAATTTATATTTATCTTTATCTAGATAGTTTGCTGTAAAGACACCTGAAGTGATTGGTCTGGCCCTAACACCTAATTTTTCAAGGGCATTGACTAATTTCAAGTTTTGTTCAAGGAAACATTGTCTGACAACAGCCATAGTATGTTCATCAGTGATTCTAATCCCGTCAATATAGTCAGGCTCGATCCCTTCGGCTTCCAATCTCCCGTTAACTTGTGGACCAGTACCATGAAGAACAATTGGATATAAACCAACATGATATAAGAAAGCCAAACATGAAGCTAGTTCTTGTAAGTTATCAGAGATAATAGCACCACCAACTTTAATAATAGCGAATTGTTGTTGAGAGACAGATGTGAAATATTTCAAATATTGTTCAACTTCTCTCTTGGTACTAATATTGTTTAATAATTGGACTACGGTGGATCTAGTACCAGAAGTACCGACACCATTAATAGAAGAGATGGTTCTCTTTGAATAAACAACTCTCTTTGAAGAATCTAGTAATCTTTTGTTGTTATTGAATGTGGATTGACCGGCACGTGTTGTGAGGGTAGACAAAGATCTTGCTAGATTCAAATTAATTTGTCTTAGAGATTGCATAGTGCTAATTCTCTTAGCAGAGACTAGCAGACTAGCAGAAGGCATTATTCTTGGATCAATTGGTTGCTATTTTTTCCAAAGATTAAAATAAATCAAAAAATTTCGTATGGAAAAGTAATTTTTTAATGTAAGAATAAACTTAAAATAAAGGGGGGGGCTGTTGATAATGCTGATCCCTTTTTTGCTTTGTTCAAAGTTAGTCAATATTATTACTATTACTATTGTTAATATTAGCAAATCAGATTCAATAAGAGAGAAAAATTGAAAAATAAGAGAGACAAAGTGTAGCTAATGGAAAAAAATAGCGACCATCGATGAGGTCTAACGTTTAAATACTCATCCCAAAAAATATGAAGAGAAACCGCTTTTTCTGTTTTTCAGTTCAAAGATTCGATCAAAAAGAAGAAAAATTTTCGCTTTTGATTTTAATCTCACGGTATGAACGCAGTAAGCAGCCCCCAACAAACGGCACCAGCCAAAATAAAAAGATTTAATTGCAACAGTCCAATGATCGCTGAGTCATTCACTTAACGGTACAACCATCACATATCATACCGCGTGACCCTAAGTGATAAAAGAAGCGATCGCTCTCAATCCATATATATATATATATACTAATTAATTAAGGATTATCTAATGAATCTATCTATATTCGTACGGCCACGAAATATATACCTTTGGTTTACTTTAAATTAACCATTTTTATTATTATGTATGTATCATTATGATATATATATATATGTATGTATGTATGTCAGTACTTAATAATCTGGCATCTCACTTTTTGCCGAATTATCATTATTATCCAGGGTTCTTGTAGTACGAGATTTATAACTAGTTGTTGCAACAGATTCGAGAGGAATCTCATCTTGATATGGCTGATGTTGCGGTATAGGACCCCTTGTAAATCTACTAGGTCTATTGAATGGTACCCTCGAGTGTTGTGAAGAGAATTGACTTTGAGGTAATGATTGATTTTGTTGTGTATAACCTCTTCCACCAAGTCCACCACCTAACCTACGTGGTGTAAAATATTTAGTTGTACGACCACGTTCAATATCAACAATACAACGATGTCCACTAATCTCAATACCTCTATGTACACCGCATTCCCTTGTCGTAGTCTTGGCAGCCATCGGATCTACAAATACAACAAAACCATACCCTTTAGAATTTGATTCTCTATCTCTCACTACACGTATTTTCTCTATGGCCCCATAATTACCAAATACTTTCTGTAAATCAACTTCTGTAGCAGTATATGGTAATCGACCAACAAATATAGTACGAAATGGATCAGTTTGTGCCATATGAATATCATTATTAGGATCCCATTGACGAAGTCTCTCTTGTATGAGTTTATTATTCCGACGTAATCGGTGCTTTATATTTGTCTGTGGTTGAAATTGACGATTTGGAGTTCCCTTTGGGAATTGTTTATAATATTCAGAGAGTTCTTTCTCTAATATCTTACTCACTGGTGAAATATCAGATATTGTTCGCCTTTCCTGGGGTGGATAATCTATCGGATTTTTATAAGGTAATGGCGGCGGTGGCGCAAATAATTGTGCAACATCATTAGGATATTTAGAAAGATTATACATGCTGTTGTCGATGTTTAAATATCCTTTTGTTTGTTCTTGTGTATGTATTTGCTATTATGTTTTAAATAGAACAATATTAGCAAAATATTAATTTTATGTAGATAACGCTAATATTCTTTTTTTTCGCTTTATTAACTTTGGATGTCCAATCTTTTTCTTTTAAAGGAAACTATAAAACCTCTATATAATATTGATGACGTTCGGACATTAACATTGTTAATAATGCAAACCTATGGATTTTGATCAGAAATTTAATAATTTTTTTTTTCTTGTTTTTATATTTTTATATATCTATCTATATATATATATTGTTAATCAATCTTACAAACTATTAGTTGTTTGCTGTGACACTTCTGCCATTAATCAATTGATTCAGTAGATCGGATGAGTTGTTAGTTGGAGTAGCACTGTCTTTCCCGAGAGCATCTGGAGTACTACCATTAGAGAACATACCTGGTGGAGATGGTGGCATAGTTCTACCTACGGCAATGCCTTGAGGTGGTTGGATTTGCATACTGATGTTACTTTGAGGTAATGGGGTACTAGAACTAGAACTTAATTCACCATCTAATGGTAAAGGTAATGGAGTTAGATTGGTATTGTTAGCATTGTTGTTACTAACAGATTGTAAGAATTGTAATACTGATGTAGAGTAATCAGTTGGTTTTATAGCTAATATATCTATCAATTTTTTTGTTAATACTCTATCACATTTCTTAGATGGTTCAACATTATTCCATGTAAATAATGACGGATAACTATGATATGTTGGGTTTTTTGTAACACTTGACTTTAATTTAATATTACAATTCTCATATGAAGAAAATTTCTTAATAGTTTCATCCATAAATTTCACTGCACTGCCAAGAGAATCGTAAGGATCAATATAAGTTTGTTCAACTGTTGAGTTGTTGTTTTTCTTCTTGTTATGAGATTTCTCATTAGTAGTGCTGGTGCTGGTGGTGCTGATAGCACTAGATTTGGTAATATTACTATCATTATCATTGTTTTGAAAGTTAGATTGTAAATTCACCTGGGAATTGTTATTATGAGATGTTAATGCATCCGCTAAAGTTGGTAAATGATTACCACTTAGGTTTTTAGATAAATTCAAAGAAGTCACTGGTGTAGAAGCTTGACTAACACCCCATGGATTTGCACCACTTGGTTTTGGAGCTGGTGTCAATACTGCATTACCGAGATTGCCATCGTGATGTAATTGAGCCTTTGCTAATGCAGGAGAAGGTGTTCCGGATGTATAAGTATTCAATGTAGATAATCCATTGTTAATAGCATTTCCTGAGGAAGATTTACCATATATGTTACTTGGAGAAGAACCACTTCCGACAACAACGCCATGTTGTTGTTGCTGTTGTTGTTGTTGTTTACCATGCATTTCTCGTTTATTAAATGAATCGGCCTCTTCACCAGGTTCATGTAAGAACATACAATTTGGATTTGGACATGATAGACCTCTTAAATATGAAGAACAATATTTCGTTGTACCATATGCTGCTTTAATTAATCTTCCATCCATATAAGTACCATCTACTTTGGCGATACATTTTGCTGCGTCATCCTTCGATGCAAAGGTAATATAAACACCGTATCCAGGTGTATGATGATGAGAATTATCACTACCATGAGGATTTTTTCTATTCACTACGATTTTATTAATCCTACCGTATTGACCAAAATATTTATCTGATCTTAAAGTACTTGAAACTTCATCGTAAGGAACTTGGGGATTAACACCCACAACATAAACTAAATTTTTTTGAATGACTCTAACACCGGCCAAATGTTTTCTATTACTAAACTCATTTTCTTTACGTTCTTTTTCTCTTTGTTTTCTTTCACGATCTTTCTTGGCTTGATTAGATCTTTCCATCTTGATCTCTTCAGCAGATAATACTACGTATCGTACACCTTCATCGTCATATTTTCTACGACATGCAGGACATCTACCATTTAATTCAGGATTTTGTCTAATATTATTGTAACAGAACTGGCAAATTTGATAACCACAAGGGCATGGGAAAAAATTCTTATCTGTGATATCTAATGGTTCGATACATAAAGGACAATAGTCTTCTTCTTCATCATCGGACATTAAAGCTTCATCGAAATTTCCCATATTATGAGCCACAGCATTTTGAAATGCATGGAATGTTTCTTGTGCGTGAGTAGCCATGCTTCTTATTTTTGTAGTAATAAAAGTGTATGTTGTTTATTATTTATTTGTGATTATATTAAGGATCGAAATTGAGATTTACGTAATTCCTAAATAATGTGACAAAATAGTGTTGGATTATATCGAAAGGGAGGGAGTATGTATTAAGGGAAATAGGTAACTTAGAAAAGTTTAAGAGTAAACTTTTGATTTCCTATTTAATTTTCGCTTAAAATATGTTGATTATTTATTATGTAGTGGATCAACAATGTAAAAGGCACTTATTCTTAGAGGGTGGCGATAGTTAATGAGGTAAATATATATATATATTTGTGTGTCTATCTAATCTGGCTTTAATTTTTCCACTAAACAGAAATCACACCAAAACCAAAATAAAAAAAGAAAAATTTTGAAAAGAAGAAAATAATTCATTTTACTCATTCTGCACGACTATGTTTACAATATTATTTTCGTAGTAAAGAAAATTCTGGAAATTTTTTGAAAAAGTGCGGTATTATTTCCTGTTTAGGTAATTATAATAGGAGGACCGAATTCCTTGTTTTGTTTGCGATAGTTAGATTACTTAAACAATGTGTCACATAAGAGTTAGAGGAGTTAGAGAAGAAAATTGTTAAACGTGAATCATATTATAAATGTATTGGTAACTTGATAATATATATATATATAATCGTTTGTTATGTGGGTAATAAAATGAATAAGATTAGGAGTTTAGATGTAGAGTACTGAAGACATTACACATCCATATATATATTGATAAATATCAGTGGCATTCGTTCTATTAATTCATAGAGATTATTATATATTTAAAAGTTTTTAGGGTTATTTGATTTTAATGAGAGAACCAAAATCATGATTCTATGAAATGTCTTTTAATTCTTATTTTTTTGAAATATTTATATTTTGTTAGCTTTAGGACGGATCTTGTGTAGTGCAAATGATAGTACTTCAGTAAATAAAAAAATGAAGATGATGGTTTACAACAATTTTCAAATTAAATAACAATAAAAGTCATATCATGTTCATATGTTAAATGAGTATATTCAATATATCAAATCTTTATAAATATAAATTAAATAAAATATTTACAAAATATTTACTTATCCATATAAACAAACAAACAAAGCTAAGTTAGCATAAATATATAATTCATATCATTATTATTAAGATTATTTGATCTATTGCAGATGGCGTGGGGTCGTTTCATTAAAAATAAAAAGTGGGTGTTCGTTAATCCAAATTCAAAATAAATTAGACAATTGGAGATGTCTTATAATCGACAGCAACCATTGCATCATCATGATGACAAGTTACTTCGATATTCAAATTGAAATGTTTATCATTCAAAGTAGCTTCATCATTATAAGACCAAGTGATATGGTCAAAATCTTCTTTTTTATGATGATCCTTGAATTTTAAAGGTTGATGGAAATAATTACCAATATCCTTCAGTAGATGTTTTTCTACATGTTGATGTAAATGACGTACAAACTTCTTAGAATGTGAGTTTTCAGTTTCTTTAATCTTATCTGGATCATCATGAGTTTCATGCATGATGAAAGGTGGATAATAATTCAATTGACAACGTACGTTTTCGAATTCATTATCGTCAGCACTATTCTTTACGAAATTTTCAAAACTGTCTAAATCTTCAAAGACCTTAACTTTTTCACCGTTCTTATCGGTAACAGTGGAGACCTTAACCTTCTTTTCGTGCTTAGTCATATTTTATAGGAATTGATTTGTAAGATAATAAGTGTTTTTAAAAAAAGATATAACAATAATATGTGTGTATATATGTAAAATATCTTTGGTTTTTTATAAACCAAGTAATACAAAGAAAATAAAAACAAAAATAAAGAAATATTGAAATTTTCAAGGATTTATTTCATTTGAACTAATATACCATACACTTATATATGTTTCAAAATGAAATACATTTTAAATAACAAGCCATCTCAATAGACGGCTATGAATTGTTATTATTTTCCATTTTAGTATGATGATTGACATAATTTTTTGTTACGGAGCACTTATCGTCATAAGTTCATCCCATGCGACTACCCCTTGAACCAGAATTTAATACTAAAATATTATATAAGGAAATATTGAGCACCCCCCATATTTCCCCTGGTTTCCCGGGGAGACATCAAGTTAAGTTAGTGAAGGAAAACGCGACAATATTATAATAATATTGCTATGACATCCCCTAAAATCCACCCACTTAGACGATTCCCCACTCCCCACTCCCCCCATAAATACAAGAAACAAACTGACAGCATATGAAGTGGGAAAGCTATAACGTTGATATCAGTAAATCGATTCCGCGTTGAACTTCTCTAAAATAAATATCTATATAGCTTTCAGTAAAAATTATTGATGTTTAATGCAAATCTTTAGAAAGAATAGTAATAGTAATAGTTGTAACGACTTCCTTCCCCGGGGGAGACAACAAAGAGTGATAAATAAATAATATCTTCCATTTTGTTCTTTTCCTCTGTTGATTAGCTGTCCATCAATAACATTCGGCCCCCCTTCTTTATCTTGTGACATTCTATTTCTATTAAACTAGGTGCCCATCTTAACAAACAAGGAGAGTGCTGCTCCCCACGCTTTTAAAAAATACTGTATACCTATAGTTTCTCTCTCTTTCTCTCTTTATTTTGTCTTTCATCGCGGCCATCTCCTTTTCTAATTCTGCCCCTTGCTATCGGTTAGAGGGGGCTGCGTTTATGTGAGTGGTCAATGTTCATTACCCCGGATTCAAATAAAAAATGCCTACAGTGGCACTGGCGGCTGTTTCTTCCTTTTAGACGGGTGGCTCCTGGAAGAGTAACAACTATAATATACGTCTCGTGCTAATTAATGTTCTCATTTACATATTTTGGGAACATACCGATATATCAATTCTTTTGTTTTAGTATCTACAACCTGCCCTGGTGACCCCCCTTGTTATTATCGAATTTGATAGCATCTTATGTTCTCGATGGAAATACTGTTTTTCATAAATTAAATTTAATTGAATTTAGGTGACACCAATTGGTAATTACAAAAAGAAATATGACTTGTATATATTGACAACTTAGACACCAAAACCAAGTTCTTACAAAGCAATGATGATACTCTCAATTATAACCTTTCAAAAATATATAACACTTAACACTGCATATAGAACTTACTTACAAAACTCGACTTCCTAAATGTTTTTCCTTTTCACAGAATATTATCTACCCATCTCTATTATTAACATTTGTTTATTTTCTTCGGAGTTCCTTAAGAGGAGGATTGATCAACTTCCAATTTTCTATTTTATGTTTATTTTTTAGTACATTACTTGTTTAAATGTTAATGGTAATAGAAATTTCAATGTGACTTTCCACATATATATTCATATCACAAAATAGAGACACCCTCTACTTCTTATTGTGTTTATTTATGAATTTTCTCTCTCTCTCTCTCTCTCTCTCTCTTCATCGATTAACTCCCCAAAAGAAAGAAGAGAAGTTAATATATAGTGGTTTGAATCAGTAGATCTTGAAGTTTTGAGCTTTGATTGTTCGATTGCCTTACTTTTTTTTGTATACAGAAATGAAGATATATAATGATTTTTTAAGTTAAATGTATGATATAATTTACTGAATCTTAAAGTATTTTAATGTTCTAATTTTCACATATTCCAACTAATGGTATTATTGTGATCAAACAAAACAAGAACTAAAAAAAAGTACGAAGGAACAGATATCTCAAATGTCCTAGAGATAATAAGAACTAAACAGAGTTTCAAGAAAATAAATATGTCATAAATTAAGGGTAATATAACTCCCTTAATTTCAATATAGGTAAAGAAAATCCTTTATTCACATTAACTCATTGATAATAAAAAGAAGCTCTTATATAATATATATAAAATATTAAATGTTCTTCAATATTTAACTTATATATAATATAAAGAGACCGATCGATTATCATATTAAAAATGTCCGGATTAAAACAATCAAAGTTTGAAGAGACTAATAGAGGGGAAAACTCTATCTCAGATTCTCTTCAAAATAATATATAAAGACACAGAATTCCAAACTTGCATTCTATGTTAGAATCCATTTCTTCTATAAAATTTTATATAATAATAAAAACTATTTCCAAATAATAGAAATGATTAAGATATAATAATTGCTTGACTTTAACTATTTATATTAAAGCTGTTAATAAACCTCTTCCCATAACAATTAACAATAAACGAATCCAGATATAACTCTACTATGCAAGCTTCTGCTCAGTTTTAAATATACTTGGATTGATCAATATAACCCTCAGATTGAAGAAATGTACTGAAGTAGACATAATAGAATTAGATCTTGATTCGTTCATTATTTGTAGTGTTAGGAAGAGAGGAGTAGGTGTAGACTGAATACTAATGTTTAAAATAAAGCAAATATTATTTATTATGGTTTTCTTATTTTTGTAAGTGATTTTTTATATTGTATATAATTTATAGAACCAATAAAATCTAACTTACACAATTTCTGTCAAGAAAATGTAAACTGAAAGATCTACACTACTTCTAAAATAGTTACTAATAACTGCATCTTCTGATGGTATTAACCAATTTTCAACTTGAAATTTTAACGTAAATAATGTCAGTATACCATTTAAACTTTTTATTTAGTATCATATTCCCTACATTATATTGTATTAGAGTGTTATTAAGAGTAGATGATAAGCAGTTATTATCAATAACTTTGCCAAAAATATAAACAAAAATGTGCTGTTAGTATTACCTGTTTCTTTAGATTGGGTAACAACACTATTAAAAATACAAAGTGTGTAATAACTTCTTTTATTTATAAATAATGTCGAGTACTTTTAATGATTTCAAACTACCAATAAGACAAATTATACACTTTTATAGAAAGGGTTACCCGGAGTACTAATTATCAATAAAAGGAGATTTAATTTTCAATTAAAATTGTATAGGCACTATGGCCGAGTGGTTAAGGCGACAG